ATCTACATATGTGTTAATAAACTATTTACAGTGTGGGACAACTCGTCTATATGTACGTGGTGCGTGCTCTCTTGTGGCTGGCCATCTCGTCTCCGACCTCTCACCTCTACATCAACCATGGGAAACCTCTTTCCTAAAATCACAACTATTGGAATACCCACCATGTTGGATTGTTTAATCTTGAGACCGAGTGGCTCGTCTCTATCGTCGAGCTTGTAGTCAAAGCTCATCTTGGAATACGCTCCATCAAAGTCAGCGTTCTTCGTCGCCTCAACCACCGTAACCTCCCACGGTGCAATACTTCGCGGCCAACGCAACCCATCTTGGTCTCTGCTGATCTCGGCGATTGCTGCTACAATGCGACTAACGCCAATACCATAACAGCCCATCATCACTGGCTTGTTCACCACCTGTCCATTTTCAGGGACATCCACCGTCAACCCCAACGGCTTCGAGTATTTGTCACCTAAGTAAAACGTATGGCCTACCTCAATCGCCTTGTGCTCCCTCAATATACCTCTCTCGCACTCGCCGCATACCTCGCCAGCTTCGGCAAGAACTATAGGAACATCCGTCAACGTCGTGATCATGGACCGGTTGTGGAAGTTGATCGGGAAATCAGGAAAGTTCGACCTCGAATTCAACCGTGAGTCCATCACTCGAACAACCCTCTTGGACAACTCATCAACCTGTGCAAACTCAGCAAAAACCTCCTCCTCGGTGAGGTTCAACTCCATGTCGGGGATCTCAACCCGCACAAATTTGGGCTCAAGAGTTCTTCCACTCGGATAGTACGCACATACTAATGTAGACTTGTCGCTCGTGATGAAATACCGTACAGACACATCGCCACCTGCAGTTCCTTCTTCTCCCTCCTCGCTTGGGTACGCAACTGTCTTTTCCTGGTTGGAACTATGGCCGCACGAATCACAACTGAAAACAGCATCTTCTCCACTCGGGTTCAAGTAGTGCCATTCGTGACTCATGTCTCCCCCAATCTCACCGCTATCGGCCTGCGCTTTAACATATGGCACACCCAACTCACCAAATATCTTGTGATATGCTCCCACCACTGACTCGTATGTCTCCAATGCCTTCGCCTCGTCGACATCGAAAGAATATCCATCCTTCATCAAAAACTCCTTGCCCCGGAGAAGACCTCCACGCGGTCTCTTTTCATCGCGGAACTTTTCCTTGACTTGATAGAACTTGAACGGCAACTGCTTATAACTCTCCAATGCTTGTTTGACATACTGCGTAATATCTTCTTCGCAAGTGGGAACGATTAGAAAGTCTGGTGCACGTTTCCTGTTCTGTAGTCTGAAAATCTCTGGCTGCTCCCATCTCCCTGTCTTTATCCATCCACTCTTGTACGATAGTAGGGATAAGCTCAATTCTTCAAACTGTGCATCATCCATGTGTTTCCTAATTATGTCGCTGACTTTGTTTTGAATGAGAAGCCCCGTCTTTGACCAGTTGACTAGTCCGGAACGCGGATACGATACTATCCCTACTCGTGATAGAAGCTCCAGCGTGGGCACATCTGGTCCCAGTCTGAACTTGGCGAGCTGGTTACCGTATAGTTTGGGCACTCTCTTGATCATACAGACCAAAGATGGCATTGGAAATCTCTCGCTACCACTTACACTTTATACACTCGCGAGTTAGTACAATGTAAATTCAATATATATATATATATATATATATATGTATATATATTATAATCTGTCTACTTAAACAACTCGCCCAACTTTGTTTTGACGTCTTGGTAAACATCGTCTCCATACGACTTCAAGTGCTCCAATGACTTGTTAAAGTCTTCCCCGGCCTTTGCCAATTTCTTATTCTTTTCTGGGTCGTTTGCCAAGTCGTTGCTCAACTCTTGAAACTTCTTGTAGGCTACATTGTACTGTTCAACAGCCTTCTCCCTCTGTACCCTGAATGACTCATTGGCTTGGTCTTTGGTGCTGCTAAACACCTTGCCCAAGTTGTCGTACTGCTTGTTGAGCTCGTTCACTGACGCATCATATTGCTTGTTGATTTCCTTGGTTGCTTCGTCCAACTTCTTGTTTGACCAGGATGCCAAGTCATCCTTCTTATCTTGGGCCTCGTCGGCCTTCTTGTTGCCCCAGTTGAGCCAAGAGTTCTTTTCCTTTTCGGCATTGGCCTTAGCTTCATCGGCTTTCTTGCTGCCCCATGAAGCCAACTCGTCTTTTTTATCCTGAGCCTCGTCGGCTTTCTTGTTTCCCCAGCTGAACCATGAGTTCTTTTCTTTTTCTGCGTCGACCTTGACTTCGTCGGCCTTCTTGTTTCCCCATGAGCTCCATTCGTTCTTCTTCTTTTCTGCTTCGGCCTTGGCATCATCTACCTTATCTGAGCCCCAGTTGAACAACTTATTCTTTTCATGTTCAGCATCAGCTTTAGTCTGGTCTGCCTTCTTAGATCCCCACGAAACCCATTCATCCTTCTTCTGTTCGGCATCCTTGGCCTTGTCTGAGCCCCAGTTAAGTAATTTGCTCTTTTCGTGCTCTGCCTCTGATTTGGCCTCTTCTGACTTCTTGGATCCCCATGCGCTCCACTCATTCTTTTTCCTCTCAGCATCCGCTTTAGCTTCATCTGCCTTGTCTGAGCCCCAGTTGAACAATTTGTTCTTCTCACTCTCTGCTTTGTCCTTGGCCTCGTCAACGTCGCTTTTACCAAACCAATTGCCGAAAATGGGCTTTTCCTTAACTTCTGGTAAAGGTCCGACTGAGGAGACTTGCGTCTCGCCCGTCTTGACTGAGTTGGTTCCAAGACAATTTACAAAGTCAATGTACTTTTGCATACCTCTCTTGAACACAGACTTCTCATCCTCGGGTGTGGCGGCATCCTTGACTGACTTTCTATAATCCTCTTTGTTGCCGCGGAAGGTTTGGTAAGCGTCTGATTCCTTCACCGAAGAAGTTACCGAGTCGGTCTTCTTCTCAAGTTCCTTTTTGCCATCCTCGATCTTTTGTGTCAACTTGTTGTTCCACTCGTGGGCTTTCTCGTCGATTTTAGCTGTTTGTTGAGCCAATTGTTGGTGTTCTTTTCTAGGCAAGATACGCTCAACGTTTTGGTCGTAGTAATAGACTCCACCAGCAATTGCAGCGGCTCCTAAAAAGTATTTTCCAGCGGACATGATCTAAAGTGTAATGTTAGATTGTTGATGATTAGTTGTTTTGGAAAATGTGTCTCGAGAATTGAAAGAAATGTCTTTCATATATATATATACACATATACGTAGTTGAAATGAAGGGGTTTTGTGTATGTACTTTTTTATGTTTGCTATTTTCTTAATAAGGAGAATGATCTTTATTACCTTACTTTTTGTACAACCAACAATCCAACATTGCTGCTACTAAAACCATCGCAGATTTGACAAGGCATTGAAAGCTGACGCACACGTCCCGTGGTAAACAGATGTATGTTTTATCGAGGGCCACCGTCTCCACGCCTATGTGCATTTCCAGCTGGACTTGGTTGACAAGGAACCTAAAAGTTTGTCGACTTGCAAAACTTTCTGAGGCTTTTATGTCGTAAATCAATGTGAAATTTTATAACTGTCAAAACGTGGCAACAAAGAAGTTCAATTCGTTTACATTTACTTATGATAAGTGGGGCGGTCGTAAAGTGTAGAGTGATCAGTTGATAACTTCGAAAGTCCATCTTTGCAGCGAATTGTTCTTCTTAAGGGACGGATGGAATCCCACTGTCACAATGACGTCGACCTATTATTTTTTTTTTGACACTTCCGTCTGTCTGTCGCGTTAAGCTATTGGGCCTGGTCCTAGGCGGTTTTTTTTCTCTCTCTTTCTAAGCGAGATTTGATGAACCCAATTTGGACCATTTGATTAAAGGTGGTTAGGAAATATCAGATTAGAGCAAAGAGAAAAGTATCGGTTACATAGCTGCTATGTATTAGACTAGCATCTTTTGATCTTATTGAAAGATGCAACTTGAATAACTTAAAAGAGTGACATTGTTGCAGTTTTTTCTAATTTCGATGCAAATAAATAGTTCTCCAGATGTGGAATAAAACACCTTTATGGCTACATATGTAATTTTTTGTTCGCTGTGAGGAATAAACAAGTCTCATAGGTACCATAAACTTCGGAAACAAAGTATTCGCTTTCTCTTTAGTTCCCCTAACCACAATAGCGTGGCCTATGTGGAATTCCACGACGACAAAAATTATTTTTCTTCACACAAAATCTTTTCTAAACAATGATTTTGAGATTATTGTTGGAACTTCGTCGGTATTTCAATACACAAGGAATGCCCATCGAGTGTAGGATATGTCGAATGAAATCATCGTTACCAATATCAAAGCAAGAAAGCAATTCTTATGCTTTTGATTGAAATGCATCATGAATGAAAATACTTTGTTTTTAACTTATCATCAGAAAAGCTACCCGGCTGACCTCTTGCTTCGGCGTTTGTTGCCTCACATGACTGAAATTTTTATTGACCTGTGAATAGTTTTGTGTCTTTTAATTTAATTTTTATTGCCCAGTCTGCTGATAACAAAAGAATAGCAAAGAGGTATTTAATTTAAAGAATTTTTCAAAACAACACACCAATTTACTAGCACGAACACTTTGTTGCCAGAAATATATAAGAGTCGTTGCTCCTACAAATACTCTTTTTTTTCTATAAAGACGTGTAGCCATGAGTGCATCCTTCAACCGAGGTAAATCCTCGAAAGATACAAGAAAGGCGTCTGGAAAGCTTGCGCACACATTTAAGGATCACGATGATTTTTCCATGGAAGCCACAGTTGGTTATCCCCCAGAAGCCACAACTTCCCTGACAAATAATGCTTCAAACCAAAACTTCCTAGACAACTTCTCTGGCGCTGAAAATGATGAACCAGGAAAAGAATCGGGCAGGACACCTAATCGAATTAGAAACTATTCGCTCAGTGAAGCATTCAACTACAACAATAACTTCAACAACCCCAACTTTGACATAAGTGGGCGAAGTTATATTAGCATGAGCCATAGACCAAGTGTGCTTGTGAGTACAAACTCGCCTCAAGTGAACACCGGTGTTGAGGTCCATGAGCAGACAGCAAATCTTGCCAACATCGGAGTAGTTGATAGTGAAGAAGCAGGTGGAGGAGACGACGTTTATGACACTAGCATTCCTGAAGAACAATTTTCAGGACAATTTAACCACTCAAAGAGTAAACACACACATATAAGTGGATACGAACGACCTTCATCGTCGCCTACATATTCCAACATAACTCCTTTACTTACTGAGCCACGTGCTAGCTATACAGAGGGGGACGATGAGGACACTATAGGCATATCACAGCATCCAAAATCGTCGAATGGAAAAGGAATGGATTTTAAAAGGCTGTCAGATGCATCAACTACACCACATGGTGCTCCGACCATTCCAGAGAAACAAACACAACCGAGCAGTCTACACCAACTACTTGTCAAACCATTTCAGTTTATACCCGGCGTGTTTTTGGGAACTTTATTAAACATATTGGATGGATTATCTTACGGTATGATCATGTTCCCCATTAGTGAGCCGATTTTTGCTGCATTGGCGCCAGCGGGGCTTTCGATGTTTTACGTATCGTGTATAGTGTCCCAGTTGGTGTACTCATTAGGTGGATCAGCGTTCAAAGCGGGGATTGGGTCTGAAATGATTGAAGTCACTCCTTTTTTCCACACTATGGCGTTCAGCATTTCAAGACTGATATCGTCTGACACTTCGGTAGAGAACCAGCAAGATGCGATAATTGCAACAACGATCACTTCCTATGCAATCTCATCTATTGTAACTGGGTTGGTGTTTTTTTTGCTAGGCAAATTAAAGTTGGGTGTATTGGTGGGATTCTTTCCTCGACACATTCTTGTTGGCTGTATTGGAGGAGTGGGGTATTTTTTAATAGCTACTGGTATTGAAGTTTCTTCGAGATTGGAAGGGGGGTTAACATACAACTATGAAACATTCAAATATCTATTCTACAACCACATTACATTTTTAGAATGGACTGTTCCACTAGTCTTGGCCGTGATCTTAATCTTCCTTCAACATAAAATCCATAATTCGTTACTTGTTCCAGGGTATTTCATTGCTGTGTTTGCCATTTTTCACCTAATAGTACTATTAATTCCATCCTGGAACTTGAATGATGCGCGTGAGATGGGGTGGGTGTTTCCCGCAGTCGAGGGTGATCAACCTTGGTTTGAATTCTACCTGTTGTACAAGTTCCAATTAGTCGATTGGTTGTGCATCCTAAGACAGACTCCAACCATGTTGGCATTGACCTTCTTTGGAATTTTGCATGTTCCAATTAATGTACCTGCCTTGGCTGTTTCCGTTGGAATGGATGACGTTGATGTTGACCGGGAGTTAGTAGCACATGGGTATTCAAATGCTATTTCTGGTTTGGTTGGATCTATTCAAAACTACTTGGTGTATACAAATTCAGTGTTGTTTATCAGGGCAGGGGCAAACGATCGACTTGCTGGAATCATGTTGGCAGTGGCAACGGCCGCAGTAATGATTGCAGGGCCAGTGGTTATTGGATACATTCCGGTTTGTGTTGTGGGTGCATTGATCTACCTATTAGGTTATGAGCTTCTCAAAGAGTCGGTATGGGACACTATTGGCAGATTGAGAAAGATTGAGTACTCAACTATTATAATTATTGTGGTTACAATGGGTGCTGTTGATTTTGTCGCAGGTATAGGCATTGGTATTTTATTAGCGTGCTTGTCATTTGTTGTCGAAGCTGCAGGAACACCAGTGGTACAAGGTATCTACTCCGGTAGTGTAGCCCGTTCAACTGTCTTGCGCCATCCGAAGCAACAAGAGTTTTTAAAAAATGTGGGCGAACAGATTTGTATTGTCAAATTGCAAGGAACAATCTTTTTTGGATCAATAGGTGGTGTCGAAAAGGAGATACGGTTAATTTTCGAAACTGATAAATTCGATAAAAGGCCAGTCAAGTTTTTAATAATTGATATGAAAGAAGTTATATCGTTGGATTTTTCCGCGGCTGAAGGGTTTAGAAGGATATTGAACTTGGCTAATGAGTTCAAGACACAGTTGATTATATCTGGTGTCAGCGAAGAGGATGAAACCATCCAGGGGTTGCGTGACGCCGGTTTATTTGAAAATAGTGAGCAAAGCAATGGTTCTTCTCCACCCATTGAATTATTTAGTTCATTGAACTATGCCTTAGAATGGTGTGAAAATTCATTCTTAAAGACGTACAAAAGCTTGAAGAAAGGTAACCACATGGATCCAGTAACTCGTCACACATCGTCGAGGTCAGTGCCGGGAGCTAAAGCCAATAGCTCTACAACAAACACGCCTGTGAATCTAAGTTTAGGGGGCAGCAGCAGCAGCATGGCCAGGTCGTCATCAATACAATCACCATCTTCATTTAGCAACAAGTTGTTCAATCAATTTGGGGGTGAGTTTGGGACTCCAAGAACAAAACAAGTTCTTCAAGCAGCTAGTAAGACAGTTTACGATGAGCAGAAGACTCAGCACAAGCTACATATGAATGCAAACAGCCAATTTTTACAAAAGCAACCTTTGCCTTTGATGATGATTACGTTTCAAGGTTTGTGTTCCAAAGATGCCGAGTTTTGGGCACCTTTAGCTCCCTATTTCGTCAAGGAGCTGATACCAGAGAATATACAATTCTACAACACAGCAGAAGACGAGCCGTCGTTTTTCATTGTGGAGCTGGGCTTGGTCAGATCGGTTATCAAGTTTGGACCAGAAGGAAGGGAGCTACATAGCTCGATTGTTCCTTTGGTTGCATTTGGTGATTTGGACGATGCTTCATATTATAGGCCAATATCTTATACTACTGTGAATGATTCCGTTGTCTGGAAATTGTCCAAGGCCAATATCAAGGAAATGTTGAAACTGCAAGGCTCAAAAGGAGAGACTCTTTACCACGAGTTGTTGGAGATTGAAGCTAAATTGATCAGGGAAAGATTCGACACAATGACCGCAAATTTGATCATATCAGGGTAGATGAGTAATAGAGGTATTAGCTGGGTATCGATTTGTCTAGATTAAATGGTTAATAGACTTCTAACTTAAACAAATAGTCTCTGTAAATTGTGGCAGCCTCTAGCTAACTGTAATTTTTGCATTGTCCATGGTCGGAATTGCGTACAACTCTACCCGATTACACGACCGTGGCTTTTGCACTTTAATTATGCGCCTTGATAACAAAAAACAGAAAAGAAAAAGAGAAACAATGTAGCAATATTAACAGAGAAAGACAACCACTTTCTTTCTCCTTTCCAAGTATACACACTTTCATTAGAATCTATCCTTCGCTTAGCCATGGTCAAATTCACCAAGATTGCAATTGCAGCAGTTTCAACTTTAGCAACAGTCAATTCACTTTCACTCTTTAATGAGTATGTCGACCGTGCACTTGCCGTTTTCAATACACCTGACGAACTCAACTCTCATCTCGCTATCTTACAACAAAAGTTTTTCAACATTCAACTGGATTCTCATGTTGTAGATGATACCAAGCCCGTTCCCGGAAAATCACCGATTGAGGTTTGTGACTATTCAAGCAAGCAACTTTTGACACTCGATGAAATCGTTATTTCTCCTAATCCACCGGAAGCAGGAGTCAATTTGACATTCACGGCAAAAGGTACCATTGATAAGACAATAACAGATGGTGCTTATGTTGAGGTTGATGTGCGTTATGGGTTCATAAAGTTGATCCACCAAACGTATGATATTTGTAAGGAGATCACTAAAGTGGATTTAGAATGTCCAATTGAAAAGGGGAAGCAAGTCATTACTAAGGAGGTTGAAATTCCCGAGGAGGTTCCACCTGGTAAGTACTTTGTTACTGCTAGAGCTTACACAAAAGATGATGAGTATATTACTTGCTTGACTGCCACAATCGAGTTTCCTTACCAATAAGGGACATGCTAGCAATTAGGTATTGTCTCAGTAATGAACTGGAGTTTATTTAGTCGTTGGATTTTGTCACGTAGCCACGGAGTTAGCAACCAATTTGTTTCTACATTAGGTAATATTTTGCGAGGAGTTTATATTAGATCCGAATAAAGAGTTTGATTTACATTACGGAGGTTTCAATTGACCTGGGTAGAATGGTTAAAGATGAAAGGAGTCAATTGTTGCCAACAAAGTGTCGCGAAATCGTACTTTATACTGCAGCTTTTGGCTTTGATTATTGTTCTTTTTCTTTTCTTTTTCTTTTTTTTCTTGACATTCTCTATTTAGTTCTCTCTACTTTACAACCACCAGGCCTTTAAAACCATTCAACTTTTTTTTCACAACTGAAAGAAAACTGTACTGCTACTTCAGTATTCACAAGATGGTTGAGTTTGAGAACTATTTCTCGATCCAGATCTTCTTTATCATCCTTAGGGAGACTTTGGAGTCTGCAATCATCATATCGGTCCTTCTTTCATTTATAAATCAGCGATCTCACAAGCCCGATGTGATTACAACCGATCCAGGACCAAGTCATGCCAGCACTCACTTGCAACGAGTCCAAAGGAAATTGAAAATTCAAGTATGGGTAGGTGCGATTTTGGGTTTAGTGATTTGTTTCATAATTGGGCTCGTCTTTATTTTAGCATTTTATTTTGTGGGTAAAGATTATTGGGCCTACACTGAGCGTGTTTGGGAAGGTATATTTTCTATTCTATCGAGTATAATCATCACAGTTATGGGTATTGGGTTACTACGTATAAACAAGGTCATGAAACTAAAGTGGTGGATCAAATTGGGTGACGCCTACAATAATGACCAAGATGAGGAAGGTGAGGAGGAGATTGCAAAATTGGGTGACGAAGATAACCATATGGATGTTTTTGATGAAAGCGAACCAAATGACGGAGTTGATAACTATGATGGAATAAGATCAAGCACGGAGTCGGAAAACGCGCCTTTAACATCGTCGAGTCAATTACCACCAGCTGCTTCGAAGAACTCACCAGGTCAAAGAAGACAAAAATTCACCAAAAAGTACTTCTTGGCCATCTTACCATTAGTGACAACATTGAGAGAGGGATTGGAAGCTGTTGTTTTTGTTGGTGGTATTGGTGTAAGCTCACCACCATCGTCGTTCCCGTTGTCAATTACTTGTGGACTTGCTCTCGGAGCCTTGGTGGGTTACTCTTTATATAAAGGAGGAAACAAATTGTCTCTTCAATATTTTTTAATCACATCCACATGTTTTCTTTACATCGTGAGTGCAGGGTTGATGAGTCGTGGAGTATGGTTTCTCGAACTAGAATCCTTTGTTCGCAAATGCGGTGGATTGGACGTCAGTGAGACTGGTAGTGGACCAGGGTCGTATGACATTACTAAAAGTGTATGGCATGTTAACTGTTGCAATGGGCTAAAAGATGGCGGGTGGATGGTGCTTAATGCTATTTTCGGGTGGACAAATTCGGCTACCTACGGTAGTGTGATTACGTATTTTGCCTATTGGTCTTTTGTCATTACTTGGTTGAATATCAAGCTATATGAAGAAAGAGAAGGTGTATTGCCATTGGTTCCTATTAAATGGCAGTTGAAGCGAATTAGAAAGAAAATCAGGTTGTATGAGTTGAGGAACAGCCAAAGCTTACACACGATCGGACAGTCACAACAGGAAGATAGAGCCGTGGTGGTGGAACAACAAGGCTTATTGGAATGAAACAAGCCGCCGCATTGTAAGTAGATTGAGATATTTATGCATTAATTAATATAAAAGTATTTGCATTAAAGTTTACAAATGAAAGTTGTATTACAATCACCACTAACCTCGTAACGTCAACAGAAGTTTTTGTCTATAATACAGGGGCAAAATACCTTGGCTCATCAAACACATGGTACCTATGTCCTCTCACTCCATCACCTCTAAAAATGTGTGGCATCCTCAAACTCTCATCCACTGAATCCTCATCAACAAAATGGTAATCGTGATTTTCAAATCCACCAAATCCAAACTTGGCAATTTGCAATTCGGTATCAGTTATTGTTGATCTTGAGATTCTTGCGTAAGCAACCTTTCTCAAGTCTCGGAAAAGAATGTACTCACACCAACGATCCCAGTCTGTCGAATCAATATCATGCATCCTCGACTTTTCCGACACATAGGTATGGTAGTTGCCAACTAATGGATCGGTGACCAAATAACTCAACAACACCAACGGTCTTTCTGAGCTAGCCATAATTTCCTCGACTCCTAAACTTTGTAACCTACGATCTTCGACATCTTCCTCTTGACCCGAATGGAAGACAACAACGTCAACTAAATTGCCATAAATATCCAACGTCGCGTGAATAGCAGGCGCTAATTCACCAACAGGAGAAGGCAAAAGATGATGTGTTGATTGAATAATGGGGAATTTGGATAATAATGCTGCTCCCCAGGTGTGCTTATTGGGGCCAGGGCCGTAATCAACATACATTCCTAAGTCCTCAGCAATCTTTTGTGTAAAGTCTCTATTTCCACCAATTAATCTTTGCGTGTCTGTTTCCAAGAGTCCAATAATGTCTAATTCAGCATCTCTTATAAGGTCTCTCATTCTTGTTTCCGACGACCACATGTCATTGTCCAATCCGAAATGGACACACCAGATTCCCGCAGTGAAAGTTTCTGTCTCTGGATGATATGGCTTACCTAACCCAGTTGGCCATCTTTTGATGGCTGTAGTCAAGGCCAACGCTAGAAGCACAGTGATTATTGTTGATATCTGCTTGAAAGTTTTCCCGCTGTAGAAATTGATTTTGGTAACCTCGCTCTTTCTTAACTTGTAATTGGCGATTCCTGCAAAAACCATAAGAACAGCAGAGGCTAAGACTATGTCGGTTCTTTCCCTCAATAATGGGCCACCGGGAACAAATGCATAAGCCACAATCCAAACACTGGCTAATGATACCAAAATGTTTAAAAAGTACCCAAGGAAAAATACAATTGCTGGGTTGTAGCCAGTTATGGAATGCAAAATAAGGGGACCAATTGACACAATGTAGAAAACAAAAACCAAAGTACCAATGAAACCGGCCCAATGTTTTAAAAAGTAAAATGCAATTGCACTTCCACCTCCCACGACAATATTGTATCCCCAGCTGCTAAAAATATTTGGGTGTACTTTCAAAGTGACAAGAAGAGAAACTGCAAACGTTAAAATATGAGGAAATGCACCTGTTACAGGGGTTGGCCCTCGTATTGGGAACCCTTCCCAAGTCCAAAGTGCCAATGTACCAGAATCCGACAATAATGCTTGCAATGCAAAATAGTAACCACCAAATCCCATTGCACCCAATAAAAGAGACCCACCAGCATTCTTTGGAAAAGTAGAACTTGATGAGCCATTTTTGTCCAATACTGGCGTATAGAAAGCTCCAAGTAGTCCAATAAATAATCCTAATGGGTTGTACCCGCCATTTTCCTTGTGCATGATTGGCCAAATAGGATTGTTTGAGTAAAATAAGAACTTGAAAGTTGATGTGGCTAAAAGCCCTAAAACAAAGGTTGCAATGTAAGAGTTCAACTTTTTCGGATGAGTTGATAATGCCCAAAACTCATTCACAGTCGATACGATACCAAACACAGTTCCCGCTGTTATGGCCAATAGTTTCTGTTCGGGATCTTCAAACTTGTATGCACCGATTCCACAGATTACTGTTAACGATCTGGTGAATTGTGGATTTTGAGCGAGATAAACCCTCAAGCTTCTTGGAAGCAACAACAATGGCGACAAGAAGATGGACACAACTACCGCCTCGTAACCGGAAATACCCATATACCACAATGGGAAATACCAGACACACAAAAATAAGGATGTTAAAACCGTCCAGTACATGTACGAGTTGATAAAGTTGGCGGCAACTTCAAAGTTGGAAAACTCTTCCTTACCTTCTGGGTTAGCAGATTTTATAGGAGTCTCTTGCATGGTCTTTTTTTTTTGCCCCGATACCAACTTCAATCCTTCGCCAGAAATGGTGACTTCGATATCTCTATAATCTAAGGCTGACCATGCGTCGAAGAGAATGTCTAACCCAATAAGTGACCATTCGAAATATGCATAAACCGAATAAGCACCAGGTCTTACATGTACTTTATGCTGAATAAACCAATAAATCAACGGAACCAAAGTACCGAAAAAGCTGACACCGGTGTAGAACCTAGCTTTTCTTTGCCAAGAACCCTTGGGAGATAACAAAGTTGTGCACACATCCCACGGGATAGTCAAAACAATATAACCAATCATAAAGACATCATGCGCATCATGGTCATCTGTGGATGTGATGTACATCCAACCACCAGCAGTGAGTGTTCTTAAAAGTCCAGCGATTAAGGCAATATAAGGCAAATATGATTTTGCCTTGTATAAGCTGAGGAAATTGAAAGCAAGGAGTAAGAATCTGGGCCCTGCTGTCATGGCAATCACAATTTGAAATACTGACCTCTCAGGATATCTATCTCCAATTGTTGCTGAAACACTAGGAAACCATTCATCAGGATATCCGAATGATGCATTCTCAACGATTTTATAATAATGCAAATAACACCCTACCGCCAACGCGGCAAGAAATGACAGACTCGCAAAGAGCGTATGAGCAAACGAAATGTACTTTGCGTTGAATGAAATGTACTTGACTGGTGGTGGAGCCACTGAGCTACTTGATTTCTCTGACATATTTTAGTCCTAACTGATCCGAGCTGTAAAAGTTATTGTTATAGCACCTCAACAACAAGACTTTGAATGAGATTATGGACCAACCACCTTTTATGCCAGACGAATGGTTGTTATGAGTGTGTGGCTATTTTTATCTTTCAGATATTTCTAAACAAAAAAGAAAAAATAAAAAAAAAATGACAGCCCGGTCTCTGGGGAATTCATTCTTTTTTTTTTCTCGCCGCACTGAGAGAACGACAGTGCTGGCGCTGGGCCACTTAAAGTTTTCGCAACCAAAACATTCAAATTTACAACTGTGATCGTGTGTATTAGGTTCTAGTAGATTTATTTGGCAGATATATAATACCTCTCTTCTATTATCAAATAACCTCTTTGTCGCTGCCGTGTAGTGGAGTAGTGACGCGTGTATATAATTTTTCATTCACTTGGTAGCATTATTTAATGAAATGGTAGTGGCCTTGGTTACAAATTTGGTCCAGTCAAAATTCATCTTTTCTTTATTACCAGAGAAAAAAAAGTAGCTAACTTAGATTGAAATATTGTCAACAGGGGAAGAAGAGGCATTCACCATATAACTAATATCTTCATTGTTTGGAAAACTAGATAACCTCAATACATAATAAAACGCCTAACATAAATACAACATGGGTATGTTTGGAGACTTGCTGGAATTATACCATTCGAGTGATCGTTAGAGTCTTGAATTTTGTCAATTGATTTAACCATGTTACTAACTACCATATGTATAGGAAAATTGGACAGTTATGAAAATCACACGAGGCCTGAGCTAGTATCATTTGACGATATAAGTTACAATGATTTATCACAAGTAGATGCAGCAAGGAAATCCATGTTAAGGGAACAATGGATAAGAGTATACGAGTTGAGAGTAACACACGAAGCAGTAAGGAAATGCAGACAATACCATCAAGAAGATGCTGGTAGAAATTGCAAGAGCTTGATATTGAAATACTTGAAGATGCTAGAAAGCTACCCAATACAAGGTTACCAAGGTTACCAAAAGAATGATCCGTCGAAATAGATTTTAGTTTTGCTGGATAGACCAAATTAATGCAACATTATTGAAAGAAACATTGAGATTAGGAACATCTTGTTTGAGTTTGAGATGGGGGTTTTCGTTATACCATCTCTAATTCAAGACATTCAAAATTACGCAATGGAGATTGCTGCGTCCGCCGATCTGCTAATGTAGATGGGCCGTGGATCTCCAGTGCAATATATATACAGGGCTGCCCTTTCTTTTGCGAACCTTAATGTAAACATGTGCACTTCTTTAACCCAACTTCTCTAACTCTCTGTCTCTCTGCCTCTCTTCTCTACAAAATTGTCGTGCAACATGTTCAAAGTTCTTACCCAATGAAAAGCAAAAAAAAATTTTTTTTTGTTAAAACCGAACGAACAAACTTCCCAAACTAAGTCCCAAATCAACTGGTAGCATTATTCATCCTAGCAAAAGTTTATTATTGGTGAAGGAAAAAATCAATGAAAAGTTCAACATAGTTTCAATTCTATAACTGATTCATATCCACATTAGTACAGCAATGTTTCGTTTAGGTGTCAATCAAGCTGTCCGTGCAGCTCCACGTGTAAGGTATGTTGAAGATAGGAAAATCACAGGACAATTAGTCACACCAAGGGTCGGATGCGTCTAGAGCAGGACCGCTCCTTGCTTTCGCTACTTAGCTCTGAACAAACACACAATTGACACGCAAGATACTAACAATTACAAACTAGAAACTATGCTACTTTACGTGAAATTGAAAATCGTCTTAAGTCAATCAAAAACATTGAAAAAATTACCAACACTATGAAGATTGTTGCATCTACTAGATTAAACAAGGCTCAAAGAGCTATGCAATCCTCCCGTGTGTTCAATGAAAGTGAAAAGGAGTTCAACCAAAATGCTGACCCAAAAGAAGCTGAACAACAACAAGCTGAAGGTGCCGCAGCTTCATCTACACCTGAAAAGACCTTGTTAGTTGTGGTTTCCTCCGACAAGGGATTGTGTGGATCAATTCATACTCAATTGTCTAAAGCAGCAAGAAAGAGATCTGATGAATTAAACGGTAATGTTGACATTGTTGCCGTTGGTGATAAAGTTAAAGTCCAATTGGCCAGAACTCATGCTGATAAATTGAAGTTGGCTTTCAACGGTGTTGGTAAAGAAGCTCCAAACTTCACTGAAGTTGCTTTAATTGCTGATGAAATTGCTAAATTGGGCCACTACGACAATGTTGAGATTCTTTACAACAAGTTTGTTTCTGGTGTTTCTTTTGAACCATCTACTTTTGCTGTTTATGCTGCTGACATTATTCAAAATGCTCCTGGTATCAACAAGTACGAATTTGAAGGTGAAGATCCAGTTCAAAGCTTGGCTGAATTCTCATTGGCTAACAACTTGTTGACTGCTATGGCTGAAGGTTATGCTTCTGAAATTTCTGCCAGAAGAAATGCTATGGATAACGCATCAAAGAATGCTGGTGATATGATTAACAGTTACTCAATCTTGTACAACAGAACTAGACAAGCTGTTATTACCAATGAATTGGTTGATATTATTACTGGTGCTTCATCTTTGGAATAGAGGTGTTACTAGTTTACATTACATATTCACAACAATAAAAATATACACATCATAGTTTTTAAATGATACTCTATTAAAAAATGTATTTCCTATAACCATCTCTTCTATTCAAGTTTAATTGCTCCATATATCTTTCTGATGAATAATGACCCAGTTATTACACCAACAGCACCGCATGCAACACCAATGATGAAACATGCTAATCCCATGTAACTAAAGTATAATAATGAACTAACAAAATCATCAACATTCAAAACTGTGACAAAATAGTATAGCGAGTAGCCATAGATATACCAAGCAATGCTTGATCCAACTTTGAAAGATAGCCAAGACCAATTAGCGTCATTGTAATATACCAATGATACATAGATTGCCACAATTGTCAATTCGATAATGATCACAATTAGCATCACTGTAGTAATGAATAAGAACCCATACATGTAATAAAATGTGGTTTTCTCCAACCAAACGGAATTGAACACGAATAAAAGCTCAACATAAACTATTCCAAAGGGGATCATGCCATATACCAACACATTCTTAGCATACGTGATGGGCGACATCAGCTTGAATATGAACTTTAGTGTCCACTTTTGATAGCATGGGAGCTTCTCTTCTTGTCCGCAAGTCGATAGGTAATTCCTCGAATTGAATTTGTATCTATTACCGTAAACTCCTCCAATCACATCCAATGGACATTGAATTAAAATGAATAGCAACACAAAAACCACAATTGTACCAAAGGGCAATGCTGTTGATGAGTCTTGAGCCCATACAAAAAAGTTCAAGATAAACATCAACATGAACAAAAGGGCTGGTAATACAGCACTAAACATCAATGATAAAATTAATGTTTTGATGATATCGTATTTTTTATTAGTTTCATTGCGGAAAACTTTATGTAAGATCATTCCCACGAATGAAGACACGAGACCTGAACCCATCAAACAAAATATCGAGAATGAAAAAAATGCCCCTTGGTGATTATTAAAGAAGTAATGCCTGGATTTGATGGAATTTAAACTAACAAGTATTATAACTCCCACAATTGCAATCAACATTTGTATACCTCCCAGGACCAAAGTAGTCAATACAAGTTCGGCTTGAGGTGTGTTGTTTACTCTATCAGCTAGGTTCTTCCATCCACCGCCACCACTACCAGCAGCAGCAATACTAGTGTCACCACTATTACCGGCAAGATCGATTTCACTAATGGGCAAGCCTGGTGATTGTTGTCGTATATCCTTTTTCAAAACTTTAATCATAACAATCATGACAATCAAAGATGCTAAAAAGATCAAGACGGTCGAATTCACAAATGAAATCCAATGAATTTTTGTTTGACTTTCTCCTGATTCATTTTCATAGTATAAGTCCCACCTTGAGTCATAATCAATTGATGTATCTTCTCTCCAATATACAGAATACGTATAGGGAATAGTTGTTCTGTCTTTGCTCAATTCGCCCTTTGCATCAACTTTATAAAGTAGGGCGAAATTGCGATAATCCTTTTTATTTCCAGGACACTCTTCATTGATGACACTTTTAGGGTACACTTCAAATCCAACAATGGTGTACTTACCATTGGATTCTTGGTGATATCGAATTACCAACATAACGTGATTGTATAAATAACTCACATCCTGTTCCACAAACCCCATGGGGAAACCGGCGGCATAGTATTTCCTGCGGTGGTTCATGGTTTCAAAAGTAGTTGCACCAGGTAATCCATCAACTGACCAATGAACAACATACCCATCCTTGATTAAATCTGCGGCACGTCTTATGCCACCTTGAGTCGCACGCAAATCACATAACCGTAAACATGGTTGATCAACTCCGAACTTCAAGTCATAGCCACTTTCCCAAATACGGTCGCCTCGCAAGATCTCCCCTAGCGATAAATGCACTGGCTTGGCATCGTTTATGGGAGGACAAACAAATGTGAGTGAGTAGTAAGCGTAGGGAAGTTGGGTCTTGTCTGATTCGATTTTGTTGACTAAAAGATCCACTTGGTCGCCAATTTGATAATAGTTTGGTTGAAAGCCGAGGTCTAGAAGGTGTGCTTGAATGCAAGGTGTCAATAGTAGAATGAATAAATAATATATTTGACGTAGCTGCATTGTGGATAATAGTAGTATTAATAGCAGCGGATGAAACTTCTGATCAAAAGAAGAAGGATATTTGAAACATGCAATATCCAAGGAATAGGTTTATATATATAAAGCGAGTGAAGCAAGAGGGTCAATTGGTGGTAAATAAACTGTTACTAGATCCTTTGAACCCAGTTTTGTTAACAAAGAAAGAAAAAATAAAAATAAAAAACAGCCTATTGTCGAGACTTTTACAATTTTTTTTTTGGTGGCATTTGTTGTCGTAAATATAACGCGTCATTCCTATTAAGACCTATAACTGTTTGTAGAGGTGGATGTAGGGTTCATGCAGGTGACCATGGTTGTGTTGACATGTACCAGGCAACCACTCTTTCCTTCACCAGAAGTTCGGTAAGGTGGAGAACGATATGTGCCACAATGTGCACAGCTTAAACCTACATCTAAGCCACAAACTATTGAACCCTTTTAGCGAGAGCAGATAAGATAAAACTAAACTAAGCTAAACTAAAACAGAGCTCACAAATTTAAAATCTTACATTACTGGAGATTCCCCTCGTTTTTGACATTTCCATTAACTCAAAATCTCTTGCTATACACACTAAACCAACGTTTCCATGTTTTTATCTTCTTCACCCATTCAACGATTCCATGGCCTCTTTAATCAAGTAATTTCCCTTTGGGTCCAAATTCAAAGCAATAGTGAACTCCCTAATTGCCGAAAACTTATCTTGTTGCAAATTATACAATTGTCCTAAAAGAAAATGAACACTGGCTTCATTAGGAGCAATGTTTTTCAAAATCTCAAAATTCTTCAACGCTAAAGGATAATTTTGTAAAGTAAACAACAATTGAGCCTTTTTGAAAATGGGCAAGGGGTTCGATGGTTGTAATTTACAAGCCAATTCGTATTGCTTTAAAGCCATGGATTTCTTGTTTAATTTTTCCAAAACCATTCCAACACAGCAGATCAATATGATATTTATGGGATTTATTGAAATTGCTTTACGGAAATGGTAATCGGCTTTTTGGTATTCTCCCAAGTTCATATAAATCATTCCGATTCCGTAAAGGGCATTGAAATGACGCGGATCTAGCAAGAGACTGATGCGGAAACTTTCCATTGCCATTTCATAATTATCATTGGCGAAAAATTCATGTCCTTTCAACGTGTACGCATAGGTGAATTTATCATTTAATTTGATGGCTTTGTTAAAGCAACGTATGGCTTCGTCGGGTTCATGGGTAAGGGAAAATAAGTTGCCAATGGTACACCAAGTGACGGGACTTGTTGGGTCTATGTCATGCAACTCATTAGCCAAAAATGTAAGTTCAACTTTTCTATGCAAGTGCCAAAGTAATGTTGAATAAATTTCCATATCTTCACTTCGAGCTCGATCGAGCTTACGCAATTTTTTGAAATATGATTCTGATTGTTTATAATTCATCACTTCATAATGTAATCGACCCAATTTACTCGTGACCCACGGGGTGTCTCGATCTTGTTGGGGAATATCATTTTCCAAAATCTTGATTGCTTTATAACAATCGTAATTGGATAAATGTCTAAAACTCTTGGCAAAGGTTAGATATAAGTGGAGAAGATAGGCTTCGCACTTTTCAATCTCTTTTAAGAATGCAATTGAAGAACTGGTTGTCATTGCCACTGCCGTCCCACTCCCGGTGTTGTTATCATCTGAAGTAATAGAATTATTTCGTTTTAAGTTTTTCTTATTGGGGGTTTCGGTAGGATTATTAATTGTCGTGTGTGATGATGGTTGAGAAATCAATCTTGATGTAATTTTGGAGTATACTCGACTACCCCGTTTCTTCCCTCCGCCTCCTCCTCCTTCTGAATGTGTTGTAGCGGCAGCGTTAGTGCTTGGTTTGACAAATTCAAACGTATTATTCGCAATTGTTGTGTTGCTAATATCGTGATGGTTTGCATGTGAACCCGTATTCAAGTTTGATTTCCTCAATGGCGCATCTGGCATTGTCGCCGTTTTGATTCTCGGAGTTGAGAAATTAAACTCATCAACATGGATAACGGGAGTTTTCAACGGATTATTGGTATTGTTTGTGCTGGTGGTTGTGCTAGTGCCAGTAGCACCTACTGCATTCATCTTATCAGTGAAAGGGTTGGTTAAATCGGGTGTATCATGAGCCCCGAGCGTCTGTGGCGTTTTAAATGGTTGCAACTGATGTTGTAGTTCATCATCTCTCCCTTGCTGCTGCTGCTGCTCGACACTATTGCCACCATGGCCATCTTTTTGCACCCTGTACAAACTCTTTACCTTCATGTCCACTCCCATCTTACACAATTTTTGAAACGCTTCGAAATCAAATTGATTTAATCTCAAACAATGAGTATAATTCAAACAGCTATTCTTGATATCATTGACACTTTGATACAAATCACCCAACAAATGATAAACCAGTGATGCATCAGGTATAATACTTCTTCCATCATTCTCATAATCAAACCTCGTTTCCAAATTCATCCTATTATCATCCCGTTCATACAAGTTTCTTATTTTTAAAAGTTGAAATATCCCATCCTTCGGTTTATTCAATTGTAAACAACACTTGCCAAATAAAAAACTACATCCTAAATGATTCAAATTCAACAAGGCGTTCACTTCGACTAGTTTCCGATAACACGATTTAAATTTAGATTGATGGTATAATGTAAGACAATATAAGTAGATTGAATCTAAATTTAGTGGATCTCTGGCTAATAGTCGCTCACTGGCAAATTCTGCATTTTGATAATTAAATGTATCTATTGAGTGGATAATTATTGAACGAAGGTAGTGTTGGGTGTATTGTGCATTAGGAAGCTCAGGGTCAACATTTGAATCAGGTAGCTGCATTGTGCTAGTAGTATTAGAAGTGTGTGTGTATACCTTTAATAATGTCTCTCTATGTTGTGCTAGCCCGTTGTTCTTTGTTTTGTTTTGTTTGTGGTTTCTTGCTTTTTTTTTTCTTTGTTTCTTTGTTTTGCCTTTTGTTTTTTGTTATCACCAGATTACTACGCCGTACAAGACTACTCCTGAAAGGCTACAAATTTGCGAAATATAAAGTGAATCATTTTACTATTAAAACAACATTGGTAAAGAACTATATATTAACTATTGATCATATTTTTAAAAGAACAAGAAGACTTTGAGTGAACTGATACACAAAACATTGGTGCATCCAAATCGATCTCAAAGTGTCTCTCCTCACTCTACTTCTTTGGTTTTATCACAAATGTATGGTTACCTGAGTCATCACTACTAAAAGCCATCATCTTTTCTCTTTTCTTGCCTCCACTCATCAATCTACCCGACGAACTCGATGCAAGTGTCTTGTTACCGGTAGCACCACTTTTGGAAGCACTCGATTCAAAACTTTCATCTTTTTTGGAATTTTGACTAAATGAACTCACATTGGGTGAGGCAGATCCATTGCCATTACTTGGGGAATTGGTGGAGGATGCAGTTGAGTATGGTGTAGACCCTATTTCACTGTTATTTGTATTTGCATATGGGTTGAACGCTCCATTTGTTGCCTTCTCGTAAGGAGATTGCTGAAGCGACGGCGGTCTCAATGGCTTTTGATCAACACTATCCACAAAATACCCGGAGTTGGTGGTAACAGGGGTACCACTATCTGAGGTTACATTTCCCGATTTAGGAGACGAAAGATAACCCGATGCCAATAGATATGGCGAAGCAAATCCACCCAGGTTTGATGAACCAGGAATTTGTGGAGTCTTTGGTGCATTCAAAGTACTTGTGCTATATCGGTTGTTTTGAGTATCAATCGACAATTTAGGTGGTATTCTATCGGGGGCTAAAGTCGACGATGAATACATTGACGCTTGGAATGATGAATCATTTCCAAAATCTTCATCCACCCTGATGTAACCTTTAGCTCGCAACTCTTCATCCTTCAGTTTGTTTTCTTCTCGAGTTTTGGCCAACATTTCTTGAGCTTTACTCAAACTAACAGTAGGAGTTGAGCAACTACTAACCACGGGTACTGAGTCATCAATATCTATAGTTGCCGTCATTAATGCCTTAATCCAACCTCGCATATCCGTTTCAGACTCAACAGCAAAATAGTGTGTCTTTGGTTGAGTGAATGTGAGACCCTTTTTGAATCCTGGTGCGGGAGGAACAAGTTTGAAGCAGTAGTTACCTGCCATTGTCGTCGATGCCACCATTGCTGCATACTTATCAGCTTTATCCAAATCTTCAGCTTCACTGTTGATGGGTATAACTTTATGAGCAGTGATATCAATCAACCCTTTTTCCCTCCTGTCTTTGAGTGAGGTAAAGTAGGACAATCTTGTACCGTGTAAAGTAAAATACCTGGATCTCCAAGCAAAAGTATTACCTGATCGTTTCGACATATAACCGCTAAAGTTTGCCGTTTTAATAGCCTCATCAGGCGTAATTTCACGAATACCTTCAGTAAAGGCAGATGTCTTCAGCTTTTTCGATCCTGTCAAATTACGAATGTTTTGGGTAGATGTTGTACGTAGACTTTTTAACCTCGAGGCGCCAGGACGGGTGTTGGAGAGATTTGCTTGTGAATCACTAGCAACACGCTTGTTTTCATCCCTCAATGCATCTGTAGATTTTGCCCTCTGTGACACTGATTTCAGTTTTTTTGGTGATAACCCGGCATCGTCTATATGTATTGGTGAACTTGGCAGATCAAGCAACTGTGACCTTCTCTTTGGGGAGTTTGTCATGGAGCTATTTTCGCGTCTTATTTGTGCTGGAGATATTAATTTATCATCATTGGACCAGCCATTCTCATCTCTTTGTAAATGTTTGCTTTGCAATTTGCCTTGTCCTTGGGTTGGTGTGCCATTTGGTTTCTCGCCATCCTCATTGCCCGAGAAGAACGAAAAAAGCGATGAGTGTCTTTTATGATTGTTTGATGCTGAAGGTCTCTTTTGATGAGAGTTGTTATTGGATGCCTGCGATACTTGTCTGCTATGTGATGCTTGATCGTAAACTGAAGAAGGAGGTCTTGAGAACCCATGAGTGGAAGCATTTGTGCGTGTAATGTACAAACCATTAGACTTTTCCTCATTATTAAATTGTGGTTGGCTTCCATATCCAAATTTGTAACCAGAATTGAGAGGACTATCCCCTAGAGGTGGCTGGGGGGCCTTTCTTGGCGAGGCAAACGAAGTCTCAGGATTATGCTTTGATAAATTCTCCACCGAAAGCGACCTATTTCTTAAATGTTTTATTGTTGAGTCTGAGGTATCTTCTAACAAAGCAGAAGGCATGAGTTCCTTTTGATTTTGATTTTCAGTTTCATTTGGTTGTAAAATATTTTGCTTGCTCAAGTTTGCAGCCTTTTCATCTATATCGGGATAAGTTGTATCCTCAGTAGGTGCTGAATTTAAAGTGGAGGAAGTTGTATCGGTTCTATTGATGGAGTTTACTCTTGATTGCAGCTTCAACTTTTGTGATCTAAGATTCATTTCCTTCAATTTTTCAACTTCCTTGTGAATTTCAAATCGAGTACCAAAAGAGTCAATATCCAATTCTTTTAAATGACCCAAATCCATTTCAAATAATATAGCTCCCGTGATTTTATGTTTTGCAAATTTACTAGCAATTTCAGGACTAAATCCTAAAACCAAGGCAAAATACGACGACACTTGCTTTGGAGTCCAAGCATGTGCTTGCAAAGGGTTCAAATCATCAGTCAACGACTGTTCAGATGGATTTCTAGCATGTACTTTATTGTAGTTTGTGTTGGAAGCTACGCTTGATTGTTTTGATTTGTAGTCATTGTTACCACTATTGCCGTATGTTGATTCATTAATTTGATGGCTCTCCCCTTGTATTTCCTTCAACGCTTTGTCAATTTCATCATTAATCATGGTGTCACCATTGGTACTAGTATCGTTAACCGATAGTTTCTCAAACGATTCCTGTAAAGGAACTGGAGTCGAATCTTGAGAAGTATTTGGATTCAATTTACTAGGTATGTTAGGTGCATTATGGGTATTAGGACCATTGTTATTGTTGTTATTATTTTCTATTGAGCTTGTGTTTTGTTGATGATCGCCATTATTGTGCATTTGTTTGCCTGGGGGTGTTAAAACTCTTCTTGATCTCGATCTTAATATAGTCTTTTCCTCATTGTTATTTGCTAATACTTGGGTAAAGCTCTTTGGATAAAGCCCCACAGCACCTGTCAACAAGTTTTTACCCATATACCAACCATCATTGTATTCATGGTCATCGGCTAAAACCTGTATCTTGTCACCAATTTTGAGACTAATTTCATCGCCTAGTCTGGCGTTAAATTGTTTTATACAAACATATGTTGCTCCATCCATCGTATATCTGGGAAAAGGGAGGGTGTGTTATGTGAGATGTGCGTGTGTATGAATGTGTTTGTTGTAAATTTAATTTGTTGTGGGTTCGGGGCAGTTGTGATAATATGTAGTTTATATCTTGTGTCACACCGTAGTTGAGTAGTAGTAATAGTAATTAGTGAGTTCAGGTTATAATCTTTAATGAAGGATCTAAAGTAGATGTATGTTGTATGTTGATGGTGGTGGTGGTGGTGTGTACTATCTTGTTGTTGTTGTTTTCTTATACGCCTCTATTTCTTTCTCATCAAAAGTTATTCTTGTAATTTTTTTTTTTTTCCGTTTTCATTTATTTTAAATTTTCACACACACACACAGACACAGACATAAACATTTCTTTTTTTTTCACTGTCTGTCTGTCTGTCTGTCTGTTTGCATTTTATCTTGTTACATTTTTATTTTATTTTAATTTATTTTGTTTCATACAACACAATAATACACGACCTTTTTCCTAATGACAAAAAAAGTGGAGAGGCAGATAGACACACGGAGATAAACCTTCTTTTTAAACAACCAACCATTTTTAGCACCAAAGGGTATTTAAACTCAAGCATAGTGTAGGTCCTTCTTAAGTTGTAATTGTGTTGTATATGATATTTAATATGTATTTCCATACACGTTTCTGTGTGTCTGTTTCCTCTACTAGAGTACTACACGGCAGGATACACAGACACAGACACAATACAACACGAAAAATATATTGAAAAAACAAAAAATGAAAAGAACGACAACAAATAATAACAAAAGATAATAAGTTTTCAAGGAACAGTTCTAGACCCGCTTTCTCCTCAAGTAGACTCATTTCTTACTTCAATATTCAACAGTGCATTAAATTTAAAGGAAAAGTTATTTTGTGAACTGGTATTCTGTCAAATTTTATACAACAGGTTAAACTAAGCATTTATCGTCAAATGCAGAACAGACAATTAATTCTTTGTTTGTCTCCTTTTGTACCACTAAATTTAAAAGTAATAATGTGTCGTAAAATTAATCACTAGAGATTGACACATATGTCTCTTTTTACGGCGTACTCTCAATAGTAATAAAAGCCTTAATATCTGAAGACAAATTTAAGGTCAAGGTTCGCATGTTACAAAGTGTATGAACTGATTGACTACTTACTAAGAAAAAAAATATCCCATGTTTGAGGTTTATGCCATCAATTTGCACCAATGTTGTACGAAAAACTCTCCCCTTTTTTTTATCGCCATGATGCACTTTTTTTAAAATATGTTAATTGAGTGAAGAGAGAAAACACTCTTAAACCTCTGCAGTTTAAAGTCAAGTTCCTCTTATATCAACATTTTCTACGGTGAAACTTTATTAAGTTTATATATATTTACAAGAGTTTCCCATGGTCACGTGATGTCGTAAATTGCATTATATGTCGTAACACCATATATATATATATATATATATGTATCTCTCTCCCTGTCATTATTTTGTTGAAAAGTTATGATGAAGATTATTTTAATTTTTGCCACACTGAAAAAGTAAAGAGTAAAAAGTAAAAAGATAAAGAGAGACAAAACAAAGAAGTTCAAAAATAATTTAAGGAAAATTTCTTTGATCTTTAATTCAATATATATATTGATTGTACCTTAACTTATACAAAGAAAATTAATTTTATATTCATTTGCAACAACCACTTCCCCCTACCATCACACCACCTTTCTCTTTACTAGGATAACAGTACTTTTGTTGGTTTGAGAAAAGAAGATACAGAGGAAGCAGTTGCAATAAACACTATTGAAGGGTGAAAGTGTATCTAAATACTACATTGTATATCGCAGGCAATAGAACAAAGTGACACACACACACACACATACACACTACAAAGTGATTGATTTGCATTATTCTATTGCTTTGAAAAGTCTACTTCTTAAGTCAAAGAAGCATTGCCATAGAAACTTATCAGACCCATAGTCTACATTTGCAAAAGGATCGTCTACTTTTCCCAACACAACTTAAAGGATGTCAAGCCACAATACGTTTAACAGGGCTTCCAACAGTGAGAAGAGTGCAACAAACCACAAGTCTGAAAATGAGACGGGTAACGATTTTGACGAGTCTCATCTTTCTGATGAAGATGATTCACTCTTACGACTTTCACAGCAAGCACAGCACAGGAAACTAAGCCAACAGCAACTTCTTAATGACGAGCCCATCGAACCACTGGATCCTATTGTCGCAGCTGACAATAGCAGCGCTATAGATGACGACGATTTTGAAAATGATGCAATTGTCGCAGAGGATGAAGACGAAGACGAAGACGAAGATGATGATTCGGCCCACAACGATCCCAATGCAGATGAGGAGTTGGAAATGCTTGAAACCGCAGATTTCTTACGTCAATTAATGCAGGCAAGAAGAATATCAGATATCAACCCAGGATCAGGTGATTCCGGCAACAACAACTACATCAACAGAAGGGATTCTGGTGCCAACGAAGAACAACATACAGAAAGGGACTTGAATGATACTCGGGCCGAATTTCTTCGTGCAATTGGTGCACTTTCAGGTGCAAGAAGAGGTGAGTCGTCTAATGATGCTCCTGCTAACAGAGCGAATGGAGATGCTGATGCCGACGGTGACAGTGGCAGCGGCAGAGGCAGTGGAGGTGGCATTGGCGGCGGAAATGGGCCTGCTGGGTTTGTTGATGTCATGCAAAGATTAATGGGTGGTGGAGTAATGTTTGGTGGTAACCCCAGCGAAGGTGAGAACATCGGAGCACTCATCAATAACTTGGAACAGAGAGAGGATACTTATATTATGCTTGAATCATTAAATCAAATTTCAGAAAACTTGCTAATGATGAATGGTTTAACAGCTGAACGTTTGATACCATCTAATAGATTGGCCAGAAGTCTAGTAAGTATAATGGATGATCCAAAGCTAGAGGATGAACTTGAATTACACTTGGTGGCATGCCGTTGCTTATACAACTTTTTAGAAGTTAATCAAGACTTCATCCATGATGCATTGAACAATAATGCTGTATCGGCATTGTGCAACAAGCTATTGGAGATAAAGTACATTGACCTTACCGAACAAGCATTACAGACACTTGAAATGATTTCAAGAGACCCCATTTCACACAACAGTATTATTTTGAATAGCGGATTGACAGCCTGTTTACAGTATCTTGATTTTCTAACTGTGCATGCTCAACGAAAGTGTTTAAGTATTGTGTCCAATTCTTGTACCAATATTTCGATATCGAACTTTGGAAAGGTCAAGGAAGCATTCAATGGTATAACCGATGTTGTTAGAGCTCATAATGACCAAAATGTGGTTGAAAATGCTTGGATCACAATTGCAAGAATTATTGAGTGCTTTAAAAATAAACCCGAATACTTGAATGAGCTCTTTTTAGGCAAAGAGTTGTTTTTCAAAGAATTGGTTAATGTCATTCTTGTTAGTTGCAACAAGTCGCTGAACACGAGTGCCGAGTCGGAACAAGTTGCTTTGTCTTATAGTTCATGCCTAAGTTTGATCCGATCATTGACAATATTAACCAGTGTTAGCATTGAGGTTTCCAAGATTTTATTGAGCGATTGTGACATTGGATCTATGATTGTAAAGGCATTAAATAAGTTTGCAAGATCGAGGGGTAATAAGTCAGGCGATGCAGTGAAACAAGAAGATGATGGTGCCACAGTTTCAATCGAAGCGTTGTTGGCAGCTCCCAAGGAACTAGTGTCTCAATTTTTGACATTGGTTGGTTATTTGTTGCCAATAAATTATCCACCTTCAAAAGCACTCTACTTGAAACCTGACTTTGAAGATTACGAGGAGAAAGAAAACATAAACCACAAAAGAGTTGAATTATGTACTGAGATCATTCACGACGATTACTGGAAATTTGTTAACGAAATTTGGACTTTTCTGATTTACAGCATTCAAGCAACAACCGATGTTGATATTAGGCGAAGAGGGTTTATCAACTTGTACCGAATTGTCAACTCTATAGAAGAGACCCAACTAGGACAAGTCAAGCATCATGAGCTTGTTTCTGGGCTCTTGGCTTCCGTTGTTAATCAATATCAACCGCAGGTTTTGCAAGGGTTGAAGCAAATATCGAATACCCGGAAACATGATGAGGATGTTGATATGCGGACCAGTGATCTCGAAGACTTTGATGACAATCAAGATCAACTTTCTAGTGGGGGAAGACATGATAATGGAAGTGACGAAGAGATGGATGATGGCACGAGTGAAATTGAAGAGGACGATGAAGAAGAACATGAAGACGAGGAAGACGAAGAAGATGAAGAAGACGAAGATGACGAGGATGGGGATGAAGAAGATGAAGAGGAAGAGGAAGATGATGAGGAAGATTACCCGGTGGTTACGAATCGCACCGAGGATGTCAAGAGCCTTAACTCAACAATGTTGATGCTAAGTGCATTAGAAATACTAAATGTTCTATTGAAAAAGGCCCCCAGCGTTTACTTACAACCCTTTGAAAGAGAAGGTTTGATGAAGGATGTTGCATTAATTTTGAAAAGCTCTTTGTCTGTAAAAAAGTTGTCAAGCTTGCAATCATCGCAGAATCATTTCCTGGCCTCATTTGCAAACAAATACATTGATGTTGAGTTCACCAAGGAATACGAGTTTAGATCCTCAATTAAAGACGTCTATCTGAAAATTAAAGCAGCAGCATCAGAGATCAACAAAGAATACAATAACGAAAAGATGTCACAAAGTAGTGAGCTATCTGAACATATGCAAATATTGTATCAAGTAAAGGATATTTTATCTGACACAAGGACTACCAAATTGTTTACGTATGACCAGTGGTTACAAGTTTGGGAACAGTTCAAGTTTTCCTTACAAGGTGCATCAAAGAAAGTGCATATTTCAAGTTTTGAGCTTATTTCTTCGGGAGTTATTACTCTGTTGACAGATTTGTTGACTTCCAATGACTCGGAATATGTTTTTGAATCTAGTCCCTGTTACCGTGCATTTATTGATTTGTTTTTCACTGATGATTGCTCCGATGCCAAATCGTTGGTACATCAATTACTTGAAGCTTTGACGAGGTCCGAATCGTTTGAAATTGTTTCAGCAGGAAGTCACAACTACCACTCTGCTTCATCTCGTGACCAGCAACAAGCAGCATTGATGGCAAATCAAATCAAGTTAAAGTTGAATTTAGATGGTGATTTGGGTGATCTCAAGATGCCAACTAATTTGCAAAATATGGTGGTGTCCGTGCATGCCATAGCTACATTTAAATCGATTCTTTCATTCTTAAAGCAGAGATTTCAATTTATGGAGCAGTTGAGCAATTTGGGGTCCAATAGAGGATCAAGTGATGATGCAGAAGCAGAAGGCAAGAAATCTGATTTTAGTTTGGAATTCTTGATTAATGGTGAAGTTATCCCTCTTGAAACGACCATATATGGTGCCATCTATAGATCAGCTCAAATCAAGCCGGATGAAATTGTTGATCCGAAAAAGATTTGGACAGGTGTTCATCAAATAACTTTTAGAAAAGTTAGTAGCGAAGTGAGTAACGAAGACGTTTTTGGCAATTACAATGGTACTGTTGATGATTCTGAGTTGACCACTTATGATGAGACAACAATTGGAGTTTTACAACTTTTGAAAGCTTTGTTTAAGATGAACACATTTGTGCATCATGGTGGTAGGCGAAGTGTACCCGTCAAAGATTTCATCAATTGGAAATTAACGGCGAAATTGAATAGACAATTGGAAGAACCTTTGGTAGTGGCTAGTGGCACATTACCTGGATGGAGCATACATTTGACAAAACAGTTTCCGTTTATATTCCCATTGGCAACACGGATATTCTTTTTCCAGTCTACATCGTTTGGCTATTCTCGTTTGATCCATCAATGGCAATTGAGAACGAACCAGGATTACGAAGATAATAGACGAAATGAGAGCACAAGCAACAATTCTGCTTATAATCAAAGACCACAATTGGGAAGACCAAATAGACACAAGGTGAGAATTTCGAGAAAGATGATGTTGCAAAGTGCTTTGAAAGTGTTGGGCATGTATGGAACGACACCGGGCATTTTGGAGATTGAATATTTTGATGAGGTTGGATCTGGACTAGGACCAACATTGGAGTTTTACTCAACTGTATCCAAGGAGTTTTCCAAGCGTAAGTTGAAGTTGTGGAGAGATGAGAATAGGTACGATGGTGATGGTGATGGATACGTGGAGAATAAGAATGGCTTGTTTCCATCTCCAATGGATAAACAACAGGTTAACAATGAGAACGGGAAAAAGATTTTGTATTTCTTTTCATCACTAGGCAAGTTTATTGCCCGGGCTTTGTTGGATTCGAGGATTATTGATTTCAATTTCAATCCTGTTTTTCTCAAGTTGGTGCAACTTATAAACCAAAAGAGTACTTCACAATCACAACCATGGAACCAAAAAGTGATGAAAAAGATTGTTTCCTTGCAGAATTTAAAAATGGTTGATCCTGAATTGGCCAAGTCTTTACTGCATTTGCAAAAGTATGTTAATGCGTATGTCACGGTTCCTAAAGAGCAAAGAAATTTTATTGAAATTGATGGTGTCACAGTTGGCGAATTGGGAATTTATTTTGAATTACCCGGGTACCCCAAATACGAATTGATACCAAATGGCAGTGATACATTAGTTGAAGCCGATAATTTGGAGCTCTACATTACCAAAGTTCTCGAAAATACTTTATTTACGGGTGTGATTCATCAAGCCAAGGCGTTTATGGATGGATTTTCCAAAGTGTTTCCCATTAGTTCGTTGGTTATATTTTCGCCGCAAGAATTGGTTGAATTATTTGGCAATTGTGAAGAAGACTGGTCGTTTGATGCATTATCATCAGCAATTGTTGCTAATCACGGGTATAATAAAGATTCACCCGAAATCAAGGATTTGATCAATATTTTAATTGATTTCAATTTAGAAGACAAGCGACAATTTTTACAATTTCTTACTGGATCGCCCAAGTTGCCCATTGGCGGGTTTAAGGCGTTACGTCCAGAATTGACTGTGGTTCGAAAACACGCTGAAGATGGGTTGAAGGATGATGATTATTTACCTAGTGTTATGACGTGTGCCAATTATTTAAAGATCCCCAAGTATTCAAGTAAGGAAGTTTTGCGAGACAAATTGTTGCAAGCGGTTAAAGAAGGAGCTGGGGCATTTTTGTTGTCGTAGAGGGAAGAAGTAAAGGTTAGGTTTATGTTTATGTTTATGTTTATGTTTAGATTTAGTTTCTTTGGTTTGGAGCAAGAGAAAGAAGGGGGAGCGGAGGTAAATAGCATATTATAAATTATTTGAATGACGTGCGGCTTTTCATATTTTAACTCTTTTTTTTTAGTGTGTCAAAAGTAGTAGTAATTAGTGAGACTTTTTTTTTGAGTCAACGAAGGGAATGCAATTACCACTCTGAGAATAAAGACCTCATTCTTCCAAACCACTACGTCACAACTTACAACACATCTACAATGTCAGTCAAGTTTGAAGAATTGATCACATCATTGATCCAAAGTGCCCCATCGACCGAATTACCCGAAGTCATCCAATCGTTAAAGACTATATCCGGTGCATCCAAATCCACCATTGACGATGCATTGGCAGCATATATCAAGAACCACCCTATAGCTGTATCCGATTATATCATCAGCTCATTGAACAAAGACCCGCATTCATCCAAGTACATTGATTACATCAAGGAAGAGAAATTTACTTTTGATATAACCAAGCAAGAGATTGTTGATGTTGAATCGTATACCCCTAAAGTATCAGTTGATTCGCAATTGGTTTCGAAATTGCAACAATACGGCGATGATTATTTCCAGGATTATGCATTTACCATCATTCCTGAATCATCGCAAGATGCTTATACGATCATTATACTTGGTCAGAAATTAAATCAAGATAATTTTTACACAGGGATATGGCATAGTCAATACAAGATCAATGGTGATAAAATCACAGGTGCGATTGATTTAGATATTCATTATTTTGAAGACGGCAATGTGCGTTTGAAATACAATGAGGCTGATGTATCTGGTACTGGTATGACAAGTGCTAGTGATGTCGTTAATTTTATAAATCAAGCTGATAATGCTATTGAATTGAAATTGATTGACCAGTTTCAACATTTGAATCAACAATCGTTTAAGAATTTGAGAAGATTGTTGCCGGTGACTAGGTCTAAGATTAATTGGGGTAGTGCTATTGGAAACTATAGATTAGGTTCGGATGTAGTCAATAAGAAGTAAATGTTTTGATCTTTAAGATTTGATTTGATTGAATTGTTAGTTTTGTTTTGTTTTATTCTGTTCTGTTCTGTTCTGTTATGTTATGTTTTAATTTCTCGTAAATAAATAAGGGTTGACTTCTAACTTGTATTAGTAACTCCATAACCAAGGACAGATGATAGACACCATCCTCACCAACATCATTTCCGCCATCTAAAACAATTTAAACAACATCCAAACAACAAAAAACGCCAACAAAATGATCCCCACAATCCTTGTCAACCCAGCATTTCTATTCATCACATTGGTCAAATTACCCAGTGTCTGTTTAACCAGTTGCATCAAACTAGAGAAGTTTTCATTCAATTGATGTAAAAGCCCCGATTCTTGTTCTATTGAATCATGTATATCATTGTTTACTGTTGTTCTAAATTGATGTAATGTGTTGGCTAGCTGTTCGAATTTTTGGTTGTTTTGTTGTTCGCGGTGGGAGTAAAGGTTGCTGCTCATTATATGAAGTGAGGTGGGGTGGATATATAGTGGTTGCTTTCTGTTGAGTTTGCTGGAAAGGGAAGTTCTTTAAAGGTTCTCAACAGATGACCACAGGGCAGTACGTGCTTTTCTTTTCTTTTTTCTTGGCTTTTCATTTTGTCCTTCTGCGCTTTCGCTCTCCGGTGTAATAAAGGTATGAAGGTCTTGCAATATACCTGTACAAGAAACTAAATTCGTAAATGATGGATGTGTTTCAATTAAAGTCTACATCCTATACACTAATATCCAGAGTTACCAAAACCAGCGCTAGTGTTTTGTTGGTTTATATGTTGAGGATTGGGGTATGGGGGAAACTGTTGACCACTAAATTGAGCATTGTAACCTGTATTCTGCTGATACTGTGGTTGCGAAGCTGGTGGTTGTTGTTGCTGTTGCTGTGGGTGTGACTGTGATTGGGCAATATGATTGTACTGCTGTTGTTGTCCCGTAGGTTGCTGCAAGGATGGATGATGATACTGAGATTGTGGACCTGTTGCTTGTTGTTGATACTGCAAGTGAGTTGGTTCTAGTGCCTGCGGCTGTTGTTGTTGTTGTTGTTGTGGGAGTATCTGCGGTACCGTATGCGACGCAGCAGGATATGGAAGTTGGCTGTATGTACTTCCATTACCTTGTTTTGACCTATTACTAATCAGCTTATCCAACAACTCATTATATGACTTGACTTCGGAGTTCAATTGGGTATTCAATACACCCAATTCTTCTTGACGAACACTGTACTTATCTATAAGGCTACCCAATTGAATTCTTGACGATATAACATTATTGTATAGCTCAGTGACTTCATCTTCATTGATCAGTGATATGTCATTAGTAGACAAAATAGCTAATAACCGATCAATTTGTTTCTGATCCACATTCAACAATTTATTCTCCAATTCATGTTCTCGTGCCAACTCCTGTGGCGACTTGTTTACTATTGGAGTCACATAGTTCAAAGGAAAAATCCCAATTTTCCCGTTGGGTAATGATCCTCTCCACCAATCTCTATAAACTGACTCAATAACAGTAATCACATCCCCTTTCCTGAATGAGAGTTCATCCTCCTCATACGATATCAAATCATACAAAGCTCTAACTTTTGATACTGTTGCTACCGTCTGTGCTTCTTCCGATGCGGCCGGAGATGCAGCTCGTTGTTGACCTTGCGGTTGTTGCAGTTGATCACCACCCCTTGACTCTGGCAAGGGCTTGTTGTTTAAATATTGTTTCTTTAAATTCTGCTCATTCTCATACTCCTGCAATGACACTTTCAATACTCGTTGTAACTCTTCATCTTCCTTGTTCTTATCCTGTTGTGTTCTTTCTTGCTTTGCCGGCTTACTAGGACCTTGTTGGGCTTTAAAATATTGTGGATAATCGGTCTTTACTAAATTGTATGCATCATTCATTGGTTTCAATGATGGATCAGACTTGAAGCTCTTGTTCAATTGTTCAAGCACTTCAATTATTCTGTATTTGACAGTAATGTGTAATTTCTTGTCCAGCAATTTTTTGATAAGACAGTCTTGTAGAAAAGATTTACTGGCAATCTCTTGTTTCATTCGAGAACCGCAATTTTCAGCTATCGATACGAGCAACGATAATGATCTCAAGATTGTATTTGCATCCTTTGTAGATGTGATTTTTGTTTTCAATAAATTGACGGCTCTATTAGTTTCCAATTCAGGGTTAGATGATATCTTATCACACACATCAAGAATGTATTGCCAATTATCTGATGTAAGTGTAGGGTCAGTAGCCTTATTTATTAATGCATCTAATGAGGTCATGGTTGTGTTAGTGTGTGTTAGTGTTAGTGTTAGTGTGTGTTAGTGTTAGTGTTAGTGTGTGTGTGTGTGTGGTTAAGTATATTTGAGTCCAAAAGGTGATATTGCCACTTTGCTGATTTTGTTTCCTTTCGAATGATGTTTAAAGCTATATCGCTTTTTTATTTCCACACATTGTATGCAGTACTATACAAATTTAAATTTGGTTGCAAAATAGTTAATGCTTAAAACCATAAGTAAGCCTGGCATGAGCGACCACAATGAAAATGGAAGTCCATTGAAGGAAGTTCAACTTGCAACCAAAAAGACATGTTTCATTTTGCAAGATTTTCATCTCAATGTAGTTCAAATTGGCAGGGGGAAGGGGGAAATGAATGTGAACTCCATCTGATCTGGTTGAAACTGAAATGAACGACAAGATAATCAAAAAGAAAGGGCATAGTTATTTAATATTTATGTAGAGTAAAACTTGTAAAGCTGCCACCTGTTCTACAATTACTAAGTTGATGGCTCTTAAAAACACATAGCAATGTATCCCATAGAAAATTATTGAGACAGTTGGTAGCTCAAAATTCTCTCCTATTTTCATGCTCACTTTTAGAGATGTTTTATTTTGTGTTTCAATTTTGCTGTTGTTTTGATTTCTCTAGCGGAGACTACAACAATAACAATTAGTCTTGTGATGGAGATGCAGATGAAGAAGATGATGTCATGTGAGAGTTTTGTCTGAGCCACCGCAGGAACAAACGAACTAACTACCCCTATATCTCAGAACTAAAAGCATTTTTTACAATTACAATAAAATATTGTTAATCAGTGTTAAAACAGGTCCCAATAGTATCTTGTTAAGAAAATTAAAGTAGTATATGGCTTTAATGGCCTCTTTGAAGCCATTGCTTCCATTTTTTCTATTAGACCCTTTCTTGTTCTCTTATTATATACTGTATATCATAAAACAGTCGTGGTTATGTTACCTGCCAAAAAACAATTGAATTTTGACTGAAAAAAAATATCAAAAATCACAATTGATGATGTAATTGTAGGCCAATACAGTTCGTTATATAAAGAAAAACGAAAAGGATAATAACTAAATAGGGTATAAACTAAGTGGTTGTGTTGGTGTGTTGGTGTGTTATTGTGTTATTGTAAGTAAATGAAATTACTTACTGACTAGTTCAAAAACTGATTAAAGTGTAATTTGGTATTTAGTGTAATATATGAAAATTAAAAAGGATCTCTCTCTGTCTCTCACTAAAATATTCTCTATCTTTTGTGATGTATACGTAAATTGTTTATTATTATTCTTATTACTACTATTACTACTATTACTACTATTACCACTATTACTATTAAATAATAAACGATATACACGATATACTTTTACAAATTGGTGTTTTTGTTGTTCTTGTTGTTGTTTTTATTTTTTTTTTTATTTTTCTCTCCTCCTAAAAAAAAACAAAAACAACAAAAATTTTCATCTCTCCTTTTCTCAATATCTGACATCTGTTAGTATACACCACATACACACTAACACACTAACACACACACCAACACACTTACTTTTTTTTTTTTCTTATAAAACAAAGTACATATTTCTCATCTGTGTTTATTCTATCAAAGTGTACCTTGGTATTTCAAGAGAATAGACAGTCTACTCCATTTCCTTTTTTCTTTTTTTTTATTTACTGTTTATTTGAAGTATGAGTTCCTCGGCATCTTCAACTTCAGCAAAGAAAGAAGGACATTTGTCGCCAACATCACCACTGCCACAACAACAACATCGCCATCGTTCAACTTCATCGGTAGGTAGGATACCTGTGGGGGATACTTCACCTTCGTTGTCAACTATGGATACTACCAAGGCTTCAAGAAGAAGATCCAGTGCTAGAAGAGCTGAATTAAAGCGTGAAACCAAGTCCGATTGGGGTATTGCAAACCACCTTTTAATTGGGTTTAGAGAGTTGGTTTATAGACAAACTTGGATTGTTCCCCTTTTGGTTTTGGTGGCTGCTTTTGGAACGTTTTTCCTTTCCAGTCCAACGGGGAAAACTCACAAGTTTTTGCAAGATATGATTGTTCCATCATATCACATCCCGGGAACTGACCAGTATGGAAAGGGGGCCAATGACTTCAAATTTGTTGGATTCTATGCAATTTTTTTCACTTTTTTAAGGGAATTTATGATGTGCTGTGTTTTGAGACCCATTAGTAATTATCTTGGTGTTAAAAAAGAAGCTAAACAAAAGAGGTTTTTGGAACAGACTTATGCTATGTTCTACTATGGATTGAGTGGTCCTATTGGTTTATGGATCATGTCGAGAACCCCATTATGGTTTTTTGAAACAACACCAATGTACCTTGAATACCCACACAAGACCCATGAAATTTACTTTAAAGTTTTCTACTTGGGTCAAGCAGCATTCTGGGTCCAGCAATCGGTCATTCTTGTTTTACAATTGGAAAAACCAAGAAAGGACTTTTTTGAATTGGTGTTGCACCATATCATCACTATTGCTTTAATTTGGTGTTCGTATAGATTCCATTTTACATGGATTGGTATTGAAGTTTTTATCACAATGGATGTGTCTGATTTCTGGTTGGCTTTGTCGAAAACGCTAAACTATTTGGATTCAAAGTTGACGGGACCATTTTTCGTATTTTTCATTGGTGTATGGATTTATTTGAGACACTATATCAATTTGAAAATCTTGTGGTCGGTTTTAACCGAGTTCAAAACCGTTGGTGAATGGGAGTTGAATTGGGAAACTCAACAATATAAGTGTTATATCTCACAACCAATCACCTTCTTTTTAATCTTTGCTTTGCAGTTGGTCAATATTTACTGGTTATTCTTGATTTTGAGAATTTTATCCAGATATGTCTTTTCTGGAGAACAAAAGGATGAAAGAAGTGACGATGAGGACGAAGAGGAAGATAGCAGTAACAACGAAGAAGAAAAGAAGGAACAATAGACTAAATAGCTAAATAATAATTAATTTTTCTAAAATATTTCACATTTCACATTTCACGATTGACTGTATATATGACTCTGAGTCCAACATGCAAAAAAAGCATCAAAAAACAAAAATTGTCGCAGCATGATCCCAAGTGTAAACAAACAAACAGAGCAACAAACCATTCGCCACACATGTCTTCAAAACTACAAGCTTTAAGCAAGGATGAACTAATACAGAAGGTATTAGAATCAGAAGCGATATTGAATGAGTTCCAAGAGTCAAGTAAAGATCTAGAAAAGGCATTAGAGGATGAATTGCAAGAGTTGGAAACGACAAAGATGAATCTCGAGGATCAAGTCATCAGCTTAAAGAATCAATTACTTACATCAAGACAACAGAATTTAGACCACGGTAAAGAACTAGATAAGCTTCAGGATCTTCTATTAAACAAGGATCAAGAAATCATGGGTCTACAGCAGAAGATAGTCAAGATTGAAATTGCCAACGCCTCGATGGAAAGTCAGGATCGCATCATGCTCAACAAATACGAAGTACAACAAACTTTTAACAACGAGCTACTAGAAAAGTTGGCGATTCTAGAAGATGAATTAGACAGGGCCAAAAGACAAAATTCAGAGAGGCAATTGCATATAACCAACTATAAAATACAAGTTCATGATTTGCAGGAAACAATTAAGCAACTAGAAGCCGACCAACATAGGGATTGTGATGCCCTGTTTGTTAGTATGAAGGATGTGTTGAAAAGTACACCACCGCCGAATGTCCTCCGAAACGTCACCAATACGACGACTTCACAAAGTAAAATGAAAAAATCAGATTCATTACAGAAACTTAAAAACTTGACCCGAGATATTGACATATTCCTTGGCAAACAAGATCGACTGGACGATCTATCAGCTGACAGCTTAAAAAGAATGTCTACTTTAAAGGCACCGTCACTGACTATATTGACAATTCTGGATGAATCGGCATACATAAACACCCACAAGAAAACCAAACGGCTTTCCTATAGCAAGCGATACTCCCAGTTACCTTCCATTACTGGAAGCCCAAAGGCAACACCACGACAGAATTGAGGTTAGTTAGGTTGGGTTAGTTGGCTTTCAATGTGAATAGTTTTGTAGAGTGAATAACTGCTACCATGCAAATTCCCCAAAACACGTAGGCTGTCTGTTTTCATTTTTTTTTTCTTTCTCCCTCCTTTGCCAACTGAGTAACCCCTCCATTCAACGAAATAATCAATGGATTCGTTTAATGATATACTCAAGAGGTTCGACAATGGTGAAATATTCACCTACCTCGTCGATATGAGCAGAAAGCTTTCCAAAGAGGAAGACTTGAACGAATCTGATTATCACACCTATCGCGATCAAATGAACCAACTTATAGACGAACAAAGAAAAAGACAACCACAACCAATTGCCAAAAAGAAGAAAGGAGATGCTACTGCTGCTGGTGCTGCTGCTCCAGAGCCCAAAGTACAGTCATCAATGAATGTGTTTAAATTAGTTTCGAGAAACTTGGTTCTTGTACTACGTGTGCTAACGTCGAAAACTTACGACATGGCTAACCTGTTGTTGAATGATGTGAATTTGGATGAGCATGGAAGTTTGCGACAACTGTCTAAAGTGGCTATCAATATTCTTATTGACCTATTTGACCATTTCCCCAGTCAATTGGGATCATTGATTAGCTTTTGCGTGGCTCAGATTTACAAGATTTTGAAAAAGGATCCAAATATCGACAGCGATTTGGTTTATTTGTTGTATTCAGTTTCCAAGCATGCAACTAAACAAGACATTGACGAGAAAATGTACAGCAAGTTGATCAAAATTAGCACAAAGTCGATTCTACAAGAGACCATCTCGTTTGATATAGAGGATGAAAAATGCTCATCTACAGTACTCATGAAGAGGAATTACACCCAGTGTCACAAGAATCTTTTAGTTTTGAGTGTATCTAGCCACTATGAGTCGTTATTGGAAGCGTCAGCTAGCTCTAGCTCTGCTGGAGCTAAAATGAAACCAGAGGCAATCATGTCACAACAGCACCATTTTCAACAGAACATCCTAACTACACAAGAAAACGTTTTTGAGTATTGTTTGTCAAGCCCTCTTCAAGAAATACGGGTTGCTGGTATAGACTTGTTAACTAATGTTCTCATAAATTTTATTCCAACGGGTAATTTCAACCCGGTTGAGTATTTGATTAGGTTTTACCCATTACCTGATCAAAACAACTGGGATACAAGCTTGTCTGTCAAACTAGACATTAATGGGGAACCATTAGTAGAAACAAAGAAGGAGAAAAATTCAATAGCTAATCACGATAGCCAGGCCATTATTAACAACCTGTTGGAACGAAACCTTTTGCAATCAAGCATAGCTGCCAGTATTATATTCTACATCCAAATGGAACAATTCCAAAACCCCGAATACTTGTCCACCAACTTGACAAACATTTTGCAGTTGGTACTTTTGAAATTTGATGATTTGGCCTGTGACAACAACAATACCATTCACATTCAAGATACAAATTGGAACAAGACCTTGAGAAATTGGAAGATAGTTCTCGATTATATCGTTAAGGAGACTGGCTCTGCTGCTGGTGATATTTTAGCAAGTTACTTGTACTCAAAATTGAATGTCAATGTTAATAAACCGTCTGAGTCGCAACATGGCGAAAGCACTGAACCATTGTCGTTGAATAGGGATAGAAAAAGGGAGTCAAGGATATTTGGATTCAAGACGACGAAATTGTCCAAGAGGAAAACGACTGGTTCGGATATCAACGTTTACACAAACCCTTATCAAGCTTGTCTCGTTTTGTCCGTTATTGAACACATAATTCCCTCCGGAGTAGACATAGAATCATCAGAGGAGAGATCTAAAGATGAGGAGAAAAATAGTATAAATGAAATGGACGATGATTTGGAATTGACCAATAGCGCTGATGCTAGAGGGTTGTCCTTTTTAGAAAATACGTTGTTTACGCTAATTGCCAATGTCAACTTTTATACCCGCAACTACGCCATAAAGACATTGCTCACTTATGCCAAATTCAATCCCGCTATAATCAACCAGTTGATCTTATTTGCATTTAAATTTGTTGATCAAGAGCATAAGCACTCCGATAAGACATCCACAAAGGGTTACCACAACACATGCAGCATCTCATCGGTGAGGCTTCTCAATTATTCGTTGGCTTTGCTGTCTTTAATCAAGCAAACTGACCCGGCATTACTTCAAAATACCATCATTGTTAGAATATTGAGTTTTTGTACCCAAAATTTAAAACACAGTGGGAACTCGAATATCAAAAATTCAAGTTGTTGGATAATTTTATCGTCGTTGGTGTCGTTGTACAACTTTTCCGAATATGTTAAATTGAATTCGTCGCAGTTTTTGATTTTTTGGAAGAGCTTACTTACGTCGCAGTTTCTTGGCAACACAGTCAATTCTAACTTGTCAGGACAACATGATCAGACAAATGAAGTTATTTCGAATTTAAAAGTGAGAGCTTTTGCCTTGGTGTGTTTGCACAATTATTTAAAGTCGGTCGATTTGACTCCCGAGTCATTTAAGCAAATTCTGTTTTTATTGACAAAGTCATACAATTACTTGTCACATTTGGAGAGTAATATTGAAAATGTAAGTTTGGTGACGACTTTAAACGCATCTTATTTCAATGACTACGACTACAATCCCAACCTTCTTAACAATATACTATATTCCAATCATTCCTTCAACAAGCAATTGTCGTCGGAAAAAATGATTGTTAGCTTGGTGTTTTACAGCAAAAAAGTGATTTTACAGAGTTACAAGGAGATTGCCAGCTCCCTTAAAAGTGAAATAAATTCTAATTTGGTTATTTTCCTCATCAAAATTTTCAGTGATCACAGAATATTTTCGAGAAATCTCTCTACCGAGAGTGATAAGTCAACAAAGAATAAACTAAAGTATCCATCGTCGCATGCAAATGCGATTGACGAGTCGATAAACTATTTCAATGAGGACTACAACTACAGTTTTGGCTTGACTAGCAAATGGCCATTTAGAGCGAAATCAGCAAATGCTCTAACCCATTCATCAGCTGAAGCAGAAGGTGTTTTTGCATTGCATAAGAACAAAGAAGCGTCATATTGGTTCCACTGTTTTGAACGAGTTGCGCTTTCTTCTACAACTCAGTCGGTCATTTTTGATCCAAACGATTTCGTGACTAGTGATATGCCCTTGACTGGTGAACCTTCTTCCATGCTTATGACTTCGTTGGTCGATCTTGCCATAGATTTATTTGAAACACTGTTTGCTCACTTGACGAGCAAGATTCAATTTTCGTTGTTGGAACAAATTCGGAATTCACTCACGGCGCATCAAGTTGATGTATTAAGATTGAAAGCTATTATGTTGAATGTATCAATTGCTATGCATGGCGTGGTTAGAACAATGTCGGAGAAGGAGTTGACGTTAGAGATTGGTGTTGCTTCAACCTTGATTGACGTGATCAAGAAGGTCAGTCTCAGGAATGCTGACCTTATTGTTATGAATGCCGAGACCTTGGGACTAATTTCACTCCTTATAGATAAGGACGATGTTCACGGAGTTATAACTAATCTTACAAATGATGTTGTCACTGATGAAAATCCTTTCCAGAGAGGCTTTTCGGTGCTTTCATTGACTAATATTTATTTAAGGCGCAAAATCGGGTTTAAGGAAACATACCACATTTTAGCCCAATTAGTCAATGACCCAAATCCTGTTATCTACTACTTTGTTTTGCAAGGTCTTGTACAGATTTTCGAAACAAGCTCGGACATGTCATCATTGGCACCACATATTTTGGACAAGCTTTTCAACAATTACTTGAATAATAGTTTCGGTTATGATCTCAATAATAAAGTGTTGGTCAATCTTAAAACTAGATTTGGCTCAGTTGGAGTAATGGCAAAATTGTTGCAATTAATCATTACATCATTGGGGCCAGCATTGAGGGAATGGCAATATCGCGACAAGGTTGGATTGAGGAATCTTATTGTAGCATTAAGCTACGGCATCGGATTAGCTACATTGGATGACTACATCAAAGTGTATCAACAATTGATGGAGCTCTTCAAAGAGTTGATTATATTTGACTCCAATTTAATTGAAGGTGAGATTGGTGTGTTTACAAAGTTGTTGAACTTGATCATTTCCAAAAATCTAAAGATTGCAATAGCCAGTGTTTCTCCAACTTCGTTAAATACTGATTCAATATTTCCGTTCACAACAAGTTTTGATTTATATTCTTCCGCCTACAGTTGTTACTACGAACTTGTAAAGATATTTGGTGTTGGGATAATTTCCCAAGAGACTGAGTACTTGTTTTGGGTATCGATGAATATAATTCCATGTCCTGAATTGGAGCGACTCGTTTTGCTTTGGATGGAGTGCAGTTTGGACAAGAACTGGTTTAACACATTAAACACCTTGCTCAAGTCGAGTATGAAGAAATTGGTTGATCCATTTCTTGAATCGAATTATCAGCAAAAGCTTTTACCATTGAGCCAGCGACAAAAGAAACACAACAAGAGTAATGTCGTCGATTTTAAAGATGAAGAAAATGAAGTCATTGTGGATGAAGACGAAGAAAAGATGGAGAAAAACGAACCAATCACGTTGAAATTTAGATTGTTTATTTACGATGCATTGAATCATTTGTTATCGTTGGCGTACAAGAATCCCAAATTAGTTGAGCGGCTAAAGAGCAAAATTGCTGAAATTGTCAAGCTTTCATTCTTGGGTTCTACTTCGCCAATTCTTGACTTGAAATTGAAAGGCCTCGACTTGTTGAACTCGGCGTTGGAATTGTTTGGTGATATTGAAGATCCATTGTACCCATCTACATCGATTCTAGAACAGCAACAAGCTCAAATAATCAGTGCTTTGGTTCCCTGTTTTACCCCGGGCAATGACTACAAGGTAATTATCCATGCCATTGGTGTGTCTTCGAATTTCATTAATTTACCCCGTATCAAGTATTACTCCAAGCAAAGAATTTTGAAAACATTGATACAGCTATTGGAGGAGGTTTCATCTAATAAGTATTTGAAATTTGGGTTTTTGGAAGATATGTCCGAGTTTGGTAAGAAGAGTATCCAGTTGGCTATTTTGAATTGTTGGGCATTGTTGAGAATTGAAGCCTATGAGGAAGCCGACCAGAATGAAGTGGATTTTGAAGAGGTTTTGGAAAGGTATTCTGAATTGTTGATTTCGTTGTGGATATTATCTTTGAGGGAGTTTTCTATTGTTAAATACAGTGAATCTTCAAGCAGAGAGCTTGAGATTTACGGCAACTATTGGATTAATTTGGTGACTGTCTTGAGTTTGGAAACGGAAACAAATTTCACTTTGATCAATGATTCACTTTCAGGAGATGGTGAAAACTTTTTCTTTATATTATTCAGCCAATGCATTGAGTCGTTGATTAAGAACAGAAATGTTGTGCCCATCTTAAAGTCGTTGGGTAAGTTGATGCGCATAAGCAGCTTGGTTGACTTGTTGTTCAATGACCACATTTTTGGCGAGTTGATTGATGTTGTTGATCGATTGATTTTGGTCGAGGAGGATGCAGAAACCCAGTGTTTGTTATTGGACAGCATGGAGGCAGCATTCCGTACTTATATATCATCTCATCAGTCTGATTTGGAGTCCGGGTTTGATAAATTGTTTGAACTAATTAGAGTCACAATGATACCTTTATTCAGAATCTTGCCTTTCCTCAAGTCTGATTTTGATAATAGCTCAGATAATTATGATGCATTACTTAAAAATGCCGAAGGAGCACCAAATCTATTAATTTTGAAAAAGACATTTGAGAATTTGGTCAAGATGATTACTTTATTCCCAGATGTTGTAAAGAAGGACCTATATTCGTGTCTCCTTTATATTTTTGCCAAGGTTTATGAGAGCAAAAAGGTGTTTTTGATTTCGGTTATTCTTCCATATTTGAAACAGGTGGTTACAGACAGCAAGCAGCTTGGTACTGATTTTGTCACGCCGTTTTATGTCGTTGTTTCAAAGTTTTACACCATCAATGCCGAGGAAAATTATACAATCTTGACTACGGTCGTGCTTGTGACATGTGGAGATATACAACTAGATGCTGAGAAATCAAGACAATTAAGTAAGGGCTTACTTCAACTATTGCTGGATGAAAAAACGGCCTCGTTAAGCTTACAATGCATCAAATCCCTTATTCAGCAAAACAGGACGCACACTGACCTTGTGTTGAAAGATTTGATAGCTGACCTCGTTAGTAATGTAACAGGTGTTAATTCACACGCAGGTATCAGCTCCAAACTATCACTTGAGATATTGATCTTGTACTCCAAAAATTTGGTAGACGACAAAAGAAAGTTGACGGCAATGTACTCTCTTTTGCTACCAATATTGATTAAAAGTGAAGTCGAGGATAAGCTATACACACGTGACAAGCTCCTATTTTTGATCAAGCAGGATTCGTCTGTGTTTAAAGAGGTTGTCAATAAATACTTGACCCCATCACAGAAGGTGCTGGCGGAGAAGCTTTTGAAGTTGAAGGGGGAAACTTTGCTGGAAAGAGGAACAGACCCACAAATAGAATTGAAAACATTTGTATAGGCGAAGTACCAGCTTATCAATAGAAATACCATGCTAACAAGTCTTGTGTAGGATACTATTTTTCGAAATCTAATTGGTGTGTCAGAGTAGTTGATGCGTCTGGGTAGTTCCATTCGCGTGCTTTTGTATACTTTGCCTGTTGTAAGCAAAAACAAAAAAAAATACGAAACGCGTCCTCTTGTTTACAATTTTTGAAAAACCGACTTCATTTCTAAACTGTTAGCCAACAACAGAAACATCCAATAACATGACACGGGAGGGCGTCCAGGAGAGCATAAATCTTACCAGCTCACTATTATTTGCACCTGCTGGTCCCCTTTTAGAAAAAGAAGTAGGTCTTGCTTCAGATTCAGCTGCTGGGGTAACTAACCCAACTATTGCATCAGATCAGGAGCAAACTTCTGAGATGGAGAGCCACCCTATTGAGCAGCTGCAATTAGGCAGCAAAGGAGTCAAGTTATTTTCTGGTCAAATGATAAATCTAAAACGAAGGGGGCGTGAAGAACCACAGGAATCACAGGTAAACATCCATAAACAAAGTCAGCTTTATTTAGACATGGATTCCCTTTTTGCTAGAGTTGAACTTAAAAACAAAATCAGAGAAAACTCCTTGAAAATGGATTCAAAGGAAGAGCCCAACACATCAAACTACATGCCATTATGGACAGAAAAGTATAAACCGCAGAACTTTCTACAATTGGCGCCAGCGGGAAATGAAAAACAATACCGATCTATTATGCGATGGCTTCAAAAATGGTCCACATTGGTATTTGACGATAGAGTCAAAGAGCACATAGATGGCACTGACTCGCTCGGCAGGCCAAGTCGTAAGATTTTACTAATTCATGGACCACCGGGTGTCGGCAAGACAGTTGCTACACATATCTTAGCTCGCCAGATGGGATACAATATCCAAGAACTAAATGCAATGAATAGTATGGATACTCTTCCACAGGGGTCGGTCAATAGTTCAGCTGGAAGCAACGCTTACTCAAATGCGTCAAATGCTTTAAAGTTGAAGATTCAAAATACATTAACATCTAATGCTGTTTCCAAGAATGGTAAACCATTTTGTTTACTCATAGATGAGTTGGATTCTTTGGCAAACACAAACGATGTTGTCAAGATTTTGCAAGACATTGTCACTTCAGATCAACGAGCATATATGAAGCAACAAAAGTACGTTAATGGACAAAGTGACAACGATCAGAAAAGAAAGAAAAAGAACGATAGGATATTGAATAGACCCATCATTTGTATTGCCAACGATATATACTCGCGGCAGCAGGGAAAGTTTGGACCCAACCCTTTAGAGAGGTTGAGAGCAATATCAGAGGTTGTGACGTTCCGAAAGCCCGCCATTGCGCAAAGAGCAACTGGTGCCAAGGTCAGTGGCAGTGCCATGAAGTCTGTCAAAGACTTTTTGATGAAAATTAATGAGAGGGAAAATCTTGGATTAGATTATAGAGATATTGGAGAAATTTGCGAAGTATGCGATGGAGACTTGAGGGCATGTTTGAATCAAATGCAATTTTCAGGAAAACGCTTGGCATCAGGTACCAGTGTCAAGAAAGTTTCTGCAATAGACAAGCATATATCCTGGTTCACAATGGTTGAAGACATGTTTAAAAGAGATCCGCAATTGAAAAAGGAAGACAACTTTAGTGTTCTTTTGCAAAAGTACATGGACGGTAATGGTAAATCCATAACTGGCAGTAACGACTTATTTGATAAATTCATAAATGGAGTGTTTAACAAGTACCTCGATATTATCCACCTACAGGATGATACTTTAATTAGACCCAGTGAATTCAGTGACTGGCTTCATTACCACGACTCTTTCAATACTAACTTTAACGATGCAAACCAGTACAATGCATTGATAGCATTGAAAAGCTGGACACTATTTAGCGACTTGAAAACATATAGGGACATAAACCCGCTAATCCCAAATGCCAAAAACTTGTCCTTTGAAACCTTTGAAAAATTAAAGGAAAATCGTCATGTTGTTAAAACAGTAGTTTCGAATATCCCTGCTGCTACCCAATTAGGAGTTGGAAGTACAAATGCTGATAGTGTTGCATGTTGTTTTCTCCCTTGCCTTACCAAGATTCTTAGCCCAAGTTTGTCGTCCAAGTCAAAGGGTAACCTAACTCCGACTGAAATTGCAAAGCTTGAAAAAGTGACCTCCTTGATTGAATCATTCAAACTAGGCCTTGAAACAAGGAGAGATTTTGAATCTGGTCAAATGGAGTTGTATTTGGCACCGGACTGGGATGCTCTTACGATTTTTGACACGTTTCTTGCCGCACGATCAAGTGCAATTGAAGTCAAACAACTCCAGCTACGGAGACAAGCATTATTTCCAATGGTCAATGCAGAATTGGAGAATTTGTCAGCCTCAAGGCGAAGCCAAAAACAAAAACGTAAACTTGATGGCGTTGACAATCCGGAATTTACAAAGAAACCAAAAACAGGAGACCACGAGAAGCAAACGTTCAAGTCACAATATGACAATGTGAAACAGGCTTCCAAACCAGACGATGAAATAGTTAAACAAGTGCCTAGGATTTGGGTGAACTTTAATGAAGGTTACTCGAATGCTGTTAGGAAAGAGGTTAGTTGGAATGACATCTGGTTGCCATAACTACTTTATTGCATTCAGATTACATAAAAATATAGGGTCTTCAATACAGTTGCCTCATTAAGATGAAACCTTTGAACTAATCATAGTGGTATTACCTCTCTTGTAGTCGAACATAAATCAATATGATCCCTACGTGATTGTAACATTTAGATATTCCTCGAATAATTTCACAGAGGCATCCAAGGATGGTGTCTGCATAAGAAGCTTTCTTAACCGGGTTCTATCATCGTGATATTCACTGCTACCTAAAGCAGAGCTTCTAAATATATGTTTCCGGAAGTTCCTTTTTGCAAGAGTCATGTGACATCTATTTATTACTGTACCACAACCTGAATCATGAGTGTTATTATGGCGTCTTCTTGGGTCTAGAGTTTGAAGTTGGTTCAATTCAGTTTGACTTGTCTCATATAGTTTCGGCAAACTTATTGGTCCAAAATCATACTGAACATGGTGATTTCGATTTAAAACTTTTGATAAATACTTGATGCGACTTATATATGTTCGAAGTATGGATTTCTTTGCAATTGGTGCTTCATGTGTAGTTGTTTCAGAAACTTTTAAATGCAGAAAGAGTGAGACCAATGAATCTGTTGACGCTAGTGAAACTTGCGGCGCAAGAGTGTGTGGCGTTTCTGGGATATCGGCAATATCAGTGAACGTTGATGTCTCAATGGAATTGGTGTAAGTTGAGTTCCAAGAGTTGGTGGCTTGTGTGGCATAGGTGTATTTCTTTGGTGATTCGTTCAGGCTTCCCTCTTGCCCCAACTTTTGATTCAATCTCCTCAATTTAGTTGGCTTTTTCAGCCCAATTCTCTTACTCAATTCCAAATTTGGAATTGCCTCTGCAGTATTATCCTCGAGGATTTTATTATCAGCCAATAATCGGTTCTTTGCAACGATGAACGATATCATGTCATCATCATGTGACAGACCTTGTGCTTGAGTCACAAATACTTGACTACCCCTGAAAGTTGTAGCTTCATTTTCATGTGTACATACCTTGAAGTTTTGCAGCCCGGTAAAACTAAATCTATTATTTTTGGAAATTGTTTCCTTCAAGTAGGGGGAGTTATTATCTTCGATATTTGAGATTGAAAGCTTCGGCTTAAAATTATCACCTTGTTTTCTCCAAAAGGAAGTCCGCTTTTGCCTTTTTCTCAGAGAATTTCCCTTTACATCCTTCAAGTTGTTCTCCAGCAGTGTAATTGACCCTGCTTCCACCACATCATTTAATTTAGACCTGACAAGCTTAGCTTGTGGCTCCAACTGTGGAGTTGCAAAACAAGAAAACGGTTTAAATTGATCAAGATCTCCTTCCTGTGTCACTCGCATTGATTTATCAGAAGCTGACTCATCTGTCATCACCAGCCTTGATGCAATTGCTCCAGTATAGATGCAATTAGAATTGACATTCATGTCTCTTTGGATGTGGCCCAATCTAGCATCTTCGTCAAAGACAGCTTTGGGTGTGGCGGTTACATTCTGGGTTACTTTATGATTTACTTTAGCGGAAAAGGGTGATTCAAGAGTGTTGGTTTCCATTTGAGGATGCGTAGCATCTGTACTAGAGTTTATTATTTTTATATTCGTCTTTTCATCAGAACTCCTTGTCATTGGTGAATTTGGCTCTGTCCACTTAGCCTTTCCCCTTGAAAATGGGTCAAAGTCGTCAGGGTTTGCTTTCCTCATCAACCCACTCATATTCAACCGAGGACTAACAATCAACCCAATTTTGTGTTTTGTTGTATTTGATTGCTTTTTCAGTTCCATTTTGAAAACATAAGTGGTATTATTGTTGTACGGAATTTTTCACTGGAATGAAATATACAAGCGATTAGGGAAAATCTGACTTTACTTCATCTATCAAGAATAGTCATGTCAACAAGATAAATCTTTGAATTGAAAAATCCGAGAACTTTAACCTACTTTAAAGTCATTGCAAAATGAAAAGGATTTGTTTCATCTTTGCTGCTTCAAGTTGTGAAGCATAAAGTTGTCACATTTTTTTCTCACATGTTTCACATATTTTTGCAGCCACCTACATTGTTCGGCTTTGTACCACAATGGTTTTTGGATTTCGGTTGGGTTCTTTAATTGTTGTAGTGTCACCTGTTCTTTGATTATTTTTTTGCCTCATAGTACAGGAATCATGTCTTTATCTCAAAATGAGAGAATTCAAAGAAATGCGTGCACCAAGAAATGGTCACGAATTGAACAGAACTTTACAGGTCCAATGACGAAGTCATGGTAGGTAACTCTTCTTAAGCAACTTTAATATCTCTTCTAAACAAATATATAAAACTACTTGACTTTATTTTTCAATTTTTTCGCAATCGACTTTGCGCTTTCATAATCAGAACCATCCTTCAATTTCCGTTTCTTGTTTCCATTGCCGTTTTTCTCTTTATTGCCATCACCCTTGTTTCTGTTTGATCTTTCTTTCAAAATCTTCTTCATAGTCTCGGTCTTCTTAAATTCACTGCTGGTAGGATCTATGGCGTAGTCATGGCTTTCAAATATTTCGTCGAATCTTGGATCATTCAAATTAACTTCAAAATTGTCTTGAGTCATTTCTTGGTCAATATTTCTCTTCTTTGACTTTTTGTTTTTCTTTGATTTTTCATTCTTGAGGACATCTCTCATGTTGAAATGGTCGCTCTTCTGGTCATTATCCATAAGTACCAATTCCAACTCAGCTTTCTCTTTTTCAGAAATATTGGTATTCTCTTTCCCAGGATGCGACTTGCTCTTCTTCTTAGAGGCGGACTTGGCACCACCCTCTTCTTGCTGTTCTTCTTCAGCGTTGGCTTTGCTTTCCTTAAATTTATTAAGTCTCTTTTGACGTCTCTCCTTCTCCTTCCTCTTATAAGCCTCGATGGTGGTCTCTTCTGAATTCTCCTCCCTTGATTCTTTTTCAGATGAGTCCTTCAAACCAGGGTCAAATGTTATCTCCATATCGACGTCATCACTTTCATCTCCTGATTCGGTACCTTTATTGAACGTCTTTCCTAACAATCTTTGATACTTTGATTTCAAATCGGCCCCATCACCATTGTTTTCCAAAGTGTCATCCTCAGAATCACTTGCTAAATACGCCTTAAAGTCATTGGCTTCTATTTCCTTTTGGGAAAGTGGTCTTGAAGACAAAGTGAGACGCTCTTTAGGAGTCTCATCCCAGGTCAATTTCACCTTTGAGTGTTGCAACGCGTCTGTCACAAACCTCGATTCCGGTTTGTAGTTTGGTGATACTTTGAAACATTCATCTTTGACATCATTCTCGTCAAACTCCATATCCTCTGGTACATATCTCAAATCGAAAACATTAGCCGTGGACTCATACTCCGTGCCATCAACATTTTCATAAATATTTCTAGCTGTTTGAACTGAATCACACTTGACTATAGCATAGTAATATCTTAATCGCTGTAGTTGATATCGACGTAAAGCTTTGCTGTCATAATCCTCCTTTCCATCATCCTGCTCGTACAACTTACGTGTAACTTTTTCCAACTCTTTTGCATCTTGGATATCAACATCAGAATCCAAATCGGACTCCGAGTCTGATTCTTCATTCTTTTTCTTCTTTGTTTTGAATAATTCCCTTGGTGGCCCTTCAACCTCTTCTCGCTGCATTCTTTCTTTTCCAAACTCTGAGGGATATATCGTCACTGACTTTATACTTCCATCTTTGGGTACAAATGACAAAAAGGTTGCCATCAAGTCCTCAGCCCTTAAGTTTTCCCAGTCCATATTAACGACAGCAAATGAGGTAGTGGGTTCGGATTCGGCAGGGGCTGTTTCCTCTAGTTCAAGCTCGGATTCGCTGTCGGCTTCATCTAACTCCAGTTCACTGTCTGAAGACGAGTCTTCGGAGGACAGGTCGGATGAGGAGCTCAGAAGACCTTCTCCTCTAGCCCTATCCAATTCCTCTTCTTCCCCTCTGATCTTGCGACTTAATGCTTCCACATCCTCCTCCTCCCCCTCGTCACCTTCGTCATCTTCGTCATCTTCGTCATCCTCACTTTCTTCACTTGAGCTCTCGTCATCATGTTCGTAGTACTTGTTAAGTTGTTGGTCTTTTTCTTCAAGTTTTCTCCCATATCTATCAATCTTGACCTTACTTCCACTTAGCTTTTTCAATTCTTTCTTGTTAAACCGGTCATCCACCTTGACCTTTAAATTTTTAAAATTTGGAAACTTGAACCTGGGATCATTATGAACTGATTTAAACCTGGAGTCGTCGGTGACAGGTTTAATTTCTTTTAGATTCTGTCTCTTGCCACCCTGGTTCTGACTTTTATTTGATTTCGCCATTGTTGTTTCTAAAGAGAGATGGTGTCCTAAAAGTCAATGATTTTCGTCTATTCTAAGCTCATCTCTATATATACACAATAGACACAAAGTGAGATAGAGAAAGAAAAAAAACAAAAAGAAAAAAAAAATTGTTCACCCAGATCCAAAGCTACCATGATTACCAACCAAACCTGCCATTTCTAAAAAGGCTCTTTCTTCACCCATACTTCGTACATTCACACTTTGTCTAGCATTTGCTTGTTTCTCTTCCCATTCCCATTGCTGTCTCTGTTCATCCAACTCTTTCATTGAACCGATACCCCAAACTTCAAGATCGGTTATAGTAAATCTATCCTCAAAGTTCTCCGTGGCAAGGTCACTCTGGATCGACGGTTTGAAAAAATTAGTGGCATTGTTCTTCAGAAGAGCCAAATGCCTAAATACCGCAAACTCGAGGTTGGCTTCAATTGTCAAAGAGACATCACCAGGGTAGTACTTCTGCTTTCCATTTTTGTTCAAAGGCTGTAAATTTCCAAATCCTAAGCCCATCCCCTGGTTGTTAAAATATATCAGCTTGCCCTTCATTACCTCGCTATGTATGCTCTTGTAGCAGTCAGCTCGGGGGTGAACAGAAATGATAGTTGTTGATTCATCTCCAAAATTCTTCTTGTTCGAGCTTTGCCAAGGTTCCCTGACCACCACACAATATGTTAATCGATCATTCTCGTGTTGCCACGGTTGTAGATGACTCTCCTGCTTTAAAAAGTATTTCGGGTATATCTCATCAAACTTTTGATAACGTCTATTCGTATCCACTGTTTTCTGTTTCACTCTTTTCCCACTAACTATCAACAATGTTGGTGCCTGCCATTTAAAAATCTTTGTCTCTAAAGAACGAATGGAGAAGCCAGACTCGGACCCAGCATACAACTTTACAACATTTTCAGTAGTTAAGTCCAAATTGCTTCCAACTCCTTTCAACACAGATGTTATGTAAGAAAGCGTGGCTATGCTTACAAGTTTAGTAGGCGTAAATGTAAAAGAATGCTTCTTTAGTGGTGAAGGTGATGGCGACGATGGTGGTGGTGGTAGTTGCTCTGAATGGGTCTCACCATTTTCAGTAGCTTTCAAAGTAAAGATTTCAGCTCCCAATCTTTTCAACCCGTTTTGATAAAAGGTAGGAAGCATCTCTGCAACACCTTGAGCAAATTCGTTGAACAGAATTGTCTCTCCAACCAATTTACTTACCAGAAAATTCGGGTTTATGAACTTTAATAGTGATATTGAATACGTTTCAAAATCATTCCACTGGGTTAGTCGTGATGCTAGCTGACCTTCCATTAATTCTTGTTTTTGTAATTGGATCGAATTAGCAACGAGTAGTAATGTAGTGATCGAAACAAAGCTCTCGGCATCTGACATCAAGCTTTCCATGGCTATACTATCAAAAGATGAAACAACTGTTGCATTTTTCCAGTCAACCTTTTTCGCTTTGAGACCAATTTCATCAGACTCTTTAAAAGGTTGTATCAAAGGCATATCAATTGGGCTATCCTCCACCAGCTTTTCTTGTTCATCTTTACCCGACAATGATATGAACAAAAGCTTCACAAAATCGAAATTTTGATCCAATATCTTGTTGTGCTTTCCTAGAATGAAAATAAGAGAAATTACGAACTCCTGAAGGGTTAGGTCTTCACTGGTGCTCACTTCTGTTCTCAAGAAAGGGAATTGGCCTAATCGTTTCAGGATTGGGAACAACACAGTAGTTAATTTCTCCAATCCTTCTGAGTTTGAACTTCGTCCGTTATTCAATATGAATTGGAATTTAGCTCTCGATACGACCCTGTTTTGGTTTTCACCTCCATCTATGATTGATTTGACATAGGCAAGCTCCAGCGGCTTCAACACTTGCAAACATCTAGTATAAAATAGATTGTATACTTCCGACTTTGGAAGACTGGTCTGAAGCCCACTTTTTGTGTCAATGGTCTGGTTGGTGCTAGGCGTTTGTCCCATTGAGCAATTATTGAAGAAAAGGGATGATTGTAAATGCGGAGTTGAAGCAAGTGCAAAATAAATGTTTCGCGCTTTTACATAACATTGTAGAAAGATTACGTAAGACAAAACCGAGTTTTGACAAGTCATTGGCATTAGACTATGAAGAGCTAAGAATTGGAGAATGGGCAAACTAGGAAATTCTCGAGAGCAAAGGCACCCAGCTAAATCCTTACTTCAATATATCTCAGTACGACATGGAAGTCATATGAGTACAACGACACTACAACTGAGTTATACATTAAGAAAACATACTTCCAAGACATCTCTATATATACATTTCCCCTTTTTAATTCAAGAAGTCGTCAAGAAACTCTTTTGATCGGATCTCCATGTCGAGAACAGCCTTTTTGAATTCGCCATAGAATCCATTTGAGTTTAAAATCTCGTTTTCTTCAGCATCAGTGACAGACGTCGAACTAGAGCGATCGCGGTACCGCTGTTCCATTGAATTTTGTTTCAACAACGCTTTAGTAAAGCTTACAATGACTAATGTAAAGTATATCCTGATGATAGTCATTACAATTGTCGTTGCGAATATGAAAAACAACTCCCTCCCGGCTGATGCAGACTGAGAGGACAAATTTGCTTCCTCATCACTAGCGTCCATTTTTCTTCGGAGCAATGAGTCACCGCCAACTTCTGCTTCACTTCCATCCTCTGACTGGAACCAAAAAAATACAAAGTATACCGTGTAGAGTGTACCTATAATGGTATCGACGATGTATACGACGGTAGCCAAGGATAGTTTCCGTAAATTGCGTGCTTTGTTTCTCAAATTGATTAAAGCAGTTGCGTATATTGGTAGCATAAGAAGGGCCAACGAGTTATATAGCCATTGCCAAAAATCAATCGGGTGGCCTGTTAATAACGATAAAATACCATACAACCCCCCTGCTTTATTAAGAATTGTAACCCCCAAAACAATCTCGACACCAATGAACAACGGGATGAATCCCAAGAATTTCTAGCACGTTAGTCATCGCCTTCTCGCCTCGTATACCTATTCATACATACTTGTGGTAACAATCTTTGTAGACTGGACGGTAAAGTCATGTTTTTGTCGTGCTTTCAAATCAGAATTTGGATGTTTAAGATCAACCTTTTTGTTCTTTTTTTTTTTCTATTTTGCTTCAAATCTTGCTCTCGCTTTTTTGACGCTTTGAGCTCATCTCATTTACAACTGTTTCAATACAATGAGCACTGAAGAGATACTGCAGAAGCTAAACGAATTTAGCTTGTCGGATCTGGATTTAGATAGTGATTCTGAATTTGAAACAGAGGATGAGACACATCCAACCCAAGCAAGACAAATAAGCCTGTCCAAGCCATCGGAGAAGGAAGATATTGTGACAAGATTCGCCGATAAGATCAAAACTGAACCATTCAAAAAGGGACCACAGGTTACAAAAGATAGGGCAAAGAGAGCAACTGTTGAGCAAGTATTGGATGCGAGAACATTGAGATTTTTAGGTAAAATTTTTCGTTCTGGTCTTATAACCAGAATCAATGGCTGTATCAGTACGGGAAAGGAAGCAAATATTTACCACGGAACTCATGATGGTGAAGGAGAAACAGAGGAGTTTGCGGTAAAGATATATAAAACCTCAATTCTAGTCTTTAAAGACAGGAAAAGATATGTCGATGGGGAGTTTAGGTTCAGAAATACAAAAGATCAGGGAAATCCTAGAAAAATGGTCAAAATCTGGGCTGAAAAGGAATTTAGAAATTTGAATAGAATTTATCAAAGCAATGTGCCATGTCCAAAACCATATGTAATTAAATCGCATGTGTTGGTGATGCAATATTTGACAAAGGGTGACGATCAACCTTCTCCGAAGTTGAAGGATTACTTATTTAAAGGCGTTGATGATATTATCAAGTACTACCTCGATATGTTAATTTGCATGAGACGATTATTTCAGAACTGTCGCTTGGTTCACGCAGACTTGAGTGAGTATAATTCCATTGTTCACGACGACAAGTTATACATAATTGATGTATCACAGTCGGTAGAACCAGACCATCCAATGGCTCTTGATTTCTTGCGAATGGATATAAAAAATGTGAATGACTACTTTTCGAGACAGAACATTGATGTTTATCCCGAAAAATCAATATTCAAGTTTGTGACGGAGCCTTTGGGCATTGAGGATACAGAAAGTGATTTAAAATCCTACTTGGACTTCATTCCCTTAAAGACGACAAAGGATCAAGAAATCGAGGATGAAATTTTTAGGTCATTACACTTGGTTCGGTCATTGAAGCATTTAGATGAAAGAGATTTTCAAAAGTTTTCAGAGGGGGATGTAGATACAATGAAAGAATTGGTTGCACCAGCTCTACCGTCACAGGATTCAGCACAGGGGTCTTTTGAAAACCGCGATGATGAAGAGCAAGACGATGATCAAGAAGAAGAAGGTGGTTCAAGCGACAGTGAAAGTGACGAGGATTCTGCAACTGATGGAAGTGAAGATGAGCTATCCGATGACGAAGAACATAATAAACCCAAGGGAAAGAAGTTTGAAGATAAAGACGAGAAGAAGGCAAGGAAGGAGGCGGTGAAGTTAGCCAAGCAAGAAAAGAGAAAGACCAAAATGAAAAAGCACGTTAAAAAGAAACTCATAAATAAGCGAAAGGGTGGTAAGTAGGGCCATCGAATAATGATGTGGTTCTGTGGTTAATGAGATTAGATAGGCAATAGTCTTCTTCTTCTTCGTTTTCTTCTTTTTGGATTGAAATAGAACAAACGCGTATTAAAAAAAAAAATAAAACAAAAGAAAACGAAGTCACGTGTAGACTTTTCGTTGGAAAAAAATAAAAAAAATTGACAATTTTGGCAATACGTGTAAAAAATCACATTTTCTCCATCAATACTTTATTCACTTTTAGCAATCCACACCATGCTTAACTTGTTTAAATTGGTTGCTGTTTTTGTTGCATTGTTTCATCTCACAAATGCTTTGCATTTCTACGTAAAGACGGGTGAAACTAAATGTTTCTTTGAAGAATTACAAGTGGATACCCTTGTTGTGGGAAAGATCGACGCTTACGAGAAAAACGACCATTCCAACGATTATACAAAGAACGGTAAATTGAAGGTTCAGATCACAATTGATGTATGTAATATTTTTCCAAGTGGTTATCATTTCGCACGTTTATACTAACTTTACCCTTAGGAAACATTTGACAACAATCACAGAGTTATTGACCAGAAATCATCCCCTAACGGAGAATTTACATTTACTTCTTTAGATTCAGGAGAACACAAGTTTTGCTTGACTCCAGTGTATTCTGACAACACTCACAACAAGGACCACCGTATTTTCTTTGATGTTGTCCAAGGATCCACCCACGACTATGTTGATTCCAAATCTACCAAGCTGGTGGACGAGTTGACAAAAAGAGTAAATATTTTATATGACAAATTGGACAAGATTCATTGGGAACAGGAAACAATGAGAGAAAGAGAGGCCTTGTTTAGAGATCAAAGTGAATCTACAAACTCGAGAGTTGTAAAATGGTCAATTGTCCAATTGTTTGTCTTGATCGGAACTTGTGTCTACCAATTGCGTCACTTGAAATCATTCTTTGTCAAGCAAAAGATTGTATAGATTTAGTAGTGTTTTATAACATAGTTTGATAGTTAATGTGGTTTATACGATTGTACCCATTGGCGTCGCTCTTTGTATTTATTTATTTTATTTTTCTTTTGCACTTGCTTTCTCTGTAAAAAGGATATTATCTGAGAAACACTTCAACCTCGATGACATCCAATGTTGAAGATGAACTACGCCGCAGAATTCGAGTTTTAGAACTTGAGAATGAAAGACTAAGGAGTCTGCAGTCTTCTGAAGAACTGCACCCCAATATAGATGATAATTTCAGTCTCGATGAGTATAAAAGATACGGCAGGCAGATGATTGTTCCCCAATTTGGTTCCTTGGAATCCCAAAAAAGATTAAAGAGGGCCAAGATCCTAGTTGTTGGTGCCGGAGGGTTGGGATCTCCTGCATTGGAGTACCTATCTGCAGCCGGTGTTGGCACAATAGGAATAGTCGACGATGACGTTGTGGATACTAGCAATTTACACCGCCAAGTAATACATCAAACTAACACTGTTGGAACGTATAAATGTGAATCAGCCAAATTGTTCATCACAAACATCAACCCTCATGTAACCGTCATTACTCATCCCATAAGATTAAGCAACGACAACGTCTTTGATGTAATCAGTCAGTATGAGTTGGTGCTAGATTGCACAGATCACCCCGCTGTGAGGTACCTCATCAATGATGTCTGCGTACTCTTGGGAAAGACTATTGTGAGCGGTTCTGGATTGAAAGCAGATGGGCAATTTACAATATTGAATTTTAAAAATATTGGTCCGTGTTATAGATGTTTCCACCCTCAGCCGCCTAGTCCAAACACGGTGACTTCGTGTGCTGATGGTGGGGTTATAGGTCCAGCAATTGGAATGGTGGGAATAGCCATGGCAATGGAGACAATAAAATATTTAACTGGATACTACACTGAAGAGAATTTCTCCCCTTTTCTCTCATCATATTCAGCGTACCCACAGCAGCAAATTAGAAACTTTAAGATGAGACCTAAACAAGCCAGTTGTATTGCCTGTGGATCAAAGAGACAAATAACCAAAGAAAAGATTGAAAGTGGAGAGATTGATTATGCTGCCTTCTGCGGGAAGGTTAGTTATGAGCAGTTGGAACAAAGTAGTAGATTATCAGTTGCTGATTACAACAATGTATTACATAATGGTCGTGATCACGTTTTGATTGACGTCAGACCCAAAGAGCAATACCAAATCACCAAGCTTCGCAATTCAACCAACATTGAGTGGGATCCTACCTTCAGAAAGCTTGAATTGTTGGAGGATTACCTACCGGTAAAAAAGTCTGATGATATTTACTTAATCTGCAGATATGGTAACGATTCTCAATTAGCAGCAAGAAAACTACACAGTCTAGGTTTCAAAAATGCTAAAAGTATTGACGGAGGTATCGACAAATGGTCTGATACCATTGATCAATCTATACCCAAGTACTAGTTTTGAAATTTGGGGTCCAATCTTTCGACGAGCAAAATACCAGAGGCTGTTCCTGCAGCGTAAACTGAGCTGCCAATTATATTCTCGTTCCATGCCACGGCGCTTATCATAACCTTTGATGGCATATACGATGCTTGGATTGGGCTCTCTATGTCCATTTTTTCATAGTCTGCTGATATCGATATGGTGGAGTCGGTTTCATTTAAAGTGAATTTCCAGAGTTTTAAAGGCACCATTACCTTATTGCCTCCTTTACTTGAAAAAAACTTTCTTGTATAGTTCATCAATATAATATCCCCTGTATCTGTACCAGTTAACATGAATGGATGGCCCAAAGCTTCTGATAACTTGAAAGTTGTCATATGGCTGTTTAGCCTTAGCATCGTGGAAGATGTATCTTGTAGAGACCGAAGGCATAAAATGTTGCTGTTTTCAGGATTATGAGCTAGAAGTACATCCTGGAGAATAAAATTGTATGTTGGCTTTATCGTCGACTTTTCAGACAATGGAGAAAATACATCAACTAGCGGATCCAGCGTTGAAAATGCCATTCCCCTGTAGGCCTGTCCGTTAATTATAGTAACATGCTCCCCTGTAGATATGGGAACCGAAACAACGCTTGAAATAGGACCGTCGGAGACAAATGTTTTGAAGTTAGGCTGCGAAAGATCTCCATCTTTGCAAAACGGTAATTCAAGCTCCATTATATATCCATCAGCAGTTCCTGCAATGATCTTTTCAGTACCGACAAATGAAAAACATGTCAAATTGGAAGGCCATTTGCTATTTGATTTATATCGATAGGATGGGTTCTGAACTATACTAAACTCTGGGAGACGATCGTCAATTTTTAACAAGTGAATTTCCCCGTTTTTAAAGACACAACCTAGTACCCCTAGCACCTCATGGTCAGTGAATAATGGTGCCCATTGTATATCAGTAACTGCTCCAAATTCTGAAGTTACTAACGTATGTTTAAGTTCTAATTGGTTTATTAGTGCCTCGTACTTCCATATTTGGAGCGAAGACCGGATGTTTTTCTGGGTGGTGTTGTTAAACACATTCAACTCGGGGCTGACAGCATTGACTTCTGCAAGCTCCTTCTCTCCGCTAATAACTCCGATTGCTAAGTAGGAAATGCCATCTTCCTGGTCTAAACTGTTTGGTAACCATTGCATAGATGTAATGAAACCACCTACCGCAGCCGCAAAAACATTTCGGTTTGTAAACTCTTTTAAATGAGCGGGGTTTTGCTCTAAGTTGACAACGTGTGAGGTTTTCCCTAATAAAACATTGGCCAGGAGGTTCGAATTAAACCTGAACCTCACATACTCATTATCTACCTCTTTAACTTTGACTTGTTTAATGTGCAAATCACTGGCAGAAATGTATTGACTTGATCGTGAAGCATATTTGAACAAATTTGCCAAAGACTCATCCACTACAAACAACTTCTCACCCCAATGTGCTTTATACTGTTTTGTCACCTCGTAGAATTGTTCATTGTTACCGTAGTTCAGTAAAACTTTACCTCTAAAGTTCATAGTCAATCGTGGAGTCTCAAGTGATTTTGTTTATATTTCGCAAAGAAAAAAAAACTAAGTTAATCTCATTTTATATCCTTTACTCTTTGGATGATGAGTCTATAATGTATGATGGATAAACCTAACGATGAAGCGCCAGTGACTACAACGAGCCAAGCAGATGAAAAATGCCATCCGACAGATGATCATGGCCAACACAAGAAACGGTCGTTTTTAGAAGATGACTTCTTTTCCTTAACCAGCAGCTTTGAAAAGAAAAAGAAAAGACACAAGCACAAGAGTAAAGACGCAAACTCGAGCTCGCCTGGTGTTCCAGAGCTGGCTGTCAAGATTGAGGATCCGACAATTTCCAAACAGGAGCCGAAACTGAGTAATACAGATGCTATAGAAGGACCTAAATCGGACATCGTATCCACATCTAATGCTGACGTCAAACCTGCCACGTCAATCACAAAAAGCTTGACCACGCCACCAGCATTAGACAAGGAGCAAATTCTTCGTGAGATTGAGAAAAGGGTCAATGAACGTGAGGCAAAAATGGCTCCCCCATTGCTTGACGATTCGGATGAAGAGGAAGTTCAACTACAGTTTGTGAAAAGCTTTCCAAAAACCAAAACCTCGGGCAAGTCATCGATACTCGACAATAGCTACAAGTTTGCTGAATCCGAAGAAAAAAAGAGACGATATGCAATAACAGTCACGTCGAAGCTTCCAGCGCCTGAGGGCCAAACCATTCAAGTCGACTTAGGTTGTAAAGGTATGAAATCCTTCAGCAAAATTTTAAAATCCTCTGTCGACTTTTACAAAACAACTTTTTCTAGCCAATTACCCCCGATTTTACTTGAGCGGTATAATACTGAGCTATGTACTTTAGTCTGGGTCGAGGGAAAGATTTTATTACATTCCTTTTATACTCCCCGGACACTTAGAATCCCACCACCAGGTGGGGTTTTCAATGCGTTGGTGGACAAGATAGAATTGATGCCACCTACAAGACTACATTTGTTTTTAATACCCAAAGACAATAGCGAGAATTTTATGAATGTATACCCAGAATTAAGAGCTAGTGGGATTGAACCAGAGACCAAAGAGGTGGAGGAGTCTGTAGCAGCTGAAGAAGCAGCCCCATCGAGCAGCGAGGACGAAGAAGAAGAAGAAGAAGATGATGATGATGATGATGCATTAAATCCTTCTTCCAGACCGGATAATATGATTGATCTTGCTAATGACGATGAAGGTGTGTTCTCGATCGGACTCAAGGGAAAGGATAACAAGCGAGTCGCTTGTAAAGTTACTCCCGAGACCAAAATTGAAAGCCTTTTGAAGTTCTATTTGAAGAAGAAAGAAATCGAGGAATCTACCGTCAACTTTGCGTCTGTGAAAATGATTTTCGATGACGAAGAGTTGAATCTTAATGACGTTGTGGCAAATACGGAATTGGAGGATGATTTTGAAATTCAGATAATATTATAGAGTGTTTATGTGTGTATCTGATAATAATAATAACAGTCTGCTAAGAGACAGTTGCGAATAGTTGAAGACAATTGACCCATTGAATTTTTTGATGTGGTAGCATGATCTGAATCTTCCCTTTCTCATGATGTGCACAGAAGCCACCTCTGACATCGATATCAATGGTAAGCTTCCAGTTTCGGCTATCAAAACTTTGTATATAGTCGTGTCTGGACCACTTTTGCAAAGTTCAATATCGGGCGCGGTTGTTTTGCATGCCAGAGCAGATAGGTTCACCAATTGTACTACTTTTCTGCGACTGCATTGATAATCGGTTCTCTTTGTGAGATCTGAGTCACCTAATTGGACATCATGGGACTTGCAAATGACTCCGAGAATCAAAGCTCAAATGAGCAACAGATAATTGACAAAATCAAAGAATTGTTTCCACAATTAGAAATTGAAGAAGAAGCTTTAATCAATTGGGAAGTTGACTTGATAGAGAATATTGATAACTATGGCATGGAAGATGCTATCTCAAACATTGTAAACTACAATCCGCAAAATGGATCAACCATCCACGACCACAATATAAATACCGTGCTAAATTTGGTTCTGACGCAACTCAAAGACGGTAACGAGTTCGGTGCAATTGTCCTAGAAGTGCTATGTACGATGCTATCTCAAAGCCAAATCCTCAGAATAAAAAACCACAACAACTTGTCTGAACTAGTTAATCAGTATGTGCATTTTTTGAAGGGACCTTATAAGAACAGACCCAGTACTATTCTTAATTCACTTAAGAGACTAATTTTAATATTGATGGATTTAGGATGCACTGTCGAAACATTTCGAAAACTTGCCACCCCGCTATACACTGGATCTGATGCTTTGGTTCAGCTGGAAGTAGTAGAGTTTTTGAATGAAATTTTAGAAAAATATCCAACTCACTATCCATTCGTACTCACACAACAGCAAATAAACTTTCCAATTTCAAGCACTATCAATAAATCATTCTCGATATACGGTTGGATAAAGTTGAGTAACCGCAACAGTGAAAGTAACAACTTTGGTATTGCGACCTTGTCAAGTTCCGATTCATCCACGAGCACAATTTTCACCCTTCGGATCGTAAACGGAAACCAGATCATGGTAGAGATGAAAAATCCCATAAACAAATCTAGGTCACAGTTTACCTTTAATCATATTATTGGTGAAACTTTTGATGAACCTTTTCAGATAGCATTGACGTATGATGAGAGAACTAACCTCAACTTGTACGTCAACGGCGAATATTATGAAAGCATACCTTGTTCAGGGCTTCACAAGGACAGCTTGAGTTGGAATAAGATTTCGATTGGTGAATTTGACTGCGGTTTGATGATTAGAAATATCACTTTGTGCAATGTGTGTCTCCCTCAGGAGTTGATTGAGTATTTATTCTGTTTGGGAGTCGGATCTAACGTACAACTCAGAAGTTTGGGCGACGGACCATTGTCAAACTTGAAAACACAACTTTCATACAGTTCCCTTTTCACCTTTGCAAAGAAACACACTGTGAATAAGAAAGCAGACGGCAAATCGAGTAATCAGAAAAAAAGGGTGCTTGGAACTAAACTGAATAGACGCGACAACGGTGAAATGGATGACTTACATATAAACCTCATGCACAAAGCACTGATTGCAATCCTGCGTTGTGGTATAAGTGATAAAAATGTGCTTTTTGATATCAATGATATATTCAATGACTTGAGCCAAAGAGTTACCTCAAAGGGAGACATTGAGACAAAGGTAATCTTTTGCAATCCCATTTCGATATATCAAGAGTTTCATGTGTTTGGCACATTGCCCAGGCTATTAAAAGTAATGGAGGATTCCTGTAAATTAAAGGATGAAGTATTGAGAGATACTCTCTTTTTGAAAACGTTGTCCTTTTTGTTCAAGCTTTTAACGAATGACTGGAGACTTAGCAAAGAGTTTGAAGGTTTTAATGGCTATAATTTATTGGCACTCATATTATTTCAGTACAAAGCTGTCAACCCAAGTCTAGTTTTTCATAGCGATGTTGTTATCGCAGATGTATCTAGAATTGAGAATTCGGGTTGTCACAGCATGAATCTATTGAATGTATTGTTGTTCTATTGCGGTTTTGATTTTTCCAACTCAACTAAATCTTTAATCATCAATTCAGACTGTTACCGAATTTTGGTTTTAAATTTCGATTTATTCTATCGATCAGATTCGTTCGAGTTTCTCCTTTCCCATATAAGTGTTTTACTTTCAAATTCTAACTACGAGCAGCATAACATGTTATACATCAAAAGGGCAAATTTGTTAAAGCGGTTGCTACATTTTCTCAAAAGCGCAAAAGTTAGAGATGATCTGCTATCGCCAAACTTTGAGCATACTTTACTCCGATTGATGTCCACTGTCTTGCCATTGGATGCAACTGCAGAGTCAATCCTAGCAGTATCCACTTACATAATGTTCGCCATTTACAGTCCAGAAAGCTCAAAAATCTGTGCAATTGCCGTATTAAAATCCCTCACAGACTTCATTTGTGATCCAGAAACACCAATCAAGACTTTAAAGAAATTTTCACGATCGATAACTATACATTGGATAAACCTTTTATTCAAGAGCGACATGGAGCTTGCTGTTTGTTGTGGAGTACGCTTGCTAACTCGTTTATTGAATATCTTGGGGAAACATGTCGTGAACCGGTTCTTTCTGCAAAACCATGGACTCGATATGTTGGCGCTGTCCCTTGAGTCTTGGTGGAGTAGTGGAAACGTTTTAAAATCCCTTTTCCTGGCTTCCCTAGGTCTTTCAGAGAACTACAACGCTGAACTCCCGATTTTCAAAGGATCCACAGAGATACTTTTTCCCGAGTTTCTCTTGCTCCTTAACGAGTTGGAATTGAATGCAATGTATACGTTGAGCAATAATTTGGGTATGACTGTGGGGAGTAATCCATCCACTCCAGTTAAAACGAGCATACAGGAGGATGTATCTCTTTCGTTTGATGCCCTTCATCTGTTGAACATGTATTGTGACTGGTTAGAAAGGCTCAATATTTTGCCCAGTATGGAAAAGTCGGCCCCGTTTATGGATGGTTTAATACATCTATTGGCGTATTTGAAACTAAGCTTGACGTGGTTTTCAGATGGTACTACAGCACACAGTTTTGCAGAGCTATACAAACGATTGTTAGACTTGTTAACCCAGTACTATGTGTCCAGTCTACGGTCTAACAAATTTCAATCTACTTTTACCGAATTAAGTGACTTTAGCAAGCTTTTGTTGTTAAATTACGTATTTCCAAAGATCTTTGAGCATGTCAAGAACTTCATCACTGTTTCGAATTTCATTCACGATGAAGCTCAATTTTCAAAGAGCCTAGCTACTTTGCTAATGATATTCTATAATGAGTTTTCGAGAAAGAAGTACTTTGTCGCAATAGAGGACTTGCAAAATTTTCTAACATGTCAAGTTGTACTATTGGAAAAAAATGAATCGAATGAGGTGAGGCGTTTAAACCCGATATTGGCTGAAACTGTTTCTCAACTACTCCTACAAATTGGGTGCGATATTGAAATCACATTTCTTTCCAGCACAAACCACTTGACGGCGTTGTTGAAGGAACTTCTCTATAGGCAGGTGACTGTGTTTGACAAAGATGTACTTGGACCTGATCGGCTAGTTATTGTAATCAAGCTCGTTCTAGGTATGGTATTGATGAATAATCTTGAAGATGAACAGATATCGACAGAAATTACATTTAGTTTTCTAAGAACTGTATATTTACAGTATATGGATGACTTTCCGCTGATAATACAGAAATTGAACTTTGACACGAGCCTGATGAATGAATTGTTTGCCAATTTGATTACTAGGGATGACACCGAAACCTTATCAAAGCTCAAGAAATATCCGCCTGTTGTGAAAAGCATCTTGACAGAATACCATGCATTGAAACAAGACTATTTGAAAGCCGAACGTTTGAGGGTGTCAAGCATTGTGAGAGTCAGTCTTCATAATGGTGCAAAGTTGGTTCACACAAATAGCATATATGTAAAGAGCTTTGAAAATGATTGTCAGTCTATGAAGAGACAGACTTTGAAGGCAGAAAGGACCAAGTACAACCGAACAATTCAGGACCGAAATGAGAACATGTCTCAATGCGATCAAGTTTACCAATCCCTAAAGAGTGAGGCATTAAGAGTGTTTGGTCTTCAGGAACCAAATAGTTTCACCCTTGACTATATTGAAAACGATGACAGGATGCGGGCAAGATTGGTTATAGAAGATCTTTTGTCGCAATCTGAAAGATTAAGCTATGAAGTTCAGGTGCCTTTGCTCCAATCCAATGTCGAAGCCGACCCCTCAAATGAGTTGGACTTTACTGTCATACCGAATTGTATTGATACGATGGATTTTTCTAATGACCTTATAGAAGGTGTGCCTGATAATTCAGAATCATCGAAAAGCCAAGATAACGATGACGACAATGAAGGTGATGAGCATTTTGATGATAAAAACAGACGTGTTAGTAGGAGCTTGTTTGTTGGTGATCAAATCGTGTCCCTTTGGAACGTTTGCCAAATTAATGGATTGGTTCCTGTCGAAAGTTTGTTAATTTTGGGTTCCAACTACTTGTATTTGATTGAGAACTACTTTCATGGGCAGGATGGAAACATTGTTGATGTCAATGATGCTCCACAGGAGTTAAGGGATCCCATCATGCAGTTGGTTAATTTGCAGTCAAGTAAGCTAGACTTGAACAATCGTTCGCATAGAACCAAAAGTTGGGGATTGGAAAAATTGAGCTGTATATCAAAACGCCAGTTTTTGCTTCGAGACAATGCACTTGAAATGTTTTTCAGCGATGGTTCCAACATTTTGATCACCTGTTTGACGCAAAAGGAAAGCAGTGCTGTTTATAGCAAGTTGTCTCGATACGCGACTGGTAGAGACATTGATCCTGATCTCGCTCAGGCTTTGGCACTGAACTCGAATGCATCACACAATGACAGTATTTCGTCAAAATTGGTTTCAGCGTTGTCTAATACGTCTCTTAATAGCTACCTCCACTTATCAGCAACTAAGAAGTGGAAGATGGGGGAAATTTCAAACTTTTATTATTTGATGATAATAAACACTTTGGCAGGAAGAACTTTTAATGACTTGACGCAATATCCAGTGTTTCCTTGGGTAATAGCGGACTATACGAGTGACACTTTGGACTTGTCGAACCCTAAAACTTTCAGGGATTTATCAAAACCAATGGGGGCACAAACGCCAAGTAGAGCCGACCAATTTAGAGAAAGATTTGAGGCATTAGCTAGCTTGGATGACGAAGACGCCCCTTCCTTCCACTATGGAACGCATTATTCATCGGCAATGATTGTCACGTCTTACTTGATTCGGATGAAGCCGTACGTTCAATCATATCTTTTATTACAAGGAGGCAAATTCGATCACGCCGATAGGCTTTTCAATTCAATAGAAAAGGCTTGGTGTTCTGCTTCTCGAGATAACACAACAGATGTGAGAGAGTTGATTCCCGAATTTTACTATTTGCCGGAATTTTTGATCAATGCAAATAATTTTGATTTTGGTAAGTTACAGAATGGTGAAGAGTGCAATGAGGTTAAATTGCCACCGTGGGCCAAGGGAGATCCAAAGTTGTTTATCGCAAAGAATAGGGAAGCCTTGGAAAGCCCTTACGTTTCAGCAAACTTACATTTATGGATTGATTTGGTATTTGGGTTTAAACAAAGCGGACAAGACGCAATCAACTCATTGAATGTATTCCATCACTATTCATACAATGGAGCAATTAATTTGGACAATATTGAGGATGACGTACAGAAGCGTGCAGTTATTGGTATGATCAATAATTTTGGTCAAACTCCAGCAAAAGTGTTTCTGAGACCACATGTAATGAAAAATGTCTTAAATTTGTCAACTTACTACTTGACATTGTTGAATGTCGAAAAAGCGCCTAACTTGGTTTTTGAATCCAAAATTAGGGCACCAATAGCAAAGTTAGAAATTAGTTCCAGAAACCCTCGTCGATGGGTTGGTAGACATGAATGTGTTTCATGTGAAGATGATTTATTGATCCGTAAATCAAAACAGTCGAACTTCACCAATGGCTCATTGATTGTAAATGACACAATGTTTACCAATATCCATTCCTGTGATATTACGTTTGTTTTGAACATTGGCTTTAAAATGTTTTTGACAGGGGCAGCGAATGGATTGATCTCTGTTTGGAAGTGTCAAGTGAAGCCGCAATTAACCTTGGATCACATTTCTACTTTGAGGGGCCATTTTTGTTCCATAAAGAGTTTGGCCTATAGTAGAAGCTTTAAGATCGGGATAAGTGTGGATGAAACTGGGGTGGTTATATTGTGGGATTTGATTAGATTCACATTCATCAAGAATCTTTCTCCTGGTGCTGGAAACCGTACCAAGTGTCTTGCAAATATTTCGAATGATTCTGGGGATATAGTAATCATCACAGGAAAAGGAGAAGAAGGGGTGTTGGACTTGTACAATGTAAATGGTTGTCACATCCTTTCTCGGGTGATTGACAAATTTGACAATGTCACAGCAGTAACATTTGGAATGACAAATATTCCAAGAGCAAGTGGAACTAGACCAGCCACACTTTCGAGTCATGTGTATTGGTCCAATGAACTTGTTGCCATTGCCCGCAATGAGAGTGTTGAGATTTTAGAATTGGCTCATAATTCCCAAGTTGGATGGTCGTTAAAGCTTCTACAAGAGGTGACAGTACACAACATTAGCGGAAAAATTACGACACTTTGTTTATTGAAATGCTCCGAAGTTGATCATGAAGATAGACTAATACGCGGTATGTTGAAGTTGATTATTGGCGATTCAACAGGTAAAGTGTACCATGTATAGATAAATGACGAAGTTATGAAATGGATATATCGTAGCGTGCATTGAGGATGGATACCACAGTAGCCCAAATAATCACTGAATTGTGACTTAACAAAGCTATTCACTCTTAATTCATTATGTAGACAATCTATCTTCTCTTCTTGATTGTGCCACTAGCCCTTTTTGCTCCAGTGGATCCAGCTACTGCTAATACTTCTTGTGATTCAGTTGCTTCTGACTTTTGTAATCTCAGTTGGGCCACTTCTGCTTGAACTTCTTTGAATTGCTCAGCAAACTCTGGATTAACCCATTGAGCAATGGTAGGAGCTACCGAAATCGTCATTAAGACAATAAATATAATGGTGTACGTCTTGTTTCTGAAAATGAATCCAAAAGGACTGTTGAGTACCATATCAAATACTGATCCTCCTGATTTCTCGTAAAATTGCTTCACTTCTCTAAACTGTATTTCCAAAGGTGTCTGGTGGCTCACTTCCACGGCTAGTGATTGGTTGTTGTGTGATTGACCCAAAGGGTCTTCATAGGCCAGAACCTTGCCTTCGTCAACCAATAATCTGTATCTATTGTTTGCAAACGCAAAGTCGTATGAATTAATAATCAATTCGTACTCTCCTTCTGACAAGTCTTTATATTTGAATTGATAATTTTGACCAACAGTAGCTGATACGGGAGAAAAATCGTGGTTCTTTCCCTTATCATTGAGTTTGTAGAGGTCAACCTTGACTCTCAGAGCATAGTTGTTCAAGTTTGGTATTGTTTGTCGCAACTCCTTGCCTAGTTCTGGTACATCATTGGGTATGTTCTTAATCACACCTGAGAATCCAATTGCTGATATGACATTGAATATGCACGTAAGCACAATCACTATAGAACTGCGGTACATGATTGTGCAATTTCAGTAGCAGTAATAGTAGTAGTAGTAGTAGCTTTGGCGGAGATAAAGTGGCTTCGTTGTTGAATGTTTTGTTAGAGGCAAAGTGGTTAGGCAATGTCGCGTTTAGATATAAGTAGACACACACAAAGTGCCATTCTTCTTTTAGGAGACAGAGAGACAAACAAATAAACAAAAAGAAAAAAATTTTCAACACTTTCGCTTTCACATTTCTTCTTCTCTTCTTTTCTCTCTACATTGTATTATACCTGTATGCGTATTATTGTAGGGCGTCAATTTGTTGTTTAAGTCAGACTATTTTTAGTTTGGATTAAATATTTTCCTACGATTGCTGCTCTCTACAACGCATACTAAAGTAATACTAGTTATTCGCCAAGTTTTCCATCACGGAGAACCGGTGATTAATTAGTCATGGAAATTACGGGCGTGGCTGGGTTTGTGAAACGGGTGTTCTGTATTCCTTTTTTGCAAAGAGTTCCCAGCTGGGCATTCTAGCCTCCTCACATTTTACAATAAAAATAGTTAAAACTACTCTGCTCTTTTGTATATATTTTTAATTTGGTCTAAGGGTTCGCGAACCCCATCTATCATAAGAATACAAACCAATTCCAATTAGACTGATTCCGATAACCTGTTCCACTGTGATGTTTCCTATGTATGAATCAGCACTAGCAGTTTGATCTCTATTCACCATTAGTATAATACTCATCAAGATCAAGATTATTCTCTTCATCATTGAAGCGATTGAATATGATAACGCAGGTATGGATCCTAGTAGGTGGAGTGCGAGCAATGTTTGTACAAAATGAGACAAGCTATCGAGTAGGATTAAAATCAATACCCCACTAAAGACTGGGGTTGTTGTAGTGACTAAATTTTCTGCCAGGTGTTGCAATGTCAACTGTTGATACATTTGCGGAAATTCATTGCATAAAAACCCACCAATTGAAAAAGATGAGCCAATGATTGAGCTGTATAGAATAATCGAAATTTTCTCAGGCTTGGCAATCTTGTTTAGTTCAAACTTGTTGACGATAAATGCAAAAGGATTATAAGCATTGGTATTACTATTCAAAACCGCTTGAGTGTACAATGTAGATGAACTTACCTGTGGTTGCAAAGGCGGCGACGATAAATGATTTTCTTTCATTTCATCCAAAGAAAGATCTGACGTGGAGAAGGGAAGCCTTCCCAAATTAGTTTTGCTGGGTATGCAAAGGTTGTTTCGGTCTGCGGATGAATCATTCCGGAGATCACGTTCTAAAGAAGTCCCTTGCTTCTCATCCATGCCATTTTGAGGAGTCGGCGTTGATGGCCTAGTGTCTGTATGCAAGACCAACGAAACTGGATGCCGCATCCTTTCATCCGTGCTATCCCAGGTTATCAATTGCTTTCCATAAATATTTTGAGCCGCAAACACAATCGTACTCAACAAGCACAACATCACCCCCGTCAAATGCTGCTGATTGAACTCATGGTATTCGCTCATTAGTGAATTGGTGTCAGAATGGGAATTTCGTACCGAATCAGACAAAATAATCAATACTACGCCAAATAGCAACGGTATTAAGGACACATACGTTACAATTGGAAAGCTGACATTATAAACAACTCTGTATCCAAAAACAACCACGAGTGGGCTTAATGCTTTAATGCTTGACACAGTAGCTAGTGGTATCAAAGATGTAGCCGAAAGTGAAAAGTATTTCCCAACAAATTGGAATAACCCTAATGGGAAAACTTTCAACAACATTGCAAGTGAAAACACTGGTCTGTTCTGGGTATTGTAAGCTGGTACACTTCCAGGGGGGAAATGTTCACTTACGTGGGGCACGTTTTGGCTGATGATAATTGTTGCAAAAGCGAGTGTTGCCCCCACGAGGAATTGGCATTGCGATAGGAATAAAGGGTACGGTAATTCTGTCAAGATACGTTTCGTCAACTGTGATGTCGTTGTAGATACGGCGTACCATAGAAGACATGTTGTAACTGTTTTCACCGATATAGTTGGTATTGCTCTAAAAATAATGTCTGGCATTGTCTTTTCTATCTTTAGCTGTGTGATGCTTTCCAAATGATGACTCTAGACCCACTAAAGCCTCAACCAGTCAATCCTCAAATATGGTTTTAGTATTCCATAAAGTTATATAAAAACAAGAAAGATTATCAATCGCGTTGCAACGGGGGTTGGTTGCTGGGAGTTTGAAGCCATTTTTCCTGAAATGATCACTCAAAATGGGTTATTTTGTGATTATGATTGGTAGCTTTTTCCCAAAGGGTAAATAAATAATTAAGTAAGCCCCCCCTCTGCTTTTTAGCAGTCAAAGTGCACGACTTGTTGTTTTGCGCTGCGCATTATAACAAAACTCACCCCTCAATTCTTTATTTACATTTATCACAAAGTGTGTCTATTTTAAGAGATTTGTAAATAAGCATAGTTATTCACTTGCCAAGAATAATAACTGTCATGCTAGCAAAACAACGTTTTTAATCAAACACTACTAATACACACAATACAAACAGGGTAGCCTATTCATTATCAGCCAACTTTGATGCATCAAACCCCTCTGTTTTCATGTGTTTCTTATCATAAGCAGGACTAGGATTATTCCAGCCTTCAGTTTCAGATACATTCAAATTATCTTTAACCCAATGAGCAAAAGGATAATTGGGTTGGGTCTTCAACGGTGTTTCATCAGTTATAATACCCAAATCTTTTTGTCTTTGGATCAATTCATCAAGATATGGTGCCAATTTATCTCTAATCATTTCGAAATTTTTGTACTTGAGAATATCCTCAGGTCCTTCATATATGACTTTTTTCAAAAGTGATGGAATCATTGGTTCATCTTTCATCTCTTCAATTGAGTAATAAACAGGATGGTTTGTGAAAATGATAGCTCCAGTCTTAGGTAACCGACGCAAGGTTTGTCTTTCGACACGAACATTGAATTGACGGGGCTCAGCTGCTTCAAGATCCTTTTCAATATTTGGTTTGAATTTCTCAACCTGGTAAATATTGCTGACTTTTAATTTGGAATCCCATGTAATGTACCAACTCGCTCTTTCGACTGGATCCTCAGGTCTCATTCTACCAAACCATCTCTCCATCGACTTTTTCAAACTCTTTTCATAGTAAGGCACCTTCAGGTGGATCGTATCAATGTGTTTACCCAATTTATCTTTGATAAAAAATGAACCACCTGGGAAGGGAACTGCACCAGCAACCATATAATGCAAGCCATCGTTCGGGTTTTTCAAAACAACGTAGAAATCCTCTTTAGCTAATTTGGATACGTAAACTAATGGCTCCTCCTTGAGGGGTCTTGTCATGTCCAAAACTTCCTTGGTAACTTCGTTTCTCAAAATTTTACCTTCTGTTTCCCAGTCACCATCCTTGACAACAGTAAACAACAAAGGATACCTCTCAATCATATGATCAACAACCATCTCCATTAGCTCATTACAGGCGTCACGGCCTTCAGGTAACATACCAAAGTTTTCTTCTCCAAACTTGAGTCTTATCCTCTCTTTCTCGTCGATATAGTGTTGATAATACTTGTCCATATCAAGCCAATGGTTAATATCCAATTTGAAAATAGACATTGTCTGATGGTAAGGCCAACGGAATGGTCTCCATGGTCTGTCGTCATAATTCTTGACCTCATCAGGTGTGATCCTTAAAGGGGTAGGTTTTTGAATTGTATCGTTGGTCTTTCCATAGACTGGCGTGGGCTTGAGATTGGGTTTGGGATTGCTTGAGGATAAAGTTCTCTCCTTATCAGAAACAACGACCTTATTTGTAAACAACGGCTTATACAAGGCTCTTATTTGGTTGCGTGCAAGGTACAAGATCAAACCTAAACACACCAGTAGTGCGGTAAACCCGGTTGGATCAGACATTAGTTGTTTGGAAATGTGGTTGTAGTCGGTAGTTGTGGTTTTGATTTGTCTAACGTTGTTTTAAAAGCGTCATGTTTTAAGCACTTATATATATAAAAATACTCGTTGATATATATTTCTCAATACATGGATATAATGTTCAAATTAAGTAATGATAATGTACATTGTATTATTTTTTGCACCTTAGCACCATACAAAAGTTCGATAAGGAAAATATTAGGTATCCCCTCCATAAGTTTTGTGCAACCATTTTATGTTTTTTTTTTCTCTCTTTTAATTGCGCTCCTCATTGGATTTTGCAACCTAATTAGGATATCATATACATATACGAGTGAGAGATATCACTAATTAAAAACAAAGAGCCACATATCGAAACCCACCAACCACGAATTTTATTTTAAAACAATGCGACTGCTAGAAATAAAAAACTAACCCACAAGTAAAAGCAAACGCCCATTTTAATCACTTCGTGCACTCATCTTACATACGCTTGCTCAAATTTGAAAAGTACAGCTTGTCTATCATACTCGTCATTACATTCCTCCAACTGTTTAATCAACGGCTCCACTAGCCCCTTTAACCATTTACATAATTCAACTTTGTTGTTTGCATATTGCATAGATATGAATTGATTGAAGGTTTGATTATGGTAATGAAGATCATAGTACTCCGATGTTATAAAGTTGGCGATTAGTGAATGATAAGTATGATTCATTTTCAAGTCACCAATGAATGGGTTCAGTATACCTGCCGCCATGTTTACTTTTTTTTTGAACATCTTGTCATTTAATAGGGTAAACACAGATTCTTGCATACTTGGTGACAATCTCGACTCAATGAGGAAGTAAAGGATCATATATCTGTAGTATCGGTGCCCAAGTTCACCATGTTTGAAAATCGCTTCAACAATCTGTTCTTGTTTAATTCCAATTTTGTTGAAAAATTCGGTGGCAATCTTATGATTGATTATGAGAAATTTGTTCATATTAGACTCGAGATTGAACTTTGGCGGGCTCATCTGAGTCAACTTGTAATTCCAAAATGTTTCTTTAGGTCCATCAAGGCGGAACTTCAACTTGGCATTAAACTGAACTCCCATAAATGATTTATCCATAGCCTCTTCTCTCGTGGATAAATCCCGCACAATGCGCTCTCCCATTGTTTCATCTGCTATATCGTCTAGTAAATATCCAAGTAGAGTCACATTATCAAATCCATAGGTTCGTAAAAGTTTTTCTTCGAATAGTCCAAGCCATTGTCTATACGACCCCAATGGTAAATTCATATGGTACTTGATGTTTAAATAGGACAAGTATTCCATTGCTAGATTGTAATAACGTGCACTGTCCATTTCTGAGAAAGACACGGACACACTTTCCAATTGTTCCAAGTTTTCACTGGTGGCTCTTCGACCAGAAGATGAAGGCAATGCATTCAAATATTCCTTTCGCTTCAACAATTGTGACCTCAATTCAACAAGAAAGTCATCTATATTCTGCCAATCCAACTGATTTACCACAGTGACAACTTTTGTAGTCAAGTCATGACACCAGGTCTCTTTTTGTTCTTCCGACAAACAGGCAAATAACTGATTGAATTGATTGAATGATAATAATTGTTCCTCCTGTAATCTTTCGATATCTCTCATATACGATAGTCTTTCTTTTTGATTTTCAAAATATCTCATCAAATCAACAATATACGATTTAAATGAATGACTTTCTATAACATCCCCAAGTTTCTTTATTTGGGAATTGGTCAAAGTCGTTAAATGCATTCTTTCTAGAGCCAATCGGATGAAATATGAATAGGAAATGTGACCAAAAAGTTCAAAATTTCGAATGGTCAACTTCAAAAACTTCCCACTGGAAGAAGTGCCAAAATATATGTGTTTGCTTAAAAGTAAAATTCTATTAATCAAGTTGGAATTAACAACAGGTGGTAGGATTTGATATGGCGACATTTTTTTGGGAGTATGGTTGCAAATGACTGGTAATTGGAAATTAGATGCAGCAAAGACACTGGCTAGTCGTAGTTTAGTATCCATGCTAAGCTTAGGTTCGTCAAACCCCAACAAGTCAAGTGCATACTTTTTGTAATCCTTGGCTATCAAATTACCCAAGTTCGCCATATTTGTTTCCTCATTTAACTCAGGGAAACGATTCTTGACCAAAAGGAGCGCATTTTTCCTCTGTACGACATGGCCCTGAAGTAATTCGGTTCTTTTGCCAATCAACTTTATAGTATACTCGGCGAATTGAAACCACTTTACTGGCTTGCCAGTGATCTCTTGTGTATTAGATGTGACAGTTACAATTTCATTTACTTGTTTGGGTGTTGGTATATTCATATATTGATGAGCCCTCTTCGGTTGTTTGGAGTTTTCAAGAAATCTTGCTAGTCCGTGAATGAAATGTGGCGATAATTGTCCATTTTCCACAACCAAAGCACCCAAATACTGGTAGAAAATACGTTTAAAATGAAGTTCAGTATGCAAAGTGTTCTTGATGACATTCCTAGCATGATTATCCAACACTTTGAGTAAGCCAGTGGTAGTAACAAGCAGTGAATAATTCAACTCATCCTGTTTTAAATCTTTTCCTAAATATGCTTGCCAATAGGTTTTTAAAGCTTGCAATCCTATTTGACGCAAATTGCTCAATTGTTCTTGTACTATAGCTATGTTACACTCCTTGTCAAACAAGATTGCAGCACATTTTTCAATTCCGTATGCGTTTCCACAGAATAGCAAAGGACTAAGCTCAACAATATGAGTGAATTTGTCAAGTTCTAATACTTCATTGTAAAATTCATCTTCCAATTCAAATCGTGGGTTAGAATTGTCGTATATCATAAATGTATCAATGGTGTCACCAACTGAAGGCAGATCCAATTGCATGTTGAGATTGGCTAAAGCATTTCTATTGTTGTCAATTGTCTTCTTTAAAATATCACACTCCTTCTTTTCAGCATCGGGCTCTGGGGTAAGAGAATCACGTTGGTCCTTGGTTTCCTTTATGTCACCGATAGGGAATACTGTGTTGATCTGCTTGTTAACCAATTTGTATCTGTCCTTGTATTGAGGATCTCCTAGACCTGGAAATAGTAAATTAATAGCGAGATGGATTGTTTCTCTCTTTTTGAAATCTGTTGTCGATTTATGTCGTATAGATATCAATGATTTCCATCTCTTGATTAGAATGGTTGGATCAGGTAGTCGTCTCCTATAGCATCGTAGTGCTAGCATCTACTTGGTCTATGCCTTCAGCTCTGCGAAGATTGTAAAATATTATTTGGTTTCGAAGTTTCACCACACGCATTGATACTCCAAAACAATAATAGTCGAACTACGTCAAACCCTACAATCTTACTCGCAAAAACTACACTAAGCTTAGTTCGTTACTAGTTTTATATATTTAAATTGGTTTTCTTTGCTTAAAATACAAAAAGGTTTTAGTACCTATTCGTCAACTATGATACGATGAATAAATGATGAATATTAAATAGCACCAAGGAATAATGAGATGATGAAAACGTGATGATGACAATGTTTGTAAAGTAAAATAACAAGATTATAATCTTCTACCTCTTCTACCACCCTTTCTTCTAGTAGAATCTGATGGAACTGGAGTAACATCTTCAATTCTTCCAATTCTCAAACCAGATCTAGCCAAAGCTCTTAAAGCGGATTGACCACCTGGACCTGGGGTCTTGGTCTTGGTACCACCAGTAGCTCTCAATTTAATGTGAACGGCTGTAATACCAACTTCTTTACATTTGGCAGCAACATCTTGAGCAGCCAACATAGCAGCGTATGGAGATGATTCATCTCTGTCGGCCTTGACTTTCATACCACCAGTAACTCTGGAGATGGTTTCCTTACCGGATAAATCAGTAACATGGACGAAGGTATCGTTGAATGAAGCGAAAATTCTGGCAACACCAAAAACTTGTGAACGGTCTAGAAATAGAGGGAAAGTTAGTACAGAATTCAGGACTGATAATGTAATGGCTCTTGTGAATGTCATCGTGGTGATATTGAAAATCGTTTGCTAAATGAAATGTTGATGACGTCTGATAACTTCCACGCTCCAGTAAGAGTAAGTGGTTCCGTATCTGCTTAATAATGTAGGTTCCTTATCCATTGAAATAGTTGTTGATTCACACCTGAGTTGACATCGGTTGAGTGCTTTCGCAGTTGAGATGGTCTTCAGATGGTCTTCTTTCAATGTTACTCGTGACTCTCTCCCACTCGTGGTATTCCCCCCATATGGACACTCCGTTTACAAGGCCATTACCTGTCTTATTCTCCCAAGGTTGCAACTAAACATACCAGTGGACATATTGGTGATTGTTGTGATTGAATGTGACTATCAGATCTTTCAAGCAGTTAAAAATTTCAATTTTAATTTTTTCCCAATAAACTCATTTGGTGTGTCCTTTGTTTGTAGTGCGCACAACAGAAGAAAAGGGAGCAGAAAAAAGGAAACGCACGTGTGAGTAAATAATTATGGCTGTAGCCCTAGTTTCTACTTTAACGATAAGAACGATGTTTAGATCAACCTGCTTAGTACTACAACAAAGGCAGAGTATTAGAAGCGTCTCTACAATTAGACCCTAGTCAAAAGATATGACAAGATGCTATATTAGTTTTGGTTCTGATTATTGTTCCTATAGTACACATGATAAAGGTTTTCTGCTTATAGCTTCATTTTCCCCCTCTATTTAGTCTCTTAATAAACGAAACCCAAGATCTTACCAGAAACGTGCTTTCTTCTAGCTTCTTCGTGGTCCATGATACCAGCAGAAGTAGTCAAGATAACGTAACCGAATTGTCTAGCTGGTAACAAGTTGTCAGTCCATCTTTCAATATCACCAATCTTGACGTTAAATCTTGGTGAAATGACACCACATTTATTTAATCTACCGTTTAATTGAACAACAATTTTACCTGATCTGTGGTCATCAATGTATTCAAATTCTCCAATGTATCCGTGTCTTTGCATAACGGTCAAAAATCTGATGATAACCTTGGATGATGGTCTAATGAGAACTTGTCTCTTACCGGTCTTTTCGGCGTTGTTGATGGCGTTTAAAGCATCAGCTAAGACTGAGGTTCTAGTCATTGTTAGGTATTATATATAACTGTAGATGTAAACGGGTGGTGAGGTTGATGCTACACTAGAAGTAAAAAAAAAAAAAACTGAAAATTTCACAAATTTTTCACATACAGTTGTGTGGGTGCGTGTGAGTTAGAGAACGAAGAAAAATTTCCAATTGACTGGTGCGCTACCAATAAGCTAAGAATGAGAGAGCGAGAGAGAGGAAGACAAACTCAAAATTTTTCAAAAAAAAAAAAGTTTTAGTTCAAAAAATTTTCTCCTCTAGAACCCATAGAGTTTGATACATCAACGATGCCTGTATGTACAGAACAAAACACTTGGTTGGAGAAGAGAGGGGAGTGAGATAATACCAGTTATATTGGACGAGCACCTAAGTCCGAAAAAGCAACTGCTTCACAGTTGATTTAAGAGTTGGATGTAGTGAGGCAATTAGTTCAGCTCTGTTTCGATGGAATGGAGTCCAGAACAGACTGGTACACCAGTGGAGATATGCACACATCCTCACTCCATGTCCTAGGATGGACCATAACAGTGTACTAACTTTTAATTTCCTATAGTCTCAAAAATCATTCAGAACCAAGCAAAAATTGGCCAAGGCTCAAAAACAAAACAGACCATTGCCACAATGGATCAGATTGAGAACTGACAACAAGATCAGATACAATGCTAAGAGAAGACACTGGAGAAGAACTAAGTTGGGTATCTAAGTTAAGCTAGATATAAACATCTTTTATCATCACATTTTACGACCAAACCTGATCATAGCTAAAATCATAACCTGACCTTTTGTTCATCTGTTATTTTTTATATTTTTATTGTGAGGGAATCCATTGTATATGTATATTCGATGTCTCGACATTGTTTGCTGAAAGCTTGTTTGAAAATGGAAATAATTGTGTAGTATTTACGAAATGATTTCAGATAGTACTATGCTCTTATATTTGTATATGTATAGTGGATTTTAAAACAATTAATATAACCTTATTAGCATTAGAGAAGAGTCTATACAAATGTAAAAAATGGAGTAGTTTTATAAGTGTAGATGCGGCCCAACTTTGGTGGGTAGAGACTTTTTGATTGACGAAAACTCGAACTCAACTACTCGAACTCTTCGTAGTCAAAACCGTGTTACTCTAACCCAAAGCACTGCTACATTCAAAGTCTGGAATTACCTTGTTCTCTTTCTTTTTATATAAAACACAATAAATCACCAAAAGAATATACCATCTATACTATACAACCCTTCTCTGATCTTCTCTTGTTTTGTCCGCATACTAGTATGCCCTCCTTAAACAATTCCTTCATCTTCAAAAACAGTTTCAATTGGCTTCTCCATCAACGAAGCATGAGCACCCACGCCAACAATACTCAGTCCAATCAACCACATCAAAGTAGAAACAGGACTAGCAAAAAAACCCAAGGGAACAGCAATAATCAATAACCCAGTATACAACTGTGAAGTGTTTAATCTACCAAAAGGAGTCACCAAATCCTCACCATTTAATCGATTAATGGCCCATACACCAAATATAACAAATCCCAACACAAACAACAAGATCAAATTGGTGACAAGGGCATAAACACTTAAACAAGCAACAATAGTCAAATAGTTGGCGGAAAAATAGCCTAAATTGTAACTAACACGTTGTTGAATTTCACCAAAGTTGGCTGGTTTCGAAACACGTCTGAAGTCAAAAAATTCTTGTGGTGGACGTAATTTGGAAATGGTTGATTGCAAGGACGCAAAATCTGATTTGATTCTTTCAACGCTGAATCTATCTGAAAGATTGGCAAATTGCTAAAAGAATGAATAGTTAGTACCTTAGCTTTTGTTGGTTGGTTTGGTGTTTGAAACATACCGATAAATTTAAAAGTTGGGACATGTTCTTTCTTTTGTTGTACTTCTTTGTTTGGTTCCTTGGGTAATTTAAAGTTTGATGTAGTAGTAAATCTTAAGGGGTGTAGGTGGTATGAAGTTAACTGTCAAGGATGATTATGGTTCTAAAAGGGTATTTATTGAATTATAACAATTATTAAGTCGTTTTGGTTTTTTTGTTTTTTTTTTTTCGACTCTTTCTCTCTTTCTCTCTTTCTTGTGTGTTTACGTGTCATGGATTTTAACAAAGGTACACACGACTTTCATATTTTCAGCCTCCTTCTTCATTCTACATTATCTTGAGTCAGTCACAATCTGTCCTGGTCTTTATAAATACATGAAAGCCGGCTAGACATTAAGCCGCTCAGCGTTGTAGTTGTCTTCTATCTTCTCTAATATCTAAGGAACTGTCTTTTATACGGAAACAAATGAGCACCTGCTACCTCCTTATTATTTTTAAGATATGGTATCCTGCCTCAGAGTGCTACCAAATTTGCATAAGTCAAATCTCAATTTGACAAAACAAAAGTCTATTATCAAGACTATTCTAATCTCCAGGCTTTTGATTTTGAATGGGTAGCATATTGTACTCCAACGGCTTTGAAATCTGTGGTGTGCTTGATCTACAATCATTCACCTCCAATTAATGCAAAAACAAATTATTACGTATGTATATATATATATATATATATATAGTTATATACGAGCTTTGGCCCACTTAAAGATCTACCTAAACGGATTGTTAAGTGAATATTGTGAATAATCAACAGTCACAAATTCATTCAATCGAGCATTTGTAGCCATAGACCCATCACCACCATGATGATGATGATGATGAGGGTGGTGGTTGCCGTTATTGTTCCCCACAACACCACCGCCCGTACCGGCACCAGCACCACCATTACCGGCAACTCCAGCACAATCACCACCTAATCCATTATTATACTGTTCATTCATGGCTAGTTTATATTGATGGAGTTTTTCTTGATAAATTTCAATAATTTGTCCGAATTTAGAACAATATCGTTGATGGATCCTCAATTTCTCAATCAACTCATCATCTTCGTCATCTTCTTCATCCTCGTTGTCATCTTCATTTCCATCATGGTGATGTTTGTTGGTTCCACCACCAGTTGAAGATTGTTTTTGAAAAATTTGATATATTTCATCATTAGCCAAATCCTGATTAAAAATAATAATCCAACTATTAATCATTGTCTCATAAGTTAAATTTCGCGTATATTGAAATTCAGAATTGGTGAAATTGGGCAACTTGTGAATTAAATTAGTCAGTTCATGTAAAAACCACAACGACGTCAACAAGTCATGTTGGTTAGGTGGCAAGATCCATAGTATGTAATCCTCCAAGCAATTCAAAAAATCAATTAAATAAGGCTTGATTCGCAAATACGAGTAGTCGGAACTAGCATCGCACTTATAAGGTAGATGGTTGATTATAGAGTCGTGTTTGGTATTAAGGATGGCGAGGATGTTGGATATAGAGGGTGGTTGGGATATTTTGGTTATGGTCTTGTTGAGTTCGGGGTGGATGTCCATTAGAGAGTAGATTAGCTTGGTTAGCTCGGGTTTGTCTAATGTTTCAATGATTCGTGTTGGTGGTAATGGCTGACCAATGATTCGAGGCGTTTTACTTCTCTTGTGTTTCGAGGTGGATGATGACGATGAAGTTGCAAACTTACATGTACTGTTGGTGTTGTTTTTAGATGAAGACGAGGTGAAATTGAATTGTTTGCGATGGTTATGTAATTTATCTTGAAGCGTAAATGATTTGCCAGGCCTTGCTGTTGCTGTTGCTGTTGCTGTTAATGTGGTTTCTTCACCATCTCTATATTCTTTGTCTTCAGCGTCAACCTCGCCATCGTCTATTCTTTTCCTCTTTTTCGATGCATGTTGCGATGATAGGCTAGACTGTGAAATTGTCCGTGGCGTATGATGATAACTCTGGCTTGACAAAGACTGAGTCTGATTATTGCTAATATGTTTCTGATTATTGGTGTTGTTAGTGCTGCTGCTGTTGTTATTGACTCCCCATTGGAAACCAGCTGACATCATATTGAAACTATGCAAGTAGTTTATATGTTTTGGTTATAAGTTGAATATATATAGTACGAAAGGCGTTAATTGCGTCTTAAAAAAATAATAATATGGCTCTATGTCGTATGGTTTTGAAATGGAATACAAAGGAGAAGTAAGAATCAAAGTAGTTTTGTTGATGTGATGCTTTGTTGTTTATGACGGTTGTCACTATCTCGGTAAATGATATATATTTGTATATGTAGGTTAAAAGTGCTCTCTTCACTGTAAGTGTATGATGATTAATTATTCCTTCTTCTGGTTACAGTTGGGTGAGATTTTTTTTCTCTTTCTTCGTCTTCAGAAATAAAAAGAAATTTCTACCAGCACTCTGGTAGCGTTTTGATAGAACCACTTTTGCTGCACAGTGAGAACTACACTTATGAAAAGACAGAGTCACTGCATCTGTTACTACTCTTATACATGTTGTATCCAAAACGTTTATATCAAAAAAAAATAATACTTGAACCATATATATCTTTTATACAGAAACATCCTCTCACTCTTTCTCTCACTCTCTCTTTTCTTTTTTCTCAATAATAATCATTACCTTCAACTTCACTGTCAGTTATACTTAAAGCATCGTCATCATCATCATCATCTCCACCAAATGCCGATTCACTTTCAACGTCATAATCAGCTTCATTGAACTCTTTGAATCTATTTCTTTTCATTTCAACATCGTCTAAGTCATCAGAATTTGTACCTATTCCACTCTCACCTGAATTGGTAAAACTTCCACTAATGGCTACTTTACCGGATGAGGCTGTTGGTGGTGGTAGTTGTTCTTGGTTTTCTTGTTGTTGTTGTTGTGAAGTTACACCATCAGTTGTCTGGCTTGGGTCATCATTGGTGCCTGCACCACCGTCACCTCCACTTCTTCTTTGTTCCTCTGCCTCTTGTTCTGCTTCTTCCTCTTCTTCCAATTCTTTTTCTTCCAAATCAATCTTAATTTCTTGTAAAATATCAAAACATTCACTTAATAATGCACAAACAGCACCTTGACCTTCAGGTACCGTTTGATGAACAATAAATTTCCCATCCTTTCTCAAATTATCAATCGACCCCAATTTGAATTGGAAGGGGTACAACTCGCGCAAATTGTTCAATCCATCAACTCGTTTTAATTCTAATAAGCATCTCTTGACCGTTTGTAATTGATTATGTATCGGTGCTAAACTTTCACTAACTGGTTCACTGCTTTCCAATAACTTATACACTATTGAATAGCATTTTCTTAATAAATATAAAATCAATGTTTGATATTTTTTATATTTACCCTTGGGTGTTTGATTGAATATTTTAATTCTTGAATCATCAATTGCTTTCAATGTCTTTTGATAGTTGTATAAATCAGTCTCTCTTAATGTCCATCTTCTAGTTAATAATAAATTCTCCAATGTTGATTTCATATCTTGCAAATCCTTGTATACTTGATCATATTGCAGCTTCAACTCGGGGTTGGATTTAGCATAATCATCATCAATTTCCAATGCTTTCAAGTTAAAGGCCTGGTTGTGGATTAACAAGTCGGATATCAAGTTGTTACAATCATCACTTAACCCATTAAGCACAGCTTGTATCGAATCCAATTGACGTTCATCGTGGACTTCATTACTATAGAACTTACCATCGGATTCATCACGCAACTTTTCAATTTGTTTCAATTCATTTCTATATCCCGTAAGCTTCTCCTTCATTTGATTACGTTTAGTTTCATCGTCGGTGGTACCACTTTTTCCCTCCCCTCCTTCTCCTTCTCCTTCTCCTTCTCCTTCTCCTTCTCCTTCACCTTGGCCAAAATCAGTAACAAAAGTCAATAATTGATGCCTCAAATCAATCAATTTATCATAAATTGGTTCCAAATCATGAGGTATATTTTCAAAATTGTCAACCAATTCCTTAAATAAATTTTCACACTTGATCAACTTGTTTCGTAATAAGGTTTCTTCAATTTGATGATTTTGCAGCAATTTGCCGCCACCGCCGCTATCTGCTGTAGTATCTTCGTCATCTTCTTCGTCATCATCAGCAGCATACTTGTCTTGACTTGATAGTATAATCTCACTGATTTCCAGTAATCTTTGACCCACTGGTTCTAAATCAGCCATGGTATAAACTTTACATTCTTTTAAATGTGTCAACAATTTCATCACCGTACTTAAACTTGAATATGTAGCAGGAGCGAACTTGATTAATCCACAAGTGACAAAACATAAACTCAATAGTTGAAATATATCATCAATTATTGAATCATTGCTATTTGGTAAATCCAACTTCATCCCCTTCAACTCTTCATCCTTTCTTGTCAATTTCAATTCGTTTATTGAATCAAGAAACGTATCATATATCGAATAAACTTGCTTCAGATCAATGTATTTATTTCGATTATTCTTAATCTCAAGTAATTTCCTGTACAATGCCATAAAATTTTCATAGATTGACCGTTCATAGGATGGAACGGAAGGTTTACTCGACGAGGGCGACGACGATGAGACTGCTGCAGCAGATGAAGGTCTAGATATTGACTGTGCGTGTACTGATGCAGACAGTGGAGTTAATGAAGAATGCCCAGTAGTTTGATCAGCTGTGGTAGCAGCAGCAGTAGTAGTAGCACTGATTGCCGGCAACCCCGATGGAGTGCCTGGACGAGAATGTGGGGTAACTAGCCCTGAATGTGTCATTGGCGTATAGTTGTTTGGTGTGTAGTTTTAGTGTCTTTAGTTGATTCAATTGTTTCCTGATATGTATGTATGTATATATATATATCTACACCTTTCTATTGTGTGTGTTGCTTTGTTTTGTTTAACCACGTTGGATGTAGAAAAACAGGTGGTTTTAATTTGTTGCAGTGAGAGAGAAAAAAAAAAAAAGAAAAAAGAAAAAAATAAAGGCAAAATCGCTGGCATGATTTTCATACTCTAATTTCCCGGGAAACAATTTTCTCGGACGGATAAAATAGGGACAACAAAAACTAAAAATAACAAAATCGGTTCTTACTTTGCATATATATTCCACAGACACATGCATATACAGTAACAGTGTAATGGCAATAAGGTCTATCATGGTATTATACACATTCATATGTACTCACTCTATAAAGTAAAAGTAAGCAAAAAAAAAAGCAAGACTATTCTTAAATCAAATCATCAAATTCATCCTCATCATCTTCGTCGTCGTCATCTTCATCGTCATCATCGTCATCATCATCTCCTTCTTGTTCAGCAAGTTGCGCATAGTATTGCGCCAATGCATTCTGGGCTTCTTGATCCTTGATATCAGCATGTGTGTTATTGCTGAATGCTGTTTGTTGAGGCGTTGTTGAAGATGTAGGTTCAGGTGTAGCTAATACTGATGATGCCTCAGTACCGTCATTTCCATCGTTCAACCCACTATTGCCTTCACCACTAGCCTCTTGTTTGATAGCTTCAGTGCCATTGTCATGGCCATCTTCAGCTTTAACTTTGGTCTCACCACTCCCACCTTCTTCATTATCTTCTTCCTTGACGCCACGTTCACCTCCATTGTCATCTTCTACTTCATCCTTCACATAATCAACATTCTGAGAATTACCAACAGTACTATTTGAATGCCATGAGGGCAATGCATTTTGTTCCAATTTTTGTCTTCTTCTTTCCTTTTCCAATTGTTCTCGTTCATAATTCTCATCATTGGCTGTAATTGAAACATGTAAAGTGGCTTGTGATCTAGCTGCTGCGTTTTGCATTGCTTGTGCATTTGATCTGGATTTGGAGCTGACCCTATTAGATAATGTATATTGAGCCGTTGTTGCTGATTGAGCGGGGATTGCTTGTAATAATGAGCTTTCAAAATCATTATCTTGTATTTGTTGACTATCATCAATAATTTTCAAATACTTTATAATAGGATCAATTTGCAACATCAAATCTTCCAATTTCTCTTGTTTCAATATTGCTTGTTGTGATGAATCATCTTCAATCAATACTCCCTGACATACATCACATATAAATTCAGTTTTATCTTCACTCAATAATGAAATAGCATCCAACTGGGAAACTTTTTTACCACATCTAGGACACACATACCCTTGAGGATTACCGAAACTTGACATTTCTTGCTTTAATTGATTGACTATCGAGTGGACTTTCCATTTAATCGAATCAATGGCTTCAGTAATGTGAATATAAAAATAGGTTCTAGTGATGTACTTTTGTTGTCCATTATCTTCTCGTTGTATGTGGTTCACCAATAGTCTATCTTCAACTAATCTATTGCAAAGGGACCGTAACTCTTTTCGTTTAATTCCAATCAAATAAATTAAATCATCTTCTGATAGTACAGAATGACGCAAGACTGCATCTAAAATCAAGACATAAGGCGTGCTATAAAACCCTCTGCTAACAAATCTGATTAAAGATCTGACTGAATCGTCCATGAAAAAGGAAAAGAAGTTGGATGAGGTTGGGTCAGAATGAAGGAACCGGTCAGTGAACAAAAATTGTGATCTCTCGTAAAACTTTTGGTTGAGATTTTTTTCTCTCGTCTTTTCTGTCCTGTGTGAAAAAGGTCGTGCACTTAGGTCAGCTTTGCAGCTGGTGTGGCTAGTAATGAGGTTGATTTGGGAGGGTAAGAGGGAGCGGAAAGAACTATCGTTTAGATTACTTAGATAATTGCTGATGAAGATATGGACTGCTAGAGGCACGTTAGTAGAATCCACCATCATTGCTTTGTATTATGGTGCTTTGTGTTTCTGTTGTCATCCAGGTTTTCAGTGATTGAAGAGTTGAACAAATATAGCTATCTAGGGTGTTAATAAGTTTGATAGTTAGCTTCTCAGTCTTATTAAGCAACGGCGGTCATTGACCAGATGGTATGTTTTGGTTTATATGTTTTTTCATCATTTTTGCAAGACTCTTACAGCAAACTGTTTCCTCGTACCCAAAATGTTAGCGAATACTTGAGCTTTTCAGAACATAACATTTACAATGAATCTTACCCGTTAAAGTTTTAATACTTAGGATAATTTTGCAAGGTCCATCTTTGGTCACTACTATACCGTGATCTAAGCAAATGATTAGTTAGAGTGACTCTACAGATGCTACCCAAAAAAAAGAGGTGGCTACCATTGCAAGTTTTGGCAGCCAACTTTGGTAGTTTTCAAGTAAGCTTAATTACATTAGAGATAACTAAAGTAATTATAAAAAGTGCTAAGTGATACAGTTTTCATGGCTAATGATCTATCAAGAGGTAGGGTCCGTAGGTAATACTGTGTCAGTGTTTGATAGACTGTTCAGTAGATTCACCTGACAGCAAAAGAAATGGCATAAACTAGAAGATTGCTCATTTATTAATAACAAAAAATTGAATCTCTTTCTCTTAAGGAGGGGGGCACCACGTGATACTGTACAGACGTGTTGTAGTAACTTTACTTTACCTTTATCTTTATCTTTATCTGTCTGTGTTACATTGAAATTGGAAATTAAAAATTCAGATGATTTAAATATTCAATTTCGCGTTTTTTGTGTAATTTCAAATTAAAAATTTGATGAATGTAAAGGGCGTATAGATTCATACGTTTTGTGTAACAAAATGCGTGTTTTATTTTCTCTGTTTGTGTGGTGTCACTCATAAACACAAACAAAAAAGAAATATATATATACATTTATGACGCGTATTTTAACTTAATCCATTCTTCAGGTTTTAACAAAGAAAACTTTACTTTGCTTTACTTTACTTTACTTTACATTGGGAATTCTTTTGAATGAAATTTAGCAACAGTTGCTGTGAAGAATTAACTTAAACACTTGAACACACTTAATTTCAACTAAATCCACCCACCACAATCAAAATCTATCACCATTAACTAACATCCCCCTTATCTATCAGTCTTTTTAAATATATATATATATATATATTTATATATTAGGAGAAAGAACAAAAAAGCATTAGAAGAAGAACGTCCAATAAGTCATCTGTCTATCTATCTACGCATCACTTGTCTTTTTTGCTAGCTTTTACTGCAGTTTTACCACCACACCACCTATCAAACCATCTTTAAAAATCTTTTTTAGACTTTGCTTCACTCACATTTACTTCATCCACACCAACCACCACCACATACCATTATCACCACTGGGGAGAATTTGACACACCACTTTCCCGTCAAGCATGTCATCCTTATTTGCCACTGACAAATCGTCCAGCAGAATTCCTTTACTGGAATCAACCAATAATTATGGAAATATTTACAACACTGATACTACAGCAGCTACAACCACAACTACAACTACCCCATCAAAGTTAACCAAAAACCATACCACTTCCTTATCAACACAAACACCTCCTAGTACTGCCACCACTACTTCATTGAAAAGAATGAATCAAGGGGGATTTGATATATTTGGGTTTAATACCCCATTACGTACTACTCACTTGGATCCAACATTTTTATCGACTATCAACTTTGATCTGAATTTTTACAATATGCAATCAACTTATTTATCCCCTGCATCTTCATCACCTCAACAACAGCAAGAGCAAGAGCAAGAGCAAGAGCAAGAACAAGAACAACAAAAGCTGCAACAACCACAGTTGACGGAATCTGGAAAGGAGAAGGGATCACCTTCAAATAAGAAGAAAAGGAGACAGTCCATCACCGGAAAGACTGAGTCTACAACTGGCATTGAGCCTAGTGCAAACACCACCACCACCACGAATAAACCATTCAGCTTATATTCCGATGAAAAACCTCCTTATTCGTATGCCACTCTTATTGGAATTTCAATCTTATCCCATCCTGAAAAAAGATTAACTTTATCAAACATTTATCAATGGATTTCAGATACTTTTAGATTCTATAAAAAGGAAGATGTTGGTTGGCAAAATTCAATCAGACACAATTTATCCCTTAACAAAGCATTTGTTAAAGGAGAAAAATCTAAAGATGGTAAAGGTCATTTTTGGTGTATAAAGCCAGGATTTGAGGAACAATTTTTGAAAAGCAGAAGTGTTAAAAAATCGTCATATCATGAGGTTATGGATCAAATTCACTATGCTACCAAAATCAATGCTGCTATAGCTGCTGCCGCTCAAGCATCAGCAAACCCAGCTGAGGCCGAAGGAAAAGAAGAGGAGGAAACTAGAACTGTTTCAAAAAAGAGGACGAGAAAACAGCCAATTACGTTGATGTCTTCACCTACTTTACCTACTAAAAGGTCACCTGGAGATGAGCAAAGGGAACAGGAAGCTAGCGATTCTGAAAATAACGACAATGACTATGGAGAAGAAGATTTAACTATATTGGACCCACCACTTAAAAAATTCAAGTCGCAGGAGAACAGTAATGATAACGCCGAAAACGAGGATGAAGAAGAGGATCTGTTATTTCAAACATCAACTAAACTGAAATCGGATAACAGTTATTTATTGGATTTACCATGGACAACAAACACGTCCTATACAGAATCACCAACTAAACTACCGCCAATATCTCATCTTACAAATCCAGTCTTGTCAACACCAAAATCGACACCAAAGGGCAGGTCACGTTCAAGTCACCGGAGCAGTAGCAGCAGCGGAAGCAGCCACCACAACGGCAACAACAACAACAACGTACCTCAATTTCATATATCTGAATCACCCGAAAATCCCTTACTTGCTGGCAAAAACTTGACATTTACTTCATCTTTCAGCTGTAATTCAAACTTTGAATTATCGCCATTGAGAACGAGTGAAACTGGACCATTGTTAGAGCCAGTGACACCGGCAAATAACAACTCAAAACGAGGTCAACATCAGATAGCTCCGTTAACCCAACAGCTGCAACCACTGCTGGCACTCCTGCTGCTGCTGAATCAACTTCAATTTAGCAATAGTATATTTGGATCAACTTCAAAACTGATGTTTATCTTGACTAAAACACCTAAATCTACAACCACGCCATTGCGTAAAACACCAACAACAAATTCAATAATTTCCTACCTTGAGGAATACTTCAGTCCTTTAAATGACAGCAACCATCAACATCATTTGCACAACCACCAACAACAACACCAGCTACAACAACCACCAATTCATCAATTACAGTATGCCAATAATTTACATATTCCCGCCCTGCACCCATTACATTATATTCAAACACCTCCATCAACAAGTGCAAACGGAAATGCAAACCCAACACCGGGTTCGCTCTTGATGCAACTGACGTTGTTATCAGCTTCTTCTTCGGCGTCTTCGTCATCATCATCATCTCACCTGAAGTTGAACAATGTGGTGGCTAGTAGTACTACTAGAAAAGACAGCGATGACAGCGACAATGAAAAGAATGACAGGTTTGCCATGTTCCAGTCAAGTCCAATCTTACGGCGTGGGTTTAGTGAAAAGACCAAGAATAAGAACTTGATTCAAGAATTGCAAAAGTTGCAACGCGAGCTGTAAAAATGAAATAACAGTGAGTGGTGCAATTTTGAATCCACATTCATTTAAGTATGGGTGATACACAAAGGAGGGAAAGATATACGGTTATTAAGGTAGGTTTTGGGTTTGTTATTTATATTCAATTTATAGGAGATGATGGGAACTTTATTAGATTTATAGTTACATACAACCAGGAATAAATGCAATTTTTTTTTTAAAAAAAACAGACTCAATCCCCAGAATCTTTCTTCTTCTTATCTTTGTTTACTCTTATTCTTATGACACACCTCACTGTTTCAATCACTCGAAGCACACCCGCGACATCCACAAGTGACGCACTCAACATCGACTTTATCGTCCTGGCCCCGTTTCAACAATTCCACTTTGGGAACTCGACAAATACACGTACCTCCTCCTCTTCCCGCACCACCAGCGTTTATGCATTGAGTACAACATAGTTTTTCATACCCTCGTTTATTCCATTTCGAAATCAATGAAGCATCAACGTAATCCTGTAGTGTTAACCATGTATACAACTCGTCACTAATTTTGGACCTGGCGTAGAGGTCGTGGACGTATCTGGTTACGTCGTGGGTTATTTTGTATATGGGCCATAGCGAAGTGGGTTTGGTTCCTGGGGCGGTTGATGTTGTGTTGGGGGTGGTACTGGTGTTGGTCGTTGCTGATTTTAGTTTTTGCTTGTATTTGAATATCGTGGGGGCGATTTTGTCGTAACCTGGTGGTGGTGGCGACGTTTTTTTGATTTTTGATTTAGATGATCGTGGCATAATGTGTTGTGGGTAGATGATTATACGAATGTGAATCTGGTGGTGTGTGTCTGTTTGTTGCAGATTTTGAATCGATGAATGCTTTCGTTTTTTTTACACAAAAAAGTTTAAAAGTTTAAAGCTGCAATGGGTGACTTATTTGAGGTGAAATGTACTCTTTCCGGGATTTCAAACCATAGATGAGGTTATATAACTATAGTTTAACGCTGACAAGATGGTGTTAAAAATGAAGCTTACCATATCTTATGCAAGAGGTTATGTGAACAAGTAAAAAAAAAAGAAGGAAACAGAAAAAAATATCGACAATGACAGGATTTGAACCTGTGCGGACAAAGTCCATCTGATCACTTGATTGAATACCAAATATTCAAAAGTTCGAGTCAGACACCTTAACCACTCGGTCACATTGCCATTAATAGTCACGCACTTAGCACCTGACCACTGGGCCACAAGGCCTAATTTTTTTGAAATTAAATTTTGGATCTTTTGTACGGGAAGGAAATTACGTACTTTTGATGAATATATTGAAGGGCTATTTTGGGTACCGACAATGCAATAAAGCTAAGTTTAGACTGAATTTGGTAATGAATGAAAGAAGAATTACGCGTTGTGTATCAAGAAGAAACTTTATTGAAAATGAAAGTGTTTCCTTCAGACAAACACCCTCTCCCAGCAACAGGACTAAAACTTTAGGACTTGAGTGTCCTGAATCAGGGACAGGTTGCAAAATAGCAAGAAATTTAAGTCTTTTGTTTGTGAATTGGCACATTCTGATAATGGATAAGTCGTTTTATGCCTTACCGATATCAAAATTTGGTACTGAAACGGAGGGAATATCCACCCTTCCTTTTACTTGAACCGCTGCCGTTAAGGCACAAGCAAAGTACCTTGTTCGTTCAGTAGCTACGTGTGTCGTACTTTACAGTGGAAACAAAACTTTCGCAAAATAAAGTCAAAAGTTGTGCCTCTTCCCCACTACAAATCTGAGGTTTAGAGAAAAAAAAACACTGTGTACACCCCACACAAAAAATATCAGAATTAGCGGCACCACTCAACCAACACAACTAACAAACACTATCTTACTGACACCCAAAACGTATTCTACATTGAAGATGATTCAATTGAAAGGTAAAAATGCATTGATCACGGGTGGAAGTGCTGGTTTAGGTGCAGCAATTGCCCACCAATTAGCCGCAGAAGGAGTCAATATAGCCATCAATTACGCCAACAACAAACACCGTGCCAACACATTAGCAGCCGAGTTGCAAGACAAGTATGGAGTTAAAACTATTGTTTTACAAGCTGATGTTTTCCAAATGAAAGAATTGAGTCAATTGGTTGAATCGACAGTTGAGCAATTGGGCGGCATAGATATTTTAATCTCAAATGCTGGATGGACCAAGTTTATTGAGTATGATGATTTAGACGGAATGGATGAGGAAGCATGGGATGGTACATTTAATGCTAATGTTAAAGCCCATTTTTTCCTTTTCAAGGCAGCTAAACCATACTTCGATGCTAATGAAGATGGTGGTGTATTTATCGCTAGTGCATCAGTTGCTGGGCGTATATCGTATGGATCATCAATCCCTTATGCAGTAAGTAAAGCTGGGTTAATACATTTAATTAAATTTTTAGCCAAGACCCAAGGACCCAAGGTGAGATTGCATGCAGTTTGTCCTGGATTACTTTTAACTGAATGGGGCAAGAAATTTCCACAAGACAAGATTGACATTTCTAAACTGAGATCGCCTATCGGACAAGTTACTGATGTTGATGAATGTGCTGCTCAATACGTGTTGTTGAGTAAGTTGGCTACATCTACTGGTACCATTGTTGGAATGGATGCTGGCATTTCATTGTGATGGGGAGGACACAGCAAAGGGAAATCACAGTCGGAGTGGGAGGGATAGCTATGCGATGTTTCCTATGGATGTATTGCTCGATAAATATTGATGGATAGTAGCGAATAGTGATCATCTACTATATTTTACGTGTTTTCTTTGTAAAAGATTAGTTCCAAAATCGTTGGGGAGAGAAGTGGCACTTCTCTCCGTGTACTATGTATGACACGTACTACCAATACACCTGGAATCACCTCTGCCTGCACTTGTTACTCATCATGTGGTGCTGTAGTATAATTTTAGAAAGAGTCACGTGAATAATTCAATTACATCATCAGTAATTACTCTATTACGTAATAGTACGCGCACTTTAAACTTAAAATTTCTTTTTTTTTTCTTTTCTCTGGTTCTGTCGTGTCTTGTGCTTCGTTTCAGGTTTGCAAACCAAACAAAGCCGAGGTCATCACATAAGGCTTTCACACATACATACACCTATATATATATATATTTAAGTTAATACTACAACCCAATGAGGTTACATGTTGGCGATGAGACCAATATCTAAGTACTGCAAGTAAGTAAATACAGTAATTTTAAAAAGTGTTACATTTTCTTTTTGGGAAAGGGGAAAGGGCTGTAACAGATTGCTACTGCATATAACTTAGAATTGATTTTGTTACCAAATTGAATTAATTGTAACAATAAAACAACAACAGTAATAGACAACAATAACATCACATACACAAACAAAACAAAAGAAGAAGAAGAAGAACAGAAGAAGAAGCAGAGCAGGGAAGGGGCGATGCCAATTTAATTTTCAGTTACCACCCTACTCAACAACTTCACACACACACACACACACACCCATACTCAACAAGAAGGGAGTGGCCAACACATATATCACAGATAGCCACTATAAGTACACACATCCTCCATCTTCGAAGAACCATTATAGAGACTGTACAGATCAGGAAGTGCAATTACCAAATCTATAACTAACAACAACAACCATGGTCGCCGAAAGTTCACTGTCTACGTCGACTGTCATATCTTCATTAATTGCGAATCTTGTGTTATTTGGTATATTTGTTACTTGCTTCATCTTATTACGATTAAAGTTCAAGCGTATCTACAGTCCTAAATCAGCTTTTGATTTAGTTCCCGAGGAAAAGAAGCCAGAACCACTACCCAAGGATCCAATCAGATGGATTTTCATTCTATTGACTAAACCAGAGTCATTTATCCTACAACAAGCTGGTTTAGATGGATACTTCTTCTTGAGATATATGAAGATATTTGGATACTTGTTTGGATTTGGATTACTCACTTGGATCATTTTGTTACCAATCAACGCATCAAATGGAAACCATAATAAGGGGTTTGACCAATTGTCAATTGCCAATGTAAAGCATGAAGAGAGATATTATGCTCATGTTTTCATTGGCTGGATATGGTATGGAGCTGTTGTATATACTATTTATCGTGAATTGTTTTTCTACAACTCATTGAAAAATGCTGTGTTATCAACCCCAAAGTATGCCATGAGCTTGCCAGGAAGAACAGTGTTGTTTCAATGTGTTCCTGACTCAATGTTGGATGGGAAGCAAGTTTTCAAGATCTTCAATGGAGTCAAGCGTATTTACGTTTCCAGAACATCAAAACAATTGGAAGATGCAGTAAACGCAAGAGCAGCAATGGTTAATCGTTTGGAATTAGCTGAAAACAAATTGTTGAAGATGGCTGTGAAGAACAAATTGAAGGCCGATAAAAAGGGCATAGCTTTAGAACCTGCCGACGAAATTAGTGCTTATGTACCGGAAAAGAAACGCCCTAGAACTAGAACTGGTGGGTTGTTTTCACCAAAAACTGATACTATCAGATATTGTCAAGAGCAAATCCCCATCTTGAACAAACGCGTCAAGGAATTACAAAAGAAGTTTAGACACACACAACCAAATAACTCTCTTTTTGTTGAATTTAAGGACCAATACCATGCACAATTAGCTTACCAATCAGTCGTCCATCATAACCCACTTAGGATGGCACCTGCCTATATTGGTGTAGCCCCAGCTGATGTTCAATGGAGAAACATGCGTATTTTCTGGTGGGAAAGACTCACTAGAAGAGCTTTGTCTTTTGCTGCAATTTGTGCCGTTATCGTCTTTTGGGCCATCCCAGTGGCATTTGTTGGTGTTATTTCCAATTTCAACTATTTGACAGATAAATTGCACTGGTTAAGGTGGATTGAAAATTTGCCAAGCCAATTGTTGGGTATTGTTACCGGTATCTTACCTACCGCTTTGCTTTCCATTTTGAATATGCTTTTGCCAATGTATATTCGTGCAATGGCCAAAATTGCCGGAGCTGTATCCTATCAAAGTATCGAATTGTATACCCAGCAGGCCTACTTTTGGTTTTTGATTGTCAATGGTTTCTTAATTACTGCATTGGCGTCATCGGCAACGGCAACTGTTACTAAAATTATTAAAGACCCCACTTCTGCTTTGAATATTTTGGCATCTAAATTGCCATTATCGTCCAACTTTTACATTTCATACTTGACCTTGCAAGGTATGGGTATTGCCGGTGCTTCTTTGTTTCAAGTTGTTGGATTATTTTTGTACTACATTTTGGGATATTTTTTGGATAACACCGTGAGAAAGAAGTGGAATAGATTTAGTGGGTTGGGAACAGTGGCATGGGGAACGGTTTTCCCATTATTTACGCAATTGGCGACAATAGCCTTGGCCTACTCCATAATTTCACCATTGATTATTGCTTTTGCATTAATCGGGTTTGCGTTGATTTATGTAGCATATTGCCACAATATCACCTATTGTTTTGTTGAAGGACCCGATACTCGAGGTCAACATTATCCTCGTGCATTGTTTCAAACATTTACTGGAATATACCTTGGACAATTGTGTTTGCTTGCCATATTTATTGTTGGTAAAGGATGGGGACCCATTGTGTTGCAAGCTATTGGGGTTTTGGCGACAATTTTTGTCCATGCCAATCTTCATCAATCGTTTAGTCACTTGTTGGAAGTGGTTCCCATGGATTGTATGCGAGCATTGGATGGAGTTTCACAAACGTGTTCATTCAAAGGTGAATCCGAATTTAAGCAACGTATTATTGACAATAAGAGACATTTCAATGATCCCAAATTTGAACAGAAGTATGCTGCTGAGAAGCAAGAAGAGGAGCAAACCAAGCAACGAGTACTTGACAAAGTTAAACAGTATGACCCGGAGGCCGAAATCGATACATCAAACATATCGGTGGTTCCATTGTTGGCTGATCGTGACATGAAGTCAACAAAATCAAACAATTTTCTCGTCCAATTCATCAGACCCGATGTGTTTTTAAATTTCCGTCATGTTAAAAAGTTGGTTCCAGCTACTTACAATGTTGAACCCGAGCTTAGTGATGACAAACATGCCTATGATGCCCCGGCAATTTCTGCTCAGTGTCCTGGTGTGTGGATACCTAGAGATCCAATGGGATTAGCTGATATTGAGGTGAAGAATTTGTCGAGTGTAGTCGATATCAGTGCTGACAATTCCGGGTTTAATGAAAAGGGAAAGATTGTGTATTTGGGTGAACCACCAAATTAGAACGAATGTATATAAGATAGTGAGGAGAATGAGTATGAAGTGTATGGGTTCGTCATAAATATATAAAGAGTTATTTTTAATAGATTCGATGCCAAGTTTAATAACTACTTGAGTGCTTTGGTAGTATTCTTGCGTGCAATAGCATTCATAACCTTTGTAGACATACTCGAGGACAGACTCGCTTAAAGCCGTGGATTAATCAAGAATCTCCGCCCTATTAGAAAAAATCTTTTGTTTTTTTTTATTGTTTTATTTTTTTATTTTTTCATATCCTGTTTTCATCTTTACCCCACCTGATTGTTTTTTTTTTTCAGTTCAATACAACTTTTTATAAAACAATATGATAAGATCTGTTTTAAATCGTAATCATAGATTTCCAATTTCCACCTTTAGATCAACCAAGTTATTGTCGCCAACAATTATGTCATCGCACTCGCCAGCAACACCAGCAGCAGCAGCAGCATTAGCTAGACTCTCACTAACTAACCAACATCTCATGCTATCACGTACAAATGCCACCAGCACAACCTCTTCGGCACCTGATTCACAAACCACGATTAAAACCACGCCAAGAGCACCACTTGTAATTCCAACGGGCCAGGGAACGAAATATACCGCTACATATGCCAACTATGCCACCACTGAAGCGGGCAAGATTATTTCATATTTCCACGATATCCCTCTTGATTTGGACCCAGCTACTAAAGAAGCAAACTTTGTATGCGAGATACCTCGTTGGTCAAATGCCAAATTTGAAATTGCCACCAAAGTCCCTGGCAATCCTATAATTCAAGATACCAAGAACGGTAAAGTACGATTTGTCAAGAATTTGTTTCCTCATCATGGATACATTCACAATTATGGCGCGTTCCCTCAAACTTGGGAAGACCCATTTGTGCAGCACTACGATTTATACGGTGATAATGATCCATTAGATGTGTGTGAGATTGGTCTGGATATCTTGTCCACCGGTGCAGTTAAGCGCGTGAAGATTCTTGGGTCATTGGCCTTGATTGACGACGGGGAAATGGATTGGAAGGTGATTGTGATTGATGTTGATGATGAACTCGCTCTGCAGGTTAATGATATAAGTGATATAGCCGAGTCGTGCCCTGGATTTTTGGAAGCGACAAGACAATGGTTTAGAGATTACAAGTTGGCTGATGGTAAACCAGCAAATGCCTTTGCGTTTGATGGGAATTTTAAATCAGCGGAAGAGACAATTAAAATTGTTCAGGAATGTAATGCCAGTTGGCAGCAATTGATTGCTGGCAAAGTGGCCAAACACGAGAAATTGCCCAGCATTTTGAATACCACAATTGATAGCTCACCCGGTTATGTCTATGATTTGCAAATAAAATTAACCAACCCTGTTCAACCCGATGGCCCAATGCCGGTTGACACGCACAAGAACTACTTTTTCAAAACCAATTGAGAAATAAAGGATTTATATCAATGCAATATAAATGATTAAATGTTTATTATTACACTTTGCATAATCTATGATAAAATATTCTTCATCTCTCTAACATCCTCAAATATCCTCTTGACAAACACATCATAACGATCACCGCCACGATCAATAATCAATTTCTCTTCAGCTGAGCTAGCAATTATTCTCGAGGTTAAAAATTTCGGATGCTTGAGTAAATTATCAATACAATCGACGAAATCATCTCGATTTGATTCCGAATCCAATCCGGGAATAATCCTCATGTCAATTACTGTAGATGCATCTTCACCATCAGCAAGTTCATTTTGGACACCACTTTGGTCCAAGTAAGCTGGTGTTGTTGAATTCAAATAATCACCAACATTCATTGCTTTTAATAAATTATAAATCACCAAAATTTGATTAGTTTCATAGACAGCAGCACTCGAAATTTTTATACTCGATGAATCACGCGCCCAACTGTTGATACAATATTCAATTTGTTTAGCAAATAATTGCAATGCAACACAAATTTCCGGTACAATCGAAGCACCCAATTTGGAAACGCTAGCAATGATTATTGGCAAAATTCCATCAATCCATAATCGATAATGCTTTGGCTCATTCAGTACTGAAAGCCCACCTGCTCTAATTGGACGTGAAATAGGACTTTCCAATAATGTCACATAAAGACCCGATGACACAATCGATTCAGCCACCGTTCCAATCGACATCAATTCCAACAAGTACATTAAACTCATTTGAGCAAAAGCAAAGTCATCGCCAATATCAATCGAACAAGACATGGTATACACATTTAACAACGTTTTTACTGTCTCCGCTTGTTTCACTGATGATGCTATGCCTTTAGTCAACAACGGTTCATCCGGCTTGAACGAAATGAATACTTTCAAAATTGATAAAATCAACTGCAAGTCATCAAACTTTTCCCCAAATTTATACGTTGGCAACTTTTTATCATCACTTCTCTTGAGTAAATACACATCATTTTGTAACTCAACTGATAAAGATTTGACTCCCCTAGTAATGATTGCATCAAACAACTCCTGAAATAAACTTAGGTTGCCCGCTATAGTTCTTGAGCTGCCTTCAATCATCTTCAAAGCACAATAAATGATTCGCAATAAAGGTCTATAAGTTCCCTTTGACGCAACCAAATCAGTAATAAAGTTCAAACTATTTGATGATAACAAAGTACTTGCACTTTTGATAATACCAAAGACTGACTCATCTTGTTTAGTATGGTCCTTTGCGTTAAAAAATGAATAGATAAGATAAAACCCAAGTTCAATTCGGTCAAAATAAATTTGCCGAAATTCTACCGACGGGATGTTTTCAGCAACATCAATCTGTAATAAAAAGTCAACCAAATCCAACAATTCAGGGTTTAATGGTCCTTGGTATCGACGACAGAAACTGGTCAATAAAACACCAAACGATTTCGCCCCTGCAAGCTGAGCCGATAAGTATTGACTATTTATACTTGAAGCAACGATTTTCTCTCTGATATCTAACCACTGAGCTTGATTGCCGAGTAATTTATCCAACAACTGTAGATTATAAATTGAGTTTGTGTCAATAGTGTTTGGCTTGTTTAACGAACTTGTGTACTTCCTAAGCTCGAGGTCAGGGAATGCGTTTTTGAGCGAATCTTCCAATTCGGCATGCAACGAATGCTGGTAATGCTTGATTTCAAATTTATGTTTCACGACTTCAATAAAAGTAGCAGAATTGATAAACTCAATGATTTGGTTGCGACATTTTCCATCTTTGGTGGAAAATAGATATAATGCAAGGATGTCAGCAATCTTTGCCACCAAATTTATCTCGTAGCATCTGCTTATAAAATTGACAATTGATTTCGGAGGGGCAGTTATTTGCATCTTGACTCGGTCAATCAATATTTTGATAAACTCACCATCAAATTTACTTTCTTTCCCCGTTGTCCACGAGTTACAGGACAAGGCAATGGCATCAACTAAATGAACGCTGACAAAATTTGGATAGTACTTCATTTCCCTCACGCTTTTTTTCAAGATTTGCACAACAGACTCATTCGAACCTTCTGAATCCTTACTGGATGGGTCTTTTGGTTTCTCAGCCCCAGCGAATGCACTTTTACCAGTATTGAATAATACAATAAGCCCTTCTTGTCGACTATTCATCACAGCACATATAAATTCATTCAATGCAATTTTTAATTCATAGTCATCTAATGAATTCTTCAAACTTGAAATTAATGATTGTTTTAATACTTGAGCGTCATAATTTCCCAAATGCGATAACAACGACGGTGGGGACTCATTCTCCCACTTCGCTCCAACCAAACTGGCAAGTAAATTCAAAGATATCAACTTGTAGGACTCATTGTTGGCAAAAATTGTCACCAAATCTGATGCTTTTGCGAATAAGCTCTTTTCCAAGGCCAGCGGAATCATCATCAACTTGCTTCTTAAGCTGATTGCCAATTCCGCAAATGAAAATGAAAGCGAAATCCATCTATCAAACCAGTAGCCAGATACATCGGTTAGTTCAAACAAATCAGAATTGCATGCAGTAGCTTCGACGACACTTATTACTGGTAAAATCGTCCGCGTATAGTTTGCATCGGCCGCTAAAAAGCAATCCAACATGTGTTTACTTGCTCGGGCAAACACCCTTGTTACTTTATTCTCCGGCACACAGTCTTCTTCTACTCCATACGTTGTTGTTAGGATGGTAGTGAATAAGTCCAAGATCAAACTACCGAGTTGAAACTTGTCATAAACACGAGCAAAATGGCAGTATGAGAAATTCTCAAACAAAAATACCAAATGAGAAACAATATGGAACAATGTATCCTCTCTTGATTTTTCAACAATAGTCACATTCAGAATGTAATCGTTAGTTAATGCTCTAGCAAATCGAACAAGGGCTAATGAAAAACGGAAATCACCATTAACCATTTCTACGGCACCAAATATGCTAGATGCCAAGCCTTCTTTTCCGTCATGAGAAAACAATAATGACCTTGCCAAGTATGGCCAGACTCTGCTGGAAATTATTGGCAACAAGTTGGACAACAATGTGAGTATGGCGGACAGGATAGAAACGTTCCTTGTATGCAAAGACTGTTCGAGAAATCGGAGGATAATTGCTATTATATCAGAGTCGTCAGTGTATGCTGACATGGACTCTAATACCAACTTGATCTCGTCCTCACCACAATCACTCAGAACACTTGTCATTAGCTTCAAAATATCAAGAATCAACTCCTCCTTTGCCTGATCAATGCTGACCACGCCTTTCGATATATTGTAAAAAACCCTACCAACAAAAGCCCAACCATTGTACTGGTGCAAAAACGTCACCAACACTTCATGAGGATTTGCTGCAGGCAACATTTTGGCACGTGTACCTGATGTGAGCGCCATCGCAAGCTTCTTGTTTGACTCAAACGGTGGAAACAAATTTACACCATCGGTTAATTTTACAAGCTCTGGGTTCTGATCGTCAATTTGGTATAGCTTATCAAACTGGTCTCTGTTGTACACCTGAATATATGATTTCAAATCGTTAAACTCGTGTAGTGCAAAATCACCATTAATAGATGCTAGTTTGATGTATGGGGAGAGCAAGAGCGGAAATTTTGCCCTGGCAATAATAAACGTTTCAATTGTCGCCTCATTATTGAAGAAATTCTCCACAACCGTGGTTGGACAGTTTCGCATGATCTCAAAGATGGAGTCGGTTATTTCTGGAGTCAATTCCAACAACGATATAGAAGCAGAAATAATTGACGACAAAACAGTCGAGTACAATCTGTCAAACTTGACCTTTTCATTCAAGCTCTTTAGTGAACCAAAAACATCCAAAGCCAAGCTTTTGCTGTTGCAGTGATTGACAATAATATCCAAGGCCAGAACCGAAAATTTCGCCTCAAACGATCTTGCAGCTGAGGAAGTTGGAAACTCTTGATAAAAATAAGACTTTCTCAAAAGAATAATGCTCCAGCAGTATATCAAAATCGCGTTGTTGTTGTAATCGCTAGTTATGATGCCATTGATGAAGCCAAAGACATCCACATCGGAGACGTATAACCCATGGTCCGCTTCTAATGAGTCGTATGCGTTATCAAGATCAAGATACTCGATGGATATCACCGTGAACAATGCTTGAATTAATTCAAATGACTCTGGATACTGCAAATGAGGCCCCAAAGTAGTTGAAAAGTTGGTTTGTTGCATAAACTTGAACCACTTTTGGACTATATCCTTTGTGACTAATGGGTTTTGTGCCGACAACTCAACTAAGACTTTACTCGAATCAATACAAAATAGTATCAACTCATTGAAAATAGACTCATCTATGCTATTTGACAACCCAGTTTGGTAGTTCCCACTTACTATGGAATTAAAAGTATCCTGGAGCAATTTAATCAACTTTTCAATGTAGTCCTTCGACAAAAACAATTCTTTTCCGATATTTCGTATCACGGAAGAAGTGTATGGGTTGGTTTTGTTACTTAAAGTCTCTCCAGCAATCTTCAAAATTATCCTCCTCTCTCGTAGGATATTGTATACATATGCTCCTATCCTTTCATTGTCCAATTGTGCATCCCTCTCATCATTTAGCTTACTCTTGAAATTCAACTTGACGGCTGTTTTTGGGGGGACTTTTTTACAAACTTGAACAATGACTCTTATTATCTCCTTGAGGTCAAAGTCAAGATACTTTTGAATCAATTCACCGTCTTTTATATTTTGTTGTGTGATATCAGTGTATAGTATACTTCTTACTGATATCTCCTTAGTCTCGATTTTAACTTTTGGTGTTGGATTTTCAGCGGTGAATGGCGATGGAGACAATATAAGGTCTTTAATGAGTAACAAATATTCATCCAATGCCTCTGAGATGTATGGGTCTTGACAATCTTTTATCAAAGCCAATGCATTGTCAAACGTCCAATACTGTGTAGGCTGGATAGTCTTTAGCGGAAGGCTATCTGATCCTAAGCTGCCAACGGATAATTCAGTTGACGGCATTGCACACTAGTGATTTATTCACAACTCAATTGTTTAATAGTAGCTCTATTTGCTGTCGCTGTTGCTGCTGCTGCAACTGAAGAAATTTTTTTTTTTTTATTTTTTTTTGTTCTTTTCGTTTGTTTACCATTTTCAAAGCACCTCTATATTCTATACTACTGATACAGATCAGCATTTGGAAATGTCATTGGAGCCTATAGACCCATTCATAGTTAGTGCTCCAGGAAAAGTGATTATATTTGGTGAACACTCAGCTGTATATGGAAAACCCGCGATTGCAGCTGCATTAAGCTTACGATGCTATTTACTTGTTATACCGTCTGCTGATACAAACACTATACGATTGCAATTTCCCGATATTGAGCTTGATCACTCGTGGGACAAGAGCTCAATCCCGTGGAAAGATATTCAAAGCCTTCTATACTATGATGATAAAGGGCATCCAGTACCTCCTTCGGAGTTGGTATCTGGCATTGTGGATAAGTTGTCCGATGCACTTAGTGGTTTCGAAAACAATATTCATCATATTGCCTGCTTTTGCTTTCTTTATTTGTACGTTTGTCTTTGCAAAGAGAGCCAGCCGGGAATGACATTCATAGTTAGGTCCACATTACCAATTGGCGCTGGTTTGGGCTCATCTGCATCAACTGCAGTTTGTCTTTCTACAGCGTTGTCGAAACTAGGTGGCTGGATCAGAGATCCACACATACATGAAAAAGACACTACTCCAAAGCAGGACATACCCGATCTTGAATTCATCGACAGATGGTCTCTTATTGGTGAAAAGTGTTTTCACGGGAATCCCTCGGGAATTGACAACGCAGTTGCAACACATGGAGGTGCAGTAATGTTTCAAAGATCTTCAGTGCCTGAAAAACCATCGGTTCGAACTAATATAAGAACGTTACCCGCTATGAAGTTATTGTTGACCAACACAAAAGTCCCAAGGAGCACTGCTGAATTGGTAGGAGGGGTTGGGAAATTGAATGGCAAATATCCCGCTATATTAGCACCAATTTTAGACTCAATGGGCAGCTTGGTACAAGAAGCGTATCGAGTGATGACACACCCTGACTTTGATTCCAAAGAAACAGCAGTTTTGCGCCAGTTAGTCAACATAAATCATGGGCTTTTAGTAGCATTAGGAGTGTCTCACCCGTCATTGGAGAAGGTGAAGATGATTGGGGATGATTTAAAAATCGGCTCAACAAAATTAACTGGAGCTGGCGGTGGAGGTTGCGCAATAACATTGGTTAACGACGATGCTGATGAGCCGGTAATTCATCAAGCAATGTTGGAGTATGAGCGTCAAGGTTTCGAAAGTTTTGAAACTTCGTTGGGAGGAAAAGGCGTAGGCATATTGTTTCAACTGGATATCCCAGATGATAAAAAGTTTAACCTGGAGCTGTTTTGCAATTATGCCAATCGATTAGAAATTGAAACGGCCCTCGCTGTAGAGAACGTACCTGAATGGCGATTTTGGTAAGCTTTGACGAAAGCGCTATGTATCAGATGCTATACATGTATATACAAGTATTAAAAGTATTACGTCAGATTTTAAATACCCCTGTTGAATTCTAATTCGGTGATTTTGTTTCCCTTTGCATCTTGCAAATGATGGAACTTCTCCTCCAATCTGCTGGCATGTAAAGTTTCACGTTGTGGAAAAACTGCCAATGCAAACGGTAAAACTGCTAGAGAGGTGACAAAAATCAATCCGATGTTGGTTAATGTCTCAACCGTCTTGGATTTCCCTTTTAATAATCTGGATTTTTGCAACCTCACCAAGATTAAAGGGGGTATAACCATAATTGGAGTCGCGTTAATGACCCTGCTTGCAGCAGTTTCTCCAACAGCATACCAAGCAGCGATTTTTGAGGTACCCACTTCTTGTCCTTCTTTGTCGTACACTATAATCCCCTTTTTCAACTCCTGACTCCTCATTAAAAAGACATTAGCAATACCAGCCGAGACAACCGCAGCAAAAGGCACCAACCTTCCCAAAATAAGCCTTGTATTGGGCCTGATATTTCTCAATTTGGGAACAATGGAGTTTAAACCTAGTGCCACTGAACAAGAAGCTGTAACAGCCATTGTGTAGTTTGTTGCGATTTCTCTTGTCGTCAACGGATGTGATTTGTTGGAGTTTTCAATATTAATAGCAACATTCAAACTCTGGTTAGCAATTTGCCAGAATAGTGTTCCCGCAGTGCCTAGATTGGGTGTCAACATACCTGCCGTTACCACTAAATTCGATAACACACATGATGACATTCTAAACGGAAGGAAAACAGTTTTGCCCGTATCTGGATGCAACGTTGAATCGAGTAATTTCTTAGCTCTCCATAATTCCGGAGTCATGGTAGGAATAACTCCATTCTTATAATCCCAAATCATTCGTTTTGCAGTTTCAATATCTTTGGATGTGTTTAGAAGCATTGTAGGGTCGGAGATTTCCGCGCAGTGTTTGACGCGTCCCCAGTATGTGCTTAATTCATATCTAGACTGAGGTAACGGTACTGGTCCTGGGATCGAAGACGACATGAGATAGAGGGGATGGTTAGGTTGTTATATGTTTGGATGGTGACTCACGGTAAATCAAAGTTCTGAAGAATGGAAAAAAAATTTTGCAGCGGCTGAGCGGCTTCAAACGACTTTGGTGATGCGACACCACTAATGACTGGATACTCTCGAGGTATAGGACGCAAAGTAGGCTTGGTAGTGGGGATAGGCATTGATATTATAAAAGCGTCCCGCTTTGAGAATTTGCTAGAGACAAAGACATCATCTTTTGCTGAGAGATTATGTAAAAGAATCCTACATCCTACTAAAGAGTTGCCCAGATTTAAAGAAATGAGCCCACAGCGACGAGTTCAATTTTTAACAGGATCATGGGCCGCCAAAGAAGCATTGTTCAAAACATTACAAGTCCATGAACAGGGTGAATTCAATTTTAACGAATGGTATCGGTTTAATGACACAAACGGGAAGCCTTTCATTTGGAATGATAAGTACAATTCCAACGACGAGGAGTTTCATCTAAGTATATCACACGATGACTCAATAGTGATTGCGACTGTATTGCGACAAAAAATCTACGACTTTGAAACGAAAACATAACGAATTATATATAGACGTCTATAAATGAGAAAAGGAAAAAGAGAAACTTGATACAGCCTTACTCCCATTCAACAGTAGCTGGTGGCTTGGAAGTGATATCGTAAGTGACACGAGCAACACCATCGACTTCGTTGACAATCCTTGAAGCAACTCTCTTTAAGAAGGCAGCGTCAAAAATGAACCAATCAGCAGTCATGAAATCAACAGTTTCAATGGCTCTCAAGGCAATAACTTGTTCGTAAGTTCTTTGATCACCCATGACACCAACTGACTTGACTGGTAACAATGCAGCAAATGCTTGTGAGATCAGTCTATACAATCCTGCCTTTTTGATCTCCTCAATGAAAATGGCATCAGCTTCACGAGCAATTTTAACCTGTTCTTTGGTGACTTCACCAAGGACTCTGATGGCCAAGCCTGGACCTGGGAAAGGGTGTCTCCAAACCAAGTCCTGTGGAACTCCTAACAATTCACCCAAATGACGAACTTCGTCCTTGAATAATTCTCTCAATGGCTCAATCAATTTCAATTTCATATCCTCTAACAAACCACCAACATTGTGATGGGTTTTGATAGTTTGGGATGGGCCTTTGAAAGAGATGGACTCGATGACATCTGGGTATAAAGTACCTTGCAAAAGATACTCAACTTCTGAGCCATCGTGTGGCTTGATCTTGGCAGCCTCTTCTTCAAAAACATGGATAAAGGTGTTTCCAATAATTTTTCTCTTTTTCTCAGGATCGGTGACTCCCTTTAATCTTCCGAGAAACAAGTCACCAGCATCAACCACGGTCAAGTTAATACCCAAACCTTCGTCCAAGGTCTTTTTTACACTCTCAGTTTCGTTTAATCTCATGAGACCATTGTCGACGTAAATAGCGTGGAATCTGTCTCCAATAGCTTCTTTCATAATCTTAGCACCAACCGTGGAATCAACACCCCCAGAAACGGCACCAATGACTTCAGCAGTTGGTCCGACCAACTTTCTTATTCTGGCAATCTCGGTATCAACGAAATTTTCCATACTCCAGTTGGTTTGAGCTTGACAAATATCAACAGCAAAGTTTTTCAACAATTGCTTACCTTGCAAAGTGTGAGTGACTTCTGGGTGAAATTGGATACCATAGATTTTATCAGCCTCATTGGAAATACCACAGTAAGGAGAGTTGTCTGATGTGGCCACCACTTTGAATCCAGTTGGTAAGGCGTGTAATTTGTCACCGTGTGACATCCAAACTTGCGAGTGGTCAACATCCTTGAACAATGAACATTCTTTATCTTCGACACGTAAAGTGGCTGGACCATACTCTCTCTTGTCTCCTCTAGCAACACCTTTACCATTAATCCAAGCCAACTCTTGCATACCGTAACAAATACCCAAAATTGGAACATTCAATTTGAAAATATCGTGGTCGACGTGAGGAGCATCTTCGGCGTAAACAGAATATGGTCCTCCCGACAAGATTATACCTTTTGGTTTCCAAGACAATTCAGAAATTTTCTGAGTGCATGGTAACATTTCAGCATAAACATTAAATTCTCTCAAACGACGAGTGATTAAATGGGAGTATTGGGAACCAAAGTCCAACACCAAGATGGTGTCGAAAACTTTGGAGACTTCGATTGGGACATCTTCAAGGTTAGTGGACATAGTGAATAGGATACTTGAGAAGTAAAAGCTTCTATGCGGGGGTTACTTGGAACAGCAAGGTCACCAAAAGCAGAATGATGGGATGAGGCTTTGCAAAAATCTGGTGAAATAAATTTTCTGCCTCATCGGAATCTGACTCTGTTTTATTGGGAGTGTCGCAAAAGAGCAAAAAAAAATTGGAAATTAAAGTAAAATGCGACAAACAAATGGTGGAGATAGGAGGAGCATCCCGACGGAATGATTTTGGTTAACATTTGAGATCTACTCGACAACGATCTTATGAATTGCACAAAAGATAAACAGAGCAGCTACGTTCCTCACCCGAGCCTCAGAAGATGCAAATGCTGTGTTTGGAAAAGAGCGAAATCTCTCTTTCAATGTCTGCCTCAGGTACGATCTCGTACAAAGATCAGGAATCAAACCATACCACCTGTTGATAGACCCTCCTTGCCTTGAAGTTGTAAGTGGGAGGTCGGCCAAAAATTTGTACCTACACTGGAGCTTCGCAGCTCCAGTGGCGTCGCGTTTTTCCTTGTCGTGATTGTGTAAGTTGCAGAACAACATGGCTCATTCAAAGTTCAAATCTGTAGCCTTCTCTTCCACAATTTGGGCGAGTAGAACTCCAGAACGAGTAAATTATCATTGGTACACAATGGCATGTCAGACTGTATGTTTCTGACTTCCCGATTGTTAATCTCACATACTCAATGGTTAGTTTCTTCGTAGCTCACTACACAAAAAGGACTACGCCATATCACAAAAAAAATTCAAAATTGGTCCTGTATCGACCAATCTGAGATATGTTCTGAGCATGTGCTGTCAAGCGTGTTGAAAGGAAGGGCCCCCATCATCTGACCAAAACAGCAACGTTGATATCTTAACCCATAAGCTAAATCCTGGAGAGCTGTAAAGCATAAGTTACTTCTAAAGTTTGTACCTGCTTCTTGGCGTAATTGCCTTTGCTTCTATTATTTTTCTCAACTTGGTTAGTGTTGCTAATAGTGAACAAACTCTGAGAAGAAGTATCGAGCAAAGGCTACGCTTGTTATAATACTAATGCACTACTCAACACAGCCTATTCACCAATGAGAAAAGGCTTTTGCCAATTGGTAGACACTTTTGTCTCACGTACAATATTCTTATTGTCTGTAAAGATGAAATTTTCAACTTTGTACCTCTTTTCCAAAGCCTAAAATTTTTTATTAAGTAGCAAACATTTGGAACCCAAAAAGAGCAAAGGAAAACTCAAAAAAAAAACACACATTACTAAAGTAGATCTTCCAATTACTACTCATAAACCAGATAGATTTGCTTTATCTAATAGGTTCAATTGAAGATCTGTAACTGTTAATTACCATTGAATAAGACTTTGCAATGGACGTAACAGCTGCACCCGAGACCGGCGCTGCCTCAAATGTATGTACTTGGAGGAACGATTTGTGTACATTTTCGGCGGTCAAAGTGTGATTTACTAACATCTGTATAGCCCAATGATATTCTTCTGCCACCCAAGCAAGTATCAGTTGAGCAGGCACCATCTCCAAAGGAGGCACTCCAGCCTCAGGAAACAAAGAGCTCATTACATGGTGGAAACAAACGCGATCAGAATAAGAACCAACACGAACAAAATGGCTCCCAAATGCCACACAATGGACAAAAGAAACCGGTTGGCCCCCCACCACTGTTACCTCCTCCAGACATCCCCTTGAGTGGTCGCAATCAATCGCCTTCAGGTGGTAACATCAATGCCAATCCCAATTATTCGAACAACGCTCCTCGTTATGCAGACCAAAAACATTACAACGATGCTGGTGTTCCATCTCCAACTGTGAGCAGACAGCAGAACCAGAATAACATCAGCTCTCAAATGAGCTCAACTAAGAAAATGTCTTCTACATTGGAAAGAAACGACTCACCAGTGAAACCAATAAATAGTTCATCCAACGTCAGCTCAGAAAATAAATCAACATCGCATTCTTCGAATGTTGAAAAGCAAACAACTTCAGGCACTTCAGAAACATCTCGACTTGGAACAACCAAGAAAGAAACATCTGGACTTACTCCAAGTGAAGACTTTGATTTGACAAATGTCAAGGGCAAACCCCCACCAAGAAAACCAGTTGATCCTACTTTTAGAGGATGGAAAGAAGTTGGGGGCTTTGAGGCTGATGATGCTTTGACTGCAGCTGACGAGACTGTTGACTTGTTATCCAGAGGATCCGTTTTTGATCAGTATTTGCCTGCTGTAGCTTACGGTGATTGGTACCACAACACAGCCTTTTTAATTGTTGGTGGTCTCTTGTCCTGGATTATAGGGTGGTTTAGATTCTCAGTCGCACCATTGTTTTTCGTCATGGTGGTTTTTGCAATTTTGTACCGTGCTTCGGTTAAGAAGTATAGGGGAGTGTTAAGAGAGCAAGCACAGAGAGAGTTTTCGGTTAAAACGATTGAAGATGACTACGAGACAATGGACTGGTGCAACTACTTTTTGGAAAAATTTTGGTATTATTTGGAACCATCCATCTCACAAATTGTCTGCGAGCAAGCAAACCCTATTTTGGCTGGGTTACCTATTCCAGCATTTGTCACTTCCGTCTGGCTTGACAGTTTTACTTTAGGAACTAAGCCACCTAGAATTGACTGTGTCAAGACTTTGGTTGGAACTGCCCCAGACGTTGTTGTTATGGACTGGGGATTCTCATTCACACCTAATGCCAATGTTGATGCTAACAACAAGCAGTTGAAAAACAATGTTAATGAAACAATTGTTGTAAAAGCAACTCTTTTTGGTGTTTCGATTCCTGTTACTATTGCCGATGTTTCATTCAAAGGTATTGCTAGAATTAGATTAAGATTGATGTCCTCTTTTCCTCATGTGGAAACTGTGAATGTGACAATGTTGGAACCACCTCAGTTTGACTTCAACACGAAGATTTTGGGAGAATCGTCATGGTGGTGGGAAGTTTTATCATTTCCAGGGTTATATCCCTTGATTAATGAAATGGTGAAAAAATACGTTGGCCCAATTGTTTTCAATCCTATGTCGTTCCAATTGAATGTTCAACAATTGTTAGCAGGTAACGCTTTGAATTCCGCTATTGGTGTTTTGACAATTCGTGCAGATTCTGCTCGTGGCTTGAAAGGTTTCAAATATCTTGGTAATACATTAGATCCATATTTGACGTTTGGTTTCTTGAACAAAGTGTTGGCTAAAACAAAGGTGATCGATGATACTAGTGCGCCAGTGTGGAATGAAACATTGTACATTCCTGTATCGTCGTTGTCAGAGCCTTTGACAATTACTGTGATTGACTACAATGACATCAGGAAAGATAGACAAGTTGGTGCTGTTCAATTTGATTTGGAATCATTGGTCGATAACCCACAACAAGAGCACCTTACGGCCGCATTTTTAAGAAACAACAAACCTGTGGGTGAACTTCTTTTCGGTATGACATACCAACCTGTTTTGCAAGAGGTGAAACAAGCGGATGGTGCTACCACCCCTCCACCAGATTTAAACACAGGTGTTGCAAGGATTGAGATCCCAGAAGCTAGAAACTTGAAAGGGGGAGACAAGGGAGCTACAACTAGTGTTCAACTTATTTTTGATGGTAAGTCGGTTGTGGAGTCGCCAGTCCAGAAGAATAACAATAATCCTGGCTGGGGCGCAGTTACCGAGCAAATTGTTTTCAACCGTGCAAAAGCAAGGGCAAAGCTTATTGTTAGAGACAAAAATGGCAAACAAGTTGGTCAAATTGTCAAGAGCTTGAATGAGTTGATTGATGCGACGCAAGTCGAACAAACGTGGTTCCCTTTGAGTAAAGGTGGGGAAGTTAGAATCAGCGCTAATTGGAAGCCAGTCCAATTAGAAGGAGCAGGTGGTGCAGGTGGATATACGCCACCAATTGGAGTTATCAGAGTTGGTGTTGAACATGCCGAAGATTTGCGTAACTTGGAGCACATTGGAAAGATTGATCCATATGCAAGAATCTTGGTCAATGGGTTTGAAAAGGCAAGAACGGCTGCTGTTGAATCCTCATTGGACCCAACATGGAACGAAATTCATTACGTTACTGTTTCCTCGGCCAATCAAAGATTAACTCTTGAAGCTATGGATGTTGAGAGCCATTCTGCTGATCGTACTTTGGGGTCGTTCGACATCAAATTGAATGAATTTATTCAAAAGGATGAAAGTGGCTTGTATATCGAGCACGTCGATAAAAAGAAGAGGACATCGAAATTAGTTCTGAAAAAGGGACCAAAGGGTTCAATAACCTATACTTTATCTTTTTACCCAGCATTGCCTGTTATGACGTTACAAGATTACAAAGATGAAGAAGCTGAAAAGAAGGAAGCTGAAGAAAAGAAAAAGAAAGAAGAAGAGGAGAAGAAGAAGAAGATCAATAAAAACCCTAGTGGATTGGAAGATGCCGAAGGGGAGAGGCAAGCTAGCCCTGAAGAAGATATTGACGATGACGAGATTGATGACGATAACTTTGGTAAAAAACTCAGATTGTCCGTGAATGAATTGATTGAATACAAGAGTGGTATCTTGGTATTTGAGCTTTTTGAAGCTACTGTGTCAAAGAGTGGTTCATTCTTGCAAGTGTTCTCAGCAAACCAAGGTTATCCCGATTATGTCAGTAGGGAATTGAAGAAGAACAAGTCTAAACTTGAAACAACTGGTGATACTGTCATCACTGAACTCGAATGGGCTGAAACATGCTTTAGACTTGTTAAAGACGAAGATGACAATAGGGCGGATAAATGCATTGCCGAGACATCCATCCCTACATTACAGTTGATCAAGAATGGATTGGAGAAACCAATGACGCTTGATTTATCAGGTTCGGGAAATGCATCCTTCAAGGTGCAATTCTCTTGGATTCCATTGATCTACAAATCAGGAGTACCACCACAGGATTCAAAGGACAACTCGGGTGATTTGCATGTCGAGGTTAAGAAGGCGGTTGGATTACCAGCTTCCGATAGAAACGGTAAGTCTGATCCTTACATAAAAGTCTATCTCAACACAGAAAAGGATGCATTTACAAAGACAAAAACAGTTAAAAAGACTCTTGATCCTACTTGGAACCACAAGGGAGAAGTTGAAGTGGCCAATTTGTTTGACTCAACTTTACGTTTCGAGTGTTATGACTGGGATGCTGTAGATGCTGACGATTTCTTGGGTGTCGGGTACGTTGAGTTGGGATCGTACGACATGAAAGAGGGCCCCGTAGAGGTTGAAATTCCATTGCAGGGTGAAGATGGAGAACCTGCAGGCACAGCCTACGCTGTTTTATCATTTGAGCCTAGGTTTGTTTTGAATGTCAAGGCAAAGAGTCAATCGGCTGTTGGTACAGTAGGAGACGTTGGAAAGGGTGTTGGAAAGGGTGTTGGAAAGGGTGTTGGAAAGGGTGTTGGTGTAGTAGGAAAAGGTGTAGGTAAGGGCCTTGGAGGTGGTTTGAAAGGTTTGAAGAAGGGATTAAGTTTGGGTGGACACCATCTGGAGAAGTAATGCTGATTGTTTTTAGTTTAATCTTGTTGTATATCTAATGTAAAGTAACTTGAAAAGGAAAGGCTTTGTAATGTTTACGAAAGAGATGAGCACTGAGCGTTTTGTGTTCTTGTGTAAAATGAAGTGATGATGAATGAAAGAGGAAGAGGAAGAAGAAAGAAAAAAAAAAAAATTTCAGTTTAAATCACATAGTTAGCAAAAGCCAACTAACACTTTATAGACCATGGATATCTCCAAGCCAGTTGGTTCAGAAATCACATCTGTTGACTTTGGTGTTCTATCGGACGCTGAGGTTCAAAAACTATCGTCAAAGCAAATCACAAATCCAGTTGTATTTGACAACTTGGGCCATCCAGTTACTGGTGGTTTGTATGATTTGTCACTTGGTGCATTCTTGAGAAATGTGTGTACCACATGTGGGTTAGATGAAAAGTTTTGCCCAGGACACATGGGTCACATCGAGTTGCCAGTGCCTGTTTACAATCCTATGTTTTTCAACCAGTTGTACATCTTTTTAAGAAGCTCCTGTTTATATTGCCACCACTTCAAGTTGAACCATCTCGAGGTTCACTTGTTCAAATGCAAGTTGCAGCTTATACAGTATGGGTTGTTGTTGGAGTGCAGTGAGTTGGAGAATATTGTTCTTCTTGGAAAGTCAGCTAAGGAGATGAGCAAGGACGACGAAGAGGAAGAAGATGGAGCATCAGTTGATGCAAAGACAAAGAAGGAGTTGATGGAAAGACGAGAAAAGTTTGTCACCAATGCAATTTCTGCAGCTTTGAAAGATGGAAGAGCCAACACTAAAGGGGTCATCACTGCATCTGTGGGAGAAGAAAGAAAAGCAACCATTCATGAATTTTACCGCAGGTTGTTGAGCAGACCAAAATGTAGCAACTGTGGAATGTACTCTCCTAGTTTTAGAAAAGATGGGTTTACCAAAGTTTTTGAAAACTCATTAAACGACAAACAAGTAACCAATAATAGAGTTCGGGGTTTACAACGTCCTGACATGATCAAAAAGAATGGAAGTAGCAATTCTACTACCGCCAGTGATATCCCAAACATCAAACATAAAGGTGGATCAAAGTACGTTTTGTCATCAGAAGTCAGGAATATCATAAGGGCTGTTTTCAAAAAGGAGCAACCTGTTTTGCAAAAAGTCTTTCATTCAAGACCATATCAGCGTGAGTACATCAGTGGCGACATTTTCTTCAAACAGTCCATCTTGGTACCCCCTACTAGATTTAGGTTACCTTCCAAATTGGGAGACGAGATCCATGAAAATGCTCAAAATGAATTGTTGTCCAACATTTTGAAAACAACTGTTTTGATTGCCGATTTGAATAGTCAAATTTCGCAAATGTACGAAGCGAAATTGAGTGGAGAGCAAAAGAAGATTGCATTTAACCGGTTGATGAATTCATTTGTTACTTTACAAAATGATGTTAATGCATTTATAGATTCAACCAAGAACCAAAACGCGCCAGCTGGAAAAGTACCAAATCCCGGTATCAAACAAGCGTTGGAAAAGAAAGAAGGTTTATTCAGAAAACACATGATGGGTAAGCGTGTCAATTATGCTGCTCGTTCCGTTATTTCACCGGATCCAAATTTGGAAACTAATGAAATTGGTGTACCACCCGTGTTTGCTAAAAAATTGACATACCCAGAACCCGTGACTTCGCATAACGCGGCGGAATTGAGACAAGCTGTAATCAACGGTCCCGAGAAATGGCCTGGTGCAGTGCAAATCCAAAATGAAGACGGCTCACTAATTTCATTGATTGGTATGAGTTTAGAGCAGAGGAAAGCTTTGGCCAATCAATTATTGACACCAACCGGAAGTAATTCATTTGTTGGCAAGAAAGTGTTTAGACACATCAAAAACAAGGACGTGGTGATTATGAATCGTCAACCTACATTGCATAAAGCCTCCATGATGGGACACAAGGTTAGGGTGTTGCCAGGTGAAAAGACATTGCGATTGCATTATGCCAACACTGGTGCTTACAATGCTGATTTTGACGGTGATGAAATGAATATGCATTTTCCTCAAAACGAAAATGCCAAGGCAGAGGCATTGAACTTGGCAAATACCGACAGTCAGTACTTAACACCCACCTCGGGTTCTCCATTGAGAGGTTTGATTCAAGACCACATTTCTGCTGGTGTCTGGTTGACCAGTAAGGACACATTTTTCACAAGGGAAACGTACCAACAATTGATCTACGGCTGTATCAGACCAGAAGATGGACACACAACTAGATCGAGACTTATCACTTTGCCTCCAACAATTTATAAACCCGAGTTTTTGTGGACGGGTAAGCAAGTAATAACCACAATCTTGTTGAACATCAAACCTGACAATGTGCCTGGTGTCAATTTAATTTCAAAGAACAAAATCAAGAATGACTATTGGAGTGAGCACAGTACTGAAAATGAAGTCATCTTCAAAAATGGTGAATTATTAAGTGGTATCTTGGACAAATCCCAATATGGTGCTTCTCAATTTGGTATTGTCCATTCATTGCACGAAGTTTACGGTCCTGCAGTTGCAGGAAAGGCATTGAGTGTGTTGGGAAGATTGTTTACTAATTACATCATGATGACAGCATTCACATGTGGTATGGATGATTTGCGATTGACTGAAGATGGTAATACCTGGAGAAAGGACATCTTGAAGCAATCTGTTGATGTAGGTAGACAAGCAGCTACTGAAGTGACAAACTTGGAAGAGGATACAGCCAATGACAACAAAGAGTTGAGGAGAAGATTGGAAGAAATTTTGCGTGATGATGACAAGTTGGGTATTTTAGATGCCATTACTCAATCTAAAGTGAATGCCATCACTTCTCAAGTTGTTTCCAAGTGTGTTCCTGAAGGTACCATGAAGAAGTTCCCGTACAATTCCATGCAAGCAATGGCGTTATCTGGTGCCAAGGGTTCGAATGTTAATGTGTCGCAAATCATGTGTCTTTTGGGACAACAAGCATTGGAAGGTAGAAGAGTACCAGTTATGGTTTCAGGTAAGACATTACCCTCATTCAAGGCATTTGAAACTGACGCCAGAGCCGGTGGATATATCAAACAACGTTTCTACTCTGGTATTAGACCACAAGAATACTATTTCCATTGTATGGCTGGTAGAGAAGGTTTGATCGATACTGCCGTCAAGACGTCAAGATCTGGATACTTGCAACGTTGTTTGACCAAGCAATTGGAAGGTGTGCATGTTAACTATGACAACTCGGTTAGAGATGGAGATGGAACCTTGATTCAATTCCTTTATGGTGGTGATTCGATTGACACTACCAAGCAATCACACATGAATCAATTTGAATTTTGTTTGGAAAACTATGATGCGCTATTGGCCAAGTATAACCCTGGAGAAATGGTAGAGAATTTGGACACATCCAAAGCGTTGTCATACTCAAAGAAGGTGCGTAAGTCAATGAAGAAACAAAAGGACGTCCCTCATTATGAGCAAGAGATCAAATATGATCCAGTAATTAACACATACAACCCTGCCAAGTATCTTGGTTCGGTATCGGAAAAGTTTCAAGAGAAGATGGACAAGTTTGTTGCTGATCATCCCGAATTGTTTGCTCAATCTAAAGAAGAAGCTAAATCTACTGGTAAATTAACCGAAAAGAAATTTAGAGCCTTGATGCAATTGAAATATATGAGGTCTTTGGTTAACCCTGGTGAATCTGTTGGTATTATTGCTTCGCAGTCTATTGGAGAGCCATCAACACAAATGACATTAAATACGTTCCATTTCGCCGGCCATGGTGCAGCCAATGTTACTTTGGGTATTCCACGTATGAGAGAAATCATCATGACGGCATCAGCCGCAATCAAGACACCACAAATGACGTTGCCAATCTTGCCTGACGTCAGTGATAAACAAGCTGATGCATTCTGTAAATCAATTGCCAAGGTTGTAATGTCGGAATTTGTCGATAGTGTTACTGTTACTGAAACCACATCGCAAGATGAAGATGGATCGAATAGTAGGTCATATGTGATTAAGTTGGGATTCTATACCAAAGATGAATACGAAGCTGAATACGACATTAGTCAAGAGCAATTGGAAAATGTGGTTACTCAAACTTTCATTCATGATTTGGAAACACAAATTGTTAAAGAGGTGAAGAAGCAAAAGAAACCCGATTATATGCCTACAGTTGGGAAATCTGCTGGAAAGACCGACATGGAAAGTGTTAGTGGGAAGATTAAAGAGTTGAGTGATGATGAGGACGATGTAGATGAGGAGGAAGATGGAGCAGATTTGGAAGAACTGAAACAAAAGGCTAAACAACAAGTATCATATGAAGGACCCGATGATGATGAAATTGAGACAATGAAACGTGCTGAAGAAACGAGCGATGAAGAAATGGAAGATGCAGAAAAGAGCGACGAGTCATCTGACAACGACAGCGAAAGCGATAGTGATGAAGATGCAGAAGATTCTGATGGAGATATAAATATGGATAACAAACCAGAATTGTCGCGTTTAGCCAAAGACCGTCAAGCTGAAGTTATTGCACAACACAATATGGTTACCCAGTTCAATTTTGACGATGAAAACGGTGAATGGTGTCAATTTAAACTTGAGTTGAATGGTAACGAAACGCAAAAGTTATTGATGGTCAATATTGTTGAAGATCTTTTGCGTAAAACAGTTGTTCGTCAAATCCCTCATATTGGAAGATGTTTACGTCCTGACCCAGATGCACTGGGCAAGCGAATCTTAACCACGGAGGGAGTCAATTTCAAAGCCATGTGGGAACAAGATGACTTTATTGAAGTTAACGCCCTCACTTCGAATGACATTGCTTCGGTATTGCGCACATATGGGGTTGAAGCAGCTAGAAATACCATTGTCAATGAAATTTACCGAGTGTTCGATACTTACGGTATTAGTGTCTCATCACGTCACTTGGATTTGATTGCCGACATGATGACGCGTGAAGGTACTTACTTGGCCTTCAATAGACAAGGTATTGACAGTTCAACATCAAGTTTTATGAAGATGTCGTATGAAACTACTTGTCAGTTCTTGACGAAGGCGGTCTTGGATGGTGATCGAGAGGAATTGGAGAGTCCTTCTGCCAAGATTGTTATGGGTAAATTGGCAAATGTTGGTACTGGCTCATTTGACATTTTTGCAGAAATGCCTAAAATTGAAAACTAAGGAAGGAGGAAATAGGCTTTCGTATTAGATATATCTTGTATATTAGTTAGAATGAAAAGAATTGGAATAATTTATTTAATTTGGGGAAAGTGTAAAGATCAAAAGAGAGCATATCGAAAGAAAGTAACAATAGTGAGACAAAATTGTAAAAATAAGGTGATATCGTGACCAAAAAATATAGATATGTTTATACAAATGTAAAAGCCTCCTCCTACTCAAGATAAATTTTGAAGAAAACAGCTTACGCTGATGTCTCATCCTCTTCTTCTTCTGGTTGTTAGAATATGTCCCAGTTCTTGTTTGCCAATGTATCCAGCTACGTATCGACAGAGACCATGGCCAACTATGCTAAATTTGAAGATAATTTGAAATGCAATACGTTAGTACGGCAATTGTATAGTATTGAATATGTGATGAAATCAATTGATCAAGTACTACTAGATGAAGAAGTAGAAGAAGAGGAGGACGGACACTTTGAAGAGCAAGAATATGAGGATGACAGTAGCATAGAAGCCGCTGAAAGTAAACATGAGAAAGAGGAAGACGGCGTGTCGATTTATCAATTTGATGTTGGTTCTTGTTTGCATTATTCTAATCCATCCATTTCCCATATAGCAGCTAACGACTATTTGTCATTGATTACCGAACCTAGATTTAGAATATCCCAATCAGTGTCTGATAGGATTAGGAATCGAAATTTGTCTTTACTACGAGTCAATACAATATAATGCAATGTGATATAGAGACAACAATAAAAAAAGATAGAATGTATATTTAGATAAATAAGGGAAACGTCCGTGTGTTTTATTTTTTGATCCTTAATCCCATTTTGAAAGACAAGGCGTAAAGGCTCTCCTCTCTTGCTTTCTGGATTAGATGGAGGTTTGCGGTCACCGAGGATTTGTGCGCTGTTTCTTTTATACATTGTAAGCAGCAATAATCAATGATAATATAAAAGAAATTTTAAAACTTGGTTTCTCAAATACCAATTGTTTTAAATCAATCTTTTGTTTACCAACAGTGAAGATATAATTCCAAGGAATATTGATGATATTTCTACTTTGTAAAAACTCAACAAGTAAAAATGAGCTCAATGAAATAAATACAAACACTTGAGACAATTTACCCAATATGATTCCTAAAAATAGACCGGTCACTGATCCAATGGTTAACTCCTCATAGTTTAAATTGTTGCCAAATCTAGATTTTGTAGGCTTGGTAACTGGGTGAATTGTTACATTTGACGCCACTTGTTGTCTAGGTGTAGAAACGGCGGCAACATCGTTATAGATGGATTTAGCAAATGACGCAGTGAGCAAAAATGAAGCACCAGCACTAGCAAAGAATAATTTGAAAATATTTGATGAATTGGATCTGTAGCTGTTGCGTTGTTTCTGCTGCTGCTTTACAGCAGCTACAATTGCATTTGATCTGGTGGTTGTTGTTTGCAATCTAGGAATGAAGAAATTGGTAGCTGAGGCCGTGGGTTTATTATTCGATAATAATCGAATTGATGATTTGGTGGATGCAATCGCTGAACGGTTAAGGATAGTTGGTAATGAAGTTCTAAACATGGCTTGAATTGGGGAAGCTAGACTTTTTACTTCTGCTTTTTTTGGTTATATTGAAGGAAAAGGTTGTGTTGGAGGTTTTTATAAATAAAATCAGATGTGGATTTATTTCAATTTGTGTTGAGTGAATGTGAATACAAAAAGAAAACGGAAATAAATAACTCCCGAATGAGAGAAAGAAAAGGTGGGGGTGTTTTATGGTATTGTATGACAAAAGAGAGAGAAAGAGAAAGAACAACAGGCTCTTTCTTTCTATCCATTTCGTACAGGATGGGTCCTTTGGATTAACTAAGACTATAGCCTTAGGCTATTACGATAAGATGCTACTAACAGATACATGCGAGAGCAATCGAAATCAACTCGCTGATTTTTTCTTTTAACTCCGGTTTATTTGTTGGGTGTCAGGTGCAGTGTCTAGTCGCAAAAAGAGCTCACAATCATACGACACTGATTTTACGGATAAATACAAACTCGACACCCGATATCCATATGGACTTACTACTTCAACAATTTCCGCTTGTCCACATCCAATTTTTTTTGGACCTTATGGACTCTACGGTAGAATTCAGAGTAGGGTTTATGAGAATAAGCTGTTGAAAGCCAACCAATGGTCTGTTTACCCAATTCCTACCCTCTATTTCTCTCCATCTATTATAATGGATTTAGTTAGATAGTAGAGAGTCTTTGAATGCGTCAACACACTCTCAATTTCTTAAAGAGCCAATTTTTATGTGACTGTCGACCAATTCTACTCACACTTTGTCTTGTTGTCTGCATGGTGCGGCGTAACCACGGAAACAGAGAAAATAATTATTAGTGCTCATTACACGACTTTTGATTTCAATTTCCGTCAAAAGTACACTACCCATATTTTGAAATTCTTCATTAGATAATATATTATGTAATAGACTCTTGTCTTCCTATTCTAATATTTATTCATAGCTTTCTTTAAAGAGAGAAAGACAGCCAGCCTAAAAATATTTAAATTGACAAAAGTACACTACCCCTGCTCTTTTTTTATTTTTTATTTTTTATTTTTTTCTTTTTTCTTTTTTCTTTCTTTTTCTCCTAAGGCTCTAGAATTTCCTCTTCATAGTAAAGAAACATTTTCGCTTAAAGTACTAAGAGAGAGAGAGAGTGGAGTCTAAACCATACATAAAATAAGAATACCTCAAAAGGTATAAGTAATAACCAATTTTTCTCTTTTCTTCTTCTTCTTCTCTCTTTAATTTTTTGCAACACATACACACACTCACACACTCACCTTAAACATATTACACTTTCTCTTCCATCAATTAGGACAACATTGGCTCAACCCAGTGCAAAGATATATATATATATATATATATATACATAGAGAGAGGGTTTTGTCAATTTTTTTGCTGCAACATATATAGTTTTTTTTTGTTCCTTTCCTTCTTTTTAACGAAGCTTGTGTTGCAAAAAATTCAAATAAGTTAAAGAGCCAGAGACACTAACCAACAAACCAATAGATATCAAGAAGCTTGTCGTACAGGTATTGTTGCTTTTAAAACGTGTGGAGGCATTGGACTATCTATCAGAAATTTTCACTACCTACTAGTCACAAGACTTTAAGAGCTTTTCACCAAATTCACTATGTTTCAACAACAACAACAAGAGCAGAGTTATTTACAACCGCATAATTTTCACAATTGCAATGCCTCATTCAACGAATCTATGTTTTTCAACCCAGAGACGGCTCAAGAAATTTGTCCTGGTATTTGGTTGGGTCCATATACTTCGTTATTAACTACACCTCAAGCAACAACAAACTTACAATATGCACCTCCACCCCAAACTCAAACCCACCTAGGGGGCGGAGGATACAGTTTCATCTCAAACAACAATATCAAGATTATCATCAATTGTGGATCAACTTTGAAATTTCTTGACTTGATTGAAAACTCACCTCATATTTCCATATCATCGGATGTTTTAGTTTTAAGTTTAGATCCATCGTTTGATTTATCCACAACAGCAACAACAACTACTTCATCACCATACTCCAATAGTGAACTCGTTCAACTGTTTACTCGTGACTATAGCAAGATTTTACAGAATTATATGAATTCATTTTATTTCAATAACCCAAATGCCAACAACTTGATTCACAATTTACCCCAGAATCATAATTTAACTATCGAATCGCCCATTTTAAATGGATCCAATTTGAAATTACAATTTTTTAAATTGATTCGGTTAATTTCATTATTCAAATTGATTAATTTTGATTTACAATGTTTATTTGTGTCGGAGGACGGTAATGGATCATTATCTACTGGATTAACTATTGCTTATTTGATGGATTGTTATCGATATAACTTTCAAAATTCCTTTAATTTGATTCTTGAACGACGTCCGACTATTCGCAATTTACAATTGAATTATTATGATGATTTATTAATTATCGAGAATTTGAAAAAGTTTTATGGAGAAAATATTGAATTAAAAGGGAGGAATCCCAATTTGTTAATGAATGGGGTTAAGCGGACTCTGGGTGGTGGTGGTGAAGATGGAGCTGCTGTTGAGGGTGAGAATAGAAGGGGAGGTGATCCAAGAGATGAAATTATGGTTGGTGGGGATAGAAAAAGAAAACTACACTAAGGGGGGGGGAGAGAAAGAGATAGAAAAAGAAGAAGTTTATTATTGTTTGTTTGCGTCCTGTAGAAAGAGGTTTGCTTTTCTAAGAAAGTTTAGCATTTAAGTTGTGGCTGGTAGTTTTCTTTGGTTTTCTTTGTATAAATTTTAGTTTGTTTATATAAAATGTTGTATCACTATGTATTTTTAAAAAACACTACACTGTATACTCAACTGATAACTTTTCTTCCGTTGCGTTTCGTAGTCGTTGCTTAAGATCGATCAAGTTTTGCTGACATGACTCTTTTTATTCAGGCACATCTAATCCTACTCTATTAGCACTCTTGGACACATTCTCCTGTTGATCCATCAATAACCCCGGATTATATCTAACCAACAAATCAAAATATTCACGCTGGTTGCGTAAATAAGTAGCTACATTGTTCAAGTTGTTCAATTCATAATTGGTATTTATACCAATCTTATCATCAATTATATTATGCAACGTAGTTAAATCCTGTAGCTCAGTACGCTCTTGATTCAATGCTCCTCCTTGTCCTTCTTCTACTTGTTTCAATTGAGCTTGTTTTAGTGATTCGAGTTTGGCGTTTATATCGTCAACTGGTTTACCATCCCTTTGGGCTACTGATTTCAAGTATGAATAATAGGTCGTGAGTTTGGTATTGTCCTTTTGGGCTTGTGCTGCTAGTGTTTTGTTCTCGTAAGCGAGTAGTTCTTGTGATATGGCACGATAGATTTGTTTGAATGTGGGGAATGTCTTAGTTGCTATTGTCATGTTGGTATTATCAATGTGGCGACGGGGAGGGGAGTTGAATGAAGTATGTTTTCTTCTTGAAAATTCTTCAATAGTTGGAGAGAGAGTCGCATATCGAAGAGGTGCGACACTTTAGTTTTCTCCTGAGACATTAATCTGTAAGAGCATAAAAAGGTTTAATTTTTCTGACCCGTTCCATTTCGCCGTTGGTCGTTTTCTCAGCGGTTGAGACCAAGAGCCATTGCTACACCAACTTAAAGTTTATGTAACTTTGTCAAAAACGTAGTGTGGTTGATTTGACGGAGGAATTTCAAGCAACTTTTATTTGGCAAGTATACTCTGATATCCAATATGGAAAGGTGTGCATCCGATTTATTACTTGCATTTTTCGGGTCCCACATTTTTTTTCTCAACCACAGTTTGGTAATGGGTTCTAAGGTTGTCATTTGATTTTAGTTTTCATCATACAAAATTCTCTTCCTCGAAACAAAAGCTACTGTGATAGCCCAGGAGTGATAAATTCTGCAACACCAGAGGCCAAACAGGAATGTTAAATCATGGGTACAATGCCATCATCGGTCCTTGCTAATGTCCGGTGTAACACCTTGCTAACGTAATAAAATCTTTCTTGTGTCTTTTACGGTTAAACTGGCTTGTACCGGAATCTACTAATGAAACCCAACACATCCGGGCGGTGTTTGTAGAATGAACCATGTTAGTTGTTCGATCACGAAACTGTTCAAGTGGTCTTTAGCGTCGTATCTGATGCTCTCCCATTAATGGACACTTGCTTTAGGAAATTGTACTGTAAGTGTACAAACTCGTTTTGCCATTATATCACCTGCTTCAGTGGTTGAAACAACTTTTTGCAAAGATCGATGATTTATTTTGCAAATCTCTTGCGAAGGGTCAACTGTTTTCTTTTAGATGAGCATGGATAAACCAAGTATAGCAAACCGAGTATAGCCAAACCTGGGTACATGGTTGATAATATTGAGGGAAGAACAAGAAAATAGCTTTTGTATGTTGTTGCAAAGATCGGACACAAAAAAATAGATGAAAAACTCATCTTGAAGAAGAAATTTAGGTTACTTTTAATGCAAAATTTGGACAAGTGAGAGAAAAGACAACGAGGGAAAACTATCTTTAGAGTTGTCTTGCAATATCGAACGCTCTTTTAGATTAAATATTGTCCCTAGGATAGATTAATACATTGCTTAATTTTGTATGAGAGGTGGTGTCATACTCAGCTACCACTTTCATTCACGTTTCTCTTTCTCTTTCCCACGCGACGTCCTTTTGTTTCCCACGCTAGAACATAGAATTTCACTAGTTCCAAATTTTGTAACTATTTTAAGGCATCTACATAATATGATTGTAAATAATTTAGTGAGTAACTTTTATTAGAAGACTATGGATTGATTATGCTTTGCAAGAAGAATAAACAAAGCAGTAATGATTTAGATTTTCCGTGGAAAAGAAGAAACGGTTTACTATAAATAGTAAGAAATGCGGCTCAGTTTTTTCATTTGCTTTGTGTATTCTCATTAGAGTTTTTTATTATATGTTCGGAGTTTTCATTGTATTCACCCAATTGGCCAATCAAATTGCTTGATTTCATTCACTTCAGAAACGTGCCAAAAAGTTATACTTGCACTCTTGAGCCATATTTTCTTGAGCACACAGTTTGGTACGCTCATATAGCTAAAGCTATATATTTTAACCATTCTGTCTCATATTTCTTCTTATAAGACTTTGATATTCCTTTGTTGAGTGCCCGTGGATGGGGAGTGGATTAAGAGTCTCGGAGTCGAATTAAATATCTTTATTTTTTTTGTAGCGCAACACAAAATCCTATAAAGCCGATGGTTGGAAAGGAGTGCATTTAGCCAGAACTAGTGTTGGATCTGTCTACTACAGAGGTCTCTGCTTTAGCATTGGGATTGGAGTATGTTGGTGCAATATCTCTTAAAGTGTGTTGTTTTTAAATGCATATACAGTGTAGATTTTTTGCCAATGGTTTTTGTTGCTAAATTTAATTATTATTTTGCAACATTAGCAGAGTATAAAGGCATCAAATTGGAAAGTAACCCAGGATTATCCTAAAACGTCTAATTGTAATGTCAGAGTTAGCAATAATAGGGGGTATTATTCCCCACATGAGCATATAGTTAAGTTTAGATACTCTTAGAATACGTCTTTTGTTTGTCTGTCTGTCTGTCTGTCTGTCTGTCTGTCTGTCTGTCTCGTATCCTTTATTATTTGAGATATTTTATTTTTTTTTTATTTTTTTACTTTTTCTTTTATTTCTTCTGTTTATTGTTGTTGAAAATAAAAAAAAAAATCTCAATTTCTCTTTGAGAAGAAGAAGAAGAAGAAGAAGAAAAAAAAGAACAAGGAATTAGTTACATCTTATTTTCAACACAACACACAACTCTATCTATTCAATCATGCTTAGAACTATAGCTAACACCCAAAGAGTATGTATCAGTTTAACCAATTATTTCTTTCATCTGGAGATATATATATATACATGAAGGAAAATAGCTTTTTAGTGAAGAGGAGTTTTCGTTGTTGGTACCTTTTTTATAGAGAAGTTTATCCGAACACCCAATCAAATAAGGTCACACATACATGGCAACTCCGAAATCAATTAACTGAGCAAAATCGATCTTCACAACCACTGCATAACTACATGTACATATATAACCTCCACCACAAAAGAACTGCTTGTTCAGGTTACTAACTTTGCTCCCTTTTTTTTAGTCGGCAATTCGTTCATTTGCTACTTTTTCATCACCCGAATCAGTCTTGCCAAAGAAATATGGTGGCAGATACACTGTTACTTTAATTCCTGGTGATGGTGCTGGTAAAGAAATCACCGATTCAGTCAAAACCATCTTCAAGTCACAAAATGTTCCAATTGATTGGGAAGTTGTTGAAGTAAGTGGTGTTTCTGGTGATTCAGGTAAACACCATGGTGTCGACGAAGCAGTTGAATCTTTAAAAAGAAACAAGGTTGGTTTGAAAGGTATTTTGTATACTCCTTCTGACAAATCAGGTAAATCATTGAATGTTGCTTTGAGAAAAGAATTGGATATTTATGCTTCATTGGTTTTGATCAAAAACATTCCTGGTGTTAAAGGTATTTATGATGGAATTGATTTTGCTTTAGTTAGAGAAAACACCGAGGGTGAATATTCTGGTTTGGAACATCAATCTTACCCTGGTGTTGTTGAATCAATGAAGGTTATTACCAGATTCAAGTCTGAAAGAATTGCCAAATTCGCCTTTGATTTCGCTGAAAAGAACAATAGAAAATTAGTTACTGCTATTCACAAAGCAAACATTATGAAGTTGGGTGACGGTTTATTTAGACAAACAGTTAAGGATGTCGCTCAAGATTATTCCGGTATTGCTGTCAATGATTTGATTGTTGACAATGCTTCTATGCAAGCAGTTGCCAAGCCACAACAATTTGACGTCTTGGTTACTCCAAACTTGTACGGTTCTATCTTATCCAACATCGGTGCTGCTTTGATTGGTGGCCCAGGTTTAGTTCCTGGTGCTAACTTTGGTAGAGAGTATGCTGTTTTCGAACCAGGATGTCGTCATGTCGGTTTGGATATCGAAGGTAAAAACACTGCTAACCCAACTGCCATGATTTTGTCTGCCACCATGTTGTTGAGACACTTGGGATTGAACGCTGAGGCTGATAAGATTTCCCAAGCTACTTATGATGTTATTGCTGAAGGTAAGGTAAGAACTAAGGATATTGGTGGAACTTCATCAACTACCGAATTCACTGATGCTATTGTTAACAAATTGGATTAGTGATAGGAAGAGAGAGACACACAGAAACTGGATTGAAGGAGTTTCAGTTAGTATAGGTAGGATAACGTTTATTGAGTTATTTTTAGACTACATTATATTTGACAATACACACGTACACAGAGACATGTATGGATTAGAATGGATTGTATTAACAGCGAATGATGGGGGTGTTTGCAACTTTGAAGATATGTAAGGGGTAGCTGTGAATTCTGCATATAAACAGCAGAAGACCAAAAATGAGTTTTCATTGGCAGAGAAAAAGAAGAAGAACATAGAAGAAGACAATTTACAAAAATTTACAACACCATAAAAATGTAAGAACAGCAGATAGAGAGAGGACAATGCATATCCCAATGATCAGACTTATGGATTCATTACTATAAAAAAAGGACAGACAGGGATACTGGTTAGTTGTAATATATTATCCCAAATCGTCCTATAAATTTGCACTTTAATTTCTTTTTTTTTTCCGTCTCTCCTTCTCTTCTCTGACTCAACCGCTAACATTCATTTACCCTTTCACGTGGATTGAAGTTTATTTTCTTCAAAATTTTTTTCTTTCGACTTTGAGTTGACCTTTCTTTTTCTTCTAACGGTTTCAATCGTTCAACTTTTGGGTATTACACTCTAAAAGTTCAAATAGATTCAACTACTTAAACAAACAAACAAGAACCACTCAATATCTTTAATCATGTGTGACGTTGTTTTAGGAGCCCAATGGGGTGATGAAGGAAAAGGAAAATTAGTCGACTTGTTATGTGACGACATCGATGTTTGTGCTAGATGTCAAGGAGGTAACAATGCAGGACACACCATTGTTGTTGATGGTAAGAAATTTGACTTTCACATGTTACCTAGTGGACTAGTTAATCCCAAGTGTGAAAATGTCATTGGATCTGGAGTTGTTGTTCATGTTCCATCATTTTTCCAAGAGTTACAAAACTTGGAAGTTAAAGGCTTAGATTGTCGCGGTCGTTTATTCGTTAGTTCTAGAGCTCATTTGGTTTTCGATTTCCACCAAAGAACTGATAAATTGAAGGAGGCGGAATTGTCGGAAAACAAAAAGTCCATTGGTACTACTGGTAAAGGTATTGGCCCTACTTATTCTACTAAAGCTTCAAGATCAGGTATCAGAGTTCATCATTTGGTTAACCCTGAACCAAAAGCATGGGACGAGTTCAAGACTAGATATATGAGATTAGTCGAATCAAGAATGAAGAGATATGGTGAATTTGATTATGACTATGAAGAAGAATTGGCCAGATATGCCAAGTATAGAGAAGAGTTGAGACCTTTTGTGGTTGACACTGTTGAATACATGCATAATGCCATTGCTGACAAGAAGAAGATTTTAATTGAAGGTGCCAATGCTTTGATGTTGGACATTGATTTTGGTACTTATCCATACGTTACTTCTTCTTCCACCGGTATTGGTGGTGTGTTGACTGGATTGGGAATCCCACCAAAAACCATTAGAAACATTTATGGTGTTGTCAAGGCATACACTACTAGAGTTGGTGAAGGTCCATTCCCCACTGAACAATTGAACTCTGTTGGTGAAACTTTGCAGGATGTCGGTGCCGAATATGGTGTCACCACCGGAAGAAAAAGAAGATGCGGTTGGTTAGATTTGGTTGTATTGAGACATTCAACTTTAATCAATGGTTACACTTCGTTAAACATTACTAAATTGGATGTTTTGGACAAGTTTAAGGAAATTAAAGTGGGTGTGGCTTATAAATTGAATGGTAAAGAATTAAAGAGTTTCCCTGAAGATTTGATTGATTTAGGCAATGTCGAAGTTGTTTATGAAACATTACCTGGTTGGGAAACTGATATCACCAAGATTAAGAATTATGACGATTTACCAGAAAATGCCAAAAAATATCTTGATTTTATTGAAAAGTATCTTCAAGTGCCAATTCAGTGGGTTGGTACTGGCCCAGCAAGAGATTCAATGTTGGTCAAACAACACTAATGGCAACACTAATGGCAACACTAATGGCAACACTAATGGTTGTGAGAACTATACATGTAGACGTTTTCTTTTTTTATGATAGTTACACCATAGAGCTAGATATATATTACTTGATTTAGGACTCGATCGAGTGTAGATGAATGAGCTGTCGGAGAAGTTCTATTGCATTACGTGGTGCTTAAGTCTTGCAACTTTGACGTCTTGCGCTACCAGATAAGAGCAAAAGGTTACAAATTGTAACTGAAAATTAGTGTTGCCACTGGTTGTCTTTCTGCAACTGTAAAATAACTATACAAATCATGACATACAAACTTAGTTCCACCTTATCAGGCCACGAGCAAGATGTTAGGGGCTTGGCAAACTCAACCATTGGAGACGAGCCCATACTTGTATCAGTGCTGAGAGACTCGACAACAAGAGTATGGAATCATGTAAATACGTCACTGGAAACCGACTCAAGAATACTTTTCCATTCACCAACCAAATCTTTTATCAATTCAGTTTCAATTGTCAAATTGGAACAATCGGGCGAAGAATTAGTTGCTAGTGGAGGACAAGATGCCATGATATATTTGAGTGATCTATACCAGCAAGGAGTCCAAGAAGGAGAAGCTGTCAATTTCGACCAGGATGGGAAATACCAATTGATTGGACACGAAGGAAATGTATGCGCCATGAATTTTGCTCATGATGAATTTATTTCTAGCTCATGGGATGGAACTGCAATAGTATGGAATTTACAAGAATTTGTTCCCAAATTTGTCCTTGGGGGCCATGATTCATCAGTATGGGATTGTAAAATTGTCAACAACAAGAATCAATATTTGACGGCATCCGCTGACAAATCAATCAGACTATGGCAAGGAGACCATGAAATCCAAAAGTTTTTGGGACATACTGATGTCGTTCGAAAATTGTTGGTTTTACCCGGTGGTGAACGGTTTGTATCTAGTGCTAATGATGGTACTATCAAGATATGGGACTTGCAGACGGGTAGGATATTGAAGACACTATTTGGCCATGACTCATTTGTTTACGATTTGGCATTGTTGCCCAATGGCAATCTAGTATCTACTGGTGAAGATAGAACCGTCAGAATTTGGGATTTATCAAAGGGTGAACAAGCAGTGCAAGTGATTACTTTACCATGTATTTCAGTGTGGTGCGTGACTATGTTGCCAAATGGAGATTTTGCCGTTGGTGGATCCGATAACCAAATCCGGGTCTTTACTCAAGATCCAGCGCGAGTAGCTCCACAAGATGAATTGAAAGCATTTACTGAAGCAGTGCAATCATCATCAATATCGGAACAATCATTGGATGATTTGAAGAAAACCGATATACCGGGTATCGAGGCGTTATCTAAGCCGGGGAAACAAGAAGGGTCAACCATAATGGTCAAGACTGCGGATGGCACCATTGAAGCTCACCAATGGTCTGGCGGAGAATGGCATAAAATTGGTGATGTTGTTGGGGGAGCAAGCTCAACAAAGAAGCAAACGTACGAGGGACAAGAATATGATTATGTGTTTGATGTCGATATTAAGGACGGTGAACCACCACTAAAATTGCCCTACAATTTGAATCAGAATCCCTACACGGTGGCAGAAAAGTTTTTAGCTGATAATGAGTTGCCATCGTCTTATACTGACGAAGTAGTGTGGTTTTTGGAGACGAATACAGCGGGGGCAAAGTTGAGTGAAGGAACTACCGAAAACAACCAAGCCCAGCTGCCAGCATTGGCTAATGATCCGTATTCTGATGCTTATGCGAGACAACATAGTTCAGGAGAGCAGCCTCAAGTTGCAACGTCGATTATACCAGAGACTCAATTTATTTCGTATAAAGAATTCAAAAAGGATACCATACTCAATGGATTGAAAAAGTTAAACCAGTCACAGGAAACTAGTCAATTCACCGAGGAGGAGATATCAACTATTCTGGGCTTAATTTCTAATTTATCTTCAGGTGATGCTGTTGAATTGATTTTGAACTATGCCACTAAGATCATTTCATCTTGGAATACATCATCGAAATTGATTGGATTTGATTTGATTCGAATTGCTCTTGGCAAAATTACCGCTCACGATTTCCTTGGCCAGGAGTCCGTTGCCCAAACAGTGTCCAATCTGATTGAATCTGGGTTGGAAATTATCGATTCTTCCAATGCAACCTTGTTCATGATGATTATGAAAGTGTTGGCCAATTTCATTGGTGGAGCTGGATTCATTCAAGCCTATATTGACCCATTCGAGGGTGACTCAACTCGGTATATCTACAATGCCACATTCCAAAAGATCTTGCACGAAATTGGACAAAAGGCCACAGCATTGGATTCGTCAGCCAAGCTTTACGCCGCAGCAATTACAGCACTAGCTTCTTTTGTTTATGATTTATCAACGGTTCAAATCAAGACAACTGGATTAAACAGCCACTCTGAGACTTCGGCTGCTCCCGTATTGGACCTAGTGGCGAAAATAGGTGATACCGTGGTGAAATCTTCAGGCGAGGCCGGGTATAGATTGGCCATTGCTTATGGAAATTTCAAGTACATTAAGGCTTACCCAACAAATGCACCACCGCTGCAATGGTTGAATAAATGGAATGAGCTATACGCGTCAAAGGAACAGAGGTTTAATGATTTAGCTCGTGACTTGACACTATTATAGAAAATCATATACATATCTACAAAGATAAAGCAAAAGATGTTTGGTTTATTCCATTATTAAAAATTCTCTAGACGTAGCATTCTAAATCTAACAACAATAACCTGCTCTAACTCTCTTGATAAAATAACTCGGGTACTTTATAGGTATATTGAACCAATTTCTCAACCGCATTTAAATTCAAATTATCAGTCAATGAAACAACCGAATAAACATGCACTTTTAAATCAGATGGATTATGGCTGACTTTGCCAATAATTTCATAGTTCTTATTCACTTGCAATGCCCCGTCTCCATTGTTATCACCGTCGTTTCCCGCGCCGTCCTGGGTAGCTGATGATAAATCTAGCTTGACGGATCCATTGCTTATCAATATGGCCTGTTGCGTGCTGGTATCGTATGATTCACATTTACCGATGATTCGAACGAGGTTGTTTTGGTTTTGTTGTAAGAGCGTCGCATCTATTCTTTTAGTGGTTGCTTCCATGGTGATGATTTGTGAGCTGTATGTGTGAGTGTAATTGAATGGCGTGTGGATTCTGTATTTTTTTTTATTTCTCCTTTTTTTTTTTAAAACGCGTCTGGTGTATTCTTCACGCGAGAGTTTTGCAACAGCAAGAGGGGAGATATCACCAAACTCTTCTGAGGGAATAAACTGTTTGATTTGTTATTTACTTCTATAAAAAACGAACAGCCAATCTAACAGCTACATAAATCATGCAAGAATTCACCGGCTTTACCATTTGCTTCAGCTCTCATTAAACTTTCACCAATCAAGAACCCATCAACATCATCTTCATACTTGTACTTCTTGACATCATCAACACTGGTGATTCCCGATAACGCCAACACCAAGACATCACCATTTCTGCCATTTTGGCTTCCCTTTGCGTGCTCCACTAATGAACTAGTAGTTTGTAAATTGACGCTGAAATTGGTCAAGTTACGATTATTAACTCCAATAATCAATGGCTCTTTAGTGTCATTTTGGTAGGTTAATTTCAAAGCTTGAGTCAATTCTGCATCATCATTCACTTCAACTAATGGCACCATTCCCAATTCCAAAGAGTATGCATACAACTCTTGTAATAATTTTACATCTTTCAACATCTTGACAATAAGTAAAACAGTATCGGCACCAGCTAATCTAGCTTCCAATATCTGGTACTTGTTGAATATGAATTCTTTCCTCAATACCGCTGGTCGTTTGTAATTACTTACTTTTTGCGTTGCCGGACTGTCAATAACTTTACGAACCAACGATAAATCCTCAATTGATCCTTTAAACCAAGTTGGTTCAGTCAAGATGGAAATTGCTGAAGCTCCATTGATGGCATACGTTAAGGCTTGGGTACCTGCATGTGCATTTGTATTGATGTCACCTTTAGATGGACTAGCTCTTTTAAATTCGGATAAAATGATGGTTTGCTGAAGTTCATCTTGGGTGTACTTAAGACGATCATAAAAATTGATAATTGGTGGAGCTGCACCCAACGATAAGGCAATTTCCAAGTTTTGGAACGAACGACCAGGCAAATTCTCTATCATTTCGTAATCCTCTTTTCTCTTTTTGTAAATTGTAGTTAAAATATTTTCATTTTTGGCAAACGATTTCTTCGTCACCTCTTCTTTATGCTTCAACTTGTAAGCTTTGTTTTCGTCCCAGGTGCCTCCGTGTACTCCTAAAATGTTATCAATCATTAATTGTCCAGACTCGGTTAAAATGGACTCAGGATGGAATTGTACTGCTTCAATAGTATACTTCTTGTGTCTAACTCCCATAATTACTTCTGGTTCTGTTTCAGTGACAGCAGTGACTTCCAAAACATCAGGCAATGTCTTTTCACTACCAGCAAGCGAGTGGTATCTAGTAACAGCCACTGATTGTGGCACATCTTCAAACATTCCCCTACCGTCATGTTTGATAGTAGTTGTTTTACCATGCACGATTTCACCGGCATACGAAACATCACCACCAAACACATCAAAAATACATTCTTGGCCCATACAAACTCCAAATATGGGTAATTTCCCCTTGAAGTGTCTAATTAAATCTCTTGAGATACCTGAATCGGTTAAAGGGTGGCCAGGGCCAGGTGAGATGAATATTATATCTGGCTTGATTTCATTTTCAATGGTGTCAATATCTATTTTGTCATTTCTGTACACATCAACCTTTCCACATCGGCTGGATTGATGTAAATATTGATATAAATTCCATGTAAAGGAATCATAGTTGTCTATCATTAACACATGTCTTTTAGGTTCAGAGTTGTCTGTCATTGTTGGCTTGAAAAAGTTACTGGATATGAGCGGATCTGACTAACTTCTTTTTTATTTTTTTTCTTTTTTCATTTCTTTTTTTTTTTTCATCTTCAAAATTTGGACTAAGTCACGGGTTTGCAATCAAATCAAGCGATTCTAGAAGAATAAATCTATACCATAAAAAAGCATCTAAATACCTTTTGATTAAATAAACACTATGTAATTTTCTTTTTCCTCACTCTATGACTAATAGGTTCGTAATCCAACTTCTTATCTGTCTGAATGTACTCAACACCACTCAAAATAACCGAACTAACCAACTCCAAGATCAACATAAACAATGACGACAAAATTGCCAAACAATAATTTGAGATCGACACACCAATGTCCAACCAGGACCCTTCTGTCCGCACTAAAAAGAAAAAGTTTAATGATAAGATATCGCTGGTGGATATGATCAATGTGGAAATTGTAAATCGTTTAACTTCCAATTGATGATTCATGATACCTAAGCATGTAGAGAGCAACACGTATGGAATGATCAACTTTATCATTAGCAAAGCTCCCATGGCAAATGGACTGAAAACGGGTATCAATCGGTAAACCGAGTCCAATGAAAATGATGAAATTGACGACACGTTACCTGTTCCAAAAAAAGCCACTTGCAAAAAGAAAAACCCAATTATAGCAATCCTAATCACTTGAACCCAGTAGCCTTGGGGTAATTTTCCTGTTTCTTTCTGTTCCTTCAATATTTCCGCTTGGGAATACTTGAGAAGCTCCTCAATCGTAAGCCATTGTAGTAACACCAAGGAGAATCCAATATAAAACAACAATTCAAAAGATATTGTGAAAATCACAAACGTTGGCACAAAAGTTATGAATATGATCAACAATCTAAACCTGTAGTCTTTTGATGGGTAGAAGGAATGGAGTACTGGGAGCACTACAAGTGAAGTCACAAATATCACCCAGCCAATAATCTGTGAATACAAAGGAAGACCATTTCGAGACTGTAAAGACACCACCGACACATCAGTTGCGTATGTGATGAGTGGAATAGCGAATATCTGAGCATAAGTTATAGCCTTTTGTGGGAATCCAATATCGTAGCTCCTCTTTTCTACTTCATTGAATCCCACGATACTTATAATAAATGCAAGTGCAGCACCCAAGTTTATTAGAAGCAAATTCTCCGTCTTTATTGGGTTGAGATTGGTGAATATGCACATGAAGAGACAACTGAAAAACCACAAAAATTTCATCAATCCAGATATCTTGTGCGAGTCCAGTATGAAAACCGGATAAACACCAACGACACAGAATATGATTGAAAACGTGAATCTTTCGAAAAATCCATACGCGATCCCCTCATACATTCCGAGGAAGCTGGTGAATATTAATATTTTACCACCAAGGGAAACACCACGTAACAATTCCCCCACTCCATCAATCAAGTGTTGAAATTCCACCACAATCGTGTACCAAAAATAAAGCGGGAAAGCAGTGTACATGTAGTAGTTGATCGGAGAACTTTGATAGAATAACAAATACCCAAGTGATGTTCCCAACACCAGAAAAGATGCCAATGTCACCGGTGAGTACAGACTCTTGACTTTTTTCAAGTCACTCTTTGACAAGATGAAGAGCTTTAAAAATAAAATGAAGGAATACACTATCCAGCCAAAAAAGCCCAATGTCACAATAGAGCGAAGAAGGGCCCAATTATAAGTGGTCAAATAATTCAACCCGGCCAATGTTTTCTTCATCAACTCTTCTGTAATTTCAATAGCCAACTTCTCAACTTCTGGATCAGGGGCCTCCTTAAGCAACTCAATCATACTCTCAATCTCCTTCTGGTAGTCTTTAATCGTTTTCTCTTCAAATGGCTCGTATGGTTTGAATTTGAATTGATGACTGTAAACCTCCTTCTCCTTGACAATATACTGCTCAACAATGGCTAAAGCATTTGCATAAAGGCCCTTGATTTTGTTTTGCGGAGTGGCATCGAGATAGCCCAATGGCAATTCTCCAACTGAGTTTGCTGGGTAATTAGCACCTGTTAAATATGCCATCAACGAGGCAATGTCCGCCTGATTGACATCATTCCTTACCAAATGATCCAATTCCCAGGTATCGAAATATGTAGACTCAAATCCGCTTCTTATTGGGTCTTGCTTGAGTAATTGCGCCTCTAAATGGTGCACATCTTTCAAATGAACAGGCTTGTTAAGACCAGCACCCCAAGCAATTAATGGTGTCCTAGTGTTATCTGGGTGACCATCTCCATGGGACCCAAAGTCAGACATACCGTGATCGGCAGTAAACACAAATGCAGTTTTGTCATCGCCAAAAAATTCATTAATTTGAGGCACAACTTTCTCCAACATGGTGTCAATATATTCAATATTCTCATAATATTCAGCAGAGTAAGGACGATAAGCATGACCTGCTGTATCTGGGCCTAGCAAATGCAAGAAAAATACGTTTCCATCCTGGTGTAATTCATCATGCAAGGTTGCATTTGTTGTCAGATTAGTCAAAAGATCATCAAAATGTTTGAAAACAAAAGAATCCAACTCTATTGAACTCGAGGTGAAGTCCTCAAATTCATGCGCGTACATGCAAACATCAATTCTCCCAGGCACAACGCCATCACCATAGGCAAACATTGGTAAAATATCGGGACTACCGAATGAGTACGTATGTCTTGATTGGTTGAAAAACGAGTCAAAGTTCACCGGATTCTCTTTCCAACCCTTGGTGACTGCCGAAACATCTTCATAAAAGCCGGCAATCATGGCCACGTGTCCCGGGCGTGATTCAGTGGGCATCCTAGTATTTGATATTCCCCACGTTCCATTGTTCAAGGCTAGACTACGCAAATAAGGTGCGAGATATTTGTACTCTCCTGTTCTTGGGTGTGTCAATTTCTGAAACGTCTTGTCTGCCCTGAGGCCGTCACCAACAATAAGAAAAAGTCTCTTAGCTGGAGGTTCATAAGTGGACACATGGTGGTCCATACCGTGAACCAACGGCAGCACAAAATAAATGTCAAAGATGGACCATAGGTAGAAGAAATGGAATAACAACCCCACTGTCAATAACAATTTCCTATTCCTATCCATACTGATGCAAAAAGAAAGTATGTTCCCCTTTGTTAACTGAAGCGAATGAATGGCTTGACACTGGTAATGAATTGGTGACGTGTTTTTGCAAAATCTGAAAAGAAAAACGCGGTTTATATTTTTCTATGTTCTTTTACTGGTTTTGTGCTACATCACCTCTAGGGTACATTTTTCTCAACACGGGGGATCAGGAAGAAGAGGGGAGCTGAACTTTCTTGCATTATAAACTCTACTTAGGTCCAATTGGGATCAGGCTCTTTACACATTCTAATCCACTGGCAATTTTGTTGGTAAAACATCATGTTGAGACCGAAAACACGAAGTGCATCTTTGTACTGAGTAATCACCTCCAAATCCCGCAGTAAACACTCATTGTACACCGCCAAATTGCTTTGTTCTTGTAAATCATTGATCGAGTCAAAATGTTCAAAATCTTTTTGCGTCCTTTCAAGTTGATAGCGCACTATAAGTTCTTTGTATTCCAAGAATGACTTCTGATAGTTTGTCATGGACTTGACGTAGCGCTGCCATTTACCTCGACTAATATTTGCATCAAAGTCGAGTAAGGGAGGTTTGGGGGACGTAAAGTTGTGCACTTTGGGAGACGCGTGGAAGTCCAATACTGTTAGTGGAGCCCGCGTTGATCTTTCAGCATTGGTGCGGAGTCTGGCAGCAGAATGGCCACGCACAGTATTTTTATTCATTGGGGTAGATAATGTCTCCGCTCTGGAGATACCATCTGTGAAACGAGTTGCTTCTGCTGGCGTGGTCCTCGAGGAATTTGCTACATTTCCTGAATTTGAGTTTGGTTGCTTTCTCCTCAGCGAAGTAGGGAGACTGTCCTCCAATTCACGGAAGTCAACTTCTTCAATGTCTCCTACATTCATCCCCAAGTTCCCCATATCAAATGCCGAAGAGTCATTATTGGCGCTGATCTTAGATCTTTTATGTGGTGAAGTTGCATGATGCCGTATATGATTTGTTGGTGGGGGCACAGGTCGCTTGGACAAGGTTGGATTGATTTTAGTGTCTGGTCTTGTACTACTTCTAGGGGGAGCTTTCGGTTTCACAGAAAACGGAATATACTCGTCCAATTTTTCAGGACTGTATTCCTTATCAGCCTTCCCCTCCGTTGAAACGTGAGCTCCATTATTGGCCCCTGTGGCCGCTCTTTGATTGGACGATTTATTTGACGTACCCTTCGCCTTCATATTAGGTCCTGTCTCCTCTATGATTTCTATTCCATCATCATCTTCCAGGTCATAGGACCTGTCCGATATGGTAATTGCCTCAACGTCTGTAAAATCATTCTCCGATACAATTGGGATGTCGAGCCCTTTGCTATTTTTTGCTCTATTTTTATTTGAATAATCATTCTTACGGCGTTTGCTTGACGGTACATAGTCCTCTTCTTGACCGTTTGTCACTTTGCCACTCTTCTTTGATCTAAAAAGTCTTTCGGTATCATCAGGGTTATACTGGTTCCTCAAAAATTCAGTAGCTGTTTCTGCTGCATCAGCCATGTCCCGTCGGCTCTGCTTTGCATTTTGATATTCCTTATCTTGAACTGAACTGCTAGTATGCAGCGTTCTATGCTCGTTGGGGTTATATTCCTCATCCGATTCGCCACTAAGAATCTCAGATGGGCTTTTTGTATATCTATTCTGCTCAGTTGCCGTTTCCGCCTGTACCGTATCAACTTCCTGTGCTTCTCGTTGCTTTTTAAGTTCTTCTTCAAGTCTTCGTTCTTCCTTCTCTACTCTTCTCCTTCTCTCACTTTCCATTCGTCTTCGTTCTTCTTCCATTTTCTCAACTTCTCTCATTCGGGCTTCGGCTTTTCGTAACTCTTCTCTCCTCTTTGCTTCTGCCTCAGCCTTTAACCGCTCAAGCATCTCCTCTTTGAGTCTTTTTGCGCGAGCAGCAGCCTCTTGTGAAGCTTGTCTTCGTTGTTCTTGCGACTTGTGGAATGCTTTGAAAAAAGCACCATCAGTTCCACTTGGATTAGCCGCATTTCGCGCATTTGACGCCGAGTGTTCACTATGTGAGAACCGACTATAATACTGTCTGCTTGAAAACGAATGTCCTGTGGATGATGAGAATTGTTGATACTCAGAGTAGGATGCACTTGGCGTTCCCGTAGGCAAGTGTGCTTCACTAGTGGTATTAAATTTCTCGTAATGATTTCGTATAGCCTCAAATGCAACATTTATCTCTTTGAATTTCTCATGATGAGTTTTGTCGGGTGTTTTGTCGGGGTGGTACTTTAAAGATAGTTTCCGGTAAGCTCGTTTGATGTCCGCAAATGAAGTTGTGGGAGTCACTCCAAGTGATTGGAAATGGCTAATCGTAGGTAAAGACATCTTTCTTGTGAACACAAGTGTAACATATGTCAGTCAGTAAAGTGTGCCGTTGGAATGATGCCGAGCTAGGACAATACTTTCAGCACTTCAATTATATCTGCATGTTTTTGCATTAAAGTTTTTGTTTTTCAATTTTGAAATTTATTACATTGATCTACAAAGATAATTGTGCCTAGCACCTAAAAGCCTATCTTCAGAGACCCTAGTAATGCAATGCAGCAGAAGAAAGAAGAGACTACAGCACCACACAATGCAAAACATACAACAACTAACAACACAAATATATGTCTTGATCGTATACACAACTCTCCATCCCTTCCCCTCTCTCTATACACATCACGACAACTCGTAATCATCAATTTTGTTTCTATATTTGAGCAAATTTCTCTTAATCTTGGAGTTGTCAACCCAGGTCAAGTAATCCTCAAGATTTCTCGTGACAAGGTAGGCAGGGTCAGTAATGACATTTGGCCCGACTCTGACATGTCCTTGTTCAACAAATTTAACAGCATCTCCCAAAGTCTCTGCCATTTTTAGCCTGCACATGACCACTCCAATCCTTCTTCGACAAAGAGCACTGACAGTGACCTTGTTCTCCAAGTCACTTATTTTCGATTTGGTTGCCAATACTCCCATATTATATAGCTTCTCTAATAGCAACTGCTCGTGCTTTATACGAAATGGATCGGTAGGTTTAAGCAATGAAAGCTTATTTGCTAGTTTTCTAATATCACCACATATTTTGTTATACTTATGATAGTCTTCTCTGTTCTGAATATGGTATGTTCTCATCACCTGCGTATCTCGGTGACCCTGATCTTGTTTCCAGTCAAGAAAATCCACTTTCTTTAAAAGCTTCTTTTCATGATGTTTCAATGCCCTAACCATGTTGCTATAGTAGATATGTGTTGTTAAACAAGTTTGTACCGTCTGAGATGAGCTAAAATAAGTTCCCATTGAAACCAATGTTGTTTTAATTTTTTTCTTTATGGTAGCACCACAAATTGTGTCAGTGCTAACATTTTTTTCGAAAATTTTCAGACTTGACCAGGTAAGCTAGAGTGACTGACTCCTCATACAACAAAAGAGAATGATGGCCTCTGTATGGCGTACTTCTGTGCGCAAATTTTCAACATCGAGATTCTGCTTGTCAAACATCGGAAGGAAGCCAATCAAAGTTAGTGACGGTGTATCTTACTCAATCGAATCGATTCCCATTGAATTTTGCAAATCCTTCAGAAAGAAAAATAAACGATTTGTTCTTGATAGACAGGTTGTAGTCAAGGGTCCACTTGGCGCACTTAGAACGGAAATACCAAAGTTTATCCACATTCATAACCCACAAGGAGACAATCTGCAAATAAGTGTCAAAGTCGAGAGACCAAACAACAAAACACAAAGGTCGCTATGGGGAACAATACGTTCATCGATACATAATGCAATTATAGGGACCAGTGAAGGCCATTTATCGATAGTGAAGTTTGTTGGTACTGGTTACAGAGCTATAATTGAGAAGAATGAAAAGGGAGAGGATGTAGTTGCGTTGAAAATTGGGTTCCCATACACGCCGAAGTTGGTAGTCCCCCCTGGCTTGAAAGTTAGTAGTCCCAACCCAGCTAGATTAGTCATTGAAGGCTGTGACAAGCAGCAAGTGAAATTATTTGCTTCGTTGATCAGAGAACACAAGAAACCTGAGCCTTACAAGGGTAAAGGTATTTTTGTCGATGGAGAGACAGTTGTGCTTAAAGAGAGAAATATCAAGTAGATAGACATATGTCCCTTTGTCGTGTATATAGATATATATATATAATTTGCATATTTGTAAATGCAGTTTCAACTTCATTGTCTAGTGTGCACCAGTAGTGAAATCACTCTGACAATTTTTCACTGAGATTTTTTTTTTTCTAAATTTTTTCCAGTAAGAACAACCAACATTCTACAAACTAGCAGCACTCTTGCAACCCCAGAACATGTTCAGTATCAAGCTGCTAAGTACTGGCTTGGCACCTGCAAGCACCCAGTTTATACGAAATGTTGCACAAATAACATCCATCCATGCCATCACATCACTAAAGACAACTCCCCCTTCCAAGAATCATTCAGTGGAAGAAGGAAATAAACGTAAACAGTTACTAGAAAGACCGGGTCTTTTCGGTATAAAACAAGGGATGATAACTTGGTTTACTTCAAAAGGAGAACAAATACCGGCAACTGTTTTGGAGATCGATTCCGTTGAAGTCATTGGTCACAAAACAAGAGACGAAGTTGGATATGACGCCAACATCATTGGCACAATTGATAAATTAAAAAACTACCCAAGATTGAGTGAGTTGAAAATGTTTGAAGAAGCAGGCACGTCGCCCAAATACAAGTTTGGAGAGTTTAGAGTTCGAGATTCGTCGAGCTTGATTCCATTGGGAACTGAACTTAAAGCTGATTACTTTGCTGTCGGGCAGTTAGTTGATGTCAAGGGGATAACAAAGGGTAAAGGATTTGCTGGTGTGATGAAGCGTTGGAACTTCAAAGGTGGTAGAGCAACACACGGTGTTTCAAAGGCACATAGAACCCCTGGTGCAATGGGTGGTAACCAAAACCCAGGTAGAGTTTTGCCCGGAAAGAAGATGCCAGGAAGAATGGGATGCTCCAACATGACTGATTTCAATAAGGAAGTATTGCATGTTGATGGCGATGCAGGCATATTGATTTTAAAGGGATGTATTCCAGGACCAAATAAAGGTATCGTTAGGATCTCGGATGCGATAAAGTTGTATGGTAAATCATTGAACCAACTTGCGAGGGAGTAGTAGAGATTGGGGTTGAACATGTATATATTTTACAAATACTTACTTTATAAAGAGATGTAACATGTAGATGATATAAGGTGAGTGGAACCCTAGGTGGATTATGTACGTAGTACCAACAACGTCACATCAACAGTATTCCTTCAACAAACTTCATTTCTTCAAACAATAAATCACCCGACTTGAATTGTCCCAAAAAATGAAATTAATTGATCAAAAAGATTCGATTCCAAAAAAGATCAACATCTTTTGATGAATTAGAAAGTTCCAAAAATTAAATAAAAAACACCATTTGACTTAAACGGAAGACAATTCCCGGATGGTTCTGGGAAAAGACAAGAACCATGTTCGACAATGAAATTGATCTTCTGGTGATGAGGAAGAAAAGAAAGGAAAAGAAACTAGAGTTGAAATTTTTTTTTCTTCTTCTCTTCTGGAAGTGAACGAGTGCAGTGGTAGTGCAAACTGGCAAAATATAACATGAAGGAAGTTGTATTCAGCACAGCTTAAAACAGACAGTTACTAACAAGCAATCTAAAAACAGCTTATTTATTAGATGGACATTATACATATTGAAGATTTGAAGCTACAAGGTTGGTACATAAAAAGCGAATGAGCTAGATGAAAGTAATGCAACCCCATTTCTAATCATCATCCAATTCAGATGGCCTAATTAATCCCCCAACTTGTAAGTCCTTCTCTCTTTGCTTCCTATCAGTCTCAATTTTTTCCAATTCTTTATCTTCTGCAAACAAGTAATCAGTAGGATCTCCACCAAATTGTTTCAATTGAACAAGGAAATCTCTTAAAGTGGCCTTGAATTTAAACAAGTCATCATACACCGAAGTAATAACTTTCAAAAAGTTTGCGAGTTGTTCAGGTTGCAAGTTTTCAAATGCCGAAGATAACAATTGTGAAAGGTATTGCTTCAAGAAATCAGAGTTTGTTGTTCCTTCTGGTGCCTGGTCGGGAGTGTAAAGGGGATACTTGATGACATTGTCTTCAACCAAATGAATTAGTTGGGCTAGCAACTGAGATTGATACCTGAACCCAGCTTTATGATCCGGCTGGGTAAACACATAGAATGTATCGGATAAAATTTGGAAATAAAAGTTTTCATAGAATGCTTTGGTGAATGGAGTATCACCCAAGTGCTCGACATTTTCAATCAAGTTCAAAGTTAATGACAACCCATTATCCTCAACATCTCTATTATTATGTTTGAAGGCCCAAAGTGCCGCATTGATTAACGATTGGAATGCTTCGCCTGATAATTGCAACAATCCCTGGAACGATTTAGCATTGATTTCTTTCAAAAGCTTATAAAATTCAATTCTATGTTCTGGGTACTCAACAAAGTCATTCTTAATCATGTCCAAGGTACATTCAAAAACATTTTGCAAAATCAAAACAACACCATCGGGTATCAAGTGGCCCACCTTAGCAACCAATGCGGTCATACATCTCAAAACTTCAGCATCCCTAGCATCTGGAACATTCGAGCTATAATCTTCTAGAACAGCACCAAACAATGGTGAGGCCAAATCTCTGACAATCTCCTCCAAATTCTCTGCTTGGTTTATATAGGTCTCAATCATTTTCAATATTTCCTTCTTGATCGTTCTCAACCCCCTCACCTTTGGTGTTTTTGTGGCAATAATTCCATCCTTGGCCACTGCGTCTGATATCATTGATGAAACTGCCTTGTACAATGACAACATATCAACATACAAGCCTCCCAATTGTGAGTAGAATCCTGGACCTAGAGCTTTACAAACAGCAACGTTGGTTTTGATAATGTTTGCAATGATTTTAACCGTTTCGGTGTTGGTCAACAACGTAGGATCTTGACCTGCTTGTTGTATGATGGAAGACCATGCCATGTTCGGCAATGCCATCAACTCACTCAACAATTTGTCTCTCGCATCTTTGTTGGTTTGTGCACTAACTATTATACCGCATGCTTCGTAAAATGTGTGGACTTGTTGTGGCTGTAAGTCTTCAGTAATTGATTGGATTTCCCTGATTATTTCATTGATAAATGGCTCCCTTTCATTTTGCTGCACAACGACAAAATGACGCTTACATTTGTTGGTGATTTTGATGAAAGTATCACATGCCATATCCTGCACACCTTCGTGTGTTTCGTGCATGAATTCGAATAGCTTATTCACCACTGTTTTCAAGAACTTCCAGTGAGCTTTCAAGAATCTTGGATACTGACCAACAATGTACATGATGTTCGACGCAACAACTGCCTTGTTATCCTTACCTCTTTTCATCTCGGTCAAAGACAACAAGTCTTTGATTACATTGACCAAAAATCTCTTTTCCATGTCTTCATTCATTGCTCCGGAGATGGACCCAATAGCCCAACACAAGGTGTTTATATTTTGCCATGACCATTCACTTTCATCGAGTTGTCTAGAAAGTTTCTCAATCATGATTTGCTCTGTGTCAAGGACGTTCAAATGAGTCAAATACACCAAAACTTCCCTCATTGATTTATACAATTGAATGGTGTCACTCTCTTTTACAAATTCACGAACAATTTCCCCTTCATCGTTTTCCACCACCAAAACTTCTTCCGGTCTAGCCATGTTTTCAATAATCACCAATCTTAATTTGGACAAGACCTCTTTATATTGGTGTTGTCTTAATGGGAATTTGGACAAAACAGCAGGATCAGGGGCACCACCCGAGGAGCCAGCTTTGATAGTGCTGCCATATGTCAATTGCATCATCGGACTTAATTCATTACTTGGCAAATTTCTCGTCTCAACAAACAATTGGTGGACAAAGGTTTGCCAAAAATCCAAACAAGTTTTGAATAACTCACGTTCTTCGATTCTTGACAACTGTAACAAGTATACTAACGCGTTTTGAAGTAGTTCTTTAGCCTCTGAATGTTGCTCCAAAACTGATAAATGGTTTCCCAAATATGTGCACAAGAACATGGCCATGTCTTGCAAAAATGATTGATCCGCCGATGAAGCAACTTTGTAGCTTTCTTTCAAGTTAGTTGTAATAGGTACAATGTTGTAGAACTGTTCCATTGTGTTTTTGAAAAAGAGCAACGTTTTAGCGTTTTCGTCGGGTAAAGTGCTAATTTCTGTCAAACATTTCAAAGAAATTGCTCTGGTATCGACTGGTGCCAAAAACTTGGTAGATAATATATCCAACAAGTCAGTTTGGTAAATATAGTTTGATGGAATCCATTGAATATATTTCAATAAAGCATTTAAGGTAGCAATAACCAAAGATGACTTGTTTGTTTTATCCAAAACTTCATAACACAATTTGAAAATCTTTTCAAATTCATTCTTCATACTTATTCTCAATTGTTGTGCTTTAGCTTGAGTCAATTGGTCTTGACTGTAATCAAACACTTCTTCACTCAACAACTTAAGAACAATCATGTTGTTCTCGCATACATTGAATGAAGATCTGGAGCTAGCAACTATTTCAGGGACAAACTCTGGCCAATTATGAGGCCATTCTTGTTTCAAAATGGAAACCAAAGTCAAATCAATCTTATTAATCAAGGCACGTTGTGTCTCAAACTCAGTTTCGTCGTTACACAACGAGATAATCATATTGACTATAAAGTTTCTTATCCCTATTCTTTCTTCTTCTGGGATCATTTTCCACCTGTATTGAATCAATTTATTTAAACATGACAATGCAATGTACTTTGATTGTGGGTTAGAAGAATTAGATAAAATATTATCAACAAACTTCCAAGATTCGGGGTGTTCTTGAAATCTATTCAACACCGATTGTGCTTGTCTTTGATTCTCACCGGAACCTTTGTAAAAAGCATCAACGGTTTGATCAAACAACGCAATGTCTAGATCAGTCGAGAAGTCCAATATAGCTTCCATTTCTATCTATCTATCGTGGTGGATTGTGTTTTATTGTAGTTTGTTTGGATGGTGTTGCCAGTTGCACTATTTGCAGTAAAAAATGAAAATAAAAAATACAATTGTAGACTTACTTTGAGGTTTATGTACCAATGTATGTCTTATGAGGTCAGCGATGTGGTTTTAGTGATATTTTTTGTTGCTTCTTGGACAGATGATTAGAATGTGTATGTGTGTATATATTAGTTGGTGGATGAATTTAATACTTCAATCAATTGGTTCAAAGTAAAATTTAAATTTTTTTTTTCTGCTTCTTCTTCTTCTCTTTCTTTGCCACTCCTTCGATTACATAAGCAACGTGTATTGTAAGAGCAGACAGTAGCACAGACATTGAGATTAAGATCGTTAACACAAGAGATATCAAGCGATACAGACACATGTATATATAGAGAGCTGCTAGACATCTTACTATACATACACTTTTCTCGAATATAGCTTGGCTATGAAAGTAATACATCAATTATTTTATCAATTATTCTGCTTTATTCCGACTGAGACTACGAATAATCACCCTCTTGTAGTAGAAAAGAAGCAGCCCTACACGGGCCAAGCTGATCTTTTTCCTCTTTGGGTACTCCACCATTAGAAACTTTTTGTTTGTCCAATTGGTGTTTGTTGTCAACACTTTTCCGTGTCAACTGCATTTGCAACCAAGCCCAGTGGACTGCATTATGATTGATATCCTACTTCAGTCAACACAAGAATGGCTATCCTGTTGGTTTTTAGAAGTCAATAATTACCCCGATCCGAAAACCCTTCAAGGAGATTTGGCAAAACTCTTGGACAACATAGATACCAACCAGTTTACGATCTTGGTTCTAAAGCAACGTGATTGGTACCTTTACAATTACATACAAATGATGGTATTGAAAACAGGCAAAAGCATTGTTGTGAACTACTTGATGGAGTCTCCCGAGCACCATTTAAAGGTTTTAGCACAATTAGTTAAACAAGTTGATTCAATGGATTTGAAGATAGGGTTTGATCTATCCAAGGAGCAACTTGCATTTTTGATGTTGAACGTGCCTGGATTTATAAACCATTTGGCAGGTGGAGAACCGGTTGAGGATGTAGATGTCGATGCCGTTTTTCAAGAGTTTATAACAAGGTACCCTTCAATAAAACTGATTGTTTCTTCAAATGAATTTGCCATTGAATAGAGGTATAAAAGATAGAGTACGAGATTAGTGTTGGTTAAACCCTTTCAAGATAATCTTTCAAAGTCTAAACTATGTAAATCTTTACTTGTTAGCAAATGCAACACCTTTTTCAACATTCTTGGCCAATTGCTCAATGGCAACTTCCAACAACTTCTTTTCATCATCGTTGATCTTGTTCAAGATATCATATTGTACCTCTTCAATACCATTCTTACCCAACTTGACTGGCAAAGAAAAAAAGTCCAAATCTTTAACCAACTTCTTGGCTTCTGAAGCACCTTTAATTGATGATTCCAAGTTCAAAAATGTGCATTCAACAATTCCGGTTTCACCTCTAACTGCCTTCAAGATAGATTCGGCTAATCTGTAACCAGCGTAAGCCATAGACAAAGTGGCTGAACCAGCACCGTTCTTGGCTTGAACAACTTCGTCACCACCAAATTGGACTCTGTGGATCAAAGCCTTCTTTTGTTCTTCATTCAATTCGTCATAGTATTTCTTGGTCGAACCAAGGGAATACAATGGAACAATGGTTTCACCAGAGTGACCACCAATAACATTGACATTGAAATCTGTTGGTTTAGTATCCTTTGGAAACAATTGAGAAATAAAAGTGTTGGCTCTGACGATATCCAAAGTGGTAACACCAAACAATCTTGCTGGGTCATAGACACCCTTCTTTTTCAAGGTCTCGGCAAAGATTGGTACGGTGGAGTTAACTGGGTTGGAAATAACCAAAACAAAAGCTTTTGGACTGTTTTCGGCGATACCTTCAGCCAAACCTTGACAGATGGAGGCATTGATGTTGAACAAGTCATCTCTGGTCATACCTGGCTTTCTTGGAACACCAGCTGGGATTATGACAAGATCAGCACCCTTCAATGCATTGGCCAAAGCAGTCTTGTCTTCTTTTGATGAAGGCAAGAATGATTCGGTGGTTGAGTTGGAGTTGATGTGACCCAAGTCAGCACCAACACCTGGGACATTGACAACATCAAACAATGCCAATTCATCAACATTTGGGTTCAATTTGGTCAACAAGGATAATGGTTGACCGATACCACCAGCGGCACCTAAAACTGCGACTTTAACCATTGTGTTTATTATTTAGTGTAGTTGTTGATTTTTGAATATATGTGGACTATTATGAAATTCCTGATTCCAAATGAAGAAGAAGAAGAAAAAAAAATAAATAAAGTGAAGAAAAAGGGGGGTTTTGAATTGATTTGATTTTGAGGGTGGAAATTTGTCAAACTATTTATATTAACGTCCAATTGAAAGTGGAAAAAAAAAAAGTAATAATACTAATTAAATTATTACACAACTTAGTCGTTATTATTTTTTTTTTTTCTTCTGCATGTATGTGTGTGGTGTGGTTGTGGTGAGTTACCCCATACAATTTAAACACATGCACACCAGGCACAATAAGCATTACATAATATATACTATAAGCTTACTCTCTAATTACATAATTGATTCACGTCTTGATTATGTAAGGTTAACTACTTTTTATGAAAAATAATAGAGGGTCCCGCGTTTCACCGTAAACAAATAAAATTCCAATTTTGTCCGGGGTAACATACATTATGAAACAAATTATTAGCAATACAAAAATAAAAAGTTACCGAGGATATAAGAAGTTTATGAAATATACCGGGCAAGGCAAAATGTTTGACCGTTGGAAATTAGACCACTTTGCATCTGTCAAAATACATCCATATGAACACTTTGTTTTAGCTTAAAAGAGTTTTTTACAACAATTGTCCAAATTTTCATAAAATTTGGTATCGATTTTATCGTAAATGTTGCAGAAAGTAGGTTCCACTATACAAAATAGCAGTTATGTCTTCCAAAGAGTGAGGTGCAAATGAGACTTGACTTATGATGGAAGACCAATGTAGCAAAACTTTGTTCAGTCTGGCCCAATCTGTTATCCTAGCACCAATCAACTGATGCTGAATCAAAAAGGACTTAAACAAATGGACCTCCTTTAAAAGAGCTACCGAGTTTCATGTCTATTTCTATAGCCTCAGTTTTCTACATCAATCCATTCTTCCTAAGGAAGAATTCACTTAGGTAATACGTCATAAATAAAAGCATTTATTTTTTACATTCGGACAAATGTCGTGCATTTCAATACAAAATCTTTTATTCAGTTCAGTGCAAACCAACAACAACAAATTGTGTTTTATGTAAAGAAGTGTATGACTAAATTTAAATCATACTGCAGATAAACCATTTTTATTAAAAAAACACACCCACTCTTTCAATCTACATCTTATCGTCCATTTTTTTGATACTGCCATTTTTTACTACCAAATTCACCAACTCAATACAACTTTGCGACGCTTTTCACAGTCCAATTTCAAATAAAAGCAAACCCCAATCTTCCACTCCTCTTTCCGAATTTATTTATTTTGCAAAGCGTCTCTTTCCTTAGACCATTTTAATACTTACAACGCATAATTAAGTCAACGATGCTGTCTCCACATAGTACAATCGACCAAATTTCCCCCACACAGCACCACAGAAGGCAATCATCAATGTCAAGTGATGAAGACCCTTTTGCTTTAGCGGAAAAATACTACGGTGACAACAAGAAGAAGAATCACGGAAAAAACTCGCCGTTAAACAGGGTTCGGACTTTTAGTACTTTTGAGTCAACGTCAACAAAACAACAATTCTTGAAAGAATTGAATAAGCCTCACCCTATTACTGACTCCATCAAAGAAGGATCAGAGCCTCCAAGTTCAGGTGGTTCAAAATCTCCATCTCCATCAGGAATAGCATTCTGTGATACTCCAGGTAGTGGGGCAAAGGTGAACTTTAATCTTAACATGAACCACGATACTGATGTCGATGAAGATGAAGACGACGGATACGACAGCAAGGAGAAGACCCTGGACATAAAAAAGCTTCCAAAGTTGAATCGGGAAATATCTCCAGATTCTGTCACGCCTGATGATGTCGATATCGATGGGGCTAAAGAACAAAGATTTGTCAGACATGCAACCGAGCTTGCAGCCAAGAAAAGACCCTCCATTGTGCCCCTTTATCAACACGAGGATAATTCACAGGCTCTTGTACCACCACCACAGAACACACTTCACTTTCGGAGAGCATCGTTGGATGACTCGGTACTTCGCCCAAAGAAATTTTATATCAATGATGTCCAAGAGACTTTAAAAGAGTTGTTGGAAAATGAAGATACTGACAACAATTGTCAAATCACCATTGAAGACACGGGTCCAAAAGTGTTGCGATTAGGAACTGCAAACTCCAATGGGTTCAAGCTGTCACAGGTGAGGGGCACTTATATGTTGAGTAATTTGTTGCAGGAATTGACAATTGCCAGTAGATTTGGAAGGCACCAGATTATATTAGATGAAGCCAGATTGAATGAGAACCCAGTTGATAGGATGAAACGTTTGATTTCAACATCTTTTTGGAAAAATTTAACCAGACGCATCACCAGGGACAATATTGTTGAGATGTCGAGAGATACAAAGATCAAGGAATCCTATGTTGATGAAAATGGAGTACTACATGAAGGTAAAGAAAGCTACCGAATTTACGTACCTCATAATCGCAAAGATCAATATGATTTCCTCACGAAAATCAAGAATAGCTCAAAGGATGTTCCCTTGGACGTACAATACTTGCCGGAAAAGATTGATGCTGACTTCATAAAGTCTATTAACAAAAAGCCCGGTTTGTTGGCAATTGCATCTAAACCAGACTCCAATGACCCCAAAAACTTAATTGGTTGGCCGTATGTCGTCCCGGGTGGCCGATTCAATGAGTTGTACGGTTGGGACTCATATATGGAAACACTTGGCTTGTTGACAGACGTCCACCCAGACAAGAATCTTAGCCATCTAGAGCTTGCTAGAGGAATGGTGGAGAACTTTATTTATGAAATTGAGTATTATGGTAAAATTTTAAATGCGAACAGATCCTACTATTTGGGTCGCTCGCAGCCACCGTTCTTAACTGATATGGCCTTGAGAGTGTTCAATAAAATGGTTGAAACAAATCCGGGTGAAATTAACGAAGCCGTAGACTTTTTGCGCCGTTCTGCATTGGCTGCTATAAAGGAGTACGAAACAGTTTGGTGCTGTGCTCCGAGGTTGGACGAGCGTACTGGGTTATCATGCTACCACCCTGCAGGAAAAGGTATTCCTCCTGAAACAGAAGCTTCTCATTTCAATGCTATCTTGAAGGACTATGTTGAAAAGTATGGCATTAGTCAAGAAGAATTTATTGAAAAATACAACAATGGAGAGATTAAAGAGCCGAAATTGGATGAATATTTCTTGCATGATAGAGCAGTTAGAGAATCAGGTCATGATACCTCGTATAGATTGGAAGGTAAGTGTGCATACTTGGCAACCGTGGACTTGAACTCACTTTTATTCAAATACGAAAACGATCTCGCATTTATATTGTCAAACTGCTTTAATGACAAATTGGAAGATAGGGAAGGTAACGTGCACACTTCGGAAATTTGGATTCACAGGGCCAAGGAAAGGAAAAAGAATGCTGACAAGTATCTTTGGAACGAAAAAGATTGCATTTATTATGATTACAATGTCAACGAACAGAAACAAGAAGACTATGAATCGGCCACTTGTTTCTGGCCCTTGTATTCCAAGTTGGCTTCGAAAGAACAAGCTGCTAAATTGGTGGATGTTTCCATTCCTAAGTTTGAGGAGCATGGTGGATTAGTTGCTGGAACATTGAAATCGAGAGGTGAAGTCAGTTTGAGCAGACCTTCGCGTCAATGGGACTATCCATTTGGATGGGCTCCACAGCAGATTTTGGCTTGGATAGGTTTGGTCAATTATGGATACGATGGTATTGCTAGAAGATTGGCTTATAGATGGCTTTACATGATGACGAAATCATTTGTTGATTACAATGGTGTTGTCGTGGAGAAATATAACGTTACAAAAGGTGCGGTTCCGATTCGAGTTGATGCCGAGTATGGTAATCAAGGATTGAATTTTAAAGGTGTTGCCACAGAAGGATTTGGTTGGGTGAATGCGTCGTATTTATTTGGGTTAACCTTTTTGGATCTCTATGCGCAGAGAGCTTTGGGAACCTTGACTCCACCCGACGTATTTTTGAGAAACATGCATCCTTCGCAGAGAAGAGGTTATCAATGAACCGGTGCTAGTTTCATTGGTGGTGTCGTATGAAGATGTGTCGCGCATCAGCCTTGGCCTACTCAAGTATATCGAATATTTTATCAGATTAGTTAAAGTAGCTTTTTCTTCAATTTAATTCTAGAGATTCCGTTTGCATAGAACCTTGGCAGAAAGACTTTCTCTATTAAGTGCTGTCGTTACTTCGAAACAGACGTCATACCGCTGTGAGCAACAGTTGAGAGACAATGGGAAAAAAAATAAAAAAAGTAAAAAAAAAAAACAAAAAATATAAAAAAAGAGAGAAAAAAAAACACACACACCATTCTCTCATAATAGGGTTTAGCAACCATCTATGATATCTATACTATTGAACTAGAATATTTCACACACTTACAACACATTAGAAATACGCTACAATGCTAAGAAATATAGTGAGACGTCGAAAAGGTCTCTTTCCTGTCAGTCGAGTATACTCCACCTCCAATTCCTTCAGAACAGCTGTTGAAGCTGCTGAAAAATTAGTCTCACCACCAGCTCCAACAAAATTCCAAGATCCATTCTCTATTGTCAGCCATGAAATGTCGAACTTAGCCAAGTCGATTGCCAGCTTAATTGGATCAGGACACCCGACGTTGAATAGAATCAGTTCATATTACTTTGAGGCCGAAGGAAAGAATGTTCGACCTTTGATAGTGTTGATTTTAAGTAAGGCGTTGCTGAAAATACCATTACTGGAACGTCAGAGGATAAAAATCGACGATTATGATGTCACTGAGCAAGAGCATATCAAGGGTACACCACAGCCTGGTCAAGAGTCTATTGCTGGGTATAGTGTCGATGATAGCTTGAGTCCGTTAAATATTTTGCATGGCATAAACCCTAAAATCATTTTGGACCCTTTGAGTAAGCCGATGGATAAACTACCCGAAATGGATAAAAAGAATGGTATTTTGCCAAAGCAAAGAAGGTTGGCAGAGATTGTGGAGATGATCCACACTGCCAGTTTGTTGCATGATGATGTCATTGATTTGTCCGATTCAAGAAGAGGGAGACCTAGTGGTAACATTGCATTCACCAATAAAATGGCGGTCCTTGGAGGTGATTTCTTATTGGGAAGAGCTTCTGTTGCCATTGCTAGATTGAGAAATCCCGAAGTTATCGAATTGTTAAGTACTACAATTGCAAACTTGGTAGAGGGGGAGTTCATGCAATTGAAAAATACTGTTTTGAGCAATAGTGCCGATGAGATTATAGATAATGATGGAGAAAAGAAAAAAGTTCCGGACGCAACGGGTAAAGTCCCTACTGAAAAGCACGAATACTCCGTCAATGAGGATGATATTGTCGACCACGAGACGAATGTCCAAGCAGCGTTTGAGTACTATCTACACAAGACGTACTTGAAAACAGCCTCGTTGATGTCGAAATCGTGTCGAGCTGCGGCAGTGTTAAGTGGTGCCCAAGACGACATCATTGAAAACTGCTATCAATTTGGACGTAATTTAGGATTATGTTTCCAAATAGTCGATGATATGTTGGATTATACCAGTTCTGACAAAGCATTTGGTAAGCCAAGTCAAGCAGATTTGAAATTGGGATTGGCAACTGCCCCAGTATTGTTTGCATGGAAGCAGGAACCAAAGTTGGGAGAATTGATTGCAAGAAAATTCAGTGAACCGGGCGATGTTGAAATTGCTCGTGGTGCTGTAGAGAAATATCAAGGTGTCGAGCAGACAAGAGAAATGGCGGCAAAGTACTGTAGGGATGCATTGGCAAACTTGCGTATTTTGCCTGAATCTGATGCGAGAAGTGCTTTAGAATTGTTGACAAACTCAGTCTTGACTAGGTCTAATTAGAGTCTTGTAAATAGAAGAAAAGAAGAATTTGATAGATTGCATGATGTGTAATGTAGCTGACTTAAAAGTGATGCAAAACGTGGCTTTGTCCATCTGTAGCATCGTCGTCCTGATTCTGATGTGTTACTCTTGTGACATCCTTTTCATTAAAGTCGCAATGACAGCAGAGGAAAAAAAAAAGAATCAAGAGAAAAAAAAAAACAAAGGAAAAATTTTGATGAAATCGTTTCAGCGGTTTTGACATCAAATCTGATTTGGCAGAAATACAATTTATCAATACTATTAGAAACAAACACAATGTCAGCTGAAGAAGTGAAACCAACTACAGAGGAATCATCTATCCCAAAGCCTCCTACTTCAAATGTATTCTCCATGTTTGGAGCTAAGAAGGAAAAGAAGGAAGAGCCACAAGAAACTAAAGAGGTTAGCAAAACTGAGGAGTCTAAAAAGGATGAATCAAAATCTGAAACCAAAAAGGACAACAACGATGATGAGGCAGCCGCTGAAGAAGAAGCTGATGTTGAATTCACTCCCGTGATTCATTTGGATAAAAAAGTCGATGTCAAGACCAATGAAGAAGATGAAGATGTTGTTTACAAAGTTCGTGCCAAACTTTTCCGTTTCCATGGAGACTCCAAGGAATGGAAGGAAAGAGGTACTGGTGATGTAAAATTCTTAAAGCACAAGACTACGGGAAAGACTAGAATCTTGATGAGAAGAGACAAGACCTTGAAGATTTGTGCCAATCATTTGATCCAACCTGATTATGAGTTGAAGCCAAATATCGGATCAGACAGATCATGGGTGTATACTGTTACTGCTGATGTTTCGGAGGGTGAGCCAGAAGCACAAACCCTAGCTATTAGATTTGGAAATAAGGAAAACGCCGACTTGTTTAAAGAACACTTTGAAAAAGCCCAAGCTGAAGGTAAGACCAAGAAGGAGTAAAGCGCTTTGCATTTAGCCTTGCTTTCTTTTGCATATAGTTTGATCAAATAAACCTAATTTAAAATTTAAAATCTCGATAATGGAGAGCTAAGCGCTAGTTGTAGTCTGTCCTTTTGCCTCTCGAGATAATAGTATTTAGAGCTCATTTGGTTCATGCATGCGTTTGATGAAACGAGAGGACTGCTATAAAATGACTATTAAAGGTCGATCATTGGGAAGTCAGTTTGTGTGTGTAGTATGATTTAATAAACAATCATTAACTGATTCAGAGAATAATGTTTTCGGCCGCCGCTTACGCCGGACTAAAACCACACGCTCTACAACAGCTAAAATTTTGGTACGAGAGTAGAGACAGAGAGACAAAGACCGAGAGAAACAGAGTGAGAGAGGTCCACGTGCGTAAGTAAAAGTGAAAAAAAAATAGAAAAAAACCAATGACACAAAATGCTTCGACCCACCTTCGGCATAATCTTACTCAAAGGAATTATATATAGAACTTTGGATACAACTCTGTTCAATGTTTCTTTTCATTATCTCCAACATCGAAGAAGATCTTGTTACCCTGTATCATTGATTTTAGTCACATTCTCCGAGGAAGATGAAGTTTGGTAAATACCTTGCGTCGAGGCAGTTGGAACTTCCAGAGTATTCGGGCCATTTTATCGATTACAAGGCTCTTAAAAAATTGATCAAACAACTAGCTATACCAACTAACAAGGCAAGTGGAAACTCGATCAACTCAGCGATTAGCGGAAACGGGAGCTTGTCTATTTCGGAAATTCAGCAGTCGCTTAAGGAGAACAAAGCGACATTTTTCTTTAGAGTTGAGAGGGAGTTGGATAAGGTCAATTCTTTCTATCTCGAGAAGCAAGCTAATTTGGCAATCAACTTGAATCTTCTTGTTTTGAAAAGAAATGAACTTTTCGCCAAATCAAATGCGTTTCTTCACCAACATTCACATGATGGGACTGCTAATGTCGACTCCGCTGCATATTTGAATTTCAGGAATTCGATTTCCTTTCTTAATTTATACCAAAACTTTAAGAAAATCCACCAGGACCTTATCCGTTTGCAACAGTTTATCGAACTCAATGAGACTGGGTTTTCAAAAGTGGTGAAAAAGTGGGACAAGAGGTCGAAATCACACACAAAGGAATTGTTCATTAGCACCGCTGTTAGTGTACAGCCAGTATTTCATAAAAATGAGATCAACGAGTTGAGTGACTTGGTGACGCAGTCCTTATTTGATATAGAGAGTATTATGGATGGGGACTACACTTGTTTGATCAACTACAGCGCTCACACAAATGCTTCTTCAATTGATTCCGAAAGAGTAGAGCGGGACACAGCTGCATCACTTCAGGAAATACCAAACTCGCCATCCCAGAACCAGACACCACCGTTTATCAGACAAACCTCGATTCTGATCTCAACAAATAACAGTGAAGTTGATGAATTGTATTCCAGTTTTGTCAATGTTGCAACCATCAAGGACCCCGATTTGTCATTACTAGCTCGATGGGTGGAAAAGCTAAATGGGTCGCCAAAGCTTCCGAACGAGCCATTCGATGCTACAGTAAGATACAAAGCATCAAAAATCTTTTTGTTATCGATCACCAACCTCAAGATATCGGACTCGTTCTTGGAGACATTCTTGAAGCTAATCAACTTTGATATTGACTTTACATTTGTGAATGATGATTTTAACAACAACAAGACTGTGTTTCATGAATGCTGCTCGATGCCACCGGCCTCGACCCACAATGAAAGCCACGTTGTCATCAACAACGGTGTTAAAGTAGTAAACTCGAGCGATTCAATCAATCATTCAAGGATATTCATTGTTGAGTACATTATGAAAACTTATTCACCCCAGGAGGTTAGTAACTTGCTTCAAAGACGCGATTTTAATGGACGTACTTGTCTACACTACGCCGCGCAAAACAACAGAAGTGATTTGTTAGATATAATTATTCCGGCATTCCCCACCAATCATATTGACGACCTTGACAATGACTCAATGTCACCACTTTTGCTAGCAATTAAGCATGGACATTTGAATATCATAAAAAAGTTGGTTCAGTTTGGATCAAATCCTTTCCCAAGAACCAACAAAGAAACACTCCAATACTTACCAATCAATTACGCGTGCAAATTTGGAAATTACAATATTCTCGAGTATTTGTTATCAAATGAGAAATCGTCTGACTTGGTCAAAATTTTAGTCAATGAGCAAGACGTCGAAGGTCTACTCCCATTACACGTTGTATCTCGCGAGGGCCACTACAAGTTGATCACATTATTGATCAGATATGGGGCCGAAGTCAACAAAACGGACGGGTTTAACAAGTGGACGCCCATTTTCTATGCCGCAGCCGAGGGTCACGTCAAGACCACTCAGGAATTGGTCAAGTTTGGAGCGAAGTTGGACATATTGGACGAAGATGGGTTTAACGTGTTGTACTATTGTGTTGTCGAAGGACATGTTGGTGTTATAAATGAACTACTCAGCTACCATCAAAACATGGCCACAAATATTGAAAACCATTTGAATATTGAGTCTAGCAATATAATGTCCATTCAAGGCGATCCAATCAGGATGAGCGATAATGACGACTCAGAGGATAGCGGTTCTATGGATAAGAACAATGTTGACAGTATTCCCGATTTGCAGTTACCACCACCAATTTTGCCATTGAGGCGCTATGGTCACAATTTCTTGGAACAAAAAGTGTTGATTGAATTGATTTTTCCTCATGATGACCTGTCGTTTATAAATTTGTTCAATTCAATAACTGATTTGAAGCCAGGAAGAATTACATTGACGTCCAATATTTCCGATATTGTGCCGAGAAATATCTTGCTTCCCTTGGAGGATAAAAATCACCATGGCGGAGCAAATAATAACAACTGTGTGTTCCAAACTGATGTTGATTCGTTGAACGAATTTCGCATTGACTTTGAGATTTTCCCCAAGTTTGGTACCAGATTAATTGCCAAAACCACTGCCTTGTCATTCTCGCACATAGATACGACATCCCCTGAAATAAGCTCGATCGAGTTGCCTTTGTTTGATTTACGATTACGGAATATCGGCCAGTTGAAGTTTAATTATCAAATAATTTTCCCCTTTTCAGGAACCGTACTTGAAACTACCAAATTTGATACGTATTGGAAGTCGTCAACAAGCATTGTCAAGAACAAACAAACTTTGAAATTGAACGCGGCAGGCGGGTTATCGCCAAATAACTTTTTGTCGCCCAATGCAAATGCTGCTGTTAATGCAAGTGGCTTGAACCAGGGACCTAGTGCTCGTCCCGTACCAGTGCAACAGGAATATTTACCGTCGTCATCCTCAATAGTAACAGCTACATCCCTTTCAGGTGAATATTTAAGAATAAGGGTTTGTCTTTTGAACGATGGGACGCCAGTCGTTTGCCCTCATTGGTCCATTGCCATCACTGAGAATATTGATCTTTATTTGCCAAATTTGTCTCTTGAGCAACTCAGTTCGATAACTAATGACCTATTCGACTACTCCAAGGTCATTAACGATTTATCAAACATGACCGTAAAGGACATAAGTTTGATCAAAAAGTTGTTGAGAATCATATACTTGCCATTGGATATTGTTTTGGAAATCTTGAGTCCTGATATAAACTTGAATTTAGAGTTGGTGTTCCCATCTTTTTATGAGTTGGAGGTCTTGCCGTTTGTTGGAAACATACAGAAAAACCTCAACAATTTTATTGATTTTACCTTGAATGACGTGTTTAACCACATCAAACCTTTTAAATCCAAAGAGAACCAGCCTTCAAGATCAATCATCCTCCTTTCGTCAAATTCTTTGATTTGCAAAATATTGAATTGGAAGCAACCCAATTTCCCTGTGTTCTTGATAATGAATGGAATCACATATAGCAATTCGTTGAAGAAATTTGAGCAAAGATCAACTAATGGATTATTAATTGACGAAGCTGTTCGAAACAAAGTTGCCAACAAATCGTCTTCATCGTCGACAGAATTGAATAACTACCAGGAGCTAATTATAAGATCTATCAAGGAAGCAGTCAACTTTACTATGAATAATAACTTGTTTGGTTTGATCACTTCAATTCACTTGCTTGATCTTGTTCCCAAGTTAATCCCTTTGATTCGGAGTAGAGGACTAGTCTTGGTTGCATCGAGCGATACCAATGATCAAGATGACGCTGAAGAAGAGGTTTTGAAACGGGAATTGGATTCTTACACCAAAACAGAAATCAATGGGTTGAGATTTGACGATGTGCTCAGTTTCAAACAAGACATCACTATATAGGTACTTTCATATATACAACATTAATGTATTACTAATTAGTGTAACTAAATAAATTACAACGTTTTTGAAATTATAAGTAGAACGACTTTTTTATACATCTTATCTCCGGCGTCTTGGAGGAGGAGGAGGCGGGGGTGGAGCCTTCTTTCTCAATGCCTTTTGTTTTATAGACGAATTAGACTCTAGTGAGCTCGAAGAAGACGACGCAGCTCCGTTTTTGTAAAGCTGTCGCCGACGTTTTTCCGGGAGGGGAATTTTTGGCAATGGCTTTGACGTGAGGTATTCATTAGGTAAATCCAAGATATTTGTATCACGATGATCAGGGTTATTACCGGCAGATAGATCATCCAAATTTAAACCAGTTAGATTCGATGTATCTATCTCACCGAGCGTCATCTTCTTGGAAAACTCCGAAAGAAACACATTATTGTTATTGTCCATAAATATTGAAGGTGATGTCTGGGTAGAATTGGGATTAGATTTTTGCTTTTCGCTATTTTTCCGTTCCAAAAAGTTGTGGGCAGTTGTGTGTTTATGGTAGTCACTTCTATTTGACGAGCGAACGGAGGCTATACGCGTGAATAATCGTGGTGACTCGTGTTCAACTGATTTGAGATCCTCCGGCGAGGACAATTCTGGCGACTCCTTTTCCATTTTTGTGGGATTAGGTTTAGTTTTGTTGTCAGATAACGACTTTTTAAACCATTTAACATTCATGCACTTCATTGCCAATTCCAGGATAAGCTTGCTTTCAGTAGCATCTTCTGTTTTCTGCTCCGAGTTGACTATAATATTGCTCAACACGTTATAAAGCTCCTGGCTTTTGTAACCGCTACACTCATTGAGTTCGGAAAACATTAAAATTGGATACAATACTCGCAAATACGTCACAATCAAGATATTGTCTTTGTGCTCTAAATTATCCAATTCTCGTAAGAAAATATCAAGCAAAATTTTCAAATCATTGCGGTAAATCAATTTAACAGTGAATGAAGTTGTGAAAACAAGGTAAAGGAATTTAAGTATCAACAATATAATTATTTGCGACTCTTCACGGTTCAAGTGGTAGATTAATAAGTTAATGAATCCAACAATATTGTTTACATTGCTTTTTGTATTGTCATCGTTGTGGATTAATTCTTCAAAGACTTTATTTGAATGTTCATTTCGAGCATACGAGCCCATTAAGAATTGCTCATTCAATAATAGCAAAAGCTTCAATTCTTCATAAGCTACGAGCTTAGCCTCACTATGGAAGTCATCATCGCTCTCCAAATCATAGTTGTTGAATCCCTCTGAAGAAAGTAGATGCTTTATAATGGTGGTAATTATCTCGTTGTTATTAAATGTCAAATCCATAAACTCTGTTGGCGATAAAATTTCGACATAGTAAAAGTACTCAAAGACAATATCACAACCAAATTTCAAAATGACAAATGATGAATCCTCATTCGCTATTGCTTTGACTTGGGTGGATATGAACTGAGACATGATGAATACAAAGCGGCATTGTTCCAAGATTTTGAACACATCGTCAACATTGACTAAGTCCAATGAGTTTGATATGGCAGAAGATGTGCTCAGCACTTCGCTTGAATCGTCTACGGACTCTTCCTCATTCGAAGTGTTCTTGAGTTTGAGTAAAAGAAGTAAAGTTATGCACAAAAATTCCTTCAAACACTCGGATTCGTAAGCAACATTATTGTTGACTTCCCAGTCATTATCACTTCCATCTTCACTAAACTCCAATCTGTAATTGGTGATTGTAGTAAAAGTCTCCAAAAAAGCCAATATTTTACCAATGCAAAATTTGTAATTTTTAACAAACAAGTTCAGGGTTAGAAGCTTCAACGCATATAGCGATAGCTTTTCGTAGGTAGGTTTGGCATCATTGTTATTGTACATATTGTCAACGATGCATTTGATGAAAATGGAGAAGTTTTCGTTGCATTCTTGAGAATCACTATTGATTAAAACTAGTGAAAGCTCTTCATCAAGAAAATTTCGTTCTTCCAATGCTGTAGTTGTTATAGAAGCAATGGAGACACTTGTAGTTGCCCTCGCTGGAGCTTGAAACGGTCTCGAACAAGTCGTATTGCTACCATAATTATAGTCTCTTGAGGTGTTGAATATTTGAGACATTATAGTTTTTATAGATCAACCATGAAGAGCCTATACCGTCTGATGAACACCTTGTATCTTTTAGCGAGTGCAAGTTGTTTAAAGAAAAAAGGAGCCTTGTTGTATGATATCGATGGCAAAGCTTTGTCTAGCCTATGGTAACTTAGTATTTTATTTGCGTTTTCTATAACTTCTCTTTTCTTTTGTTTTTAGATTCTAGATTGTTAAAAAGTCGTGTGGAGTTTAGCAACGTAAGAGCATGGCTTAAACTTTGCTAAATTCCCGCAAGTTGCTCATACTACAGCAGGTTTGGCAATATTTGTTGCTGAAATTGATATAAGCCTAGTGGATGGAGTGAATATTTCTGGCTGAAAGACTCTGAACAAAGTAAATGACATGGAGGTTATGGTTGCCTTTCCATCAAATGCGGCGCTAAATTTGGTTCGACCACTACCCTTGCAGTTGCTACATTGCAAAGTTGTCAGAAAACTTGAGACTATTGGCAATAAACTAAAAGTCCAAGCTATGGGCATCTTGAGCTACCCATAGAGTATACGTCTAAGAACTATACATCTGTCTTGAACCGTTACACAGTATCTAATTTCATTTATTGATCGCATATACTAACTCTACACAATTTTATTTGACAGAAAAGCGCGTCGGGAAATTTTACTACTTATATGCAGTAGCCGGGATGGGACCACGAGTATTGGTCCCCATACTACCGTGATATTCTTTCGCATTGAGTTTGGAGCTTAAAACTCTATTCCTATAACGTAATCAGCAGGTATAGCTCTGGAAAGAGCCACTATTGTCTAGCTCCTCTTAACCATGTATATTGCGCCTCTACAAATTTTTACCATATATATTATTATTGATTATTGATTGTTGTTGTTTTTTGTTTTCCTTCATAGCGTGACAAAGAATAATAAAACTAAAAAATCACATTCAGGGCTAACTATAGAAATCAAACACTTTCAGAATCATCAGGAAACAGTCTTTTGCCAGTCCCTGCTGCTTCATAGCCTAAATCAAAAGACAACACAACAACAACTCAATGTCAGTTCTTGATTTGGTCCAGATTACATGGCGGGTTATAGGTGATGGACAGTTAGCCACTGGAAATGGCTCACATGGCGGCCCTGACCCTATACATTCTGTTGGTCCACAAAGGGTTTTTGAAGCACAATTGGCCTTGACCCTAACGTCTGGTATTCTATTGTTTCTACTATTTTGTATAATGAGATACAGGTGGCCTCATATATACGCTGTTCGAACATTGCGACAACAAGCCAAAAACGTTTTGAAACCGTTGCCAAATAATCTTTTTGGCTGGATCAAAGTTGTTTACAAATTATCAGACGACGATGTTTTGTCCTATTCAGGCTTGGACTGCTATGTCTACTTGTCATTTTTCAAGATGGGGATAAAGATTTTCTTTGTGTTGGCAATATTTTCGGTTGCCATCTTGAGCCCCATACGATACTATTTCACGGGAAACTATGATAAAGAGAGCATCAGCCTGAAGCCAAAGAATCCTGACCTTCACGATGACTTCCCTAGGTTCTTATGGGTGTACCCGATATTTACATATTTGTTTTCTGTGGTTGTGTTTTACTACTTGTATGAATACACCGATAAGGTGTTGAAAACTAGACAAAAGTATCTAGCATCACAGAACTCCATTACAGATCGTACAATCCGTTTAGATGGGATACCGAAAAAGTTGTTGACCAGAGAACGGATCAAAAAGTTTATTGAGGATTTGGGTATTGGAAAAGTAATGGACGTCAAGTTGATATACGACTGGACCCCACTTGAAACCAAGTTTGATGAGCGAAAGAAGTTGATCAAACGACTTGAATACCTGTATGCGTCTGAATATAAAATGGATATAAACATCTACAATCAGCAACGTATACCCGCTGTCAACCCCGAATGGAATGAACCGCTAGATAACCCAAAGGCCAGAGAGCTGATAAACCAGTTATCAACTGAGCTTGTGGAGCTTGACGAAGCCATAAAATCAATCCAAAACAAGTTTGACCCTGAATCGACAACTATTGATGCAAAACAGCATCCAGAGTTTAAAGTTGTACCGTCTGCATTTATCACGATGGACTCGGTTGCTTCAGCCCAAATGGCAGCACAAGCAATATTGGACCCTCGAGTGTACAAGTTGATTGTGAGTTTGGCACCTGCTCCGCAAGATATAATATGGGGAAGCTTTAAATTACAGTACCGTGAAAAGCTTTTGAAGTCTTATTTGATAACTTTTTTGATAGTGTTGAGTTATGGATTTATTATATTCTTGGTTGTTCCCTTGACATCTTTGCTCGATTTGAAAACTATTACCAAATTCTGGCCTGCTGTTGGTCATTTCATTGGCAAATCCAAGTGGTTGACAACATTTGTCACTGGTATCCTTCCACCATTATTATTTACGTTGTTGAATATTCTGTTTCCATACTTTTATCGGTACTTGTCACGATTCCAGGGGTACTCTTCCAACAGTGAACTTGAGTTGTCGACCTTGTCCAAGAACTTTTTTTTCATATTTTTCAACTTGTTTTTGATTTACATTGCTGCAGGTACATTTTGGGACTATATGTCGTACATAAGTGACACAACCAAGATTGCGACTCAACTCGCAACGTCATTGAGACGCATGTCATTGTTTTATGTTGACTTGATTTTATTGCAAGGGTTGACTATGTTTCCCGTGAAGTTGTTGCAAGTAGGGGACCTATTCCAATTAAACGTGATTGGAAAACTCTTTTTCTTAAAGTCGTTCATTTTAAAAACAGCTAGAGACTACAGGTCATATTACTTCACCCCACAAATATTAGATTTTGGGATTAACCTACCACAGCATATCATGATCTTCATGATCATTTTAATCTACTCGGTTGTTTCCACAAAGATTGTCACTTGCGGGTTAATCTACTTCATCTTGGGATTGTTTGTTTACAAGTATCAATTGATATACAACTTTGTTCACCCGTCCCACTCCACCGGTAAGATATGGCCAATTATCTTTCGTCGTGTTATCCTAGGGTTAATAATTTTCCAATTGTTCATGTGTGGGACGTTGGCTTTGGATAGTGCAATTTTGTTGTCGTTGTTGTGTACGCCACTTATATTTGTCACACTAGGTGTCTTGTACAACTTTGAAAAGAATTATGTGCCACTATGCGATTTCATTGCTTTGAGGGCTATATTGAATCCATATGATTTCAACAAATTATTCGAGAATGACGACCAGCTGTTTAATTCTGGTGATAGTCAAAGTGAACAAGGCTCAACCTCTGCTATACTAGATGATGACGAGGACCAAGAAGACGGCAATGTATCGATGACAACAAATGATGGAGATGGACCTTTAGATGAATCGTCTTTCTTGAATACTGCGGACGACGATGGAGTTCCGGAGCCAGTTAATGGAGAGAGTTCACAGAAGAAACTTTCACGAAGAAAGTCAACCATTGATGAGGAACGAGAACAATTTACTGATTATACATACCCTCCTTTGATTGACCCATTGAATGGACCATGGGTTGGGTTCACTGGTAATGTAGTGTCAATTGTGGAATATCGCGGTGATGTGCAAAACATTCTAGAGCATGGTCGCTACGGGTCTACAAACGATGGGACTATTATTTCATCAACCGAAACGGAAGTAGTTGTTAACAAAGTGATATCGGTAAGTGAATGGGAGTAAAATATGAAACAACTTAATATAATACAATTAAAAAGAAATAGGGGGAAACCTTCTTTATTGCTACAAATAGTGTCCATCCGCACAAATCACTCAGAATTGTGACTGTATGTAATGACTTCTAGAACCGCAAGCCAAGTCCTTTTGCCCAAAGACTATTTGTGGAGGCGTATAATATTAGTAACAATGGATTTATAAGAGCGGGAATATATCGTCGTCTAAATTGTTTCACAAAAGGTAATAGTTTTGTTTGTTTACCATTCGGATTAATCACTCACTCATCGTCTAATTTAATAAATGTTCCTGAGTATAATTATAATTAGTCTATTGAAGGAAAAATGGTCAGATTTGTATCTTTCTAAAGAAGATTGCTGACGATTGACTAGCCTGTATGGCTGGCTCCTCTCTAGTAAGCCCCTTCATTGCAAAACATTTAATCTAAGAAAGGCAAGAGAGTGCTTACTCTATCTGGTTCCTCGCATCAATAAACGTTTGTTTCTCCGTTGCGATAAGAACAAGAAAAAACATGGTTAGTTATTTTCCGTTCTGGACATGACTGTTAAAACGCCGTAGTTCGAGTTCCACGTACTTTGGAGCTCAAAACAAAAACAGAAGCAATACTTTGTGAAACACAAACTCCAAAAAGCCCGTTGGGGTTTGTGTAACATGGAACAAAGCCAACAGATATATAAGTCCTACAACTAATAATCTGTCTCCTCTTAACTTCCAATGCGCTTTTCTACACCCCAGAACAACACCTGACACAGTTTTGTATATTAAAATTTTATTATTCACCACACATAAATTACAAATAAAAACAAAAATACGAAAAAACAAAGGAAAACTAAATATAGCACTAAATATATGAAAAAATAAATCATTTCGACAGTTATCCCAAAATATATATGCACAAGAAATAAAAATAGAAATAATGGATAATGAACGATAAGCTTCGTAATAAAAAATGCAACGATATTAACACCGGTGGGCTTTGTAATGTATCTGTTTTGAAATAAAAATGTAAACTTTTTTTCGAACGAAAAGCCAAATGTCTAAGAAACACACGGTGTTTAGGTTATGCAACTACTCATTCTCATTAATTGACGACAGTGTAGGGGCCGCTCTAGTTAGGCTCTCACTTGCTCTTTGTTCTCTCTTTTTTGGTAGAACCTTTCTCCGAGGCTTGATTCTGCTTCCGGACCATAGTAATCTCATTTAACTTCTTCTGCCTCAACTCTTTATTAGTGACGTAATCTGGTTTATTTGGGTTATAATCACACGTCAATCCGAATCTAAGACAAGCTCCACAGCATGGCCTGACTTCATCACATTTCAAGTGCTTGATTCGACAAATCCAACATCCTTTCTTTGACCGAGGTAGCAATCTTCTTCTAGTATGCTTTTTCTTGACCATTGGCTCATCTTTATTTGTATCAAACACGCCACTGTTTCGAGTCAATAACGGAGTCGATTTTGCCTTCTTGAGTCTACTAGACTTGAATTGTGGTGGCTGTAGTTTTTTCTTTCCAATGTTGATAGCGTCATCATCAACCACGTCAGATTCTGAAACGATATGGCTTTCGTAGTTATCTGTGTTGTAATTGGAATTAAAGCCTGTCACGTTACTTTGCCGAGCTAGTCCTGTAGAGTTGGACGTTCCCACTGTTGGCTCGTCTTTGTCCTCAGATTTCACTTTTGGATCTAGATCCTCGGAGGTGTCTATCAAAGCTGACTTGCCGACAAGTCTCAGACTCTTCTTTCTCTGTATCTTCTTTTGGGAAGCTACGGATCTACCAATTTCCCGTTCATGATTCAAACTAAAGTTCTTCTTCCAAAGCTGTTGCTGTTGTGACGAGTCTGCCGAAGACGGTGAAGGTATTCCCGGTGAAAACAGTGACACTGTATTGGTAATTCCAGAACCTTGGCGGAAAATGTTGGCACTCTTTGGACCACTGCCGGCACTAGTTGGCGTTGTCATAACGCTTGGACGGCCAGTTGAAGCAACAGCCAATGAAGATGATGAAGCGTTTGAAAAAGTCCTTAATGTGCGTGGTTGTGGCTGCGATTGTGATCTTACGTACGGGAAGGATTGTAAATGAAGTGGGAGCTGTACATCTTCCACTAGACGTGCTTGGTTGTGCAAAGTTGGTACTTCTGGTTTTGAGATAATCAATCTTGAGGGACCAGTTGAAGGTGACGACTTTGTTGACGAGATATTTGCTTCGCCCTCCAATGTGGCAATGGCATTTGGCATCTTGTTTAGGTTCTTTCTTGATGCAGTCTTTAATCTCGACAATGAAGGTTTTTTGGCGATTCTGTGACTAGTAGAAGAAGATGAACCAATTAAAGCACTAGCTAATGGAACACCATGTGTACCAACAGCTACCTTAGTGTTTGGCATGGATACTGAATCGGCGGAAAAACTGGGATCGAAAGTTCTCATTGATGAGCTGCTGGTAGCAATTGGATGATGGAGCGACGCGCTCGAGGCATAACTCGAAATGTCAGAAATCGTTGGCGTGATTGAATTATTTAAGTTAGGGTCTTGTGTTGGTACATTGCTCGGTATCAAGTACGACTCTGCTTCTAATTGCTGGTTGTTTTGGTTTATAGGTGGGTAGTTAACGCTCTGAAATCGACGCTGCGGGGTAGCATCAAAAAACTGTAGATGAGACAAGTCCTTGTTGACACTAGGATGTTGGTACAGAGTACCACGAATAGGTGTTTGGTTGAAATTAGGAAGCGAATCTGTCGACTCATTGGATACGTCATACTCATTGTAGACGCTAAAGTCACCAGTAACAGTTTCATTTACGGCATCTGTCGATTGATTAGGATCAAGAATGTTTAAAAAGGTTGTGGTTGATTCATTGACAGAAGGAGGAATTTGATCATTTACTTCATCGTCGTAGAAGCTTCCAGTGGTAGCATTACTGCCTTGGTAGAAACTGGTTTGTGTTGTAGTATTGGGCACACTGTTTTCTGTCTCCAAATTGTCTAATGAAATGGTGGAGTTTGTTGGACGTAGCGAAGCTTCACCAGTGGGGACTGGGAAATATGGTCGATTGACAAGAGAATGACTTGTAAATTCACGATGTGACTCCTGAATCTGTTCTAAGTTGATGCGTTGTTGAGCTGTCTGCTGATCTAGTAGTATTTGTTGCTCGGCCAAAAACAATTGAGACGTGCCTGAACCAATAGCGTATTGTTGAAATTGCTGTTGCGAAAGTAGCTCGCTACTCTTTCGTCTCATTGATGTGCCATGTACATTTATAGGTGGTGGACAAGGAAAGCTTGGAGTATTATCGAGCCTCATTAACTGATTTAGTAACAGGCTCTGGTTGAAGTCTTGATGAGAGAGGTCGTATGTATTCTCGCGGTCAAGGTTGTAGCCCTGCATCTGTTGAAATTCATTGGTCGATATTCTGTCTTGGTACAAAGATGATGGTGCCGCGACGTTGTGCTGAGAAGCTCTAAAAGGCGATGATGATACGTCCATTTGAGATGATGAATCCACTGGTATAGTATCGTCGGCTGCTACTGATGGTGAAGATTCTGCAGATTGGGTGATACGATCTCTCACCATACGTCCCAGCAAAATATGTGGAGATGAAACTAAATTATCTAATTGCGCCACCGTGATTTATCAAACAAGGAAGATAGGGTAAGGGGGTACTTTCGAGGTGTGTTGCTAGCTCTTTGGTGTATATGCTCTCTCAGTTGTTTTTATTGTCACAAAGTTGAATACACTTGGTAGCTCTGTTATGTATGGAAATTCAATTGTGTGTGTACCTGACTCAAGCGGAACGCAATAAACAATTTTATCTTTAGTGGTAAATTCTTATTTTATTTCCGATGCGTCAATTGAAGCCACAAAATGAAATTAATTTTTTATTGTTTTTATGTTTTTTTTACTGTCGGGGTAAAAAAAAAATCTAAGAAAACAAACTTTTTAAGCTTCTTGCAGATACTGAGGTGTGGGTGTAAGCGACAATTAGGCTGTTTTCCCCGTTATGCGTTTTGTGTCTTTATTGACTCTTGGTGGAAAAATTGAAAATTTTTTTGTTTTTTAATTTTTTTATTTGGTTTGTTCACAAACGCTCTATATCAAACAATTTGCACTATTTTTATTACTCAGTGTCGGTCTTTTTGCCAAGTATTGCAAGTTTGTTGAAATGTACCCCTTTGTTGTTGCGGTGCGCAAAGGTGAATGAGTAAAACAGTGTGTAGCAATATATTTTTACTAGATTTCAATAAGCGCTTGAAAAATTTACCTTCTGCAAATACTTAATTTTTGAAGCTGGGGTTGTTCGTACTTTGTTCCTGGCGGTTTCTGGTTCGGTGACTTTTACGAGTGTAGAGTGTCTGTGTTTTTTTGTCCTTCTCACTCTAAGGTCTTTGTCGCTTCTCACTACTTTCTAATTTGGAAACAAGTCAATTTTGTGTTTGTTGTCCCTTTTAAGTAAAAAAAGTTGTATTGATCGACGTAAAAAGCCTGTTATCTTTAATAACTGTGGAGATGACCTCAGGGTGCTACTTGCTTATCTGCGTTGTGGAATAACAAGGGAAGATGACAATAGGACAGTCTTGTTGAATACGTATGCGGTTGTTTTCAATATTTGATGGGTTGTTACGTAGTAATGTAGTAGTCAGGATTGTTGTGTTCCACAGCGATTGAATTGAGCTGTGTGGGTAAGCAGTTATTCGAACGAGGTGAGTATCTCGACTCAATTAAAGGAGTGTACTTGAAGTTATAGTTCTTTGAGTATAAACGATTGGACGAAAACTTAGTGTTTCAAACTGGAAGCTTTGTTGCGTAAAGTGGTTGGCTGGTAGAATGGTGAAGGTGTAATGTAATGTTAATCTATTGCAGATGTGTTTTTCAGTTGTTGTAGTTGTAGATTAAGCTGTTCAATGCATCCAGCCCTCTATTCTGTTCCTTTGCTTGGGTCAATGCAATAGGTGATACTCTTTTGGAAAGGTAACTCAATTGTAAGAGCCTTGAACGCCGCACAGGTAGTAACCAAAGCACTGAATTCAATTGTAAACGTAGACTTTGAGTCGAAACGTAAATTCTCTTTAAGTTTTTTTTAAAAATTTTTTGGTCATAAGTAGTGGAATCTTCTTCCGTATATATATAACATTTAAACACACTAATGGTCTTGAGCCCTTGGAGAGATTGAAAAAATTCAACTCTGTAACACCCAAATTTTTTAGTGTCTGATTGTTTAGAGAATAGAGTCTAATAATACAACGCGCAGAAAACAAAGCGGATTTGTTGTGAGATTTTTTTTTTATATTTTATATTTTATATTTATATTTTTTATTTATTATTATTATTATTATTATTTTTTCTATTGTATTCCAAAGCTTTGCCTTTGTTAATAATGGCAACGCCATATGCATGCGCATTTAAGCTTAGGCTTTCATGCTGGGCTTCTTAAAGCTGTATATAAAGTACAATAGGAGAGTATGTTCAAGTTTTCTTATGGATTTCAGTAAACTAAATTAAATTGTTGTTAAAAACCTTTTGTACACTCCCCTTTGTTTAGGCTTTATTTTTAAAAATTTTATGTACGCTCTTTTGTCTGCGGTAAAAAGCTTAGGCAATCAGCAAATTTTGTAGTATTTGGTCTATTGTTGTTGTATTTCTTTTTGTTTGGTTATATCTAATTCCGTAATTGGTTGAAGAGAGAAGAGAAGAGGAGAGGAGAGGTCCCTTTGTTAACATTATATTACTCTTTGGTTATGGGCCAATTCTTACGTAATAATTCAAACAAAGGAATCGACTTTGGCAATACACTCTTCGCGAAACTTTTACACCCCCTACCCACCCCATAAGGATTTGAACCACACACCCACACTTTTTTTTTTATTCAAACAATAGTTTATGCAGATACGCATAACCGATATTGGCCTAGTGGAAAACGCCTTTGAGTAAATGTTCCATGCATGTATTAAGTTACTATAAAAGTGGAGGCTGGGCTGAGACTGTGTGTAAGCATGGGGCGTCACCACGGTGGTTCGATGATTTTGCTGTGCTGCTTTATACCTTTCTCAGGGTCCAGATCGGTTGAGTTTTTTTTCTCTTGTTCAGCACTTTTACGTTGCTCCCTTTGTTTCTCTATAGTTTGACGTTTTGGAAATCTTGCTTAAACTCCATTTGCTTTCAAAGTGGGGCGTCGTCTCCTTGACGAGGCGGGTGTTATACTGTACATAACAAAAGAACTCCTAAAACAACTGCATCTAGTCATAGGCTTTATCCAAGGAGACTTGCTTCATCTTTTCTATCAATATTCTGCCTCATTGAATGCATAAACTCTGGTGTGATAGGTGGAGTTTGAAGTGTGCAAAAAAACATTGAAGGCACAAAACCGCCAATTTCCAGATTTGGGCCAACTTGACTCGCGCAACAAGGTAAATGCCAATAGCTTAATCAAAAACCTTGGAGTACCTGTGGTCAACGACTTGGAAAAGGAAAAAGTTACGTTACCACCAAAGCAAAGATTCACCTAGAGAATGTACTAAGTTAGACACAAAATTAGTGTTTGCTGGTTTAGAGCCCTGAGTCGCTCTTTTGTTTGGTTCTCTCTACTGAAGAGCACCAAGCCTATATTATATACATTCCGCTTTGCCTATTTATTGATTGGAAATAGAAACGTCAAACAAACTTGCTTCGCTTAAAGTTGCTTTACTCAAAAAGGCACATAGATATCCATCTCGGTTTTTTCTGTATTTGCTCTATTCCAAGAGTTGTTGAACTGAAAAAAGGTATTTATAAAAGCAGTGAGATTAGACACTGGTTCAGCAAAGGGCTTTGCTATACTCTCGTAGCTTCTTTTGACACAGAAGCGTACTTTCTGTGGTGTTTTAAAAATAAGTCATGCAGGGAGCTTTCAAATGCAGTCGGTAGCCACTCTTGAAATACAATCTCTTTAGTTCTAGGATCGATCTACTACAGAGCAATTGATTTCTCAAAGTAGATGAAATTGGTTTTAGGGCTTTTTTTCAGGGCTCGCTTGTGCATAAGGTTGTGTATATAACAAAACCATTTGTTTTTTAAGTAACTGCACAGATATCCACAATTTTTATTTTTCTTTATTTCTTTTATTTTAATTTATTAATCCTTTTTTTTTGTCAGATAAAAAGGTTGGTACAAAGTCCCCTTTTGTTTAATAATAGATTGGTTAATCTGTTCAATGCGATTACATTTACTGATTGTAGTTTTGCATTGTCTGTTCTGTATATAATATTGCAATTGAAATGAGCCCGCTTTAAAACTAAAAACAGAGGACAAATATTTCAAAACGCCGTTTATCTTGTCAGGCTATGTCTTGTTGTATTGTTTTTTCGTAATTACAGAAAATAGATAAGCAATTGACAATTTTCCACACGAGGATATTCTGATATGAAGGGGTTTTATTCATGGAGTATGGGGCACACATCTGAAAGCCCAATCAAACGTTCGAATATTATAACCAACCCCAACCCCCCCATTTTTTTAAGTTATGTTGACAAAAATTAAAATAATCCGCGCATGTGATGTTTCTTAAAGCAAAGAAATATAAGCTCACTCCACTTGGCAATGCACAGTGCTTTGCTCTGCTTTTCTTTTCCGCGCAAAGGACAAGTAGGGACCTTTTGGAACCTTCTTTACACACTATCGTTTCACTAACGTCTTTTGAGGGCCAGAATTTTGCTAAACCCCAATCCATATACTGAAAATTTCGTCTTAAACGCAAGAGTCTGGCTATGATTAATCCAATTATAAATGCCCCGCAGTCTTTTGGAAAACACTAGCAAATGGCCCTATTTCTGCAACAGGATGACTTTCTCAATTGATGCTTCATTAGTAGAAAAACAAGTAGATGGATTTGCTTGTTTTATTTTCGGGTAGGCTGATTTATTTCCCGACTATCTCCAACCAATCTGTCTTTTATGCATGAAGAAAGTACAATGAAGGGTTTGCTTATGTCAGTTTCAATTAGCTCTCAATAGAAATGAGGCGGGAGGGGGAGGAGCATTGATGATATCATTTAGGATCTCACCAAGCAATCGGTTTCCCCATTAGAGAGATTCAAAGACGTTCAAAACCAGTGCATAAATTACATGGGACAAAAAGTATGCCCTTTGAAAAGAAAGTTTTTTTTTCAGTTCGTAAAATTCGGTTGTCATGGCAACAAATCAAAGTTGTCTTAGATGTGTGTTTTTGAGTTTCATTCGATTGCAAAGCAACGTTAATCGCTAATGGCATCACCACAATTGTAGCCCTATTTACACAACTCTGGCAAGTCGAACCGGTTCCACCTAATCCGCTCTTTGCTTGACATGGTTCAATATCCTGTTTTCCTCGTAGATGTGATTCGTGGAACAGACGCTGCCTCCGTTGCGACGTTTTGAGCTCATTTTATTGTCTTATTTTGTGAGGTAGTGTAACTGTTGCTTTAGCTCTAAAGAAAGAATCCAAATAAACCGTACCACTTTATTGCAGATCCAGTCAAGATACAGATATCAGACTTTTGTCATTTTCTGTATTGTTTATACTGCAGGCATTGAAGTGCAAAACGAAGAAAAAACAAAGTCACCCCATACAGCTGCAGAAGGCAAATAACCTTTTGTCTAATGCGTGAAATCAGCTGACATTCATTTTGAAGTTAGACTATGCATTAAGTATGAGTAGGAGACTTTCAGACATGATTGTGAAATTTCTTCAAACTTTTACTGCATTCTATTTTTTGCAAAAAATTATTTATTTTTTTTATTTGTTTTACTTTGTATCCGCAAGCCCAATATGCAATCACATTCAACCAATTTCAGAAGGATAAGCGAGTTGCATGGGTTCTTCCTTTTACCGATGCAGACGTATGCTAATTTCATATACCTTCGGTTGGTACTTTTTCGTTGTGGTTTCCGATGAAGTAATATCCGAAGTTTAAAAGATTGGCTGTGAGTTGGAGATTTGGAGGATCGCAAAAAGCAGGTTGTAGAACCAGCCATAACTCTGAAAAAAAAATACAGCGGAGACCCATACTTAATGCTCAGTGATCTTTAACAGATTTCCTTGCTTGCTCATATTGTCTTGGTTGGATAATTGCTAGGAAACAGTACATAACAAATAATCTACACATTTAGAAAATAAGAGCGTTTATTTTCATGTCTAAATAGAACCAAAACTTTGTTTCAGTCTTCAAACCCAGTTAGAAGTTTCTTCCTCATGCTCTGATGGAAAAGCTTAAAGAAAACATTGAAGCAAACTAGCCTCCATTTTATATCCACTAGTTTCTTACTCCAATGCTACTGAATCAACAGAGATACTGAACACAAAGGAGCTCATGAAATTTGGTGTACTTTTACTCGCCAGAAATGACACAAGCCAATCATTTTTACATTACGTCATAATTTTTCCGAGACTGTGTGTTTCAGCGTTGCACCCAAAAGTTGACAATTCACGATCACAGTGGTAAAGGGGGTCCAAATGAAATGAGCTTTGCAGTTTGTCGAAATGGGTTAAGTTTAGGAGGAGCTTTGTGGAAAGAGTCTACAAGAACTGAAATCTTTTCTGGCTACGCTTAATAATCACGCAGCCAAGATACATTGTAGCAGCTAAGGCATAACTGTGTCAAATTGAGGGCCTCAGCTTTCCTCTATTTCGGTTAACGGGCTCAAAAAGACACTAACCTGTAGAGAAGGCCCCACTACGTCTATTAATATTCTGTGTCCTTCCAAGCCAGTCGTGCATCACTGTCAAATGTTTCGATGCTCTGCGAACTCCACCGACCCAAGAAAGAACAAAAAAAATTTTTCTCCTTTTCCAGTAACACATACATTCCTTTCTCTTGTTCTTCATACATATACCCACTTCCGGAGTACCAGCGAGACTGATTTTACATCTATTTAGTTGAGCAAAAATGGCTGGAAGGATATCGATATTTATGAGAACGTCCATTGTTAATAATCCAAAATCTTCTTTGTAATCTATACTTAGATTTTTGAATTTCTTTGGTTCGCATGATGGATACATTTTTAACTGAGGGATCTTCTGGATTCGATCCGGGAGGATTTTATAGGATAGCTTAGCTGAATAGCTGCTTGAAGCAGAAAATCGTGTAAATTGTTAATGTGTAGCTGGAGAGGGGGAGTCGCTCTAGTTTCTTCTTGTTGTGAACACTCGCACCCTAATGTTATGGCTGTCTTTTAGAGTAATGCGAGAGTGCCACTCCACTACAATGCTCTGATTGAGATTGTATATATAGAGCTTTCCCTAATGTGCCTCTTCTTTGGGGGGGAGATTCGATGAGATCTAATACCTCGGTATAAATAAAACAGTAGAAAAAGAAAACAGACGCGTAACTTTTTGAAGACAGAAAAGTAAACAATACAAATAATCCACAATAACATAACATACACACTAAAACATCAATTGTATCTCGTATTCTGATTGCGCACGGCGTTCACCTGCCCAGCAACCCCTATTGACCCGTGTCAGGCGGTGTCAGTAATGGACACACCATCCCATAACCATTGATTAGATGGGCCCTTTACTCTCGAAAATGAACCTTTTAAAATACTCATGAATGAAAAATTTGGCGCTTAAATAGGGGGTGGTGGGAGACGAGGTTGGAGTCTGAAATAAAATTACAAGGCGTCTCTAATTTAATCTTTTCATTCATTCATTTGTTTCCTTTTGTTTTCTTTTGCATAATCAAAAAAAGAAAAATAAAAAAAAATAATAACAATCTTTTCATTCATTACCATCAACCTTGATAAAGAGTCCTAATAGTAACAAACATGATCACGATGGCACCACCAGCCTCATCGCATCAACCCCCCAATCCACAGTTAGCCGAGAATGTGCCCCAACAACAGCAATTACAAAAACCAAAAACTAAAAGCTTTAGTCAATCAGCAATTTCGTCGTCACCTCGCGCCCTTGCTACTCCAGTGAGATCTCTCACAATCTCCAAGCCCAAAACGAAGAAAGAAAGTGAAGTATCGAGTACATTTAAATCTACCATCATTCTAGTTGCCAAGTACACCTTTGCTGCTGAATCTTCCAATGAATTGAGTGTTACCAAGGGAGATATATTAAAAATGCTAGACCAACCGCGCGACGGATGGATATTGGTAAAATACATTGACAAAGTACATGCGCCGGGTTTGATTCCTGCTAGTTATGTTGACATTGCAGTAAATGACCAAACAAACCCAATCACTATCAATTGGTTGCACGGAAATGAAAATCCTGACATTGTGAAGGAGCACAACTACCTCAATTTGCAATTCAACAAAACAGAAGCTATTTTTGAAACAATCAACAACAAAGCCTATCCAGTATCTGCTTCAATCCTGAACTTTCTTTTGTACAAGGATAGATATTGGTACCGGTTGGATGTAGAATTCAGTGACAGGTCAAGAGGCTACTTGTGTCGGTATTATCAAAATTTCTACAATTTGCATATATCGTTGTTGGAGTTTGTTAGCCGGGCCAACAGCCAAAATGCACAACTGGACGACTTTAAGTTGCCAAAATTGCCAGAACCGTTACCAACTGCTACCGACAAATCGGGTGAGAGAGACAGTGACTCGACTACAGATTCGGAGAAAAGTTTTGAGCAGGAAGTAATCCAGGTTAATATGTTGTTGCAAAGATGCAATGACTTGAACGTTTACATTAACAAGTTAATTTTGAAAAAATACTTTCAAACTTCGAAAGAATTGATCGAATGGTTGGAGTTGGGTTATAACGAATTGCCGGGCTTTATTCTTAGGCCATCTGATGAGGATTACGAGTCAAAATTGACCAATGATGAAATAAACACCAGAATTCTTTCTGAATCGATAGATGTTCTAAAGGATCACGAAGAAAAGAAGTCGCAGTTGGAACAAGAGTTGCAAGCTTTGAAGAAAGCAGAAATCGTGGATAAAATTGACGATGCTGATTTACCAGCAAGAACAAAGTCGAAAAACATATACAATAATTACCAACAAGCGTCTCATATGATGTCGATGTCTCAAGCTTCAAGACATGATTCAGTGAAATTGGGAAGGGCAATGTCAAAATCAAACCACCATAATGAAAGCAGGGTTGATGGGCAAAAGAACCTGCCACGGGTGCTGCATAAACAAGCAAACGACTCCACTCATGCTGACACATCAAGCAACAGCATTTCTACTAGTTTCTCTCCAGTTGAAGAAGATAATCATGGTGGAGGCTCACCAGATACATCTCATGGCTCAGTAAAGTTATCTCGCAGTGGTTCGTCAAAGCCTAAAAGTCTTGCCAAAGAGCCCGAAACACCGTCACAACCACTATTCACTGGAGCACCTGTTTCGTCACCACAAAATAGCAAGTACATGGCGAATGAATCAATTGTGCCACCGAATTTGCAATCGCCACAATTGCAGCAAAACTCGCCCAAAATAGCCAGTCCCGTTATGCATTCTCCAAATTATCAGTATAATCCTAGGCTTGGATCATTACCAAAAGTCAAGACCCAGCCCCAGCCTCAACATCAACACCAACACCAACCAGTTCACCCTAATCACGATAAGCCATACCATTTGCCACAACGCGTGTCATCCAAGATGTCACCATTGGGTGTCAACTCTCATGTTTTCCCTATTAGTGGCTACACCACAGCGAGACAACCTGCTAGCAGTGCTGACACGTCACACTTTTCCAACCCATCGAGTTTTTCTCACAGCTCCGGATCTCCCTCACCTACTGCTGCTAATGCATTGTCCAATGATAACCATCAATTCATTAGATGTAAAATAGTAAACTCAAATGATGAAATACTCACTGTGAAATTACTCAAGTCTCAAATTAAGACCATTGGCGATTTCAAAAACTTAATCAAGAGTAAAGTATTCTACAACAAGTTATTTATCAAACTACCCAACTTGAACAACTTTGAAAACATTGACGTTGTCAAGTTCAACATTACCGAATTTTTAAAATTCAATGATAGAGTATTATTGAGAATCGCCTAGTGGGGGGGATAGATCCTCCTTTCCAATTCATTTCTCTTTTATGTATAACTACGTGTATCTTTTGTATTAGTATAATAAATGTATCACTTAAACAAAATCACTATATAAACTAGCAGAAATGCTACTTGCCTGTTTGAAATACCTCTCTCTTTATAGCTTCTGCTAAATCAGGGCTGACACCACCAAAATACTTAAATACCCTTTCTTGAATTTCCAGTTCAACCTTAGCAACGTCGACACCAATGTTATGAGCCAAGTTTCTTCTATCAGTTTCGGACAAAACATTGTTGTAGAGATCTGCAGGCTGGTCAAATTCCGCTGCGGTGGCAACCCACTCGAACGGTTCAGCTGGACCTTCCCACACTTCTTGATACTGTTGGATAGGGAATGATTTGATAGTGACCTTGTTCCTGTTGGTCAAGTAGTTTGGAGCTTTGCCATAATTTCCATTTACATTCATAAACCCGTCCCTCTCGCTTGGTGCATACACTTGGGCACCTCCTTTGAGCGGACAGTTCACCGGAATTTGGCTAAAATTAACCCCTAACCGGTACCTTTGGGTGTCAGTGTAAGAAAACAACCTTCCTTGTAAGACCGGATCAGCCGAAGGTTGCATAGATGGAACAGTATTGGCTGGGGAAAACGCAGCTTGTTCAACTTCAGCAAAATAGTTGAGTGGGTTTTCATTCAATGTCAATTTACCGAATCTTCTCAATGGATAGTCCTTATGGGGCCAAGTCTTGGTCATATCAAAGACGGAAAATGGTGCATTCTTTGCTTGTTCCTCGGTCATGGTTTGAACATAACAAGTCCAAGAAGGAAAGTCACCTTGTTCAATACTATTGAACAAATCATCCTGAGCTGCATCGGGGTTTTCGCCAGCAAGACGAATGGCTTCTTCAATTGTATGATTTTTTATACCTTGGTCAGTCAACTGATGAATACGCACGTAAACCCAATCATTGTTTGCATTGGCCCATTTAAATGTGTGAGCCGAAAAACCATGCATATGTCTAAATGATGCAGGAGTTCCACGATCAGTGTACAATATGGTGACTTGGTGAACAGTTTCGGGATTCAAGGTGAAGAAATCCCAAGCCGCGTTGGGGTCCTTTGAGTTGGTTTGGGGGTTTCTCTTCTGAACGTGGTTTACGTCAACAAACTTGGAAGGATCCCTGATGAAAAACACTGGAGTATGGATGTATACAAAGTCCAAGATGCCTTCTGAAGTGTAAAATTTGGTGGCAAAGCCTCTAACATCTCTAGCTGAGTCATTAGCACCTGATTCAGCGGCAACAAGGGAGAAGCGAGTAAAAGTTTTGGTCTTTTTGCCAACTTCGTTTAAGAAATCAGCCGAGCAGATGTCAGTGATATCATCAGTAACTTCGAACACACCGTGTGCGCCTGAACCTCGGCCGTGTACCACTCTTTCTGGAATCCTCTCTCTATCGAAATGAGCCAAGTTGTCAATCAAGTCAATATCCTGTAATAACAATGGACCATGTTTGCCAACTCTTTGAGTGGCATAAGGTGGGTTTGGAATTGCCTGTCCTTGTGAATTGGTAAGGATTGGAGGTGGTGCCATAGTATAATTGACCCTGTAATCTAGTCTCTTCAATAGCGTATAGAACTAAAGGGAAAACAATTCAACTAAAACAAACACGGAAGCACTGGCTCTTTATATATACCCTCTATTTTTTGGCGTTGTAGAATATTGACGAATTAACTGTCCAACCACCATAGTTACCATAGTTACCACAGTTACAAAGTGGAGACTTGTTCAATACCATAAAGATCCTTGAGAACACAAATTCAGAGGAACTTCGACAGCTAGCAAATATTCCTTCCATTGAGATCTAAGGGAACAATTTGGTGGAAGAACTTTTAGTATTTGGAATATTGAAGAAGGGGAAAGGCTGGTTAATATGCAGGATCAGAGACTTAAATATACAGTACGTATAACAGTGCAGATTAAATTAAAGATTCTAAGTAATCTTCCACCAAGGGGGAAGAGAGAGGGATGCGGGAAAAAAAAAAGAAGGGGGAGAAAAGTCGCGGGTGACGTGAATTCCGTTATTGGTTTAAGGTATGGATCTTGTGCTACTTGGAAGGGTACAGGCGGAAACTCCAAAGACAATTGCTTCTTGAGCTATCAGTTTCATTAAAGGAACACGGCTGTGTGTTTACAAATCTCTCTCTCAAAACGTTTACAGTACACGGATCTGTTTAGAGTTAAAAGGCGGGAAAGGGATGAGAATAGCAAGTATTTTATGTTTTACAATAAATGGCGCATTTAATAACGCGGAGTTTAATTGATTACCAAATTGCAAATGCATTGCAGTTCATTGGTCACATACGTCACTAGCAAAATTGACCTTGAAAGCTAAATTTGTCAACGGAGCTAGCAATTCATTGTAAAGCACGAACTTAGATCGACAATGTTTGTCTCAATTATTATACGGGATTACTGAAGGTGCTACCAGCTGCTTTTGTTTTAAATGGGAGTATTTGCCCACAACTTAACCTCAATTTCGCCAGACTATTATTCCAAGACTACAATTTCTACATAACATTCTCTAAAGTGAAATAAATACCATTAAAAACAACTATATAACATTGTCACTATACGTTTACTTTCTTGGGTTCAATTGGAAGACTTCCTTTTTGATATCTTCCTCCAACTTTGGACTGACACCTCCAAAGTATTTAAAGACTCTGTCTTGGATATCATGCCTGGCGGCAGAAACATGCCCAGCAATGTTGTGTGCCAAACGTTCTTGTCCACCAGGTTGCTTAGGCAAGACTTTGTTGTAGAATTCAGTAGTTTGAGTCCATTCAGCTGGAGTGGCCTTCCAGTGGAAAGGAGTAGCAGCACCTTCCCAAACCTCCTGGTCCTGTTGGATTGGGAATTGGTCAAATTTGACGTCAACATCCGAAGCCAAGTAGTTTGGAACACCACCGAGGTTACCATTAACCGTCATGAAACCATCTCTAACATTTGGAGCAAAAACATGAGTACCATTGTTTGGATTATTGATTGGAATTTGTGCATAGTTGGCACCCAATCTGTATCTTTGAGTATCATTGTAGGAAAACAATCTTGATTGCAAGACTGGATCAGCGGATGGTTGCATAGATGGAACAGTATTTCCTGGTCCGAAACCAACTTGTTCAGTTTCAGCGAAAAAGTTGTCTGGGTTCTTGTTCAAGGTGAATTTACCGAATCTTCTCAATGGGTAGTCCTTGTGTGGCCAAACCTTGGTCAAGTCAAAGACGGAGAATGGAGCTTGTTTGGCTTGTTCTTCAGTCATGGTTTGAATGTAACAAGTCCACGATGGATAGTCTCCCTTTTCGATAGCTTCAAACAAATCTTCTCTAAGGTAATCTGGGTTCTCACCAGAAATCTTTCCAGCTTCTTCAACAGTCAAAGTCTCAATACCTTGGTCGGACAAGAAGTGGACTTGGACATAGTGCCAGTCACCCTTGGCATTAGACCATTTGTATGTGTGACCAGAGAAACCGTGTTGTTTTCTATACGAAGCTGGAGTACCTCTGTCAGTGAACAAAAGGGTAACTTGATGAACTGATTCTGGGTTGGAAACAAAGTAATCCCAGAACGCATTTGGGTCCTTTAAACCAGATTGTGGGTTTCTCTTTTGGGTGTGAATAAAGTATGGGAACTTGGATGGGTCTCTAATGAAAAAGATTGGAGTATTGTTGTAGACCAAGTCCAAAATACCTTCTTCAGTGTAGAATTTAGTGGAGAATCCTCTTGGATCTCTAACGGTATCGGCAAAGCCTTGTTCACCAGCAACTTGTGAGAATCTAGTAAAGATCTTGGTCTTTTTGCCAATGGTGTCTAAAAACTTGGCTGAGCAAATATCGGTGATGTCGTCAGTAACTTCGAATTCACCGTGAGCACCGGAACCTTTGGCGTGGACAACTCTTTCTGGGATTCTCTCTCTGTCAAAGTGGGCCAAGTTGTCAATCAAGTTGACATCTTGTAACAACAAAGGACCATGTTTACCAATTCTTTGAGTGGCAAAAGGTTCGGGGACTGGGTTACCTTGTGAGTTAGTGAATACGGGAGCCATGATTAATATATTTAGTAGATTAGTTGATGAAGAGTCTGAAGAAGAAGTGATCTGAAGAAGTGACAATTCAGCTCTATTTAAATGCTTGAAACTACAGCAATTCTATCCTTCAAGTCTGGGCTTAATAATAACCTCTACCCAACGTTTTACTCCTATTTTTGCACAATCCTGTAGGTGTGGTGGTTCTATCAAAAAAAAGAACTAAGATAGAAACTGCACAAAAGATGAGAAAAAGAACAATAAGAAATTCCCTGCTTTGGTGTCATCCATTTTCAATTTGGCAAGTTTTGCTTTATAATTTGATGCGGGACGTATTAAAATGAAACCATTTGGAGAAAATACCCGAACAACAGACAGCAAACATAAAAAACTAGTTGTGAATGTTCATTGTGTTTTTGTATGGCTGCAAATGTGCGGATGTTGACTTTGCTTTCTTTTCTTTTATGACTATGCGACCCGTTTTTGTAAAATTGCTATCGTTCTCCTAATTGCGTCAGTGTGTTGTTCTTGTTCTTTTTTTCGTAAGTTTAAGCGCAAGGACTGTTATTGAACCACCACACTTTGTCACTTTTTCGTTTGATATTTGTTACGCATAATTCGCAAAGTCAACAAGAGAGAGAAGCAAGGAAGGAGGAGTAAATGCGGACAATAAGAAAACATCTATAGGGGCAACTTTATTCCTTGTTGCATTATGTAATTTACTTTCTAGTTGTTGCTATTGGTTGAAACTCTATGTTTATTTGACCCACCTGCACCCATCGTAAACAAAAAGCATAACCCCTCCAGCTGTTGTTTACATTGCCTGGCCTGGTGATTTGAAACTGCAAAGAAGTGGTGGTTTTCCTGTTGAGAGATTGCACTACCCCCTGAACTATGATTACATCATGATACTTTGTTTATTTTTTTTGACTGCTTTGGAGCCCTGATCCAAAATAATTCAATTTAGTTGGAACTCCAAAGAAAACATATGATGCTGCTTTGCCATTGGTTACGACAAAGAGAAAGGAAAAAACCAGAGGCAGAGGTGTCCTGTATAATGCCGCTCACAAAAAAAATATTGCTGTACACAAAAATGAAATTGCGAACGAAAAGGAACAACCGAAGAACACTTTCTTTCTATACTCCGAACGCTTCTTTAAAGTAAGGAGAATTCAACTTTGTGTATTTCAAAACTGACATTTTCGCATTTATCGCTCATGTTTCGACTAATCTCTTAGCTACACGCACATGTGTGTTGTGGTGGCTAATCCACAACTGAAAACACGTTCCGATTTCTTGCTCCTTTTGAGTAAACTTCGCTTGAAATTACGAGGCTGGAGGTGTGGAGAGCTTACCAGGTTTCAGTGTCTGATGACAAAGCAAGAAAGAGTTGCTGAAGTGTCAATTAGATTGCTTCTGATCATATCTATAACTCTGGTTCTTTAGTGATATTTTGTCGAAATGGTTCGTAAAGTGTCTCGATTTAATTCGAGTGGTAGCGTTTCGTCCTTTTTGTTACTTCGCATTTTACCCGAGGGTATACAAAAACGGCCACTTGCGCGGAATTTTAAAACAGTTGCGATAAAGATAACAGTCATCTCAGTACTTCTCTGTTCTATTCAAGGGGGTTCACTTCAACACTGAAGAGACTTTTTAAAGATTATAGATGAAGTAGCAGCATAGTATTGAAACCATTTCGTTTTAAAGATTGGGTGTAAAAAATTTGTAACAAAATTTAGTGAAACTAGAGTTTATATTGACTCAATACAAATAAACAGTAAAGGACATGGTAATGAAATTCGTTAGTGGGTCAAACTGCTCCGTGTCTCAAGCCCTCAGAATAAGAGTAGCACTTTACCTATCCTTTTAGGAATAAAATAATTAAACCGCTATATAGAAACTTTGTTTCCATCAGGTTACACTATTTTGAGTACTATTCTCCTCCACCAATGCTTTATTACCACTTGTTCCCTACTTAAACCTAATGTCTCATTGGTACCTAGTCGTTGGCTTACCAACTACAAACATATAGAGAGGATTCTCCTTCTAGTTGCATAAATTGAACATAATTTTTCAGTTAAGCTCTGTAATCACCGCAGTTGTTTAAACTTTATCCAAAAAATTGTCTGGGTTTTTTGTTCTTTAGTTTTATGTAAAAACATTGAACTGCAATAGAAGTAGAACCCAAGATTGCATCTGGGACAGAAATTTACGACACGGCAAAATAACCCGTATAATGTAGGAAGCACTTGACAATGTGTCGACATAGAAGAGTCAAGTTTTATCCTTGCATATAAAAAGTTGGTTCACTTTTTGATGGTCAAGCAGCAGAAGAGGCAATGTTGAAGTGAAAGTTTCCCTTGTGCCGTATGTTACAATGTTCTCTTTGTTTTGCCTTTGCTTTTTGTTGGGTAGACTATAGTTGCTTTACGTCATATGTCTAGAGTATTCCAGGACTATTGTAGACGCGGTGCAACGGTTATGAGAACCACTTTAGTGCTCTCTTGCAGAATTGGAAAAACAAACAAGCCATTCCACTACGAAAGCAAAAACAAAACAACAGAAAAAACAAAATCATGCGATTTAAAGTATGCTTTTTTAAGGGATGTTAAATTGTCGGCTTTGTTTTTAGTACAGCTTGACTGGCAACTTCAGGCATGGCTAAGACCATCAAAAACTTGCCGGGTTTGCAAAGAGGTGAACGGTAGATTGTCTTGCAATAGTGACGAAGAATAAATATTTTTTTGTTTTGCTTTGTTTTGATTTGTTGTTAGTTAATGTTTTGCCAACCTAGATGAATAGCACAAAGCAAAAGTGACTTTTAATAGCACAGAGCTGCATAATCAAACTTTGAAAGCATCAAGAATTTAACTCACGATCGTTCTTTTATATTTTCTTCGATTTCGCAACTTTCTTCGAGATTACTTGTCTAACTTTTGATTTCAACAACCACCACAAGAGTACAAGAAAGAAAACGAAAATTATTATAGGATCTAGTTTATTCATGAAGAGGGTAGAATTTGGAGAGAAGCCTAGCGAAAGTTAATCTGCTGCAAAGTAACAAAAGTCTAACTTTAATTGACAATACTTGGAGGCGAAAACTTTATTCTTTGCTTTGAGTAAGGCTCTATACAAGCCACCCTATACTTCGTTTGATTTGAAGCACTCTCGATTAATGAACGTCGGTTTTTCTGACAAATTATGCTACTAACCAACAAGCACATGACGTCATTTTCAAAGCTCTGCAGTAACCTTATTTGAACTTGCTTTGCGTTGAATGCAAAACCTCTCACAACCAAACGACACGGAGGCAGTAGTTTCTGTGGTTTGCACCGCCGCCAATTATAATAGAAGGTATTGGTTTCGTGTAGGATAACTATGTGCCTCAAAATGAAAGTGTAAAAACTTCTAAGGAATCAAAAGTGAACAATTAGTGCCACACGTGGACGTAAAACACGAAATTGTAGACTGCTATTCCCTTAAAGAAGTGCCCTTTGTATACAGCTGAACCTGTAGAGTACATCTCAGCCCTGTTTATGTAACGAAACTACCGCATAAACTTACCAATCATATAAAGAGACAAATATATTCTCTGATGGATAAAATGTAGTCGTGGGGCAGACACTAACAGGACTGCAAAAGGAGACTACAACAGTGTATGATAACTGAATAACTCTTTGCAAATTTACTGAGCATGACTTGTTTACACTAACACCACAGTGATTGAACGAAGAAAGAGGGGGTGGGCGACAGAGCCAAGAGTCAGAAAAAGGCTGTGTCGTGCAGATGAAATTTTCTGTACCCAAATTAATTTCTCACTCTCCCATCCACTACAGCTCTCTCTTTCTTGCAATTGTTTTGTGAAACTGTTTACAAATGAGCATAGCGCTTAAAATAAGTCCTTGAGCTAACAAAAATAATATAGAACAAAAGTCATATAAAATTGCACATGGGAATACTGTTATACCGATTTCGTAATTTCGCTTTTTGTTTTCCTTATCAAAAGCATCTTTAAAGTAGGTATAACAACTTTTTTTATAGGTAGGTCGCATCCAAGTTTAGCCAGTTCTCGTTTGGTACGAGTGTCTCATATTGAAAGGGAACTCAAACGAGACCCTTGGTCACTAAACATATACACATTTTAAAGTTGAAAAAGTGGCTAGACGCCCCTCATGTGAAGGTTTGCTTTAAATCCGACTGCATTTTATTAGAAAAAAACTAGTCAGATGTTTGCCTTGCACGAAATATTCAAGGCATCTTTCTGCATAATCTTTTAGGACTAGAAGGATAAACGCATTTACTCTCTCCCGGTTTTCTTTGTTTTCTTTGTTTTCTTTTCTGTCTGAAGCTTCTTTTTCTTTTGTTATAGTTTCGTTTGTTTTATTGTCTTTGTAACTGGTTTTGACATAAAAGTACATAAGACGCACAAAAAGGCTATGAATATACATCCAGGCAGACACAAGACAACAAAAACTTTACTATCCGAAAACAAAACAAAACACAGACCAACAACAAAAGCTATTGTCAACATGGCAAATCGCAGTAAGCGGTATATGATAGCTACTGGATTGTTCTCTCTCAAAACACGTGTAAACAACGCACTAAATCAATAGTACTGGCTTTGTTTTTCTATTTTCCTCTTTCCTTTTGGTCTGGTAGTTGTTTACATTCTAACCATAGAGATTAACGTTAGACGCTGTGCTTCACGCAGTGGAATTATTCCAAGAGAATCGAAGTCAGTGCTTTTGGATAGTATTCTCTCTGCAATGAATCTGGTTTGAGGGTGAAAGTAGGTCACCAAGTTTTTACACGTCATCGTATTATACACCCTTACTTAATAATTGCTGTTTCTTTTAGTCTTCTGTTGCAGTAAGAAGTGTAAACAAAGGCGCTGGATGTAGAGTGAATTGTTTTATCATTTTATTTTTTTTTTAATTTCATAGTAACTGCGACATATACATTTGTAACACAAAGACACAATCATTCAAACCAGTGCGACATAATTGTTCAAATCAATGCGAGGTAAAATTTTTCAAATTTTTGCAACTTTAATAATTCAAGAAGAAATTTATTTACAAGATGGAATAACATGAACACGTACACTAATTGTAATTTCCTATGTAGAATCCGGTAAGTTATAGATTTACTGACCCATATTAGTTTTCTTTAGCGAAAAAGCAAAACTAAAGCAAAGTTTTTGACCAACTTTAGGTCATATCTCTACCACCTTGACGATTACCTCTTAAGTTGCATATTGTGTATAGTTTGGCCCGTGTGTACAAAATTTTTAGGTTCACTTTTACCTCTTTTGTAAAACTACCAGTAACAGTATGCTCAAAGTCTGTCAAATCACCACGGCTCAAGTCACAAAAGTGGTTACCAAAGACCCCAAATGGGTGATCGGGACTGAGAACTTTCATGTTGCGAGTGAGCAACATACAGTTACCATGTAGAAATTCGCTCCACCAGTTGATGCTACTGTGGAGGAAACTGTAGATACAAACCACACACAGCTCTTGCTTTACACTCAAGACATGCTAGAGTTGAAACAATAAGGAGTCTCAATTTGTCATGCTTAAAGGGGTTGAGGCCATGAAGTGCAGAAAGAGCGGAGATTTTACTTGAAAATCTTAAAAGTGATTGCACCAATTTGGGAAACTTTTCTATCAAGTCATAGCTAGAGAGCATAGGTACAATATCAATGCCCCCTTTAGCGTGTATCAACTAACAAAGACAACTGGTGCCGAGTGCTTCCGATAATGCGAGATTCAAGATCCTGGTCGTCAATTTATGATAAATTTGCAACAGGTGTAGCTCCAAACTGAGGTGAAAACGGTTGTCCATATGAGTAAATCATAGGCAAAGTATGAGCCTAGTCAAGTGATTTGCCCGATCAACTCTTTTAAGATGGTGATATAATTCCAGTTAGAAACTCTGAACACGTTGAGAGCATCAGAATAGTAGTAATATTTTGGAGAAATGTAGTAGTGTGATGGTAAATGCCAAGGTATTGTTGAATGAAATAAATGTACTCGGATAGCAGACTATTCCAGTAAGTCGCAACTAGTTCAATATACCTAATTTTCGTGAAGTGTCAAAAGATACAATCAACTAGACCCATATTGTGACTGTTTAGTTCGAATGGATTGATTTTCCGAGTCTCTTCCATTCTTGTCAAATATTTCCCTGGTATATCAGACGATATTATTGAATACTTCCTGCTCTTGCAATTGATGAGGTTCTTAGGGATACGAAACGTCAGCTTTGGCTCATTCTGTCTCATCGCATTTTTCAATGGCCATGGCGTGTAAACATATATGTTTCTGTACAATTTTGGTATTGCAACGGAGCAAAACATGGAATGTAATGGTGCAAGCGCCAAAGCTTGGTGTTGGTTAAATTGATGGAAAATCCCTTCCAATGCTTCGCAAGGTAGGCTTGTAAGGGGAGGCATTAATTTAAAACCGTGATAGGGTTTTCAAGAAGAACTTCTCACTATTTGGCCCTTATTAGTTTTCTGGGAGTGAAGCACACTTGTGTAGTTTCTTCATCCTTTTGCTTGACATCTCGTCTGTATCCTGTATTGCAAAAACCAGGTCTGATGCTTTAGCATTGATTGCAAGATTAGGCTCCTAAGGGTGGGGTGGCTGATGTAGTATGCAATAGGACTCATAAATGCAAACCCTCTTGTGACGTTCTTGTCGTTGTATGCTTAGAAAGGTTCCGCATTTATTTGTTTCTGTTGCCAGAAAAAGTTTTAAGAATGAGTAACTATGTCGCGCTAGTTTGAAGACTAATTATGTCGCACTAATTAAATGAAATTAAAAATGATAAAATAATAAAAGCCTCTTTTTTAATGCATAAACGAGACAGAAAATGAATTACACAAAGCCAAGATTTTATTTAGCTTAAAACCGAACACTAAAAACAAAAACAAATATAATTCTTCTTCTTCTTTAGCTGTTGTTTGTTGTTTATTGTTTGTTGTTGGATAAAAAATTGCACAAAGGATTAAAATGCGTTTTGCATTGTTTTCAACAACAACTGCTGCACCTTTGTTATAGTAGACTCACAGTGTAGTTGAAGTTTATTTACTTTTATTTACTTTAGTTAGAACACTAAAAAAAGGTATACAAAAACCCCAAAAATAGGTAGGTTGTTAGGTGCAATAGAAGAACTAAAAATAAGTTAAGCTCTTGGGTGAAATAATAAATAATAATAATAAGACTATAATAACAACTGGAAATCCATTCTTACAACAAAACATACTTCATCTTTTTTTGCTTAACAACAACCAACAACGACGACAACGACAAACACCCCTGACTACTACTTCATTGAAACCATTTTAACAGAGATACACCCTCTACTTATTGCTTATTTGTGGCACTCTCAAAGTTAAATAACCTTTTGAAATTAGACGAGGACTCATTTTCATTTTTCCTCAAATTGGTTAGAACAAACCCTTCTGCTGGTGTTTCTATTTTTACCTATTCACATTCACAGCTTCCTCAATTGACAATTGACACATTTGAACTACCCTTCCACCCCAATCTCGTACACTGAGAAACCATGTCTACAGGCTTATTCAGATCTAAACAGTTTAAACTGAAAAAAGACTTGAGACATATCGTTATCTCTGGTCCATTAAATAATACAGACTTACAACAACAACAGCAGCAACAACAGCAACGACAAATACTGGCACCGGCGGAGGACTTACGCCAACAGCAGCCACAGAAAAGTCCCCCCATAAGAAGAAGGCTAAGTGGTTTAGTTTCAACTTCATCTTCTTCTCCTACACCCTCAACAAAACACCACCCAACTTATTATTCAATTCTACATAAATCCCATCACCACAAGAATGGAAAGCACGCCGCTGACAATGTTCCTCGCAGTAATTACGATGTGTACGACCCACTTCAAATTATACTAGTTTCCAAATACGCCTTTGCTGCAGAATCACCAAGAGAACTATCAATCAAACCCAAACAATTTCTTCGTTTTCTTGAAAAATGTGGCAACGGATGGCTTAAAGTATGTGATTTGGAGAATAATCTGCAATTGGGACTAGTCCCCGCTTCATATCTAGATATTGCGATAAATGATATAACCAGACCGATTACTTTAGAATGGCTTCATGAATTTAAAACAGACACCCAGCCCAGCAGGAATAATAAAATGCAAACACCCACTGACTGTTTAATTGATGAAATCTATCAAGATACAACTACCAAAAGAATCTGGTTTTGTGTCAAGATGCAATATGACTTTGAAATTGTTTATGCCAATCGTTCATTCAAAGATTTTGTCAATCTCAACAATAGATTGTTAAATCACGGTTTGGAGTTGCCAGAGTGGACGCTGACAGAGCTGACCAAGATTAATTCTGCAGTTATTCAAGATTTGAAGCTTGTATGTGTTGGATTGAATCAATATTTACAAACCATTGTTAAACAAGCTGGAGAAGTTAAAGGAGGCTGCAAAAATACTCTACAACAACATTTGCATGCATTTATCTTTGACTTGGGCATGTACACAATTTTTGGGAAAGAACAAGATATAAATGAAGCCGTACAGCACGACTTATTTTCCCATTCTATCCTAATTGATAAGGTCACTCCAGCTGCCACACGTCATGAATTTGACCTCATTTCTAAGGCATCGCTTCCTTGGCAAAAAAGCCATCTCGAACAACAACATCAACAACCCCAAAAGTCCCAACAACCCCCCCATCGTCGTAAAAGTGAGCAGTTATTTAGCACGCCCGGTAAACCCGTGTACAACTATGAAGAGTCAGCACAATCTCACAACACAGCCAAGACAACTACTGAACCTACTTTCAGGAAATCGTTTAGACATTCAACAACTCCCACAGCTACAGCCACAGCCACAGCCACAGCTACATCGCCACAACTGCACCAACGAGCAAGACACCAAAGCAATTACACATACTCACCCTCTCAATCGCCATCGTCGGTTGCATCTATCACCTCTACGTCAAGAAGGTTAGTCAAGTCACGCACTACTAGCCGTGTGTTTAAAATTCCCGATCAACCAGAACTAGAAGCAATTACTTCTGGCAAGAGTTGTGTCGACTCGATACCACAGTCAATTAGTTCTAATACCTTGCTTAGTTATACTTCACTATTTGACCAATATGAAGGAGGCGAGGAAGATGAAGAAGAAGAGGAGGAAACAAAGGAGGCTGATAAAAATCATGGAAATGAAGCACGAGATTCATCTCTGGTGTCTGGTGGTACTCAAAAAGAGCCAAGTGAATTGGGCTTGGCTGACTTGATAATACATGAGCATAAAGTTGACACAAGCGACAATAGCAGTAGTCACATTACAGCTCATTTGCCACACCATTCTCACGACTCATCACAATCGCACTCATCATCACATAATTCAAGTTACTTCAAAATTAATAGAAGAACTGATTCCACATCGAATTCCAGTGTTGATTCGCATCGTCTTCTGGTTGACGCTAAAGAAACGTCCATGGACAATAATCACCATTCAAAACTTGCACATGTAAGTGAACACCAGCAGGATCTGGATTGTACTGGGCTGAATAAAGACAAATACAAAATTGAACCACTTGTGGTTAGACCAATTGAGTTACCACATGCTCATAGTGACGCATGTTTTATGGATCTCTGTTACAATGGACATCATTTAGAAGACACAAGAGATGCAAGTTTATTTTCAACTGCGCCAAATACTCCAATAACTCCAACTACACTTGTGGCAGAAATGTTTGCAATGCATGACCCAATGTCATTTGATAAACTCGATGAACTTGAAAAGTTTGGAAAGCCACTGGCTCATCCTCCTAATTATCAGAGAAAACTTTCCTCAGCAAATGTGACTCAACCATTACAACAGGTGTATTCTCGGGAATGGGATATGACCACCACTCCCAAAAGCAAGCCATATTCTAATGATGAGCTTGACGATGAAATCAAGCCGTTGAATGTAAAGAAGAAGGCATGGGCGAAAAAGACTGATAATTTAACTCAGTTGGAGCCAATGGAACCAGAGGCGCAATATATTACAAAAACGAGGCAGAACCATCCACATTCACAACAACAGCAGGTTCCAGAGTATATCAAATTGAAGATATTTCTTCAAAATTCCAGCAACGATGTCATTGTTCTCAGGATAAATCGAAACAAATTGACTTCAATTAACTATGTCAAACTGAAGTTAAGTAACAAGATTTATCATGATGCCAAATTGATTCATCATTATAAATTGATGCCGCTATTATTACATGGCGATGAAGAAAAGAAAACCAAATGGGGTAATGATGACGAGGTGTTGCTAAAGTATATCAAGAAGAAGGCCAAGTGTAATTTGAAGTTGGTTCGCAAGATTAGTAATACTAGAGCTCAATAAGGGTCAAACAAAGGTGTGAAACGGATTAGAAGGGTGTTATATGGTTTTCTGGAGCGCGATTAATGAGGATAGGCGTAACTTTAATTCTCGACAAGATTGTACACCGGCAGTACTTTCATTCACTCAATATATATTCACATATAAATCTAAACAATATGATGAACTTACAAGTAGAGGTTTTGGAAATTAGCTCTTGTAATCAACTACTGGTGTTTGGAAAGTGATTGGTATATTTTCTGTTGCAGCCATATTCATTTATATTGATGCCAACGACCCATCACATTGTAAAACTAAAAGGGTTGCCAATGAAACGCAAAACAAAAAAAGGTACAGTTTTGTCAAACGCGTTGAGGTTCGTGTCTTGCGTTTTTCAACTGTTGCAAAGGAACGACGTGAAAGGGAAAAAAGGGGGAAAGAGAACTGTGAGATAAAGTAAGTAGATGCATATTTTCTTGAAACGTTGAACAAAAATAACAGTGTTTATGCAGTTTCATGTGAGACGTTCGTCTACCCGTTGAGAAACGTTAGCGGCGGTTAAACATAAGGTTGTTTGTGTTGTATACGTGGATAGTTTCTGGTTTGAGATAATAACCTTCCAGGTATTTAACTCAAAGTCACCGCCATACATCATGAAAAAGTGGTTCGAGACTTGCTGGTAGAGTGAGAGACCAAAAAAGAAATAAATCTTTTTTTATTGTTCTTGCATTTTGTGTTTTTTCTCTCTCACGAATAATTTCTTTTTTATGCAATCAAATTTTCTGCCCACCTGTCAATGTATAAAGAACCCATACCAATTTTTTTTAAGCCAAATTACATTTTAAAACATTTTCAACTATTTGATAGATTTAGAAGCTATAGAGTTGTCATGTTCTCCTTAAATCCTACTTTCTAGAGATACTGAAATCCCCCCCACACACACACACACACACATGTATACCATCTCAGCAACGATGTTTATCAGTTATGCATAAATGGCATGACATTGGTGTTTTCGTATTGTCCATCGAAAGAAAGAAAGAAAGATCTTCAAAGAGTCAAAAAACCGAAATAAATAAATGGACAATAGGTTGGTTATAAAGAAGTTAAGTTTTGTGTAATTTTAGGCTTTGTTAAAAATAAAAAAGTTTTTAAAACAAAAGCCACTACTCGCCTTTCGCCTCTAGAACCACCACCACCAATTAGCAGCGAATATTAACGTTTTGTTAATACACGTTTCCAAATGAAGCATATCCCTTTCCGGAAGTATCTTTATTCTGGCACCATTTTAATGGACTATTTTTATAAGAAAAGGCAGCCAGAGACGCGTATACTTCAAAAGGTTTTTTGTACGATACGTGTGCATATAGAATACCTGGGGTTGATTATTATTGCATATGCAGGTGGCTTCCTTGACGAAATACACACACATGATACTCCCATTTAATGCAGACAGTCTTTTCACATGTATACAAAAGAAAAATGTGCTTGTGAAGGTCGACTATCATCACAAGTAAATCCACAACAGTAGTGAGTACAATACAAATCTTGTTTTCTGTTAGCTTTTCTTGACAAGAGTATAAACACAGTTCCACAAACTATTCATGCGGGTTATGGTTTACGGGTTAAGCAGTTTTGGAAAGCTTTCCTACAATGGAAATGAAGTTAAAAGGTGAAACTTTAATATGTGTTTATTTTTGTTTTTCTTGCAATTCATCATTTTTCTTTAATTATTTTATCTTTTCATCTTTTCTTTTTTTTCTTTTTCTTCTTCTTTTTCTATTGTGTTTCATTTTATTTTTGATTTTTATATATTAAAAAGGTATTTAACTTCACAACGGGGTGAAAGTCTGTGAACTCAGCTTCATCACGAAATCCTATACATTCCTTTACACATATATTCACTAGCTTTTTTCTTCTTGATTTGACCAATTCATTCCTTAAGTTCCTAACACTCAGCCAATCAACTCCAACTTTTATGTCTTTACAGTTTATCAAACCCAAACCAGTGAGTCTACATTCATCTCCATCTCGCCCTACGAGTTTATATGTAACACCACCCCTTGAATTGCCTGATGACGAATGCAATGACGACCACAAGTTGGAGCAACAGCTGAATAGTACCTTGACACCGCTTAGTTCCCTCAAGTCAAACACTACCTTCAAACCAGACCACCATCAACAAATACAGGAACAGCATGTCACACCCGCGATTCCATCATTGACGATATCGACGCCTCCAATTACTCCAAAAGAAGATGACTTATCCTTTTTCAAACCGCCCCCCAAAATGGCTTCATCAGGGAACAATTTACAACCGGACAATGGCAGCAGCGGCAGCAGCAAAGCTACATCAGAACCGAACTCGCCATCATCAAGCACATCAAAGAAAATTTTATCTTCACCTGCTCGATTTGTCAAGCGTCTTTCCATGAGGTTAAGAAGCAACTCAGAAGTGGATCTAAAGAGTGCCACTAAACCCTCAACTAAAACTACAGACACCAACAGTGTTGCTCCACCATCACCAGACTCTAGCAAGTTTAATCTATCATCATCTTGTCTCGATACAGGTTCAACAACACCAGAGGAAGCGAGAAGTCTATATAGTGGTAAATCAATAAGGGTTAAAGTGCCACGACGTCCGACAAAGAGGTCGCCGATGTCATCATTAAAAAATGAAACGAAATCTTATACTGTGAGTGAGCTGGGATCACCACGCAAAAAGGATTCTTTGGACAGGACCCCGGTGGATTCGCCCATTTTGCAATTATCACACTCATCACCTGCTTCACCAAAGAGTGGAAGTGATGTAAACCATAATGCTCCTTATAAACCCCCATCAGCCCATTTCAGTGAACAAATAGACTTTGCTGACTTTGAAGATGAAACTTTTAGGTTTTACGATTCGTCTAGGGATTCAATGATATCTCTTGGACCAAAGTTGGATGTACACAATGGGGTTGCTACCAAGCACCTGAGTATAGGAGGAGAGTCCGATATTTTCCGCACACCACCGCCATACCGAGAACCAGTGAGTTCAGGAGCAAACCCACTTGATGATATATTGGCAACCGATAAGACACAGCTGAAACAAGGCCAGCCACTTCCAACTCGTCACAACATTTCCTTAATCCAGTCACGAAAATCACAAGCTAGCTATTCACCAGTTGAATCTAACCCATTTCTCAGACTCAATATTTTTCTTGAAGATTCTCAATCAACACCACCACCTCCTGCTACATCAACATCAGATCATCCCGATTTCATCGCCATCAAACTTCGTAAAGACAAGTTGCAGAATATAAATGAACTAATCAATGTGATTATTTTCAAAATTATGAACAAGAAACCAAACATCAAGGTCAATGACATAAATTTGAGTATATTCTTCAAAGACCTGCAGTTGAAACCAATATCATTGAGAGAGCCAGTAAAAAAGAGTAGCCACACAGAACACAAGAAGGAGGTGGTGCTGTTGGATAATGGTGGGTTGTTGTTGGATTACGTCCAAATGAAGCGGAAATTGTACATTAGAGCACAATTTTGAAAAAAAGAGAGGAAAAAGATCGCAGTCTCTAACCCATATGTAAGTTATGATCAATTAAATTAACGTCTAATGAATTTATATCTATGTGTAGATTCATATTCTCTGGAATGGTGGCTGTGAATAAAGGCATTTCTTAACTAGGCACAAAATTGATTAGTACGCGGATCGACTTTCAGATCAATAACGCGTCAAAAATTTTCTTTCCTTTCGTTTGTTTTTTATTTTTTCACCAACTTATGAACAACCTGTCTCTCGTATATTCTCAACCAAAAAGTCTGGACAACACGGAAAAATTTTTAGAAAAAAAGGTGGAAAAAAAAAAAGACACCCTGTTGAGATCCGTTTTTCTTTGAACTTTATTACATCTGAAGAGGTATAGTAACTAATTGAGTCTTTCTTCAATTGATACAATATAGATTTTGACCAAAGATGATCGACGGTGTGACTTTTATAAAGACACCTGCTGCAAAACCACAACCACCAGCATCAGATGAATGTGGAGTATGGACCACTGATTCACCAACCATTCATAATGCTCCTTTGCCTGCTGATGGACCAGGCTCAACTTCATTTTCGAACTGGACTTTGTTGAGTATCATGAGTTTAGTGCCAGGTTTCATTACTTATAAACTTGGGTTGGGATTCAAGACTTGGGTCTTCTTTTTCATTTTATTTGCCCTTCCTATTTTGATGGCTTTTTGGACTGTTATGTCTACAATCTCACCAAGAATCAATGACAAAGTCAAGTACCCAAATAGACCAATTTCTTACTACTTGGAATACCACACTCCTGAATTGAAAGCTAAGTATCAAAGCTCAAACAATGGCCAAGGTACCAAGATTCCTATTGAAACATTTCAAGAATTGTTTTTCGATGGCAAGGTTTCATTCAAGGGTGATGCTTTAGATGTTATGGAATATAAACACGAATGGGCCAATTTCAGGTTCACTTGGGGATTGTTCAAGTTTTTCTTATTTGGTATGATTCCAGAGGTGATTTTCCATTCCCAATCACAGGATGAAGAGCAAGTTGGAGAAAACTATGACCGTGGAAATGATTTCTATTCGTGGTTTTTGGGTCCAAGAATGGTTTATACTTCTGGTGTGATTAGTGACATCACCAGAGAGGAAACATTGGAGGAATTGCAAGATAACAAATTGAAGATCATGGCCGAAAAGATTGATTTGCGTAAAGGCGATTACGTCTTGGATATTGGATGTGGTTGGGGAGCATGGGCCAACTATGCTTCGACTCAATACGATGCTAAAGTTACTGGTATCACCTTGGCCAAGAATCAGGTTGAATGGGGTAACCAATGGTTGAAGGATAATGGCGTACCAAGAGAGCAATCGGAAATTATCTGTTGTGACTACCGTGATGCACCAAAATCAGGCAAGCCAAATGGTAAATGGGACAAGATCACTTCAGTGGAAATGGCTGAGCACGTTGGTATTAGAAGATTGACTGCTTACTTAGAACAATGTAGAGATGCCTTGGAAGATGACGGATTGTTCTTTTTGCAATACTCTGGATTGAGAAAGAATTGGCAATACGAAGATTTGGAATGGGGATTGTTTATGAATAAATATATCTTCCCCGGTGCTGATGCTTCTACACCTTTAAGTTTTGTTGCTAGTTGTTTTGAATCGGTTGGATTTGAGATTGTTAGCGTTGACAACATTGGTGTTCATTACTCAGCTACTATTTGGAGATGGTACAGAAACTGGATTGGAAACAAGGACAAGGTTGTCAACAAGTACGGTATCAAATGGTACAGAATCTGGGAGTTTTTCTTGTCGAGTTCTGTTGTTGCTAGTAGAAACGGTACTGCAACTTGTTATCAATTTGTCTTGAGAAAGAACATCAACTCTTATAGAAGAATTGAGTATGTGCCAAAACAACAAGGTCTTCAAGGTGCTATCAATGGCAGCAGCAAGTGGACTAAAGAGTTTACCAATTGGCATTAAGAATCAATAGGCTGTGCTTGATTGCCGTGTCACCACTTTTGTTTATAGATATATTGTGAGGTCAAATAGAAAAACGCAGTCATCGGAGTCACTCCTGTGTTGGAAAAGCTAGCAACTTTCTTCTTACTTTATGAATCTCCTTATTGCCTATAAAACAGGTGACGTATCTCTCAATCGTCCAATTAGACATTAAACAGTCTCTGAGTTCCATATTATTTCTTGGAAAAGCGATTGAACACCCCCTATAATATTCCGAAGCATGCGACTTTTGCGTTTGAGAAGAGTTCCGAATTAGGAAATATTGAGCGGGTCTATTTGTCGGAATAAGAATATTTTGTGGGCGCGGTGATGACTACGGAGTCAAACTTTAGAAAGTCACTTCGAATAGGGTAAATGGATAGACGTTGAGTTTGTTACAGACAAGGTTTTTTTTGAATCATTTGAGTCATGATGGTGGTGATGATAATGGTGGCTGTAATGGTAGTGGCTCTGATCACTAGGGTAGAGACTGTGTGTAAAGAATGCGGAATTTGTTTGAGTTGTTATTGTGTGCCTGAATGCTATAGTGGTTCTCAGAAGAAAAGTCGTCCATTCATTCACAATTGTAGAACAGCATTAGTATATATCTTAGTTGGAAACAGTCGGGTGAACGATACCATTGACAGTTTCGGCCTGTAATCAGATGATGGCCGAGAGACAGCCGGTCGTTACTCTTTAATAAAAAAGACAGAAAACCAGCCTATAGATTGTCTTCATTCGTTATCAAAATTCAGGAGTGTCATTTTTGACTCGGGTGTAAGCCTGTGCTTTTTTTTCTTCTCTTTGTTTGTTTTCATTTTTCTGGTGATTTTCCTCGGTTAACACGAAAAACTGCTGGCTAAGTAAAACCCAGTTGCAATCATGTGAGAGAGAATCCCGTCGACAATCAAAGAAATAGACCAAAACAGCTGCTCAATTCTTTCACCCATTCATGGCAATCCCATCTAGGATCACTTCTCTAACCTTTTTTAAAATTGCCAATTACACCTTTACATATTTCTTTAGGCTTTCTTTTAGTCGTTTCCGAATGCCGGCTAAGCTAATCTGACACCAATCAGAGTCAAACAATGCATGAGTGCGACTATTTCGGGAAATTCCATCCAACCGAGGTGATTATAACTTTGTATGCAGTGATTCAAGTAATGCGACATTTCACTTTATCAGTAAATAAAAAAAAATAAAGCAACTGAAGGTTATTACATCAGAGTTTGCGACTTTTTGGTAGTTGTGTTTTTAATAAATAAATCTGGGGTAGAGAGACTAGGAGACATTTTTTATTGTTTTTCATTAAAGAAATGTCCGTTGCATTATATTTCCCTTTCACCATTTTTCTCTGTTTTAACTTTTTCGACATCCTTTCCCTTTGCCCCAGATTTAATTAATATATAAGTACAATTGCTTTCCCAGTTGTATATTTTTTTGATCTATACTTCTTTATTTCTTTTCCCTTTTGAATTAAGATTAACAGAATATATATATATATATAATCTATATCATAAAAAACGAATATGTCAGGCCCATTTCCAACTGTTGCAGAAAAAGTCAAGGGTGTTCAAGTCCTTGGCCCAATTCCAGACAATGCTAAGCACATCTTTTCACAAGAAGCTTTAGCTTTCGTTGCTACTTTACACCGTGGTTTTGAAAAAACCAGACAACAATTGTTGAACAACAGAAAAGAAGAACAAAAGAGAAGAGACCAAGGTTATTTGCCAAACTTTTTACCAGAAACTGAAGAAATCAGAAATGACCCCACTTGGACTGGTCCACCATTGGCCCCAGGTTTAATTGACAGAAGATGTGAAATTACCGGTCCAACTGATAGAAAGATGGTTATCAATGCTTTGAACTCTAATGTTGCCACTTATATGGCTGATTTTGAAGATTCATTGACTCCAGCATGGAGAAACTTGGTTGATGGTCAAGTCAACTTGTACGACGGTGTTAGAAGAAACTTGACCTTTGAATCAAACGGTAAAAAGTATGCTTTGAACTTGAAAGAAGGTAGACACATTCCAACTTTGATTGTCAGACCAAGAGGATGGCACTTGACTGAAAAACACGTTTTGGTTGATGGCCAACCAGTTTCTGGTGGTATTTTTGATTTCGCCATCTACTTCTTCAACAACGCCAAGGAAACTTTGGCTAGAGGTTTTGGTCCATACTTTTACTTGCCAAAGATGGAACACCACTTGGAAGCTAAATTGTGGAATGACATTTTCAACTACTCCCAAGATTACATTGGAATCCCAAGAGGTACCATCAGAGGTTCAGTTTTGATTGAAACCATCCCAGCTGTATTCCAAATGGATGAAATCATCTATCAATTGAGAGAACACTCTGCTGGTTTGAACTGTGGTAGATGGGATTACATTTTCTCCTACATCAAGTGTTTGAGAAACTTCCCCGAGTTTATCTTGCCCGATAGATCACAAGTCACAATGGCTGCCCCATTCATGTCGTCCTATGTCAAGTTGTTGGTGCACACCACACACAAGAGAAAGGTCCATGCTTTAGGTGGTATGGCTGCTCAAATCCCAATCAAGGATGATGAGGAAAGAAACAGAAAGGCCTTGGAAAATGTTACCAAGGATAAGTTGAGAGAAGTCTCATTGGGATGTGACTCTTGTTGGGTTGCTCACCCAGCTTTGGTTCCTGTTGTTTTGAAGGTTTTCAATGAACACATGAAGGGACCAAACCAAATTGACTTACCACCAAAGGAGCCATTCAAGCCAGTTACTCAAAGAGATTTGTTGAGTCCATTTGTTCCAGGCGGTGTCATTACCGAGGGTGGTATCAGAGCAAACATCATCATTGGTATCTCGTACATTGAAGCTTGGTTGAGAAATGTTGGTTGTGTTCCAATCAACTACTTGATGGAAGATGCTGCCACTGCTGAAGTTTCAAGAACTCAAATCTGGCAATGGGTTACTCATGGTGCCAAGACTAACACCGGTAAGGTCATCACCAAGGACTATGTTAAGCAATTGTTGGATGAGGAATACGCTAAATTGACAAAGAGTGCTAAGCCAGGTAACAAGTTTAAGCAAGCCTTTGCTTACTTCGCTCCAGAAGCTCTTGGTGAAAGGTACTCCGATTTCGTTACAACTTTGATCTACGATGATGTCACTACTGTTGGTAGAGCTATTCCAGGTGAGAAATTATAAGCTGAATGGAAAGTTACAGGTAACTTTTAACTTTTGTATTTATTGTATAGTTTAAAGTTGAAATTTCACGATTAAATGATAAGATTGTGTTGTAGACGATGAAGAATGACTATTTCGAAAGAGCTTCTTTTCCTGAGAATTTAAGAGTATAAAGTAGAATTTCTTCATGTAGTATGTTGTTTATATTCGACGTCTTTACTAACCTTGAAATACCCCCTTGCCATCCCATGAAAAGCTTAATTGGAGACATTAATCCTTGATAAAAAACCATTATGGTAGCACTCGGCAAGCATTTTGAGTTTGTGCACCAAAAATTCACACAATTTGAATGTTTTGATTACGCTTTCAACTGCAACACGAGCACAATATCGCTAAAATAAACATTTGAGTCTAAAAAATAAAATACCCCGGTTATATATATATATATATATGACTTTGGCAAAATGAATGAAATGATCATAATCGACTCCGACTCGGACAGCGGCGCACCACCGCCTAAAAAATTCAAAGCCGTTCCTGTAACTAGTACGGCGCCCAAGACAAAACCTTTTGAAGGTGTATCCTCGTCTTCGTCTTTATCATCATCGACAGATGCATCACCATCACCATCACCATCACCATCGATTGTGAGGTCAGGTCTGGAGGAGGGTTACAAGGACAACAAAGAGGCATTGCCCAAAATGTCCCAACAAATGAGATACCCAAGAAATGGACACGAAGCAAATCAAGATGACAACCCTAGCTCGTCGTCAAACAACGTCAGTGAGAGTGACTCTGATGAAGAAGAATCCGAGGTTGATGAAAATAGCTCTCAGGTATCCAACGATTCGGAAATTTTTTTTAGGCCAGTCCCACCAAAGGAGATTGAAGAAACAAGGCGATATTTGAAAACCAAAGGGAGATTGCAGTTTCTTCAAAAGTATCTACCAACTTCAGCCTCGGGTCAGGATATAATCAAGATAGTGTTGAAGCTAGGGTTCATACCGAAAAATATCACGTACGAAAGTATAGATTTACTGGAAAGTGTACAAATTCTTAATCGTGCAATGGAAAAGGTGCGCTCCAAGAGAGATAGATTAGATGATGTGTCCACGTACCAAGATGCCATAGATCTTATACGCGAGAGTAAAAGAATAATAGTTATCACTGGTGCCGGAATCTCAACGAGTCTAGGCATCCCTGATTTTCGTTCTTCAAAGGGCTTCTATTCCATGGTTAAACATTTGGGTCTAAGTGATCCCCAGGAAGTTTTTGATTTGGATATTTTCATGACTGACCCGACATTATTTTACTCAATAGCCCATATGATTTTGCCTCCGGGCCACACTTTTAGTCCATTGCATTCATTCATACAGGTGCTTCAATCGAAAAACAAACTACTTCGCAATTACACCCAAAACATTGACAACATTGAAAGCTATGCAGGTATACGGCCCGAAAACTTGATCCAATGCCATGGCTCATTCGCGGGAGCCACTTGTGTCACTTGTGGGATCAATATACCCGGTGAGGAGATTTTCCCCGATATTCGAAAGCAAGAATTGCCTCGATGCAAAAATTGCGAGCAACAACGCAAGAGGCTACTTAAGAGAGATGAAGATTGTTACATCTCTGAGAGCTATGGTGTCTACAAACCTGATATTACATTTTTTGGCGAGGCATTACCACGCAGATTTCATGACAACATAGGGGAAGATATTTCCAATTGTGACTTGTTAATTAGCATTGGTACTTCATTAAAGGTGGCGCCAGTTGCCGATATAGTAGATAAGGTGCCGCACTATGTGCCGCAAATTTTGATTAATAAAGATCCGATAGGCCATTGCAACTTCGACGTGAGTTTATTGGGTTATTGCGATGAAGTTATCAGCTTCATAGCCAATCAATTGGGGGAAGATTGGAAGCTACCTCATAAAGATTATGATAATATACGGGGTAGGAATGGGGGAAATTTGGAAATAGAATTGATCGACGCCAACTTACGAGAGTATAAAGTGACTTCCAAGGCCAGTAAGGAAGGAGCTGCTCATGAAGTACTGGTTAAGGAGAATGTACACAGGACAAATGCTGTCAAATTACAACAAAGTGAATTAAATAGCACAAATACAGAGGGACGTCAATCGATGCATTCGATTGCCAATACGTTACCAGATGGCGGCGATTTGGTTGACGAGGGTATGAAAGTAGGAGCTGTACACTGGAAAGACTCTTTACTATACGTTGGTAGTAGTACTAACGGATCGAGTCAACCACAGCATAATAATACAGATTCACATGGTGGAGAACACGATGGTGAAATCCTCCAAGGTGAAGAATGAGTAGAGGGGCATAGTATGTCCCTTGCTGAGATAAGCTCGAACAGTGACGATTAGGTAGAGTCTAGGGAAGAGTTTCCCCGGTGATAATATCCTATAGCCAAATAGTTCGCTTGTGCTTAAGCTCGCCTCGCAACTGTATCATTAATGGTTATCTATTTGAAACGTTGTTAGTTACACATATTGGCTTGGAATTGATTTTTAAGCTAGACTAATTAGAATCATTTATAGAGATACAATATTGTAATATTGATGAATCTGTTGTATTTTTTGTGCTCATTGTCGCGAGTAAATCATCTCAAGGGACTTTTTTTTCTTTTTTCAAATCAAATACCCATCTTTCAGCGTACGAGGAATGAGACTACCGTCAAGACGACTATTTTGTTCAGAGTGCTTCAAATTATACAGACCTCGTGCATCTTTCCATTCTCAGAAGAGACTACAACATTCTGGCAACAATTTTGAGTTCAGGCTTCCAGAAATAGGTGAGCTCGATGAGGTGGAACAACAAAAGACTGAAGACAAAGATGATGTTTTAAACATTGAGCTTATGTCCAAGACCAGTGAAAAAGACATATCAGTCAATCTTTCAAAGGATGCAAATGATTTCTTTGCTCCTCAACCGAAAGATGGATTTACTGCCAATGCCAGCAGCACCTACCATTCGAATCTTAGTTCCAGTTCAGAAACATCCGAGAGGAGTGGAGTTCTACAGCTGATGACACAAGAGGATCTATTTACAACGAGTAATAAAATTGACTTTCAAAAGTTGAGCCAATTCATAAAAGAAGCATATGAAAAGAGACCTACGGAAAAGGAGTTGACAAGGAGAGAAGAGTCAGTTAATATCGATGCTATACTTTCAAGCTACAAGCGTGAACTGGGTGGGAGTTTTCTTAAAGAAGCAGCACCTAGCTTTCAAAGCAGAATCACCATACAGTCCTTAGACTTAGATCTTCGTGAAATGCTATACCAAAAATGCGAGGCAGCTTTAATACAGACTCTAACTATCATTGACAGCTTGCAATCCTCTGCTGAAGTTTATCGATTCTATAATGAGGTCTTGCTAAGTGTTGTTGATCAATTAAAAAACGCAAAGAAGGACCGGTCTTTGAACGATCGGTTTTACTTGAGGAATGTGTTTCTTGAAAGTAACAGGCATGAATGGACCGAGCTTCATAACAATGTAGTAGAGAGGATACGAGAAACTACGGCAGCAGATGCAGCCAATTTCGAATTCAACATTATAACTTTGCCGATCATAACTAACCATGTATTCAAAAAGCTTGGCTATCAATTGTTCAATGGTGACTTGATGTTTACATTGTTCAACAAACTAAAGGAAAATGTGCACTTGTATACGTTATGTTGTAACCAGAAAACATATAATGAAATTTTAAGAGCAATTTGGGTGTACAATGGGAACATTGACTTGTTTGAATTCGAAAAGGTGTACACCGAAATGAAGTTTTTAGGCTACAGTGGTGATTTTGTCACCTACAATATCCTCAAGATGGTAATTGACGAGTATAATGCAATGCTGAATGGTAATTCATTCTTCAACAAATATGGATCGAAAGTGTTGACAAGAGATGACAATGCAAGAATTGCTTTTCTCACCAAGGAATTTTATAAACTACAATCCAACCTCAGCAATCAAATGACGAAACCAGATGAAGACGACCTAGTAGGAGACTTTCAAAGTTTAAGATAGGAAAATTTGTATATAGAGAAAGGGTCAATTGTATCACGTGCGCATGTCTTGGATAATGCCTCCATTTTGTGCTGATATGCACGACTATGCGTAAACTCTGTGTCTATTAATAAAAATACAACAAAAATAAAAATTATAATAACGTTTTTAAAAACGGAGTACTTATCTCTCCCTTTTGACGATAGCACATTATTTTGATCATTGCAGAATGTCCCAATTCGACGCTTATCTTGAAAGCTACTCCAATGATCAATTCAAGGAGGGCTCTTCGCGCCATGGTGGTCAACACCAGAACTCAATCCCGGAAATTAAACGAGAAAATTTTGACGACTTTTTGAGCGGCTCGGCTGACATAAAGCGACAATTATCGCAATCATTTAGTGGCAGTGGTGCTGGTGGTACTGGTGGTGGTAGTGGCAACATTGGTTCTGGTGGAATAACCGGCTCAGGTAATAATGCAGTGCACCATGGTGGTATCAGCAAACCTCATTCTAGGCGTAATTCGGCATACATAAGATCTCAAGAAGGAAGTGATGCTGAAGATAACAATGATAATGACGATGAAGAAAACCAAGGAAATGAAAGGAAAAGAAGAGACAATATCAACGATAAAATCCAAGAATTGTTGACTTTAATCCCAAGCGAGTTTTTTGAGATTAAAGACGAACCCAAAGTGAAAACAGAAAGCAGCCCTTCAGAGAGATCTCCCAACGAAGATGACGTGAATAACACCGTAAGTAAGACAGGAACAAAGGATGGCAAGCCGAACAAAGGTCAGATTTTGACCAAGGCTGTTGAATACCTCCAATCTTTGCAGAACTTGATTGACGAAAATAATAGGAAAGAAGTAGAATTGATTATGAAGTTGGAGACGCTCAAGTTGAAACAAAAGAATCACGGTATTGTTAATGATAGTGTGCCCATAAGGATAGGATACACGAGTGCTGAGCGAGCATTGGGTGAAATTGGTGTGGGTCCGTGTTCTGAAGACTACTTTAAGAACATTTTAGTGAAAAGCGCAAACGCAAGCAAGTCATCAAGGAAGAATTACAATGGCTAGCTTGATCGAAATAGACTGTTTCTTTTTCATTAGGCAATATGGCTTTGCGAAATGATGCGCTAAATGACCAATGTTGTATCTATTGTATCAAAGATGCTTATAAACACTATGTATCCAGTTTCACCCTGCCGAGCCTCTCCGAGGCATCAGCGTTATCTTTCAACATGTATGCGGGCAGGTACTTATTGTCGCTTTCGGAAATCAATAATTCTGGGTTTGGAACTGTTGTATTCACACCACCCAAGCTTGTATACCCTTCATCATACAAGGTACAGTAGCTGACGTCACTGCCGACCAAGAAGTCCCAGATTTCCACGTACTTCCAATCTAGTATGGGGTGAATCCTCAAGAATCTGGGCCAGTTACTATCGGTGTATTGTTCTTCTTGGAGCTGGGCACCGTATGGATCAGTATGCCTAATTCCCACTATAACTGATTTGATGTTTGTATTCACCTCGTTTAAGTAGTGTTCAAATCCACATTTCATTGAGTCTATAATAAATATCGGGTTCAAGTGATAATACTGTGTAGACTGATTTATAAACTCCGTCAACTGGGGGAAGGGGGTCTCCGCATTGACGTAAACGGAGTCAAGCTTGTAATCATGAGGTGTTATTCCACTGGAGTAGAAATTTTCACCTCGGTTTGCCTCGTGGGTCCCGAGAAACTTTTTGTAAATGGATGCCAAAAGCAAGATCAACATAACCAAGCAGTCCTTTCCTCCATTGTACGATATTGCTATCTCCTTTAACCTAATTTTCGTTTAGTATCAATACTGCAATGTTACCCTAATTCATCTAAAATACATACCCGTGAAGATCTATAGATTTCTCTAACTTGTCCATACTTGATTTAATCTTGTCCTTCACAGCTTGCCTAAGAGAAGGATCAAATTCATATTTCTTGTGCCTTAGTGGTACTAACCCGTTGGGTAAGGAATCATTCAAAAAATTCTGAATAAGGTGGTAGCACTCTTCACACCTCTCAAAGAATCCTATCTGTTGTTTTGTTAGCTCTTGTGTGGTCATTGATGTAGATATATACTTTGGTAAATGAAATGGAAAAATGGATCTCTCGTTAAATGGAGAAATAATTTTTTTAGATTTAAATATCCGACAGACAATACAAATTACAAAATAACAGACAATAGGATGAATACTTTTTTTTTTCTTGTTTTCCTTTTTAATTTATTTCCCCAAACAATTTCGAATCGGAAAAGACTTTTTATGACAAAGTAAACTGTGAGTGACACAATTAGGTTGTATATAAAAACAAATTTAGCTATTTGCATCAAGACTTGTACATTAGTTGTAAGAAAAACTCCTTTGTATCGTTATCCCAAAACCACCAGTACGTGTCTGACATTTTATCTTCTTCTTGAGGTTTATCAATTTCATTTTTATTGGGTATTATTATTGCAATGTTATCATAAGGTTCTGCCGAAAGTACAAGATATTGTACATCGCTGGGCTCTAAATCATCTTCAGCATCCTCAGCATCCTCATCATCCCCGTCTTGATTTTGATTTTGAACAAACTTCATACTCGCGTTTTGGTTCTTTGAGGTTAACTCAAAGTAGGACATCAATCTAAAGAATGGCTCGTCGACTGATATATTTGGATACTTGACTGTGATCAATATACCAAGTTGGAGCGTCTTGGGGTCTCTTACTTTGACAACTTTGTACTCGGGTTTCCCTATCTTCTTCCAATGTCTCTTTTCCACATTACTTATGCTTACTTGATCTTGGACTCTCTGTTGGTACTCCTGTTGCTGACGCAGCTTCTCATCTAGTATTCGCCTCCGCTCTAAATTCAAATGGTGCTTTCTCCCACCCAAGTGTGATATATAAGATGATTCATTATTGTGGGTTGTCAAACACAACTTGCATTCCAATATACCAAGGTGATTTCGAAAAACATATGGATCGTTATCAATATCAAGAATATGAGTAGCTAAAAGCTCCTGTACTCGCTTCTTGCTGTGAACATTCTGGTCTTCAGCACTTGCTATACCACCTGCTCCTTTCTTGGAATTAACCCTGTTTGAATAATCCATGATTGGTGATGATGTTGCTGATTATTGGACAAGATGACGGGACAAAACGCGATGATGACTACAATAATTTGCGACTTTGAAGGCGTATGAAATGCGACATTGGTACCCAAAACACGTCGAAATTGTTTTTCTTTTTTTTCTTTTATCCTTTTTTTACTCTTTTTGGATCCAAAGCTTCTTCCAGTTCGACAATTGGGTACACTTTGAGAAAAAGAGTTATACCCATAAACCAAATAGCATCGAGCGATCTCCAAAATAAATACTCCCATAAAAAAAAAGATCAGCTTGTTTGCAGTATGGACTCTCCCGCAAATATTGGTGATAGTACGACATTATCTATTCAGCAAAAATTATCCAACACACATATTGATGGAGTCATTGATACACTGATCAATTCAGCAGTCTACTCTGGAATTAAAGTTATACAGTTGCTGATAAAAGTGAGCGAGGAGGCTAATCAAATCCCCGAGAAGAGTAAAGATGAAATAATTGTTCTCAGGAGAGTGCAGGATTCATTCATTAATATAAGTCAACTACTCGATATATTGATCAGGCTCAACATTTTGACACAAACGCAAGTGAAAAACTACTTGAACAATGAAGTTTTATCCAACTTGGAGTACTTTGGCAACCCGGCTTCTAAGGACAATTTGCAAGTTTTAAACTATGCCAATCATGAAAACAAGTTTCTTCGTGGAATCTGGGTTCCTTATGACAAAGGAGTCAAAATTGCTTTAAAATTTGATGTCTATGACATGACCAAGGCATTATTTCTTGTTGATGTTCACGATTTTGAAACGCTTCCCAAGTACAAGAAAAGGGCGTTGGAAGGGGAAGAAACGTCAAACGACGTGGAGCAGGGATCTCCTTTCAAAAAACAAAAGACTGAAGTCGAGCCTAATAAAAATAAAGACTTGGTTCAATCAAATGAAACCGAATTTAATCCAAATTATCCTTACACGCTTCCACTGGTTACATTAGAGGATAATAAGATAGATCTCGCAAACGACATCAAGAGGGTTCTAGGAGAAGTTTTTAAGAAAGACGACCAGCTAGATAGTGGAACTGCTACCGAAGATGTTGGCAAAGAATTTGAATCGATTTTCAAGTCTTACCCAAAGGAGGACATAAAAGATATACCACTAGATCAGAAGGGACAAACTGCTTTGCATTTTGCGGCGACATTGGCTTCGTCGAATCTCATTGCATGCTTTATTGAATTGGACATCAACTCGCCGATGAGAGGTAATATGGATGGGGAGTCTCCGTTAATTGCCTGTATCCAGGTAACCAATGCTATGGAGAAAGGAAACTTTAAGGAAATATTGACACAATGGTTGCACCCAGACATATGGCTAATAGATAAAAAAAACCAAACTGTTTTACACCACCTCGTGCTCCAATCAAGAAAGAATGAGAGCTACAAATTTTATACGAGAAAAATATTGGAGTATGTTTTACTAAACGGCGACAAGAAGCTCCTAGAATTTAAAAAGAAAGTTTTGAACGCGCAAGACATCAACGGTAACACGGTGCTACATCTTGCTATTGAAAAAGAGAATCGCTGGTTTATTAAAATATTAGCGGACTTGGGTGCTGACACCACCATCGTGAACAAACTTGGAATCAAGTGTCAAGATTTTGAAATATTGAATGACTTGTCTGATGTTGACGTTGGCGACCACATTTTTGATTTGATCAAAACTAGTCATGATTTTCTTAAGGAACGTGTGAATGCAATTGGGGTGGAGCACATTCAGGACGTTGAAGAGGTTAAAGAAAAGCCTCCCGTCGATTCTGAGTCGACACCAGCCAGTCTGTCAAATGTTTCTGACAAGATATTTCAAAGTATTCATCAATTATTAGGAGATACCAGTCTTGAATACACCAAAATTTTGAACTCCAAACGGGACCAGATTAAAGCTTTGGACCAGGCGTTGCACGATGCCACAATTGTTACTGCCAATAACCGATTCCAAACAAAGAAATTGACCGAAAATTTAGAAAGACTAGACACTTTTAAATTACAAGCGGCAAATGTGGCAGACAAACTAGTTTTATCTCAACAAGAAGTAGTAGCCAAAGATGAAGTCAAGTTTGACGAAAACCAGCACTACGATGCCGACGAGCCATTCCTTATCCAGCCAATGTATGACAGATTGGCAAATAATGAGTCCATTGCTGATCTCAAGGATGATGCAAATGTCCTCAGGCAGCTACCTCCAACCAAGATACTCCAAGCAAGACTAAATGCCTATAGGGAGATAAACTCGAAGCTAGAAGATGAACTAAAGAGTTTGGTTGATTACAGCGAATTGACGTCAAAGTTCAAAAATGTTGTAAGTATATGTACAAACGTGGGCATTGATGATGTCGACGAGCTCTTGGACGGCTTGTTAGAAGCTGTTGAGAGCTAGCAATTGGGTGCATAGTTCATCTACGTTAATTTAAATTTCGATTCCAAACAAGTGCTACGAAAATCTATACTAGACCCAGATACCCCGCCAATGCGCTTTTGATCAGTGGATCAATTTCGGCCAACTTTTTAAAATCATCCAACGTAATCACATCAGTGTCCTTATTCTTTCCCAATAATGTAAACCATTTCTCTGCTCTTAACTCCGGCGTCAGTTCATCAGGAGGCAATGCAGCCATTGGGCCTATCATTTTGTACGTCGCACTTATAACCGGTAGTATGTCATTGTATGTGAGTCTTCCTGTTCTATTGTAATTGTAAAAATCAAATGCCCATGCAATCTTCTGGTCACTATTCCCACGACTAGTTATGCTAAATGCCAAGATGAATTCTTTGAAATCGATGAAATTGGAATTATCCTGATCAAATTGACGAAATAGGTAATGACAGTACTCTTTGGGGTCGCCAAAGGGGAAAAATTGTTGATAGATTTTGGCGAAATCCACTTCCGTCAATTGTCCGCTCGGACAGTCTCTTAAAAAGCCCTTGTACCACTGTTGGAGTTCGCGTTTATCAAAATAAGTATTGTCTTGAAGCTTTCTGATATCATCCTTTGATAGTTTTGATACTGATTTACCCATAGTGAAAAACAAATATAAAAAGACGTTTGTCTCCTCTGTGTAAGGGGTTGAAATGCGTATGAGAAGTGTATATCACAAGCCGTTCCAGATCAACTGCTATTTTAAGGAAGCTAAATCAAATATAAGATATAGCCTTTACTTTGTAATGGCTCTTGACGTTTGATGTTTTTGACAGAGAGAGAGAGAGAGAGAGAGAGACATTGTTATGCATATTTGCTGGAACAAAACATATTTGGTAAATTTGCACGATACAAACAAGATACTGTATATAAAGCACTGGAGAAAAGGTTTGGGTACTTATAAAAAGTGAAAAGTTTTGGAATCAACTTTCTACTATTCTATCGTGGCTAAGGGCGTGTTCATTTCCACTATCTAAAACTATGTTGAGACTTTCCACATTATCGAAAAGGCTGTTTTCAAGATCTGCTGTGTGTCTTGCAAACAATGGTAAACCACAAAATCCACCAATAGATACAACCATCGAATTAAAAATCTCGCCTATTGTTCGTACTGGGGAAACTGCCGATATCAAGCGAGCAAGATTGGTTTATCAATCACGTAAGAGAGGGATACTAGAAAGTGATTTATTATTGAGTAGATTTGCTAAAAAATATCTCAAGAATATGACACATGAAGAGATGGACGAGTATGACAGGTTGTTAGATGAAGCTGATTGGGATATCTATTATTGGGCCACAAAAAACTATGATGTGACACCGTTGCCTAACAAGTGGAAAGATTCAAAGATCTTGAAGTTGTTGCAGGAAGAAGCTGAGAACAAGGAACGTGTGATTTTGAGAATGCCCGAATTAGACGAAAGCGACTTTCTTAAGCCCAAGAACTAAGGTGGGTATGTGAAGGGAGCTATGTGGGGACTTTATATAAACCATTAAGTCTAATTTGCTAGTATTTATGTTTAGCGTATATAGGTGAATCTGATGTTATATATCATTTAGCTACGTTGCACTAGCAGCACAGAACCCAATTGCTTCTATTTATGTGAATGGATTCGATAATAAGTTTTTTCAAGTTGCCACTTATTAGCACAAAATAGAGCTTCTATATTAGTATAAAGTCGGTGTGTGGCCATTAAGTGAAACAATGTACTTATATTCGTTTGCTCTAATGCAATCGCCCAGAGAGAGACGAAAACGAATTTTGTGTGACAATGTAACTCCTTGATAGTTGTCAGAATCTCACTACAATCTCACCTTGCAACTCAGTCTACAATCATATCCAGAAATATAGCCCCTCTTACAATGACAATCCCAAAAGAGTCTATTCCCGAAGAACTCAGGCCGGATAAGAATATTAGTCCGTATATTCAACGGGCAGTTGAATTGGACACGACAGAGCCGATAATCAGTTACTACAATAAAATCTATGTGCTTGAGTACATTTTGAACAACAAGCTACACACAAGATCCAAAGCTAACGAAGAATTCACCATAAAGCTCTTAGATGATACCGAATCTACCAAGAAGGATACAGCTGATGAGAATCTCCATACAGTGTTGAATGACAAGAACTTATCCTTTCGTTACGTGTTGAAGTTTGCATATGGATTATTCAATTCGTGCCTTGAGTCTCTAAAGTCCTACAGGGTTGATCAAAAATCCCAAACAATTGCCAAATTTAGAGCCTCAATGTGTTTTTTGAATGTGCTCAACGTATTTGAAAGCTCAAAGGATAGTATTGATTTCGCTGGAATTTTTGGACCTAAAGTCAAAGATTGGAACGATTTCAATGCATTGAACAAAGAGAAGCTCAAGGTATTGAAGTATCAACTAACACGATTGATCAAGGATGATGTTCACCCAGAAGAGGAGCTTGAATCCAGTAACGCTGATTTGGAGCAAGAGTTGGAAGAGGAATTGAACAAGTTGAGCACTGACCAATTCGAAGAAGAAAATGCTAAAGAAACAACAAACGTGGATATTAAAGATGAAGAGGTAGAGGAAAGTAAGAATACTGGTCTGAACTTAAATGCTGCATCTAACAACTTCCCTAAATCCGCTTCAGATGAGTTTGAACAAGACGATGCTGTCGAACATAAACCAGCGGAGCCAGGTGCTGATATAAATAATAGCAACAATGAAGCTGAAGAAATAAACCTACCCGGTGCACCTCATTTCATACCAGACGAAAATTCAGACTCTGACAATGTCAAACTCCCCCAACCACCAAAATTTTTGCCATCAGATGACATTACGCACATCAACAAGTCGGGATCGATCCATGTGTTTCCTCCTGGGTCAAACACTGGTAATACCAACCAAAAGTCAGAGGTTGCAAAATCGACAAGTATAAATGCTGCTCGTCTGCAACATCACGAGAAGCCGCTTAGCAAGGAAAACATAAAGGAAATGTTGAATAGGGATGATGCCGTGGTTCAAATACAAAAGCACACGAAATTTGCCAATTCAGCTTTACAGTTTGAGGATTTCAATGAAGCAGAGAATCAACTTTTAAAGGGTTTAGAACTATTAAGAGCTTTAAAACGTCAAGAAGGTGAATAGAATCTTGAAAGACTCTGAGAGGACATTGAAATTTCTTGATATGGATCGTTTACATCTTTGAAAAAATATACCAAATCGATTGCCTAATACATATATATAAGTATCTCTATATCTCTATCATCTCATCATCACTCTCACTATCTACATTTGCAAATGCATCTTTTCCTGATGCTGTCTTCGCATCAGGCTTGACCCAACCTTCTTCATCGTCATCATCTCCATCGTCGTCATCTTCATCGTCGTAATCTTCAATATCGTTCTCCAGGTTCAGTCCTTGCACATGCTTATTCAGGTCCGAATCTTCGTCGTATTCAAATACATCGTTGCTCAAGTTTTTGCTCGTACTCAAGAAGCTAATTAAAAACTCATTCTTTTTACCAACTTTCACCACTTCTTTTGCAACTTTATTCAAATATCTGGACAATAACTTTAATGACGAACGGAATTCAAACTTGTGAGCCGCAATAAATCTTCCATGCTGCGCTAACATACACTTGATCCAGATTAAATAAAACTCGATGTGAGGCGAATCCTCTTTGATTAATAACTCTCCAACAAAATGAAGAACTCGATCAACATAAATTTCAGGAACATCTTGACACACGAGTTTGATATCCACCAAAGGAATGCTTTCCAATATTTGATGAATCAAATAAGTCTCATTCAATCTCAACGCCATAACTAATGCAACTAAGTACTCCTTCTCCTTTAACGACTCTAATGTCGACTCTGGAGTGACATCTATGTCCAAATCAAACGGGTCGAAAATTAAGTCTTGATTTACAGAGTATACCAACAACCCTTCTGTAGTAGCGGCAGCAAATGATGACGTGGTAGGTGAAAATTGAACCGACGTAACTTTAATTTCTGGTCTTGTTCTACGCTCACTTGGATCACCTCCTCTCAGTGCCCCAGGTAGAGTATTGTCCATTCGATCTTCCAAATCACTATTCTCTCCATCTCTATCAATCAAGTCGGCATTGATTCCAGAATCGGTGATTTTTCGACTGTTCAAGTACTGCAGAGTACCATCAATAGACATATTTTCTGACACGATAAATCTCTTTAGCAACACTTCACTGTCGATATCGTACATGCAAATAGAATTGTTATTCCCAGCAGCTAATAAAGTTAGTCCGTCAAAAGAATACGTAATTGTGCTGAAGTATTTACCCCGATTCGAGTTCTTACTGACAAACCGGTCTTCGAGATATCTTCCGCTGATGATATCTTTCCGACCATCCAACAAATGCAATTGCTTAGCGTCTTCAATGTCAAACACGGCAATATGCCCGTCTAAGGTTGATATCGCCAATTCCTTACAATCGGGCCTCATGCAAATACTCAAAACGTCACTCTGCACTTCAATGGGTTCAACCGTTTGATTTCTAGAAAAGATATTCCAAATACGGACTGTTTTGTCCCAGGATGCGGAAGCAAGAACTGAATTTTCTTGACCAAAAGACAAGCATGAAATTGGCCCCTCATGGCCTGTCAACGTATCGAGCAAAATCCCTGTCTGTACTGACCAAACATAAATCTCGAAACTATCTTGTGAGCCCCCAACAATAACTTCTCCACTAGGATCAACAGCTACACAATTGAATTGGATTCTGGATGTTGCAGTAAAAGTTCTAAAGTTTCTAAACCGAATCAAGTCAAATGCACGTATTGTACCGTCTAGAGAAGACGAAAACAATACCTGGCCCTTTTTGGCAAACTGAACTTGTGTGACTGGTGCAGAATGCTCATTAAATGTCATCAAGCAAAAACCAGAAGCAACGTCCCATATTTTAATCCTTCCATCGTCCGAGCCTGTAACCAATCGAGAGCCATCTGGTGAATAGCATAATGCGTTCATTGAATCAAAGTGACCTTGTTGTTTGAGGATATATGACTCACTTTGCCACTCGTACACTAATAATTGGCCCAATTTCGAGGAACCAAAGGCAAGCCATTCTCCGGTGTTGTTGATGTTCACCGTATTTATAGTATCCTGACCCATACTCAACAGCTGTATGAGATTAAAGTCATCACCAATTTCGTAGACCCTGAATTCTCCGTTAGAAAATCCAACGACTAATAAAGAGGAGTTGGCGTGAAACGTGGCACACTTAAGCTTTCCATTGGCATAAAAGTAGTTCTTAGAGGTAATTCTCCAATCCATTTTTGTAGGCTGATGCTCTTCGTCATCACTTTCCTCTTCATCCTGTGGTGGCTCGGTATACTCCCATTTGAACAATGCTCCATCTTTACTCACTGTATAGATGATTTCTTGGTTTTTGCTAAAGAAAGCATTCACAACGTAGTCACGATGTCCTGAGAAAGTCCGGGCAACATCCTTTTCATCTGACTCTATCGAATAAATCTTTGCTGTCATATCCTTACTTGTACTTATAAAAAATCTCGAGTCTTGGGACCAGGAAACGCTCAATACATCATCAAAATGTCCCAGGTAAACTCTATGTCTCACAAATGGTGCAAACTGTCTATCTTCGGTAAAATCAGGGGTCTTCCATACTTGAATGAATCTTCCAGTGGCAACGGCGAGATACTTCCCACACGGGCTGAATGTGACATTATTCACTTTAGACTTGAAATTGAAATGATGGAGCACCACTCTGGAGACAAAATTTAAAAGTATTGCCCTCCCATCTACATCAATGGATATCAAGAGAGTGTTTTGCTTGTTTAGGGCCATGCATTGTATGTTCTTGCGGTGTTGATAACTGAATGTAAACGACTGTGATCTTATAAGATCAAAACATGAAACTCGATTACCAACAGGGGATAACAATTTAGTGCCATCTTCTGTGAAAACCAAATTACCCTTCTTGTAAACAGTTCCGAGTAAGTTGGAGAATTTAAAGTCTGATCTCATGACGAAGTGGTAAAAATTGAATAGTGATTCCTAAGAAGATGCTCTTCCTTTTTTGAATTTTTTTTTTTTTTTTCACACAAAAGAATTCTTTGGTGATGATCTTCCCAGAATGGAATAACCTGTACCAAACTGTCCAGAAAGCTGAAATAGAACGTCATCAAGACAAGAAATATATATGATCACAATGTCGGGAAGTCTATCCACAAGGGTCATGAATATGAAATTCATGCAGAAAGCTGAAACTGTAAAAGCCAATGACACTCGTGAAGAGCAAACACGAAGGCTAGATGATGCATCAGAATGGACGTTGCCTAGTCTGGCAAAGATTTTGAAAATGGCGCAGGCTAAACCTAAAATTGAGGTTCTTGGATATGGGTCTATAATGAACGACCAAAACTACACAATCCAAAGATTATGGGTGTCGGGAACGAATGATAAGGAGCTGCCTGATGAATACCAACCAAGTCAAAAGAGCCGAGATAACTCGCCTCCTTCAGCAGAGCTAAACACACTTTGGAGGAAGCGAAAGCCTGATGGCTCTCCAGATAGGACAAACAAGAGGCGAGCAACCTAGAGACAAAGAGATATGTTACATAGAAAACGAGAATATATTTTGCAATGCTACTTCTTCTTCATTTTACTGGCTGGCTCCTTCTGTCGAGTATCCCCTTGAAGGAATCCCCCCTTGGTGACTGCATCTCTAGCCACGGCATTGATATGCTTGAACCTATCTGGTCCCAAATGAATGCCACCGAAATATCGACTCACCACTACAACAACATTCCATACATCCATCATCTGTAACAATGTAGGTTAGTAATTTCCTCTCGTTTCTAAATCAGTAAAAGATACGTACTTGAAGTAAGTGTAGTAATCTTCCTCCTGCCGCAGTTTCCCCGTCGTCATCGCAATCCTGATAGCTTATGTTGTTGTCATTTGATCTTATTCTCCAACTAGAGATGTTATGGGCTGCCTTTGATACCTTTTTATCCAGTAGTAGACTTTCTAAATGCATACTTGCTTCCTCTAAGTTCTCAACTTCCCTTGCATATGCAATAAATGTAGATCGACGATCATTTATGATATCCGATTTCACCCAATCAGTAGTTTTATCTGCTACCTCCTCGGGTGCTTCTGCGACAGATGATTCGTGGTGTATTTGCTTATTCTCTAGTTCTTCGTTTTTCAGTTCTATCACGTTGCTTGCAATACGGTCCCTTAAATACTCGTCAAGGAATTCCAGTAATTGAGTCAAAAGCTCGTACATAAATACTTGACCAGGGACGAAACTTTTGTCTACAAAAGACTTGGCTATTTTTTCCAAGTATGTGGTATCCATGTATCCCAATTTGTCGTCATTATCAATCAGAAGCGATTCTGGCCCTTTGCCGGGGTAAGTCATTGGAAAATTCACTTGAATTTTGATCAATTCGTGGTTGGGGATGGTAAATGTGTAAACTCGTGGCCCCTCACTTGTTACTGAATCTGGATAGATCGCTTCAATTGCACTTATTTCATCGCTCAACTCGTCAACGGGCATTAAAGATGATAGTTGTTCAAACTCCTTTAGGTTTTTAGTTTATCTAAAAGAGGAAAAGTAACTTGCAAAATTTCTTGACAAAATTTTAATTTCCCCGATAAACAGATATGAATCAAGCCGAAAAGCTCAAAAATGAAGGTAACGAAGCGTTCAAGAGGCACGAGTATAAAAAGGCTGCAAAAATCTACCGTGATGCAATTCAGCTAGACATGTACAATCCTGTCTTGTATTCGAATCGAGCCCAATGCTTTTTGAATTTAGGCGATTATGAAAGAGCTCTCGACGATACAACCAGTGGGTTGAACTTGGGAGGGCAAGGCAAAGTGGCGGTGAAGCTCAACTATCGACGAGCAATGACATTGTTGGAACTCAATCAAATGCAAGGTGCTAAAGGCGCACTTCAAAGTGTTTTGCAATTAGATCCGCAAAACCACACCGCCAAAAAACAACTTGCCGATTTGGAAGCTACAATGGAGAGAAATGGAACGCTTAAGGACATAATCATACTGCGCCAAGAGAAGCCATTTCCGTTAGCGGGTTCTAAATCACTAAATGCAAGTCTGCTTCCTTCAAATAGTTTAGTCAGTTCAGATGGAGAGATTGGAGAGCAATGCTCATCTGATAAAATTCCTAAAAGGAAGAATGAACCAATTTATCAAAAGGCGGATAATGTTACAGCCAATAAATTGAAGCATCTGTCCACGGAATCCGCCACTACCCCTCTGCCTATGCGATATCTTTTAGCGTTGAAGCATTTAAATGAGGAGAAGAAAATACACGCATACAAATACATTTTGAATCTTGAAAGTACAGCATATACTGAGCTTTTCCAAGACACAGGTATAGATGCTGAGTTTTTAGAATTCTATTTACATGCGGCTCGATATGTATTTTCCAACAAGGTTATAGAAGATCCCGAGCACGTTGTTTTAGATCAAATGACCCTATTTTCCAGCTTTAAGGGATATGATTTGGCATTAGGGTCATGGGATTCCAGTTTGAAACAACAGACCTTGAATATTATAGAAGAAAAGTTTCCACAATTGCTAAATCAATATAGGCAGTTAATTAAATAGTTAACAAATACATGCTAGTAATGCTTGACCTCTAAACTCTTCATAAATCCAATCTTCTTATTCGATGGCACAACTGGCTGTACTGCTAATGGGCGTGGCACGTAGCTCCTCAAATCAACCTCAAAGTATTTAGTAACAACAGTGGGAACAACAAATATGGAAGCAAACAACACCGTACTAGCTAAAAAGACAAAAACGTACAATACAGCCTGTAACCTTCGAATCTTCTTCTGTCTCTTAGACAAGACTCGAGGACGTATCTGGCTTCCTGGCTTCAACCAGAAAAGCATCAAAGTATGCCATTTGTCTGCGTACGGGATTAGCAAGATAGGAATTTGGGCATATAATATAACATGGGCCGCGAATAAGTCACCCACAAAGTACGACATTTCTGATGTCTTGCAGACTAACTCCCTAATAGGTTGAGTAATCACGTACCAACCTAAACCAGCTGTTGCCCATTTACCTGACCACCAGGAACGATTCGATCTATCATGTCTAAATTCCTTGGACACGAAAATTATTGTCGTCATTTGTAAAAACCAACACTGAATCAAAACTGTTAGCGTAAACCCCAAAACTGTTTTTGGAAAATCCCACCCTTGTAAGAGCCATAGTAATTCAAAGAAAAAAACGTGGTTCAAAACTGCCAAAGAGTGGGTAAAAGCTGCAAAAAAGGAAGGGAGTTTTTTGCAAAGCAATGTAAAGATAGGACCAATGAATATGGAGACAAAAAACCCAACCAATAATATCACAAAATTGATGAATATGGGCCCCAGGCTAACAATTATAATTCTCAAAATGCTGTTAACGGGTGTAGCCCTAGGGTTACCATTCTGCGAGTTTGCAAACAAGTACGCCAAACCAATAATTAAGATTGCCGACAACTGAAATACTGATTCGGTAAGCATAAGCTTGGCTCTTGAAGGTTTGACTTCACTAACGACTTTAATCTCCTCATTTAGGCTCAACCTTTTACTCTTGACTCCAACAATTCTACTCCTTCTTAACCTAGTGAAATTGATCCACGAAGAAATTCTGGCTTTACTGTTTCCACGGTGTAACCACTCGATATATTCCTTGTAGTCCAAAAAGAAATCATTCCAAGAAAATTGGTTTGGGTTGTATAAAAAAGGGCAAATTAGCAACCCAATGACAGACATCCAAAAATATAAAAGCAGTGTGATCCACATTGACATGGAACAGTATAGTATGAGCAATCCACAAATGATTCCATAATAAAGGCTCTCCACTGCAAATCTAGAATATAGGGTAACAAAGGGGACTCTAATCGTTGCAAATCCCCTTCCTGTAGCTAGGTACCGAGCACCCCCGATGGAAATATCACTTGCTAACGAATGACCATAGATTTTACAGATAAATACTTCAAATAATGGCGAAAACGATGCAAACTGCTTACTGAGCCTTGTTATGGCTTTGTAAAACCCTCTTTCCGTCAACTCTTGAACGCCCAATGGAACAAATGAAATGACAAACACAATAAAAATGGAAACAACACATCTCTGCAACCAATGAATGACTGGAATCAAGTTATAACACCCTGCTGGTCTCTTTGGGTCAGTAATTGGCCTATATCTGTCGTACTCGCATATAATGCTTTCCCGACTTAACGACGCTAGATTTGCAGATACCAACAAAAACAACTGAATCGAGAGAATGATAAACACATTGTTCAAATGAAATCCAGGGTGTGCATAGTAAAAGGACAAGAACCGATCAAGAGGCAATTGCGTTCCCAAGTAGAAATACTCTCGAGACAACATTTGCTCGCCCATTCCTGCGCCAATTTTTGTTGTGAAATTGAGAATGGATCCAAATCCCAAATCCCTTCCTTTACCGCACTGCATGTACTCACAATGCTTGATCCTTCCACCACGGAGGAGTACATTCATTCCAGCATAGATATCTTCGTTAAGATGCAATCCCTTCTGCGCTTTGGAGACACCACCTCTAGTAGTCATGAATATACCATTTAAAAAATCAGGATGGCCATAATGTAATTTGCCACCAATATGGGCAAGAGTTCTAGCAAAGAGGGTGCCAAAAGTTTGTTCTTTCCCAGCAGCCACATCACCAAGAATACCAATATTTTCTGAAAAGATGTACTCTCTAGTCCCAATTATTGCCACTGGATAAGCCAGGTTTGAACCTTCCAATTCATTCGAATAAGGGTCTAACGGGAAAGTAGCTTCTTCAAACTCAGCCAACACACTTCGAATCTTGAGACATTCTTCGAGGTAATTATCTTGGTTTGCATCAACTAGTTGAATGTATTCTCCACGGCAAAATATCAACGAGTGGTTCTGATTGTCTGATTTTCCGTCGCCTAGAATTGGATTTCCCGACAACCTCACTCTATATTTTGGCTCTCGGTCTCCATTTTCAAGAAACGAGCAGCTTCCGTCAATAAGGGCCGAATAAAATGTGACTTCTCCCGTATCTTCATCAATTTCTTCATCGAGATAGCAAATTTGAAGCTCAGGGTAAGCTCTCAACAAAAAATCAGTATTTTCCTTTTCCTCGGGAGTAAAGTACTTCATTCTCTGCATCGAAGTAATAATTCTAAACTTTCTATGCGCCATGATTGCTGCGTGCTCAATTTTTTCCATATCATCACCAAAAACACTGGACTCTGGATTCTCGACATCAAAAAGAAGCTTTATTGCCCTTGCATAGTTCATAAAGCCCGAAATGGTTCGATACAAGGTTTGCGACCGAAGGGAAGCCCAAATTCGGGTTCGAAGAATGTACTCAGGAGTTGCAACTTTGAACCCAACTGAGTAATACGGCAAGTCATCGAGCTTCTCTTTCGCGTTATCTGTTGATGCTGAGTCGGACTCAAACTCTTCGGCTAGCATCTTTGTATCTTTCACAAAGCAATTCCACTCTAGCGGATGCAACTGCTTCAAGTACTCTAGCATTGTTACATGTGAGTATTGCTCCTCTTCCCTGATTATCTCTCTCAATGATAATATAATCTTTTCGCTGTAATGAGGCACCAAAACGGAAAATGAAGGCATCAAGTGAATCGGACCTACTTCTGGCATAGGAGTTGACAAAGATTGTGCAAAAAACGTTATGCGCCGTTGCGCCTCGGATTGCTTGCTAAACAAAGCTGATTTAACTGATTGATCCTCTTGAGAAACAAAAAACATTGGCTCCTTCAAAATTATTCCACCTTCAACCCCTGGGTCCTCAATCAGCTTATAGATGAGCTTTTGGACATTTTCCAAGGAGATCAAGTGCTCTCGATACATGGATATAATGATTGAATTCCATACCTGCGACACCAACGACTTTGTCTTCAAATTCTTTTCATTGGAGACTGATATGATCTTGGAGAATATTCTTTTCGGTAATCTTGAAAATATATTTCGCCAAGGTGTCCAAATTGAAACACCTACATAGAATGAGCGGCAAACTGAAAATAAGGTGTTCCATATAATGTACCATAGGTATGTGTCTAGAATGAACAAAACTAGGTTTGTCAAGTATATGAGACATAAAACAATATATGGTTGTTTTGAACAAAGCCACGATCCGAAAAATGTCTCCCCTGAACATGTTACATGCTTCATTATGCTCAATTCACGAATGGGGTCTTTCATCGAGAGGGTCAAAAAGAAGTATGACTCTAAGAACTTGGAAATAAAAATGGCAAGCCACAAGGCATGTGATGCAATCTTGTCGGTGTCAGTGAGCAAGTAGAAATTTGTAATAAATGAGTTTTGCGGCAAGTATTTGCGATCATTGGACTTTGGACTCTTGATAAAAATCTTTCCTAAAGGAACAATGGAAAGATATACAACGATAAGGATAGACAAAGCAAACTGAATGGAAGCAATTGTTAAATCTAAAGTTGATTGTTCTCCTAAATCTCTAAATCCAAGTAAATAAACGCTCGGTGCTGTATTGAGAACTAGGAAAATCAAGGTAACAAGCAATCTGCCAGCAACTGGTTGTGCGCCGTACCATTTTCGCGGAATATACGAAAGTTCAAATAGGAGACTGATAAAATTGATCGTCAAAGCCACAGATCCACCAAGGGAAAGCAATGATAGCTGGGTTTGATATGTTGGAGGGTTATCCAATGTTTGTTGATAATTCTTTGTATACAAAGTGGGCGAATTGTAAACTGAATAGTACCAAAAGGCAGACAAGTGAATGATCCAAACTCTGTGGAAGTTTGCAAGAACATGTGACCAGCTACGCTTCTCCTTAAATGTTTTGTAGAATGCCTTCTGCCATTGAACTTCATTAAGCCGTGGATATCTCTCTCTTGGCGGAAGTTTCATTAATTTGGTTCCTTTGTCAGCCAATACCAACCTTTCAAGCCCTTTACTGTGCCAGAATAACTGATTCATGTCGTCATATCCAATGGCTGTACTGTGATCTCTATCCCGTCTGTGATACCTGCCATCAACAAGACGATACAACTGGTCCCTATAAAAATTGTACAATGGTGTAATTATGTGATCCAAAAAACTCACGGTAACTCTCTCAACTGGCACTTCCGGGTCAATGGAAAAGTAGTAATCATTGCAGCATTTAAAGATAAAACAAATGCATTCAGGCATAAATCTTATATTATTAGCTTCGCCCCAGATTAATAGATACAAAGCCAACTGTATTACCACATATGTCGGAGAAAGTGCCTGCATATTGGTCGCCCATTGCTCTTCGGCTGCTTCAAGCGTTGGCACAGCTTCATCCGAGTCCCTAATTTTACCATTTTTCACATTGTCAAAACCAACAAAGTCATCTACATCCATTTGAGCGGCAAAGTACCACTTGCGAAAGTTTGAATTAATTCCTCCCACATAATCGGCATGTACGGACCTCAACGCATGCTCAGTGCCTAAACGTGATGCTCGGGAATCCAAGAGCCTCATCAAATAATCAAACATATTCCTGGTGTTATCAAACTGAAATCCAAATATCGCAGTTAACTGCAAGAACACTGCTTCAATATCCTCTCTCGTTATCGGAACAGCCTCTTTTGGGTTCCAAGCAGGGTATGGATCAAACTTGTTGGAATAGATGTCGTAAATGCCATTCTCTGCCAAAGTCTCACCGGGGTTTCTGTAGTGGTACTCCTTGTCATCGCCAAAGCTCATTTTCTGTACCTCTGCCCATTTATTGGAGTCAAAGTGTGGGGTCTTAAATCCACTCAATGGAAATCCCGACGCATATCCCTGTACATTGCTATCTTCAAGATTGGGCCAGTTAGTAACAAAAGAAAGGGAAAAGTTAACTCCATCTAAACCTGTTTCACCTCATACCGATTGCCGTTGCGGTTCGTTTTAATAGCTCTATGGGGTCTGATTCCTCTTTGCTCTTTCTCGGAACCCTGTTCTTCTTAGCTGCCATTTTATGAGTTGGTTGAGCGAAGTTGTTGGGAAAGAATTTGGTTGTAAAAAAAATTATAAGGAGTTTGAAAAATATACCTTTCTTGTGTTGCAAACCAAGACAATTAAGACATCACCAGAAATGCTACAATACCACAATATTATACATGATTCGATTGAACTAAAATACTCTAGTTTATCTATATATCTTTCTATGTCTTTCTGAAGTTGTCAATTTTACCTCAACTTTAGGCAAAAGGAAATGAGAATGTCTCTTTGAAAGAAAACTTTCGATTACTCCTCTCCGTCCTCTTCAGCAGCAAACTTTTCAGCCAACAGGGCCTTTTCCTTAACTCCATTGTATACAATTCTGTTTGGTGTATGCTTTCTCAAAAATAGTGATGACTTTGTTATTCTGTTCTTGGCGGCCATTTTCAACAAAGTGGGCTTTACTTGCGAAGGAGAAATACCCTCACTCAATAAAATAGCAACCATGCCAGTGACAATAGGAGATGCCATGGAAGTACCAGACAAAACCAGGGAACTAAATGGGTTTTTGGCATTAACACTTGTCACATACGCACCACTTGCAAACAAGTCAACGCATTCTCCCCAATTTGAAAACCCAGCTACCGAATCGTTATAGTCGTCAATAGCCCCCACCGTTATGGCATACTTTGAGCTTGCAGGACTAGTCGTACAAGCATTTATATTTGAATTCCCTGCTGCCACCACAAATAATACCCCTGTTTTAGTCGCATGTTCTATTGCCCTGTTCAAGACGTGGTTTTTGTATGCTCCCAAGGACAAATTAGCAACACCTTTCATACCGGAGTCTATACAATGGTTGACCACAAAGTCAATTGCTGAAAGTATGGTGCTCAATGAGCCAGCACCTTGGCTGTTCAAAGCCTTCACTTCGACGATATTCACGTTTTTCGCCACGCCATAAGTGGCAGAACCTATTAACCCCGCCACATGAGTGCCGTGTCCATTTGAGTCGCCGGATCCTTCATTGGTATAATCAATTCCTGCTGACGCACGGCCTTGGAATTCCGGATGATTCACTTCAACTCCGGAATCAATCACGTACGCATTGACTCCCTGACCCATGAAGTCGTTATCATAAATATATGGATATTGTTTATTCGGCCTCAACCGTCTTCTCCTACTTACCCTAGCCAAGTGTCTAGGAGCATCATACTGGATCTCATAGTCTAAGCTTTTGAATGTCAAGTCTTCGGTAATGTCTTGGATCAAGGGACACCGCTTCAATCTATCTATAATTTCTTTGGAAAAATTCCCTGCAAATCCTTTAAAATCACCTATTGACACAGAGGTGCTTATAAGGTCTCGAACTTGGAGGTGCTTGGGGTATTTTCGGTCATATTCCATGAAACCATCTAATGACTCGGTTGTTTTCAATGAAACAAAGTACGGTTCGTCGGCGACACAACTGCATACCAAAGCAAAGAATAGCAAACTGTGTTTTATTAGCATTATTGGGCTATCGAAATCTACTAGTCCTTTGCTACTGGAAGTCTAGATGTATTTATGCCATTACTAGAACTTAGGACATAACAAGATTTTAAATCTAGCATAACAAATTCTTGGATGTTTTCTACCGTGGTTGCGATTGATAACATTGGAATTTCCTCAATGGTTAGGGAAACTTTTTTCTAGCTAGTCGTTGTGGGAGGGAGGGTCACAGCGTCGCTAATCTTTTGCACATGGAAGAGAAGAAGGTGGTTGGTGAATCGTAAAAATATTGAACATTGTATTTGTTTCTACACACTTAATATCAAGTATAATCTAAGGTTCCACTGGATTCTGGTATGACTCCAACTCATCCTTTGAATCACTGTCGTTATCTTTGTCTGCCTTCAGGAAACTCTCCTCAACTTCAACATAAGCTATTCTATTCGGTGTATTTGGCCTGAAATACAAACTTGTTCTCGATATTCTGTCCAAAGTTGCAATTTCGTTTAACCTATCTCTCACGTGTGCAGGATCTACACCTTCACTTAATATTGTAGCAACTACTCCTGCCACTATAGGACTGGCCATCGACGTGCCCGATAGAATCAGCGATTTATATATGTTTTTGAAGTCGACACTTCTCACATTCGAACCGCTAGCAAAAATGTCCACACATGAGCCCCAATTTGAAAATCCCGCTATTGAATCACCGTGGTCATCTATAGCACCCACTGTTATGGCGTATGTTGAGCTTGCGGGACTCATCAAGCAGGCATCAATATTTGAATTACCAGCAGCCACAACAAAAACAAGACCAGTTCGCGTCGCTTGTTCAATTGCACTGTTCAATATTGCATTCTGATGTGCTCCAAATGATAAGTTTGCCACGCCGGGCCTACCACTTCGTAAACGGTGGTTCACTGCAAATTCAATGGCCGATATAATTGTACTCAACGTGCCTGTTCCCACAGAATTTAGTGCCTTCACGTCAAAAATCTCCACATTCTTTGCCGCACCGTACGACTTTGCACCTATCAAACCTGCAACGTGTGTACCATGACCGTTGTTGTCACCCTCTCCCTCATTTGAAAAATCTCTACCGGTTCTTGCTCTCCCTTGGAACTCAGGATGACCAATGTATATTCCAGAATCGATGACATATGCGTTAACCTTCTTCCCTGCAAACTCGCTGTTGTATACAAATGGATACTTTAGAATCGGCAACATCCTTCTCCTTCTACTTAATCGGGCCAAATGACGGGGTGCAAGCATTTGGTAGTTTGTGGTGAAAGAATACACCTCGATATCCTGAGATATCTCATCAACTAAAGGACATCTTGATAGTCGTTCGAGAACTTTCTCGGTAAACTCTCCGGCAAATCCAGCAAATGAGCCTATCATGAAAGAAGTGGTGATTGAATCTTTGACTTGTAGTTCTTCTGAGTAGGAAGCGTCGTACAACATAAACGAATCTAAGGTCTCTTTTGGCTTTAAACTGATTAGAAATGATTTCTTCTTGTCACATCTGGTGACTACTAAGAGTAAAAGTAGTATAATATAACAGCTGGTCCATCTCATTGAGTTGTACTTGCAAATAACAAACTTTGTTGAAACTTGGTTGCAAAAACAAAAGTGGGGAAGAAAATGACTAAAAAAGAAACCAAAAGTTTAAATCGAACAAAAACTTAATTAAATATCATCTATAAATTCTAACAAGAATCAAGCCCTCTATAACGAGTCCAAAAACTGTTTCTTAGCATCTTGAGGAAGTTTTTCAACAAATTCTTTTACAGCTGCAAGTCCAGCGCCTGAATCCTTACTCAACAATTTAAACAAATCAGCTCTCGTGGCATCGTGTTTCAACTCCTCCAATCTCTTCGACAATTTGCTGTGATGTTCCTCAATCCAGTTACTAACTTCTTGGTCGTCATCATAATTAACTGCAGGCATCCAACTCTTCAAACGGGCTACCTTCTCCAACTTGTTGGAATTCTTGAGTTGATCACCAATCATGTTCAACACGTATTCCTCATTTAATCTTCTGCGTAATCTCCAGAAGAAGAAGCGTCTGGCATCGGACCATTTAACTTCTCCCCTAATAACGCCCTTGGCCAACATACGGCCTGATCTATCGTGCAAGTCAGCAAACTGGACTGAAACCTGAGCATATATAGGCAACAATGCTTTCTCCCTAGCGGTCAATTGACGACTAACGTCTGAATGTTCCTGAGGAGTCAAAGACCCATCATTCATTTGCTTTTTCAATTCAGCATACTTTGTGTCTAATCTTTCCATGGTGGCCAATAATTTATCACGTCTGTATTTGATACTAACCAAACCTTCGGCTTCCAAGACACCACCTCTTGAATCGACATCAGCATACATTTCCATCATATCTTCGTTGATTGTAGGGTCAACAACAACCCATGAACCACCTCTCAATTCACCAAAAGGAGGAATATAAGTAAAGATAGGTTGTTTAAAATCCACCAAAGCGTCAACAATGAACGATCCATATTTCAAAACTTCGTTGTACATATCCCTTTGACCACCAGAAAATCCTCTCCAGTTGGCCAAAATCATTAATGGAAGTTGCTCACCGTGGTTGAAATCATTAATTGCTTGTGCAGTCTTGAAAGCAGAATTTGGATGCCAAACTTGCCCAGCCTCGTGAACAAGTGTTTCTGTTGAATCTGGGTTAGCTGGGTCAGCAGGAATCATGTTGTCAACGGTTCTTGTTTCAACACCAATGACCCCAATAGGAATACCTCCAAGACGTGCTCTTCCAACAACAACACCCTTGGCCCATCCTGATAACGTTTCTTGGAAAGAGTCTTTATCAAACAATCCTGACTCAAACCCGTCTTCAGTCTTTTTACCTTCAATCATCCATCTGACATCAAAAGGTTCTTGCTTTGGTGGGAAATAGTCAACGTCTCTGTCCCAGGTGTCATCAGAGTCCAAAATAGGGACTGGCATTCCACGTTTAGCAGGGACATAGGACAACCACTCCATAATCTTTTCAACACCTTCCAAATCGTCATTAGCGGTCAAGTGGGAGACACCGTTCCTGTACATAATTTGAGTACCACCCAACTGCAAATTGGATGAGTAGACTTCCTTACCCAACATCTTGTTAATGGCAGGGGCACCTGTCAAGATAATAGGTTGTCCTTCAACTTGGATGGCTCTCTGTCCTAACCTAACCAAGTAAGCACCAATACCAACAGATCTACAAGTCACTAAAGTGATAGTGAAAATGTCCTTATAAGCTTTTGAAGTGGCACCAGCTATCAAACCGGATCCTCTAAGACATTCAACACCCAAACCATCATCGGCACCCACAATTGCCTTTATGACAAAACGTTCTTGTCCTTCCTCAACGACTCTTTCTGTAAGCAATGTTTCTCCCTTGCCATCTTCATCAATAGCATGTTTAGCTTCTGGTGTCAAGTACAAGTACTTGAATCCTTGTTCAGGTGATCCTTCCTTGTTCCAAGCAACTTGGAATAACGGAATTAATTCCTCGGCAATACCAATTCTGGCTCCTGAATTAGCCGAAAGGTAAATCCTAGGCACCCCCTTTTCTCTTGCAAGCTCAGTGCACTTGTTGAAAAAGTTATCCTCTTCTGGACCAAAAGACCCTATTTTGTGGGTGATATCATTGGCAACAATGACAAACTGACGTCCACGTGGATATTCCGGAGTCTTTGCGGTAACCAAGAAACCAACCATACCAATCTTATTCGATCCAGGATCTCTCTCTAAAGCAGTCAAACCTCCATTTTCATCAGGAATCAACTCCAAGGAAGTGAAAACATCGCTTGGGGCTTTTTGCCCATACCTCTTCCATTGTGAAAGAGTGGCCTGGCGGAAAAGCTCAGGGAAGTCGTACACATAAGTGGTACCCATATTGTGTGCCTTGTAACGCTTTGGTTGCAATGATTCCTTGACTGGATAAGTTGTTGAAATTGGTCTCAAATGCATTGGGCCTGGTTGACCAATTGACTTAAACACCCAATCTCCTTTTGCATTCTTCATTTCCAAATAAAGGTCTGACTTGACAACATAACCAGAAACGTTGTTGATGATGGCACGAAGTGGAAGAGCATTACCTTTAGGGTCGGCGCACACAATTCTAATTTCGGCACCAGTAATCCTCAATCTCCACAACCTTCTACCAAATCTCTCCAAGAATGAACCAAAAGCTGCTTCAACTTCAGCTGGCTGGATGTTAAATACGTTTGAAAAGTTGATAAAGATATGGTTCAAGTCCGAATTGGATGTGTCAACAACTTCCAAAGTGTCTAAAATATCGCTCATTAGCCTGTTGGACTCGGAGATCAAGTACTCTGAAATGCTGATATCGTCCTTAATAACGCCAGTCCTAATGATACCCCTGGTGAAGAATCTCTTATCTGAAGGTGCATTCTTTCCGACTGCTTCGTAAACATGGATATTTCTATTGTTTGTGAAAATTGGCTTGATATCAAAGTTTGCTAATCTTCCCAACTCCAATTGGAAAGCCAATGCTGGCTCAATGTGTCTGATAACCTTGTTTTCCAAATAATCAGGACCGGTAAATGTGTAGTACTTTGGATAAGAACCAATTTGGTGAGCAAATACAAAGGTAACACGACGTACACTAGCCTTTACCAAATCTTCTCTGTACTCGTCCAAAAGACCCCTGACTCTTTCTAAATATTCAGCTTCATTGGAATATCCATCGATGTTGTTTACCACAATATTGAGAACATTAAGCAACTCGGTCTGTTCATCTCCAGCTTGGAAAGTCAAAGCATCACTTGGTTGAAGCTTCTCCAAAGCAGCACTCAACATGTCATCCACATCATCAAAATGTCTGCAAGGGACCAAAACACCAGTCCTTTCCATGTGGTCGGTCTTTGAATCAACAACAAAAGACAAATCAGACACCGAAGCAGAGTGTTTCATGGCAGTGTTTTCCTCCTCTGTAGCTGGCTGTTGAATAGCATTAAATCTCGAGTTAGCAATGCTAGGCAATTTGAACTTCCACTCAATGACTGGTAAATTATCGTGAAAATCGTATTCAATCTTGCCTAATTGGTATGCACGATATGAACGTCTCACATATACTTCGGCAGCAGCAATTGAAACCCATTCGTCGCTATTTACGAAAAATTGGGCCAAGACATCAAATACAATATGCTTAGAGTCAACAACTTCTTGAATAATGTCCAAATTAGGTTCTCTGTGTTTAGCATACATTTCACCGTACGATGTTTGCAATACCGACGACCTCAAAATGTGTTCCAATTGATCTGATCTTTCTTTAATTGAAGGTAAGGAGCATTGAATCAAAATCTCTCTGGCTTTTAATGCAACTTTGGCACATCCACGAGAGTCCAATTGCGCCAATGTTTTCAACGCGTCTCTAATTGAAACTGCAATTGAAGAGTTGGATTGTAACAATGGCTGGTATTCCTCAAGGATAGCAATTATCAAGTTGTTCTTGGCCGAGACTTTCGAGTGTGACAAACAAATGCTGATGACTTTCTTCAAATCGGACTTGTGTTCATCTCTCAATTTCAAAATCACATCGTCTTCTCTTACATTGTGACCAACAAACAAGCTTTCAACATTGTAATATTCATGAATCAATGAGGCGAAGAAATCATATTCATGTTCCACCAAACCCTTTTCGTACCTTGTTGCGATGCTAACCAATGGCGAAACAATATCTTTCAAAGTACCATCTTCAGATTCGGCAACTGCTTTACCAATCTGTTTTAGGAGTTGACGAGCAGGGAAATCGGCACTTCTTGACTTAGTTCTTTCAATCAATGCAGTTAAGGATTCATCCAACTTTATTGGCAATCTTGAATGCAATGCTGAAATACATTGCTGCCACTCGGAGTATGGTAACTCCCTATCCTTCAAAACTTCAACAATCTTCTTCAAGGTTGAGTTCATAATGACTTGGTTGTCGTAACCGGCTAGGATATTCCTCAAAATAGTTGCATAATCATGGAACTTGTGAGCAGGTTTAGAACCTCTGACATTTGGTTCACCCATTTCAGGCAATGTTCCTTCAAAAGGTTTAGCATGTTTAACCTTACTTGGATCATCTAAGGCCAAAATCGCAAGCATATCACCGGCATTGACAGTTGACCCTGGTTGTTTTATTAATTGAACAACACCATTCTCTTGTGCCACTAATGGCATGCACATTTTCATAACCTCGATTTCAGCAAAAGTATCACCAGCATTGACATGGTCTCCACTTTCAACCAAGTACTTAACCAATTTTCCTGGAGAGGGGGTTCTCAATTGCGTTGGGTCATTTTCAACCTCAAGCAAACAGGTCTTTCCATCAACGGACAATCTTGTGGCAGAAGCCTCTTCTTTCCAATACACAGCGTGCGATTTACCACCCAATGCGCACAACAACCCTCCATCGGACAAAGGACGTGCGCCCACTGTGCATCTCGAACCATTGAGGAACAAGGTGTACTTATCATCAGACGATTTGGTAGCAGTAAACTTGAACCTCTCGCCCTCGTAGATAAACTCAACTGGGAAAATAGTTTTCAATACATTCTTGTGAGGAACTTGACCACGCTCCAACGACTGGGCAAATTCTCTTTCTTCTTCTTCGGCTTGAATGTGGGCTTTGGTTACAGCACCGCAAACAATAGCAACAGTACGGTCTGGTCTCTCTGCAGTCAATTTTTTCGTAATCAATTCATCCAACCATCCTGTGGTAATAGTGTTGTCTTCGAAATCCGGAGTCTCCAACAATTTAATCAAATATTCAACGGTTGTCCTAAAATCTCCTCGGATGCTCAATTCTTTCAATGCAACAACCATGTGTTTCCTTGAAGCTTGACGATTCTCACCAAAAGCAAAAATGTGACCAAACTGGGAATCAGAAAATGAGTGGATCGATGACTGGTTGCTTACAGAAAAGTAACCCCATACGTTAGAAGACGACCTAAAGTTCAATTCATGTAAAGAACCTCCACTTGGTTTGAATCCTTCACCAGGGTCTTCCGAAGTAATACGACAGGCAGTACAGTGACCTTTTGGAGAAGGTCTTCTTTGACTGACAACAGCGTTTTCAGTACTAAATTCGAAATCGATTTCTGTAGCAGAGTGAGGATCAGTACCGTAAAGGGTTCTAATATCTCTGATTCTATGCATTGGAATACCCATGGCAATTTGCAACTGAGCTGCTGGTAAATTCACCCCCGTAACCATTTCAGTTGTAGGGTGTTCAACTTGCAATCTGGGATTCAATTCAAGGAAATAGAATTTGTCTTCGGCATGTGAGTACAAATATTCAACAGTACCCGCACTAACGTAACCAACTAACTTACCCAATCTGACAGCTGCTTTCTCCATCTCGGTAAATGTTTCTTTCCTTGCAATTGTGACAGGTGCTTCTTCAATAATCTTTTGGTGTCTTCTTTGGACAGAACAATCTCTACCAAACAACGAAATATTAGTTCCATATTGATCGGATAATAATTGGACTTCCAAATGTCTAGCATCACCGGCAAGCTTCATAATAAATATTGGTGATCCGGGAATCTCATTTGCTGCTTGGTTGTACAATGTGATAAAGTTCTCTTCACTTTCAACCTTTCTAATACCCTTACCACCACCACCTTCGGAAGCTTTAATCATAACCGGGAACCCAATCTGTTTAGCTTTTTCCAATCCATCCTCAGGTCCTGTACAACAACCTTTGGCGTATACATCTTCAGTCACAGAAACCAAGTTCGTTTCAGGGTCCACGCGAACATCATCAACTCCTGTACCAGACCAAGGAATACATGGGACATCAGCGTGTTGTGCAACAATGGTGGACGAAATTTTATCTCCCAAAGATCTCATAGCAGATCCTGGGGGTCCGATAAAGACAATCTTTTTTGGCGATGCTGCCAACCTCTCTGGTAAAAGCGGATTCTCGGATGCGTGTCCCCAACCTGCCCAGACAGCATGAGCGTCGGTATTTTCTGCAATATCAACAATTAAGTCAACGTTGGCGTGATTGTTGTTGTTTGTTCCTCCTGGTACTTCTACAAACTGATCGGCCATTCTAATATACTCTGCATTTGCTTCCAAGTCTTCGGGAGTTGCCATCACTGTAAATTGTATTGCTCTCTCGTCACCAAACGTTTCGTATGCCCATTTTCTGACTGATCTTATCTCCTTAACGGCAGCAATACCATTATTTGCAATTAAAATACGTGATATGACGGTGTGACCTTGATGTGACTTGACAAAATCGGTAACTTTTGACGGTTCCGCTTTGGAGACGGAATTCAACCCAAGAAAGTGGGGAGCCAAGTTATTATGTAACAATGAATAGTCCAGCATGACGCTTGGGGTGGGTGATGAATCTGACATAACTTGTGAATTCCTCGTGGTATAGAAACGGTGTTGGATGAGTGGTCTATACTGATTAGCGCGAAAGTGTGCTTTAAGTGAAAATCTAGCAATCAGGTTAGTACTACGTTTATTCCATATCATATAAATGACAGCGAAATTGGCACTAGCTAGGATGTTGCTAACGAGCAAGGGATTCAGTGTTGTAAGTATTTAATGTTGCATCGTCTTCTCTTTTTCTTTTTTAGGATCGATGGCGCGCGAAACTTAGCTGCATATTGGTTCCCCGAGAAATAACCAAGACACCTTGCCTGGGTGGATATCACAGTGCTTGAGATATATTATAAGGTGTCCCTGTAGTCGATGCCACTGGATTCCCCATTCCCAACTCATAGCCTGCCGCGTGGATGCTCCAATGAATATAAGCTTTTACATACCTTTTAATGATTGATAGTGAAACGATGAATGGTTCCTTTTGTTCTGTAGTTTAACTCAATTGAAATACTCTATTGTCGATATTGAGACTGTGTCTGGTCGCAAAATCACTTTGTTGATAACTACCTCTAGATTCGATGGTTCGTAACGTAAATGAATAAATTCAAGATCGATAGGATTCGACTAAAACAATGACACTCGGTTCGGTTCAATGAATGAATGAAAGTATGCAACAAATAAAACCTTTTTTTAAATGAAGGAATCAGGTTAGTTATATAATGAGAGAAGCTTAGTTGGGATGAATTTTTTAAAGGTTGAGCTGAAGACTATCACTAAGCTCAACCCTCTTTTGTGTAATGTTGACTGCTTGGATTTTTTGGTTTTTTGGTTTTTTTGTTGAGAGTGGTTCTGCATATAAAAATGATAAAGTCGAAATGACTTACGTCCGAAATGGACTTTTGGTAATGGCTTTACTGTGTTGTATATATATCTCTGTGTTGAAAAGAGAAGGAGATCATATTAACAATTGAGGATGTACTGCATTTGTAAACATTAGCAACCTCTTGGCTCGACTCAACTACAATTCACCTACTTTTAGGACGTGTATTGTATATCCTTTTCGCGACTGTCAATATTTTTTTCAGCTAGTGCGTGTGTGTGTGTGTGTAAATATAATGTAATTATTTTTCTTTTTTTTAAGTCGTACTCCCAACACAAATGATTTTGTTGTATGTTGGGCCAAAATTTTTTTTAAAAAAAAAAAAACTCCGGACTCATATAAAAACTTATTCTGGGATCTTTTGTTTAAGGAATGCAATGTTATTGACGTCAATTGCAGATTATATTTTACGACAAAAGGGTTACAACTGTTCTTTTTATTTACTACTGTCTAATACTACTTCTGTACTACTTTTTAACTTTTAATAATCAAATAATATCGTCCCTATCTATTTCTACAATAGTGGCTGGAATTTTGGTAACATTGGTTGAGGTTTGTTAAATGCCTCGTTTGCATCTGGCTTAAATTGATACGTATCATTTGCATTTGTTCCAACACTGTGTAATGGTGGGGGCAAGATGATCTTGGGTTGCACATCATTATTGACTCCATAGCCTGTATAGTGAGCTTGTTGTGCGCTGTGCAAAGCAGCAAAGTGTTGGATTGGAATCGTTGTTTGAGTCGAAATCTCAAGCTCGATCTCTGGGTTGGCATTTCGAAACACTTTTTCCAACTCCTGATCAGTTTGTATTATCCTGTCCTGATAGCGAAACTCTAATATAGAGTTGTTGATGTTGAATGCACTTTTGGCATTTTCCAAAAGCTCGTAGAACCGGGGCGTTGCTGATAATCCAGATGGATAAAAGAATTCCAACGACTGATTCAAGAATTTCAAAATGATGCGTTTCCTGGGTCCCGAGCTAGCTCTTCTGTCTCCTGTAGGGACCGAACCAGCTTTGGTGAACATTGGTGACTGCGACCTCAGTTTGACACTGAGTGGCACTGCTACGTTCTCACTTTGTATTGTGGACGCTACTTCGGCCAACTTGCTCAAAGAAAATGTGTCTTCAAGTTGAGTTACTGATGTGAATGGTATGGAGTTCCTGCTAATTAAGGGGTATTCTCTAACAACAGAAACGTATAATATTTCGGCCACTGGATTTATTATTTCATCAAAACCAAAATCTTTCACCAACCCACCCAACAAAGTGTACAATGAAATCACTGCAACTTCATCATTAATTGTATTGGTTGTTAGTGGATCCAACTCTCGGAAAAACTTGGCCAAGTAGGTGTCTTGGCATAGCTTGTTTCTTAAATAATCCAACGACTGCTGGTTCACATGCGTAAATGATTTCTCACAAATGTATCCAATGCAACTCATCACAACGGACATACCTAGAAACTGTAAATTACTTGACCTCAAGTCGTTGGTGCTTTCATTACATGTTTTAGACCTCTCAATCTTGTTAATAATTGCCTTTTTTGCAACCTCCGCCAGCGGCAGGTTAACCTCAGGCGACGCAAAATTAGATAAAGGAGGTAGTCTTGGCTTAGTCATATGTTCAATCATATCCACGGCATGGTCGTTAGACGAAAATTGTTTTGTTCTATTGTAGTTGACGTCGTACACCTCGTCTTCATGTTGTACTATTTCCGACAAGAACCGATCATTCCCAGCCTCTTCGCTTGAAGAAGTGCTGTTTCTTTTTGATCTCTTTTTACTAGCTTCCTCGGTTCTGCTATGCTGGTCTCTTTCTCGCTTGAGATTACGTTTCCTATTTCTTCTGACGGACTGAACCGCAGCTCGTACCAACTTGTCAAAGTCATCAGTATACGACTCGTCATACCCAAACTCTATTCGCAATGTCTCGGCAACTTTTCTAATTTCCAACTCTTGTTCACTAGCCTTTCTCGAACTTAGGTCCATCGTATCTATCAACTCTAGTCTTCGTGCGCTAAAGCGTTTCCATAGTCTGTCATCAAGAAAGTTTAATTTGTTCCGTATGGAATGAGTCACTCCAAGCTTAGAGGACTTGTAGGAGTCTGTATTTCGATTATACGTCGAGCTTTGTGAAGTAACCTCAAGCATAGTCTGTATATGTTGTGTAAGTAGTGCTGGAAAAGGTTGAAAATGGGTTTCAACTTTGAAGCGAATGACTCTGAATCAACAATTTTTTATAAGCGCTACCGAATGTGACCGTCTATATGCAGGTTTACGGCACCACCAAATGCCGTTTTGGTACAGCAGCTGATCAGACTCTTGACAGAAAAAAAGCTTAGCGTCAGGATAGCAGGGAGTGTTACGCTTTACATTGAATCTGTACTGGTATAGTCTTTAACTTGTAAATACTTTTCTTCAAGAAGCATTTCATGGCAAAACGAGGAATTCTCACTTAGCTGTTTAAAGCCGACAAATTCATCCAACATTTTGCGTAAATCTGAAGCAAATATTTTCAAATTATAGCCAACAATGCCATTCATAAGCAACATGAATAATTGGGATCCAAGTTCTAACCATGGTGGACACTAAAACCACCCCCCTTTGATAACTGAGAACTTCTACATGGAGTCAAGCTATGTTCAAAATCGGTAGCGTTGTTTGACCTCAACGCGCGCTACCTCACCCTAAATATGACTAATTTGGTAACCCAGATTAAGCGCGCTTAACTGGGATGGAATGTTTTTTCTTATTTTTTCAACAAACTGATAACTATAAATTAGATTGAAGAATGGAAAAAAAATTTTTCTCCTAGAATTGTCTTTCTTTTATTCAACAACTTATTGAATTAATATCACATCATGTCTAAAGGAAAAGTTTGTTTGGCTTACTCTGGAGGTTTAGACACCTCAGTTATCTTAGCCTGGTTATTGGAACAAGGATATGAAGTAATTGCGTTCTTGGCCAACATTGGTCAAGAGGAAGACTTTGACGCTGCTGAAAAAAAGGCTCTAGCCATTGGTGCCACCAAGTTTGTCGTTGTCGACGTTCGTAAAGAATTTGTTGAAAAGGTTTGTTACCCCGCTATTCAAGCCAATGCGGTTTACGAAAATGTATACTTGTTGGGAACCTCATTGGCTAGGCCAGTTATTGCTCAAGCTCAGATCAAGGTTGCTGAAGAAAATGGATGTTTTGCCGTGAGCCATGGGTGTACTGGTAAAGGTAACGATCAAGTTAGATTCGAATTGAGTTTCTACGCCTTGAAGCCAGATGTTGTTGTGATTGCCCCATGGAGAGATCCCGAGTTTTTCAATAGGTTTGCCGGAAGGAAAGACTTGTTGGACTATGCTGCTGAGAAAAATATACAGGTTGCACAAACCAAGGCAAAGCCATGGTCTACTGATGAGAATTTAGCTCACATCTCCTTTGAGGCAGGTATCTTGGAGGACCCAAACACCACTCCACCAAAGGATATGTGGAAGTTGACTGTTGACCCAACGGATGCTCCAAATAAGCCCGAAACATTTTCCGTTGTTTTCGAAAAAGGTTTGCCTGTTCAGTTGATCTTGGATGAGCAAAAGAAGACCATTACTGAACCCGTTGAGTTATTTACCGAAGCAAACGCTTTAGCCAGAAGGAACGGTGTTGGAAGAATTGATATTGTTGAAAATAGATTTATCGGTATCAAGTCAAGGGGCTGTTACGAAACACCAGGTTTAACTTTGTTGAGATCCACCCATATTGATTTGGAAGGATTGACTATGGACCGTGAAGTCAGAGCCATTAGAGATCAATTTGTAACACCTACGTGGGCCAAGATATTGTACAATGGTATGTATTTTACCCCTGAAGGTGAATATGTCAGATCTATGATCCAACCGTCTCAAAACACCGTTAATGGTGTTGTTAGAGCTGCTTGCTACAAAGGATCGTTGTCGATCTTGGGAAGGTACTCAGACACTGAGAAGTTGTACGATGAAACAGAATCTTCAATGGATGAATTGACTGGTTTCTCTCCTGAAGACACATCTGGATTCATTGCTGTCCAAGCTATCAGAATCAAAAAGTATGGTGAAGCTGCCAGAGAAAAAGGTAATCATTTGCAGCTTTAAATTGTATGTAAACTAAATCTCATTTGTCCATGTTCTTAATGTCTGTAGAACCTGTGCTGGGTTTTTGGGTAAGCTCGCTTTTGCACCTTGGTTCGTTTTGCTAGACTCGAGATGCCGCTCAAGGTGTTGTACCCAGACGCGTATTATCTCAAGTCCCTTTGCACGGCCGATATCCTCTGCAAACTCGTCCTTATGATTGGCGTAGTAGATTGCGCTAAGCCAGATAACTTTGTTGAACATGGGGAATCTAAACTTTGTAGGAACCTTTGTGATTCTCTCTATATCGTAAATCTTCAACTGTGTAGGCATATCGCGCAATGTCAAGTAGTTTCCTCCAAGTACAAGAGAGTCTTGTGGGGTGTGCACACAGTGGATCCATCCACTGGGGATTATAAACAAGTCCCCCGGTTGTAGAGAGACTTTGAATCCCCCGGTTGGGTAGACTTTTTCCTTATTGCGGAATATAAAATGTTCAGGGTACCAGATAAAGTTTTGATTTGGTTCTAAGCACCACGAGGTGTATATGTCAAGATTGTCTTGAGTTGGTGGAAACATGAGGAAAGATTTACAGCCCTTGATAACAGTGTAATAAACTGAGGTGCCTCCGAAATCAATGTGGAAATCGGTAAATGAATCCTTTACCGACATTAAGCAGTACTTGGTAACTTTACTGCGTTCCTGTTTATCATCCTTATCCCACACCTTATCCACTAAATCCATGTCACGAACCATTTTAGGTCGTTCAAACTCGGTACCCAATTCAGGAGCATTTGATATTTCTAGAGATATTACATTGCGTAGTCTATCGCGATGTGCTTCGTCTGTTTTGAAATATTCACGCCATTGGTGTAGTTTCCAACCCGGGGTAACTCCTTGCTGCGATATCACATCCATAACTTCAACCGGTTCTTCCGGTCCACAGCATTCAGTAATGTAGTCGATAGTGAATTCCTTCCGAGGTCGTGGTAGCTTCATATCTACAAGGTTACAATCAGCATTTGGAACGAGAATTGGTTTTTCCATCCAAAGGGCTTGGTCTTTGGTTAAATCTCTTTGTATTGATATGTTCTTTTCACCTGTGAATTGCAAGAACTTGGGAAGTTGAAAGTGAGAAGCTTTATCTAGAGCAAATGCGTCACCTTCATTCAATGCCACGTAGTCTATCAGGACTCTAGACCTCTTTGATTTTCTCTTGTACTTGGAGGGTCCATATTTGTGAGCGCAAGTTTTGCAATGGTATGATATAAAGTCGCCCAAGTTGTGGTCGGGGATTTCTAAGCATTTCGAATGAAGCCATTGCTTGCATTTTGAGCATTGGATCCACATCACATTGTAATCATCGTATGCCCCTGCACATATGGGGCACTCATCTTTTGACATCTTTGAGTGGTGTGATTGATAAAAAGAAAAATTTTAGAAAAAAACTCGAGAACCCCAGAAAATACACTTTCTGATTAGGACAATGAGAATCAATCTGCTACGTACGCTATGCAACTTCCGTCAGTCGAGGTATCTCCTGTTGACACCAGAGAAGAATCAACACCAGCAGCAAAAGTTTCTTGAGGAGTACAAGATAAGAACTATGTTGGAGCAGCCGATATTCCACTACTCGAGGAAACCACTACCACAGCTTCTGTTGAGCCAGTTGTACAGCCAATCGGAAAAGCTATCGCCTAGTTTCATTCTCCAGAATGCTAGGGAGACAATTGAACACTTACTTATCTACAATGCTAGACGATTGCGCGAGTTTCGAAGTCTTCCTTATCTTGTTGTTCTCAATCCGTCGATTCTGGAGAGTTACGACTCTTACCTTCAGCTGATGAGTTCTTTGTTGAAGGCTAGCTTATACACACCGCATACACTCGAAGAGAATACTGAGTTTGCTGAAAAGGTTTTGAGCGAGTTTATCGATATACACGCTGATACCTTGCCCAGCTTATCCAAGGGTTTCGCCGAGGTGAGCAATCTCTTGCATATGAAGCAGATTAGTCAATTTTTGGATCGCCATTTGAAAGAGAGAATAAGTATGCGTCTTATTGCCCATCAACATATCGAGTTGTCGCGGTCAATTGCTAGTCCCAATTTTACCAAGGGGAGATACAACGGTGTGGTAAAACTACTTCATTTACCTGACGTGATTAAAAAGAATGCAGAAGTAGTGAATGATATAACAATGATGAAATACGACCAGTCTGTACAGGTGAAGATTGACACAAATTTGAAATCTGGAAACTACTGGAGCCAAGCTGACCCGGGTCTTGAAATTTCAAAGGATGAAATTTTGAACTTTCCATACATAGAGTACCACTTGGATTACATATTCATGGAACTTTTTAAAAACTCGTTTAGGGCACAAATTGAAAACAATGTTTCTGACCCAGTAACAGTTACAATATCAACGTCTCAAAAGTCGCCCCGATTTATGGAGATTCGGATAAGGGACAAGGGGAAAGGTATACCGCAAAAAACGTTGCTGCATATTTTTGACTACTCTTTCACCACCTACGAGAGTAATGAAGGGGAAGCTTTCAAAACATTAAATGTTCCACCTGAGCATCTCGGTGGTGGGCACTCGGTTGCAGGAATGGGATTTGGATTGCCTTTGGCAAAGCAATACATTGAAGTGTTTAATGATACGGTTTCTGAATTGAATGAAACAAAGGGGCTGTTGACTGTGCAGACGTATCCCAGGTGGGGAACCGATGTGTATTTAAAGACAGTGGGTCAATAATTTGTAGCAGTAGTAGTAAGCGCCTGGTGTGTAGTGTGGAAACAATAGCACAAAGTCGAATTATCAACAAATCTGAAAAAAAAAGAAAAACAAAAAAAAAAATTGCAACTAGCATTGGACTTTCATCTAGCTACTTTGCATTCAACTATGAGCGACTTCTACATTGTTATCTATACTAGCACAACTTGTGACAACTCGAACACATATGTAACAAAGGACTCAACCGAGCTAATTTCTTTGGCTTGGGCGGTAATAGATGTGACAACCTTGGAGATAATACATGAGGAAACCATCTTGGTTCGTCCTATGAATACACCAATTACGCCCTTTTGTCAACAAAAGTATAAGCTAACATGGGAGCATGTTCGTAATGCCGGATCATTCAAAGATGCTATAAACAAGTTAGACCAGTATGTTCAGGAAAACATTGTCTCACAGGACAAAGAGTTTCTGTTTGTTACGTTTGAGATGCCAAACTTGAGAGCTCAGCTTCCAAGAGAAGCACGCGACAAAGGTGTTGTGTTGCCGCCGTACTTGCAGCATCCACGATTGTTTGACTTGCCAACAGAGTACTCGAAATGGCTTACCAGTCACCCTGAAGCTTTATCGTATACGGCGTCATCACTTTCAAACATGATGACAGCTTTGGAAGTGGGGGGAGAGGACTCTATAGAAGGAGAGGCACTGTTGAAAGTTTACACTAAAATCACCATTCAGTTGATGAAAAAATCCCTCCCGTTGGAAGACCACCCTACTGTTTTCACCAAGCCTTATGATATTGCCGAGGATGTCAAAGCATTTGTTTCTGAAGGATCAAAAGTGCTTTACCTTTCCAATTTGCCGAGTGATACCACTCAATCGGAGTTGGAGTACTGGTTCACCCAGTATGGAGGGCGACCAGTAGCCTATTGGACGTTAAAAAGCACCGAGGAGAGGACAATTAACAAAGGTAGCACGGGGTTTGCCGTTTTCGGTACCCACGAAGAGGCAACTGAGTCACTAGCGATGAATGGAAAGGCGCTAGGTGATCGCGTGATTGAGGTACAGCCCTCATCGACAAAGGTGCTTGATAAGGCTAGTGACTTGCTAACTCCTTTCCCTCCTTCCAAGAATAGACCCAGACCTGGTGACTGGACGTGTCCGTCATGCGGGTTTTCCAATTTCCAACGAAGAACACATTGTTTTAGGTGCTCTTTTCCTGCAACCAGTGCAGTAGCGATACAGGAGTCAATATACTCAGGTAATCAACGCAAGAATGAAGATCAAAAGGTTGAACAACCACAGACGGCGAATGGAGATGGAAACAATAGTAATGGCAGGCACAGTGTGCCATTCAGAGCCGGAGACTGGAAATGTGACATGTGCCAATACCACAATTTTGCCAAAAACATGTGCTGTTTAAAGTGCTCATCCGCGAAACCAATTTACAACACACATGGCAATGCCATTCATAATGTCAACTCTACTGCTGCGGCAATTGCTGCTGCCACTGCCAGTGGACAACCTTTAAATTTGAATAACAATTTTGTGAACTTGCATCAGTTTCGTCAACCAGCACGAAACAGCCCTAATCTTGCAGGGGCCCATCATCCACCACTGAGAGACGATACTGCTTTGAGTGAGAAGATGCATTCGCTAGATTTATATTAAATTGTTGGAAAAAAAGACAACACACGAGAAAAAACTTAAAAAAAAACAGAGTAAATAAATTAATAAATTAATATACTGACACGTAAGAAGAACCGACAACATAAGCAATGACAGCTAACAAGTATTCCGTTATTTTACCGACTTACAATGAGAGAAGGAACTTGCCCATCCTTGTCTACTTGTTGAATAAAACATTTACCGAAAACAAATTGGACTGGGAGGTGGTTATCGTCGACGACAATTCTCCTGACGGGACACAAGAGATTGCCAAAAAATTAATTGACATTTTCGGCCCCGAACACATTCAATTACGTCCAAGAGCTGGTAAGTTAGGATTGGGTACCGCCTACGTTCATGGTTTGCAGTATGTCACTGGAAACTTTGTAATCATTATGGACGCAGACTTTAGCCACCACCCAGAAGCTATCCCTGAATTCATTGCTAAGCAAAAGACCGAGGACTATGACATAGTTACTGGAACTAGATATGCAGGAGATGGGGGTGTTTATGGCTGGGATTTCAAGAGAAAGTTAATTTCAAGGGGTGCCAACTTTCTAGCCACTGTAGTACTCAGACCGAATGTCAGTGATTTGACTGGAAGTTTCAGATTGTACAAGACACCAGTGTTGAAAAAGATTATTGATGTTACTCAGTCTAAGGGGTACGTTTTCCAAATGGAAATGATGGTGAGAGCTAGAAGCTTGGGCTTTACTGTGGGTGAAGTGCCAATCAGCTTCGTAGATAGATTATACGGTGAGAGTAAGCTAGGCGGTGATGAGATTGTGCAGTATGCTAAAGGTGTTTGGTCTTTATTTACCAGTGTTTAGGGCGCGTGTATAAAGGAAAAATGAAAAAAATGTGAAAAAGATGAAAATATAGAAAATCAAAAGTAAGATCTCTCCTCCCTCAATGAAAGACACGTATTTGAAAAAGATTCTTGGAGGGAAATGTTTCAACAAAATCCAAAGTGCTAGAGTGTTGATGGTGGGTGCTGGCGGGTTGGGCTGTGAATTGTTGAAAGATCTTGTTTTATCAGGGTACGGCGAGATTCACATTGTTGATTTGGACACCATAACCTTGTCCAACTTGAACCGTCAATTCTTGTTTCGCAAAACTGATATTGATAAGTCAAAGTCATTAACAGTTGCCAAAGCGGTGGAGTCATTCAATTACCTTGGTGCTAAGCTTGTGCCCCATCATGGAAATGTAATGGACACCAAACAATTTCCCTTGGAGTGGTGGCAACAATTTGACTACATATTCAACGCGTTGGACAATATTGAAGCAAGACGATATGTGAATTCAATGTGCTTGTTGTTGAAGAAGCCGCTAATGGAGAGCGGAACTGAAGGCTACAATGGCCATGTGTGTCCCATCTTGCCTTACTACAGCGCGTGCTTTGATTGCCAGGCACATGTGGCACCAAAAACGTACCCAGTGTGCACAATCAGATCGACCCCTTCGCTTCCTGTCCACTGTATCACTTGGGCAAAAGAGTTTTTGTTTTATCAGTTGTTTGATGAGGTTGAAGATAGTGGTTTAAATGACTCCGAGGCAATCTCCAAGGAAACTGATAACGATGCCGAGATTGAAAACTTGGCGAAAGAAGCGAATGAGTTAGCTGAGCTACGTGCAATGATTGTGAACTCAGACAAGGACACCTTCTTCAGGGAGTTGGTTAACAAGATATTCAGAGTGGATATTGAGCGGTTGTTGCAGATTGATGCCTTGTGGCAGACGAGACGCAAGCCAACGCCATTGCACTTGGAAGAGTATAAGTTGGATGTATCAGATTTGCTGGAGACAAAGAATTGGACAATTGCCGAAAACTTGTACGCTTTATATGTGTCAAGCGCCAACATTCAGCAGAGATTAAAAGAAGAACAATACGTGGCATTTGATAAGGATGATGATGATACGATGACGTTTGTTGCCGCTGCGTCGAACTTGAGATCATTTGTCTTTCACATCGAAACCAAATCAAAGTTTGATATCAAGGAGATTGCCGGCAACATCATTCCAGCAATTGCAACTACTAACGCATTCATTTCTGGTTTTGCTAGTGCCATTGGTACACAGTATTTCAAGCACGAAAAAGCTACTTTGGAAAATACTCATCTATTACACACGTCACTGGCAGCCAAACATGCGGTTGTATCTGCACCAATTGGTCCACCGAATCCGGAATGTCCCAGCTGCTCGGCCTATCGTGGAGTGTTGCATGTAAGCCGACATGATTTCGACTCGTTGACGTTGCAATGGCTCGTTGATCAATTAGTTCCTTTATACAAATCGGACATTTCAATCCAAGTTGGCCAATCAAAGTTGATCTATGATGTGGATTTTGATGATTATGCTCTAGATAAGCTAAGCCAAGTTCCCGACTTCAAAAACGGGGAGACTATTCTCGTACAGGACGACTCGAATCGCTTAGACAATCTCATCTTGTACTTGGCTGTTGGCAATGAGACGCGTTTTCCACCAGTCAAATTGAAAGAGAAACCCGTTAAAGAAGAGAGTGATTTGGATGGCAGCGATGATGACGGATTCGAATTGATAGAAGGTGACAACTCGTCGGACGTGGAAATTATCGAGGAACCTCCTTTGAAGAGAAAGCGTGTGTAACAATTTAGAAAAGTAGTCAATAATGTATTATATAATGGTCCAAATGAAAAGTTGGCCGAACCTTCTTCTAGGGCATGGAGGAGATAATTGAGTTACATGTTAAAGTCACTGTTATTATATCTTATTTTTTCCTCAACTTGACCCACGATGTGTTTGCCAGCTATAGAGATAGTTGCAATAAAGAGGAACATTCGCAAGAGGGTTAAAAGATAAATGATATTTATTTTATCTATTTGATTTAATAACCCACGCCAATCAAATAATCTGCTAGTTTTTCGACAATGGTTGTTGCCTCTCCAGGTTGCACGCCTGCTGGATAGTGGGCAATCAAAATTGCTTGTTTAGTTCTGACGCAGATCAACCCCTCCGCTTCGTGTTTACCGTAAATTGACCTCTCATCATTACGTAACAAGAAATATTTTTGTCCTTGTGCGTGTAGGCCGTGACTTTGTAAACCTGAAGCGTCGTCAAAGCCAGTAGCAATCTCTGTGATTTCTTTGGGTTGCAATTGGAATGATCCTGATTCGGCCCATAAGGAGTCTCCTGCTCTTGAATATAAAGCGGCTTTATCGATTTTGCCTGTGCCAATTAAATTCTCGGTGTATGCATTCCACGACATTGTTTTTAGTGCTGTTTGATTTGATTCAATTTGATTAGGATTAGCTATGGCGACGTATAAGCAAAGGTAAAAAAAAAAAAATCAAGAGTGTTGAAAAATAATCGATCTTGTTGAACTTAATTATACGCACGTGACTACATCAAAAGTTTAAGCACAGTATAGTAGGATTTAGGATATATAGTTCATATCAAACAGTATTCACTGTTCTAGCAACTCATTATATTTTTAGATCTTATAGTTCAGTTCATCAACACCGTCCATTTTCTTAGGTAAGCGTACGGCAATACCCAAGGGATAAATTTGGACACTATCAATGTTCCAAATTCCTTCTTTGTAGTATATGTCCTTCTTTAAAAACTCGATGATATCCTCTCTCGAATTGGACGCCAAGTGGAAAGTACTTCCAGCAAACTTAGTCTTTGATTCATCTGTGTAAATGGCACCAGCAGCACGAACCGGATTAGGGACATTGGCAGGAATATCGGCGACATGTTGTGGACGAACTTTCGTTCTGTCAGCATTGGGGAAATCATAAACGGTAACCAAGTATTCAGAAGACATTGTGCGCAAGCTGGATGAGAGTCTTCTAATCGACTTTAACATTGTTGTTGAACAATTTTTTAGAATTTTCGTGGGGGGGTGGAAATTTTTTGACGTGTCGTGATATTTACGACACACACAGGTTATCACGATAGTTCTTTATGTACCGCTTTTATTGTAACTTATCTAGACACGGGGTTCTCTTTCACTGGTCTCCTTTCTATACAACACAGTCAACAACACCACATTAAACAATCCCAAGATAAAAAACGGTCCCAAAATCCACACGTCTGCAATTAACCCACCAACTAGGGTGATAATCATAATGCCCAAGCCACCGGCAAAGCTGTAAAGGCCGCTCAACGACCCCATTATTTGATGGGCGTTATCTATCCCACTCAAAATACTCATGCTGCTGATGATCAACCCTATCTGTGACAACCCAATAATACTCACAGCTACAAAACACCACACCGTTTTGGGGTTGTAATCCGACAAGTGGGTGTTAACTAGACTCAACCCAAAGTTTCCCACAACACCAAACAACCCAGCAAGTCCAAGCGATCGAAACTTGCCAGCTGAATCCCCCAAATAGCCCCAAAATGGAGCAGATACAAGAGCAACAGTTTGTGCCACGCCGGTCAAGATTGCTGAAAATACGTAACCGTCATAGCATGTCATTTTACCTGCCCAGTTGTCCTTTGTCTTACATTCACCAATGTTGTAATACCAATTGTAAACTACCAATGGTATGTAGAGAGAAGTAGCAACCGTGGTAGACCTCGCCACAAATGCACCAACGAAAGCTAGCTGTGCTTCCTTGTTGCCTTTGGAAAAGTTTATTCCTTCGCGAAGAAACTGGTAAGTGCCATAACGCGTTTCTTCTACTTGCTTCTTGGGTTTATAGAGGAGCGTAAAAAGCAAAGCAAATGAGATCAACGCAAACCCCATGACCGTGATGTAGGAGCTTTTAAGGCTCGATTTCAAGTCACTTTGTGACCAATCAGCAAACTTCACCGGTAAAGTAACTAAGGTGGAAACCGAAAAAATTGCACCTAAACCAGTTGCTATTCCCATCACGGCTGCTAGATTACTATTTTTTGGTGACACCACTGTTTCTTGCTCCTCCTCCTCTTCCTCTCCCTGTCCCTCCCTCTCTCTAGAATCAACCGGTTGGTACTGTGCCCTCCAGAACAACAACTTTGCAAAGACAAAATCCGATATTGAGAGCTGATTCAACATCACCGTCACCATACTCATGCAGCCTGTCACACCCAAAGCAAAGATCCCCCTAAGAATGAACATCATGGGAACCAAATTATCATTCAATGCATACCCAAGTAAAGCCAATGCAATCACAATGAAACTGAAACTTTGAATAGTTCTTGCGCCAGCAACTCCCAGCGAGGACAACCTATCATTAATACCTCCTAGTATGGGAGCTGTTGACATTGAAACTACTTCATCAAAGAATCCCAATCCTCCAACAATGTAACCTATTTTCGTGTCTTTAGTACTTCCTGGCTTTGGTTGAATTCCAATCACCTCGGTAATGTAAAAAGGTTGGGTGGATATTAAAAAGACAATTATAGCTATACATGAAAACCCGGCATAGTTGAATGCAGCATAGTTCACTGCTGTGTAGTTTCTTAGCTTTGGAATCATGGTTAAAGAAGAGAGTTGTAGGGCACCGAGATCGGGGGAGGAATATACCGCTACCACTTCTAAAAATAAGAGCTGTTGACAGACCCACAGCTCTTACTCTAAAGAGAGAAAACCTTGTTTTTCCATCCGCCGAGTAAAAGAAAAATTCTTGGGAATGGATTAAACGAATGTGAAAAGGGGTTTATAATGGACAAGAAAAATAAGAAAATAAGAGAATGAGTCAAAAACAGTATCTATGGCCCATGTGGCACCTCATTTAATATGAAGGTTACTAATTATGGCTTGAATAGACTGCCTGGAATTGGAGAGATTTGGGAGGTATATTGTTTTGAGTAAATGGGGACAGAGACTTTTTTTCAAGAAACTATAACTCAGGACGCTGCGAGGCTAGTTTCATAAGATGATATTAGAATGCACCTCAATACAGCAATGTTACAATATTCAAGTCGGGGATGTACGACACAATGCCGTCAAATTGGGACCACAATTGGAAAAATTATCTATTACATGCCAAGATATTTTAAAACCATTAATTAATCCCCCTATGAAGTAGCCCATGTGGTATTGCCAGGAAGCACCAAAGGGCCTCTGTTGTTTGCGTGATAAGAACGCTGGAATGCTTAAAAGAGATACATTTTTGAGGAAGAGGCATAGGTAGGTGAACTCTATCGGCAGACCACACGGGGAGGGGGAGGGGGAAGGGAGGGTAATAATTGCAACCACGTTAGAAACTAAGAATCTACAAGGGGGTGGGGGTTGAAGTAGTTGAATGAAGGCAATTGACTAACTACGCCACTAAACCTTAAATAAAGTAGCCCATGTGGGCTTATGTTGGCGCTGTGTGGTATAAAATGGGTGCAAATTTCCTCTTATTGATGATTTTTCATTTACAGTAACCAACAATGGCTTTCATCTTTCCCAAGTTACTAAACGTTTCCGTATTAGCGCTCGCTGTTTACTTCTACATCTTTTCTGAGATTCAAGCTGCTCCGATTGACAACTCGGTCCCCTCCAAAAAGAATATCATCTTCTTAGTTGGTGATGGTTTGGGGCCAAGTGGTGTCACCTTAGCCAGATACTTTAGACAATACAAGGAGGACTTGCCCATCAATGACTACTTGGAGTTGGACAAATATTTGATTGGTATGCAAGGTCATAGATCTAACTCTAGTTTGATTACAGATTCTGCTGCTGCTGGTACAGCGTTAGCTACAGGCAAGAAAACCTACAATGGAGGAATTAGCGTTGATGCTGATGGATTTCCTACCGGTGCCATTGGAGAAGCATTAAAGTTAAAAGGTTATACTACTGGTGTTGTTGTTACTACAACCGTCACTGATGCTACCCCATCTGTTTGGTTTGCCCATGCCAAGAACAGAGCTTCTCAGGACTTGATCGCTGAACAAATGGTTGGTGAGATCCATCCCTTAGGATTTGTTCCTTCGTTGATCCTTGGTGGTGGTAGAGAGTATTTTTATGGCTTGGACCAAGGTGGATTGAGAAAGGATAATAGAAGTTTGATTGAGGAAGTGCAGAATAATGGAACGTGGACTTATGTTAGTGATAGAGCTGGTTTTGACTTGTTGGATGAAGGCAAAAATGTTGAGTTGCCGTTGTTGGGTTTGTTTGCTGAAGATGACTTTCCTTACAGGATTGACAGAGATGATTCTGAGTACCCAAGTTTGGTTGAACAAACGAGAGTTGCTTTAAATGCGTTGGCTAACGCTACTGCTGAATCCGACCAAGGTTTCTTTTTGCTTATTGAATCTTCGAGAATCGATCATGCAGGTCATGCCAATGATTCGCCAGCTCACGTTGCTGAAACTTTGGAATATGATGACACAATTGCTGAGGTTTTCAACTTTATTCAAAACACCGATGTTGATACCGTTGTTATGGCCACTGCGGATCACGAAACTGGTGGTTTGGATCTTATGTCAAATTCATTTGATACGTATGATGCTATTGCAAATGCCACTCATTCTGCTGAATACTTGTCCAACGCAATTTCAGATTTTGAAGACAAAGAAAATACTGATGAATTAACTGCCTTTATCAAAAGTACTATCTTTGAAGAAGGCTTAGGTTTGGGCAACTACACTGATGAAGAAGTTGATAGAATTGCAAATTTGGTTGCTGCTGGAAAGGAAAGCAGCTTGTTGACCACTATTTCTAATTTAACAGCTTCACGGGCTGAAACCTTTTGGGCCTCCATTCAACACACCTCTGTTGATGTTGGGATGTATGCTTTCTCCAACTCTCCCTACTTGATGCAAAAAGTGTTAAATACCAAGGATGGTTTGGCCGGATTTCATGAAAACATTGATTTCAGTGTGTTTATCAAGTCCATTGCTGATATTGATTTGGAGGATGTTACAGAAAGAGTTGCTGATATTGCGCTTGAGTATTAGCCAAAAGTTGGCTGACAAGTTCGTTAAAAAAAGTTTTTCGGTTTATATCTTTTTTATTTGAAATTGTATGAAAATTGCTTATTATAGTTTTCTCTTGGGGTAAAGAAAAAATGAAAAAAAAATACGATTTTGCAACAATAGAATGGTAGCTCACAGAACGTGACAATTTCAAAATGCACCTAATGCTAATCTTTGTACTTTTTCTTGGAACTTGCGCCTCCACACAACAGACTTTTGGTTTCTAATTTGGTATCCGCTCTGCATATCCGTGAGAAATGAAGCGAATTTTTGAGTTACTAAGACAACATCAAATGATGCTGGTGAGATTACAATGTAAAAAGGTGTTTCATTTATCAGCTTTTATGTCACAAAGTCTACGGAGAAAATCATTTTTTTGACAAGAAAATTTCTTATCAGACTGGAGAAATACAAACGTCAAAATGGAAAACGCCGTAAAAGAAATTGATGAAAGAGGCTTGTCTCTTGTAATTGTAACTTGAAAAATCAAATTTGGCGGGAGTGGCTCTATGGGCCCATTTGTGGGCAATAGCTTGTACTTGGTAGCAGATGTGGTCACTGTCAATGGTCTTTCACCAGATGCAGTTTTTTTTCCGAAACTACAGAGCTTTAGAAAATACGAAGATCACGCCAAGATATTGCGTTCAGCCAAGCCGAAACCTACGCACGGCACGAAATTTATAAAAACCATCTCCACATAACTTTATCATCTTCCAGGATCTCTAAATTTCATTACTCTCAATACACTGATTTCTGTGTTTGTTTTTGAATGATGAAAGGTTTAAATACTAGGAAACGTCGTTGTAATTTCTGAATGCAACCCCTCTCTCTCTGTAAAGTATCAAAATGAGATCAAGTATTTCAAGTGATTTTGAAAAAGCGCAGAAAGTTGACATCAAAACAAATGAACAGTCATCTGTTGATGATGAAGAATACGATTACGACGACCCCAAAAACTACAGCAACGATTTTATTGACGAGTACAATCCAAGAGGGTTACGAGTTCCAACAAAATCTGAAGAGCAAACATTGAGAAGAGTGGTAGGTAAGATCAATTTTGCAATCATTTTGATTTGTGTCGTGGAATTTTCAGAGAGAGCTTCTTACTACTCGGTCACTGGTATCTTAACAAACTTTATCCAAAGACCTTTGCCTGAAAAATCCCCTCATGGTTGGGGTGCCCCTGCGTCAACCAGTGGAAGTGAAAGTGCGGGTGCTTTGAACAGAGGATTACAAACTGCAAGTGCCTTGTCAAACTTGGTTACCTTTTTAGCTTATGTTGTGCCTTTGTTTGGCGGTTACTTGGCCGATACTACTTGGGGAAGATGGAAAACTATTCAGTGGGGGGTTGTATTTGGTGGCGTCTCTCATGTGTTGTTCATCGTCGCAGCAGCTCCTAGTCTCATTACTAATGGAAAAGCTGGTTTGGCAATTTGTATTCTTGCAATATTCACATTGGCACTTGGATCAGGATTCATCAAGCCGAATCTTTTGCCATTGATGTTGGATCAATACCCAGAATCTGGTAACAGAGTGAAGGTGTTGAAAAGTGGTGAAAAGGTTCTTGTCGATAGGGAAAAGACATTGGAAAGTATCACTTTGGTTTTCTATTGGTCAATCAATATCGGATCATTCTTTCAATTGGCAACCTCCTATTGTGCTAGACGTGTTGGGTTTTGGTTGGCTTTCTTTGTGCCATTGATCCTTTATCTTTTCATGCCACTTGCATTTTGGTGGGTTAAGCCAAGGTTAGTATTTGAGAAGCCAAGTGGTTCAATATTGGGTGTCGTGATCAAGGTTCTTACCGTGTCCTTTTCGGGCAATTTCATCAAACGTGTTTTCGATGGCACTTTCTGGGACTATGCTAAGCCGTCCGTTATGAAAGCGAGAGGTCGTGAATACTTCAACGCCAAAAAGCAAACTCCAATCAATTGGACCGACCAGCATGTTCTTGATGTTAAACAGACTTTGAATGCATGCAAGTTGTTCATTTATTTCATTCTCTACAACTTGGCTGATAATGGGTTGTCTTCTGTCACCACTTCGTTAGCTGGTGCGATGAATTTAGCTGGGGTACCAAACGATTTGTTTAACAATTTTAATCCACTTGCTATCATTGTTATAATTCCCATTTTGGATTACATCATTTATCCACTTTTAAGAAGATACAGAATCAATTTTCGACCAATTCACAGGGTTTTTCTTGGATTTGTCATTGCCTCCATGGCTCAAGTGGCTGGTGCTGTTTTGCAACATCGTGTCTACCAAACTTCACCTTGTGGAAACCACTCAACCAATTGTCCTGAGCCATCGCCAATCAGTGCTTGGCTGGCTTCTTCCTTTTTCATATTAACGGGTGCTTCTGAATGTTTTGCCATGGCCACTATTTATGCTCTTGCCTACACTAGAGCAGCTCCCGCAATGAAAGGAGTCACCACTGCATTATTTCTATTTACAATGGCGATTAGTGCTGCTATTAGTTTGGCAGTCACTCCAGCATTGAAAGACCCTTATTTGGTTGTTGTTTTCGCCGTTGTGGCCGGTGCTGCATTTTTAGCTGGTGTTATATTATTGGTGCATTTCTTCAATTTGCACAGGACAATGGAACAGGAAGAACAGGAAAGGATTGCCATGGGCAAAGAGATAACTGATGAATTGGAGCCGGTTAGTAGTTTTCAGCCAGTAGGTGCCGTGACCTCCAAATCCTGATCTGAAAAGAATGAGTTTTTATAGGAGCTTTATTAATGATACGATCTATCAATATATTTGTCTCTCTCTAATATATTTTTTTTCTTTTTTTTCTTTACTGTGAAAATATATATTGCAAAGCAGAAAATTTTCTTTGCTTTACTTACACCCATCCTCTCAATCAATAATGCTAGAGGTGTTGATTACAATCATTCCCTCGGTATGCTGGCTACTATACCACTTCTATACCATATTGCAAACGCCGGTTGAAAAAATCGTTCAAGATTTGAATATCGAGATACCACATATACCAAACATCTGCATAGACTCAATAAATGAGTCTTCGATTGTGATCCACTGGGATATAGAGGTGAACAGTGATGAAAACTTGTATTACATTGTTGTAATTAATGGGCAAGAGGTGGCTACATTAACATCGACGTCTTGCAGATTGAACAACTTGGAACCCAAGCAAGTTTACACCGTTGAAGTCGTTGCCAGTAATACGATAACAAATTTCAAGTCCAAGTCGAGGGCTGTCTATGTGCAGACTTTGAATAAAGACGATGTGAAGGAATTCGTGGAAAAGACCGACCTTTTGGAACCGGTGCCTACTGAGTCAAAAGTTGGTGACGAAAACTTGAATGCAATAACGATTGAACAAATAAAGGATATTGAAGATCCCAAATTGGTGAATAGCTACTTGATTAAAGCTCAGAATGAGCTTTCAAAGTGCAATTCCGAGAACAAGAGCTTTCAAGTGGTGGCCAAAGATGAACAGGTTACTCTACAGGAGGAGCTAAATTTTTACAGGTCAGAGTATGAAGAGGAGACGGACTCAAAGAATAAAAAAGACAGCGATGTGAAATCGTTGGAAAAGGTGAAAAACAACTTGTCTTTTAAAAAGTCAAAATTGATGTCACATTTAAACAACATAAAGAATTCATTAGCTATTTTTAATACCAAATTTCAGGAGAATGATGTAAAAATCAAGAAATTGAGAGAACGGAATCAGCACTTGAATGCGCTTGAAGTACAAGCGAGAGCGACAATCAATGAGCAGATCGAACAAATCCAGCACCAATTAATAAAGGACAAACAGCAGTATGAAAGCGTCGAAGAGTCATTAAAGAGTTTGACAGTGGAGAAAAAGGACACTGTTCTGTTGATGAACAAGCTTAAGCCACTTTTAGACCAATTTAACAATCTATCAACACCTACCAATGAACACTCTGCATCGCCAAGTCCTGGTCCCAATGGCTCGTCCACCTCGCTTCATCTGCTAAACACGTCCATTTTTAACAAAGATGGCTCTCTAACCAAGAATGCTTTTGACGCATTATTGAAAATCTTTCAATTAATACCTTCATGGCAAGATGAAATTATGTTGGAAATTAACAACTACCAAGAAATTGAAAACCAGTGGAAATCAGCATTCAAGACGGAAGTAAAAACTTTTGTCACCATTCACCAATCATTAGAAATTGCCAAATTGAATAAAGACGACAGTTACCAGCCAGTCAAGTTGAACGAATACCAAGCATCTATTGAATTTGGCGGATATGGAAACGCTTTGCCAAAGCCCAAGTTTAGTCAAGCAAAGAGTGAAGGCAAAAGGACCAATGGAGATCCAGAGGTTGATACTTTTCACAACTATTACGGCCAAGTCTACACCAATAACGAGAATAAAATTCCAGTAAACTCACAAACATCTATACCGTCATATGCTCAGGATAATTATTACGAGGAACTGTACATGCAACAACAACAACAACAACAACCACCACAACCACCTCAGCCTGTATCAGAAGTTGCTGCGATGGACGATTTTCAATCTCGTGATGGTGACCAGTCCTACATTAGCTTGAAGCAAATCAACGCTATGGCAAGAGGTGGAGAAATTAATATTGGTTCTCCGTTGCAATCTGATTTTAGTGATCCTGCAATGAATGAACCTTCGAACCAGAATGCACCTGTTTTCAATTACAATATTCAGCAAAGCGGCCAGTCTCACCAGGTGACGTCTCCAGTCGCTCAAAATTCGCTTTTGTATAGCAATTTAACAACACCAATGCATGTTCCAACAACGCAAGGCTTGGAGCCAAGATTTTACAATAGAGGTCACTCTACATCCTTATCAGAGGTGTGGAATTACCCTCAAGCTACAGGAGCTGGCTCTTCCTTGAATGAATATGCCAAACCAACAGCAGGTCGTACCATGCAGAATGGGTTTCTAGTCTCTCCGTCACAAAACATCTGGCATAATGAAAGAGGTGCGGGTCTTGGCGCAACAATGTCTAGCAATTCGCCAATATGGAGAAATGAACTTTATTCCAATCTTCAACAAGGTCATAATCAACATTCGGCATCGCCTCAACCTAGAGAATTTCAACCTTTTGGCGACCACATCAATTTGCTAAATACTGCTAACAACTCTGCTTCTCATTCTTTTACACTGCTTCAACCGATGCACTCATCAAACCAGAATAAGCATGACTCGCCAACATCTGAAGATTTTTCTTCGTTGGGCTTTGCTCATCAACCAAACTAGAATAGTCTCAAAAAGGGCAAGGTTTCAGTTTTTTACAAATTAAAAGATAAGTTTAATGAGAACATGCTTGGAGCCGTTTAAATAATGAGGTAGAGAGGGGTTTGTATGTTACATAATAAATGCTTGCCAAAATGTATCTCCTCTTTGTAGCAAAGCTCGCTTTATGTTTCCGTTTCCAAAAGCTGGTTTTGTGTCACTAGTATGATTATAATTCAAGGAGGGATGGACCTCCTCTTACGGCACAGCCCATACGCCGCTACAATAATCCACTAAAGCTGGTATTAAATATCAATGCATGCTTAACCTATATAGATTCAATAAACTGGTGTATAGCGTTAAGTTGTCGCCTCCTTGTGTTGCCATCGGTTATGCTCGGTACATTTTGTGCGGCATTTAAGACCGTTTTATATTTTGTTTTTAGAGCATCTAAAAAAAAAAGAAATTCAAATTGCAGCAATCCGAATAGATGAGGGGGGTTTGTTTGTTTTTTTGCAATCATAAGGGTTGTTGGGTATATCCACTTGGAAAAACGGTGGTCCCCCCAACCCCCCATCCTTGACTGAAAAGAAGTTAATGTACAGTACCTTCATTGTAACTGCATTCCCCACTTCTACTTTCTCTTCCTTTCTCTCTCTCTCCTCCCTGAAACTACTCAAAAATAAACTTTCAAAAATGCCTTTTGCCACAAAACACAGTGGGTTAAAAATAATAAATAATAAAAAAATAAAAGGGATTACAAGATGATGAGGCACAGAAACGAGAAATTTTGAGCAAAATCACTCGGAGTAAAGAGAGAGAGAGAGAGAAAGACACTATTAATAATAATAAATAGAACACCCAAAAAATAAGAAAAAAAATCTGTGACTATTAAAATTACAGACTTTACGAGACGTTTCAGAAAAAATTTATATAAAACATTCAAGTCTTTATCTTGCTAGATTTTATATATATTTCTCTTTACTAATTTATCCTAATTCAAAGCACACCACATCCACAATGACAGTTGACGAAGAAGAAGTATTCACCACAAACAATGAATTCAGAAGTGACACATTTACCGTGCCTACCAGATCCATGATTGAAGCTGGATTTATGAATGCAACTTATGGTGATTCAGTATACTGCGAAGACGAGGCTACTTTAAACTTGGAAGCTCGTATGTGTGAACTCACTGGAAAGGAAGCAGCACTTTTCTGTGCATCAGGTACTTTATCAAACCAGATTGGTCTTCGAGCAAACTTGTACCAGCCACCTTATAGCATATTGTGTGACCATCGCTCGCATGTTTTCTTACACGAAGCAGGTGGGTTGGCAACATTGAGTCAAGCCATGGTTCATCCTGTTATTCCCGCCAACGGCAACTATCTAACCTTTGAAGATGTGGTACTGAATGTGACGTTTGATGATGGGGATATCCATGCTGCTCCAACAAAAGTAATTTCGTTGGAAAATACCTTGCATGGGATTATAATGCCATTGGATGAAATTGCTAAAATCAGCCGTTTTTGCAAGGAGAACGACATAAAATTACATTTAGATGGTGCTAGACTATGGAATGCCTCCGTCAAAACAGATATCAGCATAATGGAATATTGCTCCTATTTCGATTCAGTTTCCCTTTGCTTGTCAAAATCCTTAGGTGCACCAATGGGATCAATTCTCGTGGGATCATCAACACTAATCAGAAAGGCAAACCACTTTAAAAAGCAAAATGGTGGTGGAATAAGGCAAGCAGGTATAATGACAGCCATGGCCTTGTACGCAGTTGAGAATCACATGCCATTACTAGAGAAATCACACGCTTATGCAAAACAAATTGGTGAATTTTGTCAAGCCAACGGAATATTCTTGGAATCTCCCGTGGACACCAATTTCGTATTTATCGATTTAAAGAGGAATCATATGGATGACAAATTGCTCATTGAGTTGGGTAAAAAGTACAATGTTAAACTAATGGGAGGTCGAATCGCATGTCATTTTCAATTAAGTCAGCAAAGTGTTGACAATCTCACGCAATGCATATTGGAGTGCTATCAAATTAATCAAAAGAACCCTTACAAGGCAGATGGAAGGAATAACAAAAAAATGTACAACTTCGACGCTATAAAGAGGTAGGATGTTTATAGATTTATATATATATATATATAATGTGTGTATTATTTTCTCTTGATCAAAATTCAATTAATTGAGTACAATCTAACAAAAGAGCATATACGATGGCCTAACTGTACAAATCATCTTCCTCTCCTTGGTTTTCCTGTTCATCGCCAAATGCAGCAGCACCACCCTGGTTGAATTTAAAGTTGGTAAATTGACCTCTTGAAGCCATCAACTGCAGGGCGTATGCCTCGTAACGACGTAGTTCAGCATCGGAAACAGACCTCTTGGCTGTCTTCATTGCCTCTTCAAAGTGTGAGGTAGTAATGTATGGAACAGGATCAGCCTCTTCCTCAACTGCAGCACCATCACCTTTCATTTCAACATCTTCTTCCTTCTCCTTGCTGGCTTTAACCTGGGCTTCAATCGAATCCTTGATAGCAAACTTGGCAGCTCTTTGTACAATGTAACTCAAATCAGCACCAGAGAAACCATGAGTAATTTTGGCAATTTCATTCAAGTCCAATCCTGGCTCTAATGGAGTGTTTCTCAATTGAGCTGTCAAGATAGAAAGTCTAGCTGCCTCATCCGGTAATGGAACATAGATCAACTGGTCTAATCTACCTGGTCTCAACAAGGCTGGATCAATTTGGTCAGGCCTGTTAGTAGCACCAATAACGAAAACATTCTTCTTGGCATTCATACCATCCATTTCAGTCAATAATTGGTTAACCACTCTATCTGAGGCACCACCGGCATCACCGTTAGAACCACCTCTCGATTTAGCAATGGAGTCCAATTCATCCAAAAAGACAACAGTAGGGGCAGCGGCTCTTGCCTTGTCAAAAATGTCACGAATATTGGATTCTGATTCACCATACCACATACTTAATAATTCAGGACCTTTTACACTAATAAAGTTGGCTGAGACTTCGGTGGCAACTGCCTTGGCCAACAAAGTTTTACCTGTACCTGGTGGACCAAAGAATAAAACACCCTTAGTAGGAGCCAAACCAAACTTCTGGTATTGTTCTGGATGCAAAACAGGGTACTCGACAGTCTCCTTCAACTCATTCTTGATGTTATCCAAACCACCAATGTCATCCCAGGTAACATTGACATTCTCAACAACAGTTTCACGCAATGCTGATGGGTTAGAGTTACCGAGGGCAAATCTAAAGTTCTCCTGAGTAACACCGAGAGAATTCAAAACTTCGGCATCAATGGTTTCCTCTTCCAAGTCGATGAGATCCATTTTTTCACGAATCTGTTGCATGGCTGCCTCTGAACACAAGGAAGCAATATCGGCTCCCACAAAACCGTGAGTTTCTGATGCAATTGATTCCAAGTCCACGTCATCAGCCAACTTCATGTTCTTTGTGTGGATTCTCAAAATCTCCATACGACCCTCAGCATCTGGAACTCCAATGTCAACTTCTCTATCGAATCTACCAAATCTCCTCAAAGCCGGGTCAATAGAGTTAGGTCTATTGGTGGCGGCAATAACAACGACATTAGACCTGGCCTTCATACCATCCATAAGGGTCAACAATTGTGAAACAACTCTTCTTTCTACTTCACCATTGGTCTTATCTCTCTTAGGTGCAATAGAGTCGATTTCATCGATAAAGATAATCGATGGTGAATTCTTTTCTGCTTCCTCAAATGCCTTTCTCAAATTTGACTCTGATTCACCAGCCATTTTGGACATAATTTCTGGACCATTGATCAAGAAAAAGAAGGCACCCGTTTCGTTGGCAACTGCTCTTGCCATGATAGTTTTACCAGTACCAGGGGGGCCATACATCAAGATACCTTTTGGTGGCTTGATACCAATGGACTTGAACAATTGTGGGTGTCTCAATGGTAACTCGACCAACTCTCTGATTTGTGCCATTTGCTTCTTGCATCCCCCAATATCATCATAACCGACTTCGTTCATGTTATTTTCTTCGTCTTCACGGTTAATAGGCTCGCCTTCACAATGGATAATCGTATCTTGGGCAACGATGGCAATCTCTTCAGGGTCAACTTCGACAACTTTAAATTCAACTTGTCTCATCCCACCTCTTACTGTAAAGTAATCACCTTTTCTAACCGGTCTATAAGCTTCAACAAAGTATGGCTTCAAGTAGAGGTCAAATAATGATCCTGTAATACCTTCGATTGTGTCGGCAATTGGCAATACTGAGATCCTGTTGGCATACTTGATATCAGGGCAAGGGTGAACAGTAATAATGTCTCCTAGTCTGATACGCAAGTTATTACGCACACAACGATTGATTCTTGCAACGCCATCATCCATGTCGTCATCCGCAAGAACAATTAATACAGTGTCCCTTCTCTTTTTCCCCTTGACCAACACTGTGTCACCACGAAACAATTGCAACAACTCCATCGTGTTGGATGACATGGTGATAACTGAATTGTCATCATTTGTTGCGTCATCAACGACCAAGGCGTTATCTTTCTTCTTTCTTCTTAAAATAGCAGTGGCTGTTTTGTCGTCAACAGCAGATGCTCCAGATGCATCGAAATGTTGTTTCTTGTCTTCCTCTCCTGTCATTTTCAGGTGTGTATTTGTTGTAAAAAAATTGGGTGTGTTTTAGAAAGAAAGTATAAGATAGAGTTGTTGAAATCTAAATCAGTTTTGATGGCAAATGGAAATAAAAAATTGTGTTGTGTTTGTTGTTCAAATAAATGACGTGTCGCAAAAGGCAAATACACGACAATAAAATTCTACAGTGGCAAAACAATAGAATTCCAGAGATGAAGATTAAACTTAGGTGGTGATGGTAATGAGACGTTATGAGAGGTAGAGATACAGTTACTAGTTGTAAGCCACATAGATGAGTTGAGCTTACGAGGAGTATATGAATAAAGGGGCAAGTGACATTCGTCAAACTGTGGTCGTCGTGTAAGGCTCCACCATTTGAACGGGAGAGTAAATGGGTTACAGGACAGGTGTGCTATCTCTCCCAAGAGGGGCGCTTCTAGATGCTAAACTCTATCCAATCCGTAATATCTCAGGCAGCAAAGCTGTCGTGTTCTTTTAGCTTTCTTTCAGTGTGGTAGCGCAGTTGAGAAATAAGTCGAGCGGGGGTAGTGAGAAAGCTGAAAAAGTGTGCACCCCTTTGCTCCAACTTTATCGAATCACCAATTACTATCCAAATGTCCTCAAACGCTTCTTGTATCTTTTGCAAAATTATAAAAGGAGAAATTCCATCCTTCAAGTTGATTGAGACTGCCAAGACATACTCCTTCTTGGACATTCAGCCAACCGCCAAGGGCCATGTATTGATTATCCCTAAACATCATGGTGCAAAACTCCACAACATTCCCGATGATTATTTAAGTGACCTTTTGCCTGTCGTCAAGAGATTGGCCCATGTATTGAAGTTGGATGAAAATAACACCCCAGACGGTGAAGGGTACAATGTCTTACAAAACAACGGAAGAATCGCACACCAAGTTGTTGACCATGTGCACTTCCATTTGATCCCCAAGAGGGACGACAAGACTGGGTTGATTGTAGGATGGCCAGCAGAAGAAACAAACTTTCCAAAATTAGAGGAATATTACAACGAATTGAAAAAGGAATTGGAAAAAGAAGAAAATGAAAAGTTGTAAGTAGATTTGTGTGTGTATTTTAATTTACAAAATTCCTCCTATTAAACCACCAAGGTAGCCAACTATATAACTTGTAAAAAACGTTAGCGTTGTAGCACCAAAGGGGAAGTAACTTACGGTATAATAAGCCACTGCTAAAATCTCGATAATGCTCGTAAATATCGTAAGCAAGCTACTCTTGATCACAACACTTGAATATAGGGTCAAAAGTATCGAGGAGAAGAACACGGTAGTAAACACTATTCGATCACGAGACACCAAATGTCTCACATAGCTATGGGGACCTTGCAAAACACCAAATGAGACAAGGAATAAAACAGAGCCACCAGTCCAAAGCAACCCAAACTTCCTTGGTCGCAATGCCAATACCGGAAACATGAAAAAGCACAAGATAAAGCATAAAATCGAAGCTCCAAGACAGCAACTAAATCCAACTAGACGCTCGAGTCTGGACAATTTAAACCATGAAGGTTCTTGTGCGTTGTTGTTGGGATTACTGTTGGTAGCATCTTGAATGGATGTGGGTAATCTGTTGTAGATGTCGTTTGCGCCCGATTTAAAGTAATCTGTCCACTCCAGTAGCACGGGTCGGTTGCTACTGTTACCTGGCTGTGTAGACCTCACGTTCCAGTTACGGAACAGTTGTCTAAACACGTTCTCTGTATCGGCTGACATACTGTGGCAAAGAGTGAAATGGAAGGGCAAAAATCTAATTAAAGAAGAAAAATAAACCAAAACTTAAACAAAACTTTAAACAAAACAAAAAGAAAACCACAACCTTTTGTATCCCTTTATCTGAATCCGTTTGATATATTTCTATCTCATTTGAAACCAAGGCAAATCCTGAATACTACGCTACTTTTTCATACTCATAGCAAATCGATCACCATCACGTCTGGCATCATTCAGCTATGGAAGAATTTTTAAAGGATAGCCCTTCCGAGATCCCCACTTCGGAGGATAAAACCAACGAGGGATTCAACAACAACTTTGTTTACACAACGCTTGATAATGAGCGCTTGGACAACCCACAATCGCTTAATTTGGACTTTGATCCACTTAGTGAAGGCAGACAACAACAAGACTATTCCTTAGACTTGACCAATAATTACGACGAAAACAACTACAAGAACGATGCCTCGGGAAATTACTTTAGCAGTGGAAGCAACGTCAACACAAACACTCCTGGGTCTGGCTTTAATTCAAATACCCAATTGTCGGGCAGCGACTACTTGAGTCCTATGGGATTCTCATACAATCAGCAAGGTCTGCAATCACAGTCGCAGAATCCAATTAGTAACCAGCAGCAACCGGGCCACCAAAGAATGAATTCAGACACATTTTCAGGATCCAACCCTGGCTCTTTCACAAGTGAGCCATTTTTAGATGATGTGGCATTCTCGCAAGCAATTTTGGGCCCGCAATTGAATGTTTCGCAATACGGATCCAACCAAGAGAACTTATCGCCACAGCAGTTTTCGCCGCAGTTACAAAGCACGCAACCATTTGTTACTAATTCAGCTAACTTGGATGAGTTAATATCACCAGGCAACAACTATGACGAAAGCACATTTCTCAATCCTCAATACTTTTCGCCACCAAACCGATCGGGAAACCATTTCAACTCCTTGCGTTCAATTGCTGAGGACACGTTTGATGCCAATTCGGCAGACATCTATAGTCCCGACTTGTCGAGACACGGAAGTATTAGTGGACCAACTTATGGGCAAGGAAGCAATATTCCTCAGACAGGCTCCTACTTGTCGCCCCAACTAGACCCAGTGTCATATGTTTCGCCTGATTTCAATAGTGGATCCTATTTGAACTCGCCACCGCAGTACAATAGTCGGGTCAATAATCTAAACTTGAATGTCCCAGCTCAGAATATGAGTACGTCGATTCCCAATCACACAACAACTCAGGAGAAATGGAATTCGTTATCGCCTTTGCCCTCGCAGTCCTCGACATTAAGCACGTCTGTCCCCAATTCTAAGCGCGATGTATCAGTGCCCACCAAACAGCTTTCTAAAGAAGAAAAGTTGAAAAGGCGCCGAGAATTTCACAATGCCGTTGAACGAAGAAGACGTGATTTGATTAAAGAGAGAATAAAGGAATTGGGAATAATCGTTCCTCCTTCATTGCTAAACCCTCAATTAAGTGCAGTTCAAACGTTGCAACAGAAAAACAACATCAACTCGAGTGACTTGAACGACTTGATTAGTTCCATCAAGGTTAAAGAAACAAAGCCAAATAAGTCTACAATTTTGAACAAATCAGTCGAGTACATCAACCACTTGAATTATGTGCTAAGACAACAGGAACTTTCCCGAAACCAATTGTGCAAGCAGATCAAACAGTTAGAGCAGAGTAACATTTAGGTTTTATAGTTTGTATTTTTAATAGAGGTTTTACAAACATTTCTCGTTTTAATCGTTTATTATGATTAATGACATAAATATACCCCAATGGAGAGAGAGAAAGAGGGCTCTGGAGGCAAGTGTGCGTTTTTGGTTTTTCTTTTCGACAATGATTATATCGCCAAACTGGGAAGTGAATAGATTTATTGGATTTGTGAGTAACCTGAGAATGGATTGGCGTTCTTTGATTTCAAGTACTCGTCCGACTTCTCTTGCCATTCTCTGTTCAAAGATGCTGGAGGTTTTTTGGCCAATGACTTGATACCGGCAAACAAAGCGATTGATCCCACGACACAACCGGTGACAATCCAGAAGATTTGTGACTTCTCCCCAGGAGCATATAACGGTCTTCTTGGTCCCCATTCGCCAAAGGAAATGTAATAAGCGGCTTTCTTCTCAGCAGGGGACAACTCTTTCCATGGCAACTCCATTCTAGTTTTCAATTCCTCTATGATGGTTTGTTGGTCTTCCTTTGGTAAGGTCGTCCATCTAGATTCTAAGTTACCAATGTAGGCATTGGACAAGGTTCTTGGTGCCGACTTTGCGACTGTGCTGTTGAACCTAATGGCTTGTCTTTGTAATGATCTGGCGAGCATGGTTATGGATGTGGTGGTGGGTAGTAAGTACTTTGGTGTGTAACGTAAGTGACAATTTTTAACGATGTGGGAATTTTAATAATTTTTTTTTTTTTTTATTTTTTCGCTCCTTATTTACAAAGGTGTAAAAAAATTCTCACCTTATTTGATTGGATGAAAAATTGGTGCAGGAGTAGTGAGCCAGTATAGTAAAGGGAAACATGCAATGCAAGCGATAGCTATAGGGGTCGATGATGTGTTTGTAGAATAGTGTGGGTATTACTATCTAGATGTGGGTATTACTATCTGGTTGTGATGTATAGAGGATGTGTTGTTGGTAAGTGCTACTCCCCAGCACCAGCGTTGTCACTTGCCAGTACGTTTCTTTATCTATATCGAGCTACACAGTGCAAGGTAGTACTGTAAAAGGCTCTTACATTGGCGCAGATTACACCGTTTGAGTAAGTTGCAAGACAATCTTAAAGTCGTGTATGTGTGTCGCCTAAAGTATAGAAAAAATCAGGTCATATTCATGCACATCCTAAACTATTTAAACTAATTTCAATTGGTCTTCAAGTTGTGTGCTTACCCGTCGTACCCAATGCTAATCAACGACCTCCTTAGCAGTGAATCAACAATTTCCTTCAGTTCAACTTTGAAATGGGAGTCTTTAATCGAGTTGAAATATGTCAAAAATTCAATCACTGATCCACCAACGCCAAAGTAGATATTCTTTGCTGCTATTAGGGCAAGTCCGTGCTCGGTACCTGCTTTTTCGAGTATGTCTTTTATAGACTCGGCCACCACTGGCAATGTCGTAGTCGAGTAGATGGTCTCTGAGCTGATAATGAAATCAATTTTGTTGCCTTTGACAACGTTGTTGAATTCCCTACCCCATGATCCTGAAACTAGTATAAGCAGGACATTGAGTGTCTGCAACTGCCTTCCAAATTCATTGATGAGGGCTTCTGTGACAAGTACCTCGTTATTTTCAAATCGACAATTGACATCGTCAGTAGTTAATCGATGCAATTCTTCCACTGGAAGCGTTGAGGCCCAATTGATCAACATATTGGGTACAGTTACTAACCTGAGAACATCATAATTGAAGTCGGACAAAACGATGCTCATTGCTTGCTGGTTACGGTCCTCAAACTTTTGTTTTAAAATAAAACTACTAGGTAAAGCGGTTCCACATCCTAACTCCAATATTGACAGGCTAAACACAGGGAAACGATTTTTATCAATAATCTCATGTATCTCATCTACTGCATCATATGAGCACTCCCAGCTTTTGAATCCTCCTTCGTAAACGTTGCTTTGAACGTCTGCGTCGTTACGTTCGATTAGTAATTCGCTTAATTTGCTCAGTACATCCTTATCCTCCATCATGATCTGATGCTTGACATCAAAAAGCTCCCTTCTGTAGACTATATGGCCATTTGGGGTGGTGTAGTTATCGAGTGTGAGTCGAACATTTTCCAACGTCCTGAGGATCTGATTTAGGGAATGAGCCTGTGGTTGGTGTTCGGGGCGTACCTGAAATGTGTCTAAAGCACTCTCATTTTGGGATGTTTGAGTCGTCTCTATCTTAGTGTTATTTCCATTAAGATCATCGTCGCTGAGATCTTCATTGGTGAATCCAAATGCAAAAGACATTGACTTGATTGAACAAAGAAGAGCTCATCTTTTACTTTTTTTTCACAACAATGTTATGTGCGTTTTGTCAATATGCAGGTTGGTAGCGTGAACGCCGTTCCAATTTGCACCCACAAACCCTTTTTCACATGCTATCGATTCAAATGGTTTTTGGCACTGCATCCAATTGAAGATACAGTATTGAAATACAGATACAGCCCTAAGTGTAATAAGAGTTTTGGTCGCATAATTCTTTTTAGCTTTTTTAATCAGTGTTTCCTATTACATACAAAAAGTTATGTTCATAAAAGTATTCTCCACATTTTCAAGTAGAATCACAGCAAACTTTTTTCTTTGGAGGAAAGTCAACTTTCACATACAATTAAGCTAAAATTAGGTATACATATAACTAAAATACTTATTCCAAAATCCTTCAACCCACTGATATACCTCTTTCAAGTCCAGGTCTTAGAAGCGTCTCCTGGAGAGTTGTTTTTGCTATTGATTGCAAAAGCAACCTAAAAAAGTAGTCTGTGGAAAAATATTACAACGGAAAAAAAAAAAATAAAATAAAAACAACAAGAAAAACGAACAAAAAAAAAATGTCAATTTCATTTGCCTATTTCGATCTATCACACTTCGACAATCCTATTGACAGCTATTCCTTACCTGTTGTGAACGATCGTGTGAATAAGAAAAAAGCGATTGTATAAAACCTACCATGGATGAATTGAAAAAACAGATTCCAACTACGGCTGAGGAACTCCAACATTACGTGGAGTTGGCAAAGTCTAAACTTACAGCAAATTGGGATCAATTGACTGATGTGTTTGAACACCATACCCATGACTTAACTTTTGACAGCGTGTTGAATGACTTTAAAAATCTCAATGTAAACCCGGTAACCGTATCGTTAACATTAATTTCAGTAACCACATTGATCCTCTTGGGAAAAGTGATTGGTTCCAGTTCGAATGAGGACCATGGTTCAAGTGAAAAGAAACACAAGAAAAAGAGTGGAAAGAAGAAATTGAGTAGAGCGCAAAGGGCCAATAAGGAGATTCAGGAAATCTTGGACTACGTTGAACTGGAGTATGTACCAGAAATTGACAAGTATATTGAAAACTACCAAACTTTATCCAAGGACGAGCTTGAAAATAAATTCAAGTACTACGACGAGATGTTATTGAAAGAGTTGGTCAAGTTGGATGGCATTGATGTCACTGGAAACGACATTCTTAGAGAAAATAGAAAGAAAGTCATCAAGTTTATTCAAGACCATCAAAAAAGATTGGACAAGTTTAAGAAAGATATCGGTGTATAGAAAGTGTACTAAATATTTACGCTAATCCTAAATCCTTTTCAATCATGGCTCTGCAGATTGGGTGGTAAAATGATTCGTGCTTTTTAAACTGAGAAATTGCAAATTCGCTACTCACCCCGTTCTTCAAAAGCAAATACCCCGGACGGGCATATTTCATTCTTCCCGTATGACCCAACCAGTTAGCAAACCTCTTCACCACTTCATCTTCGGCATTGTAATTACCATTACGTATTAAAATGTCATTCCAAGTGGTGATAAATTCTCCGTTTTGACTCCTTGCATACTTTGGATAAACCGAAGGTAACTTCTTTACAAGTTCAGGAGGCACTTCTATTGATTTAAACTTTTCCAGCAAGTACTCCAAAAAGAATATGTTTTGCTCTATCAGAAAAGAAGATGTATCAGCATCACTAAATGGAATTAAGGAAAAGTCCCCCTTTTGAACAAAATCAACCCATTTTCTTCCGTACTCGTAGACCTCATCAGCTAAGGACGTATCTAAAACTGGTTCATCAGGAACACCAGAGGAAAATAGTTGCTTGTTCCAATCAATACTGTCAAGCACATCTTTCTTACCCAAAGGAGAAAAAAATTCGTACAATGTTTCCACAAAATCAGCCGTATCCAACGACTTGTATCTAAATTTCTTAAAGTAAAACTTGATGAATGGGTCAAAGTGTTCAACGCCCCCTAGTTTCTTTTCCAAAAGATACAAAAAGAAGAACCCTTTCTCATATGGGATCCTTGAAAATGAATCATCTGGATCCTTTCCTTTCAAATCAATGACTAATTTGGTATATTGTGGATCAAACGAATCACAGGTTTCAACCAAAGAGTTCCAGCCGGATAACATATCGAACTGCCTGGCCTGCTCACCATAAGCTCTTGACTCATCCTCGCTTTTCCCTTGCGATCTGGCTTCCTTAGCGGCAATAGCACCCAAAATTCTTCGTTCTAAATAAACCGTCCAACCTTCATTAAGCCAAAAATGTTCCCATGAGCAATTTGTCACCAAGTTTCCTGACCAAGAGTGAGCCAATTCATGCGCCATGACAGTGGTTTGAGAGCGATCTCCGCACACCAAGGTAGGCGTCAATTGTGTCATGTTTGGAATTTCCATACCACCATAGGGGAAAGAAGAAGGTAAAACTAATGCATCAAATCGTTCCCATTCATAATCAAAGACCAACGCTTCCGCAATCTGAATATAATTTTCCATATCCTTTTCAAATTCCCACTGACATTGTTTCAAATTTGTGGGTTCACTATATATGTCTGACCTTGGTCCAATTGGTGCTTTATGTAAATTTCCCGAAGTTAACGATACAAGGTATGAGGGAATCGGAATAGGCTGATCAAACAGGTACACATCAGGTATTTTGCTGACTATTGGCCTTCCCGACATTGTTACTCTTGCGGGAGACTTTGCAAAAAATTTGAAGGGGGATTTCACTGCAGGGGTGTCAAAGCACGGGAACAAGCTACGTGCGTGAATTGCCTGGCACTGGGAGAATACGAATGGACCTGTGTCACCCATCATAAACTTGATGGCTGTACATTCCTCTGTAGTTTCGAATGAAATCTCTATTTTTATGGTGGACTCTCTAGGTATAGATATATGCAATGCTGATCCCACCACTGGTTTGGCCATCTCTAATTCGAAAGCAGCAGGCGAATCATTCACTTTGACATCCTTAATTCTAAGGACATTCGTGTCAAGGACAAGTTGGTCAGTACCTGTTTTGTTGAATAAGTTGTATAAGACTACCCCTTCGATAGCCCTATTTTCAAATGATACCGCCAAGTCGAGGGTGGTATCGTTGACTTTAAAGTCAGAATAGTTAGATTGAGTTGAGGGGTCCAACCCACGACATTTACTAATATTTAATTTGTCCATGAAGCTCATCCCATGTCAAACCCCAGATGGAAAAATATTTTTGTTTTCCACAATCTGCGTGAAAAGTTAAAACCCACAAAGAGATTTGGTACTACATTTAATCATATTCTTCATTAAATGAAAACATCTCACTATATACTATACATTCTTTGGTCTCTTCTTCTTCTCCCTCTTTTTACTAGCTTCTGCAACAAGCTCCTCAAACACCCGTGCCTCTTCATCTTCCTGTTCTGTTCTCGTTACTGTAGCGAAAACCTCACCCATTAATTTCAACGCTTTAGCTCTGTTTACTCTTTCACTCACTGACAAATCCTCATCCTCCAATACAGTATCACAGACCGCTCTTAAAGTGCCCTGTATTTCAAATTTTGACCCGTTCCAAGCAGCAGCAAGAACTTTGGCTAGTAAATATTTTTCCATTTCTGCCAATTCCTCGGGAGTGTGGCTAGGCGGTTCAACCTGTGATTCCTTCTTCTCATCAACCACATTCTTATCATCAGGGTTTGGTGTGTGATCGTTCTTTGATGATTCATCCTTTGATTTATCGTCAACCTTCGAATTTTGCTCGTTTGACTCACCCTCTTTCTGCCTCTGTACTTCCTCCAACTCTTCTTCTAGCTTTTCCATTTCCTTTTCAGCATGTAGCTTTGCTTCTTCTTCCTCCTTTTCCTTATTTGCATGGTATTCATTATCCTGCTGCATCTGAGCATATTCTTCCATTGTTCTTTGAGCATCCAACGCGGCTGAAACTGTCCTAAATGTGTCCTTCACGACACCACCTTTTTCCTTAATAGACAGCCATAACCCACCCCAACCAAAGAATGTCTGGTTTTTCAAAAAAATTTTGGCCTTGCTTTTGTATACATAGCCCATAGTATGTAATATTTCCAAGCCAAAACTTTCCATCTTCAATGACTCAGCTTCATACTTCATCTTTGCTTTAAAAGATTCGACAACATCGTCTTTCATATCAGTCTCTGTAAGCAACGACAACCTATCGACAAGTTTCTTAGCTAGCTCTGCTCTGGCTTCAAGTTTTTTAACACGGCATTCCTCTTCAAACTTTTCCAATTCTTCTTTCTTGCGTTTTTCTTCTTCCTCTGTTGTCTGTTCGTTACCTTCATGAGGAGCATGTGATAACTGTTTCTGTTTTTTAGTCGGACCGCCTGATTCGTTTTCTTCTTGTTCGTTCTCTCCATTTTCTTCTTTATCATCTTTGCTATTCTCAGCCTCCTTTCCATTCTTTTCCTCCGTTTCAGACAACTCAGCGGATTTTGATAACTCCAGTAGTAATGTTAATTCACCAATCCAATCTTTAAATGCCTCGCCACCAAATATCATCGAAAAGAACTCAGCCGGATCTTCGAACCCTTCCAGAGGTATAGATTCTTGTATACCATACTTGTCGTATTTACGACGCAATTGCTCATCGCTCAAAACTTGATATGCTTGTCCTACTTCTTGGAATTTCGCCGCAGCAGTTGGGTCATCGGGGTTTTTATCAGGGTGCAACCTGATAGCTGCCTTTCTGTAGGCTTTTTTTATTTCAAGGGATGTCGCTGTTGTTTCGATGCTTAAAAGGTCATAGTATGTTGTGTCTACGACCATTGCTGATAAAAAGGATGATGTTGAGTTGAATTGGATGGCTTTGACACGATAACAAAACACAGGAAAAGTAAAAAAAAAAAAACAAAAATAATAAAATTTCAAGATCTCATTATATGAACGACTATTTACATTCTAATCACTAGAGTAATACACCTTTCTCAATTCAACAACCTTTTTACCTCTATTCAAAGCCAACTCCTCGATCGACTTCTGCTGTGTCAAGGCTTTGAAAAAACCTTGTGCAACTAATACCGGGTTCCTAGATTTGTGCACTTTTCCTCTAAGGTCCTTGATACCTGCAGCTTGACATATTTCAAAAATATTTCTATTACATCTCAATCCAAACCCGATTGGGGCAGACTTGAATTTCAACTTTGTCGCATGGTACTTGAGCTCAAAGGAACCTAAAATAGTTCTGTTGTCGTATCTCTTTATTGGGGTCAAATTTTTCACTGCGTTCCAGTGCGCCTTGGTGGCTGCAGTACGGATACCATCTCTCGACTTTCCGATACCTATTCCCAACATACCGTTTTTATCTCCAGCCACTGACATGACAAAGAAATTGGCAATATTACCCTTTGCTGTCTTTAAAGACACACGCTTCATCACCAATGGTCTGATGTACAAGTTTCGTATGTACTTTTCATCTAGCCCCGTTAGTTGGCTCAATTCCCTTGCAATCTGACTCGAATTTTTCACAGCTGTGCTTGATTGTGGTGAGTCATTTGGAGCTCTTGGAGCATTGCTGAAACGTATTCTTAAGTCACCACGGTCTGGTGAGTGCACTTGGGGGATTTCCGGGTATGGTGTACGACCCAAACCCTGGTTGGGGTATAAGATAGGCTCGTTCCACTCAGGGTCTGTTGTTGAGTAGTCAAATGATGAGCCTGGAGCAACCTTTGATTTACCTTCGCGGCCTTGTAATTGTAAATTCAAATAGTCCTTGGGGTCCACTACCGACTCTGAAATTTTGATACTCTCTAATAATTCTGGATTGTAGTAGTGTTTGAGATAGTCTAGATGTTTTTCCGCTTTGGATCCGCCTGATTGCTTGAGAAGCTGGGAGGTGGTACCGAAGCACCTACTTAGGGACCTGAACATTTGCTTAATGTGGATGTTGTTCTGGTGCAAAAAATTTTCAGATGTGTGAACATTTTCAACTCGCTTTTTAATGTCGCATTTATCGTGCGACATTAAAGTCACTACAAAGGCAGTAATAATCGATTTGACCAAACTAAATTAAAAAACATCTCTATGTAAAATCAACCTACAGTATCACCTTCAGCTTATTGAATTCTCCTTTAATTCACCATCCAAGTCATAAGGCTTGACATCTTCTCCGGCCTGGGGCTGGTTCAAGGGCGAAAGCAGCAACTGATGGTTTTCTTGCTGTAACTTTCCAACTTCTCTCTTTAACTTTTCAACCTCCTTTTCTAGCCTCTTTCCAAACACATCAATGTACCACGTAGCTCCATTGTAGCTTGCCCAAATAAATATAAATGTGACAAAAGCACCACACGCATGCTTGTACCTGAACCAAATGGGGCAAGGCAACATCGTGAGTAGCTGGTATCCAAATTGAATCAACGTAAACGCAAGAGTTTGCATCCACAAGTAGGGCAAACCATTGACAAACTTTCCCAATGGCGTTGACCTATTTTTCTTTTTCAAATATGAAAAAGAGGTGACCTTACCCTTTTCGATTTCCGCTTTGCGTTTTATTGTGATAAAGTAGTGGTAACAAACTTGCCAAATTGTGTAATATACCGACGTAACAACAAGACTGGTGATAAAGTTCCAGCTATCGATGGCGGCGATTCCAGGGTATCGTTCTTGAACATATTCCGGACTTAGTTCGTGGACCATGACAAACATCGTGACTGGAGGCATAATATGGATAAAAGAAGAGGTGGTTTTCTCCACCGAATGAAGCACCAATGAGTTCCTCCAAGTGATTACCGCCCATGACAAAGTGCCCAATGACAATGAAAATACCGATACAAACAATGTTGGTGATTGTGGAAAGGCCCAAATGAACAACATCAATAACAAATTCACATAATAGCACAAGTCAGCCAAGTAGTACTGAAACGACTGCTTGAAATAAGTGTAGAATCTAATTGGCATCAACACAACAAAGATTGCAGTGTGAAAATGGGGAAAGTATTCTGGATATTTACCAATTGTGAATCCAGCACAGGCAATAATAAATACACTGACAGCGTAAAACAACTTTTCAGTCGATGAACTCGTAAGGTTCTTGTGGATTCTTTCATCAAACTTGGCCAATCTTTGGTTCAAAATGTCTTGCAACTTGTCCAACTCGATATTGCCTTTCTTGTTGTATATGTTAAACTTCTCCTTCGTCTTCTTCTTCACGCTATTTATCCTCCTCTTTGTTGAGTTGCTGACTCCATTCAAATCTAGCCCAAAATCAAAGTCTCTAGCAAAAACTAGCTTAGATAGATCCAAAAACGGGATTGCAGTCGATGAGTCGCTACGCATCAATTGGGGTGACTCACTAAACAGAGACGTGCTTCCATTTGACGAGGTATAAAAGTCGTCATTGTCGTTGTCGTCAACAATAGCCGACTCAATGCTATTTGACTCATCAGCCAATTTAGACATGATTGGTTCGCTGTTTACCTTCTTCGCCATCGTGGTCGTTGTGGTTGGTAGGTTGCTGTTGTAATAATTGTTTGCGGTTATTTTTGGCACCATTTTTTAGATACGCACGTGTGATTTTCTCTTTGTATCTGTTTTTGCTTTTTACGTGATGCGAAATACGAGAGCTACCATTGGACTTTGCTAGGTTAAAGATTAGAGGGTTCTAATGTTGCTTAGTTGGCGACAGTTGCGCCATCATTGGCAGAGATGAGCTAGTTTAAATTGTGCTAAACTGACCGTATCAAGGTGTGAATTAAATCAAACCGACATACAAAAAGTTACAAGTAAGTAAGAGTAAATCTGTTAATTCAGCAGTCAAATTTCTATCAAGTATCTATCCCAAAGGGTGTTCTTTTTGAGTTACTTGGCTTAGATTTCAATAGGCTTATTGTTCTATAGGGTTTAGAAAAGGGAAGGAAGCAAGACTGTGCATGATTATAGTGACATAACCCAACCTTACTCGTTCTACTTAATCACTTTCATTTTTACCACAAGAGGCGAATTCCACTCAGGTAATATTGTCGACTGGATAATAAATAAATGTCATCGTTTATTAAAAGCACCACCTATTTAAGAGGAGCAAACCTTTCTATTCTCTCCCTCCTTTCTCCCACTTTGTCTAATTTGATACCGGCACCAAATTGTGGGCCCCAAGGCGAATGGGCAGCAATCAAATTCGTACTTGAAACATCTTCTCCACTTCCTCTTCTATAAGCTGAATTTCCAAACCCCGATCCACCATTATCAGCAATAAAAGCTTTGATGAAACCCATCTTGTAACGACTTTCGTATCCTTCCTCTCTTAAATGATCACGTTGACCATTCAACTCTTGATCAAAAAGACCAGATTTGAAAAGAGGCGTTTCTGTTTTGTCCTTGTTCTTGTAGAGAAGCCATCCTCCGACTAGAGATCCCACGGCGAATATCTTGGCAAAGGTGATTTCAATTGGTTTCTTCTCAACGTGGTGGCTGTGAGACGAGTTGAACCTTTTTGCGGCGAAAACAGCACGCACCGATTTCTGTCTGAGGGAACTTGTGAACATTGTTGTTGATACGTGGGTCTTGTAAGCAGGGGGGTCTCCTTTGATTAATTTATTTAGCTATTCTTTTTTTTTTCTTTCTTCAATTTCGTGAGCCAATGAAAAAGTTGGTGAAGAAAATGCGAAAATGCACATTACATGCAGGATTTTAAAATTGCAAAGAGACCAGAGAGTTTTAAAAGCAAATCGAACCGTGTATCATTATCTGTAAATCTATATATTTATGCTCAGTATGTGCTTCTGCTTCTTCATAATGCTATCAATTCCCTCTATGGAAAAAGGCCGTGCAGAGGCTGTGGGTGTTTGCTCACTGCGTAAAATATTTTAAAAACCACTTTGCTTAAGCATCTATTAAAAAAGACCAGCTTTTCTGAATAAATAATGCTCATTTTCCCTTTGACTCCTCCCATTCTTGTATCCAGCTTGATCTGTACGTCCGTGGGTTATACGATGGGACATAACTAGTTGATGGAGACGAGTTTGTAGTTTTGCGGGCCAACTTCTTAGCACTTCCAGTCAGCGAGAATCGGGTTAAAGCAAAATCTGTGGCAAGAACAAATATAGGACCTAGTACTAGTAGGCTATTTGTAGGAAAATGTTTCATATGCATCTCTGGATTGGGTATAGGTTTCGTTGTAGATAAGCGCGTGTATGATGTGATAAGTTGTTTTAAGATGCGGTTTGAAAAAGATTGTCATCCTATAGTTTTCAAATTTGCTATGTAACATTACTTTTTTTTTATTTTTTTTTTTTCATCATCTTTCATTTGCGCTTCAAATTTGTGTCACCTTTTCCAGGTAAGAAGAAGACAACAGTTCTTGTCTGGTTTTGACAGATATTGATTTTGGCATGAAGATACGAAATGGACCATCTTGTTGGAACCACCAGTTCATTTATTAAATTGACATCAAGCTTGCCCTTATAAAAGCAGCAGAAGACATAGCGTTTTCCCTTGAAGTCTGACAAATGGCATCCCTTTTCATGAGATTATGTTAGAAAGCTCATTATTCTATGTCTCTAATCTCCATCTACTTTAGTTTAACATAATAGCCTCATTCTAGATAAAACAAAACATGAGAAATCAGCAACCAAACGACCATATGGGGCATGCAAGTTAGTTACAGCACGGACTGACATCGATAGGGCAGGGTTTTGCAAAAAAGTCGCTAATCTTCTTGCGTTAGTACTACAGTATAGTTTGCCTTGTGCAGATAGGGAAATATCTCAGTTCCAGTTCCTTCAAGGCCAGTAGACGATAACATTGAATAGTCCTAGACATGGCAACATGGCTACATATCCTACAAAACACTACTCCCTCTCGGTTTTGCTTCACACACATACTACCACCATCCTGGGAGTCTGCATGCAACTCTTTTCATTTAGCTGGATGTTTCACCCACGTTACGGGTTACACGGGCTCAAAGTACGACGATGCTTACTTTTGTTTTTTAGCATTTGGAGGTTCCCATCATATTCTTCGACTCCTTCAAACATTTGCCACGTAAAGAGAATACAAAACAGTTGGAATTATCCATACACATGCATCCTGGACTATGTCTCCAAAATTCTCTTGGTATAGTCCTTCATTTCTCTGCTCATGAGTCAAACACAAGAGAGAAAGAATAGAAACTATCTTTGTACCCTTTTTGAACAAACGTTTAGGAATTTACGTAGGCACATTACTGCCTCCATTGACAGACCCTTTCCTTTGATAAAAGTATTATCTATGACAGATCTCATCTGTAGATACATAATCCAAAATACGACAGCTTAGAATAGGTTTAGACTTAACCGTTTCCCCTTTTTCTTTGTACAACAATGGTAATTTTTTTCCGTGGTTAATTGTCTACACAAAAAAAATGAAAAATGTTTTTTCTATTCTCTTCTACTTCTTTTGTATGGTGGTTTATTTTTGGATTAGCCGTCAATAACTTTGTACTTTAGCTTTACTTCGGTTATACCGCGGCATAGACCTATCCATTTAAGTGGCTTTTTCAGGGCAACACTTCAATCCGATTGTCGGTGCTGGTTCCAAGAAATAAGAAAAGTAGCCAGCGCCACTCAGATCTATTACTGCATCTTACTTCTCTTATATATTCTTACTCCAGCCCGGATTTCCTTTCTGGACCTGTGCAAGTATTTTACTATTCAAAACAAGTGCTAGCCGCTTCGGGAACTTTTGTATTGTTCGTTGTCAACTTTGTACAACAAATAAAACGCTTCCACGCATTAAATTGCTAGCAATTGTTCTAATTTTTTTTTTTCTTTTTTGGTTTCTTTTTTGCCGGATATGGCGATTCGGAAACAGAATTGCTTAAGCACAATGGGTTAATGCACTATTGCCCATTGTATAAATACATTGAGATGCCCACTTCTTCCCCCCTCTCTCCCTTTCCCTTCCCCCTTTTTAAGAAAAGAAAAAGCTAGTTACTTGAGTAAACCAACAACAACTATTCAATGTCTACATCGTCAGAAAACCGAAGTAAAGTTGTCGCAGACGACAATAGCGATATGTCCAGTAATAGCAGTGACGAGGACTTTGTCGTTCATAATCTTGCTGATGTCACTTCAATGCGTTCTGACCAAGAAAAGAACTTGGGTCTAACGCGGACAGAAACCAAAAAGGACTTGGAATTGCTTGGTGTCACTAGTGAGAGACCACCTCCATCACTTAATGCTCCACCAGTTGAGGATCCTATTTTTCCTGAAGAATATGGTTTGGAAACGACTACTGGGTTGGTGCGAGCCAAGACTTTGGAAAGCTTAGGTAGGACAAAGTCCCACAAGAGCGAAATCAAGGATGACACTGAGTTTGTCACTTTTACTATTGGCGATCCAGAAAACCCTCACAATTGGCCTATGGCTACCAAATGGCTCTACACTTTTTTGCTCTCCATGTTGGTTATCAGTGCTGCTTATGGATCCTCATGTTTGTCGGGAGGTTTATTCACAATCAATAACAAATACGGTGTATCTACTGAAGTATCAACATTGACAGTGTCATTGATGGTGTTGGGATTTTGTGTCGGTCCTTTGCTTTGGGCACCATTGTCAGAACAAATAGGAAGGAGACCGGTATATTTCATCAGTTTTGGTCTTTACACCATACTAAATATCCCATGTGCATTGTCACCAAATATTGGAGGCTTGTTGGCTTCACGTTTCCTTTGTGGTGTCTGCGCCGCTAGTGCATTGACCAATGTTGGTGCAAGTTTGGTTGATATGCACAACGAAACTAGAGGTGTCGCTATTGCCTTTTTCAGTTTCTGCCCCTATAGTGGTCCCGTTTTTGGTGGTCTCGTTAACGGTTTCATCAGTATTGGTACAAACAGGTTCGATATCATGGTTTGGGTCAACATGGCCTTTGCTGGTGTCATGTGGATCATTGTATCATTCATTCCAGAGACTTACCCACCAGTCATTTTAAAACAAAGAGCTAAGAGGTTGAGAAAGGAAACGGGAAACATGAACATCATGACAGAACAAGAAGCTACGCCTTTGTCATTTAAAGAAATGGTCAATACCAACTTGCTCCTCCCATTGAAATTCACAATCAGTGAACCCATTTTGGATCTTGTTTGTGGGTTTGTTGCTTTAATTTACGCATTATTGTATGCATTCTTTTTTGCATATCCATATATTTTCAACAAATTGTACGGTTTCAAGGACAACAAGATTGGTCTTATGTTTGTTCCTATTTTGATTGGTGCCGGGTTAGCCTTGACAACGACGCCATATATCGAGAAAAAATACAAGGAATTGTGCACAAGAAGGAAACCAGAGCCAGAAGATAGACTTATCGGTGCCATGATTGGTGCCCCATTCCCATGCATTGCTTTATTTATCTTGGGGGCTACCTCATACAAACACATCATCTGGGTAGGTCCTGCTTCTTCTGGTATTGCATTTGGATACGGAATGGTGTTGATTTACTATTCATTAAACAACTACATCATTGACACCTATGCCAAATATGCCGCTTCTGCCTTGGCTACAAAGGTGTTTTTGAGATCAGCTGGAGGTGCTGCTTTCCCATTGTTTATCACCTATATGTACGAGGGTTTGGGCTTGCAATGGGCCAGTTGGTTGTTGGCATTTGTTTGTTTGGCCATGATCTTGGTTCCTTTTGGTTTCTACAAATATGGAGGTGCATTGAGGAAGAAATGGTGTAAAGAAGACTATTCAATGAATGCTATGGAATAGATTCACACATTGTGCAGATAGATACTTTTTACTTTTTTAGACATAATATACATTATATTTATTGAACCTTTGTCTTTAATGATGTCAAGAAATCTCTATATGATGGCTCAGAACCAGTCTTGTCTTCAACCAAACAACTTGAGGCCCACATCCTCAAAGCCATGAGGTCACGTTGTTGCGAAATTTCAATTGGCTCGTTGGATGAAGCACCAACAACAACGTATAAATTCTTCCAGATGATAGAGTCCTTTTGCTCTCTAATTTTGCCAATGATTTGACGTACTCGGTAGTTAAACTCACTTTCCTCGACTGAAAATTCGGGCAATTCAGTCTTACCAGTGGTGATTTCATACAAGTTCTCAGTACCAAACACATCCTGAATCAACCCAGGAACAACATTTCCTGAAACCCAAAGGAACAACTCACTGCCATTGTCAATCAAATACAACCCATAATTTTCCCAAGACGTCTTTGTATCATTGATTGGCTCAGGCAATGCGACATCCGATTCATCATCGGGTAATCCACAAGAATCAGGCATGTTGTGCAAGGAGTACACAGTAGGATAGATTGACTTTACCAAGTGGGGAATAGGCAAGGAACCCAAATTGTTCAAAGCAGAAGCTCTATGGTCGGAAGGAACACGATCGCTTCTGAAGGCCAAGTTCTTGGTCAAACACAACAACAACAAGGGCAACATTCTCAAGTTGGTGGATATTTGCAATGGTGAAGCACCCGATACGTTACCAGCAACCAACTCCTTTCTATAGACATTCAATATGTCAACGACCTTGGAAGTGATAAAGTCTCTTGCCTCAGGCAATGACGAGGCCAATGCTTTTTCGATAGCTTTATGAGTGAAGTAGTTTGTGATGGCCAACTGGTCGGCAGATGCATACACATCCACCAACTTGGATGACGTGGGCAATGCTAAATTCATAACTCTAATTCTTCTCTCCCCAAATGAAGTAGAGTGCAACACAGCAGCTTGAAAGTACACCACTGGCTTATTGATAGTCTCTTCAATGGCAATTTCGATAAGGTATGACTGGTCTCTAGGGAAAGTTGGGAACGAGCACAAATCTGAAGACCTGTTGAAAAAGTTTCCATAGAACGACGACATTCTGTATCCGGTCGATCCTCTCACTCTCAACACTGCCTCCAATGCAATATCCTGTGCCAAATGGTCAGCCACTTCTTTCGACAACTTGGCAACATCTTCATACTTATTGCTAGTCCATGCAGGATAAAAGTGTGTTTGACCTGCAGTGTACCTTGGCAAGTTAGATAATGTGGCCACATCCTGGTATCCAGCAGACGTCAAGAACAAATCAACAGTTACCTGTGATGAGTTACAAGTGACTGCAAAAGACTTGTAAAAACTGTCTGCAGGAGTCAACAATGCCTTTGCTTCTTTAGGTTTACCAGCAACACTAGCTTCATCTCTTAAGATCAACTTACCTTCACCGACATTGGGCAAAGAAGCACCAAAACAAACCAATTTACCTCCAACATTGCTGATTAATTTGTGACCCGCTTTCAATGCTGGTCCAAGGGCAAAACCTTGGTTAGTGGTACTTTCGAAAAACGAAGGAAAGTCAAGCAACAACTTTTCAATAGGTTCTCTATTTTCATCCAAGTTGACCAATAGTCCACTTGGCGAAGGCAAGAATGGCTCATCGGTGTCAGCTACCACCAAAACTTCTGTTCCTTCCAAACCCTCATTGAATTTGATGTAATGTAAGTTGGAATCAACTCCAATGAATGAAACCCTAGCAGTCTTGTTGGCATTGGGGATTCGATCCAAGCTCTCAAGGATAGTTCTGGTGATAGTACCAGTTAATCCACTTTGGACAGCATGCACAGAGACATCAATGATGAAAACATACACAATTGGCTGTGGAGCTCTGGCCATGTATTCCTTTGGCGCAATAAATTCGACAACTGAATGATTCAATTCAACTCTATCAAACTTGTTCCTCACCTGTCCACTAATCTCGTCATAGTCAAAGGCACTTGGAATGTCATTGAGCAAGTTACAAAAGTTACACCTCCAACGTCTTCCATTCTCCGCCAAAGTTACAAATGGATTTATGTAACCACGACAACGACGACATCTACTTATGGTTGTATCGCATGTCGCAGGAACATTCTCGTCATCAATCTTCAACGCATTGTAAGGCTTGACTACGATGGCCAATGGCAATTTTGATTTCTTCAAAAGCGAGTTACTATTAGGAACAACGTTCAACGTGGACCTAAAGTATTCCGGGGTGGCATTGGCAGTTTTTGACCCTGGAATCAATGTTGCTGTGTCCGGTAATGTAATAGGTGGTGGTTGAAATGACAATTCAGCAATAGGAGGTGGCAAATCACGAGACAAGTCAGTGGTGTATAATGCGTTATATTGTATACCTGAAGCAATGTTATTTGGTTGCCCATATGCAGCGGCACCAGCAGCTCCATAAGCAGCAGCAGCAGGGTTTACAGCAGCAGGGTTTACAGCAGCTGGTGGTACCCCGCCCATGCCTTGTCCATAGACACCAGCTTGCGGTTGAGGTTGATATGGATCGTAACTGAGCTGAGGAGCAGCCTGGAATTTGTCAGCGCCAGGTTGTTGGTAAGCTGGATTTGAAGCACCGGCACCAACGTTCATTTGCTGAAATTGATTTTGCAATTGATCGGCGCCGTATGAAGGTTGTTGTCCATTCATTGGCTGTTGACCTTGGGATTGTGGTGGTTGACCAAAGGTCGGTGGGGATGCTACTCCACCTGGTGCACCAGCAGCATACTGGGGCTGTGGATATGCTCTTCTTCTACCCGACATATGTGTTGTTGTCTTTTAAATTGAAAGTGAGTTTGTGTATGGGAGAGATTTGATTGATATATTTTTCTCTTGAGAGTTGAAAATTTCAACTATTCCTTTTTGTTTTTTTATTTTTACGTGGTCAGTTTTGACAACCAAAAAAAAAACTTAAAAAGAAAAAAAAAAGATAAACAGAACAAAAGGACACGACTAGAGAACACAGATCTTGCACGTGACGATTAATCATTTTTTAGAATAAAAACGATTGCGAAATCTTTAAAAATCCCAAAAACTTTGCTTCTTCATCATCATCAACCACACACACACACACACATATATATATATATATTCATGTCTGACTCAACAGAAATCTATGAAAGCTCTGCCATTGACAATAGCTTGTCAAGAAAGGTAAAAGATATAGCCGCAGGGTTTGTAGGTGGAGCCACCCAAGTTTTGATAGGCCAGCCAGCAGATCTAGTCAAGATTCGACTTCAAACAACTTCAGCAACTTCTTCCTCGCAGGTGATCAAAGATGTTATCAAAAACGAGGGCGTACTTGCATTTTATAAGGGTACATTGCCACCACTTTTTGGGGTAGGTGTTTGTGTATCACTTCAGTTCTATGGTTTTCACGAGGCAAAGAGACAAATCTTGCAATACACAGGTAAATCACAAATGAACCTTTGGCCTGAGACTTATATTGCAGGTGCTGTGGCCGGTGTGGTAAATACCCCTGTTACTGCTCCTGTAGAGCAATTGAGGATTCTTAGTCAATCGTCAGGAGAACTGATTTCGCTTACATCGACGGTGAAAAAGATTTTTGCCCAACGCGGAATACGAGGCATATACCGTGGATTTGATATCACATTGATTAGAGAGTTACAAGCCTATGGTGTATGGTTTTTAACCTACGAAGCGCTTATAAAGAAAATCACCGAGTTGCATAATTATAAAAGCAGAGACGAGATTGGGACACCAGAGTTGCTAGCTAGTGGTGCGCTAGCAGGTAACGCATTGTGGCTAAGTTCTTACCCATTGGATGTGATAAAGTCCAATGTGCAAAGTGACGGATGGGGCGCCAATAGCAAGTTTGATGGAAGTGCCATCAAGGCAGCGAAATACATCTTCAGTCACCATGGATTAACTGGATTTTGGAGAGGAATAGTTCCTTGCTTGCTAAGAGCTGTACCATGTAGTGCAGGCACTTTTGCAAGTGTAGAGTTAGCGCTTAGGCTTATGGGGTAAATAGTATATATATATGATATTTCTAATGACGAACAGATCCGTCCAATGAGCCAGAGCGTTGCTTGTGGAGAGAGCTATTTTTCCTGTGTAGCTCCGAGAAACTTGTAGCAACTTCTTGCAGCAACTCAGTCGTTGAATTGCTCCTTGACATTGTAACCTCTTTATCCAAAGGACTGATTCTTTTCACGGTAACCAACAACAAAATGCAAAGGAGCAAAACAGAGCCACCAATGACAAAAACAAGTCCAGGGCGATGCAAAGTGCTAATGGAGTACTTGTACACAGACAAGTAGAACACAGGTGTCACCAAGGCAAACAAGTTCTTGACCAATGCCAATGCACCAAATAGCTCTCCAATTTTAGACTCAGGGTAGAACTTGATTATCGATGAGTTAATAGCTGGGCTGATTAAGGTACCAAACCCACAAAATACAGTAAAGATGAAAAACACTGACGTCGTGGGAGAAATACTGTAACCGTAAAAGCCTATCGTCTCGCATACTAGGCCAATAAAACACATTGAAAAGTCCACCATGTCAAGTTGTTTTTTAAACACCTTAAGTTTGAGTCCATGTTGAAGAATCTTGTGGTTGATAACCGGTGATAAAAGAATCAAAACAACGGCCTTGCTTGAACAACCGATGGCAAGTAGGTGTCCAATGCTATTTTGCGTCCATTCGTAATTGTATATTCCATACAAAATGAAGATTTCTCCAAAGGACATAGCCATGGTACTCATAACACACTCTATAAATGCCAAAACAATAATTGTGAACCTGTCACGATTGATCTTGTGTCTGTTTGACGGCCTTACTAGCTCGTCAGGAATTGCTAGCATCTTTAGTGGTTTTAGAAAGTTGAGTTGGTTGATTAACCGTTTGTGCCATGGCGATACTTCCATCGCTTGAAGATTAATTTCACTCAGAGAGCGTGAAAGTGTTCTCGACTTCTTTCTAGCTTTCTCAGATCTCGATTCAGGCAAGATAAAGATTGTTATCAAAAGATTGATGACTAAAATGGCGATTTCAAATTTCAATGGTGTAAATTCCTGTTTGCCAATGTCGACTTTAGGAGACAATTTTGTTGTCAATGCAAGAATAAAGTTCCCCACCAAGGGACCAATACTCAATCCAACAAACATGGCCGCAAAACCAATACCTAGAGCGTAAATTCTCTGATGTGGTTCAGCAACGTCTGATATGTAGCAATTGCACAACGCTATCAATGACATGAGTCCTCCACCCATGTTGCTAATCGCTTCACTAGCTATCATTGAGTAAAACTGTAAAGTGTTGTAGTTGTACATGAAGAAGAATTTGAGGGACTTGCCAATCAAAAAGCAAAGAATTACAGTAATAAAAAATGGGCGCCTTCCGTAAAGGTCACTCAATGGCGCAATTTTTCCCGACGAAATTAGCATAATAATAGCTCCAGTTATCGTATAACCCAATTGCAAGTTAGACATCAATACTTGAGCCGAATCTTTGTTGCATTTTTCCGTTCCAAGGGCATTACATGCAAGCTTTAAGGTGATGACTTGTCTTGTAGCTTCAGCACTCGAGATCGAAAAGGCTAATAAAAATGTTATAGTGGCTACCATCAATACACTGGGACGTTTAAACCAGTGTATAGTTTTGTTCAAAAGCCGCTGCTCTCTCAACCACACGACATCCTCATTGTGTTCATCTTCATCGTAATCTTCATCGTTCTCCAATATTGCCTCATACACATCATTTGCCGCTAGCTCTAGATCTACTAGCGCTTGCTCACTATCTGGTATTTGGGGTGGTCTTTGGTTCTCCCTTGGAAGAAGGGGATCGATCTCAGTGGGATCATGCCGATCTGGGGGCATGGACGATTCCTGTGGTGACATTGTTTAGCAAAGCAAATGAAAGCAAGTGAATATGGAAACTGTGTGGATTCTAGAAGGGCAAAGGGGGAGGGGGTATAAATTGACAGGTTTTGATCCCCATTGTTTATATAATTTTTTTTTATGAATTTGATTGCTGCCTTATTAAGCGAACGGCTCAAAAATTGTTTTAAAACGATGCGCAGAATGTTTACCAAATTGGGATTAAATTCCGTCTAAGTAAAATGGCGTTAAGTCCAAGATGGTACCACAGTTTTCCAACACACTGTAGGCATAGATTACTTTTATAAGGAGCTTCTGCGGGTTATCTAAAGACTTAAATTATACCTAAAAGAGAGGATTCAATATAGCCTGATATATCTTGAAAAGCGCTTGAAAACGAGATTCTGCACTTCTAGAAGTATGGTGCGATGTTGATAGCACCAATACGGTTCGAGCAATCAATAACACATGGTGATGATGATAACGCATACACCGAAACTCGATAACCTAACCACAGATCTCTCATTTCCTCTCTGATGCTGTTGTCCACACACATTCGATCGTCTCTCCGCCCAAATGGGAAGCGCACGATTTGTCATACAAAGAAAAAAAGACAAAAAAGGAAGAGCCACCAACACCTACATCCACCACCAAAGCACTATGCTATCCAAGAGAAGCCACCGTATTTCAACATCCACACTCAACTTTGTTACTCGGTTCATTTGGAATGATCACAAACCCTCAAAGCGTCCCGAAAATGAGGCTCTTGCAGACGCATTAAATCTTCTTACGAAACCAACAACGCAATCCACATACAAACCATCATTGTTCAAGTCGTTGACTGAAGGATCTGTCGATGAACAGTTATCGAAGGCGCCGCCAAAAGTGCACATTAAACATGAACCACACATAAGTGAGCATTTTGTAAACAATTTATTGTGGGGAATCAAGTCTTCTTTGTTGGACTCACAAATCAACCATTCACAACTTTTGAATGATATGTCCGCTGAGGAGTTGAGTAGCTACACCAAAAGAGTTAAAAACATGGCCCTGTTGCGTGAAATTGTACAACTTTTCTATAACCATGATAGATTGACACCGCGAATATTAACTGACGTTTTATTGAACAAATCATTAAAGAGTTTAGACAATTTCCCTATCGATTTGAATAAATTTGAAGGGATAAAAGGGGTCGATAACAGAGCAGTACTACACTTGAAGATTATCATGTTGAAGAAGTACTATGATTTGAATCAACCATTAGATATCATACGAAACTTGAAGTCCAATTTTGCTGCAAGCTATCTTCCACTAATTGAGAGCCACCAACTCACCCCCTTTTATGAACGAATTGTGTGGCGGTTTGTTTTTGAATATTTGCGACAGTATAACGAAGAGTACTATATAAAATCGTTGAAGTCGCTTCAGTCTAGTTTTCTCATTTGGGAATCGTCGTCTTACACGGCAAATCAATCAATTGCACAACTTATCTTGGAGAATCATGGTGAATTGACGAAACTACAAGTTTTGTTTTTGAAAATTGCAAGCTCTGCAAGAACCTTCGATGTTCCAAAGTTGAGGAAGATATCCATCAAGTACAAGCTTCACAAGTTGAAACAACAAGAAGATAGGAAGTTGCTCTATGCTGTGCTTAATGAGTTGGAAAACCTTTTAATCGCGTCACAACCGAACAACACGAAGTCTTTGCTTGAAGAATTGGCCTTGTACAGACTCGAGTTAGTTCAAGATGTGTACAACAGGCCTGTAGAGCCGCTAGAGAGTTTGGAGTGGAGCAAAGCTTAGTCCTGTCCGAATAAAATAAAAGAACATGCACCATTCAAATTTGTTTAGTTTAGAAATGCTGAAGTAAGTAAATCTTATAGATTAACTATTATAGTTATAAGGCGCTTTTCTAAGTAGTTTGTTCTTCGCTTGTTGTTACCACGGTTTAGAAACATTTATCGCTCCAGTTTACTCTTTTTGTGAAAGCCACTTAGAACAATTGACGATATTGCGATCTCCGATATAAATATGACAACCTCATTGATCCAAAACTGATCAGAAACTCAACGAAGATATACAAGCAATGAAGGTCATAAGAGATAAGGATATCCAATCCTTTCTTACAAAGGAATTGACAAAAGAGTCTATTCTCCATCAATTTCAACCAATTTTGTTGAGAGGTTTATCTACATATGCATGCAATCCAAATGCCATAGTCCCTCCTAGAATCGTGCAACAATCAAACAATCCAGACTCCGACACGACACATGTGTATATGCCATGCATATCGCCTGATGAGGTAGGTATAAAGGTCATCAGTGGTGGACCCTCAAATAATTCCAAAGGTTTGGGATTTCAAGGATGTGTGATGATTTTAGACGAATTCACTGGCCAATTGAATGCAATAATCAATGCTGCTTGCTTAACGGCATTTAGAACCGCCTTAGCTAGTGTTCTAGGGCTTACTAGAGTAGTGCCAGTTGATTCTGAAAACATTTTGCCTGAGATCTCCGTTTTTGGTGTTGGACAACAAGCATATTGGCATATTAAGTTAGCTTTAGTTTTATACGAAGGAAAGATTAAAGGTGTTAACATAATGAATAGAACTTTGGCAAATGCAAAAAAGCTAAGCAAAGAGTTGGAGAAAGCGTTTGACAATGTTGAATTTAGAGCATACCTGTTTGATGAGGACTCAAAATACAATCTGCATATCGCAAACAGTTCCATTATATTTGGATGCACTCCATCGACATCGGCCGTGATAAAGCAAACTTTTTTAAACAAAGACCCCAAGTATGCAAAGTTTATTTCCCTAATTGGATCGTACAAACCGCATATGATTGAATTGGATTTGGATTTTATGCATCACCTTAGAAATTCTGGCGTGAGGGTAATCGTTGATTCGAAAGAGCATACATTACATGAAGCAGGGGAATTGATTCAGTCGGGTTATACTGACAACCAATTGGTTGAGATTCATGAATTGTACGATGAAGAAGACTTTAGCTCAGTTACTGATTCAACAACCGGTATAACAGTACAAAAGATTGTTGGGTTGTCGATTATGGATTTGTGTATGGGGAAGTATATATATGAGAAAATTGGAGACGATGCCGTGATTGTAAATGACTTTTAGTCTAGATCCTAATAAAATAGCATCAGGTTAATAAATTTTGATTTCTATCGGTAGCACTTTTGGCAAATTGCAAAACGTGGCGTACACCTCTCTTACTTTCAACGAGCCTTGAGAAATATGGTGGGATCTTCTACCCCAAGCACCCCGTGTCCTGTTGCTTTTGTATCCCAATCACTATTGTCATTGCTTTTTTATTTTTTTTATTTTTCTTAACTTTTGTCGAGGAGGATTTCTGACATTCGCGCTATCAATGATTTGATACAACACCAACGTGGCTTACCTTAATAACAACCTCAAACCATCCTAAAGATGAGAAAGCGAAGCGAAAGCCAACCCTTATTGGGAGGTGATTCCTTGGTCTACAACACTAAACCCAAGTCTAGTATTAAAAAGAATATTTCATACATCTTGAATGTGGTTACTATAATTACAATTGCAGTTTTAGTATTCAATCACCTGTCGAAATCAAATTCAAAACCAGCGGTTCCCTCATTTGATCCGCATGGCAAGAAAAATGTCATTATGATGGTCACGGATGGAATGGGACCAGCCAGTTTATCAGCCGCAAGGTCGTTTCGTCAACTTAGGGATAATTTGCCTATTGACGATGTATTGGTGTTAGATAAATACCTTATCGGATCATCAAGAACTAGATCATCAAGCTCATTGATTACCGATTCTGCAGCTGGAGCAACTGCTTTTTCCTGCGGGCTTAAATCGTATAATGGAGCAATTGGGGTTGATCTGGGCAAAACACCGTGTGGTACAATTTTAGAAGCCTTGAAATTGCAAGGTTACATGACAGGGTTGGTTGTTACTACTAGGATAACCGATGCTACACCAGCTGCGTTTAGTTCCCATGTCGACTACCGTTTCCAAGAAGATTTGATTGCTCAGCATCAAATTGGTGAATACCCCTTTGGTCGTGCTGTTGACTTGATTTTGGGCGGTGGAAGGTGTCACTTCGTGCCTCGTGCAAATGGCGGATGTAGAGCCGATGAAAGGAATTTGGTTAAGGAAGCAATAGACAATGGTTGGTCGTATGCTGGTGATAGAGAACAATTTGATCAATTGGATGGTGGTAAAAATGTGAGCTTGCCATTATTGGGATTATTGGCAAATCATGATATACCTTATGATATTGACCGTTCTAGTAAAGAATTCCCTTCTTTAGCTGAACAAGTCAAAGTTGCATTGATAGCATTACAAGAAGCAACCAAGGACTCGGACCAAGGGTTCTTTTTGTTGATTGAAGGGTCAAGAATTGACCACGCTGGTCACCATAATGATCCAGCAGCACAAGTTAGAGAAGTGTTGGCATATGACAAAGCGTTCCAAGAAGTGATTAATTTCATTGATTCTACTGATGTAGAAACTGTTGCCATTTCCACTAGTGATCATGAAACTGGTGGATTGGTAACTGCTAGACAAGTGACAGAATCCTACCCTGATTATTTATGGCACCCACAAGTATTGCTAAACAGTAGCCATTCAGGTGAACACTTGGCAAGAAAGATTTATAGTCAAAAGGATAAATCAAGTAATGCCAAGTTTACTGATTATATTAAACAAGAAATTTTGGCAAAAGATATGGGTATTACTGATTACACTGAAGATGAAGTCAAACAAATTGCCTTGAAAGCATCTCAACCAGATGCATTATTATACTTTTTGAATAACATGATTTCATTTAGAGCCCAAATTGGCTGGACTACTCATGGTCATTCAGCAGTCGATGTCAACATTTATGCTCATACAAACTCACCATCACTTTTACATAAATTAAAATCAAGAAAAGCTTATGATGGATTAACTGGTAACCATGAAAATATTGAAATTGGTGCATTTATGGAATCTATAACCGGTTCAAATTTGAATCAAATTACAGAAATGATTAAAAAGACAGTCCATTCTCCAAAACATGGCAAGACGGATTTGTCAGCGGATGAATTTCATGCCAATGCTATTTCTTGATTATATAGTTAGATTTAGACACATATGAGGAATAATTTATTATATAAAAGTCGGTTATATCGTATAAGATCTATTATCCTCTTCTCCTTTCTTGTCCATTATTTGTATTCAATCATTGAGAATGCATCCAATATGTCTTGTTTGATTTTGACATTAGTAAACTTGTCTTCAATCGAAGTTTTAAGTCCTTGACTATAAACTTTTAAATTTTTAGCAATTGGACCACCTCTAGCCATAGTTGCAACAATATTACGTTTCAATTGTTGTGCCAACTTTTGCCAAAAGAGCAAATGTAATGAATCAGTTCCATAATGACTTAGTATAAACAGTAAATAACTTTGATCAGCTTTATTGCTATTATCATGAGGCAAGTTCCATTTAGCCAATACTTCATCCAATTTATTAAAATATATTGTGTTGCTTTGTTGAACTTCAGTCATTATTGCCGTGAAATTTCTTGGTGATTGTAATGCTTTTGATAATTGATTACTACTAGTTGTTAACAGTCGTTGTATAGTTGATTTATCAAAGATTTGACAAAATTCATGCGGATCAAGGATATACAATGCTTGTAAATGATGATATAGTTTCAAGTTTTTCAAATTCAACGAAGTTGCTCGACTGGTTTCATGATTAACCACCCTTGAGAATTCATGAAGTAAGCTTTGTTTCCTAGTTATTGCCGTAGCCCGATAATCTCGGATGAATCGAATTGACATGACATTGCTATTGTTGTTGCCACTGAGATCAGATTTTATCCCACCAGAAGGAGTCGTTACTGATTGGTATAAATTCATCAATTGCGAATATAATCGACTTGTTCTGACCACATCTCCGCTTGGACTACTAGTAGAACCATCACCACCCCCACCTCCTACTTGTAGCTCTTCCAATTGTTGAATAATGAATATGAAAAACGATGATGTACGCAACAACTCCAAAGTTTGATGTATATTCTTTAACGCATTATTCAATCGAGTTGCATCCTCATACGGTTCAATGACTTCTCTTTTAATCTTGTCAAATGGCTTGTTAATAGTTACAAGTTGAGGATTAATCCGATCCTGTAGAATCGTCTTGTATTGTTCGATTTGAGTGAAATTTGAAGTTAACGATTCATAATTGGTCGATGAAATCAACTTCATTCTTTTATCCAATTCAACTAAATCATATTTGAGCTTTTTCACGGGGGTTTGCAAGTCTAATAGGTTGTTGTCGTGTCCATTGGTGGATATTAATAGTGAATTGGCAAAATTGGCAGCCTCAAAATCCGGTTCAAGGTATGCTTCAAAGTCTTCTAGCTCATTATTCTGGGATCCGTCAGTAGTCATGATTAGATTTAGTAACAAGTGGCCTCCTTGGATGGGTGTAATGTTTTCAGAAACCTATGGTGACAAGGCTTTCTACAGTTCGGTGGTGAAAAAAAAAATTAAATCAAGAGAGGATAATATTTTTATTTTATTCTGTTCTATACTTTGGCTTAGATTTTGCACCACTGGCACCACTGGCAGGACTACCATTACCCGTACTTTTGCTACGCCCTTGACCACCTTTACTAAACACCCTTTTCAAATGCCTTCCACCTTGTTTTTTAAATTTTCCAAACTTTTCCTGTTTCTCCTTCAATTTACGTTCTTTTTCTTTCTTTTTGGCAATGGCAACACGTTCAAGTCTGCGTTCGCGACACGCGATTCGGCTTTGTCTTTTCTTCTTTCCTGGTCGATTCTTTGCTTTCTTTGCTTTTTCCTTCTGTAGTTCCTTATCGATATTTGCATTATATTCATTCAAGTGCATTAGCTTGTAATCGTTTGGCTGAATAAAGTATTGAGCATAAATATCATTAGCTGAAACGGCAGCTTGTTCAAATTGAAATCTCTCCACCAGTGAGAATGATGCAAAGTAATATGATTGAGGTCGTTCATTATCTATTCGTTCTTCCGAGTGATCACGAAGGGAGATTTTTTGAACTGGTTGTGCGGTTTTCGAACGACCTCTTTCTTCAGACCCATCAGGTTGCTTTGAGTCAATCTCTTGTGTTGGCTTGGCTGAGGCAAACAAGGGGAATGCAAACTCTTGATCCTCTTCATTGACATCATTTGATTCTTCTGCTACATTATTATCATCTTGATGGGGAGTTGTAGTAGTATCCACTTCAACAAATTCAAATTCCAACTTTGGTGCAATATAACCTATTCCATCTGATTCCGACTCAAATTCTGATTCTGAATCATCATGATATAGATTCTGTCTTGAAATCCTTGGTTTCAATAAGTTAGTAAAAGCCTCAAGAATGTATTCTTATCTGTTGTAGACGTACTTTTGCTCCCCCATATTTATACGTTTCTACTTTCTTGCAAGTCAGTTGAAGTTTTCTTTACTCCTTCTCTCTCATCTCAAATCACACACACAAAAATATGTTAAGTAAATAAATACTTCAGTGAAGAGTCAGTTAAATTTCGGACGTAGTATTTTATGAGACAGCATAATATTGCGAAAATTGATGATCACTTCGTTAATTTATAATTGATATAAAAAGGAATGTATATAATTGTTCTGTTTGTATATTTGGCATCAAGATTGACTTGTAGTCTTCAAATGTTCATATGAAATATCTTCCCTCTTCTATTTGGTCTCACCACTCAGCTTTAAATATGTTTGTCGGGACTAATTTGTACTGAGTCAAAGAACACACATAGTTCATTAAAAAACATAGTAATATTACAACATTAAATAAGATATAATACATATATATATATATACCTCAGTCATTGGACACGTCTACCTCGTAGTGAATAACCTTTCACCAAAGCGGGTTATAAGCAGCCCTAACAGTCTTGACAATATCTTTTCTGTAACTCAAATGTGGGGGAATAAATCTCGATAACATCTTCACATTGACATCAACACCACTGCCGCTCCTCTTGTTATTGTTGTTGTTGTTATTGTCCTTCTCATCGTTGTCTTCAACATTCACTGCAGCATTGCTCAAATCATCAAATCCACGTAACGAATCTAACAATACCACAACCGGTTTCAGTTCATTAATCCTATGGTAAACCTGAGGAAATTTCCGTTCAATAATAGGGATTATATCATTGTAAGGAATAAATTTCATCAATAAATTATCAAACAATTGTTCTCCTTGTTTACGAAACTTGATGATTTCAGCAACATTAGTTAATTTATGATTGATGCCAATGAATTTATAAAATAATTTCCATAACTTGATCTTGTCTTCAGATTCAACAAACATTATTGGCTTGTCTTCATTATTAGCTAATTCAGATTCAGATTCAAATTCAACAAATTTTGTCAATGTAAGCAATGAAATTTGAAGATCTAAAACGTATTCAACATCGTTGATGATGAATATATAAAATGGCAAATACTTGGCAATAGTAGCTTCAGTAGGAGTAGAATTCAATTTCAATCTTCTTAATCCTATAGGATAATAATCAAGCACCTTCTTTTGCGTCATGGCAACTTTCTTAGCTTCCAATGCTTTTGATTTGCGTTCCAATTCTTGAATCAACTTTAAATCTTGTTCTCGTTTCATTTCAGCCAATTCTCGTTCTTGTTTAGCCTTTTTTTCTTCTTCCTCCTTCTTTTTCAATTCCTTCTCCTTTTCCGATTTCAAAAACATTTCCCGACGTGCTTTCTTTTTAGCTTCAACTTTCTCTTGCCAAATACGAGCTTCTTCTGCACTTTTAATTTTTTGCTCTTCAAGTGCCGCTGCTGATATTGTCGGTGGGGGTGGAGATGGGGAACTAGTTCTCATTTTAGCATCAGATAAGTTATCATTAGATGGGGGAATGGTAGATGGCGACAGCGACTTTTCAAACGAATTGTTGTGCAACTTTGGTACAGTTGAATCACTTGAGGCAGGTTTAATTGCAGCTGTTTGTGTTGGATGAATGTGATTCTTGTCACTTGTTTTTATCAGGCTTTCTGATTTGGTCTTCTTCAACAGATGTTCCAGTGCTGATTCAAATTCTTGTTTTCTCTTCTTGGACTCCTCGTCATGGATGGCCTTCTTGGAAATATTTGCATCTGCATGGCGGTCATGTTGAATAGGTTCAGAATCATATCTTTTCTTTTTGTTCGCCTCATCATTATTAAGTTTTTCAGTTGAGGGATTCTCTTCCATGCGGCTAGCTTTCCTTTCATGCACGTCATTCACGACTTCCTCAACAGGTTCATCAATATCCATCTTGTCCGCAACCTCGTCCTGAGAATTGGTCGTGACTCTATCAACATTTCTCTCTCCATGTGTATCATCTCCTCGTTTAGACTTCACCTCTTCCATCTTCATCTCCATCTTCATCTCCTCCTCCTTTTCTTCTTCTTCTTCTTTTTCTTCTTCTTCTTTTTCTTCTTCTTCCAGTTCGTCATCAGATACCGGCACAGAAGGCGCTCTCGATGCAGATCGAGACACAACTCTTGAAGGCACAGATGATAAAACCTTGGTACCACTTTTCTTTTCCATCGCATCTTGAATAATTTCAACTTCTCTTGGATCAAAATGGGGAGAATGCTGAACAATTTCCAACGCAGTTAGCCCATCCTTTTTCCTAGTCTTGAATGGATCGGCTCCTTTGGAAAGTAATGACTGTACAACATCAAAATGACCTCGTCCCACACTAGCCAACAATGCCGTGACTCCACATTTACTTTCAGTATCGATATTATAGGTAGTTGGATTCAAACCCAATATGATATCAATCAATTCCGAATGACCATTTCTAGCAGCAAGAATTAAAATGTCTGGCTTATCTCCAAGACTATTTCCAGCAACGAAATGACTAGCAACCACTTCTTTTTGATTTTCAGCAGCCCATTTGAATATACCTTTGCGTTTAATCAATCCAGCAAAATAAAATTCATTTGGATCGTCAATAATCTCAAATTCGGATTCATCATGAGGTCCCGCTTTTGTTGTAGTTACAATTGCCTTGCGGTTGGTTGATTTATTAGTCGCATCCTCCAAGACTTTGATTATTTCGTCATAGCCTTCTTCATCAGCATGTTCATTGTAAATCTTGGTCAATGCAGTGAATCCATCAATATTGAAAATGGTGGGATCAGCATTATTTTGCAATAAAAGTTTCACTGTTTCAAGATGCATATTCTCCGCGGCATCAATCAAGGGAGTTTCACAATCTCCAGCTTCATCAGCCTTAGCATTAACATTAGCTCCATGGTCTATAAGAATTTGAACAATCTCATCATGGCCCTCTAATGCCGCCTCATGAAGACAGGTGAATCCACAAAAATCCTTTTCATTAGCACTAGCACCTCGGTTAAGATAATCCTTAACATCCTCAAGGTTTCCCTTCTTACATGATCGTTGCAAAAGTGACCTCCCACTTGAATCACGTTTGATTTTATATGGCGCTTTTTTGATTGCCTTGCCAGTTACCAATTTCTTGTCCTTTGATTCGAAAAAGGTGTTTGATCTTGGCTCTGGGGTTTGTGTCTTCTTCTCAATATCAACTTTAGGGCCATGTTCAGTCAACCTAGATGTATTTCTTTCTTGCACAACGTCGTCGTCGTCGTCATCCTCCTCCTCATCAGACGAGCTAACAACCCTCTTTTTCATCTTCAAGTTGTGCCTATCAATATCATGTGGTTTCTTTTTTAACAAATTGGCCCCTTGATTTAAGCGAGGTGGTGGCGTGCCAATAACTGTTTCTGCCTCTGATAACTCTTCATTGTCATGGACATCCTCATCTGATTTCCAAAGCTCGAACTCATTATTGTCAAGTTCTTTCTTTGAAACTGGCTGTGATTTTTCATTCGCTACTGTTGCAGTTACTGTTTCTGATTCCTTCTCTTCCGTATTGGTGATTGCATTTTCCTCAGATAGCTCGGGTATTGTGCCTATTTCATTGAAATTGAAATTAGCATCGAGTTCTGATTCATTAACCGGCGATAGCATTGATGTGTCTTCTGTGTACGAATCAGAACGACTCAATTTAGTTCTTGGGGTCATCAAAATCTCATTCTTTTCCCCAGATTCTTTTTCAGTTTCCTTATGGTCTTGCGATGTATGATCTTCTGTTGTGGTTTCTGTTGTGGTTTTCTCAGAAGTGATGCGAGGCTCTGATGTTTGCTGAGAATAGTGAAATGCCTTGATTGAAGCCTTATCCCTATCATCAGATTCATTTGGCTGAGGCTCTGCTAAATACTCTTCAATTTCTTCAACTGCATCTTTCATCTTTTCATCGACTTGATCCTTGTGGTCGTCTACTTTCTCGCCTTCATTTTGGTTGGTAATGTTCTTCAGCACTTCATGAGGTTTAGCAGAAACATCTGCTTCATCCATAATCTCATCCTTCTCTACTTCCGAATTTCCAGCACCTTCATGAGCTTCCTTTCCATCAGTCAATATAGGTTTATCATCATTTACTTCAACGCCAGAAGCAGCGCCGGTTTCATCCTTCGCATCTCTTTGAATCCTTTTAGACGCATCAATACTAATTCCTACCAATCCCAAGTCACTTGTATTGTGGACTGCATTGGCATCTCTGGAATCCAATTTCTTCTCCACACTAAGTGATTCGTCAGTTTTATTGTCCAGTTTGACAGATGATTCAACTGCCTTCTTTTTGACTTTAGATTTCTTTAAATAATCGCTTAATGAAGTCTTCTTCATCACCATCGAAGTTGGCATTGATGATGACGATGACGACGATGTGGGTGACTGCGCCTCCACATTTTTGGATTCAATCAGACTTTGCCTCTCTCGTGAAAGATCTTTCCTCGAGTCACTACTATTTTCTTCATGGTTTCTTGTATCCTTGTGTTTGGTCCCTGTTTCCTGCTCCAGATTTGGGGTTGCATCCCTGTCATCCACAATAGAACTACCAATCTTATCTTCATATCTTGTTATTTCTCTGTCTTTAACAGCAGAAGCTTTTAGATCTTGCATCTTTTTCGAATCCAGGTCTAAAAGCTCACGCATCGTTACACCAGTCTTGTCAGAACCCTTACTAAATGAACTCGACCTAACACTGTTTTTTCTCAGGGCATTCCTATTTTCGTCCAATTGTTTACTCTTTGTAACCAAATCATGACTTGAAGGTGTAACTTGTTTCGGTAAGTCAATCTCCTTTTTATCATTATCTCTTGCTGAATCCCGTCTCGATATATCAAAAATCGAACTTGCGCCAACGCCACTACCACTACTACTATTACTTATCGATTTTTTCTTTACACTTTCGATACTCGACTTTCTCGAGAAGTTTTCCTTTAAATTCCTAGATGTTGTTGAAATGAATGCTTCAGAAGCAGTGGGACTCACTTTTGTCGACGCTGAGTGGTGATCCTTCTCCTTGCTTGTCACAACATTGGATTCCAGTTCCTCCACACTAACTCTTGAACGTCTTTCATCTCTATATCCAGAACTTATCGATGGTGCATTTACACTTGACCCAGTTTTGGCATTCGTGGTGGCTCCGCTTGTCCCAGCCGTTGAGGCACCGGAACGAGATATAAACTTTTCTCCACCTGTCGCATCCAGTGAGTATTTTGAGTTGGAACCATATCTATGAAGTGGTGGAGCACCGCTTCTTCGACTCGATACCGAGCTACCAGAACCGTAATACGAAGTTGAACCACTACCACCGCCTCTATAATCTTTGCTAGTTACGTGATAAGTCGATGACGTTGTTGATGGGGTTGTAGCCGATGGCCGCGAGGTATTTCCTTGTCCAGTTCCAGCAGACGCTTTCAGCAGAATATATGAATCATTATACCGCGACCTACTACTAGCTGTAGTGCTAGCATACCCAGTGCCGATATAATAATCTCTTCGGCCATGTCCCAGACTTGATGGCAATGTCGAAGACGATGATGATGATGATGATGATGATCTGAAATTTTTATCTCTGATTCGCAGCGGTGGTCCGTTAGGCGCTGAAGATGTATTTGAGGTGGAAGAAGAAGAGAAAGCGCCAGTTGGGTGTCCCGTTTCCTTCTTTGCTTGTTCGTGCAACTTTCGCGACGAATTACTGTTGTACCGTGGTGTATAGTGGTTGCTGTTGTACGACATGGTGAAGCGTATGCAAAAGTTTGGTTCAAGTGTTGTCTAAATTAAAAAAGTTGGTTACCAGAAACAAAATGTCAACACAATGAAAAAACCACTCTTGAGGTAGTTGCATATAAGTGAATTTAAGCCGGTACGTATGCAGTTTTATGTGTCTTGTCTTCTTAGTGGCTCCTTTGCCCTCCTGTTTCTGTTTACTAATAAGTGATGTTTGACTAATAAAGCATCAACTTTTGGTTGTCTGAATTTAATTTTGAGGAAATGTATTTTTTTCCTTCTATGAAGTTTAAAAGGTCGTGCACAACCGTCCAATATTGAAGCAGACGGATCCTTACCATACAAGCCCTTCTTAATTCTACAATAAATAAATTAACCTTATATCCTATTTCTATTATCTAGAGTCATAAATGAGTTGTAAAAATATAAACTATACAACGTTAAAGCTTGACATCAGTCGTCTAGCCAGTAGTAAATGTAATCTCTCAGTAGACAGTTTTTTCAACGATGATACTATACCCTTCTCCAAAGGGATTTCACAAGCTCATTTGAGTAGGTGAGCCAGCCAACAATTGCAGTGTGCTAAACTCAGATTTGTTCAACTTATCACCAAACTCCATCAATTCGAAAATCAAACTCATATTAGGACAAATTCGTTCACATTTGTCCACGGTGATGTTGCCAATATTCCGAGACTCGATGCTTGATAGATTTCCGTTTTTTAACATTTCATAAGCGGCATTAACCCCAATGCCAAACTTCATCATATAAAAAGCAACAACCACACAAGCACTTCGACTGACTCCACATTGACAATGAACAAGTACTTTCATACCTTGCTGGTAAAACCAATCTATTTTATGAGTCAATTCCATCAAGTCTTTGGAAATGGCAGATGCATGAGACCAGGGAAAGTGAAGGTATTCACGAACATTTGGCTGTTGGTTTTGAAAATGAGACGATAAATTAGTACACTCTTTAGCAACATTAATTACCAAATTGTATTGATTAATGTCAATTTTGTCCAATGGATCCGAGTAAAGGAAAATTCTACTATTGAGAACGTTTCTAGGGCCATTGGGATAAGCATTTATTCCCGTTGTTTCTTGAAGTTCCTCAGGAACACTAAATTTCTTTGAACTGTAGGTTATGCTTTGTGGAGTACTTGAATGAACAAATGAGTTGATCTCAGGTTTACTGAAATTGGTTTCCAACGGGGATTCAATTGACATTTTCTTGATATTGCGCAGTAACTTTGTTGGAGAATGATGTGGCTGCTGTTGTTGTTGCTGCTGTTGTTGTTGCTGCTGTTGTTTTTGTTGCTTATCCAACCCCATGGGGCTCTGCAATCTAGGTGGAGTTGACAATGGTGATCCCTTGGAATTTGGAGCAAATGGTGGTGGCATCGGTGGTTGTATACGTTCATTGAACAAATCATTCGAGCCGTTTTCGATTGACATTGCGTCGAATCCCCGTTGCAGGCCAGTGATTTCCAGTGGAAACTTGTACGGCTTATTAGGAGCAGCAGCTGTGATACTATGGGTATCCATTTCTGATCCTCCGTGCAATTGTTGTTGTTGTTGCTGTTGTTTAGGGTTTTGTGGTGGCAATGTAGGGGTATGCGTAACTGAAGGTGTTTGTAATGCATCCTCCGAGTATATCGTGCTGTTGTGTAACAATGGCTGGGCAAAATTAAGGACTTGCAGTTTATTCGATGAAGATGTGGTTGTTGTAGTTGTAGTCGTTGTGTCTGATAGTTTCAGTCTCTTTGCCGCAAGAGTAGCATGATTCAGGGTATTGGAAGATCCATTCGAATCATTTAGATTTAGTGACAAATTTTTCATATTCTTGTGCATATTGAAAGAATTTGCTATTCTTGAATGTTTTGGTGAATAGTTAATCAATCCTGGTGAAGAAGGGACTGAACCAGTGGATGACACTGACGAGATAGAAGAATTGTACCCATGAGAGAGCGCACTACTAGGAGGCTGTTGAAATGAATGTAGGTTCAGGAGCTGTTGTTGCTGTGGAGGCGATATTGCTGCCAGGTTAATTTGATCGAAATTGGCTCTTCTTTGTTGCCCTTTGGATGGCGTCGTCGTAGTAGCCCCATTGGGTTGTGGTGATAATGCGATATTTGGGTTTTTCATGGACTCATCCAATTCCAGTTGGGAGTACTCAAAACTATATTGACGACGGTGCGATGAAGAGAATGACGGTACCTCTTGTTGTTGTTGCTCATGGGGGTTAGTATTAGCACTTGGTCGCGTATCTAGTTGACCATTTGACGCATGAGTTGTCGCCCTTCCAGTTGAATTTAGTTGGAAGCTCTGCATAATGTCATTTGAAAATCTGGCAGGTGTAGAATTTTTGATATTTTCTGTATTGATAAAATCAGATGCGGGATTCGTTGAAGTTTCAAAACTAAATTTAGAAACAGACCGACGTATATGATTACTAGTGGTGGTACTAGCACAAGATGAAACCCAGGGAGTTGACATATAAAACAATGATTTGACTTTTGGAGATGTAGTTGTGTGAATGATCTGGTAAAAGGCTGGACAAATGACAAAAAAGTTGATGACTTGGACACTAAAGGTATGGCGGGGAAAAAGGGAAGACGATAATTAGCTTCTGCTTGAAAGATGGCCTCGTATAAGATTAGTGGATAGGTATGTAGTCTGAATAAACCCCCCTGTTGTAATTTTTGGTCTAGAAGGGATTTGTAGCTGCCTTGTAGTTTATTATTCAAGTCTCCACTGACTTTAAATTCTGTATCTCTTTGGAAGGTGTAGTTATATAGATGTATACCAGCTGTGAATGTTCTGTTGTCACCTGGTCTGATATATATGTGTATGTTTGGTTGTTCAATGTAAAAAGAGTAATAAAAAGTGTGTTAATCTGTGGCCAGTTTTAATTCTTTTGATTTTTTTAATTTTTTTGATTTTGGTTAATTTTAATTTTATTTTTATTTTCATTTTTAATTTTATTTTTATTTTTTTTTATTCCTTCTTTTTGTCTTCTTGTGTACGTGTTTGAAGTAATTATGTTGTTGTAATATATCATATGCACCTTGTATTAAACAAAAAACAGAAACCAAAAACCAAAAACCAAAAACCAAAAATTAAAAAATTAAAAACTTAAATAAAAAATTTGTGTCTGGGTCGTGTATGACACAACAATGATACATCTGTCAAATACGCCTAGTGGTCCTAGAAGTTATCAAGTGACACACAGACAGAGGATAGTCTACGTTTAAATAAGAAAGAGCCATCTAAATACAGAAAAAGGAGATGTGCTATTCCATCCACCATTAGGAACTAACAATACAATGTACTTGTGTGGGTTAGTCAGTAAAATAAAAATGAGAAATATATATAAAAAGAAAGTGTACCTGTTCCCAATGCGTGTTCCTGTTTATTTTTGTTTTTTATTTTTACATTTGCTTCTATTTATATACCTCTTACTTTTTATTTATACTTTGTTATCTAAGGGTCATTCCTCCTTGGTAGTTTAAATGAGGGCTTTTCCTCCGCTTTTTGTGATGATGATAATGATGAGGGATTTGTTACTTTCAGTTTTGCCTTTCTGGCTTAATTTCGCATCTGTTGCCCTTTCTTTTTTAGTTAATGACGTTTTTTTTTCTTATTTTTTATTTTCTTTTTTAACTCTTTTTTTTTTTCATATTCTTTTAGCAAAAGTATAAAAAAAAAGACTCATCATTTCCTCCACATGCAAAAGATCTAGAACAAACAATATGAAAGGAATAAATAGACAATACTTTAATTGCACGTTGAAACAATAGGGAGAATAAGCGCAAAGTTCGTAAGAAAAAGGGAGTACAAACTGGTCTCATAACCACAAACTATCGCTTAATGCTAATGATATACTTTAGCTTTCTAAAATTAGCACATCATTCAGTTATGTAGAAAATAGAGTGTAAAAAGGTCTTACTGTGTCTAAGCCCCTACATTCACGTTGTTTGTAAATAGAAATAGAGACCAGACTGTGTGCTTAGACTGTGTGTTTTTGTTTTCGGTCTTACATCCGTCACTCAATTGTTAAGATGTCATCTTTGTAATGTTTTAAAAATAGAAATAAAATTAAGAGCTGGTGCATATGTAAAAGGAGTTAAAGTATTATTCGTTTGTCGTACTGTATCAAAATGGGTGTCTATTTTTGGCATGTCGGGAAAAGAAAGAGCCTTATTTGACACTTATAAATCTCCCCCTTTCATATTCAGCGAACGATGTAATCTTTGTTAAGTTCACTTTTGTAGATAAACAAACATTAGATGGTTTTAGAGGAAAGTCTAATATAGCAGTGTCTAATGAATTATAGCCCTTTAATCGTATATTGATATAACCTATAATCAGGGATTCAATATATACCATACATGATTATAAAAAGACATTTTAATAAAACATGCATTCTGATGTTACCAAAATAGTTTCATTGACACAAATATTTAGACCAGAAAACAAGGGAAGAATGAAAGAAGACAGCCAAGAAATACACAAACAATCGACAACAATCATAGTTTTTAAGACATTGTACATATCTCTACATCTCTACATGTTTCCACTTAAAAAATACTCAGTTGAAACAATAGACAAAAAAAAGATCAAAACTACACACACACAAAGTAGTCATATTCGTTTGAGTAGCTATCACTAGTACTTAAAAAGTAGGTACGTCTTTCCTCAATTTGAGTTGACAGTAGCTCTCCGACTGATAACTTGCATCAACTTATTCCATATTGGCTTCTTTTCGATATAGTTCAACACAACATAATCACCCGCAACGGATATTTTTCAATGGTCTATGATTCTACGTGGTAGCAACATAAAATAGTTGCAATCTATCTTGAGTTGAATCTGCTCAAGACATTTCTTGGTCTTAGGTGCCCATTGAACTATTTCTGAAATTTCCAAATAACCAAAACTGAGTATAAGCTTGTGAAGATGCGGCATTTTAGAAAGCAATGGGAAAAGTTGTGAAAACTGAGTGTTGGGTGCAAAATAATGCAAAACAAATGATTCCACTTCTGTAGTTCTGAAAATACCAGTAATCCACTCGATATGGAAATCAACTGGAGTTTTTTAGCCTTTAGCAACAACGTCTAGTCGAAGACTCAAATTCACAGAGCGTGCAAACAGTTGGAAAGATAAGTTTCTCATGTGCTTCATAAATATGGCATATTACTCAACAGTCATACTCAAATCAAGCGATCTTATATTTCCAAGCATTAATTTACGATTAATCCAAAACTCATTTTCATAACATATGTTGAAATCCTGGTGTTTGAAAAACGAAACCTAATCCCTATTTGTCTCAAACTGGGCCGGATACTTAACTTTATAATCTTTAGTATTCCAAGGAGATTGTGTGAATGCGACGTATTCATTTGTATCACCAGTCCAAACGCGTAAACAAGATAAAAATCGCATATAGTTCATTATAATATCTTTGACACATTGATAATCATAAATAATAAACTTCTTGTAACATTTATAATCAATTGAACAACCACCAAAGTTTATGCAACACCTCTCGTGCTCGACTCGGCAATGGTTCGCCAATTTTTATCACGAAATACTGAGTCTTTATTGGTAAACGCAACCAAAATTCTGGTCCATACAATACATCATTTAAAATTCCAAAATCACATCCAGCAATCAAGTCGAACAGCTGCCTTTGTGGGAGCAATTTGAGCCATCGAATTAAGGCATTTTGAGGTTTGGACATAAAATTTTCTCTAAATGGAAGTATTCTAGCAAGGATTTCAATTGGCAAATCAACGAGTTCCATTTTATGATTGCTGTAGTGAGTATATCCCTATTTTTACAAACAATCTGGCAAACCTTTAGTATTAATATTTAACCTCAATTTAATTGTACATTCACTTTTGTATTAGGAAAGTTTAACTGCAATCAATTATACGAACTAGAAAATAACAAAATTCACAAATATGGTCTGACTCTTGTTTGGTTGAAGCATTCGGAAAGTCAATTTAGCAAGAACAAAATGATAGTGATATTGGCGACAATCTGTATAGCACTTGCTGCTTTCATTTGCGTTGGTGGTCTCAATGGATCGATAGCATCTATTGATGACGGATACGCTAATGGAGATGATGATCATGTAGTTTCTTGTAAAAACAATGCACGATGAAGCGACTTTTCCTAGTTTTAATTGTGTGTTCTTGTGAAGAAGGACGGCATGGTCGTTTGATATCGAGAAAAGTTTTACAAATATATATGAGCCGCACTTTTTATTTAGCAAAATAAACGTTTTAAGACATTAAAAAATGGTTGCAAAAAACCATTTTGAACCTTATAGTTCCTACTTTTCATGAAGGAGCACCAATAGATGACTCTCTAAATTAATGTACTTCAGTTGCTCCTTTCAAGTTAATTTCTTTATAATTCCTCTTTCTATTTAACCATTTTCCCGTGGGCCAAGCCGCATTGGTACTTTGGTGTTACTCTTTCCTAGTAAAAAAAAATTGAATGAATCAAAAAACTAATAAAATCATATATTATAACATCGTGAATGCGCCAAATTTATTGCAAATCTAGGATAACCCACCATCGAAATATTTCCAAAATGGAACTGTCAGATTTAGCACTTGTACTTGGTATATTACTCTCACTAACTGATTCTTCCAAAGCGGTACCGCGAAAGATTATTATTCACTGGCTCAATTTGCTTCCTCAAAGGGAACTGTTCATGATACTAGCAGGTAGCGGTATCGGAATGAAGCGTGAGGGATTCGATGGCGATATTCGGTTGACTTTACCACTACGGGAGCCCAGGTTTTTGAGACCGGGTGGCAGAAGATGGTCAAGTTCTACAATATTGCTATTTGTCTCTTTGCTTGAAAACGTGACTTTTATAAATTTTGGGGCTCCAATTGGCAATAAATACTACAAAGAATTTGTGATATACGACTTTCAATGTGTTAAGGACTTAATATATATATATAGGTCCTTTGTCCCTTTTTTACACGTTTGGACAGGTGGTGATGAAAATGCAATCATTCCTTTTTGGGCTCATTTTGCCATGTTCAGCCGGTATCCGTTGACTGTTGATGATTATAAAGTTACATATCCAGTGCAATTTGAAGCAAGCAAAGATTTCAACTTATGTTTCAACCACCCTTTTTTCCAACGCTGGCGTAGCAAGCTCAATGAAAACTTACTACCCCGTTTATGCATGTTTCAGCATATAAGATCGCTTGAGATAAGTATGACTGTTGATCAGTACACCAATTATATGTCTCATATGCAAGATTCATTTTCAAATTACTATGCACGCCCCGTGAATTTGTGTGTACGACTAAGCTTTGATGCTAACGACACGGAATCCCCACCTAATTTCCCCATCAGATGGATCACAGACACTTTCATAACTACGGAAGTGGAATCGTTTGCTTTGCATTATTTTGCACCCAACACTCAGTTTTCACAACTTTTCTCATTGCTTTCTAAAATGCCGCATCTTCACAAGCTTATACTCAGTTTTGGTTATTTGGAAATTTCAGAAATAGTTCAATGGGCACCTAAGACCAAGAAATGTCTTGAGCAGATTCAACTCAAAATAGCTCGCAATTGCTTTAAGTTGTTGCCGGTTCAAGAGGTTAGAGAACAGTGGCTGACATTCTTTTTAGATGAGTATGTCTTGTTAAATTACATCAAAAAGAAGTCAAGATGGCACAAGTCGTTGTTCAAGAAATAGCCAATTTCAACTCAAAATGAAATATGGCAAAGCCTATTACTCTTGAAATATTGTGATTGTTTTATTAGTTTTGCGATCTAGACACGAGGTCACAGAGACTGGTGGTGCTGTAACGGAAGAGTTATAATTCTATTGCTAGGTTGATAATTTTGTTTCAATCAAAGTCATCTGCTCAGGTGTATTTCATTCCTCATTTAGAACCTTCTAGAGTCGAAAAAGCTATACGATAGATGACAATTTATTAATCGCGTGTAAAGACAAAGGATCATAGATTACCTAAAAACTAGACAAAAACGACATCAAAAACGACATCAAAAACGACATCAAATCCTTTTGAAATAACTCACTCCGCTACGTATGAATCATAACAGATTAATGGGATGAATACACAGGGGAATACCACACCGCTGGTAAAAACAACAATCACTAGAGCCAATTTGAATCCTGCAGACGTTCTGGAACCGGTTGGCCAAGCATGTGTATGGTCACGTGTATCCTGATTTTCTCCAGGTTTGTTATTCCTAATAATCATAACGAGCTCCCTCATACATTTGAAAAAAGCCGGCGCATTACATGAGACCACCATCAACAACCATACTAGAATGAAAATAGTTGGTCCTGCTGAGCGATTTTCATTTTCCTTTAAGCAATCAAAGAAATGTTTCAAAAAACTTGAATCTCCCATTCATGCAAGGCTAAAGGGAAGATGATTTAACAAGTACCAAGAAATATAAGTGAAAGTTGTTGCTATTGGCTTGGATATTGTTTCGTTGTGACAAGTGTATTTATTGGTATGGTAACTGATGTTTGTTTGTTGTCTTGGATAGTTGTTGGTAAAGATTACTCTTTATATGAAAACTGATCTTTGGCTTTTTTATAAAGTGGCATATGTAATGCCGTAATTATACTGTGCTTATTTACTCTGTTGAATCACCTGGTGTAGTAGTTCTGTGAGTATGGATGTGTTCGCTTTCTTTTTTTTTTTTTTTGATTTGAAAATGAAGTTGCAAAAATTTTGATATTCCAAAAAGATTTATCTTCACCAGTTTTGTGTCGAAAAAAAAACATAACCCAAAATAAAATCAATGGCAATAAACCTATGAAAATGGCAATATTATTTTCCCTACGATGCAGCCTGAACGGGACAACGTTTATATTAATCAGGTGCAACCTTGTTTCCTATTGTTTTTATTTCTTCATTCCTCATTCTTATCACTTCTTATACTCCATTTGTAGCAATTCATGTTTGATTACATTGTAGAAATGATTTATCGACGGATTAGGATAATCATGAGGATTATACAGTTGCATGTCATTTTGCTGGATTAATTGCTTCAATTTCAGCACCAACTTTTGATCATAAGGCGATCCACTTTGATTCTCATATGTGTACCTCAGTTTCACTTTGGTGCTGGTCTCTTCTTTTCCTTCTGGAGGTTTACTGCCGCCGCTGCCGTTATTTATCTCTTTGATGTAACTTGCAGGTAAGGAGCGCACATCTTCCAACCATGGCATCTTGATCAAAAGAAATCCTTGTGGGAAATCGTCGCCATTGACAGTACCACCAGCAACATCCTGCCTAGCTGCTCTAGTTGATCCTTGAGTACGTGTCGGATACATGGAATATAAGCGAGGTTTTGAATTCGATCTAACACACCCAAACACCATCGCATATTGTTGCAATTTAACACATGTACGATACAACGACGCCAAAGTCGATTGAGAATTGGTGAAGCCGCCATTTAGCGTATGCGAACTCCCACCATGACCATTGTATACATCAGCCGTTATAAATATCGGGGCACTGCAACTGTATGCATAATTGAAATGAGACAAGTCACGAAAACCAATTAGTTTCAAGTACGGTGGTGGAGAAAACAACACAGGTTTGACTTTGGTAGATTCTTCATTATCATCGTCATCGTTATCGTCATCTTCATCGTCATCATGATTCCCTTCACCTTCTCCTTCGTTATCATCATCTTGTTTCTCTTCCACTCGATGATCAAATGTATAGTTGCGCAAAAACTTCATCTGTTCATGATTCAACAACAACACATCGGCGCCACCACCCAATTCAACCCCCTTTTTGATCCCCGCATTTTCCTTTCTTTCAGCTAAAGATAACTCCGCGGCATTTGCCCCACGGCCACCACTTTTCAATTCAATTTTAGATTCATCCCCTTCACGAACCAAACTCGATTCTTTATATACTCGTTTAAGCATTTCGCCTCGTGTATAAAGTAACAATTCGCGTTTCTTGATCTTTTCGTGCGAATATAAACTGTAGCCCTTGACTGTACATCCGACTGATCCACCCAACGAGCCATCATCGCTTAGGATCAAGTTACATGTGAATTGTACGCGTCGCACATATTTGATATCCAATATGCTTTGACGGATTTGATTTGATAGAACCAGTTTTTGGAAAATGGGATTATCTTTCGAAAACCCGCGTTGGGTTAACCCAAACAGCTTTGCATCAGCTTGAGTATTACCTCCTTCCTGCTTCATTTGTTGTAGCTGTTCTTGTGATAATTTCATAAAATTTGAGTTCATAAATATCAACTTGTATTGACTGTGATCAAATGAATGTGTCTTGGGCTCAAGGAAAATCGGTTCGATATAAAACCCATACGCATAAAAGTCATTAATTGTGCGAAACAACGTCTCATAAGTTGAATCCTGCTGAAACGGATGATCATTACTCGTTATCCAAATCATGCGTTGCTTGTTGAACTCGCGTTTGTTCATGAATTCGTCAATCATTTTGTTAAGAACGGTGCACAATTCGCCATCTTGAATCATGGGCTGGTACTGGAATATCTCATTCAAAGGACGGGAATCAACATTTTGAATCAAGTCATTGAGGGTTTTCATATTGGTTAAATTAAGCACATTCAAATGAAATAAACGATTAAATCCTGGCGGCGACTTCATTGATTTTAGCGGGGCTGTAGTTGTGCAATTGTAGAAGTAGAGTCCAATACCGGTGTTGCGTGATGTGATGATGAGATCTTGCATTAAATCATTGACACTATTGAGTATTTCGTATAATTGCGACGTTTGGTTGAGTTCATTTTGAGGCGCCAATATATCGGGGGTGATTTCAATCAAGAAGGACACGGCTTCTCGGACTTCTACTTGTTTGAATTGGTCATTTTCATTGTCATCTGAATCTATATCGTCGGACATGTTTGGTGGAGGATAGGTGGGTGGTGACTATGTAGAAACGCGTGGGTGTAGCTCCAAATTTGTAAATGGTAGTTCTTTTTTCATAGTAGGCGCAAAAATCACCGAACTTTCCTTTGACTTGTTCCTATACCAAGTCAACAAACATCCACCTAAAGTTAAATACGCACATGTCAATCCAATTCATACTAATATTAAACCGCCAGGGTAAGTCCCGATTGGTCAAGTGGTTCGACAATACATACACCCCAGCCCAAAAGCAGCAAAATGTAACCGATATCCATCGATTAATATCGTCAAGAGACTCCAAGCACCAATCAAACTTTGTCCTATTCCAGAACCACAAATTGTGCTATCGAAGGTATGCGGGGCTATATTTCATCATATCGATAGATTTGCAGGATAATGAATTGTCCTATTTGGAGAGTTTACATTTTTTTGTTGAAATCTTGGATGTTTATTTTAATAATGTCTGTGAAGTTGATTTAGTTTTCAACTTCTATAAGTTGTACTTTATATTGGACGAAGTTTATCTTGGGGGAGAGATACAGGATATACTGAAGCAAAAGGTATTGGATCGGTTGCTGTATTTGGACTCGATGGATTAGCGATAGAAGAAGAGAAATGGTAGGTATGGTCTCATGTTTTTAAGCTTTTGGTGTTATCTATACGTGATCTATAGGTTTATCAGTTAATAGATTTACTTGCCTTGCCTCAATAATCTTCCAAAGCGAATCAGTCACTTGCTCAATTGATTTACCACCAACATCAACAATCTCAACAGTAGGATCATTTGCATCGTCAAGTGTCTCCAAAAAGCATTGTTTCACTTTTAATTGGAATTCCTGCAATTCGTATCGTTCATCACCCCAACCTTTGCGTGAACTAATTTCATCGATGCCTAAAGTGAGGAACATGGTTAAATCGGGTTTAGGTAACCCCTTATCGGAAGCCAATAACCAATCGACGTTGGACAAGTTTGCTGTATTGCCTCCTTGAGATATAGTTGTTGTTTTACTATCACCATCAGCTGTAAGTTTATGTTTAGCCAATGTGTAAGCAATGCCAGAATATATGTATCTGTCCAATACGACAAAATACCCATCGTTTAATAAATCGATAATTTCTTGATTCAATTCCCATCGATTAGCCAGAAACAATAAGTGTGCTGATTGGTCATTTAAGTTGAATTGTTTGTCTGTTAAATATTGATTAATTAATTTTCCTATTGGTGTTGATCTTTCGGGGAACTTTACAAGTTTAGATTGGGCCAATTTGGAAGCTAGTATTGAAGCTTGAGTAGATTTTCCTGAACGATCTAATCCTTCAATTAGTATCAACTGTCCACGGGGCATGGTTTGTTTGTCGCTGTCGTCGCTGTCGTCGCTGTCGTCTGTTCTTTGTTTGGTGACGCGTTTTTTTCTTTTTTACGGAGCTGAGAAAATGCAACACAGATACTACAATACACGTTTCCTACTACGTATATACATATAGATATATACAAAATGTGAAAGGGTTTATGACCGAAAGACTCAATGCAGTTTGCTCATCAACCGGAGATACACCCTTTCTTTTAACTTTTATTCTCCAAATTAATACCCCATACATAAACTTCGTATTCCAGATATCCTAAATAAAAAGAAGAACGCAATGTCTCCCTCTCCCTCTCGTAACTAATGCGCGAGAGAGAAGTATTTAGATCTAGAATATATATCAGCAGCTATCAAGTTAATCAGTGGGTAAACATGAACTGAGAAACGACGCCGCTGAGATGGGTTGGATACTCGAAGAAGAAAAGAATCAACGAACTGAAAGTCAAAAAATTTTTTTTCTTCTTCAGTTTTGAGGAAGATGAGATTAGCTAAGTGCTTACTTAATATGGCAGATTTCTATTTGGAACAATTGATGAATTACCAGAAAGAAAGAACAGACTGTGTAAGTAAGGGATGTGACTTGAATAGCTATTTAAATGGACTGTTACGCTATAAGCTATAAAAGGTATATAGTTTATCTTTAACAGTTCTCTACTTGATGAATGTATAGGGTGCAATATTTTGTTGACAAATTGATACAAAGAATTAATAAAAATGGATCATTCAACACTTCCACTTTCCAGATTCATACAGTTATATCTTTCTCTCTCTCTCTCTCTCTCTCTCTCTCTTTCTCTCCCATGGTTGTATTAAAGCAATGGAGATAAGAGTTTGATACTCGTCTTCCTCCTTAAGAGGTTCAATACGAAGTATATACACTGGTGGTAGTAATAAAACAAAGGTAGTGTACTTTTGACAGAAGTAGTGTCAATTTTGTCACAAGACATTTATATTAAAATACCATATCCTAATTGGGAAAGGGAATAAATTTGAAACAATAAACGATGTTTTACATGTCTTTTGTCTTACCTGATCCATTGTTTTTGGTGACGTAAGTTTTTCTACTAACTAGGAGAGTGAGAGAAGGATTATCTCTCTTTCTAATGTTAACTCCTCAGTAAAGTAGTCTATTAAACAAAACAAATGTTTATAAAGAATGAGATTTAGATTTAGATTTAGATTTGTGTTGTAATTTTGTATAATTTAAACTCCGCATTATTTAAGGAGAAGAAAAAGAAGAACAAAGGAGTTAAAGTTAAGTTGAGTTCGAGGAGGTAAAAAATAAAAACACTAAATAAAGGAAAAAGGGAGAAATACGGAATCGGAAGTTGCGGCCGATAGAAGAAAAAACAAAAATAGTCGGCCAAACTTTTTGCAACACCAAAACCAACATTCCGTTTTATGTTTCAGTACGTATGGTGAAGTGAAGCTGTCACTACTGTCTATAAGCGAATAGGCAGACACACACACACACACACACACACACACACACACACACACACACATATATATATATATATATACCAAACACTTTTTTTACAATGCGCAGTAGAAAGGGTTCATATAAAACGGGAAATGAAAATTTAAAATTGCATCCGATTAGTTATGCACATCTGGCTCTATATTATCTGTTGTCTATTTAAATATCTCATGCAGACAACCTCCCCCCTCCCAATGTAGAGAGATTATACGATATCCTAAGAACTGTATATGAATGTTTGTAGTTGTTTTTGTATAATCTTTATGTATGAGACACGCTTTACGTAAGAAACGCGTTCTACCTATTGGTATAAGTTTTGATTACGCCGAAATAGTGTCCTAGTATATACTTTTATTTATGCACATTTTCCCGCAAGTTTGCTCTAACTTAAGGGTTTGTTATTTTGATTGCTATTGGTTGTTTTGGTGGTCGTATAAGTTATAAATGCCACAAGTTTCGTCAGTGCTGCAAAATATTTTTATACACATTTATACTGTTGAATAGAGTAAGAGAGATAGAGTGTATGTCTACTACTCTCTTTGGTTGTAGGTAATAGTAGTGAGTAGATTAGAGTAAGGAGTAAAGTTCATATACTCTGCTGTCGTATAAAGAAGAAAGGTGGTGGTTTGTGTGTAGTGTATATAGTGTATATAGTGTATATAGTGCACAGTGTAATGTATAGTGGGTTATACTCCTCTAGCGCAATTATAGAAGAAAAAATTTTTTTATTTTTTTTTTTCTTCTTTAAAAAAGAAAGACAAGCAGAAACGAAAACTAAAAAACCAACAAAACCAACAACAACAACAACAACAACAAAAGAGCAACAGCAACTTCTTCTTCTTCTTCTTCTTCTTCTTCTTCTTCTTTTTCAACAACAACTACTATTACTAATACCTATCCAAATACATATTCCAAGTTTCTTCTACATTCGCTTACTTTCCAACAGACATTATACACCATACACAACACTTGACCACACTTCCAGACAACACTGATATTATTTTTTCTTTTACAATCAACAAACGAATTTTTTATTTGATTTAACTTTTTTTATTTTCTCTTCTGGAGCTAAGAAAAAAATAAAAAAATAATAGTATAAAGAGAGCAACACGCTTTTATTATCTCATACACCAGTTCACAAGAGTCCCCCAAGAGCCAGAAGGAATAGTCTTTATATTACTATGTCACAACTTCAACAAGTATTAACCAGTATGTATTACATATCATATTTTTTCTATTACACCAACCAAACAAACTGAGGCAGAGAGACGGAGAGAGACGAAGATTGAAACGAGGCTATGAGTTTTTTCACAAGAGACACACACATACATACACACAATAACACACAATAACCTCACAGCATACACATTGTTCTTTGTTAGGACAATACAATTATAAACTACAATGAGATTGATTCTCATGACACAGGGAGAACAGAAAACAGACACACACACACAGAGAGAGAGAGACAGAGAGAGACAGAGAGTAGTGTCACTGCTTAGGAACAGATTTTTCACATACATTGATACAGATCCAACAGAAAGGTACCGATTTGATGCACAAATATGTTTATACAAAAGTTTCCCTAAATGAAAAAAAAAAAAAAAAAAAGACAAGGATTCAAAGCCATAATGAAAGGAGAAGAAGAATAATAATTAACACTTCAATATGTATGTGTGTTGATGTGTCTGTGCCATACGTGTTTTATGAAAAATTTCGAATTTATTTTTTTTATTTCTTAACAAAACACACTTACTTTCCAAGAAAAAGCCAAAAAAACTATAAACCACATTCACTTTAATTGAGGAGGAAAAATTGACACACGTCTTTTGTTACAAAACATACAGTTCATTTGGGAAGAGAGACACCTTCATCATAGCTTCTTCTTTTCTTTGAGTAATTGTTGAGATCGTATTGATCTTTAGTTTTCACCCCCTTGCATCCACCACCTTGTTTGTTGCTCCCATCGAGCTAAAACAAAGAGCCTCCCTTCTTGTTGTTGTTACTACTTCCCCTTTGCTTGTCCTCCTCATCGTCCTCATCTTCCTCATTTCCACAATATGTCAGAGTTCTCCTTACTAACCGATGTTCTTATAGTTGGATCCAATCCCAATGTATCATTTTATGCTTGGAGATTATATCAGGTAAAAGCAGTTGAACTTACCATTGTTGATTCTCAATTTGATAAAACAAGGCCAATTGTTTGGAAATCATCGCTGTTGGGCTCTTCCCAATACATCCCGCATGAAGCATATTCATCAATTCAGGAACTTCCAAGCCATAAGCGATATGATGTCATTATCTTAAGTTGTAATTCGTTGCAAGATTTCCAAGTAACTTGCTCAGGTTTAAGCAAGATTATTCACGATAAAACAATCATTCTTGTTGAAAGTACCGGATACATCAACCTTGAACCGTTTGTCACTGCTAGTTTCCCCAAATCGGCGGCTTCATCGTTGCTCGTTATGTCCATTATGAATGAGAGTGATGTACGTAAAACATCAAAAAACACCATTGTTCATCAAGTGAGAAACAAGGATTCGCGTATTTATTTTGGTGCAACTTCAGGAGTATTATCGTCAAGCAAATTGACATCTCATCCTAGTTATCAGAAAATGTATAAGCTTTTACAATATGTGCAAGAAAATAGTAACGGGGCGATCAGTTTGCTCAAATCAAGCAACCCAAAGGAGTTTATGACGTATCAATGGAAATTGGCATTACCACGGATTGTGTTTGATCCAGTATTGGTTTTGTTTGAAATTGAGTATCCCGAACTTTTAAAAACTCAAATTTTATCAAAGCCATTGATTACTGGATTGATTAATGAGTTATTCAAACTTATCAAGAAAATGGATTGTAAATTAGTTAAAGGGTTTGAAAATGAAGCCAACTTGTTGGAAAGCTGGTCCAAGTATTACCCAGTTAATAAATCAAATGACCATTATGTTAATTCACCCAGGTTGTTTTACAACTTTTACCATAAGCTTGATCTTGAGTTGGATTTATTATTATTACAACCAATCTTGTTGGGTGATGATAATGGAATCAGAACGCCATACTTGGAGAACTTGTATTCAATCATGTGTCAATTTAACAAGATTAATCACCAGTCTTCAATTTTTTTCAAACGTAAACTGAATGACGAACCGGCATCTGATAGAATAGTCACAGCAAAACAATTGGAAGAAGAAATTGCTGCAAATTTACAAAAGCAAAAGAGTTTAGAAAAATCAGTCAAGGACTATGAAGTGTCCAAGATTAGTATGGATAATGATGTTCGTAAACAAGATCAATATTTGAAAACCATTCAACAGAAAATTATCGACACAGAGACCAAATTATCCAATTTGCAATTTGAGTTTGAAAAGAAATCAAGGTTGTTGGAATCAGAACACGAAGCTAAATTTAGATCGTTGAATGAACAATATAATGAAAAGTTAAGAGATTTAGAGTCTAGTTTTGCCAAACAAAAACTTGGTCCTAATAATAGTCCACCATTATCGATCCCAGCGCAACAACCAACACCGTCTCAGGATGATCCAGCAAGGCCTAATGCTAATGGATATAGAGAGTCAGTCATGAGCCAGGATGGATTAGCTGATTTTAAACATATCGTCCAATATAATGATGTCGCTGCTAATGGGTCTCTCGATACTCCAAAATTGCAGCCACCAATGCAACCAAGTCAAGGACAAAGTTCAGAGAACTTTGTTGATGCAGGAAATGGTGAGATACCTGCTCACATTCTTCAAAAAGAAATGGAATTGAAAAATAGAGAAGAAGCATTGAGAGCTCGTGAGGCAAGGAATGGCTGTGTTGGAGGTTATCCCCAACGAAATGGAGGTTACGGCAATCAATATCCACCACAGCCAGTGCCCCCAGCACAAGCACAAGCACAAGCACAAGCACAAGCACAAGCACAATCACAGCAATTTCAACCAAATGGATACGCACCTCAATTTAACTCCCATCATCAACACCAAAGTCTGTACTACAACCAACCTGGTTACTTCAATGGTCCTCCTAATGGATACTCTGATCAACAACCACCACATGGTTTGCCTAGTGGTGGAATGCCACCAAACCAATTTCCTCCCAACTTGAAGTCTAACGGATCAATGACAAATATGAATGGATTTCAACAGCAGCAACAGCAGCCAATGCAACCCCAATATAGTGGTTACAACCAAGCGCCACGCCGGTTGAACTCGATGCCGGGAGGAATGAATAATTTCCAAGACTATCAACAACAGCCACATCAGCAGTACAATTCCCAACAACAACCACAACAACATTATGGAAACTCACCCAGTTTCAATAATGCAGCACCAATTGATCCATTCATAGAGCAAAGATTCAAAGCTCCTAAAAAGAACAACAACCGTCGTTCACAAATGCCAATGATGGGTAACATAGATGGATTAGATATGGGTGGCCGTGGTGGTATGCCATTGCCGGGAGGAAGTCGGAAATCGATGGTACACCAATTCAATGGTACAGCACTCGGCCCGCCACAACAAGCAAGAAGGTCGTCGAGTAACCCGCTTATGCTCAACAGTCAGCCACAACAGCTGCAACAACCATCACAGCTGCGTGCTCAAGAAAACGGCCCTTTACAATCGAACGGATACTTGCACCCGCCAAATATGAATAGTTCCTCATCGTCAGCAAATACTGATGACACACCCAAGACTGGCGGTGGCGAGAATGAAAATATTAAATTACAAGTGCCAGTGGTTTTAGATTACAATCAGAATGCCAAGCCATTGGGTGGAATTGCTGAACTGAATAAAGAAAATGGCGATAAGAAAAAGAAAAAGAAGGGGTTGTTTGGTAAAAAGTAGTGGTGTTGTGGTAGGTTGGTACATATATATTAGTTTTAGCATATTGTTTAAATGTAAATGAAATGCAAAAGTTTGAAAGGCTAAAGGGTATAAAAACAATTGAAAAGGTAGTTGTAGACCGTTTTGTAGTTGTGGTGTTGATCTAAGTCAGAATTTTTGATTGGCTTTGAGCCGCAAAACGAAAAGCAAAAAAAAAAAAGAAGGAAAAACAAAAATTGGAACAAATCAACAAATGGTGATATCAACATCACTTCCCACTCACTGCTAATTCCCCACTGCACCCTTTTTCCCAATGGCTAGGAAATTCTACGAAGACGACGAGCTCGTTATAAATAAACCAGGCACAGCCGAACCCATCACCGCTAAACTCCAACAACAAGAATCAACCCATGGCGACAATGCATCAATAGTCAACGGCATGGTTATCCGCACCACCCCTGTTCTTGAAAAATACAGCAACCAGATTCGCGAATACCTCATTACTAAATTCAACATTTTTGAAGCTGAGCTTGAAACACAGAAACTGGCTAGTGCTAATGAATGGCGACATGTGAAACTGGCATTCAATTCAATTGTCAAAGAACCAGTGTTGCCTAATGGGATATATATCTTGACGGCTGGATTGACGGGCAGTATATTGGCACGTAATCGCAACATTGGATTACGGTTCGTGACACCTTTGTTGTTTGGTGGTGTCGCTACGAGATATTTTATGCCAGTGACGTTCAACAATTTGCTGCAAAAGTATAATGAGTTGGAGGCTGATAATGTACCTGATTTACATATCCAACATCAGGAATTGATTAAGAATTTGAGAGAATGGAGGCACGATGCTGAAGTGCTGAGGGTCAAGTTAAATGATTGTGTGATTGAACAAGTTCATGATTTGAGAACGAAATGGAAAGATGTGTGGAATTAAAAACAATGATGCATTAAGTCTATATGAGTTGCTCTATGTATATTCTATTAAATACTGTAATGTGATGGTCCTTTCTTCTATACGTTTTCTTTATCTAAGTTTGAATTATTTGATAAGTTGTATAAACCAAAGCCAACCCACCAATTCCAATCAAGATATAATCCAATATCGCTAACCAATACCTCCTTCTAACTTCCTTACCGCTCAACTGCTGTTTACCACCAATACAACAACAGCTTTTCAAATGCAACATTGGCGGATACATGTAAACCAAAGGAATACAAGCAAAACAACCAATAAACGACACAAACTTATCCAAATTGGCTCCCCCAATCAAGGCGATATAAGCAATGAATAAAACAAACAAACAGCGGAATAAATTCTTCAACCATTTCGTGGTGGGTGACACTTTGCCACTGATTTTAAATAACCGCGATTCAATCAATCGAATAGCGGGGAATAATTGCAATGGCGTTGATAACAAAATTGCCACTGAATAAAAGAATTGTGTCATGATAACCATGATTGAATCCTGCGGCAAGTTTAAAAGTATGACCGTTTGTACTTGTGAGCCAAATGTCAAGTATCCCAAAGTGCCAATAATAATAAATATAATGGCGATAGTGACCATGACTTTTGCCAATACTTGGGGAAAATGTGCAGGATAAATCATTGATTCTTGCACGGGAATAATTAAACCTATTCCTTCAAAAGCGAAAATGGCGGTTCCTATAAATAACGAAAATTGCGACTTGTTAAACACGTACTCAACCGAAGGACCAAATTGGCCACAGTTTAATACCACCCACTCGTATCCGATATAGTATATAATGGTGATCAATCCCGTCAAGATGAACAAATTTGCCAAAAGTGCCAGGACTGAGAGCTTTGTTATATCACGTATCAAGCTCATAGGGATAATCAATACCACTTGTCCGGCAATAAACCACACTATATCCAATTCCTCTTTTCCCCCTCTGCCGCTGGATACATTGTTGACAAATGCTCGCAAATTCTCTGCCGTAAACACAATATAAGCAGCAACAAACCCCACTTGGGAAATGACAATCGAAGACAAAATCAATCGTTGTAGCCATGGACCATACAATTTGTATCCAATTTCAGCAAATCCCGACACACGTGTCGATAATTTGGCATAAACAAGTATCAAGTAACACCAGAATGATAATAGGGCAAAGATCGTCAATGTCGCTATCGAAAATGCCAAACCACCATTGGCAAATGCTCGGGGGAGGAAAAGAACACCAGTGCCGACAAATGCTTTGAGGAGTAAGAAATATGCTTTGGTATCAGTTGCCGTACCTTTGGGGTTATAGTTCTTGTCATTAGTTGGTGCTGATGCTGTTGTCGTAGTGGTGGAGGTAGATGGTGGAGACAATAGCGGAGTTTCTTCGTCTAGTTGACGCAGTTTGTAACCAATTGCATCTTCATCGTCTTCTAAATCCTCTCCGGCAAAATGGCCGTAAATACTAAGAAACTCGATAAAATTCTTGGTCAAGAAATTGGGCGTCCGGTTGTGTTGCACTTCATTGAATCCATAGTTGTTATCATGATCTTTGTGCACTTGGTGAAACACACTCAGTTCATTTTGTTGCTGCTGATTATGTTGATGTACTAAAAACTCCCTCCGAAACCCACCAGGAACATTAAACGAACTAGCTCGCGACTTCACCAGTCCATTGTCTGATCCATACCCATCATCAAAGCTTTTCGACTTGTGCAAATTCGGTTTCTTGACTTGCATCTCATTATGCAATTTATACAAATCACGCGTGATATCACCGCCTTCAAGTTGTAAGCTATCGCGAGGTGGCAAGTGTTTTGATAATTGCGAAATCAATCGCGGATCATCCATTCCATCTCGAAAATCAACCGATGGTTCTTGGTTGCTTGTCTGCTTATGGAATTTTGTATTTTCGGAGTTTGTTACTTCCGGTAATGCTGGTCTTAATGGAGGCGACGACGAGCCGGATGAGTCAACAATAGCCGTTTCTTCTTCTTGTCCTTGGATTACACTTTCTGCACCGACAGCAAATCCCTCTCCACCTCCTTCTACTGCTGCTGTTATACCATAGCCATCTCTCAAAAACGGCGTATTTGAAACAAACGAATTACTCTGTGATCCACCCCGTGAACCATTATTCCCCCGAGACCCACGCCGCGAATCAAAAATACTAGCTGCCCTAACTCCTGTTGTTGGTGTTGGTGGTCCAAATGGTGATGCAGATAACGGTGATTTCGTTAACAAGTTGATGGACCGTCTGCGTTGAGATTTATTTATATCTTGAGGATTAGTCATTGCTTAACTAATTGTAGGAATAGTATCTTTTGAGAAGAGTGTCTTGTAAGTATAGGGCTGGTGCGTTTGCAGTTGAATCAACTACTTTATCTTCTTATCTTTGTTGATAAAAGAATGGACCATTTATTTTTATAAACAAAAGAAATTTTAAACAACAAACAAAAACTCGTGCTGTATCGAAAAACCACTGCCGATAAGCACAAAACCTACAAACACGAGACAGATGTATAGACCACAACTAGGTTCATCTTACACATACAAAAAATGTCCCTTCTTTACATAAGTTACTTTTCTTTATTCTTTTTTTAGTATTAAATCTATATCGATTCTATCGTGATACCGTATTTGGCCAATTTCGCCTCAGCTCGTTCATACCCATACTGAGCTGAATTAGTATAATAATCAATTGCCTTATCAATAGCACTCGTCACTTCGTCAGTCGCATTGGCCATTGCCGCCATATCCTCATCACTCACATCATACTCGTAAACTTCACCCAATTTATACAATACTCTCGGATCACGTCGATTCAAATCAAGCACCTTATTGAAGTACTTGATTGCGGCGGGGATGTTTTTACCAATGCCGAAATCTTGTTCATAAGCTTCAACAAAGTCATTTTTAAGTAAACAGGCATAGATGAAATATGCCTTGCATTTCAAACTTGACTTCATTTCCCCATGTCCTGATTCAATTTCTTTAACGATCTTGACTATATGAGTCACTGATGCTTTGATAAATGCCGCCTTATTATTTTCAACATGCAGTGGCAGGTGTGCTTGCTGGTGAATAAACTCTCCTTTGATATTGATATAATTATATAATTTGAAATTTGTTGCCGTGATCAACATCTTTGTCCAAAGTAATCGATACTCCATTGTCTTGTTGCCTGATGCAATATTACTACGTAATTTCTTGAATTCTTTGATTCGTTTCTGAGTTTCAGGATCTAATTTTGGCTGCTGGTGTTGTTGTTGATAACTATTACCTTGCAACCCCATCGGCATACTGTTTCTCTTATTAGCGTATGACATATTGTCATACATCATCATGGATTGACGTCGAGTATCCTGAGGCATCATCATCATCATGCTATGACGATTCATTGCTGGGTTTGGTGCTGGGTATCCACCACCATTTTGATACACCATGGGGTTCATTCCCATACCCATTCCCATATTCATTCCCATCATGTTCATATTGTTGTATGGCATCATCATATGGGGCGGCATATTCATGGGCATTTGCATGGGCATCATTGGGTTAGACGGTGACATCATGCCTAAATCGGGCATGGACATGTTATTTCCCATGTCAAAGCTTGTCTGCAGTTGCCAAGGTTGAGACATTTGTGATATTTCCAGTTGTTGTGGTGGTGAAAATGCTGATGGCGACCCATCTTGCTGAACCTTGGCTTTGGTGCCCTTTTTCTGCTTCTGTGGGGTAGTTGGAGACAGCTTGGTACTAGTCAATGGTGGCTGTGGCGCCACTTGGAAATTCTCCTCTTTTTGAATCGAGTTGTATGACGCTTCTGATGAAGTAGTATCCTTTCTGGTTAATGATATTGCCATGTGACCCGGTGCATCGCTTAATGGTGCTTGATCTGCGATTATTGTTTGGTTCTGGTCCTCTTGAGAAGCATCAGTCACGTCCTCACCATTACATCCCTCTTGTTCACTCTCATCATCATCGTCGTCGTCAAACAAATATTTTGTGTAATCAGAAATCTGTCTTGACCCAGTTGTTTCATCTTTATCAACGCTCAACACCAAATTTGACATTGACTGAGTAATGTCGGTGTTCTTACTTTGCAGTACCCCTATTTTATCAACCCTTACTGGTGGCTCTTCAACAACTTCTTCATCATCCTCACTATAAACATTGTAAGCTTGAGGCTTAAAATTTGATTCCAATGAGCTAACCCTGTATCCTCCACCAGTCTTTTTGAAAGCATGCTGCGGTTCAGAGATTGATCTGTTGGATTTGATGGTGGACTTGCGTGAGTTTCTCAAAAGTTCATTGTTTTCAACCACGTTATCAGTGGCAATGTTTTTTTTGCGCTGATAAGCTTGTAAATAATCATGTGGTTGCTCATGCATATGCAGCAATGGTGGGTCACTTTCGCAATAAGTGCCAGGAATAGTTGCCTTTTGCTGCTGGAGACCCATGTTTTGCAAAGATTGTGATTGAGGAATCTGCGAACTTCTTCTTCTTCTTTCTCCTTGCTTGATTGTAATAGACGATTGCAGTTGCAGATTTTGCAACACTTGCGACTCCATTTGATTGAGCTGTTGCTGTTGTTGTGGCTGCATCATACATTGGTTCATACCATTATTCATATATGGCATTGGTATTTGAGGATACCCATATGGCATCATGGGATTATAATGGGATGCAAATTGTGGGTCATTCTGAAAACACATTGAATTTCTCTGCTGTTGTTGCTGCTGTTGCATTGCTAGAGCTTGGTAATACTGTTTCCATTGCTCATAATACGGATGCTGTGTTGGTTGGAAAGAGTTGGTGCTGGTTGTTTCTGAATCATCATCTTCTTCTTCTGAAACTGCCTCGTCATCAACACTAGCATCTGCAGTTGGTCTCATTGGTGGTGCTTGTTGATGACCAAAGTACAAATTTTGGTTGAATTGCAGTGATGGATCGTGTTGCGGGATTTGTTGTTGTGGCTCACCTTGCACAGCTGTTGGCCTTTTTGGTGTATTTCCTTTAGACCTGCTTGCTCCTTTATCTTGCTGGGTTCTGGGCAATGATTGCTGACTCGCATTTGCAGATATTCCGAATGTCGGTGTAGTGTTTAAATCAATCTCCTGAGGAGATGTGTTTCCACCCACTTTTCCTGATGCATATTGGGAATTTGGGTAAAATCTTCTCTCTGGAGTATGAGTTTGAATCACTGGTTTACGAGGTATATTGTGTTGTGAAGTTTTACCGCCATCATAAACAGGTTGGTTTTGACTCCCATAATTACCGGCATAGACCACACTTTCCCTCTTTACTTGTCTCAGTGGAGCGACAGGATCCTTTCGTGACTGAAAACTTTGTTGTGGTTGCTGTGGTTGAGGTGGGTTACTGTAGTCAAGATTGCCATTTTGCATGGTGTCAATTTTTTCGTCATTCCCTGCCATGGTGTTTCCAACATTCAGTAACATTTCCACATTTGGTCTCAAAGCAAGGGGAACTTTTTTCACTGGTCTCGGTGATGTCGAAGGTTTGGTATGATTTGGATGTGGATGATACCCAATTGATTCCGTGGAAGTATACGACGAGGAAGATCCAGTCGACAGAAACTCACTTTCAGTGTATGAGTTTGTAGTCTCGGACCTTTTATGCAAATGGTTTATGTTGGGAGGTGGATATTGCAGCTGATGCTGATACTGTTGTTGTGGATGTTGTTGCTGTTCGTGGAAATTGTTATGACGATTACCACCTACTTTCAAACCAAACAACCCCATTACTGATGTAGTTTTTAGTTGAATGCCAGGGTTGAAATGCTATGTATATAATCTGTTAGCGAAAAAGAAGCGTTATTAAAAGTGAAATGTTTTTTGTATATTTTTTTATATTTTAATTGGAGCTAAAAATAAACCCAAAAAAGAAAATAACAACAAAAAATAACAACAAATTACAACATGTAATGTAATATTATAGTATTGCAGTGATGTAACCTGGGTTGAGATGACTTTTCCAGTATACTATTGATCAAAGATTACTTTGTCTAACTTGGCTGGTTCAAATAAATGAGAGAGGAATTTGGGTCTACTTAAACTTATGTTTTAAAGGGTCACAGTATAAGCAACAATTACGTTTGACTAAATTTCATCATATTTTCTATTGTTTCTCTCCAATAACAAACCCTTTTACCTCAAAGAGTGAGAGCAATAGCCCCTTAGAATGGCAGTAGTATAGAGAAAAGTTTAAACGTCGTTACCCTGATCCTTTGTTGACCTATATTGGGTGTGGGTGTGTATATTACAAAGGAACAAACGTACTTTATTTTTGCAATCATATTTCCTAATTAGGACACATTGTAAATACACACAAGTGATGTTGCACAAACAGAAAAGAATAGAAAGGGAGGGCTTTTGTTTCTTTTCATTTATTTTACGAAAGAGACATATACAAAGCCAACAAGAGCGCAAGGGGAGGCAAAAGCTAAAGAGTTATAGAATGGTCTAAAGTAGTTGCCTAAGAGTTGAATTGTCTAGAAAGTGAGGTTATTGCATAGTTGACTCCGCTGGTTGGTACAGTTAAAGGGATCCATATTGCATCATCGACAGTTGTACAAAATAAGAAAGCAAACATAACCTCAGAGGGTTGGACACATAGCCTTGATCCTAAACAATAACAGATCGACAACGACAACAACAACAACAAACGAAAGAAGATCCTCCACACCACGAGGGTGTTGCTGAGTTGAGTAATATGGTTTGCATTGTTTTCTTTTCTCTTTTTTTTTTCATAGCCACGCTGGTTGACGAATAAAACAGACAACAAAATAAAACAAAACGGTGAGTGTCTTAGACAAATTTCAGTTGGTACCTGTTTCACAAGAACAGGATAATAAACAAATATAAACAGCCACCGCCCCCTCCCCCCTCAACCGGTCTGACTGTTTTATACCATGACGTGTTATATATCCCTCTGCAGAGGGGCTTTATAAGTTTTCGTTAAACTGTGGTCCACACACGCATAATTTATACTCTGGAGATAAATTTTAAGCGCTATTGTCATTCCCTATACAGCGAAGAATTCATACTTCAGGGAGTACACTAGAGAAGGTTTTATCATGAAATATCAAGGAAATAAATTTGCTCTCTCCTTCTTTTCATCTTGGATTAAGACTAGAAATTCAAAACAGTTTTCCAACCATGAGGAGTACTTTAATAGCAATAGCCACGGAAATAACAAAAGAAAACCGCAACAATTGGTTCAAGATTTATCCGTTGCGCTACCTGACTCACACCCAAAAATATTACTAAGCCAAGAGAAGGGGAAAGCTTTGCTACTGATCTACTTGTGCATACATATATATAATCAGCAATTGCTCCATCCCTTGACTTACTTTAGAATATACCGATCAGGGTTTTTCTAGTCACCAAACATACACCCACATATAGCTGTTTACAATATGACAATTGAAGGAAGCGCAGTCACCTACACCGAATATGGTGCCGATATCCCCAAATTACTCCACACCACTAATTTCAAAATCAACCCTGAGGATATCAAACCAACGCAAGTCGTCATCCAAGCATTGGCAACTCCATTGAACCCCGCCGACTTGATGCAACTTCGTGGCGGTTACAACGCTAGTCCTGAAATTCAATTGGGCACTGAACCAAATGGTCCTTTACACGTTGGTGGTAACGAAGGTGTTTATAAAGTAATTGCACCTGGATCTGAAGCCTCATCTGACTTCAAAAAGGGTGATTTGGTTATTCCCAAGTTGCCTTCATTTGGTACTTGGAGAAATTATGCCATTGCTGACGCCAATAACTTGATCAATGTTGATGGCTTATCAGTCGAACAAGCAGCCACCATATCCATCAACCCAGCAACCGCTTATCAGTTGTTAAACCATTTTGTTACTGATTGGCAAAAAGGCGATTATGTGATTCAAAACTCAGGAACTTCACAAGTTTCCAAATACGTGACCCAAATTGCCAAATTATACGGTGTTAAAACCATCTCTATTGTCCGTGATGGCAAACCACAAGAGGAGATTGATGAATTGGAGAAATTTGGCGCTGAACATGTCATCCTGCATCAAGAGTTTAATAATGACGATTTCGATATTGAGAAATACACCAAGGGAGCCAATGTTCGTTTAGCCCTTAACGGGTCTTGTGACTCAACCGTGGCTAATTTAGTCAAGAGTTTATCTAAAAACGGTCAATTGATCAGTTATGGCTTTTTAGGAGGCGCTGAAATTAAATATAGTGCTCAACAACAATTTGCCAAGAATTTAGTCACGAGAAGATTTTGGTTAACGGCAAATACCGTTGCTGACCCACAGGGTAAAGTTGATACCATTAAACATTTGATCGAATTGTACAAGACGGGTAAGATTGAAGACGTTCCTTATAATAAGTTGCATTTTAAACCTGGTGGTGAAGAATTGTCCAAGGTATTGTTGAAAGGGTTGTCAAATTTCAAAGAGGGTAAAGGTAAACAAGTTTTATTCTATAATGAATAAAATCACAACAGTTCTTTATAAAGGTATTTTGTATTTAGAGTATAGGAGATTTGATATCAGACTAGACCCCGATAATTTTCCTCTTTTTTTTAAAAAAAAAAAACATACACCCTGTTATAATTCTAGAAATGAACCCTTGAAGAAACCAAGTACACCTTCAAGTTGATGATGTTGGTTCTCCAGCACTGCGTAACCCGGTTAACCCGATGCTGCTCATACCAACACCAAAAACACCACGTACCAAATGGAGATACAATTTAATCACAGCAACAATGAAAACCACCCAAAATCTAGTCACAAAATCAGCCAATGAATACCCAATCAAGACACATTCACCAATAACTTGACTTATCGTATTATTCCTCTGCTTTCTATGATGTTGATGTTGTTGCCTCAATGTAGTCTCTTCGTCATCATTAGTTTGGTCCCAGGTGGAATCAAACCAAAGTTCAATCAATTCTAAACGTAACCAAGTAATCCAATTCTTGGTTGTAGCAAGTGACGTTTCAAATGCCACTATAGGGTCTCTTATTGTTTGGTAGTCGTTGTAAGACAATAATCCAAACAAAACTGACTTTGATGAAGATGGCATTGAGACTGTTGACGTTGATGTGGTTGCCGTTGGCTTTGGTTTTGGTCTCTTGTGGGTTGAAGAGGACGAAGAACTAGAACGACGTTTTGGCTTACCTTGTTTCTTGGTTGATACTTCTGAGTGAGTGTGTTTGTCCAAAGCTTTTGTCCCCATGTCACCATTGGACTTGCCATTAACAATATCTTCATCTGCTGGTGTTTCATTTTCCTTGTCAGCATCACCAGGAACAATAAAAGAAACATCGTTTACGCCTTCACCATTGATCTCCCCGTTGAGTTTGGTTTCAGCTTCAACCACAACATCCATATCAGTCATATTCCCATTACAGATTGCACCATGGTCTGGGTTGACATCTAAATCATGCTTCAATTCATCCATTGCAATACTTTGACAAGACATTGTTTCAATACCTTGTTCTTGTCTTACTATTCTCTATATATTAAAAGCAAGCAAATTTAGATACAAATAATTCTGAAAGCAGTGTGGTTTTGAAGAATGAGGGAAAGAAAGGATATGGAAATTATGGAAAATAAATGTTCATATTCCTCCTTATATACTCCCACTCCTTTCTTTTTAGTTTTGGTGATACGTATCTATACCCACAAAAACTCACACACACCAGCCTGTGACAAATCACTAACCCAAAGTTTTCCCCACAGTTTAATCTGTAAACAGTTACACACAACTACAACAAATAAACCTTTGTTTCAGGACAAAGTGATAACACGTGGCTTACAAACCTTCGCCTCCTCTGTTCTAACCTGCTCATTTATTTTTCACCACACACGAACCACTAAACCACCTTACATATAAAGGGAAAGAATTTACCCTTTGGAACATAACATACTCTGCCTCTAAGTCTTTTTTTATGATAGAGTCTTTCTTTTGTATTGTTCAAAATGGCATATGGACTTACTTAATTGGCTGTGAAAAAAAATAAGTTACTGGTAATATGACACAAACAAAGGGTTATAACAATATAAACGACAATTAGATCTTGTGTAACACCCTCAAACATTTTTAAAACCCACATTGTACCAAATAACTTGAGATCATTGGATTAGATACCAAATCGATAAAGAAGCGACTTGTATAAGAGTTAGCAACAGATTAAACACTTTGAACAAGAAGAACAACATTTCATCTAATAGAGTTACTAAAAAACTACTTTCTCTTACTGAACAAATGAAATAAACAAACCCATTGATTCTTCTATAGATACAGCAAACTGTAAAATCGTTTAAAATTGTAGCCAGTTCCAATTATCAGCTTCTTGAGGAGTGGTGTTTCCCATAAATTGACTAGGAGGGTTATTGCTGTTATTGTTATTGGAACTTCCCATAAACGACATACTACCATTATCATGCATCAGGCTGGCAGTACCGCCGCCGAATGACGCATCGTTTGACGAAGAAGATGGTGGTAACCCATTGGGATCCAATAAATCAAATTCATCGTGATGCTGATGTTGCTGATGCTGCTGCTGCAGTGGATTATTTTGTTGATGTTGTTGCTGGTTCAGGTGAAATGGAGACAGTTGTTGAAACAACATTTCATTAGTGTTCCCATTCGATGTGAAATCCGATTGAAATAAATTCAAGTTTAATAATTTATCTATTTGTTGGTTGGTAAGTGATCGGCTGTTGGTTTCATTACCTTGTTCTTCTTTCTCCTCGTTGTTATTACCTTGAATTTGTGAATCAAGATCAATATCAATATTCAATTCATGTTGCTCATCAGTTGAGTCAAGATGGTGATGGTGATGATGGTGATGGTGATGATGTTGTTGGGAAAAATGTTGTGGAAGTGGCGCCGAAGAAGAGCCAACAAACCCACCGAGGCCACCATCATTTTCACCCCTGCTGTTACCATCTCCGCCAATAGTATACTCCGATGAAAGTAGATTAATATTAGTATTGCCAATAATGTCATCATTATAATTTATGCCTTTGTACTTGTTCACATCGCCCACTGCATAGCTGTTACTCCTGGTGGCACCGTTATTATTATTGTTATTCTTTAATGGCCTTAGTGTTCCATGCAATTTATAAAATAATCCACATGCATTACATAACAAATCACCATTATTTGACTTTCTCCATAATGGAGTTGTTTTTGTTTCGCAATTGGTACATTGCAAAATCTTTTTACGCCCAGTGTTGAGTAACCCATTGTTTCGATGGCTATTGCTGGCGCCAAATGACATTGCAGACGTTGAGTTTGGTGATGTCGTGGATGCAGCTGCGCTAGCAGGAACGTGATGAAATGATGCTCTTGATGTTGGTGCTGGCCCTGGTGTGACTGTTGAGGATGATGATGATGATGATGTTATTGTTGTCGGCTTTGTAGTAAATGGGGCTGATACACCTGACACTGACTTACTGTGTTGCATATTGGTTGGTGACCCTTGACTTATTGATGTAGATGTTGTAGTGCCAGAACTAGGTTGATGAAATTGTGTATTGTTTTTCAAATTCGATTCAAGATTGTTAATATACGTGGATAGGTAATTGCGACGATCATCGCCCAATCTGTTACTATTATTATCATTGTTTTTGTTGTTTCTATCTCTTGCATCCATGAAGTCCAGTTTTGACTCTTCTTGACTTATTCTTCTTATATGGGCCACATAGTCAAAATCATCCAAACTTGGTTCATTAGTGGAGGCGTTAGCGGATTCAGTTTTTACTGTTGATGTAGTTGCAACTGTTGATTTGTTTATATTGTTGAGGATATTTGACGCAGTCGCACTAGTATTAGCACCCCATACTGAATTATTATACTTGGAGCCGGAGTCTCCTCTAACCATTGGTTTTGACACACCTCCATTGTTGGTAGTTTTACCACCACCATCTTTAATACTGGTACTGTTAATCTTTGCAGCATTGTTATGATTGGCAAGGATTTTTTTATTTTGTATTCTCCAAGCCAAATTGGATATTCTTTGGTTATGGGGTAGATAACTCTTGTGTTGATACATTTTGAAAATATCCATCGATGCATTATCATCATCTTGTATTAGATCGTGTATTGACGGTGGTGAGACTGCTGCTGCTGTTGGATTTGTTGTAGTCATCTTGTCAGTGGTTGATGGCAGTTTCAGCTGCTGCTGCTGCTGTTGATGTTGATGTTGATGTTGATGTTGATGTTGATGTTGTAGTTGATGTTGTTCTTGTTGGTGGTGGTTGCCTGTAGTCTGGTGATTAGATTCGTTCATGAAAATAAGTAGCTGTCGTGGGTAGTTTCTGTAATAGATACTACTATGAACACTTTGTCAATATATAAATAAATGTATAGCTTAGTAAGTAACACGTATTTTAGAAGCTGTTGCTGTATCAGTAGTGGATGCAGTGGATGTAGTGGATGTAGGTGTGTATGTTAATAGTTTAAGATGAGTAGTATATCATATCCCACACTCCGTGATGCCAGGTAGTTCAATAAATAAATAAATAAATAAATAAATTGATTGATTAATTAATTAATTGAATAATTGAATAATTTTTTTTTTTCTCTTTCTTGTTCTCTGCAATATATATGACCCAACAATAACAACTAATAATTGCAGAGCTTCACAAGAATATATTACTTTAATAATAACTACTAATAATAACTACTAATAATAATTTGTTCGATTATTTATATATATATATATATATATATAAATACTCCTCTCCCCTCCTATCCCAATTGTGTTTCTGTTTCTGTATTTGAAAATGATGTTTAGAACTAATAATGAAAAATTAAAGCGGAGAGACAAAATATATTTTGGTAGGCAATGAATAAGCACAAACAACCCTCTAATAAAATATTTTGAATCACTTTCACAAGTTCACTTTCTTTCAACTACTTCTGACTAGTATTTAACTTCTTTAATTTTCCAATACAACCAACTTAAATAAATTACATTTTACATGAATTTAAATTCTTTTGGATTCTTTTGGGAAAAGGTGGGCGACAGAATGTCATGAATATTCTTCTATTTCCCTCCTATACTTTTATTATTATCATTATCCTTATTACTATTTACGTTTACTTTTAAGATTACATATGATGATGATGGTGTTTTTGAGAAGAAAAAAATACTGCAAAGTATATATATTTCTATCAAGAATTTCTTGTGGATATACTCCTTGTTTTCCAAATTTACTTTCCAAAAAATTATGGTAATAAAAAGCTTAACCAAACCAACAGAATTATTTAAACCTAAAACCACGGGAGAACACACTACGTGTAAATGTGCTTCTTTCACACAATGGCCTATTCAGCATATATGGCTGACTCTTCTACAATAGTCCGTCTTTTTTTTTTTTTGACTCCTTTCTCTTTGAATTAAACAGCCCGGCTTTGTTTCAATTGAGTGACTTATATGCTTACCCCACCATTCAAATAAACATACACACATACACACACACAAAAATGCCTTGCAAAAAAACAAATATTGAAGAAATGCCTTGCAAAATCAAACACAAATAATACATATCCCGTTTAAAAAGGAGGATAAAACAACTTTGACGCAAGATCTAACTTTTCTGTAATTAAATAGAACAGGACAGTAGGAGAGAAAAAGAAAGGAGGAGGGGTAAGACTTTACGATCATCTAATCCAAATTCAAAAATAAAAATAAAAAAAAAAAAGACACTTCCACAATAGATATGCAGAATCCCACAAACTTCCTTCTTACTCAAACCATAAATAGTCTGTAAAAAACTTTTGTCTTTTAAACCCAACGAACATAAGCAGAGTATTAATATATGCAACTGCATTAATCCCTTTACTAGGATTCTTTTCCTTGGTAAATGATACATGACGGAGTTAGTTAAACTCCGATAATTCCGTTGTTTTTGTGTTGCACTACACAAAAGGAAAACTGAAATTATTATACAAAGTGGGTGCCAAAGGGAAATCATTGTCAACAAAAAACTGACGTCAAACTCGATGCTGAAAAAAACAGCTAAAGAAGAAGGGCCAAGGTTTGTGTTACAAAGGATTGGCTGGCTTCGAGCTACTTTGCATGTAATATTTCCCCATGTCGTCGTCGATGCCGCAAAGTTTTGAAAGCTGTTGCTCGTGCGTTTAGCACTCACAAATGATTTGTTGTACACCCATTTATATGACAATTTGAAGTGGGGCATTGGTGCTGAGGTATGTATATCTGTGTGTCTATTGTCAATCAAAAGCCACCCATACATGTTTGATGGTAAATATTCCATTCAAATGTTTTGACAAACAAAGTTTGATCACCAAGTACAAGACGATAAAAAAACTACTGCTATTAAACTCTACTCAAGACAAAACCCCATTTGAAGTTAATGAATGCAAATAATTCCCATCACAAATAAAACCGCAAAGAGAAACCACAAGCTCAATTCTCTTTAAAGGAGGAAAAATGTGTAAGAACACCTCAAGGACACCAGTTTAACTTTTCGGTTACCTGCTTATTGTTGTATTTCACACGAGTATGGCTATTGATGTAGCAGTAGTAGTAGTAGTAGTAGTTGTTGTTGTTGTTTGAGAAACTTCTATTTAGTCAACGTAAATACATCATCAATATCATTGTCACAAGTTTTGGTATTCCCTGGTCTTGAGAACCCTCCAGATTTATGGTGGTGTGGTCAAACCCCATTTCAAATTCTTGAAGTGACATTGGAAAACCCCAAGCAATTATCCTCTCGAAGCAAACGAAAATCCCAAACCAAAACTTGGTATTCTGAGATTAATGTAGACTGGTTATTGATGATGAGACTGATTATTGATGATGAGACTGATTATTGATGATGAGACTGATCTTTGCCCCTCCCCTATACTTAGATAGTTGATGGATAACTTGTTTTCACAGAAATAAGTTATCGTTCTCTCAAGCTTCATTTTTTTTAGAAAAAGTAGCGATTTCAATATATATTTATATATCTTATATATTCTGATTTGCCAAAAAAAAAAAAAAAGGTGAGATCTGGGAAGGAGTTGCAAAAGAACTTAAGCCGCAGACAGTGAGCAAAAGAAAAAAGAAATGTCAAAAAAAAAAACATCAGAGACAACCAAACTTAGCAGTCACTAAACAACGCTAGCATATTCATAAACTATTACATCACTAACTACCAGCACCACCATTAAAAATATGGCAGATAAAATCCGAGAAAAGAATCAATACGCCCTCCTCAAACAGAAATACCCAGGGATAGGAAATGCCGACACTACCCGACACGAGTTTCAAACAACAATATACAACGATACAGTAGCATCAATAGCTCATCATAAGCATTTGAATTATTATAACCTGACTGTGGTTAATAAACATCCTAATTTAATGAAACAAGAGATGCTTAAGAAGATTAAACCAGAGACGTCATTGAGGGAAGACAAAAGTTGAGATGAGATGTGATAAAACAAGTGGGATACAGTTTGGTAACTTTTCTGTGGAAAAGGGTACACCAGCAAGCTTTGTTGAATCTACAAAATGTCCTGGCCAGTTTTAGACGTAAATAACGAGCAGTAGATGCTTGTAAGCACAGGATTAAGACGTTATGCAATAAATCAAACGGGATAGTTTGATTGCACTCTAGAAGTATTATCTTACGACATCAACCCCAATTTTTAATTCTTTCCAATCAATTACTTATTTTGTATATTTATTTGGCATATACAAATTGAAACAAAGCAACGTTAATTCAATTGCAAACAGTTTTTTTTTGAAGTCTCCTCTCTTCTCCAGGTCTCCAGGTCTCTGGCTTTACTACTCAATTACCACCTACTTGCTCTTCTTCAACAACCAATAAAGGTGCTGATTCTCCACTTCCTTGTCTAACACCACCAATAATCATTGAACCAGCACTCCAAACCACCAAAATACCAGCAATAACAAATGCAAAAATCCATTGCAAAGCAAATACTTTTGTTGCCAATTGACCAAAGGCCAAAGCAAACATAAGGTACGAAGTACTGAACCCAATAGCCCAATCATTAAAGATTAACAAGAATAAAGCTGGAACCAACAAGAAATCCCAAATGAATATATTGGCGACAATTCTACCCCATGTCTTGTGAATATGTAACCAAACAGCGCCATTCCAGAAAAGAGCATACAACAACCACGAGAATGGCAAAGCAACCAATGGAGCATGGATTAATAACCAGTTACTAACTGGTCTCAATGTAAATGTTTTGTGACTGAAATACAATCCCAAGATATTAAACAAGTTAACAATGACAATGATTTCACTCCAGAAAAAGTGTCCTGAAGTAAACAACTCCGCCCAAACGTAATGCAACACATTGAAAATGGGGAAATGCCATCCAATCAACAGTACAATCAGCAAACGATACTCATCAGGGAAGAAAGTTTGTACGGTGTACAAAATCTGCCAAAGGTACAACACAGCCCAGTAAATGAATAACAAAATGTTGCTGCCCGAGTATGGAGTATGAGACAAGTGATCTTCTGGTACTCCTGAATACTTCAATCCACCATAGATGGAAAGAATTAAGGTGACTATTGAGACTGCCTTGTAAGTCTTTAATTGTTCTTGATTAAGTTCAGCCATAACACTCAACTATAGATTTTGTAAAATAGCGACCAATTGGAGGGATGTATTTCTTTTAAAGATGTGTTTGGTGGGTGGTTTGGGGTTTTCTTCAAAAAAAATAGGATGATCACGCCTCTTATTTATATTTATTTATTTAAGGAGAGGAGGAGGTAAAAGGAGTAACAATAATTTAATAAAAAAATAAACTAAATTAACCAAAGGAGTTACAAAATCAAAATCATTTAGCAATCATAAAAATTTTCATAGAATATGCCAATTGACAAAAATGGTTTGGAGCTTCAGAGAGAGTTATATTCTATCTTATACTTTTTGAGAATGACTGTTTATAATCATCGCTAGGAGAAGGAACAGCATTTGAAGTATTATAGTCTCAAAGGAGAATGTTTACACGTAATTTACTATGCTTGCGCTACCATTTTCTTCTTTTACTTTTGCTTTCTAACGTCTTCTTCTGCTTCTTCTTACATTGTACGAGTGTCACTTGTTTGAAGCTGCATATCATTTGTCCAATCATGGTAGCTGAATAATAGTTTCAGGAGGTGATCACATTTAGTTGGCTTGGAAGAAGAGGAGAGAGAGAGAGAGATCATTGCTTTGCTTTAGAGAGATGTCTGTTGCACATTAGGATTTTATTTTTGACGTGTATGAGGGATGACAAACGCACAGTTCCTATTTAGGAAAAGAATGTTACTATTACTACTTACTAGTTACTACTACTAAAGAAGATACACATTGATTGATGTGTGGATAAATATTTAGACCAAAGAGAATTTTAATTTTCTATTTCCACTTTTGTGTGTGTGCGTTATGTTGGAGATAGAGAGATTAACTAAAAAATAAACCATTGGTTATATAAAATATATAAATTTATAAATAGGAGACGAGATTCCCCATTTTCTAAAAGATTAAGAAAAAGAAAGAAGCAGTGGAAACGCGTAGTCGTGTTCTTGGGTGAATGGTATATTCCATATATTGAATAAGTTTAACATTCAGACGAGAAAATTCATTGTTTGAACTTCTATACGCCTTGTTGAATTATCCAGTTCTCCATCCACAGTATCGCATTCGGTTCCTGCTGTCATGAACGAATACATTGCTTTTAACTCTAGGTTAGCAACTCTTTTTGTTCGATAATGGTTTTAATCCAGATAAAAAATGGAATTGATGCCTGCTGTTGTGTTTGGAGGGCACAAATGGATACAATTTTATAATTACACGTGAAGTTCTATGTATTCTTGTTATTGGAATGAGGTCTAGTTTTGCTTTCGGAGAGATTTCTGTATTGAAATATTTCTTCCTAGTTGTTTTTCATAACGAATGAACAGGCTACGTTCCAGAATCAGTTGCCACTTGTAGGGCATTAATCACCAGGTTAGCTATTGTAGTGGTGTTTTGGATGCAAGACAGTATTCTCATCTCATCCGTTGTGTTTTCGAAAAGAGATTATTTTTTCAAAATGAAATATACGTTATACGGTTATGTAAATAGTTGCATTATTTACAACGTGTAGGACGTTATCCTTTATTCACCCTTTTTGAGATATCAATGTTGTGTCAAAACTAGGCTTAGTGTTACTTGATTTTGAAAGAGCCAGGTATGGAATAAACGTTCTCGTTTATATTTCTGACACTTTTTTTTGATCAAGAGAGAGCACTACATGAGCACTACATTTGATAAATAACCACACACCAGTCAACTACCTCCTCTAAATTTCTACTTGGACTAATATACCTCTATCCTTAAAATGTCTAACAAGTTCCACGATAGGATTTTTTGCCAATACCAGCTTCATGTCCACCCTTTTCATGCTGCTTTTGTCTAAGTGGCTGGATACCACCAGAAGCAATACTCAACAACAAATCATGAATAGTTGATTTATTATGCTTTGAAGCTTCTTCTTTGTTGGTCAAGATTTCTCTAACTGATTCGGCCGATTTAACCAACAATACAGCAATTTCAGTACAATCTTCAATCAATTTTTCCAAAAGGGTCAAACTAAGCGAATTACGAACAACAACACGCAAAATCTCAACATCAGTTTCATCGGGTGGTAAATGGTAATTGGGGACAATGAATCCACGTTTACGCAACAATGTCGAAAACAACTCTTGAGGGATTTCAGGATACTTGTCTCTAATCTCCTTCGAGAATCTAAATGCAACAACCGGTAAACCTGGCTCAAAAGTTTCGTTAACTGTAGGTTCAGTTAAATTTTTAACTTGTCTCGTGTACAACCTCTTTTGGTCTTGAGAACTGGCTGATTGGTGAATCACTGAAACCACATCAAAGTAGCCAGTCTTGATCAAGTAATTGGAAAGTAAACGAGCGTTGGATAAACAAGCATCAAAAATTTTAGTGTATCCTTCTTTACCATAAGTTAAAAAGTTGTAGTATTGTAAAATAACAGGGAATCCCGGTCTTGAGAAATTCAAGCCAAAAGTCTCTTCAACTCCACCCAAATAGTCAAGACTAAAACGTAACTTCTTGGGTAATAAACTTTCATCTTTCCAAATAACCCAACCTAACCCAACTGAAGTCATACCAAACTTATGACCCGAGGTATTGATAGAATCAACACGATCAATAGCAAAATCCCATTTCAAATGGGGGAAAGCAAAAGGAGCCACAAATCCACCACTAGCACCATCAACATGGATTCTAATGTCCAACCCCTTTTCTTTTTCAACTTCATCCAAAAGCTTGGAAATCTCCTCCACCGGTTCAAAAGCACCAGTAAATGTCGATCCCATAATCACAAAAATACCAATGGTATTTTCATCAATGTTTTCCTTAATTTTTGTGGTGTCGATCAAATGACCAGATGATGGATTCACGGGAATTAATCTGTTTTCAACATCAAAATAAACAGCAAACTTCTCCAAAGCAACTTGAGCGCAAGTGGCCATCAAGATATTTGGGTTTTCTGTCGATTTACCTTGAGCCTTTCTCTTTTCTTGCCATCTCTTCTTCAATGCCAATCCTGCCAACATAATAGCTTCAGATGATCCAGTAGTTGCCGTTCCCAAAGAATTGACAATCTTGGCTCCAGTTTTAGAATCAGTCTTGTGAGGCGCATGCCATAAATTACTCAACATAGTAACACATCTGTTTTGAATATCAATCAAAGAAGGATACTCATCATTGTCAGCCAAGTTCTTGGTTATATTCTCGACGGCCAATTTTCTTTGATGATCATCGATATAAGTATTGACAAAAGAAGCCAAATTCAACGTGGGAATCCCATCCAACGATAATTCTTGATTCAAGTACTTGTATATATCGCCTTCATTGGCTGATTTATGGGGAACTGTGTATCTTGGAGCCAATTTTGATGAATTGTACTCATCATTGAACTCATCAGGACTCAATTTGACCTTGCGTGAGTCTTTTAAAAGCTGATATTCTAAATCATAAGCGTCAATGTGTTTACTTAAAACCATGGTGGGGGAGTATTGGGTGAATTGTCTAATCAACTGTTTATGAATTGGAAAAGATGTGTGGTTGAGTTTAAACATTTGGGATAGGGAATTGAATTTAGTGAATTTATTCTCCCTTATTTATAGGTAAAAATTGGCACTAAAACCCCCCCTCCTCCTCGAATAGAACATTATGGAAAGTCGATTGCTGCATCAAAGCTAATTTGTGTTCTTTTATATGTGCAACTGTACAACTACCATGTATCATTGGTTCACGTTTGTAACTATTATAGTCTTTCTCTCTCTCTCTCTCCCTCTGTGTCACATACTAACTATCCCTTTGTCCTCTTAGAGAATAAAATGTATTAAAAATACAATTATTCTTATTGTTCTTATTTGTACTTTGATTGCTATCCTTCGTGAAAGGGAGAAGGAGAAAAAACATTCAGACGATAAAATGGACAGGGGAATAACCCCGTAAAAAAACACTGTTTCTTGGCAATAAAGAATTTACGAGACTGGCGTCGCTTCCTGGTATGTCAGTTGAAGGTGAGTGTTTGAATTAACTCCCTTCTATCAAACAAGTCGCCTCTATTTCCATCTATTTCTGCCAAATAAATACCCACAATTACGTAACGGATAAAAACAATGACCCAAACATTCCATTGATGGGTGTTTTAATACCTAATAAACGATTTTAATTACAGTTTAGCTCCGACATAGACCAAAGTTATAAATAAAACAATAGGAGAAAAATAACGTGCGCGTAATGCTAAATTTCAATAGTTTTCAATTTTGGAACGGGTATTTTGCATTCTGTCGGAAATAACGACACAAACAAAGAAGTTACCGTTTCCAAAATTGTACCAGGAAAAGATGCTGAAACACTACTACATTCATGATACCTTTCATCGGTATATGTGTCACCTAACTCCTCAATTAAATGCACCTAAGACCTCTCTTTAGTGGCCTGGAGCGCTCGATCAATGAACTCAGCCGACAATTTTTCTTTCTCTGGATCATAAAGTTCATTACTCAACTTATATCCTCCTAGCATCAGTGTTTTGTAAAAGAACTTTGATGCCTTTTGAAATAAATGTTCATAGTGCAGTGCTTTTTGCCATCGATATTCGACATCTTCATCTTGCTTTACCGATTTTTCTTCTTTGCATTCTTCAAGTTTGCTACTAGTTGAATTAGAATCACTTGCAGTTACAGCTCCAATATGGGTCGTAGTTGGCTCATAAGTCAGCGTATTATTAAATAGTGGTTTTTGCATGCCAAAATCATCTGCCAGTGCGTTACTGGGTAGTCTGGCGGCATCTTCTTGGATAAGCCCATTAGTTAATGGTGTGCTTGGCAGTGCTACAGTACGTTGTACAGTGGATATCTGAGTGGTTGGTTCGCTAGACAGTGCCTCTCTATATCTTTCACAGCATGTTCCTCAGTCATATCCTTACTGGCCAACGGCTCACAATCAATCAAGCATGGAGGGGTTAATATTCATTGGTTTCTTGATAAGTTGACTTCGATCAAAGGGAAATAAACCAACTATTTCCCACGCAAATCGTAAAATTTTAGGCTTCAATCTTTCCTGTCGTATCGCATAATAACTCATGATTAATCCCCCACCTGTCAATATCAACGGGTGTAAGCTGTCCATCATTAAATAGAGTTTCTCTGAAGTCATTTTTTGACCACTGAAAGCACCACCTGATTAAGTGGTTGGAGCATAAACTGTACTTTTTTTGGTACATACAAAACGGCAATTTTGTTTTCATCGCATTTAGCTTTAAATTCATCATTAGTGAAACAACTCAATTCTTCAAGTATCAACCCTGTATATGGGAAGTCTTCGCCTGCCCATGTTTCCCTGACGAATAATTTCTCAAGCCACTCCACTGCCGTCTCTGCTGTTAACAATCCATTTTCCAGCGACCTGTAATAAAAAGGGGAAATGTGCTCCAGTTTATACCTCGCTTTCAGCGGATTATTTCCCTTGTGTAACAAACACGGTGTTAGTTTATCACCATCGCCTGAAATCGTTTCCAAGATTGTCAAATGTTCCCTCCCTTCTTGGGTGGACGTCTTTTTTTCCTCTTCATCAAGCCAAACCTTTGCCCATTGCTCTGATGCATTTCCAAGTTAAAAACTCGCTTCAGCCATATTCCATACTTGACTCTGGTTAAGGTTAAGTTTCTTAACAAACGACTCAAAATTGTGAAACCAAGAAATAGCAGCTTTCCAATCAGCTGGAGTTCTTGTCCGTTGCTGAAGACTGAATTTTACACTCTTCAATGCCGGATTCCTTTCTCTCCAAAGAAGGGGACACCCTAGGAAAATGGTTAAAGCAGAGAATTTGTCCAAAAGTGAACAATTAGCTGCATTTGTGATGAACTTGATATTGAAAGGAATCTGGGAATTTGATCGGTGAATTACATGATCACGCAATATCCTTTCTTCCTCAAAGGTTAACCTCATCATGTATGACCTTGGGTCTTTAGGCTTCGTACTAATCACTGCTTTTTTTACCTTCTTGTACTATGAATTCTTGATTGCTGCAAAACAGGAAGTAAATGCAGACTTTGGAACCCCAAATTTTTCATATACTGAGCATTTAATTGGTCAACGCTCATCATGTGCAGTATGTAATATTCTAAAGCTTCTTTCAATTTTAAGGTATTAATTTCTCCGAGACTCTTTGTGGTAGAGGTGTTATTCTCCATCGGTTTTAAAATAATTTGATTTAAAAATTGTTGGTGCATATCGTAAATGATTGGGTTTGTGTTTAGGAAGTTGTCTTAACTTTGAAGCAAACGCGTGTGGGGAATGTATAAACAGTTTACTGTGGAGGAGAAGATGAAATCCCAAATTTATCTTAAAACGTAGTTGAGGGTAATATTGCAGTTACAAAGTCATCTGGAAGACCAATGCAGGATATTTACTTGTTTTCGTTTATCGAGGGGGGTTCTTCTCCAAACCAAATGTGCTGTAAAAGATTGAGGCTGTACAAAATATCCACCACAGTTGTGGAAAACTTTAAATTAAAGTACTCTTGTTGATAGATATATTGATACCGTATGACTATATCAAATAAGTAAAGCTTGTTTCTAACTTTGATGTACATTCGACCGGGGTCTCAACTCCATTTGAGTGTACCTACGTCTCAAATATCACATGACCAGAAAAGAACAGATTTTCCAATTTCTTTATTTTTTCTCCTTCCCCAAACAATTGAGAGAGAAAAAGGGTTACGTATCCCAACGAAACACATCTTACCAAAGTGTATACACAGTGAAAATACATTACACCCCATGGTATTGACCCATTCATTAGCCAAAGATGGCACTCACGTCTTTCACAACAATTTAACCAACAAGTATCTTCTAGTAGGAGACAATGGGAACAGTATTGAGACCACCAAGGAGTACTCATTAACCAACGACAACACTAATGTCATTTCATGTATCATTGGTGTTATCAAGTTGAAAGTGAACTCATATGTGATTATTGCTGATAAGCATCTTGTCACTGGGTCCATTTTGAACAAGGAAATTGCTTTAATCAAGAGTTACAAGATTTTATCATTAAGTGGGTCAAAGCCAACAAGTGAAGAGAAAGTATACTTGGATCTATTGAATAAACAGTTGAAAAATGGTACTTTATACTACTCAATAGACAACCAGTATGATATTACCAACTCGTTGCAGAAGCAGTACACTACCGAGCATGCCAAAATTGATGACAGATTCTGGTGGAATAAATACATTTCGACACCATTAGTTGAAGCGGACCGTGGTTTTGAATTTATCACACCGGTAATCTATGGATACTTCAAGTCCCATTCAACTATCTTTAATGGCAAGGCATTGCAGTTTGCTTTATTAACTCGTCGCTCAAATGAGAGAGCTGGTACAAGATATTTCCGCCGTGGTATTGATGCTCAAGGCAATGTCGCCAATTTCAATGAAACGGAACAGTTTGTCACTACTGATGATAATCATATTTACTCGATCTTGCAAACAAGAGGTTCAGTTCCGGTATACTGGGCAGAGGTCAACAATTTGCAATACAAGCCTAACTTGGAAATTAGTTCACAACCTTCTGGAGACGCTACTGCGGCTCATTTTGCCCAGCAGGTGGGTTACTATGGTGACAACTATTTGGTCAATTTAGTCAATCAACTGGGATACGAAAAACCGGTTAAGCAAGCTTATGAAGCAGCAGTCGAGAATTTGCCCGAAAAATTGAAAACCCATGTTCATTACATCTATTTCGACTTCCACCATGAGTGTAAAGGTATGAGATACGATCGTATTAACTTGTTATTGGATCGTTTAATTGGGTTGGGATATACTTCCGACAACTATTTTGAAATTGACTTGAACACGAGACAAATTGTCCATTTGCAAAAGTCGGTAATCAGGACCAATTGTATGGACTGCTTAGATAGAACCAACGTTGTTCAAGGTTCTATTGGACGATGGGTTTTACAAAATCAGTTGGTCAAATCAGGATATTTAAATTCAGTTGAAACTCCTTTTGCTAAAGTGGATCCACAATTTAACTTGTTTTTCCAAAATTTCTGGGCAGATAATGCTGATGCTGTTAGTTGTGCCTATTCAGGAACTGGTGCTTTGAAGACTGACTATACTCGTACTGGAAAGAGAAGTTACCGTGGTAATCTTCAGGACTTGAAGAATTCACTTACTCGATATTACAAGAACAACTATTCCGATGGAAGTAGACAGGATTCGTATGATTTGTTTCTTGGTAAGTACAAGCCATATCAAGATGCAGTTAACTCACCATTTATTGATATTAGACCAGCTTATGTCCAATTGTTGCCTTATTTAATGGGCACTTCATTTTTGATCATGTTGGCAGTGTTTTATTACCCAAGAGGTTCATTATTCGATTTGAAAAACTTGGCCATCATTGCCTTGTGTTTACTCTTCAACTTGAGAAGTTTATCATGGATTATTGCTAATGGATATCAATATGTTGATTGGCCAAGATTAGTTCCTTTGGATTACTTGAGAAAGCAAAACACTTATGATGCCGATGGTAAAGTGACCGGAACAAAGTATGAAAAGACTGACTATTTCAAGGGAATTAGTAAGAAGAAGAATTAGATGAGGCGGGGGCTAGAGTGATAGTGGTTGCTTTATAACATGTGTAGAATAGACAGAGATAGACATTGAGCGAAACTGATGTAGAGGGAGCTATCTTTTCTATGACCCATTTTTTCAACGACAGAAAAAAAAAACGAAGTAAAAAAAAATTGGCTAGAAAACCAGAGACACCATAAGCCGACAACCCCCAACAGACCATGTCGAACATATTGGAGAAATCACTAGACGATATAATTGGAGAAAAGAAACCCGAAAGGAAATTCACTCCCACGAGCAGAAGAGGCAGAGGTGGCAGAGGTGGTGGTCCAATCTCATCATCACGATTCCATCATCGTCAACATCGACCACCACCATATAGCAGACGACAACAAGACGTTTACATCCCTCGCGGATCTTTAGCTGAAGAACCAGGCAGTAACTCAACATCCTCATCAAGCATACCTCGTGACGTTTTGCACATGGCCAACGGACGCCCTACATTACGATTAAAAAACGTTCATCCTGAATTAAATGGTGATGATTTAAACAAGTTATTCTCCACGATTAATGACGTTGATTTTATTAAATTTGATGAACGAAATGATACGATTGCGTATATATGTTTTCAAAGTGATTGTGAACGCAGCAATTTGGAAGCAATTGAAAAGTATGATGGCAAGAAGGCCATGGGTAAGATTTTGATTGTTGAGAATACCGTTAGTTTGGCCGATAGGATTAGCATAGCGCCAAGACCAGTGAGACGAGATGGGCTTGGCGGTGGTGGGTTGAGAGGAAGAGGTGGATCAAGAGGCAGGGTGACTAGTCGTGGAAGAGGAGGCGGTGGTAGAGCAGGCGGAAGAGGAGGATCCACACCCAAAAAGAGTGCTGAAGACTTGGACAAGGAGTTAAATGAGTATATGGGGAATACAGGCAATGGTGGTGGTGCCGGTGAGACGAATGGAAGCACAGGACAGGATAACGTAGATGCAGATCTAGATATGACTGGGTAAGGAAGAGGATAGCGTTGCAACAAAAAATGTTGATGGTAAATTAAAGTATTAGTGTATATATATATACTCACATAAATGTAAAATATCACACTGTTGTGTAATACAGATGCATATTAAAAAATTGTAGCAAAGCATGTTCAACCCATTCCTTGGGTTAATTCAACCATACCAATATAAATATTCTTGGTCTTTTTCCTAAACGTCTTTCCAAAGTATAAAAATGGGATGATACAAGCAATGGTGGCAAAATCAATCACTGCTAAAGCAATATACGTGTTTGCCGTACCCGATCCATCCAACCAATAAGAACAAGCAAAGGTGAATATACAAGCCAAGGTATTATTAATAATCGAAACACCCACCATTCCCTGTATAACAATTTCCGGGTAGGCATCCATTAAATAAGACATGGCGGTGTCTCCAATTGAACCCCAGCCAAATCCAATAAACCCTAACCCAACGTAAATACATTGCCACGGCCATTGTTTATCGGCACCGACGCCAAACATGATAAGCCCCGCTGGTGATATAATCAAGGTAATAAATAATAAATATAATCGATATTCTGGTTCCATTACTCCATTGTTTCTCTTGGCGATCCAAACCACATGTTTATCGGAAAAAATACCCGACATTATACATCCAATAACGGCTCCAATTAAAGTTGCCACATTCATGATTGCGACACCCGTATTGCTTTTGCTCCATGGAGGATCGTAAAAAAATGTATCTTGAGTAGTTAGGAAAAAAGTCATGTATGCATCCTGCAATCCCCATAATAATCCCGATAACCAAACTGCTGGCAAAGTGAATACTTTGAAATAAATAACAAATCGATTGATGTATTGTTTGAATCCAAAGCCTTGTAAATAAGGAGCTGGTGTAATCAATGCAATTCTTTTCAAATATGGCGTGGGTTTTTCATCATTGGTTTCGATATCGTAATTGTGGGTACCATCTCTAACAGTGGGGGAGTCAACATGAGCCAAAGTGTTGGATTTGTCTTTTGTGGAAGTTTGCTTTTCAGTCATGTCGTTGGTTACAGTCTTGATTTCAGCGTTCTTATCACCATCAGTAGCAGCATCACAAAACTTTTCATTTACTGATGATCCTTCACACTGCTCACCATTTTCAATACGAGCAGCTTCATAAATCTTCAACTGACGATCGTACACCGTTTCTTCACAGGCAAAAAACAAAACGACAAAAGTAGCTCCTGAAATAATGGCACCCCACCAACCAACCCATCTAAACGTCATCAGCTCGGCAATCAATTCGGCAATCAATGGTCCCAAGAATGAACCTACTGACGTTGCCAATATGTACAATGTCAATACACTTCCCAAGTTATTTTGGAAAAAAATATCACTCAAGCTTTGTTGCACTTGAGCCTCAGCACAAGCTTCGCTGATACCAACAAGCATCTGTGACCATATTGTATCAGCAGTTTTCCTACTGAACCCAAACCACATACACCCAAGCGTACCAAATAGTAAACAAATCAAATAAGTGATTCTTCTTCCGTATAACGACGAAGCAGGTGCGAAAAACATGCATGACCAACCAATGAAAATAAACAATACACCAGCACCAGTATTCATGGCATCATACGATATGCCATAGAATTCATTCAAAGAATCCTGAGCAGCACCAGCATCGTTTGAAGTGGCTGCAGTTAATGCCGTGATAAAAGCCAATAGAATTAAATGCCACATTTTCCGTGGTTTGGACCAATTCAATGGATCATTGATGGAATCTGATGGCTGTGGTAGCAAGACTAATCCATTGCCATCCCGTTTAAGTGATTTATTAGATGATATGGAATTAGTCTCGTGTTGGGTACCAGTGAGAATATTGGTGGTACCAGGGATAAAATTGTCGTCGTAGTATTCTGAAGGAACAGTTGAATCTGCGGCAAATTTCATCATTAACTAACTGTAGTGTAGGAGTAGTCTGTCTTTTTTTGAGGAAAGGGGGTTGTGATGCCGCAAGAATAGAAGGGGAAGAACTCTCTTATGTCTGTATGTATCTGTCTTTAAAATAAAAAGGCTCCTGTCTAGCTAACCAAAAAAAAAAAAATAGTTGATAGATAGATAGATAGATAGAAGGGTTATTTAATGGGGAATAAGTATAAATTGTATCAGTGAAATGATGTCAGTATGACATGGTTGAAAATTATAATCTCTCCCAATGATTGCAAAAATGTAAAAATTAAAAATTTTAAGGATCTTTAGTTTTTAATCCTCTGATATGAATTCTTTCTTGTTTTGTTTTCTTTATTAATCTGTAGCAGTAAATGTGGTAAAATTCCCTTCTTTTCTGTTCAGAATATGTAGTGATGATGTCTTTGGTGAAATTGTCCCCTTTGATAGATTGTTCTTGATGATGATGAAAATTAAAATTATAATTAAAAAAGTTTTTACCTTTCTTTTTTTTTTGACATAAGTAAAATATAAGGTAATGGAATTCCAGGCAATTTAAAATTTCTTTTTTTTTTTTTTTTGAAGTTTGCATCGCCGTCCTTGTGTGACAATCTTAAAAATTAAACCTTAAATAATCAACCAACCACCAATACGACAGACACCTTCTATAATCTCTTTTATAGACAAACGAATTATACAATACAGCAACATCACACTTTGAAGGTAGGGTGGGAAAGGGAGGAAGAGTAGAAAACAATGGTTTAATAGAACGTAAAAATCAATAAAGCAAAACAAAAATGACAGAGCAAACCAAGTTTGGTAACTTGTCGTGTGACTAAAAAGTATATTGACGCAGTAGACATACTTTTATCATGCAACATTGATTGAGTCTTAGTGTTTTATACCTCTACTTGACTAAAATGAATATGATACTTTCGTTTTAAAAAAGAAGTCCTATCTACTCTATAACTCACTCTCCTTAATTTACCTAGTAGTTATTACACTTCATTCCTACTACTACTCTTCCTCCTGGCTCTGATTCTGATGCTTTTTCCATTCCAATAACGGTGCCAATTCCTCAATTTTACCCGATTTATGTTGGATAAATGAATGTTCCAACAACTCATCCGTAGTAGCTCTATACCTCACATCAACACATAAACAAATCGACAAAAACTTCTTGATTGAATTACTCAATAATTCCGGTTTCTTCAATTTAGGAGTACCATTCGTAGCAATCAAATACAATGCCTTCAACGGTTCTTCATTCAAATATGGTGGTTCTCCTTCAATCATTTCAATAGTCATTATGCCCAATGACCAAACATCGACTTTTTCATCGTATTCCTTTTGCTTCACCACCTCAGGAGCCATCCAGTATGGTGTACCCACCATGGTTGCTCGTTTGGTTCTTTGGTCGGTTAATTTAGCACAAAATCCAAAATCGGTAATCTTGACATTACCAAATGCATCCAACAAGACGTTATCCGATTTAATATCACGATGAATTATATGCTTTTTGTGCAAATGTTGTAATCCTTTCAATGTTTCAAAGCAAATGGTGGCAATTTGTCGTTCACTCAATTTGAATTCATTGTTTTCAATAATCTCCGTCAAGGACCCACCTTCCATATATTCCATTATAACCCATAATTCAGAATCACCAATAAGATAAGAATCCAAGAAATTGACAATGTTTTTGTGCTGGCTATCTTTCATCACCAATATCTCATTTATTATCAATTCTTTACGAGGTTGGATATTCAAATCCATTTGCTTAATGGCAATCTTTTTGCGTTGTGAGATCATCTCAGCCAAATACACGTTTCCTGAAGCTCCTTGACCGGCTTTCTCAATGATTCTAAACAACGGTTTAGGATTGTTACTATTAACCACCGTCTTCAACTTGGCAATAATTTGTAAATCATTTAATCTTTCTCGTTCCTTTTTCAACTGTTTGGCTGTTTTGGGTGCTGCGGGGCCCTGGGGTGGTGATTGGAGCTTTGGTTTAGGTTTTGTTTTGTTTTGTTGTATCAGTTGTTCGGCAGCAGGTGGCTGGTCTCCTTGTTCGGTTCTGCTCTTTAATTGTAATGGCTTCACTGGTTCGTTTATTGGGTTTAATGGTTTGGTAACAGAATGTGCCGCACCAGTAGGACCAGTGAGTGGTTGTTGTTGTTGCTTATGATGTGGTTGTGGTTGTGATTGAGTAGATTGCACGACAGACACATTTGGATAATTCGATTCTGCTGTGGTACCCTTTTGCGATGATGATAATGATGATGAAGAAGATGCTGGGGAATAAGGTTTGACATGTTCATCACCAATGTTTTCCTTATCCAGCGAAATACTAGTACTACTGTTTTGGATCTTCAAATCGGGATGAGTCTTGTATGTAGGTGTTCTGTTAAAACTGGAACCACTTGGTAATGAAGGGGGGATCTGTTGTGGTTTAGATGTAGATTGTTGTCGTTGGTGACTATGCTGTGGTTGTTGAGACTTTGCTGGTGTTGCTCCAGCTGCTCCTGCACTAGAACCTGTCAGTGGTGGAGGAGGAGCTCTTCTAACCGGAACAAGATCATCTTTATTGCCACCCAATGGTGAAGATGTATTTGTAGAGCTTGTTCCTGCACTTTTGCTAAGCAAATTACTCAATGGAGATATTGTGGTTGGTTGGCTACTGCCACCAGCACTATTCTGTTGGGTAGTCAAATGATAAGGCACTGGAGGTTTAGGTGCAGAACGGGTTGGCTTAAACTGAGTAGTGCTACTCTTTGGAGGTGGCTTAGTCCATTCTTGTAAATTGGTGTTGTTAGTGTGGTCAATAGTATTGTTTATATTCTTATTCATGTTAACTTGGGGAGATGCCATTGGGGTTGGGGGATTTGATCCATTAATATCAGAGTAGAATTCCAACACTTCAATAACGGCAGCAGGGTCCTTCTTCCAATCTTCATTGGTAATTTTAGAATGTTGTAATAAACTTTTCCAAGTTTCGGGTAATCCAGTGAAATTGCCACTAGCGGGATCAAAGCCAACATGCACTTTATGAGTGAAGTTAATAGGACTCGAAACACCAGAATTACCACCATTTAATAATCCACCGCCACCACCGCTGCCATTGAGTGCTGCCAAGTTATGACTCGATTGTGATGATGAACCAGCCCCTATTGATGTCGACAATCCAGTGAATGAATTACCACCTGAGTTCAGCGATTGTCCAATTTGAGCAGAGGGACATTTACTTGAAAATGCATTTAGCCAATCCAAATATTCGTTACTTGATTTAACTGAGATTAGTATGGATTTGCCATAGTTCTTCGGAACAATTTCAAACGATTGGCTGCTTTTAGAGTGTCCTGATTGTGGTTTCAAGGTTATGTTACTAATTAAATTCAAGGGCAATAGTAACTCAGGACTGTTTGGATCATTTATGCTGGGTTCGTTCTTGTAAATATTTAATGATCGATCATTCATATTCATAAACCTCTTATTCCATCTGAAAGAAGTAAAAATACCATCATCTTTAACATGGACCCAACCTGATTGACGTTTGTTTGAGCCAAGACTAATGGGGATCTGGCTAGACGATGAGGAGGAGTTTATATAGTTGGTACCCTTTGAGCCCAGCCCTAGTCCAATTCCCCCCAGTGTTGCAGAAGAAGAAGATAATGAGGATGATGATAGCTGAGCCGCTACTGGAGGACGTGGTGGTGGGGGAGCCCGTCTATGATTCTTTAAATCAGAATTATAAACACTAGTCATGCGAATGAAATGCTAAAAGGGGAGTTTAAAATCGGTATATTTCTTTGTGTGTATGTATGTCTGTTTCAACAGTAGCAAAGATACAGAATGTAAATGTGGATATGGAAACACTAAAGATCTTTATGTAATAGAATGTAGCGAATGGGTTTGATGCTGTTGCTATGGTGGAGGTGGTTTATAGTTGTAGAGGTTTGGTTGATTTCAGAAACTGTTTCAAAAATGGGAAAAAAAAAAAATAAAAAAATTTAGAAACGTAGAAAAAAAAATAAAAAAATAAAAATTTATTAAAACAGACGAATGGAATTCAACAAACATAACAACAGACAGATTTCACAATAGTTTTTATACATATATTACGTATATTGCATACACACATACGTACGCATACACGCATACATTCACACCTCTAATCTACTATGTATGCACTATAATGGTAATGAATAGCATATCATATACAATACTTTTAAAGGAATCGATGAGTAGAACCAATAGAAAGTTCAATTAAAAACTGTGATTAGTGTTTGTAAAGAAATAACACGTGTAAGGCGATACTATACCATATCTCTTTTGTGGTAAGTACAAAGTGAAGCTTCCTTCTTCTTCTTACCCCTTTGTTTCCATAAAGAGATAGAACGTATTGTTGGGGAATTAGGAACAATACAAACTAGAGGGAAAGAGGAACACATAGCTTGTACACAAATGGTTATAAGACGCGTCAAAATAATATAAATACAGACACAAAACTTGGTTGTTCTATTTTTTTAATTCTTTTCTATATTTATGTTGGTAGCGCTTCTTCGGCTAAAGTACTATCCTCGTCTAAAAAGCCACTGAGTGAGTGATATTAAAATCCTTCGATAAGCTTAATCAAAACAAACAAGGATACTACAAGCCTCGCAACCAGACTGATTGTCTCACTTCCTTCCTCTTTAATTTTCTTCCTCCTTTATTTATTCTAAAAGTATCTCTAGTCTTCAGGAGAAAGGTTGTTTGGGTCTATTTTAAACCAAACGCTACCAAATTCAATTTTATTATCTTTGTTTTATTTTTTCTTCCTCTTCTCTTATGTTTGGGTTTTTGCGTTTTGTTTTTTACCAAATTATACTTAATAGGGAAATCCCAAACAACGCGTGTCTCTTTTGTTAGGCAGACATACTATTTTTACATCAATTGGCAAAAAAAAGTAAGGAGATCCATTCAGTCTGTTCAGTTATAACAGCTATCCCTTCAACTATTTTACTGATCTATTGCATGGCCTGATCCTTAAGGTTTAGAGTTTTTATTTTAGTTGTTTATTTTTTCAGTGTATATATTCCTACTTGTTCCTAAGAATGTTATTGTCTTCCTTAATAGAAGCACCATCTGTATATGGCCCCACTTATCCAACTACACTTGCTTTACTACATGCTACAACTTTATTCATAGGGTTTGTTAACTTTTGCAAAATGAAAGTTTTCGAGACAACTCATATCTCTTGGAGCCTCTCTCAAATGTAAGACAGTTATCTAACGAAGTCAGGAATCGCAACTTCTAAACTTCTTTGGTTTTGTATTGCACTCCTTGAATTGAGGTGTGTAATCCTTTTGCAAAATAAAAAGTCTAAAAATATTTGTGGCAAAATTAATCAAACTATTTGCAATAATTTCAAAACAGGGTATTTCCACAAACAATAATCCATTTTTTTAAGACAGCTAAAAGATCAACTTTGCTACATTACTACCAAGCCATGTCTTTCTTTACTATTTTTTGTCTTTAGTTTTACCAATGTAAGATTATTACCAATAGCACTCCCCTCATTGGCGTAATCAAACATTCTTTGCAGCCACAAATCTTGTACACAATTTTTTCCACCACTTCCAGAACTGGAAAAAGCCGCATCACATAGTACGAAAAACGAAGTTACACTAAATTAATTTACCACATGGATGATGCAATTGACTCCTGAAAAAGATTTTAGTCATCATTTGACCATCGCTTATTAGGATTACCACACCAAAGACAACAACTGTCTCATTCAGACTGTATGCTGATTTCATATTGATCATAAAACACACTCAAATCTAGAAACCGAGATCCTCCGAAACAGTGGGATACTCATGAGCAATCTTAAAATCGCAGCGTATAAATCCGTACTATTTTAGATCATCCCGTCTGTCATTCACAAAGAGCAGCACCTACCCCTCTTACCCACAACCACCTACCAACAAAATTGTTTACCCGAATTAGACCACACAAGCTGATTATTTGCTTGATCTTCTTCTTCTTCTTCTTGGTGCTCATGATCCTAGTACCGAGACAGCTTTATTTATCCAAGACTGTATCAATATTTTCATCATCACCTGTACGCAACTTTCAATCTTCTACAGTAATGGGACTAGACAACTATGACGCGACAAAATACCGAGATTGGATCACTCTCAATCAAGATCAACAACTGGGGGATACCACTAACAAAATATCAATAATGACATATAACCTTTTATCTAGACATTACATATGGAAGGGGGTTTATGATAAAGTCGACAAAAAACACTTGGATTGGGAAAACTACCGATTCCCTTTAATCAACAAGACCATAAAACAATTCGGAAGTGACATTATGTGTTTTCAAGAAATGGAGTATTATATCTACAAGACATTTTGGTGTAAACAGTTCCCCACCAACAAATATCAAAGTTTTTATATTCAAAAGCACTGTCCACTGAATATCAACATATTCAGTAATGACAAACTAGATGGTGTAGGTATATTTGTCAATACTGAGAGATTTGATGTTTTGGATGAACTAAAAATCAACTTTGGCAAAGAAATTGTCAACCACCGATCAAAATATAAGTTAACTACTGATTGGATCCAACGGGTCATTGCAAGAAACACAGTGGCTTTGATACTTAAGCTATATGATAAGCAGACTGGGAGAATATATTATATTTCCAATACCCATTTGTATTGGTCACCAAAGTATAATGATGTGAAGGTACTTCAAACAAAGATCCTATTAAATAAATTGCAACATTTTAAAACAGAAAACAATGCCTCAATCATCCTTCTAGGTGACTTGAATTCAAATTTCGATTCAAATGTTATTAATCTACTCAATGGCGAATCAATTGATACTATATCATCCCCAGAGTTCAAATATCGCAGATACGGAATCAATAATCCGCTAATTGACAAAAACGGGATAATTACAAACCCGTTCAAGTTACACAACGTCTACCAACAATTGCCCAGTTCCAATAACTTATCATTCACTAGTTTTGTCACCCGGTTTTCTGATGTGTTGGATCATGTATTTGTAAGTGATGATATTTTGGTGGAAAAGTTGCTTGGTGAAGTTGATCCTGCTTATTGTAACCGAAGGGACGTTGACGGATTTCCCAATTCTCAATTCCCATCTGATCATATTCCCTTGGTGGTGGAAATATCTCATAAGTGAGCAAACATAAACTTTATTTATATAGATTGACTTTGGAAAACTTGCTTCACAATTTAAGCGTATATTCCCTTCACACTGTAGCTATAGGTAATACCACGCCCACCTTACATCCATATTGTTCTATAAATGAACGCCTCTACCAAGTGGTTTAGCAACAAAGTCGTGTGAGTTAAACCAAAACTTTGCTTGGATGATGATAAAAAAAAAACAAAAAAAAAAAATCGAAAACCTTTCAACAAAAATAAAAGTTAAGCAGGTTATTGCATCATCAAAGTATACAATTTTTTTGGGTTGCATGATACACAACAGCTTGCTCATACAAATTTTCAGTGAATATACCAACTAACCAAGTGTCTTACAAACGTCTTTTTTTATCTACAGTGTGTGCGCAAAGGAAAACAAAATTGAAATAGTGGGAAAACATATTTAGTAGTGCCGAAGGCAACCTGTTTTGAAGAATTAAACCATTTGAAAACAATAGCACCGCACAGCAGAAAGAGTTGCATCATTCACCTCGCATTGAAAATAATATGAATCTAGCTAGTAAATTCCAACAGGGCCAGGGCCAACAGCCCCAATCCAATCTTCAAGCACAGCAAATCTTGTTGCAACAACTTCACCAAGGGCAGTCTCATCCACAACAACAACAACAACAGCAGCAGCAGCCACAACAACAGCAGGGAGTATCCAATTTGCTAGGCTCCGGATTGCAACCAAATGAGAATTTTAGTGACAATTTGAGTGGACTATACCAAAACAATTTTCTGCGAGCTCAGCCAAGTTTACAACAACAACAACAACAACAATATTTTCCCCAGTTTCAACAAAATCAGCTGAAACAAACCGGTACCAGTATTGGCAATGGTACCTCACAATTGCAACAACCGTACCAACCAAACCATCTACCAAGACAAATTCCTCATCTTCAACAACAATTTTATAGTCAACAACAAGCTGCGGCTCTTCAAAAACTGCAACAGCAGCAACAGCAACAACAACAACAACAACAACAACAACAGAACTCACACCAAATACAACAGATACAACTTCAAGGGTCTCAATTACAAACACCTATTCGCAAGGCTAGCTCTTTGCACGTGGAAAACCCAAACACCAGCTTCTGGCAACATCAACAACAATTGTGCCAACTTTCAAGGTCTTCAAATGATGCCCATTCTTACGCAAGGCAATATGCATCCAATTCAAGAAAATTGAAAAACCCCTACGCTGAAACTAAATCCATTGGACTTATTGAAGCCACTAAAGTCATTGTTGCCAGTATAGAGGAAGAAGAGCAGAAAAAGAAACTTTCTTCTGGAAACTCCGCTAGTGCAGCTTTGTTGCATAATAAGAAAATCACACAGGGTCTTGACGACGATTCAATGGAAGAACAGCGCATGCGATTGAAAACTCAAGGACGTCAATTATGGTGTCAACTTGATTTGAGTGGACAAGGGTTGGTTAATCTTTCACCCAAATTATTTCGCTACGACTTTTTGGAATCGTTGTATTTGAACAATAACAAGTTGACTGTTATTCCTCCTGAAATTAGCAAATTGAGAAGCTTGAGAACTCTAGATTTATCAAACAATAGACTTAGTGAACTACCATCGGAACTTGGGTTATGTTTCAACTTGAGGTTCTTGTATCTTTTCGATAACAACATCAAATCCTTACCTGCTTCATTTGGTAACTTGTTTGAACTTCAATTCCTTGGAGTCGAGGGCAACCCGCTTGATTTAAATATTGCCAATATAATCGCGGAAAAGGGTACCAAGGAGCTAATAGCTACAATCAGAGACCAAAAGACTACGGTTGCATCACCCGAACCACGTCATTGGTTGCGAGTAGAGGACGATGGAGAAGTTGTTGACACAAAGGGGCCATACATACCTGGGGAGAGTGGCAATAATGCATTTACAATGATGTCGTACAACACTTTGTGTCAGCACTATGCCACACCCAAAATGTACAGGTTTACTCCATCTTGGGCTTTACAGTGGGAGTATAGAAGAGATTTATTAGAGAAGGAGGTTTTGGGCTACAATACTGACATCGTATGTATGCAAGAGGTTGAAACTAGGACCTACATGGATTTCTGGGGACCATTGATGGCAAGAAAGGGTTACAAGGGTTTGTTTTATAATAAAACTAGATCAAAGACAATGAGTGAGAATGATTCAAAGAAAGTTGATGGATGTGCCACTTTTTATAAAGTGGATAAATTCACATTGGTGCATAAGCAAAATTTTGAATACAACAGTGTGTGTATGGGATCGGACAAGTACAAAAAGACCAAGGATTTATTCAATAGATTTATGAATAAGGATAATATAGCCTTGATATCGTACTTGGAACATAAAGAAACTGGAGAAAAGATTTGTTTTGTCAATACTCATTTGCATTGGGATCCAGCCTTCAATGACGTCAAGACATTACAAATTGGCATACTTTTAGAAGAGTTACAAGGATTCATTAAGAAATACCAACAAACATCATCAATGGAAGAAGTTAAAAAAGCGCCAATTGTTATATGTGGTGATTTCAATTCAGTCAAGCATTCCGCAGTGTACCAGTTATTCTCCACTGGATCCTCCAAAGACCACGATGATTTATCCGGTAAGGATTATGGAAAATTTACCGAATCTGGATTCCATCATCCATTCAAGTTGAAATCAGCCTACGATGCGGTTGGAGAATTACCATTCACCAATTTATCTCCATCATTCACTGATGGCATTGATTATATGTGGTACTCGACTTCGAAATTACAGGTGACTGGCTTATTAGGTGAGATTGATAAGAAATATGTATCACATTGTATTGGATTCCCTGATCCTAATTTTGCATCGGATCATGTACCTATATTAGCCAAATTTCAAATTAAGAATTAGACTAATTTTCGGAGTTTTTTTTGTTTTGTTTTAGTATAGATTCGTGTATTTTAGTTATTTGTTGTTTTGGAGTTTATATTTGCTTTGTAATATATATACATACATATATATATATACAATGGTGAAATGATGCAGCAGTGAACGGTGACACCGTGTTCTCCAAATTTGTAAACGTGGCGCTTTGAAGTTCTTCGGAGTTTTGTGGATTTCCCAATCGCGAGAAATTTCGGCAAAACCAGATCCAACTGGCAAGATTTTGTACTTTCTGACTCACATTTATATAAATGTGTCAAAAACGCTCAAAATTGGTCTCAAGAATTCTTCAAACATTCGTTAAAGAAAACAAAGTACACTACTGCAACGAGACAACAATGACAGATTCACTCTTGATCCCTACCGAAAACGACTACTTGGATGCCCATGCTGGCGCATCGCAACAAGAACAATACAAGCAACTTTGGCACACAGAATTAAAAACCAAACGTGATTCCAAAGGACAGTTGGAATTCCCATGGGAGTTCCAAGTAGTTCAAGGCTTTTTCAAGCAGAGTGATTCTAAAACTGACGATAAGGTTTTCAACTATGCCACGGACCACATGGGCCGATTGAAACCATGGAAGGTTATTATTGATGATTTGTTGCAGTTGAATCAAGAAGCTCCTGACAATGTCGAATACAAGCTTTTGTTTCTTGCTCGACATGGGAACGGGTACCATAATCAAATTGTGGAAACTTATGGCTTAGACCGATGGAACAAGGAGTTGCATAAATTGGGCAAGTTCGGTGACATTGAATATGGACCCGATCCACAACTTACTCCATTGGGAATGGCACAGGCAGAGGAGAATCATCGATTATGGCAGCAAGAATTGCAAGAAGGCGCACCTATTCCTTCCAAGTTCTACGTATCGCCATTGCAACGATCATGCAATACGTTGCAAATCACGTGGGCTGATTTGAAACCGAAATCGATTGTGCCGCAAGTTGATGAATTGATCAGAGAAACGTGTGGTAGAAATTTATGTGATAAACGGTCACCTAAAAGGGTAATCCAACAACGGTTCCCCGATTTCAACACCGATGGGGTTGTCGATGAAGAAGATGTGTTGTACCACGATGACGAAAGAGAAACAATGATCAATCAATCAATTCGAATTAACAAGTTTTTACAAAAGCTATTTGATTTGGATTATGATGCCAAAAATGGCAAAGTTGATAAGAAATTGGCCGAGGAGGATACTTTTATTGCTACTTATTCTCATGCTGGTACTATTAGATGTTTTATTAATGTGTTGGGCCATCGTAATTTCACCATTTCTACAGGTGGTATGATTCCTGTTGTCATTAAAGGAACGAGAAGCAGTTAGGTGTGGGGACTTGTTAGCGTGTGGGAGAGTTAGACGTTATAGAATCAATAGAGTAAAGCTTTTTGTCTTAGGTCGAGTGTAGGTCTTTTTAGGATATACTCTAGAAGATGGGATCTACAAATTAAACGAGGTATTCAATTTTTTCTACAAATACTCCTTTATTGCTGCAGATTCGAGGAAGATCTCTGTATATGTTGTTGTTAGTAGACCCCCATAGTTTTATGTCAATGCCTGTGGTAAATTCCACACAAAAACCCTCTAATAACACAAAACCATACATTATTATATTTTTCTTTTTTTTGTTTTGTTTTCTTTTTGATTGCTATTTCCTAATTAGGTTTAGGAATCAACCATCATCACCTAATACAAACCAATACCCAGTACAATTCATTCAATCCCCATCAATAGCCAAGCGAAATGCCAACCTATTGTTTGATTACATCTATTATCTCTTAGTTTCTTTAGTCTTTGAATAAGTCAAAAATAAGAAACTAATTGCTTTTTTTCTTTTTTAACGCTTTGTGCATATGTTGTTTTGATGATGTTTATGGTTAGATTTTTATTTTTGGAAAAGCTACTCTGAATAATAACAAGAGAAGCGGATAAATATATATATATATATACATAAATAGACTTGTTTTTCTTCCAGAAACAAAAGTATCTCCTATCACCGCTTACTTCCACCCACAGGGCCATTAAATGAGAGCTACCTGTATACTTTGCGCATCAGTAGCAATACTCGCTCAGGCACGAGCAATATGGCCATTTGATTCCGATAGTTCAAGCACTAGCGACTCAACAGAAACAAGTACTCCTTCAGATGATGGTGAATCGTGGATTCGCTCAGTAGTGGGTAACCTTGGTGGAAGTGGAAGCGAAACCAGCAGCACAAATGCAGCAGCATCTACAGACGACTCTAACCCTTATGCACCTTACAATTCAACATGTCCCTCAGGATCCCTAACACGAGAAGCAAACGACATTTCCGATCCTGAGAAGGAGTACATTCAAAAGAGACAAGCGATAACTAATAAAAACTTGATAAATTTTTTGCAAAACAAATCAAACTTGACTGATTTCGATGCTGAATCGTTTATAAATGATAACGCCAAGGACCATAATATTAGTATTGGATTGGCATTCAGTGGCGGTGGTTACAGGGCTATGTTATGTGGAGCAGGTCAGCTCCTAGCCACGGATGATAGGTTCGAAGGCGCTAATGAACATGGTGTCGGTGGTTTACTTCAAGCTTCAACTTACATCACGGGTCTTTCTGGAGGAAACTGGCTCGTTGGCTCCTTGGTTATGAACAACTGGCTTTCGGTTGCCGAGGTTGTCAATGGAAGCTCCTCTATTTGGGCACTAGAAGATTCAATATTGAACCCTAGTGGTATACGTATAGATAAAACAATCGCATATTATTACGGCCTACGATCGGCTGTTTTAGCAAAGGACGATGCTGGGTTTGATACCACCATTACTGATATATGGGGAAGAGCATTGTCGTATCAGTTTTTCCCTGACGAAAGTGGTGGAGAGAATATTACGTGGTCAAGTGTTAGAAACATGTCACATTTTGAAGATCATACAATGCCTTACTTTTTGGTTGTCAGTAATGCCAGACGTCCTGGAGATTTGATTATTAATGAAAATAGTACCGTTATTGAGATTTCCGCTTATGAGTTGGGACTGTGGGACCCATCTTTGAATGCGTTTGCTGATGTTGAATACTTGGGGTCTTCGGTTGACTCCGGAAATCCAAACAATACCAGCGTGTGTGTACGCAATTTTGACAATGCTGGATTCATAATGGGCACATCTTCGTCTTTATTCAATCAAGTTTTGCTTCAGTTGGGTAATTATGACATTAATAGCGTTATCAAAACAATCTTGGAAGGATTATTATCTCGTATCAGCTATGCCGAATGGGATATAGCTTCATACGAGCCAAACCCTTTTTTTGGACAAGGAAGTGGTGAATCCGTAGCCATGGTTAAAAATGAAACTTTATTTTTGGTAGATGGAGGTGAAGATTTGCAAAATGTTCCATTTTACCCCTTGATCCAAAATACCCGTGAAGTGGATGTAATCTTTGCATTTGATAATTCAGCTGATACTGAAGAGGGTTGGCCAAATGCAACGTCAATCGTGCTGACTTACAAAAGACAGTTTGCTGAACAAGGAAAAGGAACACCGTTCCCATTTGTTCCTGATGTTGAGAAATTTCTCGATGAAGATTTGTCCTCTAAACCAGTTTTCTTTGGATGTAACGCTTCTGATTTGGATGCGTTGATACAATGGCACAACAATACCGACATCAATGCCACTGACGTTCCGTTGGTTGTTTATGTGTCAAACCATTATCAGTCATACTACTCGAATTTTTCCACCTTCAAGTTGTCCTATGAAAATGCCGAAAAGTTTGGAACCATTAGGAATGGATTTGAAGTCATGTCAAGGAAGAACCTTACAGATGATAGCGACTGGTTGACATGTGTTGGATGTGCCATAATACGAAGGCAACAAGAGAGGTTTGGGCAAGAGCAAAGTGATGAATGTAAACAGTGTTTTCAAAATTATTGTTGGAGTGGTGGAGTAAAAGATGCTGCTCCGGTTAGCAGTGCAAGTGGCTTGAGTGAAATCACAGGATTGAGGACTTCATCAGTGCAGTCTACGTCATCTACAGCAACATCATCTGGTGGCTCTGCAACTACATCATCGGGTAGTGAGAATACGTCGTCCAGTGGCTCCTCTTCCACCTCCTCCTCAAAGAAGAACGAGGGAGTTACCACTGGTAGACAGCCGCCATTTTTCTTCTTATTAGGTAATTTATTATTAGCTGCATTGGCTGCTTAAGCCTGCGCTTTTCCTTTTAATAGAATTCAGTTCTTTTCATTCCTTATGGTAGTTCACTTTCATGCGATGAGATTGGGTTCGCATCACAAAAAATACTTTTGTAAAGGAATCTTTTTTTTATGTTTTTTTTTTTTTTTTCACACTTTAGTTAGAGACATCATCAACTATACCAGACAGCAATGGTCAAATCGTACAATCGTTATGACGAAGAGAAGTGCTTTGGTGTAATCACCTCTCACTCAAATATTGTATGGCTCCCACCTAGTGACTCACAATCGTCAACATCTGTTGGAAGAGCATTAACGTCAGGGTTGGAAGAGATTCTAATATGGGACATCAAGACTGGTGAATTGCTACAACGATTAAACGACGGGCTTACACCAGGTGCGTCTAATGCAAGTACAACCACAGCTCCAAGTCCAGTATCACGTTTGGCCTATCATAAAGATACAAACTTGATCGCAGCAGGATACACAGATGGCAAGATCAAGATCTGGGATGTAAGTTCGCAGTCAGTTCTCATGACTTTTGAAGGACACAAGTCGAGTATTTCAGTGCTAAAGTTTGATACGAGTGGAACTAGACTTGTTAGTGGATCAAATGACACCAGTATCATATTGTGGGACCTTGTAGGAGAACAAGGGTTGTTTAAATTGAAAGGTCACAAGGGCCCCATCGCGGGATTGAATTTTTTATCTGTATCAAGGCAAGACAACGATATTGACAGTATTGATGATTATTTACTTTCCACCTCAAAAGATGGCTTGATTAAGTTATGGGAATTAAAGAGTCAACAATGTATCGAAACCCATTTGGCACATAGCAGTGAATGCTGGTCAATGGGAGTGAATAATGATGAGAGCATGGTAGTAACCACAGGAAACAAAGATCAAGTTAAAGTTTGGGGAGTTGATCTTGCTCGTGATGACGGTGAAAAGATTTACGAAAGAGGGATGTTTGAAAAGGCAAGCAAAGCTAGGGGTAATGAGTTGCATTTTAAAACCATCAAACACGAGGGAGTGGAAATTGAATTATTTTTGGTACAGAATGCCGACAGAGCACTTGAAATCTTTCGTGTAAGATCAGAGGACGAGATGAAGAAAGGAATCACAAAGAGGATGAAGAGATTGAAGGAGAAAGGTTTGGATGATGACGAAATCTTGGAATCTATCCAAAGTTCCGAAATCAGCATGCTCATAACACCATTTACAACAGTAAGGTCACAAGCAAAGATCAGCTCGTGTTGCTGGACACGTAGTCGGAAAAAGCTAAATATCTTGACGGCATTGAGCAACAATAGTATTGAATATGCCAACATTCCTACACCTGAGAACATAAGGAAAGTGCAACCCACAGATATCCATGCAGTAAAGGAGCATACTATAGACCGATTAGGTCATCGGTTTGACATTCGTGCTATGGATATTTCCCCCGAAGATGATAAATTGTTAGCTACGGCATCAAATGGTGAGTTGAAGATTTGGAACACGAGATCATACAATGTAATCCGTTCATTTACCTTGGAAAGTGGCTATGCGCTCTGTTGTAAATTTTTACCAGGAGGTTCTTTGGTGGTTGTCGGTTTCAAGAATGGAGATTTGGAATTATACGACTTAACTTCCTCATCGCTCGTTGACCGTGTGGAAAAAGCACATCAAGTGACAGATGCTACAGGTGACGACAATAATGCAGCAATCTGGTCTTTAGACCTTACATCTGACGGAAAGACTTTGGTAACGGGAGGAAACGACAAGTGCGTCAAGTTTTGGAACTTTAAAGTTGAACAGGATATTGTTCCTGGAACAAACACGGTCATCTCACAACTTAAGCTTGTTCACACACAAACATTGGAATTAAATGAAGACATTTTGTGTGTTAGGGTCTCCCCCGACGACAAATATCTCGCCGTATCGTTATTGAATAACAATGTCCAAGTGGTGTTTTTAGACACATTGAAATTGTTCTTGACATTGTACGGACACAAGTTGCCGGTTTTGTCTATTGACATATCAGCTGACTCCAAGCTCATTATAACTTCGTCGGCCGATAAGAATATCAAAATATGGGGATTGGATTTTGGAGACTGTCACAAATCTATCTTTGCCCATCAGGATTCAGTCATGAATGTCAAATTTATTGGCGATTCGCACAATTTCTTCTCCAGTGGAAAAGATGGGCTTATTAAGTATTGGGATGGTGACAAGTTTGAGTGTATCCAGAAATTGCCGGCGCATCAGAGTGAAGTGTGGTGTATGGCTATCAGCACAAATGGATTATTCATGTGCTCAACTTCCCATGATCACTCAATACGTTTATGGTCTGCTACCAGTGACCAAGTATTTTTGGAAGAAGAGAGGGAGAAGGAAATGGAGGAAATGTACGAAAATAAACTATTGGATCAGTTGGAACAAGATGAGCCTGTTAGGAAAGATGGCGAGGATGAGGAAGACAATGGCAATGGAGAGGTTGAAAAGGTTGGCAAACAAACAATGGAGACATTAAAGGCTGGAGAGAAATTAATGGAGGCTTTGGATATTGGAATTGAGGATTTGGAGGCCACTAGAGCTTACGAATTGGACTTGAAAACAAACAAGCAGGCGATAAAGCCCACACCAAATGCAGTTTTACTTGCCTTTAGCATGACTGGACCCGAATATGTTCTTGACACCTTGGTTAAGATCAAACCTTCGCAGCTCGACGATGCATTAATTGTCTTGCCATTTTCGTATTGTTTGAAATTGTTGCAAGTAATGGAAGTGTGGACAAACAAAGAAAACATATCGAGAAACGTTACCCGATTATCATTAATTTGCAAAGTTTTGTTTGATATCGTGTCGTCTAACTCCAAGGAGTTGATTCATCAAAAGGACCCGCATATTAAGAACCAATTGATTGCTGTGAAGCTGCAGTTGCGAGACAATTTATCAAAGACATGCAGCACTTTAGGTGTCAATACTCAGGGATTGAGGTTTATAAAACAACAATGGAAGTTGACACACACACAAGAGTTTATTGACGAAGAAGAGCAGAAAGAATACGAGAACAAGCGAGCAATCAAGAGGGTTTATAAAACGATATAGATGGCTTAATTCATTGGTGTGGTAGTCAATTATTACGTTCGGAATTAAATGCTAAAATATCTTTGTAACAAACATAGATTAAAATGACACAAGATGTATATATATAACTATCAATCATCGATTGCATTTTCACTAACGGTAACCTCTGCCTCCATGACCACAACCCCATTAACGTTTGATTTATTCAGGTAGCGCTTTCTATTTCAATTTCACATTATTTTTTGTTTATTTTTTTTATTTTTTATTTTTTATTTTTTATTCCTTTTATTCCTTTTATTACTTTTTTTTTTAAAGTTTTCAAAACATTTTACAAAACCTCACGACATCATTTACTTTTAACCAGGTTACTACGAACTTTTTTTTTTGTTCTTGATTTTTCCAATAGGTAACAATACAACCCTGTATTTGAATCGTCTGGTTAGGCAATATTCGATATTAGAATAGAGCTGAAAACAGGGAAGGAAATACTTTTGGTAGTTACTTTTTCCCACAATCAGTCAAAATACTATTCGGAAGCTATTACCATGAATATCAACAATGGAGTTCCAAATGGTAATAACATGGCCGGTGTTACTTCATGGCATGGAATGTACACAGGAGAAGAGAGACAAAGAGTTGTACAGATTATAATGGATACCTTGACCGACCTTCATGGAAGTAACCCAAATTTTGATTTTCAAAGGTTGAGTAAAATGGCGCAAGACTTTGAAAAAATTGTGTATGAAAAATCTCCATCGCGAGATGATTACTTGAAAGCAATTAAGCTGAAAGTAAATCAGTTGAGGTTGCAGAAGCAACAGGTAAGTGGCCAATCGATCCCGCCCAACAATCAAGTGAACCAGCAGCAGCAACAACAACAACGGACCCAACAGATGCAGGCACGCAATTCACTAAACTCCAATCCCAATTCAAATATGAGCCCTGTGAATGCACAAAATATGCAGTTTTTGCAACAGCAGGCGCAAGCTCGTAGCCAGTCACAAGCCCAGATTCAGGCACGACAACAACAACTTCGACAAATGGTTAATAATCAACAGGGTCAGGGAATGCAATCTGCGCGACAAATGGGAGCTCAACCAACACCACAGCAACAGCAAGCTCTGGCAGCTCAACCGCCGACAAACTTTGCACAGAGGCCAGGAACAAACCCTAACGGACCAACTGGCACGGATCAGCAAGTGCCCCCTCAACTTCTTCAACTTATCAGGTCGTCACCTATTCCTCCACCTTTGCTTAGTAAAATTCCTAATTTACCTAAAGGTGTAACGACCTGGAACCAGATATTTGATTGCATCAAAAGAAAAGTCATTTCGCAGGATATCTTACCATTGGTGAGAGATATCCATTCCACCCACATGCAATTGGTTATGCGTCAACAGCAACAAAAGATGAACGTTCGGAGTGAGGGAAATGCGTCAGGAAACAACGCAAACCCAATTGGTGATGATGAGTTGAAATTAAATCAAACAAACTCTTCCATTGGCAATGTTAATCTTAATAATCTTACACCTCAACAGCGGCAACAAATCTTTCAAAGACAGCGTGAGGCGCAGCAACGTCAAGTGGCACTGGGCGCAAGTCAAAATGGACCAGGGTTGAATCAAAATTTCAATCAACAAGGTCTCCCCCAGCAGCAAGCACCTCAGCAGCAGGCAGCACCACCTATCCAACCACCACCTCAACAGCAAGTGCCACCCCAGAAGACACCATTCCAACAGCCACAGCAACCACAACAACCACCACAGCCAGTTGACCAGAGGCCGCCTCAATTCCAAGTCACTCAGCAGGATTACGCCAAATACTCTAACGATGCATTGACGTTACTTAATCGTTTGCAACAACAAAAACAAATTGCCGGCCAACTTGATGCCAATATGAAGGAAACTTTCATTAGGAAGTATATCCTTCACCAAAAGAACCAGCTTTGGAAACAGCAGATTGCAGCTCAAAGTGGTGCAACTGGATTAGGCATACAAAATGTTCAACCACAAGCACAAAATATTCCACAACAGCCTCGACCACAAATTCCTCAAAATGCACCTTTGCCGATGCAGCAGAGTGGTGGAGCCAATCAGCTGGGAAAGACAATCCCAATACAGCAACAATCACTGCCCATGATTGGCACTTCAAACACTCCGCTCATGAAACCCAATGCTCCTGCACAGAAAAATCTTTCATCCCCCTTAATAAATCAGAGAGATACAGTTATGACTGAGCCAACTGTTCCTCCTAGCAGAGCAGCCCCGGGTGGTCCAAATGCCGGTTTATCTTCATTACTTCCCCCTTTGACGGATGAGGCAAAGCTCCGTCTTAGACAGTTGGTTGAAGAAGTTTCAAGAAACAATGTACTATTGAGGGATGTGACGACCTTGCTTTCACCAAAGGATAAAGGTGCTGTAAGGGATGCCATGAATCGAATTCAAGAGCTGTATGGAAATGTCGACTCGATAATAAGTTATTTTTACTTGTTTACTAAAAATGTGGAAGGGACGAAAAGGCTTATTCAAATGAAGTACATGACAAAGAACATATTAGACAACTTGAAGCGAGGAGTTTATTTGGCAGGTCCCGACTTGCTAGAAAAGTTGAGAAACCAGTACGCCAAGTATTTCGATTACGTCAAGGAGCAAATCAGCCACCGTAGGCAGCAAATGGCTGCCTCTGCAAACACTGGAATACCTCCAACACAGCCTATGCCAGCTCAGCAGCAGCCAATTCAGTCACAGCAACCACCACCACAAGCACAGCTGCAACTACAAGGCGCCCAGTCGATGATGCAAGGTGCGTCAGGGGCAATCGACCAAATGTTTGCCAACCCTAACGTGCAAGCTTCTCCACACTTGTTTGCTCCAGGTGTCAATCAGTCTCCACATCAGCTTTCACAAAGTCTTCCTCCTCAAATAGCTCAGCAACAAGGCTTTGCAAACCAAGGCATGCCTGGGTTCCCAATTGGCAGACAGCCTTCTCAGCTGTCAATGCAAATGAATCAGAACTGGGGCAATGTTGCCAACGAACGGGTACCAAACAATTTGCAACAGCAAGTACCACCACCAACTCAACAACAGGGACAACAAGTGGCTCCGCAACAACGCAACTCAGTACTGCAGACCAAACCAAAGAAGGCACCCCCTAAAAAGAAGCGTAACAGTACTGTTACTGCTGCTACACCCAATGCCATAGCATCGTCGATTAAAACGCCTCACAATGTTGGCACGCCGCAGATTCAAAATTCATTGCAATCTCCCCAAATTAAAAACACACCAGCCCCATCCGCTCCTACGCCAAAGCCCAATGCTCCTGCTAGTGCTCCTGCTCCTACCAGTGCTCCTTCTTCTACAGGCCCAACTTCTGCAGGTGGCACAACACCGCTTACACACTCCACTCCTGAGATTGATATTTTCTCAATGTCAAATGATCTGGTCAAGCGTAGAGAGCTTTCGGTAACCGATCCTAAGCAATTCTTTGTCGAGTCCATGAGAAAGCTTCTTGAGTTGGATGAGCCAAACAAGGAACTGTACGTCAATCCTTCGGCAACTCTTTGTGCTATTGCTACTAGTTTTAGACAAGTTCAAGAAATTGATGAAATATGCGAAAACGTTTTTTAGTCTTAATATACGATAAAGTTGATGTTTCTAAGACAATGTAGAGATCGTATTGCTTTGCATACTTGTCTTGCCTACAAAAAACAAGCATGCGATAAAAAAAAAAGGCAACAGACCATATAGTGTTCTTTGTCTTTACAATTCAACATGGCACCGCTATTCACCCCCGAAGATAAGAAAATATCGGTCGCATTCGTATGCTTAGGTAACATGTATGAAGAATAGTTCAAGCACACTCCAGATAGACCATTACTAACACCTACTTTGTAGTTGCCGTTCACCAATGGCAGAAGCCATTTTCAAACATAGAGTTCAGGAGTTGGGATACGCACCATATTTCAAAAACATTGAATCGTTCGGTACTTCAGGATGGCATATAGGTGAGCTGCCCGACTCACGATCGGCTAAAACTTGCAGAAAACATGGTGTACCTGTCCAACACCTGGCACAACAAATCAGTGCCAAAGATTTTGACAGGTTTGATTATGTTATAGGTATGGATGAAAGTAACCTCTCCGACTTGAGGTACCTAAAGCCAAGAGGAAGCAAAACTGTGGTTGATTTGTTTGGAAGATGGAGAACTAACATGGAATTCGATAAAATCGTGGGTGATCCATACTACGGAGGTATTGACGGATTTGAATACAATTTTAACCAAATTAGTCATTTCACTGACGAGTTTTTAAAACAAGAAATTGGAACTTTGGATTAGATTAGATTAGAATAGATTAGAATAAACCGCTAAAAAGCTGTGTAGATTCAGATTCCAAAAGTTTGTCTTCATATGTTAAGTCGTGTGTAGAATGCAATTTGGTTGCGAAGAATTTTTTTTTGTTTTTTTTTTTTTTCTTTCTTTTCTTTGAGGTCCAAAGTCTTTCTCGGTTTCAGTGAAACAACACAAGTGCAAATTACCACCAGTGGATATATAAAACTCAAGAACATATATCTAACGATTCAAGCATGAGTGCCAGGAAACTACAGCAGGAGTTTGATAAGGTCAACAAGAAGATTGCCGAAGGTCTTGCGGCCTTTGATGACACCAAGGAGAAGATGCAAAACTGTGAGGTACCCTCACAAAGGGACAAGTTGGAGAACGACTTGAAGAAGGAGTTGAAGAAGTTACAAAGGTCGCGAGATCAGTTGAAGATATGGTTGGGAGACAGTAGCATAAAGCTAGACAAGTCATTGCTACAAGAGAACCGGACAAAGATAGAGCATTCGATGGATATATTCAAGGAGTTGGAAAAGTCATCCAAAATAAAGCAATTTTCGAATGAAGGGTTGGAACTACAACGAGAGAGTAAAAAGCTGTCTCGATTTGGCGATGTGGAGAAACTACAAGAGGCATGCGATTACATCACTGGAGTAATTGAACTGTTGACGAGCCAGAATGAAGAATTGGACCAAGAGTTGGATTCACTTGGGGCTCAACTGAAGAAGAAAGGTGGGTACTCTGTACAAAGTTCGATAGAGGATACAAAGTATAAAATAGATCGAAATAATACTCATATTGAGAAATTGGAAGAAGTGTTGGATAATTTAGAGAATGACAGATTGGATCCAGCCAAGATTGATGATATTAAAGATGACTTGGATTACTACGTCGAGATGAATCAGGATGAGGACTATGTCGAGTATGACGAGTTTTATGACCAGTTAGAGGTTGTTGAAGATGAAGAGGAGGAGTTGGAAGTAGAGGGAAGCTTGGCACAGATGGCAGCTGAGTCATTCGAAGAAGAGGAAAGAAAGAGGTTAGAGTTACAGCAATTGGGACATCAGCAGTCGGAAGCAACTAGAGCAAATCAATCATCAGCATCTTCTACCTCCGCAGCAGCTCCAGGATCAGCAGCAGCAGCAGCATCGGCTCATCAAGGAAAATCAAGTTCTGTATCTTCCTCTACTGATGGTCATTCACACGGTCCTGCAACCACGGTCGCCACTAGTGCCAAGAATGATATACCGGCAAATGGTTCTACTACAACACCAGTAAAGAAGACAAAACCCATGAATGTTGTGCCTGCTCCTCCGCCGCCAATCACTAGTACCATTTCATATTCAAGCGTGATTAAAGCAGCTCAAGCTTCAGGTACTAATGATACTACCGCTTCCTTAACAAATCACGTATCCAGTTCAAATAATACACCAAAGGTAAATAATAATGTTCCCCTTGCCACGGCTCTTGGATCTACCGCTTCTAATACACCAAGTAAAGCACCTCCCCCAGGGTTTGGTCAGCCACTTGCTGCTGTGAGATCACTGTCTGCATCTCCACTTACAAGTGAGTCTAACTTGAATGATGTAGATCAAAAAGCAACGCAGCTGTTGAAAAAGAAGTTGTCAAATACATCACAAACCTCATTGGTGTCGAATTATGATTCTGGTTTGGGTGACTCGTTCAACTTGTTGATGAATATCACTAACAGCCGGTTAAATGATCCATTACCGATTCAGTCGATTGGTAATTTACTAGAGACTTCCTTGTTGAACTGTCCTGACTCATTTGATGCTGAGAAGCCTCGACAATACGTTCCGGTAAATGTTCATCCTTCGCTGATTGACTATCCACAAGAACCAATGTTTGAATTGAATTCAGCTCACTACATGCAGAAGTTTGATGATGATACGTTATTCTTTTGTTTCTATTATAGTGAAGGCGTTGATAATTTTGCCAAGTACAATGCAGCAAACGAGTTGACAAAACGGGGCTGGGTGTTTAATACTGAGCATGGCCAATGGTTTTCCAAAAAGGAAACAAAACCTTCTGGATCAAAGAGACTACTGATGTTGATCCAAAAGGAAGACTCGGTTGAACCTCAAGGCGAGTCTAATGGCGATGCTCAGTTCAGGAAATACTTTGATGAAAAGACCTGGCTTGTTAGAAATGCAAACCTGAAGAAAGTTTAAGGGAAGAGCCAAGTTTGCTGGTGATTACAATATATACTGTGTTTTGATTACTTTTTACAGGCAACACGGTTCGACTATTTAAATAACTTGTGTATTATATATATATATTTGAATGTTGAAAGGGTTGTTCGTAGATTGTCGCACTAGAGAATGCTCATGGACACAAAGTTGAGCTTTTTGGGACAGGGCAGAACAGAGCACCAGCCTACTGTGAGATGGCAGTTGCAAACATTTTTCTGCTAAGTGAGATTGTCAGCCATTTGCAGCGGATTAGCTTTATGATATAAATCACTGGCAAGTGCAGACTATGCTGGTTCTAGATTTGAACAATTTTTTCTTTCGCTTAAAAGAGTGAGGATGAAAGAAAAAATATTTCACAATACATGTGATTCCGCGAATCTATTCGAACAGAGGGGATCAAGACGTGAATGAAGTAAGGTTGTTTCAAGGTAGCATACACTGGAAAAAGTGTATGTGAATAAGATCTTGACACCCCAGGAGTAGGGATAGATAGAGCTAAGCTTATATAACATATCAAAGTCTTCATATATGGTGCAATCTGATTTATACCATCACTGCCCCCCTTTTTTGGATCACGTCTCTCGTGTAATTTGATTTCCAATTTTTTTTCTTTTCTTTCTTTGTGCAGAAAACAGTACGATTTCATTTCATCGCATTACGATTTCTTTTACTTTATATACCTTTCTCTTTACAAAGCCTCAAACCAGGCACTCGCTATTTTCGTCAAGACACTGATATCACGTCAAAATCATCACAACTTACTCAGGCACCTTTGTTTTCACATTTTATACTAATAGGGTTCTTTGCTAGATAATGACGGAGACCTACTCATATATTTTCGAATCAGTGGATCTAGTGCAGAGAGACGATGATGGATGTGTCTCTAACTGTCCTACGTTACCCGACTGTGTATGCAGTAACAAGAATGAGGAATGTGTCCAAGTGCCTCAAACGTGTGAAAAGTGTGCTTACAACCGTTGTACGACAAAAGATTCTACATCCACGTTGAATACTGGAGCCATCGTTGGTGGTGCTATTGGTGGAGCTGTATTTATTGCTTTACTTGCTGCATTGTATTACTACTTTCGCGTGTACAAAAAGAGACCACCAGTGTTGTTGGACGACGAATATGATTATAGTTATCATGACGATGACACAGATGGATTTGTTTCAGATAAAGGTGGAGGTTATGCCTTGCAAAGCTTGGAAAGTGCAGGAGCAAATAACTCAGTGACTAATCTTCTGAACCAACCAAGTCCTACAGAGTCACACTTCTCAGGAGCTGGTAAGCAGGATGGTAACCCAAACAATAGTACTTCTTCGCCAACCCATGCTCAGTTTGGTAGTAAAGATGCTGTTGCATCGTCAGCAGGACAGAATGGTGCGCAAATTGGTTCAAATGGAGCAGCTGCTGGTTCAGCTGCACTTGAACGACCACCTATGCGTCGAGTCTTGTCTGGTGAAGCAAGAGCAAAGGCTAAGAGAAGGATATCATCTTATGAGTCATTTACTCGTCCAAATGCTCTTAAACTGAAGTCAAAACAGCAGCAACAGTTGGCAGCGCAACAGAGACGGGCAAGACAACAAAAGATTGTCAAGCAAGCCAACTTACAACAGCAGCAGCAACAGCAACAGCAGCAGCAGCCGCAGCAGAACTTGCAGCCACATCAACAAATCTACCTGAACCATTCACACAGGAGCTCTGTTGCAACTTCGATATCCAACGCTTCAAATATATTACCCATTGCTTACATTCCTGGTGTGACTGTTCGACCTTCAAAGAACAATACAGGGTCATTATACTCTTATGATTCAGAGTCGCTATTTTCCGATTTGAATACGATTGAGAATGCCAGTATTGTCGGAGACAATGTGGTTGCAAGCCATGGTCAAGGTCAAGCAGTAGGTGCTGCTCCTGGCGGAAGTAATGGTAATGGTGCTTCTGCAAACGGAAACTCAGCAACAATGACTGCAATTAAAGCTCAACCTAAATTGGTCAATGTAGATAAGATTGAAGAGGAAGAGGAAGAAGATGATGAAGAAGAAGAAGATTGGAATAGAGAGGCAGATGATTCGTTTGATATAGTGCCTCATCCTGGGTATGGCACTAAGTCTATGCGATATGATTCCGATGACAGTGATGTCGATTCTGATATTGGTCAAATAACAAGAGCTACCTCAGTAAAAAAGTTGAACAAGAAGAACCCAAGTCGTTCAGATGTAGAGGGCACAACAGTGATAAGTTCAGACCATACATCAAACAGTCTACCCCATAATCGCGAAATCTTGATGAATAGTGAATCTTCACTGAATATGTCTCATATCCCTGCCGAAATGATGAATTACAATGAGACTGATGATTCGAATCGAGATGCTGGCTCTACCGTGGGTTCTTTTCTATTTGACATTGGTTTTGACGATAATTCGGCGTCTTCGCCATCGCAATCCAACATGGCTTTTGATGAGTCCAATCGTAAAGGAAGCCCGTTTGCTGATGGTAGTGTATAGATAATAGATCAGTACGCCATTTTTTGTTAATGAGAAAGAAAGATGTAAGAAAGCTTGGTTTGGTTCCCATGTCTGTAGATAAAGCCTATGGGTGCCATGAAAAGAGGGTATAAATCATGAATTTTGGCTATATCCGATGGTGCGGAAAATGATACAAAGTCAATTGAAAACTTTATTCACACACAGTAAAAGCCGGCAACACAAAAAGGGCTGGTCAATTGTTAGTTGGGTCATTTTGGTCGAGTTGGCGAATCTGCGAAGCAAAAGGCCGGGGAGGAGAGGGCCCTTTAACAGAAATGTTTTTTTTTTGTTGGGGGAGCTGATGTATATTTTGTGCTTCTGTGTGATCAATCCATTAACCTTTTCCGATACCGGTAAGAGTTACTTATCAGGCTTAATTAACGAAAGGTTGAGTTGAGAGCATGATTCACATCCTTAGTAGACTCAAACCTTGACACATTGATATATATATATATATATATATATACCCTAAAGGTTAGCAGAATAAAGAAATAAAAATGTCTTAGATGTCTCTAACGTTTGCTTTTGTTTGTTTGCTGTATAGATATATATTATGCAGCATTATGTAATGAGTAGCTCTTTTAACAGTAGAGACATATATCCATAGGTTCCTTTTAGTAAGCGAAAAAGCAACTAAAGAAAGAAAAAGAAACGTATAGTATGGGTATTACTGTTGTCCGAATGTAACCTAGTGACATGTTTTGTACAAGTTATTACAGGTAAGAGTTGATATAATCTCTCCGAAGATTAGGGGGGAAGTAGTAGAAAAATATTGTTTGCTCTGTGTGTACTTTGGACGGATACTTTGTGAATTGAAATCCGTTTGGTTAGTTAAGACTAAATCTGGTTATGTAGTGTAATGTAACTGATTTAGTTTATATGCAGGACTATTAATACCAACGCAAAAATTAATTTGTTTTTTTCTTTTTTTGCAAGAGGGACACACACTCACACACTCACACACTCAGAGACACACGCCCATCCATTAAAATTTGTTGATCAAAATTTCCAACAATTGTCCTTCAATACTTCTTTTTCTAAATTTCTCCTTTTCGTTCTTCTTCTTCTTCTTCTCTTCTTTTCCTTTCTTTCTTTCTTTCTCTTATCAACTCAATTCCTACAAAGTCACACATCATGTCTTCAATTGATAAATTATCCGTCAGTACTATTAGAGGTTTAGCTGTTGATGCCGTCAATGCCGCCCAATCAGGTCACCCAGGTGCTCCATTGGGTTTGGCTCCAGCTGCCCACGCTTTATTCAGAAAGATGAACTTTAACCCACAAGATCCAAAATGGATCAACAGAGATAGGTTTGTTTTATCCAATGGTCATGCTTGTGCTTTGTTGTATTCATTGTTGGTTTTATACAATTACGATTTATCTGTCAATGATTTGAAGCAATTTAGACAATTAAACTCCAAGACCCCAGGACATCCTGAAAGATTGGACACTCCAGGTGTTGAAGTCACCACTGGTCCATTGGGTCAAGGTATTTCTAATGCTGTTGGTATTGCTATTGCTCAAAAGCAATTTGCTGCCACTTACAACAAGCCAGATTTTCCAATTTCTGACTCCAAGGTTTACTCATTTGTCGGTGATGGTTGTTTGATGGAAGGTATTTCTTCTGAAGTTTCTTCATTGGCTGGTCACTTGCAATTGGATAACTTGATTGCCTTTTGGGACGACAATAGAATCTCAATTGATGGTGACACTGCTTGTGCTTTCACTGAAAATGTCCCAGAGAGATACAAGGCTTATGGATGGAAAGTTTTGGAAGTCCACGATGCCAACACCAACATTGAAGCCGTTTCTGATGCCATTGATGAAGCAAAGAAGATTAAGGGTTCTCCAGTCTTGATTAGATTGGTCACCACCATTGGTTACGGTTCCGAAATTGCTGGTACCGGAAAAGTTCACGGTGCTCCATTGCAAGCTGACGATCTTAAGCACTTGAAAAAGAGTTGGGGATTTGATGCTGATGAAGCCTTTTTCATCCCTGATGAAGTTTCTAAATACTTTGCTGAAAAAGTTGAGGAAAACAAGAAGGTGCAACAAGCTTGGCAAAAATTGTTTGACGAATACAAGGCCAAGTATCCAAAGGAAGGAGCTGAAGTTCAAAGAAGATTGGATGGCAAGTTACCAGATGGCTGGAAGAAGGCTTTGCCAACTTACACTTCGAAGGACAAGGCTGCTGCCACGAGAAAATTATCAGAAAACGTTCTTGACGCTTTGTACCCAATCATTCCTGAATTGGTTGGTGGTTCTGCTGATTTGACTGGCTCCAACTTGACCAGAGCTGCTGGCTCTATTGATTTCCAACCACCTTCAACCGACTTAGGTGACTATGCCGGTAGATATATTAGATATGGTGTTAGAGAACATGGTATGGCTGCCATTATGAATGGTATCGATGCTTTTGGTGCCAACTACAGAAACTACGGTGGTACTTTCTTGAACTTTGTTTCATATGCTGCAGGTGCCGTCAGATTATCGGCTTTGTCTCACCACGGTGTATTTTTCGTTGCCACACATGATTCTATTGGATTGGGTGAAGATGGACCAACCCATCAACCTATTGAAACTTTGGCCCACTTGAGAGCTATTCCAAACATGTCGGTATGGAGACCTGCTGATGGTAATGAAGTTTCAGCAGCTTACATTTCCGCCATTGAAGGTGTCCACCACCCAACTGTTATTGCTTTGACTAGACAAGGTGTCCCTCATTTGGAACACTCTAGCATTGAAAAGGCATTGAAGGGTGCTTACTCTGTATGGCCACAAGACAAGCCAGATATTCTTATTGCTTCATCTGGTTCCGAAGTTTCCATCTCCATTGATGCTGCTAAAGAATTGGAAAAGAAGGGTATTAAAGCTGGTGTTGTTTCCGTCACTGATTTCTTGACCTTTGACAAGCAACCAATTGAATACAGATTGGAAGTATTCCCAGACAATGTTCCAATCTTGTCTGTTGAAGTTTTGTCATCTTTTGGATGGTCTAAATATTCCCATGAACAATTTGGTTTGAATAGATTTGGTGCTTCTGGTAAGGCTGGAGATTTGTACAAATTCTTCCAATTTACTCCAGAAGGAATCGCCAAGAGAGCTGAACAAACTGTTAAGTTCTACGAAGGAAAGAAGATCTATTCTCCATTGCACACTGCTTTTGAAGAATTGGGAGCATAGATTAAAGACTAGTTCTACGCTTTATAGTTGTTTTATTTTTATTGAACAGTGGATGATATAGAAGCTAACAAAATTTCCTCTTCTCCCTCTCTTCACTTGGAGGTGTCAAGAACGTACCTTCCCAAAATCTTACCCTCTTCCATTTCCTTAAACACGCGCTCCACTTCGGCCATGCCAACAACTTTAATAGGGCATTTAATCAAACCTCTATGGAAAAAATCAATAGCTTCAGTAGTGTCCCATTTAGTTCCCACATAGGATCCTCTAATGGTGATTTGTTTTACAACAGTACTCAAAACATCAACGGTAAGTTTTGCATTTGGGGGCAATGCAATTAGGATAACCGTACCACTTTGTCTTACATACTCCACCGATTTTTGAATAGCTTGTTCTGAGGATGCAACATTTAGGGCCGCATGAGCACCACCGTTGGTCACGGCAATAATATCTTTAGCTATATCTTTCGAAGTAGTGAAATCAACATATGCTTCAGCACCTAAACTTTTGACAAATTCTCCCTTTTCTGCACCTCCATCGATCCCCACCACTCTCAACCCCAATGCTTTGGCATATTGAATTGCCAACGACCCCAATCCACCAGCTGCTCCTGAAATGGCAACCCATTGACCCGGTTTAGCATCCGACGACTTCAATCCTTTATAAACAGTGATCCCAGCACACAAAATGGGCCCAACTGATTTCAAATCAATGTCAGCGGGCAACTTAGCCGCTTGGATAGCATCAGTAGCGCAGTATTGTTGAAACGTACCGTCCATATTGATCCCATTCAATGTCTTGGTAGCACAACTAGTTTCATTTGATTGTTGACAATGTTCACAATTCAAACATGTCGAATTAATCAATTTGACACCGGCCAAATCACCAATGGCCCAACCTTGTACGTTCTCTCCCACGCCAACCACTACTCCAGCACCTTCATGGCCTCCCACAAGAGGGAGCTTGTATGGGATTTGCCAATCGCCCTTCCAAGCATGTAAGTCTGAGTGACAAACACCCGAGTATTTAATGTTGACAAGGATTTCATTCGATTTGATCTGGGGCACGGGGATGTCGGTGTAATTTAATGGACCGCCATTGGTTTCAAAAATTACTGCTTTTTGAGTTTGGGGGATTTCAATTGGCATTGTAGTAAGATTGTGAGGAGACATAAGCAAATTTTGGAAAAGTGGTTTAGTTGGTAGGTAATATATGCTATGACAGTTTTATGTCAAATTCAATTGTATTTATAATCATGTTACAAAGTATAAATGGTAGTCCTTGTGGGGGGGGGGGGGGGGAGGGTGGATGGAATGTGGTATAATAATATTTCACTCTTTGGAGTACTGAGAGGGGCATCATCAACTGTCTCTCATTTTGATGTTCTCCCCAGAAAATAAAAATAAAAATAAAAATAAAAATAAAAATAATAAAATGAGGAGAATAAACTCTAGGTGGTATTTACTTTCCTTTTAAAGAGTATTTTTATGGCTAGCAAATGCCTAATAAAGCAAAGCATCTATATATGTATTTTGTATATTGGAGGTTATTATAACAATTGATCTTTCTACGATTGGGACCAAGAAGAGACACAGCGTAACTGATTCCCTGAAAGTCTTTACAGTGTTGGTTCTCGATAAAGGTCATCTATTGATGAGTATACATCAATTTGTTTTATCAGGTCGGTTATTAATAAAACTTGACATTATTACAAGCTAAATCGCGGTTGTGGGGAAGATGTGGGTTATAGAGTGGGAGCATGTGTGTTTAAGTCCGACCCAGATTGGGCACAAAAAAAAAGGTCAAAGATTTCGTGCCTTCTCGGGTTTAAACTCCAAATCCATCCATCTTCGTAGATAAAAAAAAACAGTGAAATCTCTTAGCTTCACAGCTACTTAGAATCAAGATTAAACTGCACAGCATTGTTTGTGTTCTTTAGCGCCAACAGAACAATTCACAGTAGATGCAATAGCGTGGTTATTATTATTTCAACGCTCGAATTATAATGTGTGTCTTAGAATAGGCTATTGCGACAAAGATTGTTTGCGACTTTAGTTTGAACATTTGTTGGTGGTGTGATAGATCTCTGAGCAGAGAAAAGTCGAAAAGTCAGTGCTGCAAAAAATGGACATCTTGAACGCACCATTATCACCACACTAGAAAGGATTGCCAGGTGTCAAGACAAGAATTACAGCTTATGCAGAAAACCAGTCACTTGATTACTAAAACCCAATAAATATCATCATGTCATTACCAGCACTACCGAAGAATGGTAAAGTTGCCGTGTTAGGAGCAGGTATACTGGGACTTACATTCACATACTTTCTAAGTAGATTACGACCCGACATTAGCTTTCAAATATTTGAAAAATCCATTCGCCCAGGTGGATGGATGAATCTGCCCCACCTTTATGTATCCGATACTAAGGAGTCAATTTTGTTGGAGAAAGGTCCTCGAACGTTGCGTGGTGTCAAAAACGGAAGTTTGTTTATGATTGATATTTTACGCAATTTGAACTTGCAGGATCAAGTGGAGGTTATACACAAGTCAAGTAAGGCTAATCGCAAGTACATTACCGATGCTCAGGGAGAGATTGTTCAAGTTCCTAATTCCTTTGCAACGGCAGTTGATTTTTTCAAACGGGTTAAAGTTGTTGATGGCAAATTGATCAAAGGGTTGCTTAAGGAGCCATTTGTGAAGCCTTTGGCGGAAGATGAGACCGTAGAGCAGTTTTTCAAGAGAAGGTTGGGGAGTACCTCATTGACTGATAATGTTGCTAGTGCTATAATACATGGGGTATATGCGGGGGATATCGGCAAATTGAGTATAAAAAGCGTAATGCCCTTTTTAAAGGATGTCGAAAGCCAATCCGGATCAATTGTGAAGCATATTTTGAAGTCACTAACAAGGAAAAATACAAAGAAAGAAGAAAAGGATGTGCTGGAGTTTTCATCAGAGTTGCAACTTTATGAAAAGTTGATTTCACCACAAGCGAATCTACTAGCTCTACAGAACAATCTCAAAGCATTTCCAATGATCAAGTTTAGAGATGGAATGGAGACTTTGCCAAAGAATTTGGCCAACTATTTGGTCAATAATACAAACACAAAAATCCATTATGGTACCCCAGTGCAGCAATGTGATCCGAAAACTGGAAAAGTTAATGAACAACAATTTGATCATATTAGAAGTACAATCAACACCCATGCATTGGCTCAAGCTTTACCATTGAACAATCCACTAATACCAGAACTAAAAGCAGTACAATATGTCACTGTTTTCTTGACTAACGTGTACACAAAAAAGCCAATCTTATTGCCAAAGGATAAACTGGGATTTGGGTTTTTAAGACCACGTCATCGTAATATTGATAGTAATCCACAAGCATTACTTGGTACAATATATGATTCCGATGTTGAAAACCACGCAGAAAGTCTATTCAGTGAAGCAAGAGCTACTCCCGGTGAATACAACAAGATCACAATCATGATGGGAGGGCATTACTACAGCAATTGGAACATTCCGTCCAATAAACTAAATTTGAAGATTGTGAAGGATGTATTGCAAGAGAAATTGAATGTCAATTTGTCAAAGTATCGTGTTAAAGTCGTTGAAGAAAGTCAAGACTTGAAAGTCGATTCAATTGAACCCAATGATATAATCATTAGTTATTCTTTACATCAAGATTGTATCCCTCAGTATAACTTGGGTTATCAAGAGTTGAAATCTAAAGTACTTGACATTTTGGAAAAGGAGCATTATAAGTTATCATTTGGTGGTACAGTCTTTGCTGAGGGTGTTGGTGTGCCTGATTGTGTCAGTAACTCATTCGCTGATGCCGTAAAGTTAATGTAACAACAGACACGCCAATCTTCTATGGGAGACTAACATTGTAAATAGATCTCGTAAAAATATAAAGCAGATGTATCTCAATGAATAGGAGTAAGATGTAGCCTACATTTGAGCAAATACGAGAAATTATCTTTCACGAACCCACAGCCCAGTTTGGAAGTTGTTTTGTATAATACATCATGCATCATATGCATGTGGAATTAGATTAAGCGTCTGATTGGTTTGTGGTTCAATGTTTGCTAAGACTCTTTGAAGATTGAGATTGACAGGTTGCTTGGTTTAGAGCAACCGGGGTGGTGTATCACAGCTCCTCTTCAGTGTTCTGTTCATATGAAGTGAGGGGGCGAAGTGGAGTAAAGCCCTAAGACAAGTGTAGTAATCTCCGCGCTGTTGGATAAAAATGAAATGAAAGTCTTGTATGTAGGGGATTATTAGTATTTTGTGTAAGATAGTATTTTGCTATGACGACATAATTTCAAAAGTTGCTACCAATTTCATTATATGTCCGTTGCAATTAACTAAAACTTAGAGGAAATGTATATGTAGATGTTGATGCATATATAACTGAAAATAAATTCTTCTCTTGCTCTTACTACTTTAACAAAATTACCCTAATCTACCAACACACAAATACACACAACTATACATATATCATATCTGTATTTCTTGTCTAAGAAAGTGTACCCACAATTTTATTAAAAAATCATACAATTTGTCTTTAATTTTTTTTTTTCATTAAATTTCAATTTGCGCGAGGAATAAAAATAAAGACAGCAATTTATAAAAAAGTAAATTACAAACCACAATCCAACAACACTCAATTCGATATTTAATTCAGCATACTCAACATACTAGAGTGTATTAATCCTTGTTTACTCATAGAATACATATTGACCACCCGGCATTAGACTATACACACACTTAGAAACAATCATCCAATATAAACTTTAGAGAGGAGATCAGTAAATACCCCCTCATCTATCATTAATACAACAACACACCCTCACAAAACCAACAAAAAGCAACATCTTCTCGATCCAAAAAAAGATTTACGATTCCTCTACCATGACTGAAGCATCTCCAGTGGGTGCATCTTTGCTTCGATTGAAACTCTTGGATGCTTTGAGAAGTGGAGACACATCCAAGATAGATGCAATCGTTGGGGAAATAAACTCCAGCAAAACCACAATTCAAAATCAAGAGTTGAACCGATTGAAACTGACCATATTACACTACGCTGTACAGGTGGCCACTTTACCAACAATACAATACTTGGCTAATAATGCTGAAAAATATGGCTTGGACATTAATTCACAAGACCCTCAGGGAAATACACCTTTACATTTGGCAGCAATTGCTTCGAGACAAGATGTGGTCAAGTATCTTTTGTCATTACCCGACATCAATGATACGATTGTCAATTTGGATAAGAAACAACCAGTGGAACTCTGCAAGAATTTGAACATTGCGCAGTTGATGCAATTTGAGCGAGCAAAATTTGTTGAAAAATCAGCAACTCAATTGCGAGCCTATTTCAGTAATCGAGACTTTGATAATTTGGAGAGGTTATTGGTGTTAAATCCAAGAGCCTCAGAGTTGTTGGATATCAATGGTGCTGATCCAGAATCAGGCAACACCGTTTTGCATGAATTCATCAAAAAGGATGATATACAGATGTGCGATTGGATTTTAAAGCATGGTGGTGATCCTTTCAAGAGAGACAAACATGGAAGATTGCCTATAGAGTTGGTAAATCCTAAGGATGAACCATTGAAAAAGTTGATTAAAGCTGCTACTCGTGATCAAACTATCATGGATCCAGTCGCAACTACAAACTCGGCGATCAAAGCTGGTAATGCGCCTGTTTACAAGGGATACTTGAATAAATGGACCAATTTTGCCTCCGGTTACAAATTGAGATATTTTGTTTTAGATCCAAATGGAATCTTGTCGTATTATACTAATCAAGAAGACACAATGAATTCCTGTCGTGGTTCATTGAATTTGGGCTATGCCACATTACATCTTGATTCTTCAGAAAAGATGAAGTTTGAAATTTATGGTAAAAACGGTCTTAGGTGGCATTTAAAGGCTAATCATCCTATTGAAACAAACAGATGGGTATGGACTTTACAAAATGCTATAACAATTGCCAAGGATAATATCAAAAAGAAACATACGACAAGAACAACAAGTTCAGCAGGTGACTCTCCTTCAACCGAAGATTACGACGATTCCTCCATTGCCGATGATACAGAATCGGTGGAAAAGAAAAAACATAGGTTTAGAATCCCTGGAAGAAACAAACATAAACGTAATACCAGTCAGGTATCTAAGGAGTCGGTTGATGATGTTGCATTTGATAAATCGCGTTCCTCTTTTGGCAACTCGCGGGCAAGCACTGACGGGACATTGGCTTCGCCTACTGGAAGATCACGCAATCAGGCTTCTCGAGTTAGTTTGGATGATCAACATAGTGCAGCAGAAACCGATCATGAGAATTTCGACCATGATTATGATGGAACTGAGCCAGAAGACGAAGAGAGCGATTTCGAAAATGATGTTGATGTTAATCAATTGAACGATGACATTGCAGCATCAAGAAGAGCATTACAAATTGAGTTGTCGTCATTGTTGGAATTGTTCAGTCAAATCATGAATAGTGATACTTTCCAGCCGAACTCCAAACAAGCCGAAGTGTGTATAGTGGGAAACAACACAATTAGAGCCATAAATGAGTTGCTTGGGAAATACAACATCAATGTGGATGCAAGAGATTCTAAATTGAGAAGAAATTTGGACAGACAGTTGGAGGTTAATCAGTTGTGGGAAAAATCAATTAGGCAATTGGAGAATGAAATCCAAGCCAGAGAAGAAAAATTGGCTGTGTTCCAAGGCCAAAGAAAGCAATTGAGGAAATACTTATCGGGAAGAGCTACTGCTGGTAGCGAAACAGGCGGTACATTGTCACCGGTTGCGACAAATAATGTCAATGATGGAGATGCTATAGGTGTCGCCAATGGCGAAATCTTGAGTAAGAACCCGGAGGAGGATCAAGTTGATCAAATAGATTCCAAGTTGGATGCAGTGCAGCATAACCCTCAAGCCCAAACAGAACCTTCTCAGGCTCCACCACAACCTGAATTGAATGAAGAAGTCATTGGTGAATTATTGGGTGATGATTCCGACGACGAGTTTTTCGATGCTGATGAATTCGAAGAAGAAGAACAAGAAATGGGAGGTGAAGATGAGAGACAGATTGTGGAAAGTGATGAGAAGTTGCGCGAGAAGGATACACAACAACAGCAAAGTGTTGAGCCCACGCAAGAGCAAGTACCACAACCAGTTGAAGAACAAGAACAACAACCAATTGAAGGGCAAGTGCCTGAACAAGCTAGGCAATCACAGCCACAACAACAACAAATTTCTGAAGAATCGACTGCAGTGGGTGCTGCTGGCGCTGGTGCTGCCGGTATTGCTGGAGCTGAAGTTGCTAATCACAACAAGCAACCTCAAGACGAGGATATTGGACCCAATGAGATTCCAGGAGGTGCTGAGCTGATTGCACCATCTGAAGGAACCAAGGTGGATGAAGCAGCACAGGGTGAATCCCCTGCAACTGCTAAAGCCCTTCCTGGGGATGAGGATCTTAACCCAGCTCAAAGAGAGATTAACCATGAATTGCATGAAGAAGGCTCGTACTTGGGTTATGAAAATCCACCCAGAAAGAAGTTGGCATTGGACGAGGATAACAGACCCAAGGTTGGATTATGGGGTATACTTAAATCAATGATTGGTAAAGATATGACAAGAATGACTTTGCCAGTCTCTTTTAATGAGCCAACTTCCTTGCTTCAAAGATTAGCTGAAGATATTGAATATAACAATTTGTTAAACACTGCTGCAGGGTATGATGATTCGACATTGAGATTGGTTTATGTTGCAACTTTTGCCGCTACTGAGTATTCATCAACCATTGACAGAATTGCTAAGCCATTTAACCCACTTTTAGGTGAAACTTTTGAATACTCTCGACCAGATCAAAACTATAGATTATTCGTTGAACAGGTGAGTCATCATCCTCCTATCAGTGCATGTCATGCCACATCACCTAAATGGGAATATTATGGAGAAAATGCTGTCGATTCGAAGTTTTATGGACGTTCGTTTGACTTCAAACACTTGGGTAAGATGTTTTGTGTGGTGAGACCTAATAATGGAGTTAAAGATAAAAATGGAAATGTTGTTGCTGAAGAATTGTACAGTTGGAAGAAAGTCAACACTGCTGTTGTTGGTATCATGGTTGGTAACCCAACGGTTGACAATTATGGTAAAATGGTTGTTGAAAATCACACCACTGGTGATATAATCACTGTGGATATGAAGCAACGTGGCTGGAGAGCATCATCAGCTTATCAGTTATCAGGACAAGCATTGGATAGAAATGGAACCCCACAATGGGCACTCGGTGGACATTGGAATTCGAAAATATTTGCCAAAAAAATCAACAAAGACCAGTTGGACTCTCTGGGAAACACCAGGAAAATGTCCATTCTAGAAGATCCTGGCAAATCAGGTACTGGAGCTGCATCAACTGATCCATATTCCGGATCGAAGTTCCTTGTTTGGCAAGCTGCACCTAGACCAAAAGTGCCATTCAATTTGACCCAGTTTGCATTAACGTTGAATGGTATTGACGATAAGTTGAAACCGTGGTTAGCTCCAACGGATACAAGGTTACGTCCTGATCAAAGAGACATGGAGAATGGTAAGTATGATCGTGCAGCTGATGAAAAACACCGTGTGGAAGTTAAGCAAAGACAAGCGAGAAAGTACCGTGAAGAACATAACATCAATTATGTACCAAATTGGTTTATTAAGAAGAAGCATCCCGTGACTGGTGATCTGTATTGGGAATATAATGGCAAGTACTGGCCGTCTCGTAAACAACATAAGTTGAAAGGTACCGGAGATATTTTCTAGAAATGATGATTGTTGAAATTTAGATTATTTTATATAGTAGACTCGTTATAGTATTATTATTATTGTTTGATTGATTGCATGTACATGGAAATGAGTCATGTAAAGGAACCTTTACGTGGTGGTCTTTCATATGACCTGTATTCAAAATGAGCTAGGCACAGTTGACTGCATGATTGTTTTAAACAATTGGCATAAGATATGCGATAAACGCACTGACGAAATTAAAGGCAATTCAAGAAGTGAAAAAGCGTTAAAATGTCTATAAAGCTAACTAAATGAAACAAAAAAAATGTCGAGCTCTGAGCAGATAGCATGTTGCACTATCAATTACTCTTTTCTTGCATTTCTGTTCACTGGTGGCGCGCTCGACGAAGAAGCCATGGGTGAAAAGTAACTATGCACCGTGACATTAGTAGCTTGGGGAGTAGGTAGAGATGAAGCTGCAAAATTGCCTCCACCACCATACCGAGCACTATTATTACTGGATATGGTGCGGTTCAAGCCAAACACATGGGGTGGTAGCTTGTTGTTTGATGGTTGAGTACGTATCGTGTCGGTACTAATGTGACGTAAAAGCGGTAACCTCTGATCGAATGTTGTTTCTTGCAACTCCAAACTACTCAAATCGTCATCATCTGAGCCAGAGCCAGAGCCAGAGCCATTCTCGTGATCAAAGTCACTGTCTTCCTCACTGTCATCGAGATGTTGTGTCTCGTTGTCTTCAATATCGTCCTCTACACTTCCATCCTCATCGTTATCATTATCGATTGCTTCTTCATATTGCGAATAGTTTCGATACGGTGTAATTGACAGTGCATCAGACTGTTCCACACCTTCATTTGGAAGCACAACCTTCTTTGGCGAAATAGCTGAACTGTTATCATCGGCAACGTCATCATCATCGTGATCAATTTCCTCACCAGTCTCACTCTCTTCTATCGCTTCGCTCGATAAGCTGCTACGATCCGGCACTGTCGATGAGGGTGGAGTTACTCCAACTCCGTTTCCTCCAGGTGGACCTGCATTTGATGCATTACGACCATTGTCTTCTTCGCCGGCTTCGTCACCTCTTATTCCACCATTATCAGTTGTGCCACCTCCCATAAGTGATGCTGCACTACTGCTACTTCCTGCCAGACCCAAACTTGCACCATCCAACGATGAGGATGCAGAGGATGCTGTATCATTAGCAGCCAGGCCCGAAGGCAAGCTCGATTGTGCATTCAAGTTCAAATTAGTATTATTCTGATCTTTGCTAACACTGGGCTGTCTGGCAAATTGCAACGACAAGCTCTCCTTTATCGACGATTTTCGGTGTTGTGGCAATTGTCCAACTGAATACAAGGATGTACTTGCTGACGACAAGGCACTTGGAGTGCTTGAATTTGTGTTGGTGTTTGTCAAGTCTTCACTCACGATCTCATCAATGTTAACTGAATCAAGCAGTGGAGTTTGTGACTCCTCAGTCTGGTGCGATTTCTCTTCGTACTCATATGCTGGAGCTGGTTCATTTGGCAACACTATTGGAATTGAAGGAATTCCGCTCAAGGGGTCTTCTTCGGAGAGAGATATTGATCTCACCTTGGGTGAGTTTGGTGTTGAAGTAGCTTCTTCAAATGATGGTAATTGGTCACCAAAGCTGTTTACACCTTCGTCGTCATCATTCTGGACCCAGGGCTTGATTGACACACCATTATTGGAATAATTTGTTCCATTTCTCGAACTTGGTGATTGATCATCAACAACTCCCAAGTCTGTGGTTATTGCATCAAGTTCATCATATTGCGGTAATTGTACTGACCCCTCATTACATTTTGAACTCAATAAAATCAAGGGTGTGTCCACCACAACTTCATAATGATGCATTTTGTAATCATCTTTTGGATCCGGCTTCGATATTCGAAAACATACTTGTAAACGGTGACTAATCTGGATATGACGAAAGTTCGAATCAGGGTATAATGCTCTTGTAGTTAATGTATACCCATTCTTGATATTCTCTGGAGGCATGTGTTTTGACGACATATCATCAGATAAATAGTTTGACGTCGTGGGCGCGCGCAAGTTTGATTTCAATATATCTGGCTTGGCTGACTTTGAATTTGACCGGATGTTACGTTTAGATGCTTCTGCATGGAGACCAATCTCGTCGACGTTGGCTACGTTTGTTTCCAATGCACCAATGACAGGTGAAGTAGGGCCGTTAGACGCATCTACTGAAGCCTGACGTGGACGTGATGGAGCTTTAGATGTGGATTGCTTCCTTGTGCGAGTTTGTTCAGAAAAGGAACCTTCTTCTTCTGTTGGAGACGTGTTGGCTGAGGAAGTCATCAATGTTTTGTCGCTTTTTGTAGTCAAGAATGGTAATGCAATATTGATATCCAAAGGCGATGCAATCATTGTCTTATCTTTATCCTTTTGACTTTTTGAACTCTTGCGTGGATTCAAATTACTTTCGGGTTCATAGCACGAGAATAACAAATTATTGTCAGGGCATTTAATCACTTCTTCCTTATAAGGATCACCAAGTGTACTTGAAGATTGCTTGCTCTTGGTTTTCAACTCACATAATGCAACAACACGTTCCCTAACCTTATTTTCTTTCACTCTGGGATGCATGTTGTACGGATCTTCCGAATCGTAATCATATTCCCTTAATAAATTCTGAGACACATAAGTTATTCTTTCCAACACATTAAACTTGATTCTCTTGACGACAACATTTTTCACGAGCGGGACCAACTTTACATTGATTACATGTTCCGATCCTAAGGAGACATACTTTCGGGGGAATGTGATCATGTAATGGACTGCATCATTCCAAACTCGGTTTACATATATGGGCTTATCAGCTATTGAGTTGGCAAAATTTGGTGGTGTGCGAACCATGGGAACGTTGTATGATGCACTAACCTTCAACTTCCTGTTCAACTTTTCACTGGTCTTGTTGAAATTTACCAGTAATGTGTGAATCAAAGACCCATTAATTGATATTATACTTGCAGGTATATGTTCGGGTAAAAGCACAGGAAGGAGAAACACATAAAGACCAGCTTTATGTTCGGTGTTTTGGTGAATGTGTGACAGAGAAGTTGTTGGAAATGTATTTATTGACGTTGATGATGATGATAATGATTGCAAGTCTTCAACGTTAGTCGCATTTTCCCCACTATTGGCATCTTTCTTTGGATCTACTAGTTGATAAGATCGGGTTCGTTTGGCCAAATCCTCGGGATGAACGTCTCTCAGTTTCACTTCATTCGAATTGGAATTACTAATGAAATAGTCTGCATCGTTTAACGTTGTTCGCCACTGCATCGTTCCAATCTTGAACTTTTCTTTTGCTGTTGCTCGATTATACGGGTCTTTATAGGGATCGCCCATGGGCCAAAGTATTTGTGTCATTGACTGAAATTTGAATGTCAAATCTTTAACCGTTGATAAGTCTTTACTTAATTCTATAATGACAGCAAATGTGTGGGGTATCGGAAGTTCAGAATCTATTTTGGTGCAAAGATAATTTGGACTGTGGAATGAGCGCATTCTTTGGTATAATGAGTTTGCAATCGGGTCTTCAAGATGGGTAATTGAAGAACTGTGGCTTGTTCTGGGGTCGGTGCTTTGACTAGTGCTATGGTCCGTACTTTGGCTTGTGTTTGATTGGGTGTCACTATCTACACCAGGTTCTGCTACCTCGTCAGTTAGAATAGCACCCCCGTTTTCGACATCTTCATAAGTGAAACTAGCAGAAGATGCTGGTGGGAGATAAATGCAGTCGTTTGAATTAGCAACATAAACTTTTATTGTCTTAGACACTGACCCTTGTGTAGATGTCTTCAAAGGGATGGGGTTCTGCAACCCCAACTCTCGCAACATCGACACTAGTTTCTTCAGTATAATATGAGCTGTCTCTTGTTTAATCAAGTCTTTTGTCTTTGGTTTGAATAGATTTGATGGTGATAGTGTTGTGCCACGAGTGACTGAATGTGATCTAGATCTCGATCGCGATCGTGAATGTATGCCGGTACCGCTATTGCCATGGCTATTGCTATTCTGCAGGGTATCCTTAGTATCACGATCTGGACTAACAAGGGAAAATGAAGTAGCTCTTAAACGTGAAGACTCCTTTGGTGGTGATAAAGCTTTAAGAAACTCAACTTTATGATGAAGTGAGCTACTTGTATCGGAACTATGTCTCCTATCGGAGTGGCTATTTACCAACTCCATTATGGACGAATCATTGGAATGTCGACGATGAGTGACTTTGTTCTTTAGTTTATCAAAACTGAAGCTTCTCGGACTATGCATGGTGGTGGTGAAAAGAGAAATAGCTGTATTGGTGGTTTAGTTGTGTGATATATAGAAACAAGTAGGTGGGTGGGTGGGTCGGAAGTTTTAAAAAAGAACGAAAAAGAAAAAAAAAAAAAGAATAGCAAAATTCAATAAAAATAATAAAAAAAAGGGAATTAGTAGTACATGCAAAGGAGGAGGAGTATTAGTAGTAGTAGTTGTGGTGGTGGTAGTGGAGGTGATAGAAGCGGTATAGATGCGTGGTTGTAGTTGTAGTTGTAGGAGAAGATAAACAATTAAATGAAGTTGGATTTGGGGAAGGTTTTTTGGTTGTAAAAAATTAAAATTATTAACTCTTAACTCAAGTTAAGAGTTAGGTCAAGTTAAGTTAAGCTAAGCTTTAAGCGTTAAGCTAAGCTTTAAGTTAAGTTTGTAAAATTGTTAAAATACTTTTTCTTTTTCTTTTTCTTTGTTTGTTGGTTGGTTGGTTAACTGTTGATTGATTGATTGTGTGTGATTCCAATGTGTGTATAAAGCGCAAGCGCAAAGAATTGAAAAGAAAGAAATTTCAGTTTTATCACAATCAAAGTACAGCCAATCAGTCATCATCATCTCACTTATTTCTCCCAACAGGGGCTATACATATATATATATATATAAATCTTACGTAAACATAATAAGGAGTCATTTGATAAAAGAGTAAACGTAGTTGTAATAAACTTATGCTTGTGTATTTTATTATCTAGCAAGTTTTGCAGTTGGCCACTACAAAAAAAATAAAAGAAAAAAAAAAAGAAAATAAGATACCCCTAGAAGTCTATCTACGCCTCTGTTGGATGACAAATGAAAAGAAGAGTCACACGTCATTCTCTCTCTCTCTCTCTCTCTCTCTCCGCCTCTCTTTCTTTTTATGTGTGTCTTGAACTTTGTGAAGAGTTTTGTTACGATCTAATTACATTTACGAAAATCCATGGGGATAACAAATATTATTTCCGCGACTACTTGTAGACCCACTAGGCTTTCAACACGACGATTCCTCCTAAAGACATTAAAGAGAAAATTCTCTACTCTCTATATTTGCATGTAGGGACATATAAGACTTATCCTCAGAGGGTAGTGGTGTTTCGTTGAATACAACAACAGCATGGCAAAAGGATCGTTATCATGTCAGCTGATAAAGAGCCACCCTGATTAACACAAAGATAGACACAGAGAAGAAAAAAAAAACAAGAATCACTTGGCGGCGAAGCAAAATAGCACCACATAAGAAGAAGAAGAAGAAGGAAGAGTATCAATGTGTATTGCCCCCTTTTACAAAAATAATACTAATCACCCCATTATATCTTAAGACATAAAGTTAATGACATCTTAATAATAATAATATCAACTCCTTTTGTTAATTTATTTTTTCTTAAAAGAAGGAAAGAAAGAAAGGGCTATGCGTCTTGTGTGGGGTTTTCAAAAAGAAAAAAGAAAAAAAAAAGGAAATTGCTTGTGTAATGAACGCTACCAGGTTAATATGTAGAACTGATTATATTACTACACTTGACGTTCCTAGCATACTTCGAAGAGTTCCTTATTCATTCTACAATGGACCACCTCTTTCCTTGCAAAACTTTGCAATCACGCATAGCATAAGTGGATCATGCTCTAATACTCTACTCTACTTCATCATTAACATGGCTAATCTCATCATCACCTCTTTGCTTCAACACATATTCGCCATATTCACTCAACTCAATCGAATCACTAACATCCAAGCTAAAAATATCACCTTCTTTAGTCTTGGATTTCTCTCCATTACCAATACCAATACCACTACCACCATACAGCAGAGGCAATTCACTCTTGGGCAAAGATTCACTTAAATCACCATGATTCAACACTTGAAACTTTTTCAATGTGTCCTCATTGATAACTCTAATTGTTTTGAAAAATGTGAAAACCCATCCCATAATTAAGGGAACATTAATGAAGAACTTGGTACTTAATAATTCAGGATAATTGGTGCCAAATATATCAATAATTTCTTTTGTTGCTTGTTTCATCCCTGGATCTATTCTAAACATTGATACATTGTTATAATCATGAATTTGGCCAATTTTGTTGTTACTTTTGGAGGTGAAATCAATCAATTGCAACGATTTTTCCATTAACCCTATTCTCCATCTCAAGAATTGACTACCCGGTAAGTCTTCAGTCCCTTTAGCACTGTCTTTGCCGTTGTTGTTGCTGTTGCCATCACCACCAAACTTTTCAAAAATCTTTTTTGGATTTTTCAAATTCCCATATAAATTCCAAGTAATTATATGTAAATTGTCATTAGCTTTAGGAAAATTGGTAATAACACCCAACGAATCCAATTCTAGATCGAACTTCTCATCAAATGCTGCATGCAATGGTTGAAACTTGTTTCTCCAATTCAAACACTTGATTAAACGTTGAGTACTCAATTCTAAATCATAATTGTCAGCAGCAAGAAATTTAAGTAATATTTCATTTCGAATATTGATTTCAACGTGGGGCTTTTCTGCAGTGTTGATTCTATAGCCAAATATTTCATCATAGTTTGGATTATCTAGCTTGACTAGTATTTGCGGAATTGAGTCAATTAATTTCGATAATTTTGTTGCTTGGTCTGTGGTTAATGTGGTGGATTGGATGGTCTTTTTAATATCATCTGCTGGAGCTGAAGTGGCTGCATCAAGAGAAGCTTTGGTCGTAGCTTCAGGGGCGGCATCAGGAACTGAAGCAGCATTAGTGAGTTTAGATTCCTCTTCAGACATTCTCCCTGTGACTGTACAATTTAATCTGGTATTAGATGTTTCAATTGAAGCACTTCTGTTTATCTTTTTAATCTGTTCACCTGATTTTTTCTTTTCTGTTGTGACTATATTTTATTTCTTTTACGGCTGAGTGTGACAAAACCGGATCGGAGAGAGAGACATTTGACGACGGAGTTAACGGCGAATTGACTAATTACAGCCAGCATAGTCCCATCATCTTGTTATAGAGCTGCAACAAATATTACCTAAAAGATAAATAAATACGTATTAAATTAGGCAAGGATGTAAAAACAAAACAAGGACACACACACACACACACACACATAATACAAAGAAAAAGCTCAACCCCCAGGTCCTCTATTCGATCTTCTCACTTGCAACCAACTCCAACAACTCACCACCATCAACAATCTTCACCTTCTCTCTCATGTCACCTTGTTTCGCACGATTAGCAAAATGCACAGCAATTTTACCCACATCACTAGCATGAATTGATCTGAATACAGGAGAAAAAACTGCATTTTGAGTCAACTTGGCTAACTTATGGGCCCAGTCTGATTTACCATCCCTTTCACCAATCAACATACCGGGTCTCAAAATAATCGTGTAATCGAAATCCAATGCAATTATAGCCTCCTCTAGATGTGCTTTCGTCCTGAAGTAAAAAAACGGTGATTTCGTACTGGCACCAAATGCCGAAACCAAAATACAAGCCTTGGCTCCACTCTCTTTAGCTGCTCGTGCCGCATCTAAATTAGTACCATAGTCAATCTTTTTAAAATTCTCTGCTGATCCAGCAGCGGCTCTAGTGGTACCAAAGGCGGAAATAAAAGCAAATGGCGTTGGTTTAACGTCTTTAATAATATTAGGCCACTCATCAAGATCGGTGTTAACAATGGCATCAATTTTCTCTTCAGTAGCAAATTGTGGTTCACGTCTCGTAAGTGTAGTTATCTTGGTCCATTGCTTGGCTTGAAGGCCAGTCTTGATTACAAACCCACCTACTAAACCAGTAGATCCTAAAACAAATAATTCACTCATAATAAAAGGGAGGAGGGGGGAGGGGTATTCTGCAGTTGATTATAAACTTTGTTCAAGTGAGCAATAAAATAAGCGACTTAATAATTGGGGTTGATGAGAATTAAAAAAAAAGGGATGATGGATTGCTTAAATACTTTTATGCATAGAAATATCCGTAAGTTTGCTTTTGTGAGAGAAAAGAAAATTAACATTAAAAATATTCCTCGGATTAGTTCTTTTCATCCTTTACCCGATGAAGTACACAATAACCTTAGAAATAATATACGAGATCCACTCATCTATTACTACCTCTATATACATATCGCATTGCTTTCTTCCCAAGAACAAATCATTACCCCCTCCCAATCTCCCCTGCTCTAATTTCGACTTCCAGGAACCAACTTAAACGATAGAATATCATTCTTGCCAGTATCTACAGTATCATCTTCACCAACTTTTATACCACCCACACCCTCAATAGCAGCGATAGTCACATCGCCCATAATCTTCCTGGCCACTGATATAACAGGGGTACCTCGTTTTACCAATATACAATCGCGGAAAACCAAATCCCCACTGGATCCAGTGAAATTATTGATATTTCTCACAGGGTAAACTGGTACCAAATCCAACAATTCTGCTGCTGCTTGGAGTAGTTGAACCACACCAGTCGATCCAAATCGATACAAAACAAGATCTCTAATATTTTCAATTCTATTTTGTAATTTTTCATCCATGGGCTTCAAATCAGGATCATCGGGTAAATCCTCCTTGGTGTCAACAAACTCTGTTCCTGGATCATACTTGATGTAATGTTGGGCCGCCAATTTCCGCAACAACACTTCGGTAATTGACGATGTTAGTACTGCTTTTGATTTGGGATATTTCAAGATTATCTTGGATACATTCTTATCAGCATCAGGGTGGTCCATTTTATTCAATGAGAGGACTGTGGGAAACTTAACCTCCATAAATGCTCTCACTACTCGTTCCAACATTTCATCGTCCCAGTCCTGTAACGGAGGCAAATCGGGTATTAAATCCAATGCTCGGCCAATCATTTGTTTATTAGCAACATAACCACCCAATTGCTGTCTTAGCGTCTCCAAAGTCGACGACTTTGTACCCACGTGTCTTCGCACCACTGAGCCCCATCGCTCTTTTAAATTACCCAAAATCCATTGGAATATTTCATCTTGTAACCACTCGATATCATTCAATGGATCATAGCCTCGCGTGTTTTTACCCTCAGCATCGGTAGTTCCACTAGTATCAATGATATGGATCAAGCAATCAGCTTCAGTTAAATCACTCAAGAATTTGTTACCCAAACCTCTACCAAGATGGGCATTGGGTACTAATCCAGCAACATCTAAAAGCATAATGGGCACACCACGTTTCCCATCACGGCAGTATCCGTAGTTTGGTCTACATTTCAGCTGCTTGTTGAACCTCTGACAAGCACAGTCTATTTCCAAGTATCCAGTGGCTTTATTTGGATCGATGGTGGTGAAGGGGAATGCACCAACTTTGGCATTAGCATCAGTTAATGAGTTTAGCGTGGTCGATTTACCACTTGATGGTTTTCCAACTAGTCCAATTACAATCTCTCTACCCATATTGTCACTGTTGTTGGTATTTGACTGACTTTGGTTTATCCTTAGAAGAAGTAGCTAGTTGGGAGAGACTTCATTTTGTGAGGCTGATTTTGATCTTTTGTTTTTTTTTTTTTTCAACTTCAGCGGGCGAAGACTCTGACGTAGTTGGTAGCGTATGAGGGAGAAGAAAGTCCGAAATCGCTTGTTAGATAGCCAGTTTCCTTCGTCTACAATTTAGTCTATTATAAATTTGATCCATGGTGATCAATGGTTGGGCTGGAAATTTTTGGGTTTGGATAACTAAAATACTTTCTTCAATCTCGTGTAGCAAATTTTTGTTCCATTTTAGTGCAAATTTGAAAATATATACTACCTAATATCAGCTCTGTGTAAGCTGCTATACTATTTTCACTTGATATAATATTATCTCAATATAGACTGTGTTCACACGTTTTGCATATCAACCTTGTCATCCATGCTTGAAACTGCTAAAGAGATATTGGAAATAGCTGTCGTATACACAATATCCTGTATATAAAACAATCGCTTTTTCCATTCAAAGGCTGTGACAAAAAGGGAAGAAGAAAAAAGTCAAAAAAAAGACAACAACGCATATTTGGTTTGAGAGTAACGTCACCTGTTAAACACACCCAACCCACAATCAATTGATAAACACTATTACCAAGATGGCGCTTTGGGAATCACTAGTGAGCAATGTCTTTGGCGGACTTTCAAATGATTTCAAGAAAAAGAATTTTTCCCTATACGGACAATGGATCAGTATTTTCACCATCTTTTTGTGCATAGCATTGGGGATAGCCAATATATTCCATTTCAACTTGGTCATCATCTTTTCAGTCATATGTCTAGTTCAAGGGTTGATTGTTATATTTGTTGAAATACCATTCCTTTTAAGAATATGTCCATTAACCGACACGTTTACCAACTTTGTTAGAAAATTTGATGGAAATTTACCAAGATGTGGGTTCTACCTGTTGAATGCAGCAATCCAGTACCTAAGTTTAACATTGCAAGCTACGAGTTTAATTGTTGTTGCCGTATTTTTCACATTATCGGCTGCTTGTTATGCTTTAGCTGCTGCTAAGAATCAAGAGTACTTGAAGTCATCGATTGATGTGTCAGGAACTGGACAAGGCGGTGCTTTAGAGGCTCAAGTTGGAGAACACGTTGTTAGAAATGTTTTGTAGGGGAGTGGAAAAAGAATAAATGAATCACAAAGGAGGAATTTAATGGTGTTGTTGTTTTACCAATATGTAGTTGTCCTTATTATACAAGTGAATTTGACTCAAGTTTTTTACACGACTAGCACTAGCTTTCTCTCAGCTGTGTAGTATTGCAGCTCTCCATTACATGAGCTGGCTGCCTGTAATGATATCAACGCTCAGAAAAAAAGAAACTTTCTAACAGTAAAGGGAAAAAGAAAGACAAAATAAAATAAAATAAAGTAAAACAAAAAAATTTTTGACTATCAATTTTGAGCAGCAAAAAGTTAATCACGCCCAATACATATACAAATAGATCATGTCAGGGATTCTACCCTTTGTTGAAGATACAGTAGGAGAAAAGTTGAAGCGGCATAGACAAGAGCCAGTTCTGATAGAGTCAATAATACGGGGTGATGAAAGTACACCTCCGGTTAACACTGGATACAAGAAGGATGAGTCTTACACATCATTTGCAATCGAAGAAGTGAATAATGATCCCGACGAGCTAATAAATTTACGGGGAGAAGGGAGGTACTTTGGGGTAACAGATCCGGACAATGAAAATCAACAATCACTAGGCCCAATATGCGATAATTGCCATGAACGTGGTCATAAACGTGCACAGTGTAAGGTTGTCATTTGCCACAAATGTGGGAAAGTAGGCGATCATTACGAGTCACAATGCCCTACAACTCTAGTTTGTTTAAGATGCGGTGAAAAGGGTCATTACATCCTGCAATGTAAAAGCAAAGTACGGAAGAAGCAATATTGCCGCAATTGTGATTCGTTTCAACACGGAGATGAAGATTGTCCCAGTATATGGAGATCGTATTTAACAAAAAGAGCCGCAAATGTAGCGGACGAAGATGCAGAAAGTCTAGTTTTGCCTAATATTTATTGTTACAACTGTGGATCTGACGAACATTATGGAGATGATTGTAACAAACAAAGGTCATCGCGTATTCCCAACCTTGGTAGTGCATTCAGTGGTAATAATTTGCCCAGAAATTTACGACCTATTTACTTCCTCAGATTGAAAAACAGCGACTCTGGATCATCTCGTGGTTCCGAGTACGATCCTAGTCTAACACCAAGAGATTACAATTCACAGTATGATCCAAGAGAAACAAGTAAACGGACCGGCAATTTCAATTTTAATGGAAATGCTCCATCTTACAGCCAGCAGCAACCATCGAGGTCTGGGTTTATACCGATGAATAATGGAGGATCTAGATTCCCTTCTGGCCCATCTGCAAAGAGCTACCAAAGTGGATACTATAACAATTCTGACAGCCAAGGTCGCAATAATGGATACGGTAACAATAACTATGGACGAAATGGTCATGGAAGTAATGACTTTGGCAGAAGCAGCTATGGAAATAACTCTACCAGTGGAAGCCGTCAACCATCAAGAAGTGGATTCGTGGGAAGTAGGAATGTCTCCAAGGGAGATAGGATATCAAAACCTTCAAGAAGCGGGCTCATTGATAATAGTAAAAGCAAGTATAAAAAGAAACATATACGTTACTAGGATAAGTTGACTTTAGGAGCATATAGAATAAAGTTACTCAAATAAAATAGAAAGTAACATGCTTGTATTAATTGTGCTACCCGTAAAACAAGGCTCCGCTCTACCACATTCGGCCCGGAGCCGAGATTTCCTAATAAGTATTGAGGTCGTGTACTACAGAGCAAGCCAAATCATTCTTTTTTGTTTTTCTCTCTTTTTTTTTATCTATTTGATCTACATAGTTAAGAGTATATTAAATTCTACTAAAGAACAATAAATTATTTTTTTTCTTCTCTTTCTTTAAATCAAACAAAAGCCAAGAAGTAATCCACAGCTAGGAAACCTTTTATTTATCGAAAAAAAATATTGTTACCTAGATACACCCTACAACGAAACAGCCAAAAGTCCAACAAAAGTATCAACAAGTTTTTTATTTCTTTTTTTGCTTCTTTGATTTTTGGAAGTGATTAAACGATAGAGGAAAACTGAGATCGGTGACAAATAATTACTCATAGAAATTGAAGCCACATATATGTATGCAATGAATTCTTCACTGTCATATTCACATTATTTCCATTTTCCAACAGGGAAGTCGAAGGAGTATGCAAACCTACGAAACAACACCACAAACAAATATGGAAACATCACTACAATTTTGCTTTTAGTTTTCATCGTTTCGATACCAGTGTATAACTACATGGTGGTGAAGTATTACAGATCAAAGTACCATTACCTTCGATCATTTAATTCCAGCTTGAACCATTTTATACTCCACGAGCATCATCCCAATTGTACATCGGCTACATGGAAGGATAAGTTCTTGACAACTGTGGCAACTATAACTAAAGCCATTGCATTCAAATTGCTTTTGCATTACTCAACAATTGTCCAGTTGACATTTTGGATCTGCTTTTTAACATCCTTATCCCTAATAGATATTTATCATGGAGACCTTATATTCTTGGCCAAGAGACTAGGGAGAGTATCGGCTAATTGTCTTCCCACCATTTTGTTCTTGACATTGCGTCCTTCGCCTTTGCCAAATACACTATACTTGACGCTTATTCCAATTCACAAGTGGCTAAGTCGACTAATAATTCTGCAAGCGGTGATACATACCCTAATTTATCTTGTCTACTTCAACAAAAATGGTACTTGGGCAAAAGCAATCAAATTGGAAAACATATATGGGTGGGTGGCGTTAGCAGCGTTCTTGATAATCATTGTAACCTCCTTGTCAAGGTTCAGAGTTAAGTGGTACAAGATGTTTTATTTTATGCATTACACATGCACTTGGATTATCGTCTTTTGCCTCCAAATTCACGTTAGACCACAACCTTTCACACTTTATACTGTTGCAAATTGTTTGATTTTACTTGGTCAAATATGCTACAGGGTCTACTTAACAAGAATATCACAAAAGGATGAAGTTAGGGTCATTGATGTGTCGCCTAATTTGGCTCTCATTGAATTCCCCAATAGTATGATTGCCAAACCAGCCACAGCGCCAGGAGCACACATCCGGTTGACAAACTATAGCTCTAGCTTTATAGTGAGAGCATTTAAGCAAATGATACCCAACTACCACCCATACACTTTGGTTTCACTACCACAAGACCGTGTTCAGAAATTGCTAATTCGGAAAAGTAATTTCCAGCTCTACAACGGTCATAGGTATCTAATCACCGGGTCATATGATCCACATTTGCTATTTATAAATTACAAACAGAGTCCAACTAATAAAAAGTTTTCGTTGGCAAAGCTACACGTGGACGCTAAAAGAATTTTGATTGTTGTTGGTGGATCAGCAATATCTTTTGCTCTTCCTATTCTTCGAGTTATGAATTACCATGGTATTCCAACTAAGGTGGTGTGGGTCATTAAGGACTTTCGTGATGTCCTAGCCCTTAAATACTTTGATGGTATTATCCATGGTGATGACTTGGAAATATTTATTACCGGCAATGAAACACTTCAAGAGCACCAGCAACAATTAAAGAACGCATACAGTTATGCATCGAATTTGAGTAAGAGATCTGCAGCGCCTTCGGCCCATTACGATTTGGAGAATGAGGAAACTCCATTATTAAATGGCCCTGAAAATGGGCAGATGGTGACGTTGAACCGGGAGAACCAGGACGAAGATGTTGACATTGTCGTCAACTCTGACGATGATGAGGACAATGAATCGGACTGTACCCAACATGACGCAACTTCACTTTGCCGACAATCTACTCCTGAACAATTTGCCGATCTTGATGAGGTTCTTGATGATGATGAAGCCAATTCTTTGCAACAAGATGACGATTTGGATGAGTTTGAAGTGACAAACAACACTATAAACACGCGGCGCCTGTCATTCAGATCGTCAATGAACGAACCATTTGTGCCATTTTCGGGCTACAATTCGACTGATCAAGCCAGGTCGTGGGTATCCGAGTTCAAAGAAACTACACGTAGATTGAACATCGATAAAAAGATTTATAAAGGGCGCCCGAAATTGAGTCACAGATACTACAACTGGTGTATTAACGAAGGTTTCACTCAATGTTCAGGCCCAGTGGAAGATGAAAATCATAATCTTGTTTGTTGTCGAGATTTGCCACGTAACAAAGTGGTCCAAGAGGACATTAATGCAGAAAAGATTTGGGTTATCGGTGCTGGTCCTAGACAATTGGTTGAGAATGTGAAACTATGGTCAAGCGAAAATGGGTTAAAGTTTCACGAGGAGGCGTTTTATTCATAAGAGATGTGTAGTAGAATGTAATTTCAACCAATGTGTATATTACTATGCAGAACATCATCAATGCATAGAACTAGATACAGATCTAACCTACTTTGCCAATTCATCTTCGTAAAGTTTACTTCTCTTTATTTCATCTTCGAGGGCAGCCTGCCTACCGATATTCATCTTGGCTCTATCGGTGGCAAAAGTAACTCCCACAACGTTCCAGCATACAAACCACCAGACTTTGTAGACATTGCGAAAGTACGGTTTGTTTTTGCCGTGATTATACTTGTACGATAATGCGTATCCAGTGACCAAGGCGACTAACGTTCCCCTGAGTGCACCTGTTGCCGCGGCCTGCCATAGTTGATTTGAGAACCGGCTGTGACGTTGTTGCTTTGTCTCATGGACAAGTGTTTCTTCATTTGTTGTTTCTGGCATTCGTTTTTAGAAAAAGATAAAAGATTGGCAAAAAAAGGTGGAAATTCTGGGGGGGCGAGTAAAGTTGCGCTAAAACTGACTATTTCCGAAATAACTGCCGAGCAGAAACTTTAACTGTTTAGAATTGTTTGGTTTGCCGAATTGTACTAAGCATCCTTATACTCTAATTCTCTTGTAAGTGCCCTCATTAAGTGAAAGTATTGCAGGACCACAGAAGAGTTAGTGAAACTTTTTATCGACAAGCATATTCACTTCGTGATTGGTTTAATAATTTGTTTTATGGATTTTGCCGGGGTTTTCTCTAACATGGCCGTTCTTGTTAGATAATAGTGACTTGAAACTAGTGAATCGATTTAGGACGCTTAATTTTCTCATTGTTTCACTGAAAGATGCTGCATGTGTGTTTAAAAAGCGGTGGAGGGAGGTCGGTTGATCAAGGAGCAAGACTCCATTCAAAGTGAGTAAAAAAAAAACCAAAATTACTACCTTTAAAGGGCACCCTTTCATAGAGCACCACATGTTTCGTACCACTAATAATACAGGCAGGGTTCTCCCACGACCAAGTGATCTACTACGCCTCTCCCGCTCGGTAAAGACTTCCACGATCGATTGGAAACCGATAAAGTCGGTTCCAGGAAACTTGAGAACCATCACTCATCAGAAAAAGACACCCATCATTAGAACGGTATTACTAGGACTTATGTACGCCATGCCCGTTGTGTCGTTTGGATTGGGATGCTGGCAAGTACACAGACTCAACTGGAAGCAGGACTTGATTGCACGGTGTGAAAACAATTTAGCTGCTCCAGTCATTGAACAGCTACCGCCCACTCTTGACCCCAACGTCATACAAGAATTTGAATATAGACGGTTCAAATGTAAGGGCAAGTTTGACTACGACCAAGAAATGTTTTTAGGTCCAAGAATAAAGGACGGCGTGTTGGGTTACCTTGTTGTTACTCCGTTCATAAGATCTGAAGGAGGTAAACCAATTTTGGTTGAACGTGGATGGATCCATAAGGATAAAGTAATACCATCTACTAGATCATCTGGATACTTATCACACTTGGCAATGCCACAGGGAGAGATTGAAATTGAGGCCTTGTTTAGGTGTATGCCTAAAAAATCAAAGCTACAATTTGATCACGAACCAGGAGCAAAATTGTTCAACGTAATTGATGTCCCTGCAATGGCTAAACAAAGTGGTTCGTTACCTATTTATTGCCAGATGATTTACGATTTGAGTGACCATTTGGATTACAAAGCGCAAGAGACTTTAGAGGCACAAGGTGCTGATCCTTCCATTTTTGGCAGGTTATTCTTTACCAAGTCTAAAGAAGGAACCAAAGAAAAGTCATACTACATACAAGACGAGTCTGATGACTCAATGTTTTATCAAGAGTTTGAGTTTATAAAACAGGGGGTTCCAATTGCTGCAAAGCCGACGATTAAATTCTCCAATAATCACTTGCAGTACTTGATTACCTGGTTCGGTGTTTCCGCTGCGAGTGCTGGGTTATTAATTTACTCTACCTGGAAGACCAAACAGTTCCTGAGCGCAGAGAGAATCATTGATGCGAAGAGAAAAGACATGAAGAAATTGTTATAGTTACGGGGTACTTCAACTTTACTTGTACATATATATATATTATTAATCCCTAAAACTTAATAAGCCAAATAACACCACAACTAACGAGAGATCTCCAAGGAATATACCTAGTAATTCCTTGTACTCAAGAACTCTCAGAAGAATAGGAGCTAATTGTTGTACTTGTGGGGCAAACATTGACACCACTTGCACTCCCTTCATTACAAGATTGTTTTGTCTGGCAGCGTGGAATAAACCGTGCTTAGTAAGAACAAAATAGTAGCTTGCGATTATCACAATCTCCAAGGTGAAGAATCCTTGAGCAAATCCACTCAAGGGATAAATTTCCGATAAATCCCTTACGTACGAATGATTAGATGCTGTAAATGAAGGTATACTGTAGTAATGGTAGAAAAAATATGCCAATATTGTCAATACTCTCACAGCAGTGAATCGAAACTTCCATACTTGTTTCTGATACAAGTGATACTGGTTCAATTGCTGTTCATATTGTGACTGAGCCGAATCCGGAGGTTGAATGCTTTCATCACTTGCTGCATTTGCATCACCAAACATCTTGAAAATATCCGCCATAGGGTTGTTTTCACCTTGAGACGACTGTTGTTGCTGTTGAAAAATTGATTTGAACATTTCGTTGATTTCAGCTTGAGGGTCCTTTTCTCCTAAAGGTGAATCAGTTGCAGTTATTGTGGATATGTCTTGAATATCTGGGTCATCATCGTGTGATAAAGGTGTTGGTAAAGTAGTGGTACTGCTAGGCTCGGGCTTATCCAAGACTGATGTCACCGTTGAACTGTTAACTGATGCACCCTGAGTTAGAATGGTATTCAACCTGTCGCTGGCTTTCCCTTTGGCCATCTTGGCTTGCCTTCTCTCTCTGAGGATCCTACGCTTCTCTTCCTCACTCAATGGAGCGGCATTGCTTGAGCTTGACATGATGTAGTTTCGTTACTGAACAGAACTGTTACATTAACAAACGAAAAGAAAAAAAAGGAACAACGAAAAGGAATGGAAAGGAAAGGAAAGAAAATACGCCGCAGACTTCCAACTAAAATGCCAGAACAAGAGCACATCGAACAACAACAAGATTCAGAAACTGATAGGACCAATTCCATTCCTCAAAATGATCACGAAAGGATTAGACGTACAAAGATTATGAACTCGTTGGACAATTTAGATTACTTGATGTTGATTGCAGCACAACAAAAGAAATCCATAGCGCAAGTGACCTATGAACTCAAACTTAAACTAATACATGGAGATTAAAACTAAATACAAATTGTTACCTAAATGGCGGCCTTTGACTCAAGCTTTGGGGCCGCTTTTTTGTCTGTGCCCCACTTCTTTGCCCTGCCGGAGTTACATCCATCCCATCGTTAAAGAGTCCACGCATGTACCTGGGTGGTTGGTTCAAATTTGGAGCACGATTGCTCGAGGTAGGTTGCACTACATGAGTCCTTAGCAGTCCCGATACAGGCTGGGGTATTTTGGACGTTTGCGTGAAGGCGACATTCGGTTTCTTTAAAAAATTAGTCACAGGCTTGATATTTTCATTGTTAGTCCGAAATCGTTTAGATGATGACGATGACGATGACGATAACGATGGGAGTTGAGCACTCATTGGACGGGAATGCCTTATCGGCCTCGTTTCTTTAGCTACTTTTTCCTTCAATTCGACATTCAATCTTTCGGCTTCTTCTATTTTCCTCTTCAATTCGGCAATATGTTCCTTCTTCTTCTTTCTCATTTGTAATCGCTGCCAGGCCCTCCGCGAGGGGCACTTGGGAAGGTCAACACACCACATGGTAATGGATAGCCCATATAAGAAGCTTGCGAAAGATTCATTGAATTGGCTTGACACTGCATCATGTATATGGTTTAGATCTCTAATATTTACATCCAAATCTTCTAATCCATCGGCAATATCCTTGAACTTGTTTTCGATTTCAGGGCAGTCCATGGGGAGGTTATCCGGATCAATTGGGAAATGGTGCGGTGACTGTGCTGGTAGCGGTATCCCAGACGATCTCCTCAGATGACGTCTATTAGTCTGCCTTCTTTCCCCAATAGGTGTGGTGGGTCGCGAGGGAGCCATTGTTATTAAATACGTAGGGCAATTGTCTTAACTAGTGTAAGTAAGGAGAGGTGAGAATTTATTTGTTTACATTTCTTCGCGTATTCAAATTTTCATCAATTTCATGGTAGCTCCAGCCACACCCTACACTAAGCATTCTCATTAACAATTTGTTGCCAGGTCTTACCTTCCTTTTTCAACTCATCAGCTAATTCATCTCTGATCTTGGCAACTAATCCTGGGCCCTTGTAAGCAAAAGCGGTGTACAATTCGACAAAAGTTGCTCCGGCTTTTGCAAATTCTAACGCATCCTTACCACTTGAGATTCCACCGCAACCAACCAACACCAACCCAGAACCTTTGGTGTGCTTGTTCAACAACTTCAATGCCTGCAACGATAATGGTTTCAATGGCTTTCCTGAAAGTCCACCAGTTTGGTTTATTAATGTCTCATCCGTAGTCAATAATCTATCCTTAGGTCTCTGAATTGTTGTATTGGAGATAATAATTCCATCAACTTTCGCTTCCTTTGCCGAACTTGCTATGGACGCAATCTCTGGCTCAGTCAAATCAGGGGCAACTTTTACCAAAATTGGTGGTTTAGCGCCAAGTAAATTTGTCCGCAATATATCGCGTTCCTTGACAACCGTTGTTAAAAGGTTGGTAAGTTTAGACTCATTCTGCAAATCACGCAATCCTGGAGTGTTTGGCGACGATACGTTTACAACAAGAACATCCGCATATGGCCCAAGTCTCGAGACCCCCTTCACATAGTCTTCAATTTCATCTCCTGTTTTGTTTTTACCCAAATTTATTCCCAATAACTTCCCGTTTTGAAAGGCATTTGAAAATGGAAGCTGATCTGGAGTGTGGTCCCTTTCAAACCTTTCCAACAATTTAGTAAAACGCACTCTTAATCTGGCCAAAACGTTAAAGTGTCCAGAAGAATTGAAACCATAACGATTAATCACAGCATCGTCCCTGGGCAACCTAAAGAACCTGGGTTGTGGATTACCTGGCTGTGGCTCGGGAGTAATCGAGCCGATCTCGACATAGGAAAACCCAAAGTTAAATAACGAATCAATGGCTTCACCATCTTTATCTAACCCAGCAGCCAATCCTATAGGGTTCTTCAAATTATGTCCAAACACATTAACACCTAGCACGTCGCTCTGGTCGTTTCTTCCTTCGTCCAAAAGTCTGGGAACAAGCCCGTACTTCATTAAAAGAATGCCTAATTTATGACCCTGTTCTGCATCTGTAAATGTTCTTATAAGGGGACATATCACATATTCATGAATTGATGAGCGTGAATCAAAAAGGTAATAACCTCCAACACCGGCCAATGCTCCACCAGCGAGGAGTGCAATTGGTCCTGGTAAGAAACTCGATTTTAAAACTTGTTTGCCATTTACTCTGGCATTGGTTCTCCTTAGGAACTCTTTTAGGAAAAGTCCTTTTCTAAACATTGTAGATTGAATCAATTGAGCTTGAAAAAACGCTAGGGTACGGAAAGCGGAAATCCAATGGTGCAGAGAGAAAGTATGGTGTGTTTGTAAAAGAAAAAAAGATTGGCATTACTGACTCGCACCGCACAGTAATTAAAAAAATTTGAAATGGTAGCACAAAATATTTCTCTTTTTCATGAGATGATCTTCACAGGGTAAAAGACTACTTACTATACTTGCACCCACTATGAGCGACTCATCAGGTACTAAGGTGCCCCAGAAGGGCCAAGCAAAGAGTCAAAAAGCCCAAAGAAAACACAAATATTCCAAAGATAAAAAACTCAACTCCAAATTACAGAGGATAGAAAACCAGCACAAGGATGCCTTAAAATCTGCTGCAGGTACTGATTACCTTTTGCAAGAGGAGACAGGGTTCTTGGAAGCCGAGGATCCTATGGAAAAGACTTTCAAATTCAAACAGGATGAGATAACAAAAGCAGTCGATGCTAATACCGCAAACAAAAGGTTTGAACTCAAGCTCCCTGAATTTGGGCCATATCAAATCGATTTTTCAAGAAATGGTCGTGATCTTCTTCTTGGCGGAAAGAAAGGTCACGTTGCTTCTATTGACTGGAAGACTGGTGGGTTAGGATGTGAGTTACATCTTAATGAGACTGTTAACGCTGTAAAATATTTACACAATGATCAATACTTTGCAGTGGCGCAAAAGAAATACACCTTTATTTATGATAAGGAAGGAACAGAACTTCATCGACTTAAGCAGCACGTAGAAGCTACCTTATTGGACTTTTTACCATATCATTTTCTATTAGTGACGGCTGGACATACAGGATTCTTAAAATATCATGATGTTTCCACAGGTGAATTGGTTAGTGAAATCAGAACCAAGCTCGGTCCTACTCTAGCTATGAAACAGAACCAATACAATGCTGTAATACATCTAGGACATGGCAATGGGCAAGTTACATTATGGTCTCCAAATGCACCGGAACCGTTAGTCAAGATACAGTCTGCTCGTGGACCAATTCGAGATTTGGCCATTGACAGAGAGGGAAAATATATGGCCGTCAGTGGTGCTGACAAGACGCTAAAAATTTGGGATATACGAACCTTCAAAGAGGTGGATCAATATTACTCACAAACGCCAGCAACATCATTGGATATTTCTGACACTGGGTTACTCTCGGTCGGGTGGGGTCCACATGTCACTATATGGAAAGATGTTTTCAAAAAGTCACATCAGGCTGATCCTTATATGAACCACTTGATTCCTGGATCGAAAGTAGATAAGGTTAAGTTTGCTCCATTCGAAGATATTCTAGGAATTGGACACCAGCAAGGTTATGAATCAATAATAGTTCCAGGTGCAGGTGAAGCTAATTACGATGCTTTGGAATTGAATCCATTTGAGACCACCAAACAAAGGCAAGAACAAGAAGTCAGATCCTTGCTCAATAAACTTCCTTCCGATTCTATTGCCTTGGATCCAAACACCATCGGAACTATTGACAAGAGAGCTAAATCAATAAGGTTAAAACCTGGTGAAATTAACGTATTGGGCGAATCGACTACTGACGATTCAAACAAGATGTCTATAAAACCCGAAGTCAAGGGTAAAAACTCTGCCTTGAGGAAGCATTTGAGGAGACAGAGAGAGAATGTCATTGATCAAAGAAAGATGAGAATTGAAAAGAATTTAAGAAATGAAAAAGAAGCAAGGTTGAGACGTCAGCAATTGTTGCAGGGAGATGAAGAAGAGACAGATTCATTAGATTCGGCATTAGCTAGATTCAAGTAGAAGGATGGAGTGACGATTGTTGCCCCTTTTCGCAACTAATTCGACTAATTACTTGACTGAAGACTTGACACTCCCATTTGATTGCTTTCAATTCCTCTTCTGTAATAACGTAGCAACTGTCACCTGAATTAGGTTCAGGTAACACATCGTTTGGATTCTGACCTTGATCTAATGAAGTTGGCGTTAATGATTCAAAACGTTGTCTCTGTGCTCTGTAGTCCAGTTCTTGCTGTAAAACATCATATCGTTTAAGCAAAAGACGATCTTCCTCCGACAAGAACTCGATGAAAGCTTGTCCGCGTGACGCTAGCTTAGAAGTGAAAGTGCCAAGCATGATGAGATTTTGACACATTGCTTTTAATTGCTCACTCTCTTTCAATATGATTAGTTTGTAAAAGTCCAAGGGTGGAGTGTGAATCGAGCCTGCGTGTTTTTTGAGATGCGTGGTTAACAGGGAGGATAACACATCTATCTGAGACCACATACGTGTAGGAATTGTAATTAATGTGCCGTTGCTTTCCGCTTCACACGTGACTGAGAATAGCCCGGGATCCATTGTATCAAGGTTTATATCATCCTTGTTTAAAAGAATCTTGAAGAGTTTGAACAATACAACTGCATCAGCTAAAGATGTTGGATGTGCGTCTGCAGTCAATGGTGAGTCCAGAAACTCGGAAAGCCAATGGATCACAGCAATGGCCAATTCATTAATCAACGATTCATTCGTCTTCATTATTTGCTTCTTGTGCAACCTTATTCAAAAGAGTGGTTTAAATTTAATGATACTTTTGCACCAAAATATCAAAAATTCGGTTGCAAAAGCAAATACACCAAGCGAAGAAAGTTAACACTGCACTTTAATGAAAGCTTGGATTCATATATCTTCACGATGCATGCAATGTAGATTTAGTCTTTCCCTCGACTACAGTTCACTGACTGGGAGCACAGTCTCTAGAAGAAGCCATCTAGCTTATGAAACCAAGAGTAAAATAAAAATTCATCCACATGATTCAATGTCCTAAGAAGGCATGCTGTAATTACAGTCCCATAAAAAGATATCATATTGCCCCTATAAGTCTTGTTTCACCATTGTGTGGACCTAAACTTTACAATCGTCTTTCCACAACTGTTGCAGAAGCAAAAAAACAAACAGTCCAAGTTTGAAAAAAAAAAAATCACACACCGCAATCGAATCCCGCAAAGCCACGCCAACCACTATAGATGTCTGGGGTGAAAAGCATTCTCAAACTTGCAAAGGTATCATTAGAGCAAAATGATCCCGAGGCAGCATTGGCACATTCGAAGGAAGTGATAAAGCAAGACCCCAAGTCTTATTACGCCTTCGTTTTCCAAGGTAAAGCCTACCAGCTTCTAAACGACTTACCAAAGGCAATCACCTCGTTCAAAAAAGCAATAGATATTGAACCGGAGAATTTACTAGCCTGGAAAGGTTATTTCCAAATAGCAAAGGGGTCAAATGATTACGAGCAGTTCTTCTCAGTGTTGACTGCATTGGCCAGGATTTACATTGAACAAGGTGTGCCGATCTCTGAGTTGTTGAGAGACATGAGAACTTACTTGGACACAAATGAGATAAAGAATAATGAAACATTGAACGAATTCTATCTAAGATCAATTTTACCAGGTACTGAATTAGGCGAGTTGATTGGTCCATCAATTGAATCACCATCAAATACGTATAAAAAATTGATTGATTTGAAACAAACTCAAACGGGGAAAGATATGGTTGCCCGAGTTTCCAAAGAAAGGATAAAGCTTGGAAGAGTTTTGAATTTGGAGCAAAAGGCAAAATTGGATTCAATTGCATGGTCATATTATTCTGACAATGATTTAATAAATCTATACGACAAATTTCTAAATATTTGTGATGACGAGGAATTGAGAAGGACGTACCATGAAAAACTATTGAAGTTCAAATATGAGTTATTGAAGATTTGTCCTGATAAAGAGCCTTTGATAAAGGATATAAAGCAGTCATTAGAGGATATGATTTTCTTGAAAACAACTAGCTTATTTTGCTGGAATTTGTACTTTGATTGGAATGATAACAAGTCCATCAATGACTTGGAAGAAGAAAGAGTTATAGAATACTTGCAGCTATTCCAAAATGAAGGGTTGGGACTTGTTTTGTTTGGATTTGTTATGAGTGATATTTCTCCTTACAACAAAGAGAAAGTAATCAAAGCATTATCGGGTAAGGAAATTACACCACCAAGAAAAAGCAAGGAAGAAGGTAGTCTCGGATTGGACGAGTTAGCAGATGACGGCGATAATGATGATGAGGATAGCTCACACCTATACCTACCACAAGAGGAAGTTTTGGGTGTCTTGTTAGACGGATTCAGCAAGGCTAAAGGGTCCATTCTTGCAAACAGGATTATAGTAAACTACTACATCCACTTGAGACAATACCACGTTGCGTCTGAAAGATGCCGAGAGGGGATTAAAATTTTGGCTGATCTTCAACGTAACTTTGGGGTAGATTTGAAAAACACCAAAGAGGATTTATTGTGCTCGCTAGCTATTGTCTACACGTACTATGAAGCCCCCAAAAATTATACTCGCGCTATTCAATTGTATGAGAAGATCTTGATGACCAACCCGGACAACGTGAAGGCAAAAGTTGGGAAAGGGTTGATTTATGTTGAAAGAGGAGAATTAAACGAAGCAAAAGCTCTTTTGGAAGAAATTGTCAAGGATTATCCCAATAATTTGGAGGCAGAGTCTGAATACTACTGGTGTTTGGTAAAGATGGACCAGCATGAAGAAGGTAGAGAGGGTTTGCTCAAATTTTTGGCCAAAATCACAGGAGGTGATTTGCATAGTCGAGACGTAAGGGCAATTGCTTATTGGAGATTGGCAAAAAGCTATATGGATAGTAGCAAATACGATGAGTGCTATAAATACTTGATTGAATCTTTAAAGAATTCCGACTTATATGCACCATCTTATACGTTGTTGGGTGTGCTTCTACAGAATTACTATGGTGATCTCAAAAGGGGACAAAAGTGTTTCTACAAAGCATTCGACTTGGACCCTAATGAAATAACAGCAGCCAAGTATCTAGTCGAGCAGGCCACGGAAAAGAATGAATGGGAAGTAGCAAATGTGCTTGCTAAAAGGGTCGTTGATAACGAATCTACGCGAAGGTTAATTATGCGTGGAGATACAGCTGATCCATCTTGGCCATATCGAGTTCTTGGCTCCGGTGCTTTGAACAACCAGGATGATGCTAAAGCCGTAGAGTGGTTTCAAAATGCACTTCGAACCAATGCTGAAGATTATAATTGTTGGGTTGGATTAGGCGAAGCCTATTTCAATTGTGGTAGACTAGATGCAGCAGCAAAAGTATTTCAGCATGCATTGGACATGAATCATGATAAAGACTGGACCATACACTACATGCTAGGAGTGGTATTATGTGAAATGAAGGACTTTAATGAAGGTTTGGGCTACTTGTATTCTGCATTGGAAATGCAACCCAACGAAGAGTGCATCATTAGTGCAATATATGAGGCGAATATTGAAAGCAGCAGAAAATTCCTTCAATCGGGATTTTTTGGAAGAGCAGTTAATTCGATTCTCAAAGCATTAAATTTTGTCAAACAAGGGGTGGAGATAAACAAAAATTCACAAAAGGTGTGGAGAGCTTTGGGTGACAGTCTTCGTGTATTTATCAAAATTCGCGAACGCATAAACGATACTCCCTATGATTTACTATTTGAGATTTTCAATAACGTTGATTTTATCAACTTTGAATACCCATTAGACGAGTCAATTTCTGTATCTAATGCCAGAGCCAAATTAGATGAAGGTAAGGATGTGGAATCGCTTGTTTTGTTGATTATACTAGCATCTGCTGCCGCATTGAATAATCTACCATTGAAAGCCAACAAAATACTCAAAGCAACTAGTTTTTACAATCTTGGTTTGTCCTTGTTGGAATCTTTTCAAGAAATAGGAAACGCCGAATATCGCGATTTATCGGTATACTATCTCAAGCGGGCCATCAAGATTGAACAGAATAACGCTATTTACTGGATTGCTTTGGGTAATGCCTATTTCACAACCAACCCACAAATATCTCAACATTGCTACATAAAAGCGACGACCTTGGAAGTCAAGGATGCTGAAATCTGGGTAAATTTAGCAACATTGTATTTAAATTTTGGTGACACACAACTATCACAAGAGACGTTTTTGCGGGCACAATCCGTTGCTCCACAAGATGCACAGTCGTGGCTTGGAAATGCAGTTGCTTCTGAAGTTTTGGGGGACGACGAAAAGGCATCCGACCAATACATTCATGCATTTACTTTGTCTAAAGGTAGATCAGCGTTGGCGCTGTTTTTGTATGGGTTGTCTGTGGTTAATAGAAGCAAAGACCGTGATCCAAAAGACATCGAAACTGCTCAGGAATTTAGTATAAGTAATCAGGCTATGCAGCAATATTTGAAGTATTATCCTGAAGATGAAGCAGCATTGAGTGTTGGACTTTCTATTGCTGAGAGGTGTAAAGACTTTGAAACTGCTGTTCAGCTTGGAACCAAATTGTGTTTGCTTTATGAAAAACTGTATGAGGAGACAGAAAGTGAGATTACTTTGCTGAAGTTTGCAGATACAAAGAGTCAATTAGCAAGATTACATTTAGGATTGGGTAATTATGACAGTGCCATTGAAGAAGCAAAAACCGCACTCGAGCTTGATCCTGATCTGGTACAGATTGCCGTATCAGTGAGAATTACTCTTGGTTTGGCTTATTTCTTCACTAATAAATTTCAAGAAGCAATTGGTGAATTGAAGATTGTCTTGAGTGAGTACCAGGATTCATCGAGAATTGTTGCATTGATTTCCCAGGTTTTATATGCCCATGATACTGAGGAGTCAAGGCAAGCTGCTATTGATCAATTATTTGCACACATCGAAGATCATGGTTCATCCTTATTGATTGTACTTACTCTTGGTGCTATCTCTTTAGTTGAAGATTTGCCAGAGTACCTTGAAGCGGTCAAAGACGATTTATTGGGATTGAATTTGAACGAAATTGTTGCCGATACAAGGAGAGAAGTGCCTAAATTAATTAGTGAAATCAATGACAGATTAGGTAAAGATGAGGATAAGATTTGGTATAGATATGCATACATGTTTCCTTTCAGCTATCATATCTGGAAGCATATTAATTCGGAAATGGCTAAGCAGGTGATTATTTCACGAAATGAAAAGGTTACTGGTAATGAGTATGCTGAAGCAATGATCAAAACGGGCCATTTGAGGGATATCCAGCGCGGCTTAATGATGAATCCTTGTAATGAAGAAGCAATGAAGGCTATTGAATCATGTATATAACTTAGATTATAGAAAGAAAAATACCAATGACGTCAAATCAATTTGCTCTTTTCCATTGTGTCAAGAAAAAAGCGAAAGACGCAATCAGCAAATTATGCGAAACTGAAAGTTTGTAATGATTTAGGAGATTCATTCATCAGAGCTTTTATTGCGTGACGAGTCTTTCAACGTTCAACATTTCACTTCATCAAAGCCTACCCATATTATCACCTTGCTGGCAAGACTATAACCCACTTACTTTCCTCTGCCAAGAAAAATACACCTGCATCTCTTTATAATGGGGTTGTTTTCAAAGAAAAAATCACCTCCGCCATCAACATCATCAAAGTCAGCAGCCACCCCCACAGGTGCCTTGTCTTCTAATAAATCGGATTTGGCTTTATCTTCATCAAATGAATCGATCAAGTCAGACGTATCCAGTGGGAAAATTAAAGGGTTGTTGAAGAAGACTTTGAATGGAGGAGGAGGTGGTGGTGCCAATGCCAGTGCTAATGCCAGTGCCAATGGGAATGGGAATGGGAATGGGAATGGCAATAACAATGTTGATAAATTGTGTGTTGATCTACAACAAGCGAAGCTTGATAAACAGATTGAAAACAATTCATTGCAAGTACCACACGGACAAAAAGGAGACGCACACCTTGCTCCTGATGGTCATATTCCAACGAGGTATAAGAAACGAGTCAGTACAATTATTGAAACTGACAACAACACTAGCGATGATGATTCAGAAGATGAGGAAGACGAAGATAATGGCGAAGGAAACGAATCGTCAGATTCTGACGAGTCTGAATTGGACGAAGACCATTTACATCCGATAAAACCCAAATATGATGCGTCTCATCATGATTTAGCACAACAATTAACCACCATAATGGGGTACTGCGGTTTGCGTAAAGACTCATCTTGCTCAACAGAAGAAGCCAATAAGGAAAGTCAACGAACATATTCACTACTTGATCAAGATAATAAGATAAAAAAGATTGCCAAATCCGTCCATAATGATGAATCGATAATTGGAGAATACCAAATTCAATTAATCAAGAACTTGACTGCTAAAATTGAAAGGCTCGTAAAAGACTGCAATAGTGAAAGATTATTAACTAAGGAAAAATCGTTATATCAAAGATATGGAGTTATACGTAATGTTATTGGAAAAGGAGCTTATGGATTGATCAAAGTAATTGATCCCGATGGGAATAAGGTTTCGTCGTCGTCTTCCCTGAATAACCTACCACCGTTGGGAAGAAAATTATACGTGGTTAAGGAGTTGCTGAGGCGTAAAGATGAGAAGACCAACAACTTTATCGAACGCATAATGTCTGAATTTGTTATATCATCGACGTTAAATAGTAAGTATATGATTGAAACAGTTGACTTAATGGGTACTTTTGCACCAGGATCATCAGCAGGAACATCAACAGCTCTGGTTGCAACTTCGGCCAAGGATTTACGTATAAGTCAAGTTATGAATTGCAGTCAAGGTGGTGATTTATTTTCATATTTGTTAACGGGGGCTAATATCAGGGGGAAACCGGTAACGTACATGTCATTGTATGAAGTTGACTGTATATTGAAGCAAGTTGCACGCGGATTGAAGTATATGCATGCTCATGGAGTTGCCCATTGTGATTTGAAATTGGAGAATATATTGATTTCCTATGAGGTTGATAATAACGATATAAAAGCAGCTGATGCCGAACTTCAATCGAGTAGTCAATGCAAAATGCTGATTAAATTGAGTGATTTTGGTAAATCATTTGTTTTTCGAACTGCATTTGATAAAACAGAACAGAAATTGCAAGGTATGCAGGGGGTCATTGGATCAGAACCATATATATCACCTGAAGAATATTTGTGTTGCAAGACTGGAATGTCTTACTCCTCAGTGAGGAAAGATTGTTGGGCGTTTGGAATCGTTGCATTGGCATTACTCAACATTCGAAGACACTATTACTATTCGCAATCATCAACATATAGTGGAGCTTATCGCCTGGGTCTGAAGTTGATTGCCGGTAATGATTCGGATGGATATAGTACGGGATACTTGTGGAAAAACACCGAGACCAAAGTCAACAACATTAATGCATCGGGAAGCTCGTTGTCTATGGGAGCAATATTGCTGAAGTTGGAATATAAAGATAAGGTATTTAATGAATATGTTCAAAAGAGAATGATTGGTGATTATGACTGCAAAAGTAAAGAATGGTTGATTAAACAACCAGGTAAATTCATCCCAATTGAGAATATTTGCAAACCAATGACCAACAACGATGGATTAAGCGATGATGAAAATTCACATGAGGAGAATGGCAAGGAGAGGGAGAAGGAAAAAGCGGTGGAGACTTTTGACGAGGGTAATGATGATGATGATGAGGATGATTTGAGTGAGTTGAGAATTTTGATTATTTACAAATTGCTAGACATTGATCCTGCCACGCGAATGACAATGGATCAGTTTTTGAAAAGTGATTGGATGGCTGCAACTGAGTCTTGCTGTTAGATTGCTTTTACTTTTCCTCTTCTGTCTTTTTTTTTATTAAATTCATATACATACACGGGAGTTTATAGAAACAAATAAAGGTATATAACTCTATGGAGAATAAAAAAGAAATGCATCATACTTCTAAACCCGATAACTTTGCAATCACAGAGTATAAACAATGCGACATATCAACCATGATTCTAGTATTCCTTTCCTTGTATTTTTCTTTTCTCCTTTTCTTTAAAAGTCTTGAAACATATCTCGATATGGGTCATCTACTCCACTTATACCATAATCTAAATCTTTATCTTCAGGATACTTGTCAAATTGGGATGTGTCACCCACACCTGAAGTGATAGGTGGTTCATAAGGGGTCTCAATATCTCGAGATAATAAACGTTCCCATATAACTTCTTTAAACCAAGGATGGTTTTTCACATCATTTGAACCGCCTTGCAAGTTACCCAATCTTTGCGTTAAATCCTTTACAATCAATTTCTGTAACAAATCCAAAATGTCAGGCGGTAAGTAATCAGGGTAAGTTATAGTTCCATTCAAAATATTTTCATAAGTCTTCATTGGAGTTGGGTCATAAAATGGCGTGTAACCAGTCAACATTTCAAAAATCAATATCCCAAACGACCACCAGTCAACTGATTTATTATAAGGCTTAGTGGCAACAACTTCAGGAGCAATGTAATCAGGAGTACCACATAATGTATAAGTCACATCTTGAACTTCCTTGGCAAACCCGAAATCAGTCAATTTGATATGTCCGTTTTTATCCAACAAGATATTCTCTGGTTTCAAATCCCGATAAATAATGTCTAAATTATGTAGATACTCAATGGCTAAAAAAGTCTCTGCTGCATAAAATTTGGCCACTGGGGTCGGGAACCGTTGTGATTTTCGCAATAATGAAAATAATTCACCACCTTCTATGTAATCCATAATCATAAACAAGTTATGACAGTCTTGGAACGTGCCCCACATTCGAATTATAAATGGATGTTGCGCCAATTTCAACATTCTTCGTTCATCGTTGGTATGTTCAACCTGTTTCATATTTACAACTCGTTCCTTTTTCAACACCTTCATGGCGTAGAACCTTCCATTGTGAATCGATCTTGTTAAATGGACACGTCCAAATGACCCGGTACCCAATGTTCGTAAGATTTGGAAATCATTTAAGCTGTATTTGCCCCTTGTTGTAGTGTCCTTGTGAGCGTGTCGAGATACTTTTTTTGTTAGTGATGTTGATGAATTATTTTGACTATTTAGATTGGGTTTGGAATTAACATTGGTGTTGGTGTTGGTCTTAGGTATACTTTTGGAGTCAGAAGCTGCGCTGGTGGTGTTGTTGTCGGTGGTCTGTCCAGGGGTCTGTCCGGAGGTGCCGTTGTTATTTGCAATATTACTGCCGCTATTGTTGATATTGTTGTTACTGCAGCTGTGCAAGCCTGCTCCATGCGATTGGTTACTGTTATTGCTATTGTTGTTGTTGTTGGTGGTGGTGGTATCTAGTGTTGGGGAGCCAGATGCGTATATACTGTTATTCAGCTGTTGTTGTTGTTGTTGTTGTTGAGTACTAGATACATCGTTCAAACTCATGTTGTGAAGTGATCGTGTAGTTGAATCCTGATGGTGTGTTGATGCCATGGGAACTGTCTCCTGTCAGTTTGGCTTTGATTGATTAATACAATTTTAATTAATTTAATATTATAGTAATTAATTGTTATAAGAGTGTATGGGTGTATTATTTGTAAATAGAATTCGTTGTGATTTTTTTATTTTTTTTTTATTTCTTTTATTTCTTTTATTTTTTTTATTTTTTTAATTTCTTTAATTTCTTTTAATTTCTTTTAATTTTTATGATTTCCAAACAAAAGGTTGTATACTTTCTTTGTAAGCACACCTAAGAAAAGAATAGGTCTGTATATTGTTCACACGACTGAAGCGTTGTATATATATACTTAGAGGTTTATTCTGTAGCAAAGCTCTTTGTATATATTATGGTTTTACTTTGGTGAAAAAAAAAATTTAAAGAACTCACAGTACTCTCAGCTCTTACACTACAATAAGAGAACAAAAGACATAGAAAAAAAAGAAATTTTTAATCTTATGTGAACACAAAATATACCAAGACAATACATCCATACATCAATATGTTAAGACGAAGAACATCAGTAAATACACAACATTCAAGACAAGCGTTTAGGAACCTCCAAATGGAACTGCTTAATACGCTAGCTCCTTCAGTATGATTTGAGAGTACCTTTTGCCAAAACAGTGCGCCGCATAACCGTTTGGTTAGTGGGCGTAAAACCAAAAAGAGGTCACTTTTCCGCGTTAATAAATTTTTATGCTTTAGACTATTTTTTTCTTTTGTAATTGTTTTTATTTCCGTGGTCGTGCATTTACACACAACCAACAGTTAACTACTCACTCACAACCCTAAGAAAATGTACCTGAGCCATTTTATCAACTCTTTGTCTTACATCAAAAAAACCACAAATAGAATACTGTTCATCTTCCTTTTCTTCTTTGTTATTTGTTATTGTTACTGCTACTATAATTGTCTTTTGCCAAAAGGGTAAATCTTTTAAATTGATGAGCTGTTAACTCCACTTTTGGTTTGTGTTTTGGTTTGTTGTATTGCATGTCCAAACAATTACTTTTGAGTAACTGTTCAATGGTTTACGTCATCTAGTGGGTGAGAACTTTTGTGTTGTATTTTTAACTCCCGTGAGCAAATTGTTTAACAATATTTCACCAGCATTCTACAACTAAACTACAACTATGAATACGAAGATGTCATAGCATATACAGATGACAGTAATAGTTCAGAATGAAAGGGATGAAGTGGAAGTGATACCTTGATCACAGATCACAAAGCTAACCCAATTATATTGTGTGCATTGTTTAGCAGCTATGATTCAGTTGGTGATGCCAAATCAAAGTCATTCTTTCAAGCCTGGGAACAAGAGTCAGAAGGGGCTCTGCAGGAAGGGAGGGGATTGAAGCATATTCACCAGCCAAGAAAGCTTAACCGCTTTTACTGCCTATAAATACGTTATGCCTAGAATATTATATCTTTTTTGAAACTAAGACAAACGATCTAACGTCTCAATCGTAAATAAAACCATTTTCGGGGTAGCTAATGATTACACAAAACCAATACTATTAGCCAACCTTGTTGCTATGAAATATTATCAAGTTTTTACTCTCGAGTGCTTTGCGTTTGACCTCGGTTAACTGGTTTCCATTCTACTGCAATCACTAAACACACCTCGACACAAAAAATTTGAAAGCCTAATTCAATAGAGCTATAAAGAAAAGTTTCAAAACTTTGTATAAGGATTTACGCACAAAAAGAGAAAAAAAATGGTGGCGAAGCTTAAAAATAGCAAACTTGTAAGGTATAAACAAAACAATAAAACCTTCACTAGAAATGGACAATGGCTTTCACAGCGGCCCATTTCGATCCCGAAAACACACCCAGCCTCATACCTAACCCTACATCAAAGCTTATATCTCAACAATTGCTATCACCGGACGATGATCACTACATAAACACTCTTGTCCACCAGCACTACCACCACCACCACAATATTGACTCTGTGTAGTATGGTACATTATAGGTACATTCTTACTCGTCCAAACAAAATCAATTATTGACTCGCCATCACCACCATTACTGAAACCTGTACATGTTCTTCGTTCACCTTCAATTTTTTGAGCCTTGACTCCTGATTCTTGTAAATATTTGCTCAACGACTGGTAGCCTTCGGCACTAGGTTCACTGTTTAGATCTCCTGTCAACACCAGTTTTGCCACTGGCGCCTCATTCATCAACTTAACAATCAATAACGAACTTTGCTTTCTAGCTTCTTTCCCACGATGATCGAAATGAGTATTAAACATATTGAGTGTTTTATGGGCAACTTTACGATTCTTTAAGATAGCGTTGGTGACAATTCGGTTCAATGCCGCATCCCAGCTCTTGCTGGGCTTACTAGGAGTTTCACTTAACCAGAAAGTCTTTGTGAACACCGGTTCCCAGTCTTGTTTATTGTATAGTATCGGTGAATATTCTCCTTGGGTATCACCATTATCCCTGCCAACGCCAAAGTATGTCCATTCTGGTCCTAATCCTTGCAAAATATCCTGTAACTGGTTATGCAACACCTCTTGAAGCGCTACTATTGCAGGTAAATTGGGATTAGCCGTCGCTTGTTTAATCAATTGGATAACTCCCAGTCTTCTCTCTGACCATGGTTTCTCTCCATCAACAAGGTTCTTTGTATCGAAACGGATATTATGGGTATATATCAACACCTGTAGTGGGGTGGATGTGTCAGATGAAGATGCATCAGTAGCTTGGGCGATTTGTTGTTTATCCTTATCAGTATAGGTTTTGGTGCCAGTATGTTTAGTCACCTCTTTTCCTACGAAATGACCAACCTTTTTAGCTGCGTTAATATAATTCATGTTATTTAAAGTGAAGTAGGACTGGTGCAGTTCTTCTCATTTGTGTAGTTATCGTGTGAGTTGAATTCATGTTTTAAATAATTTCCCCACGAAATTTCATAGCAAATATAAAAGATAATAAAAAAAAAATAAAATATATCAATCAAGTGAGAAAGACCCCCAAAAGGACCCCCAAAAGGACCCCACAAAATTCCATAGATGGTGCCACTTTGACCTGTTCATGCTTTAAAATCCCCCATATTTTGCTGACCGGTGTTTCAAAAGGCAAGCCAATGATCGAAGATATGATATCTGGAATGTCGTAATCTGGTCAATGCCGCCGCATAATATATTTCAATTTTTGAGGGATATTCAGATTCAGCACTGGAAAATAAATGCACTTAAATAGCTTCACCTTGTCGTAGCCACTTACTCCTTTGAACCCACTGAGATTGACTTGAATCGACCTTTTCTGTGTCATGATTTGCAATAAAAGTCGGCAAAACACGTCGGATCTGCATTTTGTGGAGGTTTTTTTTTCTCTCTACAAAAAGTAAAAGTAGAGAAAAGACACGTCTATTTAGCTCTTCAACCTTCCCAAAAGGGCAAGTACGGGTTATTTTCACAAAAAGAAAAGACAATAGTGGAATAAAACTGAAAATAGAATTAGAATTTTGATAGATTTATCGATAGATAGAGAGATAGATAGGTAAAATAAATTAAATAAATTAAGAAGTGAATTCATTTATATATCCGATTTTCCCTCTATGGTTAGATGATTTTTACATGCAAAAAAAAATTTAATCATACGTGTAGGAAAGAAAATAAAACCCTAAAAAAATAATAACCAGACTGATTTCTCGCGTTTATGCCAAACTTGATACAGTTTTTTATACGCCCAATAGACGTATTCCTCAAGAATATATATTCATCTGTGTCTCAATTCTTCAGAATGATTGCGTCTTCATCACTGTTGAATAGAAGATTATCATCGGAGCAGCTTTTGTACCACAAAATAGACCTCATTAATGTCACATTAGCATCACAAGGGATCGTTGTGGGAGGTCGACTGTCTGCAAAGACAAAGGGACAGCAAAACGGGCAGGTTCTGCATGTTTCTATTGATGTCAATGAGGATGTTGGCAGAGAGGATACTTCTGGTGGCAGATTCTGGAATGTATGCTGCAGCTGTTTTGCAACGGGATCAGGACAAGCATCAACCAAGAAGATTCCTCAATTTATTTCTTACAAGAACATTTTATACGTTGAACCCTTGGGCCCTGAAGTAAATCATGAAGTTAAATTGACATTCGTTACTCCCAACCACGTTGATTATTTGAAAAGTGCATCTAAATTGTCTATTGATACGATTAAAGTGCAAGTGCAGAATTTTGACCCTCAAAAGCATCCTCAGGAAACGGTGACTAGCCATATCAGAAACAAAGCGTACCCCTATAAAGTTTTGCAACAGCCATCAGTATTGATATTAATCAACCCTCATGGTGGACAGGGTAATGCGGTAAAGATCTATAATCGCGATATAAAGCCAATCCTACAAGCTGCCCATTGCAACATCACTTACCAAGAGACCCAGTATTCGGGACATGCAACTAATATCGGTAAAGAAATGAACATTGACGACTATGATGTAGTTTTGTGCTGTTCCGGGGACGGAACTCCCCATGAAGTGATTAACGGGTTCTATCAACGTGAAGATAAGGGTGTTGCTGCATTTAATAAAATGATTATAACACAATTGCCTTGTGGATCAGGAAATGCTTTGACCTTGAGTACGTTGGGAGGATCAGGCGCTGCCCAGATTGCAACCTGGCTCATGCTTAAATCAAAACCAAGCAAAGTTGACTTGATGGCGGTGACCCAAGGAACAAGAGACAACGAAATTACCAAGTTGTCATTCTTAAGTCAGTGTTATGGTATTGTCGCTGATTCCGATATTGGAACCGAACATTTACGATGGTTGGGTGCTATTCGATTTGAAATTGGTATTATGCAAAAGGTCCTTACATTTGCCAAATATCCCTGTGATTTATACGTTGAATCATGGACCAAGGACAAGTCACAAATTGCTCAGCATGTTGAGCAACACATGGCCAGCACCAATACTCAAAGTTCCAATACCGAGCTACGTGTTGTCACAAAGGAAGATTTGCAACTACGCTATCCATCGTTGAATGATCCAGTGCCATCGCATTGGAAACCCGTTCCTCAATCAATCACTGACAAGCTCAATATCTTTTACGTTGGAAACATGCCATATGTCTCAGCCGATGCGCAATTCTTCCCTGCTGCATTGCCTGATGACGGGCACATGGATATGGTGATTACCGACACCAATGCCTCCTTATTGGACGTGGCCTCGATTTTGTTGAATGTGGAAAAAGGTACGCACGTGGATGCAGACAATGTCATACATGCCAAAGTTAAATCGTACCGTTTAGTGCCAAGATTGCAAAGCACTGCTAATCATTACATCTCAGTCGATGGTGAAAGCTTTCCTGTTGAAGCGCTACAAGTTGAGGTTTTGCCTAGCATTATGACGGTGTTGTTGTATGATGGTAGGTTTACTGAAACCGTGTTGACGGAATAAAGATTAGATTGGATTGGATTGGATTGGATATGGAGCTCTGTAGACTAGATTAGATAGTAAACTATTTTTATTGATAGCCCAAGAGCATTGTAGTGTAGATAATAGAATGAGCGTAGGGCTCATGAAAAAACGGTGCAGAACTGCCCCAGCAAATGGATTAAAGCTGTCTGGGTGAGGCTAAAAAGAGGGAGAGAGAAATGATGATTTGATACTATAATCTTGATCCAAATATAGAACACAATATTTACATACATTTTTATATCATTATTCCGCCAATATGAACCAATCCTCCGAGATTACAAGGCTTATCTCCCTGACATTAATCTGGCAGATCTAGGAATCCCCAAAACATATACCGACCCATAGTGGGAACATTAAGATCCACCGCCGACGTTTGCAGATTCGACCTCTGTTCCATAAACATCAATTCTTGTCGCGATCACACCCCAATATCCTTGTGTCCCCTCACAATGAACCACCTTTAGAAGACTAAAGGAGGAGAAAACGAAATTCACATCCTCGTATGATAAATTCACGTTTACCTGCCTACCTTATGGAGCTCAAAACGCGCCATATTGTAATGGATCATATTTACAATAGGATTCCTGCAATAATGACCTGATTTGATCATGCTAATTTCAGTCCTGTTCTTAATTCCTCATTATAATTAGACCTTGGAATCTGGTCTATTTCCTACCTAGTTTTATATAGTCCTATAATTTATTTCTACACAACTATAATGCATTCTGCTATCATTGCTAATTATCATTCGTATTTACTGCTGCTTAGAAAAAGAAAAGTGTTCAAGCGATGTTTAAAAAACAATTTCCTCAATTTGGTTGAATTTATACAAAAGATTTAGTTTGTCGGGATGGGGCTGGGGGAGAGTGCACGACGTGCAACAGAAGTAAGAGGAAGCAATTATAAAACAGCACTAAGTTAATCTGATCAAATATTTTGGGTGTAGTTATTACAACGGCAGAGGTTGACGATTGTTTTGAAAAACAAGCCTACGTGAGTCATACAGCAATTACAACTTGCAAAACTATTCTTAAATTATTTACTAGGCACCTAGTTAGAGCTTCTACTAATTGCCTTCTTTTCGTATCTTTGATGTTGCAACTTGGAGACATTCTTCAACTCGGCCAATCGCTCCTTTAACGCCGGGATATCACGCAACACCTTCTCTAAAGCTACTCTCTCCTTCTCCAACTTCAATCTCTTGTCAGCATCCAATTTGCCGAAAAAGTATCCCCCTTTGCCGTCAAACTTCAACAAGTACTTGTGGAAATGCCACAATGCAGGTCGATGGGCAACGGACAACAAAGTGATGCCCAAGCTTTGAGCATGCTCGTACATAAACTGCTCCATATCGGGGCTCACTGCAGATGTGCATTCGTCCAAGACGGCAAACTTGGGTTCGTGATAGTATAGCCTGGCCATGGCCAACCGTTGTTGAGCACCTGTCGACAATTCCTCCTCCCAGTTTTTGACCTCGTTGAGCTGGTCAACAAAATCGTCCAATTTTAGTACCCGCAATATCGCTTGCAATTCCTCATCTGATTTCTTTTGTTGGTCAGTCGAATGAGGGTAGATCATTTGCTCCTTTAATGAACCCTGTAGCAAGTAGGCCCTTTGTGGAATGTAAAACATGTTTTCGGCAGTGGGGATGGTAATGGTACCTTCCTTCACCGGCCATAAACCACCAAGCATTCTAAAGAGCGACGATTTACCTGATCCGTTGGGTCCTGCGATCAACAAATGATCACCTGATTTGATCGAAAAGCTCAAGCTTGCAATAAGCGTAACATCAGCCGGTGTCAACAACCTAACCTTATCAAACATAATCTCGTCATTGTTGTACTGTACATTTGAAGTGATGTCTTTTCTCCTCAGAGCCACATCAGCCAACGTGTCTTGGAAATCAGACACTCTTGTTGCATGGCCAACTATTTGAAGCAAGTATCTCCTAGCGTAAATTAACCTATCCAATGAGTCAGAAGCACTAAGCAATAATCGCCTATTAGTAATGAACTTCCCAGCGGCGTTATTGTCATCTTCCTCTCCTAAGTACTTGGCAATAAAAATAGGTGCCGAACACAACACCAACCCAGCAGCACCCCAGAAATACTTGACAATAAAAGTTTGTGCAATTTCATGGATACCCTTCTTCCAATACTCTTGTTTCGAAAATCTTTCCAAAGTGTAGTAGCAGTAATCAATATAATCCAATTCACGATAATGGCCTCGCAAGAATGCAATTTCCTCATTATTGGAAACAATTTTGGAGTGAGCCGATCTCAATTTTCCTTCCAAATTAGCACGCTCACTAGCCAATTTAGCAAATGGTGGCGAGAAAAATCGAATAATCATGGTTGAGAAATGGGCCAAGATTCCCAACGCAAGGGTACCTTCACCATTGCCCACCCCACTTTTGCTCAATTGACGGGCACATAAAACCAAATCCAACGTTGGCTTCAATAGCTGGCCTGGTAAACTACTCAACGCAGAAGCTAATCTTGAGACATCGGTGGTGATTCTCTGATTTGGGTCGGTGATTTTGTTGCCACTCAAGTGGATCAATGAGTAGTAATTTGTATCCAAATTGTCGGGTAAATAGTCTTTCAAGATTGAGCTATTCAAGTTTTCTCTGATACCTTTTCTCATATTCAGTCTTGTCCAGGATAACAAAGCATTATTTAAAGACGCTGGAATTCCAATCAACATCCATGCTAAAAGGTATTTGCTAAACACTCTCAATCTTTTGGAGACCAAAGCGCCGACCAACTGACCATCTAAAGTGGCCACTTTTATTGTCAAGAAGGCACGAGTCACTAACAAAACCAAGTGGGCAATTAAATATCCCACGGTCTTGTCATGAAATGTGGGGATAATAGCATGAAACAAGCGGTCAAAAGCTTGACGAGAGAGTTTGGGGTGAGCTGAATTGCTGCTCAGTGATGATCCCTCAACCTGTTGCGACTTCTCCTTCTTCTTGTCTGATGATGATGATGACGATGATGACGACGATGATCCAGTACTGGCAGCACCGGAAAATGCCGCAGTTATTAGAATGATGTAAGATGTGTTTAAAAGAAGTGACCTGTTGGACCTATACACTTTCAAAAGTGAAAGGGCCATGTTGTTATCTTTGAGTCTTGAATTTGTCACCGACATTGTTGGTTGACCCCACAAAAAGAATTAGAACTTTATTGATTTGGATTAGTGGAAGTTGTTAATTATGATAGATGATCTATGTGCAAATAATATAACTTGATAGACTATTGATGGTTGCTGAAATAAAATGTATTGACCTTTCGATGTTGCAGAATTTCAGTTGTATTGGCTTCAACAGTTATCCAAACTTTATCACCCATTTTTCTTGAAACTAAAAGAAAAAGCTTTTCCCTTTCTTGTTTCTCTTTTTTCTTGCTTTCATCACGTGTGAGAGATTAAATGTCGCGAAAGAGTTTGACAAGTGCTTCTCTTGCGACATATAATGAATTTGTCAACAAGAAGATAACCACAATCACCCCAATTGCCGCAAATGCACCGATTTAGAACAATAAGACGGGGTTAAGATCTACAGTAAGCATGTTTAAAACATCGCTGTTATGGCCCTTCCATTTTAGATCCTTATTTTATCCGAAAATGTGCCAGAAGTGCCGTATGCTTCTGGTTATGGAACATTTCATTGTAACAACATTTCATTGTTTTAGTGCTGGGACGTTTGGAATGGCTTAGTGTGTGGGTAACTTATTCACAGTGTTTAGGAGCTGCCCCTTGAGTTAGTAAAGCCATTTTACTCAGTAAAACAAGCCCGATACAGAGTTCGTTGAAATCTGTTTCCCCCTGTTTCCAACAAGGCGTAAGTATGAATTGTGTTCGGTAGGCAACGGAATTAAGCAACAAACACCCGTACATTCGGTTTTTTGTATTGTGTATTTTGTTATTGTTAGTTTCTCAATATTTTCTTAACTTGCTATTGTTTACTCCCCATTGTTCAATAGCTAGGTAGCGCCTAAACCTGTAAAATGTAAACAATAAGGTACGAAACTCCTATAAACATGAAATCACTGCGTAAGTGTAGGTGTGTAACTAAGTTTTGCCTCTTATCAGATGCAAAATGCCGTATAGGGTCAAGGTCAGATAGAAGAAGATCCTTGGAGTTTAAACTTAGAAACGTACGGTTCTTTTGCGGAGAATTTCCTATTGTTCAACTTCTTTTAAGAGTTGTAAAAGCCTTGATTTCGGAATAATTTACACGTGTGTGGTTTCGTTTCTTTTTTTCTTTCGTCAGCGGTATTATTGTTTAAAAGTTTAAGACAATAGCTCAGCTTCACATACAGAGCAGTTGTTTGTGGTAGTAATAACTCTATCCTATCGCTTGCAAAAACATAAACGGGCCGCTTACTCCAAAGCTACAAGAGCATTACGTTTGCCGAACAATAAGATCGAACAAATCTTTGGTTCGTGTACGTTTCAATTGATTCCGCTCTTTCCAGTACGCATTTACGGAGAATTCTTTTGATAAAGCAGTGAGAGAGCTTCTCCACCACGTTGAGCCAATAGGATGCCTACACTCCTCTAGACTATGTTCGTTTCTTTTGAACTATATTATGTGTATGTACTTTTTGCCGTACATTCTCACATGCTGTGAAAGTATGGTTTCGCTAGTTGGTTGCTGAAATTTGACAAAACCAAAGTAAAACTGAAATAATTGATAATACTTCAACAATAGATATAGGTTGTCCTTAACTACAGAAGGGGCTGAAATTATTAGACAAAGGATTAGGGCTATTTTGCCACTTCTATATATATGAACCGACATTTTTCCTGATTTTAATCTCATAAATTGAGCCTACCAATTTCGGTGGTTCCTCTCTCCAGTGCTTTACCCACCACTTTACCCACGATTCCACGCTGAACAACTGATAGTCACAACTACGTGATTACACTCCAGGACACATACGTCATTACAGAACATTCCAGCATCATCAGTTCTTCAAACTAACATTAGTGTTTCGGAGGAGGTACAAAATCAGAAAAGGTAGAGCAAAACTAGCCTGCCATCTTACAGCACTGCTCAACGACCCTACAAATAGAAGCAGGCCACATCATCAGAGAAATTGAGTTACTCGTTTTGCTGATATAAACTATTGAGTGGAAAACATAACTCAGAAATACAGACAAACAACCATATAGAGGTGTCTTTTACTCATCAAGTGGCCATCATCTCAACAGTCAAAGTTTCTGTCTCTTCATCATTCAAAGGGGGGTAAAAAACGCAATTCATTGAAAAAATTGGATTTTGTGTACTGTTTGCAACTGTACACAGAGAGCAAGAAAATAAATAATAATTTTTGCCCATCAGCCCTGCGAAATTAAAAATAACTCATAGTCATTGACTGATAGACATTAAATAATAACCTCAGTACCTCGCTTGACCTTACATATACTCATCTACAATTGATAATATCCATTTAGTTTTAATTTTGCAACCATAGCTGTCACCAATCCCGTTTCCTCATCGTATTCGGAGAAATAAAAAATTTTTTCGATTTCGTCAAGGCTCGTTTGTGAGAGAGTCCCTTTTTGTTTTCTTAATCCTCGAAGAACAAGAACAATAAAACTCGACACCCACAAAACTAAATACATTCAATTAAAACCGAAAGGAGGAAAGTAAGTTAACTTTTTCTTTTTTCCCCTTTGCTTTTGGGCGCTACAGCCTATAGTCATCAGTATCATATCACTCCACACATATTCCTATAGTCCCCAATTCCTTTGTTTACAATTAATCACAGAATTGTTGTCAGTGTTGTTCAAGGGTTATACTTAGTAACATACAACCCAAATGATATCTACCTTTTTCTTGAGTGTGTATGTAACATTAACCAATCTATTTAAAGCAACAAACAAAAAATATAACAACAACAATTAAGTACAATAGAAAGAGACTAAAACTAAAAGACTAAAACTAAAAAAGTGGTATACACAGTGAAATTATTACACAAAATCTACTACTACAAACAATACAAAATTTCATTTAAACACACACTCAAAGAAACAATGTTGGATTTTATAAAAAGTAAACCACTTTATATACAACAACACATCCACACCCTATTACAAAAAAGAGCTTCCTCCAGCGACAACAACAACAGCAGCAACACAGGTATTCCAAGTAGCAGTGGTAACCTTCCATCAGCAACCACAACATCCTCAGATACACCTTCAACGTCACATACACTACCATCATCATCTTCGCTATCACCATCAGCCACTTCTGCTTCGCCTAGTTCACAGTTAGATACAGATTCCTCATCGAGTTTACACACATCATCATCATCATCATCATCATCATCATCTACTGAGAGTTCTTTTCCCCTGTCTTCTTTTCAATCTACAAGTAAGACACCTTCATTTTCATCAAGCACAACAACACCGCCCACAGTGTCGTCGTCCATCGCAACTACGTCAGATCCGACTACATCACCAACTGAAGGAGTTCTGGAAACAACTCCAAGTACTAGTTCATTCGTTAATTCACCGTCGTCTTCAAGTTCAGTTCCAACATCAAGTTCGATTCCAACGACAAGTCAAAGCTCATCCAGCATGTCTAGCTCAATCCCAACAGAAACCACCTCGAGCTCGACGCCAAGCTCAAGCTCAAGCCTGTCAATCCCAACATCAAGTTCAGAAACTCTGTCTAGTTCAACGTCTTTGGTGCAGCCGTCAAGTACAGAGATAAGCTCGTCTTCCTCAAGTGATACGAGTAGCAGTTCAAGTTTTTCTTCTGACACGTCAATTTCCTCGACCTCATCAGAAACATTTCCCTCATCGAGCACTTCTGCGTCATCATTATCATCTTCAACATCTTCAGAGAGTACCAGCGCCAGCTTTTCATCATCATCGACGGAGTCCAGCAGTTTTATACCAAGTTCAACCAGTGAAAGTTTAAGTTCATCTTCATCTTCAACAAGTGAGACGTCAAGCTCATCTTTCTCGTCCGACACATCATCATCATCATCCTTTTCAAGTAGTATCACCACCAGTAGTTCAGAAAGTTCGAACTCCTCAACAGACTCCAGCTCATCTAGCTTTGCAACCTCAAGTTCAAGCTCATCATCCTTCCCCTCATCAACCTCGGATCTGTCATCATCATCATCATCATCATCATCATCATCATCAAGTTCAAGCTCCTTTTCCAGTTTATCGTCGAGAACTTCTTCACGCCAAGCTTCATCATCACTGACAGAAATTGCCACAACTTCGTCTGCATCTTCATCCAGAAGTCGGTCATCATCCACACCTTCGTCAACACAGGATCTGTCGTCGACTGAAATTTCTGAAACTTCGACATCTTCAGCCACAAACACACCTTCATCATCTACTTCCTTGGGTAAACACAGCTCTATTTCATCATTTACATCGCAATCTACTTCGATCCATACTTACCCAGATACAACAATTACTTCAGTTGTTGCTATACAAACTTCGGCAGTCGTATCAACCGACCTGGGCTCTACTGCTTCACGTAACTCAAAACTTATTGGTGGACTAGTTGGTTCAATTGGAGGTACAATTGTCATTGGCTGTCTCGTTGTGTTATTCTTATTTCTCAAGAAGCGTAAAAGAAAGATTACCAACCAATCACCCGATTTCAATGGCGGAGCTGCAACTAATAGGTTGGGTACAGGAGATGACGAAGAAGACACTTCATTGGATGACAAGAATGACCACATTTTCCATGATTCACCTAATGGCAACATGAAACAATCGAAATTTGGCTGGTTGACATCAATATTTTCGAAAAACAACAACGGGTCTGGAAATGGATCAGGAGCTAATGGAGCTGCCATCACAGGTAGCGGTGCTGTTGCTGGGGTAGGTGCTGCAGTCGCTGCCAATAGGTCAAATACGTTCAAGAGGTTGAGAAATAACGATGATTTGGAGAATCAAACATATGGTGCCGCGACACAAACAAACAATGGTGATGGTCTTGAAGGTGATGCAGACGATGATGGGTTTGCCTATAGAGGAGTAACAAACTCCAACAATTTGGACTCAATATTCCGATCCAACGGTAACACCTCATCGAATGCGAGAAACTCAGCCTATTACGGTAAGAACTCAACTAGAGGGTCATCGATATCGGGAACTGGTGATACCTTTGT